TCCTATAGGGTTCCCTATAGGGCTGCCTATAGAGATGCCTATAGGGCTTCCTATAGGGTTTCCTATAGGGTTCCCTATAGGGCTGCCTATAGAGATGCCTATAGGGCTTCCTATAGGTCCGCGGTCTCAGATACGGGGTCCTATAGGGGGTCCCTATACGAAGGCCCTAATAGGCGTTTCCTATAGAGCCTCCTATAGGGCTCCTATAGGAAAAGCCTATAGAGTTTTGGTTTACCTCTTGTATATATACCTGTTAATCTTTGACAGTTGTACACGTAATAATGGGATTCTTGTTTCCGATCCACAAAGTCAAGTGTGCCTCCGTGAAATCACCGCAACTAAGCAAAATATAACCGGTCGCAAAAAGGGCTGTTAGTCCATTCGGAAGTGAAAAAAATCTTACATTTCATTTTGATTGAAGGCATAACTGATGCATATATTTAGTTCAACCTCGGGCTACGCCAAAGAAGAGTAAGAGAATGGCGAAAGTTTGCTTCCGCGGTCCTAATGATCAGTGGACCATTCGCATAAGATTCCGCAGGTTCTACGTAATGTCATGCGCACTGCGACGGGAGACGGCGTTAAGAAGCGGATAGTCCAAACGGGAGCGCCGAAAACGATAGCATTCGGAACAGACATCGGAGACGGCCTATTTGACTTCGATCCGATTCAATCTTATTACATAGAGTTTGAATCAGGTCGCGCGGAGTGGTCAGGCGATTTTACAACAGAGCGCAGCAGATTTGATCGAGTCGATCAGGTGGCGCTTGGCCCTTACGGGAAGTACCTTATTTCGGGCAACGGTGCAGAATGCTGTCGGGCGTGGCGAGGATTCCCAGGTACATATTTCGCAGTCGCTGAAAGCCAATTTGTCTGACGTCGAGACTTGCCATCTTACGAGTTGTACGCCAACAAGAACCCACTTCGCTTCGTCGGCCTCGACAGCTGTGCGTATGCGGTTGCAAAAGCGCTCGTGATCCACACAATGATGCTATCGTCAGCTCCTGTCAACGCGAGAAGCACATTGGAGGCATCATATGGCAGCGTGCTATCGAACAGAGCAGCGAAGGCTGTGCCTCAGACCTGCTTTCTGGAAAAAAGATCACCGGATAGCAAGCATAACGCAGTACTTGCTATCCGGTGATCTTTTTTCCAGAAAGCAGCGTGAGGAATTCGGTGAGCCTGCTTTCTGTGGAAATTTTTTACTGTATGGGGTGCTCCGTGACCGTGCGGCGATAGAACTTTCCTGCAGCACCGCGTACTGGGCTTCACTCGCTTGCAAAGAAAGTTCGTGCACTATCGCCATCGTGCTTCCATTACGCGTACTCGATGAACTGGTCCGGAGTCGCGTACTCGATGAACTGGTGCGAAAAAGCAGTGCACGATTTTGATACAGTTCTAACGGCAGTAGACGGTGACTCGGCCGCGCTCTGTGTTCATTCTACTTCTCGCGAGCATCAAGACATATCTAGACGGGCTGCTTGCGATTCACCTCGAGCGTATAGAACGAACTGCTCTACTGCTGTAGGAAAGGCGTGTTGTTGTAGAATTGCTTGCACGACTCCGGACCAGTCCATCAGAATTGCTTGCGGACAATATCTGATGGACTGGTCCGGAGTCGTGTGGGGATCAGATGTGCAGGATTACCCAGAGGGGAGCGCAGTTGCGCACGCCGTCGAGAAGATAGGTTTTAGTTTTTTTACTGAAGATTAAGATTACTTACACAGATCATGCGATGAGAAATCGCCCGGAACTGGCAAGCATCATTGACACGCGCTTCCTCAGCTTGCACGACTGGTCACTCGAGTTCAGCTGGCAAGCATCATTGACACGCGCTTCCTCAGCTCGCACGACAGGTCACTCGAGTTCAGCTGGCAAGCATCATTGACACGCGCTTCCTCAGCTCGCACGACTGGTCACTCGAGTTCAGCTGGCAAGCATCATTGACACGCGCTTCCTCAGCTCGCACGACCTGAACACGATTCGCTGGTCACTGGGGAGGAAATGGCACCATATTAAGCAGGAATGGCACCATTTCTTCGCGCAGCCCAGCGCAAGATTGGAGAGCGTCACCTTCACTGGTGTTCCGGGACTTCCTGGCATATCGACGATGACGAGGTGCTACAAGGAAAAGCCTACAATGGCGCGCTAGCGCGCGCAATCGATCGCAGTGCAGATGCCACTCGTTGGAAGGTGCGGGGTCGCTACGGCAAAGATCATCTCGTTGTTGGGTCTGAAATTAGCTTGAAGCCCGAGAATATCATCGTTGTTGGCGCTCGATTGAAAGCTGCGTACGAATCTACAAAGCAGGACCCGTGCGCAGGCATTGAAAATTTCCCTCGTTTGTCGAAAAGCCAGGCAGAGAAGCTCAGCAAGCAAATGCGAAATGCTTTGGACCATATGAACCAGTCTGCTAGTGGTCAAGAAGGAAAAGAAAGCCAAAGCTTAAACCTCCAAAAAGACATGATAAACGGAAAGTGGAACTAGAATGAAAGTATAACAGAGTAGTTTATAGCACGCATGGTGCATGGAGTGCATGGAGTAGCATGGAGTGCATGGAGCGCAGAGCTTTAAGGGGCGCAAGAGGCTCCCCCTTTAGCTCCATGCTACTCCATGTGATCCATGCACTCCATGCCATGCGCGCCGTGAAACCTTATAAACTGCTCTGGTATAAAAATCAGTATCATAAAAGCGCAAGATGATGATCTCTTCGTCTTCTGGCATGATCACTGTCTTTGATGTCTCCCCTTCCCTGTTACCTCGTATCATGAATAGACAACCCAAGCTACGTGTGTCTTCTCAAATCAATGTAGTCGTTCCAAACTGCTACAACCAGATGAATGTATCCTCTCTAACACTCATGCGAGGGGAGCCGAGAAGGATGAGAGCGGGTGAACACTTGTGTTCGTTCATGAATCTCTAGACACTGCTCACTCGTCCTAGTAACACGGCGATCGGTAGAACATGAATATTTCGGTTCTGGTGCAATGTTGCCGTATACTGTCGGTGCTGAACTATCCCAAAAAACAAAAAATCGGTTTGGGACAGAAGCCCTCAGACAGGGGGAATGCATCGGTAATGAGTACGATGAGTCCTGAGCAGTACCCGATACAACTACTAGAGCTCTACCCGAACCCCGGAGACTTGCATGGACAATTCCAGACTTATGAATGGTCTTTTTCTAGCTAAAGATTTTTGCATACCAAGATACCACTATCAACAATGCTCATGACCACGTAAGTTGTAAACTGTTTTCCAGTCTGCGTGCACCCACAAGCATCCAACATAGGACCACTGGATATAGACACGCATAGATGCTTTAGAATAGAAGATGTTTTTCTACTATAGATAGAAATTTGGTTACCACTATTAAGAATAGCAGCGTACCAGAAACAAACATAGAAGAAGAACATCAACATTACAAGAAGATGGCGCCCGCGGATCATGTTACTGCGGGTCGTGTCATCTTCCCTCTTGACGGACCACCCTTAGCGCGTCGCGAAGATGGGATGTCATTGGATGTAGTGGATGCACCAGGTGCATCAAAACCGTACTTCAATACGCGGGAACTGATCACATTGCATTAAGGCTTTTCTATTGATACTAACATCATTCTTGCTTCACTACTCATTCTTTTATAAGGCTTTTAGTGATAAGAACATCAGAGTCAATTTGGTAGATCATCCTTGCTTCACTGCAACTGTATCCTTGAATAATTGATGCATTTCAAGAACATGATTGATGATCTTCTTACAATTACATTCTCCGTAGGATCTTGCTTCATCCCTAATCCTGGAACGTGCACGAAAAGAAGAGGCAACTAATACATCCACCGAAGGAGGACATTAGCCGACAAAAAACATACTATCCGACACCGGTATTGAAGTCAGTAGATCTTTAGTCTTTCCTTTTTGCTATCCTCGGATGTCCCCTGGATTGGCGGGTTTACTACTACTACGACCCCTACTTCCTCTCCTTTCGCTATTCTCAACAATGTTTGTCACTCTACTAGCGCCATACTTGAACTGGTATCCTGGTAAAAGTATTCTTTTCAACAACAATTTTCCCATCATCTTTATATACAACGTCAACTAAGACTTTTATATTGACTCTTGTTCAGTATTAATTTCCTCGCTAAAACCATTGTTTGATACCACTTTCCCACAAAACCATCCAATTTTCACCTGTACTCCCCAGCTTCACCGGCCACGCGACTTGAGTTTGACTACAGCGGACATCCCTTTTGCCCAACCAGCCCTCCTCGAAACCAGTGGGAGGCACACGGATCCGGTCCAGCCGGTTTACCAATTTCTGGGTGCCACACAAGTAAAACCTGTGGAGCCTTTTGTGCCTAGGAATGCAGGGAATGTACTTTTTCTTACTGTCTAGTAGCAGGTAGAGCTCGCCAGGGAAATCTCAAGCAATCTGCCAAATAGATTCGCGTCGTCCGTAGCTTTGTTGCTTCTTTTACATCTATTGACTCCCAAGACTGCTGCTGGTGCTTGCTTTGAGGAAAGTTTGAGGTCTTTCTTTGGTGTCAAACTCCTATTGTGAACCAACACCTCTACTCTTCAGTTCATTCTAGTGAATTCCGATGTGGACGGTGCAGCACCAAGAAAGCTGATACCAGATAGGAATTACGTCCGTGACCTGAATGACAGTAGCGATATTGCCTACTCCACTCCGCATTACCACCTGAGGCATGTCAAAAGCCAGACATACCTAGGACGTGGAAAAGAAGTCTATGGAGAAGATCCGGCAGGTAGCTTCTTTTCTAAATCTGTAGTAGAGAAGTCTATGGAGAAGTTTAAGTAGAAAAGTCTCTACCTGCGAGGCTTTTCTACTTAAATCTTTGAAGAAGGCTTGTAGTTGTTATCGCAATTATAGTACCTATAGTACCTACGTATCTTAATAGCTAGTGTAGTTGTACCATTAGTTCCAGTGGACTGGTGCTAATATTTCTGCAGATTTATTGAGCAAGATGAAACAAAGCATGACAATGACAAACAAGATAAAGAGTGAGTCTTTTTGGGGGAACCTACCGATTTCAAAATGCTCCACCACGCACTACAGCACGAGCTCCGCGTCAATACCGTGACACCAACCCCTTGGACCCAGAGTATAGGGTGTCTCAACTACCAAAAGGATACGACGGATACAACGCAGATCCTAGGTTATGTGAGATGTTGTAATAGATGATTTTCTTCTAGGAAGCTAACAGCAACATCTAGCTAGCATCCTCTAATCGGGACCTTGCAACGTCCACTCGAAATCGGTCGTATTCCTGGATCGAAGCCGCGAAAACTGCAGTGGTCCAACAGCGAGCCTACGTTTAACCTGATGACGGAAGATGTGGCAGGAGCAATGCCGCAAAGGTGGGTAGGCGAATTGCCAACGCACATCTACGCGCCCAAAAACGAGAGGTCGAAACCGCCGTTGAACCTGCTGATCCACGATATTCCAGGTGCACAAGTGGGTACTGCGAAACCGGGATTGGCGAATTTTATGGGCTGAAACTTTGAAGAATGCTGCGTCCAGGAGCGCGTCCAAAGAAGCGCATATGCACCTTCATTGATCAATAACAAGTCAGCACATAGTGCTTTCTTAGGTGAAATATACTCACATTGTATTTATCATAACTCGCGGGTCCCACTGACTTACACTTTATCTTCAGTCCTCTTCTCTAAATCCTCTCGTAATACGAATCCGTTGTTGCCAACATACAAATTCTTGGATGGAACGCTTTCACCATGGAACCTAAGAGGCAGTCCAAGCGCAGGAGGTCAGATCTCCGCACCCCAACATCGCATACACGTTTTTGGTGGGTGAAGAGGAAGAAGACGAAGAAGATGTTGAAGCAGACGATGGAGGATAGAGTCATAGAAATTGACATTTTTGTCATAGACGTATAATCTAGTATGTAGTGTTATGGACGGCGATGGACTCGCCATAGAATGTTGTATTTTTTGACGTCCTTTTTGTGTTGTCAGTATTTAAGAAAGAAAGTGCTATTATCAATATTGATTGAAATTGTATTTTTGTGAAAGGGGGTTCCATAGTTTCGACTTTGCTAACAAAACATGTTCATAAAGTAGTCTATAAATCTTTGCCATTAGTTACCATAATCAATGCTGAAAGTAATCACCCGTAGAGAAATGTATCTTACGATTTTTGTTGATAACATTGGTTAGTTCCTATTTCTGATGCTGGTTTATTCAATTTCTGGAGAAGAGGTCCTTCTCTCAGGATGAAATTAATATCTATGCGTGGATGTCATACAGTTATCTCATGTTTTCTCGTCTGTGTCTCTGTTCTTGTTCAAATTGTTTGGGCTCTCGAGTTACTATCTTAGGCTATTATGTAAAATGAAACGCATAATCAATCGATTATCTAACGTATTTACCTCAATATATCAGATATCTCCCATACTTTCGACACTAAGAATTCACTCATTGTATCTAACGAATTTCAGTCAGTAGTTTATCTAATTTACTATCGAAACTGTACCTAATGATTGTGGCATGAATTGTTTAGAAAGTGTGAAGACGGACTAGACACGAAGAGAACCACACTACTTGTTAAGGAAAAACTGCTTTCAGTCTTGATACACCAATAATAAAGAATTTAGGTAATATTTCGAACAACGACCACAGCGTGCGATTGCAGCTGTTGGTGTAAAAAAAGAAGAGAGTCCTGCTCTCCCATTCTTGAAACCAAGACATTCTTTCAACGGGAGACCTATGCTCTCCTCCTGTTTCTAGGCACGACACAGTTTTCTTGGAGGCGATATTATAACAAGTCGTACGAAAGCGGTGAGAGATTTTTTCCGCCTCAGATAAAGAGGTCCAAACTTGAGAGCAAAAAGGGCGAAATCATCGAGAGAAGCTTCTTCTTTAGAAGTTATGTTTTTTTGAACAAAAAAGAAAATGAAATAGCTCTTCAAACCATACCTTTTGCCAGCAGGCATATCAATCAATCAATCAATCAATGAATCAATGAAGGCAGACGCGGGACAGAAACTCGTCTCTCTGAAAAATGCCAGTGCACTAACGCAAAAATTGCTGTAATTATAGGAAATTGCTTGTTGTTTTCTACCCAGGTGAGATAGAATTTGTTTTCCAAGCAAGGTGACTGTTGTGATTCTTTTGTGTCATGTCAGTGTAATAAAAAGACAAGAACAATTATTCCATCTTGATTTTGTGAGCCTCATCGTACTTAGTTTATCTAAAGATATACCTAGTACAAGCAAAAGAAAAGCTTGTTTTGTTATGACTTTCATCTTCTGTACCAAAGACCTTCTGCGATGTTAACAAACTCAGTCCTGATAGAAGTTGTCTGATACAACTGTAACGCGTCCCTCATACTCACCCTATACGCTTACCTTGTCGCAGGTGAGCTAACTCCTATCCTTTGATACAACTGTAACCCGTCCCTCACCCTCTGTATCGATCACTTCCGAAAAGATGTCTCAACAAGAGGAGCAACCGCAATTCGGTTTGCAAATGCCAACGATCGGCTTCCAACAGCCGACGTTCACTATGCCGCAATATGAGTACTTGTTTCTTATTTGGCATTCTAGTGATGTAGTTTAGTGGTATGCTAGAAGGAGTAGTATGTGATCACGCTGAGTGAAAAGTGATTACTCTTCAAACTGTCTTAGAGTCTTGCTGCGTCATTTATTCATACAATCAGAACAGGGAGGACAAGCATGATCACATCAACCCATTCTCGCTAAACAGACAACCGCAGATCGGTTTGGGCGTGCAGCCGGGTCCGATCCAGTTCGCATTCTACGCTGAGCCATGTACTACTGTTTTTCTTGTACTTATAATGTTTATTTTTCATGTTCTTGAGGTGGTATTTTTTACCTAGGTCGTTTGCATTCTAATCGGAATAGATCCGAGTATAATTACAAATCGTCCACGAAAACAGCGAGCCCACCGCAGGGATCACCGCCTTATGGTAGCTATTTGACCCAGGACGCAGCACCAGTGACCAAAAAGAAAGTGGATAGCAAATGGTGCGCGTGCTTCTCCAAGTAAGACACGCGATTGCGAAAGAGAACTATCTTCTTGTCTCGCTAGTGGTAGAAGATCGATGAAGGAGGAGATAAACGTAAAGGCTGCCAGGAGGAGGAGATGTATTAAGACGGCTTCGCTGATTAGGCATATGATCGGGAGATGAAGACAGACGATATGATCGTGATTTCACTTAGATTCACCACCATGATGATGAAGACGGACGATATGATCGTGATTTCACTGCACTTCCAGAACAAGGGTTTACAACAATCTATCAACATATCGAACGACAAGCAAAGTTACATTGGTATATCATGTGTGTGTCCTAAACGACCACGACGACAGAATAATTAGAACAAAGCAAAGAAACACTTATATGAAGAAAGAGATCCAGGCTACCAAGGTCGTAACAGCAGTAATTATATGTCGTTGTGTTTCTACAAGAAAGAGCGTCTTACTAGCGGAAGATCCTACTTGTTGGAAAGTCTATGGCCAAGATCCGTTGTTTGTGAGTGAAATCTTCAAAGATCCCAGCAAAATGAAGATCTCAGTGCTATTACAGAAATGTCGAACAAGAAGAGGAACGCGAGTAAATGAAGTAGATCACAGAACAACAACCTTTTTACTGATAATTCTTTCCACGACTTGGGTATTCGCTTACAAATAATCACATTTTCTCTATCACTTTCAGGACAATTATAGCGTTTTTTTGTTGTTGTAGAAGGACCTTTTCTTTTTGTGTCAGAACTAGCCTTGCTTATCGCTCTACCTTCCACTGAAATAATGTAGTTGTTGTACTTGAGTTGACCTAGTTGGTTTCACTCAAATTATTCCCAAAACTCATCAAAATGGATGCCATAATTTTGTCTCTACGGTGATCACGAATGGTCAGATCAGGGTCACTCAGAGAACATCATGAAAATGGATCGTCTACCGACCAAGAGCGGGTACGTGGACTACGGTACACGCCTGCGTACGCAGAGAGAAGCGGAGCAGTTTTTTTCGCCTGATGATGACGAGCAACTCCGACTAGCGATACTTGGCCAAATAGTATGTCGATGTTTGGACAGGAATTGGAACGACGATAGTTTTGATGAGGAGAAAGAGAATGCTCTTGGAGATGCAGGGCAAGGACAAGGAGCATCTTCTTCGGCCTGTCCATCCACAGCTGTTTTGGGAAGCGGAAGAAGCAAAGATGGAGGAAATGCACAAGAGGCAGATGCTAGTACCTTGAATAGAAGTAGAGGAGTGCTGGGTGGTATTTTTACTCCTGGATGTAATATTACTTCTAGAGGAGTAATAGCAGGAACGTCTTCTTCTTCCTCTTCTACTTGTCCACAACCAGAACTGTCCTCTGCGGCAGGTGCTTGTAGTGTATTCGGATACAAAGGATGCGGGCAAGAACAGCAGGTTCTTGCTTCTTCATCGGCTGATACGGATGCTGAAGGTGATGAACAAGATACTAGCTTGTTCCATCCTCCAAGAGAAAAACATTCCACCTGCGACGATGCCGACTTAGAAGATGAGTTCCATCAAGGAGAACATCTTCATGGCCATGGGAAGATCTCTAGCTCTACTAAAACTTCTTCATCCGTCGAAATGGAAATTCCAACAAACTGGGACATCAAGGTAGATGGAGCGTTTTTTTCTTCGATCTACAGTGCTCTAGAGGATTCCGCTTTGCGTTGCTGGGATACGAGAGTAGACTGGGGCAAAGTAGCAGATTGGATGGGAGAGGAGAAGGGGCTTACGCTAGTGGAACACGACGTAAAAAATGATGAGATGAAGGCTTTGGGATCGGACGAAGTGCTGGACGATGAAGAAGAATTTTCGGTGATGAGTCGTCGTTCCTTGGCCGCTATGTGCCGAGACCGCTGGCGATTCTGGTTGGAGGGATCATTAGCGCATGGGTGGACAACACAGGAAGACCATATGCTCAAACTGGTCATAGCGGAGCACTGTGAACGAAAGAACCGAATGCGAGAGAGCTATAGGAAACAGCCTCCGTCTTTAAAGAACAAGGTTGTGCTAGGAGACACCTCGGGAGCATCACTCTTAGAAGCCTTGAAAAAAGCAGTAAACAAGGATGTTCAAACGCACGACGAGGTGCTAGCCCATGTGACAAGGGTTCGCAACTTGGCAGACGAAGTGAACCGCCGCTTCATAGGTCGTAAACAAGCGCCGGAGGACAAGGGAGAACAGGTACAGGGAGCGGATGACAAGCCAGCAGATGAAGTTGGAGAAGACAGTCCGGTCTCCGATGAGGAAATTCTAGCGGAAGAACTCGCGCTACGTCGTGGAGGTTCTGTCAAGAAAAAAGAAGACCAGAGGTTGACAAGATGGAGCAGTAATACAACAACACCAAGGACAACTTCTTCTTCTTCCTCAGAAGCAGCTTTGATGTTCGGAGGTCGTAGCGAGGACAAAACTTCTGTTTCCACTACTACTGCGCCAGTTGAAACCTCAGACGAAGGAGCGGTGAATGCTGAGACTCTCGCGTCTTTAACAGTGCAAGACTGGACCGATATTCAGTTCGCGTTCCACGGTAGAATGGAGGCACGACGTGAGAAACTGACGAATTGGGCAGCTGCTCGCGTGAGCAGTGCTATAGAAGCCCTTCGTGAGGAAAATCGGAAAGCTGCGGAAGCTGTCTGGAAGGAACAGCAACAAAAGTCTAGGTCGCTCACCAAAAATACTTTTGGGGCTAGAGGAATGAAGCGACGGCGGTTGTCAAAGAAAGAGATCGCAGAGAAGTTACCACTGGCCGTCACTCGTCCTTGTCCTCTTGGTTCAGAAACCTCAGGCTCCACAGAAACCTCTGTTGTACCCGCACCGTCTCCCGAGGAATCTCTCAAACGCGCTAAGCATATCTTAGACCTAGAGAAGAGAACGCCTGGTCACATGGCAGTCCTCGAGCTCGAGCTTGAGCAAGCGATAAGATGGAAACAACGAACCTGTTTTCAACTGCGTGCTCGTGCGCGGATTCTCTACCCGGAGGTGGTATCTGCGAAGGACGCTATCACACTTTTAGACAATAGCAGTTGTGGTCTTTGGTCAGACAGGGACTTGCTCGCCTGGTACGAGGAAGCAAGATGTGTGCTGATCGAGGCAAAGGTGAAAGCGGATACTTCCAAGAAGATGAAAAAAAGTGGAAGCTCTTCCAACTACAATGGCATTTTCCAAGATCGGACATCTTCTGCCACTTCCACTTCACCTACTTCCACTTCACCTACTTCCACTTCGTCTAGTTCTGCCTCTACCTCTTCCACTGAGCCTACAATTCGCGTGATAGCAAACTACATTCGCGCGAACCACGGCGTTGGTGTCGCTGGCTTTCCTACGCATGCTGAACTGCGTGAACGGCTGTCTTCTCTTCTCGGCAGGAAAGACAAGAAGAATGCTTCTCTGAACTACAAGTCTTCTCCTCTGGTACGAGCTGCAGAAGCTTCGGTTCTAGGTTCTCAGGAAGGTGCTCCACCAGTTGTAGTTGAGCGAAAAACGGGTCCCTGGACAGCTGAGGAGGATGCGCAATTGTTGGGCCTGGCGAAAGACCCGAAGATGAAGACCCGTTCTGGTAGGTTGTGTTGGGTCTCCATATCTGCGAAAATCGGCACACGTGACGCCAAGCAGGCTCGTGAGCGTTACTGCCGTAGCAATCTACTAGCATCGGCCGAAAGTGGTGATCGCCACATTGTAGCGGAGAAGAAGATGATCAAAGACGCTGAACAAGGCAAGCCAGCTTCTAGTACTTCTAGTACAAGTTGTACATCTTCTGAAAAACAATCTGCTAAAGCAAGGTCTTCGCGATTTGTAAAGCACTGGACTGCACAAGAAGACTCGCTGTTGAAAAGCATCGCAGATGATGAGGATCTCCTAGGACGTTGGGAAGCCATTGCAAAACGCCTCGGGCGACCTGCTTCTTCAGTACGTTGTCGCTTCAAAGCACTGCATCCGCAGGTATGGAAAGTGATGCAGGAGTGTTCAACTTCAACGCGGAAAACAAAAATAAGACGAACTACTACTACTACAAGTGGGGAATCTACAACTACTGGGGAATCACTGTCAGCGCTCTTAGATGGTTCATCTTCTTCACGCTTGGGAAAGACACAAGCCAAAGCCTCTCCAAAACAGGCGCTTCTCAAATTTGTAAAAGAAGCAGCAGAGATACCTTCTAAACCGCTTAGGACAAAGGAGCTACTAGATAGTCGTAAGCAACAGAAGAAGAAGGCTCAAAAGAAGAACCAGAAGGGAAAAAAGGGAGCCAATGGTAAGATGAGTGGCGCCAAAAATAGCAAGAAAATGAAGACCATGATGAAGGCCATGAAGAGAGCCTCTGCGGCTAGTGCTACAAGCACACGCAAGAACGGCAACGGCCACGGCACGAAGAAGAAAGCATGGTCGGTGATGAAGAAAGCAAACTAGTCACTACGGGTGCTACGGACTACCAGAGACGCACACATGACAAGCTAACATACTTATTTTTCACAATGCCCTCGTAATTTGCGCATGTTTCTTTGAAAGGAACGACATTTTATTCCTTCCCCAGAACTTAACCTATCCCCATTCGGAATTCCATTACGCATGGAGAAAAGACCTACAACGCTTTCCAAAGCTACCCAGCGACAATTTTCTTTCTTTCTTTCACCAACAAGGAAATGTATTTGAGATGAAAAATAACAAAGGCATCTGAGGATGTTCCATTGTGTTTCTGTCCGCGGAGAAGAATAAGCGATGCTTGTTGTGCTTCATGGAGCAGCAATCTACCGCTGTAAATCTGCACGACTTCCTATCTTCTACAAGCGGAAAGCAGTGCTCCTTTCTTTGAGAGTGAAAGTAAATGAGTGTGTTGGATAATTTATTGACGATGGGCTGTACAACGAGGAGTTTTTTTGCTGCATCTGGAGTCGTGTTAGTCCTGCGAGTGCAATGCGATGCTGAGGAGGGGTCGCCATACCGATACGTGCTTCTGACTTGCAGTCAACATCTGACACACAGTCAAGACATGTAGTCAACATGAAGACGTCTTGTAGTCAACATTTTTTTGATGATAAAAAATGTTCTGTGGTGGATGCTTTTTTTTCTGTCCGCTACTACTAAAAGATCCACCTACTTAGTTGTACAAGACTCAGACGTCTCTAAGGTGGTGAATTAGTATACCCTCTGTCCGTGTATCCGCACCATCACTCGAGGTAAGTAAGCAATAACCCAACCATAACTTTTGACTACCTGATTCTCAGCTTCAAAAATTATAACTCAACCATAACGAATCAAAAATAGCAACTCGTGTCTCGACTATAACGAGTAATTATTTACGTCAAGGATTTGAGTAAGTACGAGGTCCTTCCCGAAGTTGATTGGGTCCACTGCTCTCTCGTGTGATAATACTGAGAGCAGTGGACCCAATCAACTTCGGGAAGGACCTCGTACTTACTCAAATCCCTTATCTCACGCTTAGTCCACGTTATTGTCTGATAGGTTTACATTGGAGCACAAATTCAACCACTGAACTGTCTGCTTCAAAGCTTATTCCTGTTCAGGAACTTATCTCACGCCTAGTACCACGTTGTTGTTCATTATTTATTAAGTCAATAATAGGCAGATCACCTCCGAGTAGATTCGTATCATCATTTATTAAGTGAATAATTTTTTGAGTACTTGTTGTTGTTTTAGACTCCCCTTAAAAGCAAAACCCAAAAACAAGATGGATGACGCACAGAGTGTTCGACAGATTCAGCAGATGATTAACTTCATCCTGAATGAGGCTAAGGATAAAGCCGAAGAAATCGATGCCAAGACACTGGAGGAATTCAATGTGGAGAAATTGAAATATGTCCAGGCGCAGAAGGTGTTAAAACTGGAAAGAGCTGTTAAGTAGATATCTTTTCATGCTGCTGCACGTAGCTAGTGTTGTTGTTGTCTTGTTTATTTTTCCTTTGCTTTGTATATTTGTTGGGAAAAAATAAGTGGTACAACAAGAGGATGCTTAGTACAGCTGGGAGCTGAGGCAGGAGCCCATCTGAATCTGAATCTGCTTAGTACAGCGGGGAGCTGCAGCAACATGTACACCGGAAAGTGATGGAGATAACATCTTCTTCGACTAGTAGTACCTTTTAGATCTAGGTGTATCATCCCGTTTTTCTACCACCTGACTACAGGAGAAAATCCGTTCGGAGCTCGGAGAGAAAAAGAAGAAGCAGGAAACGGCATTAGCGATTGCACGATCAGCCGCGATCAACAGAGCGCGTTTGCAGCAGGTGGAAGCCAGACAACAGGCCTTGGTAACATTGAGAGGCGCATGGGAATTTCTTAAAGGTCCGATTCAGAAAATGTTAGAGACATTTCAATACATTTCCCTCTGATTCATCAGTCACACACACACACACACACTCTCTCTTTAGCAAGTACGTACTTGCAAGTACTCGCTCAGGTCGCATTGAAAGCAGAATGCGAAGCTAGTTTGAGCGCAGTGTCACGGGATCGCAGCAAATATGCCGGATTGTGCGCCGATCTTATCGTCCAGGGCTGCCTCAAGTTGATGGAGGATCAGGTATTTTTTTTCTAGTTCACAAGTACGTATTGAAGTCGCCAGTGCTCTTAAGTTCGTTGATGGACGAGAGTATTAAGGTAATTTTTTGTTCTGTAGGTTGACGTAGTCAATTTTCCTCAAACAACAACAAAGGTAACCGTGAAGTGCCGCAAGGAAGATGAGCAGACCGTCAAGTCGTGCTTGGATGCGGCTGCACGCAAGTATGCGGATATCATCAAGAGAGAGACAGGCGTCGCAAAGATGGTACTTAAAACTTGAATTCAATACTTATACATAGTATTTGCATCTTCATCGTTCATAATACTACAGTACAGACTTCTACCTCTTGTGGCAAAGAATCTGCAATAACAAACAACATGGATTTCGTAGATATATCCCTCACAATAAATTTCCATTTCGTTGTTCACTAGTAGAAGGACAACCCAATCAGTACTTTTTATCCCTTATTATTACTCACTTTCTTGTTTCCGTCTCTCCTACAACCAGTCACTCCCTCCCTTGCCTCCTACCAGGTCCGCCTCGACATGAGCCCCGCGTCTTTGCCATCTAGCTGTGGTGGCGGTGTGGTCTTGAGCTGCTCTGGGAACTCAATTAGCATCGACAACACCCTCTTCACCCGATTGGGCCTCGTCATGGACAACGATCTTCCGAACCTCCGCAAGATGCTCTTCCCGAAGCGAAAGTAAAAGGTCTCTCACGAAATGTTGTTGATACTTTCTAGGGTTAGAGAGGAGAAAGATTTTTTTTTGTTCTTAGCAGGGTACGAAATCAAGAGGGAGCTGTTGACATGTGAAGCACTCCTGCTGGGCTCTGGTCGTGGGATTCATCATATGGAGTGCATTAGGGATATTGTGTAGGTGGTGGGGGGATGTCAACGCTTTCTATCGACTTTTTGAGAATGCGCAATCACATTCTACGTTCGCAGCTTAGTGGAGGTGATAGGCGATACTTGTAAGGATACAACACATCGTTTTTCTACTCTTTCTCACCAGTTACTACCAGTACCACAGAATCCATCTATATTTTATACTGTCTTATCATGAGTGCAGATTGCATGTAAACATCAAAATTCCAGTACCTTTGCTATCTTTCAATATACGATTTTTTTCGAAACAAGTCTTTGGTGGAAGGTCATATGGCTGGGAAATATGGTCAGGGGAAGATTGATTGGATTTGATTTGGCCTAGTAAGATCAAGTGGCGTGCAGCATTCTACGATTTGGCCTAGTACTACTAAGATTAAGTGGCGCACAGCCTTCTACTAAATCAATGAGGTGCAGAGAAAAACCTCTTCCGTTGAAGCTACATCTAGATTGTAGTAGTGAATTGCTCGGTTCCGGTCGCTGCATTTGGTGCAATAGACTGGAATCTATGACCTCTCGCTACGTCTCGTGACGATATGTGGTCCTTTATATCAACAGCTTAATTGATAGATCATGAGCAGGTTTCACTGTAGGCTTCCAGAATGGAAAAAAGAAATGTTCACACCTTAAAAAAAGCGGAACAATTATAAGTCACGAGGAAGCCGTCGCTCTGAAAGTCGCTCAACAGTACTAAATGAGGGAAGCCTTTTGTCCTGGTGTATTTGGCCACATTGCTGCTGTATCAAGGAAACTTGCAATGAGTGCTGTAGAGTGGTTGATACTTTGTAACTGAAGCCGAGTGATAGAAATATCTGAGGACAACTCAAGATCAGTCACGCGAGAGAAAGATGGCCACTCTTGGGAGCGGGACACAAATTATCAGAGATGGCACTTCAGTAGAATCGAAGAAAATGGACCTTTTTTCTACAATCGATCTACTTAATCGCAACTACTTAGTATATACGGTTAGCACTTGTTTGTCGTGACAACGTCACGTACTATTGTGAAGTAAAAAAGATGCACAGGTAAAAAAAATGAAACTCGTGTTGCGCTGTCCCCGTGTACTGAAACAGGACGTGGCACAACTTGCCGACCGGTCCAACGTGTTGACCCGAGAGGCGCGCTCCCGATGAACGTGCCACGGCAGAGACTCTCCTTAAAGGGAGCGACAATGCACATGATGAGGCGGTCTTTCCCGCTAGTTCCAGGGCGTAGCGGATCGTTGTCGTTTCATGTACCCTGTCGCACGCACCAGACGTACAACAGCATGCCATTTTGTCATCTGCCGCCGATTCCATTCTTGCATCCGCTCAGGAGGTTAACATGCCATGGTTCGCCTTACAGATCAATATGCCACGGTTCGCCTTACCGGTCAATGTGCCATGATTCGCCTTGTCGAATGGACGCAAGGAGGAGCACTCCAGAAAACGGAAATGGAAAGCCTCCTATCTCAGACGTTAAAGGAGACAGAGAAGAGGATCCGAAGACCCTCCGGGACATGATCCGCGTATGGGGAATGCCCTTTCTGTGCTTGTACTCCTCTCGCTCTCGCTTTGATATGTTCTTCATGTTTACACTCGTTCTGAATAGATGATGTTGACTAGTTCGCTTTCTGCTGCATCATGATGCACCCAAACTTTCTTCTCCTGATGTTTTCTCACTCCCTCACACACACTCGTCCAGGTACAACGGTCTTTACCTACTATCACTTGGCGGCATCTACACCGGTCTCACGTATGATGTGGTGGAGTGGTCCGAAATCGTTGCTCTTCTAGAACGTTGTGGTGCGGACAGAATTATAGATCTGCAGAGTATCGATCCAGCCAAGGGGCGTCTTGGAGTTGCGATATGCCTTAATCCGATTCTCGAGCCAGCACGAATCTTGATTTCAGTACGATGTGCCAAGCCGTTGTCCAAGTGGTGGAAAGCTAGGAAGAGGGGATAGAGGATGAACATGTTGGGTTCGAGGAATCACTGTAGAATGGGAAAGGTAGTTCATGAAGAAAAGCATAAGGATGAAATGCACAGAGATGAGTCATCTGATGATATGGTTAAACCGAAAGCTGCGCTACTAACGACTCAACTTCCAGCAGAAATGACGTCGCCGCCGAACCTCCCGTAGAATTTGCGTCGTCCCCTTCCTGAAAGAGGTTCCAATCGAGATGTCATAGTTAGTGACACTTCTGCATAGATTTAAGAACTGCAAATGTGGAGAAAGAAAAGGAAGCGGATGCCTTGTGAATGAAGAACGCAAAAACCCGTTTCTTTGAACTGTTGCGCCTAGACTCGAATCTTGATGCTTTTGATTCAAAGTAATAGCGCCATGGTTGTGATGTGCTGGAAGCATTCGAGTGTTCATGTGCTGGAAAACGATGCCAGTTCTTGTCCGTTGTCAACGTTCACCGTCTTCATTGTCTACCCCGTGTGTGTTTGTGTGAGAGTGAACTCAGCGGCGTGCATGTCTATGCGCGGTAGTTGGTCTATTGTTGTACTACCTAACGTGGCCTATCTCTGGTCTGTTGTGTTAGCTCGTGGCTTTCAGAACGTTAGGAGAACAAATAGCATTACCCTGCATAGCTCGTTCTAGATTTTGAATTTTGAGCATATAGTTGCTGACTCTTGCACGCTGGTTCCCCTTTTGAATAATTTTAGACTATCCGAACTTCTGCCGTGGTGGCTTAGCTGAGTAGGCTAGATTCTTTTAGATTTCTGACGTTGTGCTTCCGTAGCCATTTTGGCTCAAGGGTTCGTCCTTGTTGCCCGTGACTAACAAATCAGAGAGGTCCAGCCGCTATTTAAAATCGAAACAACGACAACAGCAACAGCAATAGTAACAATGTAACAGCGACCAGCCATCAGATCAGTCCGTAAGTACAGCCAGCAACTACGAGTAGGAGTCCCCTCATCTTGATGTGGCCCGCGGTTGGACCTAAGTGGCCTATATGTAAGTAGGCCGGAAGAAATACAGCGAAGCCCTAGCTACTTAACACCTGCCCCAGGATCCACACCCGAAGGCATGAAGATGGGCAAGGTCCTAAGCGAGTAACTGCCTGAAGATAGTGCGAGACTTGCAGAAGTCACCGCCTCGAGACTTAGCTGAAAGCTGCCGCATCCCTCGCCTGTTCTATCATTAAGCCCCTCTTCGCTGCTGCAGTATGGGGCCTTGACTGATCACGCAGATGCTGGCTTGTGCTTCAATTCACCCAAGGAATCACCGGGGCGCGAAAGGTGAAAGGCTAAAGCAAAAGCCGGCACAAGATACGAAGCCAAAAGCTGGCGCTCGATGCAAAACGATTGGGATAGAACTGCATAACCGTAGGGCACTGGGCCAGCAGCATGGCTGAACGATCAGCAGCGAAGTAGAGACATAGACAAAAACGGCGGCAGCGCGCTCCGCGCGAGCTAGAGCCGCAGCGGCAGCCGCGGAGCAGAAAGGCCCGCAACCAAATGGCGACGGTGTGGGTAAAGAAGTGCAGAACACTAGGCAGCACGCGCCCGCCTCCGGCAAAACTAGCGCAGTGCCCACGCCCGAACAGCAACTATCTGAGGCGGAAGAAGAGGGGCAACCAGTCCAGCCCGGTGGATCTAAGAAGCGCAAAGCAGCAAGCGACGAAGGGGGCAGGAGCAGAGGCAGCGTAAGCGTGAACCGGAAGAACCGAATCGGAGACGGCAACCCCAGCGCAAGCATACAGCTGCACCTACAAACAAGGAGAAAAGGAGCGCGCTCCTGCTGCCGATAATGAATCGAAGGCGAAGAGGACGAAGCCAACAAATCCCGCACCAAGAGGATGACCACCGCCAGGACCGGCCTGAACTTCTGAAGTGAAGACACTGGTGGCCGTTCTAAGCCGTTGGCGATATTCGGCGGAAATGGTCAACGGCAAGCAAGTGAGCCAAAAGGCGGGAAAATCCTCGCCAAGAAACACGCGGGGCCATCGTCTGGCGGCACTTCCGCGGCCACAACCAGCAGGACAAATCTAATTTCGACGCGCGCCGTCCCACTCTCAGCAGCGCGGTCTTGGTTCAAGTGTCCCAACAACAGACGCAAGGCAAGGCTCTGGCCAAGCTTCCCTGGTCTTCGATGGAGACAAGCTGGAAGATCCCGCCTCATCCAGAGCACACCAGGACAGCAGCAGAAGGAGGCGAGCCGCGCGCCGTCGTCTGGCGTTATGCCTGGCGTGGAAGCAACTGCAACTAGATCCCTCACAAGAGAGAGACGAGCGCCACTGCGCTAAAGTCTACGAGTGCGAGCGCCTATCCCCATGAGCAACATCACGGCGCCACGAATGCAAAAGACCGAGGGCATTGCTACGGCACAACTGAAAGAACTGGAGAAGCAGGGGGCAAAGGTAGCGGCAAGGGGGGCAAAATAAAAGGCGGCGGCGCGGCGCTTTTTCAGTGGAAAGAAGGCCCCTCTGCCATCAAGGGCGAGGGCGAGGGGGATGATCTTGAACAATCTGACGAGACGAGCATGATGGGCCAGGGCTCACGGCGCTGGGTGGGAGACATGGCGGGGGAAGAGGAGCTAGCCGCGAATGGCTTAGGAGAATGCGGCGAACAATGGCCGACCAGCAAGATGAAGGGAGACCCTGGGCAAGCGCTCCGCGTGCTGAGCTGAAGCGTGGGCATCTGTGCTCGACCCTAAGGCGCAGAATGGGGAAAAACTCCGAAGGGAAATGGATACTGCCACCGCAATGGTTCAAGACGTGCGGCGGCTGGGCAGGCTATGGCGCTGGGATGATGGTCATGGTGTGGAGCGAATTCGGAGACGGCTCGCGGTGCGGCGCTTCTAACTACAAACATTCGCAAACCTGCAGAACGTGGAAGAGTGGCGCCCCAGGAGGGTCTTGGAATGAAGAAGAGACGGGGGCACAACGTTGAAAATGTTGCAAATTTGCGCTGGACTTTGATAAAGACAGACGGGCGACGAAATCACAAACGAAGCCAAGCGCAAGGGAATCAGACAAGCAGACAAATGGGCACAAAGTAACAGAGCCGCCTCTCCTTGCGCCTGGGCTTATCCCCTTCGCCCCATGCGGTCGAGTAGCTAACTGCCTCGCGAATGGGTACCCTGCTACTACTGCGAGGCCGTGCCTCTGTGGCTTGGGCGTTGTGCTTGTATAGACAAAACGCGACGGCGCTGCTCTAGTGTGTTCCCCTGGTCTTGGGTGTGGTCTTCTCTTCTCGTCTCCGTGTCTTGGGCTTCTTCTGAAGAGTAAAAACCTGAAGACAGCAGAATGGCCGCGCGTTCAGAATAAAAGTGGGGCAATCGTTGGAAAAAAATAACAGACCTGGCCCTTCGGTGTCGGGTGGTGGAGGTGATGTAGCGAGACGATCTTATGCTGTTGGTGGTGCAGGTTTCTAGCTGTTTGGTAGGATGGTGCTGGTTAGGTGATGCCGTGGCTGGTGATGGAATTGCGCCTATGTTATAATGGTTGGAGCTGGGGGCTGACTCGTATTATAATGGTTGGGTGTGGGGTATGAGCGGACAAATTTCAAAAGGCTTCAAAGCGGAACCTGTTTCGTTCGAAAAAATTCCTACAGCGTTCGAATTATTTTCGAACGGGTTCGGAATATTTTCGAATAGTTCGAAGCTGGAAGTCTCAAACTATTCGCCATATTCGAAAAAGCGCGACTTTTTTGCAAAAAAAGCCGCATACTTTCGAATGTGGTGACTTTTTTTCCAAATTCTTGGCAATCATTTTCGAACTATTCTAAAACATTCGCCAACTCGTTCGAAAATATTCCCCAACTCGTTCGAAAATATTCTCGAACGCTGTAGGAATTTTTTCGAACGAATCAGGCTGCGCTTTTGTAATTTGTCCGTTCATAGTGTGGGGACTCGTGTTATAATGGTTGGGGGTGGGAGTCAGGCGCGTCGTAATGGTTGGCGTTGGGGTTCATGAGGATGATGATGCTGATTAGCTTTAGAGCGTTGCCCTTTGTCTTTCAGCATTTTGCCAGTCGTGTCCCGTGTGTTCAGCGGTGCAAGACGCGAAAAATGTGAAAGAGGGAGAGGGAGCGGCTAGGAGCGACAGAGACCGAGTCTGTGAAGGTCAGCGGCGACGGCTCCACTGTTACGCACTGGTCTCCTACCCGTCGAACAAGCCTCGGCGTTCACGCCGCAAAGGCGCCAGCGCGATGTGAGCCTCGCGGGCCTTTTCGTCCCCGCCCGCGCTCGCGGCGTTGTCCACCGGGAGCAGCAGGCCGGCGCCTGTCTCGGCAATAGATGCCAAAACACTGCCCCCGACATTCTACCCACTGGCCCGCGGAGCTCTGAGGCGCCTAGCCCTGACACCGGCCAACCCTGGGGCGTGAAGCCCTGACATTTCTTAACTCTGACCCGCGAAGCTCTGGCGCTGTAAACCTTGACACCGCCCAACCCTGAGGCGCAAACCCCTGACAGCTGAAAAGCTGACCCCTGGGACTCTGATGCGCCAAGCCCTGACATCGCCCCACTCTGAGACCCGAAGCCCTACCATTCGAAAGCCCTAACCTGCCAAGCTTTGGGGCTGCGTGCCCTGCCCCTGCCATCGCCCAACCCTGAGGGGGAAAGCCCTGACTGGCGGAACCCGGGGGAGGCAAGCCCTGACATCGGCCAGCCCTGAGGCGTGAAGCCCTGACATTCCGAAACTCTGACCCGCGAAGCTCTGGGGCTGTAAACCCTGGCACTGACCAACTCCGAGGCGGGAAGCCCTGACATTCCCAAGCCCTGACCTGCAAAACTCTGCGGCGTTATACCTTGGCAGTGGCGAACGCTGAGGCCGTGAGCTCTGGCATGCCGAACCTTGAGACGCAAAACCCTGCCCACCGTTTTACCTTGCAAAGCCCTGAGAGCTGGGTCGACCCTGACACTTGTGCCCATTTTTGCAAACCCTGAGATGCCAAACCCTGACACCACCGCGATTTAGCCCTCACTGGCAACCCTGATGCCCCTTGTCTTTCCCCTTAAAACCTTGAGAGTCCTTATAAAAAATTTGGGTAGTAGTTGTGTTCTGGAAAAACAAAAATTAAAGGAGGGCTGAGAACAAGAACATCAACCAACTTGATCCGATCACTATTTTAAGCTGACCTGTCGCCACCAGGATGCTGCCGTTGCGCAATTTGTACGCATGCGTCTTATCTGCGTGTGCACTCCTTTCCCACGGAGTCAGCCGTGAGCAGGTGAAGGCGATTGCCCTCGGCTGGGACGGAGGCGGCCGCGATGAAGGAACAGGCGCCGCGCTTCTCGAGTTGAGAGCAGTACCAAAAACAGGCACTTCTTCGCTTCTAGATATAATGTTTTTTGGAATTTCGCCCATGATGCCAACAGAACGGTCGCGTGATTCGATCAATGTGGCAGGAGTTACTGGACTACTTTCTCTGGTGTCTTTTAATTCCAATGTCATCCCGTTCCCGACTCAGGTACTTTAGCGATGCTTGAGGAGAAGACGAAAAAGTGGGATGCGGAAATGCGCAGAATCGCACCTTCCGATAGAGCAATGGCCATGAAGTTCCAAAATTGCATAAAGGATTATGACTCACGCCAGTTTATATACATCTTTATTTTCTTCCAGTCGTTCTTCCATTGAGATTCGAAAGCAACGCACTCAGATTGTTGATACTATGATGTTTTATGTTCTTGTCTAAGATTTTTTCGACACGTGGGAAACTGATATTTGGCAGAAAGAGCACGAGCTTCTGAAGTTTATGAACATCAAAGGGGTTCTCGTGCAACTGATGACCGGGGAAGATTCCGAGACCAGCAATGGCCGTATTCAACTGCGTGTGAACGATATTGAGAATAGCATAGCACTCTCGAAAGGAGACCTTTTGAAAATGATCGGCAGGGTCGTGGAGACTGAGTGCAACTGAAGAAGGTGCAACTCGTGGCGGAGACGGGTACCCAGAAACTTGAATAGACTTTGCGACAATCCTTTTGCTATTATGATCTTATACTTATTCAGTCACTTTAGATTCAATCACTATCACTCTGAAGTTTCATCTTGATCGATTTTGATGTGATTGATGGGGTGAAATCTCTTCCGATCTCTCTCATTGACAAACCGCAGGTCCTTTATTGGAGTCGCGCCGTTGGGAGATCGTGATCGGGTTATCAGGAACAGACGCCTTTGGTTTGAGTCTCTACTAGTCGAGGTGTAGGCAGAGTCCAAGTGCTGAGCAGGACCACGTGTTGAAGTTGCTGATGTAGTTGGGTGTTGTGAATGGAAATGGGGAGTCGGAGGACGTGAAGAGAATAGTGTTGGTCATATGTCTAAAGGAACCAGGATTGTACTAAGCCCTGGACTGGGTATCTCGTCGTCATCAATCAATCAATCTCATCATCTAAGACATGAGTTATTATCCAGGACTGCACTTGATGCGTAGACTTAGTTTCTTTTTTTTTCCTCGCCACTTGTTGACTAGTTCATGATGAGAGATTCCCGTTTTGTTTCTCTTCTGTATAGGTACAGGTAGCACATGATCATTGATGGATAGCGAAGGAGATCTGACTCTGTTTGAAAGTGAGTAAATGATGACTGATTGATTATCAATCGAACCAGGAACATGAAGTGGAGATGAGTGAAAATGAGTAATTGATGTGCGGCACATGTGAAGGAACAGGTTGGCGTCGTTTTGTGGGTCTAACTATGTGAGACAGTTGCAGTTGAATTTGATACGATTTCTTTTTGGCGTCTCTTTGAGAGTGTTTTTTTATACGAAATGAGTTCTGGGGTATACTTTCGACTGTTTGTGGATAGAAGCCAACAAGATGTCCATCTGACACGTGTCCCTGTGATGATGAAGCATTAGAAGTCTAAGTGTGACTTCTCCTTCTGTTCCGGGATAAGTCTGTCCCCGGATATAGGGTTGACGGTGATAACGTCGCGACCGCGCTTGCCACACACTGTTTGGGAACTCCTGTTGTCTTGTTGATGGTAGAGAACAATGCCTATCAGGGACGTGTCATGGTTACAGAATGTACAATTGTACCCACTGCAGGTGGAGACATTATCGGTACATTGAGGATTGATTCTGTAGATGGGATTCTTCTAGAACGGAGAAAAGGTGGCTTGAGTGGAGAAAAATGTGATTCTGGAACTCAAGATGGTTCACATCTAGACCATAGATTTGGTTTTTCCTGTCATGTCTGTCATAGACCTGGTAAGTATTTGAGTGCCACAACATGCATGATCTGAACCAACATGTTGAACGGAGGAGAGACACACCACTTTTGTAACTAAAAAAAAGTATGACGACCGCTAACCGCTGTTCCTGGTGCGTTCGCACCAGTGCTGTCGTCGACGACCTTGCAGTTTTTAAGATGGTGCGACCATGGAAGTCTTAGAAGCCTCAGCCGCATTGAGCCTTGCTGTCACAGCACGAGGTTGGCCGACGGGTGTTTGTGACCGAGAATGACCGACAGGTGCTCTTTATCGACGATACCACTTCCAACAACGCCGCCAGAACTACACGGAAGACCGCGTTCCTCGTAAGTCGCCTCTTCACGACAGTGCCAACTCCTTTACCGCATTGAAGTTACAGCCGCGAGGCGTTCTCCGCACGAAATGTCGCTTGTAGTCGAATCGTTGCGATTGGGCAAGGCGTTGCTTCAGACTGTTGGAGGTCGACCGGCTCGCCAAGTCGCGCGTTCGACATCCGAGACTGCAGAGCTCGCCATTCAGCGTCTTATCCAGCAAAGCAGTCGCATTCTGGGTGCCGAAACTTATGCAGGGTCTGACGATTGTACTGAAGTTTCCGATTGAAGAGGATAAACCTCTCTTTGAAGGCATAGATACGACTAAGTAGATAGTTTGGTACTACGAACTAATATCATACCTACAGGCACAGTCATGGTCTAGCTTAACGAAAACCTTCTTACCTTAGCCTGTCTCCACATTCTAATCGTCAGCCGAGACCCTGGAGAAGAATGGTGCATCTGCGAAGCAAATCGCGGATACTTTGGCTGAGTCTTTGACCACGCAGACGGCGAAAGCGACCTTGCATTAAGGCTTGACACATCTCGTTCAGCTACATCTACTTTGAGAACTAGTAGAGTTGGTACTTGTCCTATGTTCTCAGCCTATCTATTCGTTCCACCGGGCAGCTTCGTCTGCTTCCGACCTTCCGAGGATCATTCTGCAAAAATGTCTTGAGGGAAGAAGAAAGAAATAAAGATTGGAGCTCGTTTTCTTCTGCTTCCTGGGATTCTGAAGAAATGTCTTTGGGAAGAAATGTCTTAAGTCAAATTTAGCGTTGCTTCCTCCTTGGGATTCTGAGGCAAGGACAAAGGAAGAATTAAATCAAATTCAAATTGCAGCTCTTCTAATCACCAAAAGTTGCGGAGGATGTGAACGAGGGCATGGCTTTACAAGGTGGCGGATTCAAGCTCTTTTCTTCCGACGATCCAAATTGGGCCACTCTGAAAGTTGTGGACGACATCTGGGCTGCGAATGTGGAACAGGGATTGGTCTTGTCGAAAGAGGATCGGGAATATCTGTTTTTATGATTTTTATGATTTTTTTGATTCCACATCCTCTTTCGACAAGGATCGGGTTTTTAGATAGATAGATCTTAATAGCAAGAACGGAGATAGATCTTAAGGGTTTTTAGATAGATAGATCTTAAGGGCATAGACAGATAGATAGATCTGAATAACAAGAACGAGAGGACGTCCTTGTGACATCACAAAGTCTTGTTGTAACTACTGGTCATCGACGTCATAGATGCCAGGAAACTGTTACACGGTGTTCGCGCATGTAAGTACATGATCATCATCAAGTTCTCATCTAATCCCCACTCACGCAGACACTGGAGAGGGATGGCTAGGTAGCGGCTTGTTTGGTGCGCAATCTGGAGATGCAGCTGCACCGCTAGGAGGAGGAGGAGCTGGTGGCGTAGCGGCAATGAGAGAAGCACCACAGGGATCGTCATTGGTTATGAGATTGTAGGATGAGTCGAAGTCGATGATGATGATGATGATGTGCCTAGCGCCAGGCACTGTTCATTGTTCGGGTACTTAGTAGTTTATTGTGCAGTTCTCAAGGAATCTTGATCTTCATTCAAGATCAGTCCTTCTGTGTTGTATACTAGTACTATGTGCAATTTCCTCAGGTTCATATTAGTTTCGTTCAAGATTGCCTCGTGCCCGTCTTCCTTCATAACTGCCTACGCGCAGCATCTCTCGTTTTCAAGACAGGAAGCTAGGGAGTTCGTGCGGATCATGAAGGAAGGACGTCATGCGCGTGGAGGCGACACGATATTGAAGTTGTACATCGAGAACCTATTACAAGATTCTGCTTTGCAACGGGTCTCGCATCTCCCTGCTGCTGTTGAGCGCAAACTCTACTATGTTATGACTGAAACACAATGAATAAGTTTGTCTTCGTGCTTTGGGTTTGTGATTTCGTTCTCCTGCTCCTCACCTCTTTTACTTCTAGTTGTAACCACCTGAAGTTGTATTTTTAGTTTCCTGAAGTAGACTATCATGTTTGTTTTTATGAGTGCTGTTCCATTTCCAAAGAACAGCTACCTTTTTTACAAGTAGCTTCGCTTTCCCCAACACCAAACGACCTACCTTTTTTACTAGCGCTGTCCTCAACGAAACCTCCTACCTCTACAACTAGCGCTTTCCAACTAAGACATCTGCCGATCCGTGCTACAGATTTTGGAGCTTGGATTGGCTAAGCTGCACAACTTTGATCTGGTCGGCCACAGCGTTCAGGTTGACCTCCTAGTGGAACCGAGTCGCACTTTGGATGCCAAAGCTGTGGAGGAAATGGTATTCATAATTGAAATCGTAGTACCCGTTTTTTCTGTGATGATGTAGACGAGGCGCTTTTTCAAGTAGCACATTATTTTGGTACTTACCGTAGGAGTTCAAATCACATCAACGATCACATTTGCCCAGACCCGCACTCGCCAATTGTGGACGCGGATGAATAAGAGCCGCGTAGAGATGGTCGTATCACAAATTATTGAGGAGTACCCGGATGTGCAGAAATTTGCCGCCATTGCGCCAGAGCTGGAGACTCAGTTCGTAGCCACGGTAGCACAGGTATCGATGTTAAGGCGTATCGTATCCCTATGTAGGATTAAGTTGTACTTGGCTTGGCAAATGCAAAAATATATTTGTCCAGTTCAATCATGTTTTTCTTTAACTATGCTAGTGTTCCGTCACAACGATATAAAGCTGTACTAACTTCAAGTACATATTGAAGTTATACCTAGTACATTCTGAAGTCATAGTACTACCTCTAACAAATGCAAACCTTATACCCCCTCCTCCTCTAACACCCCGTCTCTTAACGGACCTCTTCTGCGACGAGAGGATTCGGGTGCGTGTTTTAGGCCACCAGCTACGCTGGACCTGTGACCCAATGAGCACGGACCAGATCGAAAGAATGTGTCAGGTATTTTGCGATTGTTTCAACTAATGATGGATGGCATTGTTATAGGACTCAAACTACTCATTACTTTGAGTCAAACGAGTAACTTGCTTCGTATTACTTTCAATAATTCAAAAGCATCAAAACGACCTCGCGCACATCACTCCAGAACCGGAAAGGATCCCGGCCGCGAGTAAATCAAGATGCCATCGTACTGTTTGTCGATGAGTTGCTCAAAGACGAAGAAGTAAACCTGCTTTGGGTTCCAGTTATGGTTGGTTCTTCAGGAGATTAGCCTTCTATCTTCTAGATTGAAAATGTCATGTATATCTTTCTTGGAATGGGTTTTTGAAGTAGTAAATTCGTTAGCAGATTATCGCTTCTATATTCTTTAAAGTTTGTTTTAGGTCATAAATTGATTCTGTAAGGGAACATCTTCAAAAGTATGTTAAAAGTGTTGACCTGCTCGACAGTGAAAATGAACGCATCATCCGTTCAGAGAGTCTAATCCACACATGATCGAAGCTGAGATCTACAAGCATGCTTTGACAACAGTCATTTGTATGCTAGAGGACGTTTTATCGGGGTGTGAAATTACAGTCTTAGGACTAGAGTTTCACTTCTCATTGACCAGTGCTTTGGTTCCCGGTCGCTCGCCGTGGGTGCCTAAAAATGGTACAAGTTGTAAGACGAGCAGTAGTGCAGAGGGAGAGGGAGCAACATCTTCAAATGGTTCTTGTCTGGGGTCATCTTCGACCACAACATCAACAACCGGCAAAAATACGCAGAGCAATGGAGACGCCTCTGCTTCCTTCGCTTCGGGTGCAGCTCCTTCTTAGGGCTCAAGAAGATAATTCATTTCTACTAGCCATTTTCTTCCGCCATTTCTGCTTCCTTCTTATGCTTGTAAGTACTTTTGTTTCCTTCCTATGATTGTACTTTTGTTTCCTTCCTAGGATTCTCTTGTTTCCTTCCTAGGATTCTCTTGTTTCCTTCCTAGGATTCTCTTGTTTCCTTCCTAGGATTCTCTTGTTTCCTTCCTAGGATTCTCTTGTTTCCTTCCTAGGATTCTCTTGTTTCCTTCCTAGGATTCTCTTGTTTCCCTCGCGGGATTGGGAGCAGATCCTTCTTAGGATTGGGCTATCCTTGTTTTCGGATATGGAGAAAGGCAGGCAAGAAGTGAACGGTTCTGAGCTCTAAGCTTCAGCAGACGCTAGCGCGGAAGCTAGATATCGTCGACAATTTTCAGAGCGGCAATTGACACTGTATGTCACGCCAGAGCAGTTAAAGGCACGACTAGCCGAAATCCATCGCGAAACTGCTGCCATCGAGAATCTATTGGACAAGAATTAGGGTCAAATGATGTGATAAAAGATAGGAAGATGGTGAAGTTTACACAACTTCTAATAAGTACCTTGAAGTGCTCACATAGCACTAGCACAACAAGAATCTTGGACTGCTCAAATACCGCAGACATGACCTCTCTTAGAAGAAGTTTCACACTCTAAATCCAACAGACAGGAGGACCAGCAGGAGTAGATTCCAGCAACTATACCCGTCCTAAAGCTGCAGGCGCGCGTCGGCCAGCGGAGTATTCAGCGAGTGGGGAACTGTTACGTCCAGCACTGGATCCGGAGTCTGAAGAAGATGCCAAAGTAGGAGATGGAAGCTCTTCATCAGCTACACCTGCCGCTGGTGCACAAGGGTTGTCCCTAGCGGATGAAACGAAACGAGAATTTCAGAAGCTTGCTGCTCAGGATCGATTGGCGAGATTCTTGTTATGTAGAGCAGTTTTGAGAAGCAAACATCTTCGGGAAGAAGTAGTAAAAAACGAAAATATAAGTAGACAGATATTTTTGCCATTGGCATCTAGATGATTCCTTGTTCATCTATTTCTCAATTCAAACTACTACACCTCTAACCTTGCAAGTGCGAGAGTCGTTGAGTGAAGTTCCTCTGAACATTCCCTATGCGATGATGCGCGACGTGGATGGCTACAAGCACTGGCTTCCAATGTGCACGAGTGGAGAGGTACTGCAGTTCTACTTTGATCTTGTTGCTAATCGATTTGCATTTCATGACACGACATTCGCTATTTCTTCACTTCCGGCACAGGAGAGGGGCAAAGCCATCTCCTAGAACTTCGCTCCCTGCAAGCAGGTACTAGCCCGCGACGCGCAGTCAGGCGAAATAACGAAGTGCAAAGTCGCCTTCGGCATCGACACTAGGACGTTTCTTGGCGTTTTAGGCGACAACGTAACCTATCAAATCCGAACTGAACCGCCGAAGGAGATTCGTCCTGGTGTTTTTTATGGAGGATTCAGTAGATCAAGAACTCTATTGGTGATATGATTGTTCAGTAGTACAAGAACCAGTAGTACGAGGACGTAGCTAGGACTAGGAGAAGGATAGAAGAGAGACTCCTAGTTCAGCACTGCGTTTTGTTCTTTCTACCTACTATGTTGACAGCTGGGACATCTAGGAGATCGACATTTATTTGCAGCTACGCCCATTTGTCCCATCCCATACCTTGATCCTTCATATCACCCAAGCCCGCGTGGTATCGGATACTGGAGAGCATGGGTTTGCGTATGGTGACAGGCTGGTCTACGACTGGGTTTTTATCTCCGAAAACGGCAATACAGAAGTCAGTCTCAACTTGTTCTTACAGTTATGGCCTTGGGTTGACCCAAGTTCTAGTATAGTTTCTTCGGTTAAGAAGGTGAAGGTCTACATCTAGGAATGGGATTACCTAGTTTATCGTCCTTCAGGTAGTTCTAGTAGGACGGATGAAAAGGGACTACGTCAAGATGTACGTGTACGGACGAACAGTATCTCGACGAAGATGATCATCTTTTTGCTTACGAGGGTCAATTGCATCAAATAGATAGAAATATTACTCCACTTTAGTTGTCGTTCTAACACCTGTGAACTCAAGTTTATACCTTCCAGTCTGGGATGCTTTGCAGAAGGTGCTGACAGAGCAAATGCTGCAAGCCTTCGAAAAAGAAGCGCGGAGAAGAGTGGCTTTGAAGGGAGCAGAAGCGTGATAAGTACGTGGATGGAGGGTAGGGTAGTAGTAGAAGGTAGGGTTCTTCTTGGAAGGGTCTACGAAGTTGCATAATTCAGTGTAGTTAAGTACTTTAGATAATACTTACCTAACCTAACCTAATGGGGGATGACATTTTTGTGCTGGGACTGGGAGGGGGACGAGTTGTAGTAAGGAAGACGATATTTAGCAAAGGGAACTTCTAAGGTTCAGGTGATGGGCACTGACCTCTTTCGTATCATGATTGTTCTTCAGAAATCTTTTGACGTATTTGTTGGTGTACACTAGGATTGCTGCATAGACAAACCGTTCCATCGCGACAGACCGCCCCGATCCATCGGGAGAGCGATGAGGCGACTCTAGCGCACCTCTGGGGAGAGCTTAGCTGATGGTTAGATGGGTGATCAAATTTGTCTCTCCGAAAGCAGAATCTTTTCGGTTTGAAGTCCCCCTATATGCAGAAAAAAGAGTAATTCATATCGGTGCAAATAGAGAAAAGGTTGTGCGCTTTCTTACATACAACGTAGAGTCGGATGTGCATCTGCATGTGGCGAGTTTATAATCACCCGAAAACCGTAGCCCGGCAAAGAATTGCAACATATGCTGCTGCTTCAAAAGATCGATCCATAATTAGCCCAAACGATGCAGCTCCAGCATAAGTAGCCTGCTCTTGTATGAACAAAGGCTGATGTATTGTTCTTTGCGTGAACAGGGCCAGGGGAGTCATACTCATCTAGGTCTTGTTTGGCAACATCTGAAGGTACTCTTGTTTTTTTCGTCTGCTCCTTCCAAGAAGACAAATCATGGCACGTAGTACTCGGTCAACTACAGTCGAGTCGAAAGTTGACAAGGACCTAGCCTGTCTCTACGACTCGCAGTTGTTGGAGCTGTGCTACGGTCTCAGTCGGAGTGCTGCGAGACCACCTTGTTCATCCGAAGACAGACCTGCTTCCGAAGAGCAGATACGACACTTGCTGCGGTTGAAGGCAGACCCGAATCGGTCGGTGATTGGGGATGGAGAACACAGAACATCTACATCATTCGGGTCGCCAACTACAAGTACAACAATAAATGCCAACGACGTCGCACTCGCCATCGCTGAGGGACGCATGATGTTTGATCAGGCACACCGTGGACAAACCTGTTTGCACTTGCTGTCTCAGATTAAGGTTTGTGTCGATAATTGCATGCACATTCCATGTTGCCGTCGATATGAGCTGCAGGCTTTTTTACAACAGGAGGGCATGCCATATTACGAGGAACCGGTTCTACGGCACTGGGCTATAGAAACCATGTTGGTAGTTGTCCTCCGAGTTTTCTTTCCTCTAATCCAAGGGATGACCTATTGCCGTTCGTCCGAGTGCTCGTGGAGGAAGGTGGGGCAACGCCATTTGCCTTAGACGCTCACAATAACACGCCTCTGCTGACTGCTTTACGCTGTAAGGCTCCGCGTGTGGCAGGCTATCTTTAAGGGTTTAGGGATTTCATCGTCCAACGCGTGGGAAGTATTTGAGATAGAAGTCAAACGGAACAACTTCTAACATGGAAAGAGATTCATCAGTGTATGTGTCCGTTGAGACTGTACATTGATGATTTGAATCTATTCGGCGAGCTGCCTAAGATTTCCCAGGCGATGAGACTGTGCATTATCTTCTGGGATAATATGATCGATTGAAGACAACCGCCAGGACGATGGAAGTGTCATTTTCAGTACTTGTTATCCCTCGAGCTAGCAGCCTTTTACTGGGGAGATCGAGAAGCCGCTTTGTTGTCTTCTAGCACAGGTCAAGCTGGTAGTCTAGCACAAGAATCATCTTCAGGAGAAGGAGATATGACTGTAGGAGGCTTCATAGGAGGTTTCTTTAGCGACATCGCGGCAAACATTGGCGCGACATTTGGTCAAGGCCGGCCTTCACGACATGGCTTCCTCTTTGGAGGATGGGTTGAGAAACAGCAAGGTGCACTTGGGTGTCAAGACGTAGATGGACTTAGAGAGGGTGGAAATATTGGAGATGACCGAAATGGAAATGCTTCTTCTGCAGTCCTGCTTGCGGCCCGTCGTGCAGCAGAAGCAAGAAAGGCGCGAGGACGCTGGGTGCTTGCGCTTCTGCAATTAAGGCGGATCTGTGTGAGCATTGACATTGGTGGTTCATTATTTGATAATCCTAGGAAAGACATCATCAAATGAAATGTAGGATATGTACCTACCACGGCTTCTATTAATATTTTTCTTGGTACTAATGTACTACCTACCACTACTTCTTTCTAATAGGAAATGTACCTAGGGCATTCACGACAGCATCTGAGCGCTCTTTCTAATACTCTTGGTAACTGAGGATGATCATGGTTTGCAGAGCCTTCTCCCAAAAGTGTTGGCCGCTCGTCCGAGGACACTATCCCTAGAGACAGCGGTCTGCATTGGCCGTAGACTCGTGATCTTCTGTCTCAAAAACAGCTTCGATTGTGCAGGAGCCATTAAGGGTTACAGTAATTCATCTTACGAAGAATCTTCTTTGACCCCGTTTCTCGGAAGGGAAAGAAATGACGGCAAAGATGCTTTTCAAGGTGAATGCAAGCAAGTTCTAAAGGATGTGTAAGAACTAGTACTGCCAGGAGTATGACGGGAGAAAACGACGCACATCTAGGTGCGAGTCCGTTGCGACGCCAGATACGAACGAGGACGCAGCACGCTCTTGAAATTTTGTTGTCGGGTGATAGCGCAAGGAGTTTGGGAGTAACAATGCCACATGAGGATGAGGTCATCAAGGAGATGGAAGAAATTCAAGTATCACCTACATCTACTTCTTGCGCAGAATCGCCTCTCGCTGACGCTTTAGACGTGGTGACGCACCATAGCGCTAGTTATCTCGCCGTGTCGCAGTTGCAAGATTCGCTGTACTATGGCGCTTTGGTGCCAGCAGGGGGTCGAAAATTGAACGAAAGGGCCTTCTGGGAAGCAAGGTGCTATGGGATACTACATTAAGGGACGTGTTAATTCCTCCTTCTGGGCAGCATCAACCAGCTATGGGATACTTCTACATCAAGGGCTTTACGATTTTTGTCATGTATTGCTTTATCTCTAAAGATAAGCAGCAGCGTCCGGCGACCGAGTTGGACTACAGCGGCTGTTTGCAGCCATACAGAAAATAACAACATCTAGTTCTAGTAGTACAACCAGTAATGAAAATTATGAACAAATTGAAATCATACTCGATGTTGAACGACAAAAAGAAGGACGACAAAAAGAAGGACGACAAAAAGAAGCAGAAGTAGGACGAGATGCATATGGAGGGCAAGTAGAACAAGAACTTTCTCCTCAAAATCAACATCACGAGGAGGTTGGACACTTGAGGATTCTGCTGCGCCAAGCACTTTGCTTTCGAGACAGTAAAGAGGGGAACAGTGCACTGCATTGGGCGGCTATGAATGACCATCTAGAAACCTGCCAGGCTTTGTTGCGGCTTTTTCCTGAGTTGCTTCTCTTATGGAGGCGGAACAGCACCATATTTATTAATTTATTAATGTTAATCAACGATGTTTCTTTTCGGTTTTTGTTTTTTCTAGTTAGGTATGCTCCACCAACGATATTAATCAATGATGTTTGTCTTTGTTGTTCTTCTTGTTGTTTTCTTCAGCTTTTTCGTTTTGGAACAAATGTTGCGTTGCGTTTCGTTTTGGAGTAACATTCGTAGAACATCACAAGAACAAACATTACAGTACCTGCTTTGTGAGGAAATTCTCATGGTGTTTCAAGAACATCGCCCGTGATACCACTAATTCTTCTCCGTAATGATAAAAATCGGCTTCCTGGTCAGTTAGTGCGGCGAACGAATCGACCCCTACGCAGACTCTTCAAGCAGTTTGCCGAAGCCCTGATTGAAAAAGCAGATCATGGAGGAACTGAGCTGCCGGATATGAAAGTTAGGACTGAGTAGATTGAAGATTTTCGATGGATAGTCGCAGTAATCGGCGCAGTAATGTTCCTCGATATGATGCTTTTTTCAAAAGTGGGAACATTGCCTTGCAGAGGTCCAATAGTTCTCCTATCTAGCAGATCTGGAAGGGCGTAAAGAGAGCGAATAAATCCTCGCAGAGGTTACACGAGTCCGCCATGACAGTGTAGGAGTTTTTTCCCACGCTCCTCTAAAGCAAATATCGGCGCAGTAATGTTGCAGTCTGCTACTGGAGGGGCTGACTTCGAATTCCCGACAAGAGAAACCTGGGAGATGACGGCAAGTGAGCGCAAACGGAACATAGAGCTTTTCAACGATGCGGTTGGAGAAGAGGCAGCTAGGTTGCTCGATTACAGCTTTATGGAAGATCAGCCTGGGAGAAGAAGGCTGCCTAATATGAAGGTTGAGGACGTAGCCGCGATAACTGCACCTGAAGTTAAGGCTTCCCCTGATCCATCTCACTCTGCTTTAGGGATTTCCACAGGGATGAATGAGGGAGCGGTCTAATGCCGCGGTTGTTGAGCAGAATGTAGTAGACGAGAATCCAAGAACAGAAGAGAAGCCGCAAGATGCTTCTCCTGCCAGTATCGCTTCTTCCGTTTCTTCTACGGAGTCAGAAGCAGAATTGGAACCAATACCGCCGTTGGCTGGCCATGTGATCGAACCAGATGGTTTCTTGCGTTCAGGACACGCGTGTTTAGAAATCGAAATTGTTGCCTGTGTGGGGTTGCCACCGCCTCCGGGTCTTTTGTTTGCGTGCTCGTCTTTGGAAGAATACGCAGACGTCGGATTCTATGTCGAAATCGTCTATCCAGGACAGCGTTCGCGGAAAACACCGGTAAGCTATACTTTACCACCTGCTACCATGGAGATTCCGAGTAGTTCCAGAAGTTCTACGAATGCTGTAAGAACTGGAAAGGACAATGGAAATGAGCGTTCCTATGGCAGTACAACACAAGCACAACTTCAAGTTCAAGTAGATGATGAACAAGGGAGAGCAGCACCACAGTTCGTCCCTGCTGTTTCTTCCACAAATTACGGGTAGGTTGAAGGCGTTTCTCTTGCCGTTTGTCTTGCCTCTCTCCCTTAGGAAGAGAAAGGCAGATGAACAAACGGGAAACAGAAACACCAAATAAGAGGTCTAAGCAAAGCCTTCCTCGTCCTCTCCTTCGCGCAACAGGGATCGTCGTTTTCTACATCGTGGCTTCGGTGGTCGCGGTCGGCGGGTCTTTCGCCTCCCATGGCCTCCAGATACCACGTTATCAACAGACAATAAAGCAGAAGACGATCTCCGCTTACTAGTTCATCATTACGACAGCAGCATTTTCGGTGGCGACAACTTCATTGGCGGAGTTTGTATTGATCTTTGTTAAGGCCGCTTGTTCTCCTAAACCTCCATCATCTCTACTATGTATGGGTACTTATCCCCGAAGAATAGAAGAGAGATGATGGCGCACATTCTTGAGGGATTTCCACACGGACGAACTGGGGAGAGGTCTAACTTTGGCGGGATGAGAAGTTGCGGGAAATATGCGCCAGAGATGGACGGTCTAGGGTGCAGAGCATACCTTATACACGAATTTGGCGCGATCTGGAGAAAATGGAGGAGGAGAAAATTTAAGGCCTATTGTTCCCTTACCATGTCTGTCATTCTGAGAGGCTAGCATCTTCGAATGTTCTGCTTCATCACTCGTCTTGAGAAACTACATCTCCTTAGACGTGATGTCCCTCCTTTATTAAGACTAAGGAGCAGCTGGCGCCACTAACCTCCCTGCTCCGTTACAACGCTTCCCCCTACAACAACAACCCTTCCCAACATCATCTCTAAAACTAAATAGGAAGAGCAAAGGTGGCAATAGACGTGCGTCTGAACCCTAGGCCTCTTTTGTTAAGTCGGAAGCAGCAAAAGATGAAGGCGAGGTCGAGCATAGTGGACAACAGGGATCCTTGGAGACATCCTGGTGAACAAGGAGCTCTTTGGTTCATTAAAAACGCTTTCAGCGCATGAGAGAGGAACAAAGTGAAACTGGCTGAGAAGATTATCTTCATATTTATTACAAAGTTCATGAACTTCATATTTATTACATGACTTACTAATGAAAGCGGCTACAATCTAAACAATTCATCACTTTTCTTATTACAAAGTTCATTACAGTCACACTGCACACCATTCCACGTAATCCCATTAAGATGATCATTATATTTGGACTATTGTAGTTGCGGACAGCACACCGACTGATGTCTTACTGTCCTGATTGTAATATATAAAGTGATGCGTTGAGACCAAGATGTACTGGTGACGCAAAATTGACCACGAAGTTTTTCTGTAAAAAAGAAAAGGTTTCGAATTCATCTGTTGCTGTTTCTTGTCGTGTCGGTAGGCATGAGCTATCCTCATGAAAGGGCCTCCTCGCAAAACGGTTGAGAGAAAAAGCTGAACCCGTTTTTTTCGTTTTTTCACCTGACAAAAGAGTTTTTTTAGTTTTTGCGCAAACTGTGACTCATCTCTACTTAAGTACGTACTTAATTCTAAAGTTCGTTGCTCAACATGTATTAGAAAGCGTAGTCAACATTCTATACTGGTAGCTCTGTCATTATGATGTTCACAAATTTCAGATTTTACAGAAGCTGCAACAGACCTCCACGCCCAAAAACCTTTCCTTCACTTTTTGTTTCAATCTTTGAACTTTCTTCTGAACTTTTTCCAACAATTGTCCTCGTGTGCAAAAAATAGGAGAAACAACTGGTAACTTTTTAGAGTAGGACTGCAGTTCTACTAGGTATTTTTTTAGACCGCGCAGAAAAACGAAGCTGGTATAAGCAGATACATTTTGCCTGAACTACTCAGAGACAGAGTTCCAAACACACCGACAAGAAAGTAGTACCTAAAAATATATATTTGTATCGTGGTGCGCCCATTCCAACGAGAGTTTTTTTAGAGTAAGTATATTTGAAGTAGGTTTCAATCTAATCGATGGATTATTTATCATTGGAGCAGTCATTGTCATTAAATCTGGTCAAGTTCTCTTAGTCAAACCTAGTAAATTTAAAGAAGAAATCTGTCAGTATCAGTATAACCAGTCAAATCAAATAAATCCATCTACTACAACAAAATCAATCTTGAAACAAAATGGTATCCTTTCATCATTCTTTGGTTCCTCTGAATCCGGAGGTTTTGTTCGAGGCACCACCGGCTCCCTCATCTTCGGATTGTCCGCCTCGACGCAACTCGTATACACGCAGCCGCGAAGATTTCCTAGAAACGACGAAGATTGGATTTCGGAAGGTACAATTTTTCAACATTGATGAGTCAATACATAGACCCTAGTACAAATACGGGGACAAAGAAGATTGGATTTCGGAACAAGGTACTTACCTAGAAGTACTACTTGCTTCTAGATGACATGATTGAAGTAGATTGATCCTTTACTTTCCTTACGATCCTATCGCTCCGTCCACTAACTCTAACATGGGAAACCCACTTGTCGTCAACACTCACACTATCTTCAAAAAAACACATTAGATGTATTACGTTATGGAGGAGCTATTTCATACGGCGTTGGCCCATCAGTTGCCGCACGGATTCAGCTTCCTGGACATCGGCGCAGCCCCTGGTGGTGCTAGTCAGTACCTGCTTAATATTATGCTTGAATAAAAAGTGAGTTTTTGTCTTCTACCACTGCATCTACTTCAAGAACAGGGTAGTTACTGGGTGTCATTCTTCGTTCTACCACCTGATATCGCCGAAATAAAGGATACTATAGCGAAATAAATCATACTTCCAAATTAGTAATTATAGCGCCGAAATAAAGGATACTTCCATGAAGTTAATAGTAATCTAGTTAGTAGGATACTTCCAAAATAAATCTTAGTAGGATACTTCTTGTGCAGCTCTAATCTCCTGCCCGAATGCGCTTGTGGTTTTGGTATGACTCTGCCAGTACCGGATGGTGGCTTCCCAATCGCAGTGCGCAGTCAAGGCCGTTACCAAATCCACTTTGGGGACCTACTGGAGTCCCCGGACCGGACTTGGATCGCAGAGACGACGGGACCAGTCCACCTGGTGTTCGCGGATGCGCAGTTGCTCAAGAAGAGCCGCCAGCGCCACTGGCCGCGCAGTGACCAGGAAGCACGTACGTGCCTGCTGACGAGCCAAGTGCTCAACGGTCTATGGAACTTGGCTCCGGGAGGAACGTTTGTGATCCGTCTGTACGCCTATGGCTCTGACATGTGCAGGAATGAAACCAGGCTGATATTTCTGTTGATGCAGCATTTTGAGGTACTTACATCAGTTCATGATGGCGAGCGACAGTGAATTTGGATGCTATTCTTCATTGCTGTAATTTCTTGCTTTTCCTCCATCTTCAAATTACGAATTCCAATCACGATCTATATCAGTCACACACCTCCTCACATATTTAGTACTTTTAACTTACACGTATCGGTAAACGTAAGACTCACTTTTACACTCACCACAGACTGTCCGTCCTTTCAAGAGCGCCACATATCATGCAGCCGATCTGAGTTTCTACTTGGTCTGTTCCGGTTTCAAGGGTGATCTCTTTTGGCAAGAGACGGTCTTTGACCGCATGCTCAAGAGCTACCGCACCTATCATCGCATGTGTACGCATCCACAATTGCTAGCTCTGCGGGACAAGATGGTCCGCAAGGCACTGCCTCCGACTACGCTGTTGGAAGGCACTCCTGGACCGCACAAGACTGCAGGTGAGGATGTCGAAAAGGGCGCCAAGAGTGGCGCTTCTGAGAGCAAGAATCTACTAATTATGGGTTACCAGCACATTGCATTCTTCTTCACTACCATCCTTGACTTTTTTTCCAGTAGGAAAAGCGTCAGGGATGATCTGAAGAATGCAATCGCGCAACCTCTAAACTAACCTCCTCTACGCCGGGGAAGGTGACGAAGACGCCGTTGAAGCCGAAAAGGCTGAGTCAGATGAAAAACAAGTCAAGCACCTCGTCAGATGTGGATGCGGGAGAAACATCGAACACCGATGAAGGCGGTGCTCTCGAGAATGACAGCACTACAGCCTGTTCTGGTTCCGGTGAGAACTTGGTGGAGGCAGTTGCTGTTGAGACGGATTTGGTACTCGTAATGCGTCCACGTGCATACTCAGACCCGCCTGACAGCTGCAAGAAGGAGAAGTCATCTGTCTCGAAGATTGGTGGCACTTCTAGTACTTTGATGAAGGCAGACGAACTACAAGAGAAAGAGCAAGGTGTAGAACAAGTACTTGATGATGCGGCTGAAGAGCAAGATTCAGCTTCCACCGCAGTTTCTAGCGGCGTGCCGACGAGCAGCCCGCCAGTCGCCTCGGAGGAAAAGTCACATTATGGATCAATTTATGTTGTAGTTATTCTCTTAATATCTCGCCGGTAGACCTACTTGGCATGATTGGCTATCCACGAGTACAATCTCAGCCTACTATTTTGTTCGTTGATGAAGATGAGACATGAGACCAGTCACAAAAGACCTCCCACACATACTTACTTCACATCTAATTTGCGGAACAATTTTTAGCGGCCCATCAAGAAGAACCCGCGGCCGCTGCTTCTATGAGTCCACCGCGTCCTTGTCACCTAGACTTCGCAGAACCAAGTCCGCACCCCGTTGTGCGGGATGAGTCGAAGTTGAAGGAGAAAAAGCGCTTGTCTTGGGCAGCCCTAACCTTGGACGACTCTGGGGATGATACCGATGCGATGAAAGATCACGGAGTATCATTACGAACGAGTGCAAAAGCTGCAGACAACAATAGATTAAGGCTTCCCCTAATCCATCTCCAGAAGCATCATCTTGAAGGTACTAAGTATCTCATAGGGAGAAGGCAGCCGCAAGAAGATGCGTCTCAGGATGACTTTGGGTAAGCTCTAAATAAAGTGTTGAGAAAGACACCTTGTTCATCGTCAACCACTGCGAAAAAGCATCTAGAACTAGAAGTGGATCCGGTTTTAGAGGAGGAAAAAGCTAACGGGTCAACTTCAGCCGGAGGAGAGGCGCAGCCATCTGCTTCACCATCTACAACTTCAATCCTGAAAAAGAAAGAACAAGAAGTAGTAGGGACATCGAAATCTTCAGATGGAGGTGATGGGATTCTTGACGAAGAAGAGCCTGGTGTGGCAGTCTCCACAGAGCCACCAGCCGTTTGGACCAATCCGGACGACGAAGAGTGGCTCGAGGTTGCCGAAGTGTGCGCGAGTCTAGGCATCACAGAACAGGAATTCTGGCATCTTGCTGGGTTTCCGGAACCAGCAGTGCATTCGTCTTCGAACAATGTGGATCAAGGCAACAATGCAGCTCAAGAACATGTTGCGGCAGATCAAAACGTTGTTCAAGAGGGACCACAATCTCAAGAATCCTCCATGCCTCATTTGTCTGGCAATGAGGACACGAGCCGGGATTCCTCAATGTATGCTCTGTGCGGCAGTGGATCCACGGTGCCTTTGCTGTCGTCTTCTAGGAACGACGTGCTGAATCATGTTATGAGGGGATGTTTTATTGTACTTAGCATTATAGTATATAGTTCCGTACCTCCTACTATGTTGAGCGAAGATGATACTCAGAAGCTCTTCGAAGTCATCGGATGGAAGTACAACTGAGTAAAATAGATTTACCGACGAGTAGATGAGTAATGCAGATCGCCGAGTAGATTCAAATCATCATCAGATGAGTAATCCACCAGAGTCGTTTCAGATGGTTTAATGTTAAGCCACTAACCTACTTGGACCTACAACTAAGCATAACATTCAAAACAATGTTGATCTAAAACCACTATTCCTTGGAGGACCTCTTCTAAAACCAGTGCCGGACCGTCGTCATCCACGCTTGCTTCCACTATCGGACAGGAGGAATTGCAAGCTTGCTCGTCCGTCCCGCTCTTTGCGACTTCGGAAGAAGACTCGTCGTTAATCCCTCTGGCGATGCCAGTTGGCAGCGTTAATTAAGGCTCAACTTTCAATGGTCACCATTTAGACTGGAGTCACTGAGATCGAAGAGGCGACCCCTTTTTGAGAGAACCAACAGGGGAAAACTGAAGGAAAAGGGGAGAGCTTTGAAGGGGGTCTCTTCCGTTCAGAGTCAGTGACCACCGACTGCTGAGCTTTAAGGTAAGGACAAGGAGGATAGCTCATCTTTGACTCCTCAAGAACAAGCAGGCCAACAAGATCCAAGCTTGTCCGCAGGTGGCCAGTCAGTCACGCTGCAACTGCCGGATGGTAGCACTTGTGAATTCCTTGTGCCTGCTCCGACCGCAGCAGCTTTGCCAGGACAGATTGAAGAGTTATGGGAATCTTAGTTGGCATCTTTGAGATCATCATTGGCCACTTTTCACATCCAACAAAGGAAAAATACTAGGCCACTGTCACGGATCCTATCATTAAATCAAGAGAGATGCAATCTTCAAGTAAGGTGCTCTAAGACCAGAACCCATCAGCTGGGATGTTGCCTGGTTCGGCCCCTATTCTGTGCAGAAGCAGTCGGCTACTGCTACGAAGTGTTCCGGTGGCGGTTTCAGACCAGCTTTAGGCCAGTCATCCGAGTCCACGTCCAGCGCTTCACTGAAAAGCATGTCGGTCAAAGATTATGGCTCAACGAGAAGATACATAGAAGTAGAACTACAAGTTAGCACTTTATTGACAGACTGGCTGTTGTACGGCTTATCACATCTTGTTGGTAACCTTTTAGCTGAAAGGTTTTTTTTTTCTAAGACAAGGTCGCTGCGAAGATTATGGGCGAAGAGGCACCGGAGAGCACACCGCAGGTGGAGCAGAATGATCCTAGTTATGTGCCAAACACCCGACACCTCTGGGCCCAAAGAGATACGGCTGACGGTATCTATTTTAGCATGTTTTATTTCTTATTCTTTGTCGTATAGACTCACCCTTGTGTAGAGTTGCACTTGCCGATTGATTTCTGATTTTAGAAACAAGAGAAGTTGAATTTTGGCTCAAGTTCTAGGTCTCATTTCTGTTGCTTCTAAAAAAATGGACGTCTTGTCTCTAGCATCATGCGACGCCCTCCTCCACCTCCTCTGGCCCGAGTACAAGTATTTGGACAACTACTAGGACAAGTCTAGTACCAACCCAAACATTATTTTGCTTCACATAGAAAACTGAATTTTTTTCAACAGCTCCGGGCGTGATTGCACCATTGGGAAGGCAGGAGGAGGAGAGTGAGGTAATTCCAATGGTTGGTGAACAAACCGCTGGAACGAACTTGGCCGAAAGCGAATCTGTTCCAGCCGACACGTCCGGTGAAGCACAACAGCAATTGTCGAATGCTGATGTCGAAAAGTTAAGATGGGCTGTTGTAGACCTAGGCTCTCCTTTGGAGGTACCTCCTCTGTATTGAGTGGCCTCACAAGTAGATATCAAATGCTACATATTAAGACTAAGAGGTGGTTCCATGAGTTGACATTGTAGTAAGTTCATCTTGGCACGTCCATGTCCTCTACTGATGAGTACTACCACGACTACTATTGTTTCCCTTCAAAAACTTCTAAATATCCGAGAACTTGTAACAAAAGCCGACGACCCTCAAGCTGAGAAACAGGGAGTCCAGGTTGGTCGGAGCTACTTCCGAATGGATCTTGGACGCACAACCTATGCACCAGAGCCAGAGTTGTTTAGGGATTTCTTCGAACAAGAGCAAGAAACAGAATACCTACAACGCCTCGAGAAGATCATCGCGTACGTTATCCGCTTCGCGCAAGCACATGCGGGTCCGCGACACTATAATTAGAATGTTGGTGCCTCTGTCTGGTCGTACTGGTGGATGAAAGTGATAGATCATTACTTAGAGGGAAAACGGAATAAGTAAGTACCAAGTAGAACTTTTCAATTTTATGACAACTACTGTTCGTTGTATATGTAATCACATGAGTGGTTGATGTGGGAGTGGGGCTAGACTCAATAGATAGACGAGATTCCCTCTTTTACGAACGGTACTTTGCGTTAATTCCCTCTAGATTTTTCATCGGAATGGCTTCGTGAACAATGAGGGTATTCTGCGATGTTTAAAAGTCGATCCCCCACCTTTTCATCGTGGGTAGATTGCCTTTTTTGCATCGCGGGAATCTCAGATATTACACGAGCAGGTTTTTTTTCACAAATCCAATGAATTTATTATAGATGAGAACGAATTTATACTATAAGAAAGAGAAATTACGACTATGCATCGATTTTTCGTCAGTTGTATCCTAGATTTGTTCTGAGAACTTAATTGTTTTTTGATTATATTTCTTTCAGTGCGCGCGCGGTAAAGAATTGTCGACATTGATTTTTCGACTTCTCTTTCATGTATAAATGTAAATCTTTGAGGAACTGCTTCAGGTAGGAGCAACTACACTTTTTCTAAGAAACAAGAGCAACTTGAAAAATGGCACATATAGCGAAGAAAATAATACCGACGAGAGAGAGAGACAAGATAGAACTTTAATATTTTTTTGTAACTTTTCATTCCATTGATTCACTTTTTTCTGCACCAGGTAGTACTATGAAGAATATAGGAGCTACAAAATTATACAGTATTTCAATACACATTCATTCTGTTTCTGTCCTCGCAAAGAATTGGCGAATTCGCTCGCTACAGGAAGTTAGTAAGCAAGAGCAAACATTTTGATAATCTCCGCTCACTCGTCGGTCCTGGCTGAGCGTCTCTGATCGAAGGTGTTGACACATGATGACCAGTAGTTGTATTCGAAGTAGAAAGAACACTAAGAGTAAGAACCAGAACAATATGGTGGTTCCTATTCACGACAAGAAAATCGGCTCTATTTTCTTCCTTATGGAGTAATATTCTTGTATATTGGTTTTGTTGATAAGCAGCTGGAGTATGCGTTTCGAACGATGGAGGTTTGCTAGTAAAGAAGGGAGGTTGATGATACGGTCCCTTGTAGTTATGTGCCACAGTAACAAAAAGAACAGTAATAATAATATCGAGTTTCCTAATGCATTTATTCATCTTGTCATAGAAGATCATCAACATCAAGCAAGTCACTTGATATTCAGATTGATGTTGTTGGATTCTGATCGTGAGTCATCAACATCAAGTAGTGGTGGAGTAGCAGTATTATCATTGTTGAAGATAGGTCCTTAGTTCAAATTCATCTAGCTGTGGCACTTCAATGGCCTCGAACGCTCACCCCCTCATAGGTGAGCCAACTCCACGTCCTCTCCTATCCTAGCTGTTTTCTGTACAGAATGCATTGATTGTTTAATTTTATGTTGATCATTTCATATTATGTCCGAGGGTTTCTTCGGGATGATTTTGATTTTTGTCAAGGGTAGTTGGTTCGTTGAAGTTAGTTCTTCTTGGGTATGAAAAATTGTTTCGCATCAACTAAAAACTAACAACAACAAGAATGATATTTTTAGCATAAAAAACAGCGAACTAACAAATAACTGCTGTGACACGGCCACGAGAGCCTCTCGAAGACGAGGGCCGCCGACGTTGCCGACAGAATTGAATAGCATAGATGGGAATGCTGGGAAGATGAAACACACAATTATATTAGTATGCACAATTAGACTCTTTTTTTTTCAGGTTATTTTGACATAATTATGAATGAGGTGAGCAATGAGAAGTACATCACGATCACTGACGAGCGCCGATATAATGGCTTTTATAGGTCAAGAAACGCTGTAAGTTTGGTGCTACATTTTCTTGCGAGCAGATGAAGATGACGCACCATGATGAAGAGAATCGAATCGACTTGATTGAGGCCGAGTCGGGAAGACAATGCCACAGCCACAGTGCGTGTGGTCAGCAGTCAGCCGCTTGAAGGAGTTTTAGATACGGACGCTGGTTCCGAGCAAGTGCAAGAGAGAAGTTCTCTGCTAGAGTGGCCAAGGAATCATGACTTTGACTATTTTATTTGAAGATGATAGATGAGCGTCTACAACTGAACAAGAGAGAGCAGGGGACTGAGCCTCTTCATAATATTGTTCCCCTCTCCCTCCACACAAGGGAATGAATCCTCGTAGACCCTTAGCAAAAATGTTAGCCTTGTTTCATGTTCTAAACGTTGATGGTCTCATTCGACGACATGGAAATGCTGCATTTCTGTCAACCTCGACCGGCTCCGCCAAGACGACAAGCCGAACGCTCCCACTCGCTATCGAGGTGGAGCGGGCACAGGCTGCCTTGGATGAAGCGGGAAATGAGGGAGACCGAGCCGTGCGATCAGCCGATACTGTGGGAGCGGTCCTGCGGATTGGACGGAGTCTAAAACTGCTCGCAGCAGATGAGAAAGCTGCAAGTACAGCTGCAATGAGAGCCAAACGAGAAGCAGAGCTGTCGGATGCGATCCTCAATGAGGTTTCTGGAAATGAAAAGCCAAAGGAATATTTGGGTATTTCTATTTTGTTGATGAAAGTTCAAAATTGCAATTCCTGCGATTAATAGGAACCGCATACGAGGGACCAGGAACAATTCTTGCGATTATACACCACATTTAGTATATCGCAGACGGCGTTACTCTTACTTGCCATAGCACTTGTACATCATTGATTAATTCCCATATGTATCATGTTCTGATTGAACATCAAAATCATTCAAGGTGAAACTGAGGCCACTGCTGCTAAGCTGAAAGGTGACGCAGATGAGTTAGTCGCTTCTGCCGCAAACAGTGCTGCCTCTGTTGTTACGGCGAAAGAAGAATTAAGGCTCCCTTTTTTGATAAAATGCTTTGTGGTGCCTGTCTTTCTAGCTACGTGGCTTTCTTAGTACGTTGTTTATGCTAATGCTTGATGCAGTTACTCAAAAGCTCAAAGCAGGTTCAATTCTTTCTTCGGAGGATTACACTTCCAAGCTCACCAACCATAGAGAAGTACTCGTACTTCTAAGCTCACCAACCATTGAGGAGTACACGAACTGGCAGTTCGCAGCCCAACACCCTCTGCAGCGCGACGCCGCTCGTGCAGGGTTTGATGCCGCGAAGCCGTATCGCGATGCCCAAGGGAAAGTCGCCGCAGCAGTGGCAACACTCAGAGAAGGTGCCGCTGCAGCGGACAATGAGGCGTTTTTACGAAGGGAACAAGCAGAGAGCTTGGGGAAAACTGCGGAAGTCAGTACTACTACTATTCTGAATCTCTTCGTCGTCGCCTTTCACTATGTATATACCTAGTGGTCATGATAGTTGTAAAACAAAAAAAACAAACTACTGCTCTTGGGTTTTTACGAGATACTAGTCGTGATAAAGAAGATTAAGATCTCTCTAATACGACGCTCACTCAGGACCCGACCCCTGGTTACGCAGCCAAGACGTGATGCAGGTCCAGTCCTTACAGGCACAGGCGAACGCCCTTTCAGTGCGCGCTTCCGAGATGGCGAAGAAAGCTGACGGGTTTGCTGCCATGCTCCCACGATACGATCTGGCGGTGGAATATGTAACGGCGCAAGCAGCGCAGAAAATCGATCCTTCGTTAAGGCTAAAGAAGAAGAAGAAAAAGAAGAAGAATGGATCATCACTGAGCTTAATTAGTTTTAGCAGATAGGAGGACATTTCTTGATGATAATTGCCCTTTTCTCTTTTTTCTCTTCCTCGTCTGGTCTTTCTTTTTTCTACTTAGGTCGGCTCCACCACAACGATAAAAAGTTGGTGCGAATTTTTCAGGTAGGTCCCACGGTAATAAGATCTTCAATTTACGTTTGTGTTGGTGTCTTTCAATCATCGTAGGGGAAACTGCAACTCAGTAACAACCTGCCACCTCTAATTTCCGTGGTGATGCCGCCATATACGGAACCGCTTCCGCCGCTGGAGCCAGAGGGTTTGCCTGTAGAGGCCATGATGTTGTAGGCCTCTAGAGCCTACGGTGTTGTAGGAAACCGCAATGAATTTGCTAGAGGAGAAAGAACACTGAGACTTGAGATGAAAATAAGTACCTTTTTTTCCTTGTTTTTTCACGATAGAAAGTTAAAGATCGGAAGTAGAACAATATGCAGCACCAGAACCTGCGTGGCGGTTTGCGAGAGAAAAACGATAGGGATAGTCCTCCACTATTAAGGCTTGAGAGCAGTTGACATCTCTATGCGCGTCTCTATAGCTATCTCCAGCGGGAAAGCCATAGGTATGCGAGCTAGAGATGCCAACTTTCAAACTCTAACACTACGACTCGTCGACTCTATGTACTAATAGGACTGGAGACGGAAGCACAGAAGAAGGATTTGAAACTGAAAAAATCAAAAAAAAAAATATTTTCTATAGGTAGGTTGGTCCTCTAGCTAACCTGGTAAATAAAACATGTTTCAAGAAAGCGCGGAGAAGGTAGCGCCATTGCTGCAGAACGGCATCTCTAGTGGCGCAGAGCAGGGCATGGATGCCATTAACAGCTTGATTCATTACGGCTGAAGCTGAAGATTCGTTATTTCAACTGCGCATATTGTTCGATAGATATTATGTTGATGACAGACCCTACTACCGGCGAGGTCTGATTCCTATGTAGGACAATGGAAAAAGAACCGATAACCGTAGGCCCATAGCCCTAGACCCTGACCCTAACTCTTACTACCGAAAAAGAACCTCGATTTGAGTTCTCCTTCTCTCCCTTCTAATCCGAGCAAGGTCCAAGAGGCGTTTCGAAGCTAGCCTTCTTGATCAGTCTGATTACCACTGCAGTTGGGCTATTGGAGATTATCATGACGATTCTGAATCCGTTATCGATATTCTTCGCGCCGTTTCATTTGGTATATATTTTGAAATACAGCCTGATAGCGCTACTTGCTTAGAAAGTGGTTGAGACGAAGGAGGAAACGAAGAGAAACATGATAGCACTACTTGACTACCTCTAAGTTCTTCTACAAGAACGTGAGAAAAGTACTACGTCTAAGTTCATCTTTGTTCTGCCTCAACATGCTCATCATCTAGAAGAACATCCTTATTTCATGAAGACCACTGCCCTGTCTCCTAGGTCCTGTCCTGCTACATCGTGCTCTTCGGTGCTGCGGGTATGGTGCTCGAGTGCGACGTGGAGTGGCTTGCCGGAATGAAATACTGGCCTCTGATCCAGTTTTATATCCCTGATGTGATGACGAAGCTCCAGGAGTATCAGAAGATTGTGTTTCACCGTGCTAACTTTTTGACCGAAGTTCACGGGAGAGCGGGATTCTACGGCTTCCTCGGCATCCTTTGCGCGACGCAGTGCTTCCTGTGTCCCTTTTTCCTGGTAGTATCCATAGTACAAGCTTCTTCATGGCTAGTTACTAGCTGCTGCTAGTACTGCTCATTACGTTTTGAAAGAACAAATTTGTATCGATTACCCTCATTAACCTCCAATTCTGTATACCTCCAGGTTGGCCTCATCAACATGGGTTTAGCCGGGTTACTCGTGTATCTAATGCGCGAGGAAACTGTGGATCTGTCGTATCAGCATGTCCGCGAGAAATTCTTCGAACAGATGCACAATGTCGCAGCGATCACGAATAAAGCTGCGCAAGGGATGGGGGCTCCTCAACAGGCAACGGCACCGACGGCACAAGAGACGAGATTGTGACAGAACAGTCCACGGCATCAACAGGAGACGAGGTGGTCTGTAAGGTCATGGCGCTGTGGTTGTGGCTGTGCAGTTTTTATCTTCTAGGTATCAGGGGACAAACAGAATACAGTGTGTCCTCTTCATTGTAAAACAGTGTCGTGTGTGTGATGATTTCTTCTGTTATAATATGATTACGTCGTAGTTCGTTGTAAAAGCTGAACAGAATCCACGATGATTGTAGAGTTTTTGATTCGTAGACGTGTAGGAGTAGGTCGGTTAAAGGTTTTCAGGTAGCAGGATGCTTTTCGTGTCGCACTGCGTCGCAGATCAATAACTACTTCTTGTGAGCACTCAGTAATCTAAGATTCATTCGTATTAACAAAACAAAACATTGTACCTCAAGATAAATTCTTACGACCACAGCACTCCATCTTTGAAAAAAAATTTCCGAGATGAATTGACTCTCGTCTGAAGCTTCGCTGTAGTGACTGATCATTGACACACGAGGTTGCATTAGAAAGGCATATTAGGTCGTTTTTCTGCTTACGTTTCTAGTCGTAGTGAATGGCTGCAATGTATTCAATACCCTAGCTATTGCAAAGATGACATGCATAGAAGTTCCCATTCCCGTTCTGGTACCCGATTGAGTTTTCATCCTTGCCATCCAATCCGTGACAAAAGCAATACAACTCGTGAGAGGACGAATTATTCTGCGGCTGAATATTGCAGAGAGCTGGTATGGACGATGGATTTTCCCTCGAAGCTACGCGAACAATCATGACCCCCGCCTTACAGTGGAGGTTGTATCATTCTAGGATTCAAGGTCGAAGGCTCCAACGGACCAAGATTGAATGGAGAAAAAGTTGTCCTTTTATGTTCCTTTTAAGGTAATACATAGACGTCCTTTTCCCTGTGACTCCAAGTAGCAACGGTACGCTTACATACAAGTCACCTTGTAGAATCGGTATTGACGGACTGCATTGGTAAAAATAAGAAGTAACCTACAAGATGCAGTCCGTTGCTTTTTACCTGGCCGTTCTGATGCCCGTACTCGGGGGGCTTGTGCTGTTGCGGATGTACTACGTGTACCGCCGAGAAAAGTCTGCCGCGTTAGCACAGGACGAGCGAAGACCGCCGTTGCGCATATTAGGAGGACCGGCGGCCGCCGCGCGTCTTCAGGCCTTCAGTACTAGCATTTTTACGGCGCCCTTGCGTGCACTGCTGTATAAGCTAGTGCACAGGAGAGGATCAAAGCGGGACAGGAGGAAAGCGGGAGATAATCAGTCAGCTGAGGATGTGGAGCAAGGTGCTGGTGAACTAGAAGGTGAGAGAGCAGGGGAGGTTGCTCAGCCAGGTCATGCAGCGAAAAAGAATACCAAAAAGAACAGTAACAACATGAAGATGAAGGGCGCTAATCAACAACGGGATGAAGAAACAGCTACTACTACAAAAACCTCAACAAAACAAGGCCCGGAAGTGAAAAGAACAGTAAGTGAAGTTTACAAAACGAAGATTGCTGCTGCGCGAGGGACGAGAGTGGAAGATACTACTAGAGGCATAGATGAGATAGATGAACGGGATGCCGAAGAAGCCCTTGCTTTGGAAGAAGAACATCATTACGACAATTACCTTTCTTCTCCCTCGTCGCCGCCTCCTAAGATATTACTATTGAAATCGCCGTCTGTGAAGAAGATGGAACATCAAAACAAGCAGTCATCATCTACGGGTAACATCAATCTTCGTAGCTTGTCGAGAAGTAAAGAAGAAGAACGTGCCTCTTCGTCTTCAGATTGTGTGAAGACAACTACGCGTGCTAGTAGTAAGCGACGCGGCAGCAAGCGGCAACAGGAGATAGAGAATCAGGTAGTTGCGCTCTCCAATGTCGACCAGGGTCTAGGTCAGGGTCAACAGGGTGGCACAGGAGTGCAGCAACTACGTGGCATTAGTGCCATCATCAAGGATTCTGAAGCGGCACTGAATATAATAACTCCAAGGGGTCGAAGACTGCCTCACCAGCAGGGTGGTGCAGCTTCCACGGTCGGCGAGCGGCAACGCGCGAGCGCGATCATTCGAGGAGGAGAGGGTGTAGAAAAGCAACGGACGCCAAGGAGGGGGTCGAAATGATCCTCCGACAAGTGTCGAAGGGGGTTTGGACCTACAAATATAGTCGACTAGAAATATCCTGACATATCATCTATTTCATAGTATGAAAAATCGATGCATGTTCAAAAGTGAAACAGAGGTGAACAACTAGAACTAGTAGTTGACACGCAGAAGTTTTTGCATCAAATCTTACGGTGTTGCAGAGTATGCACCAAGTGAAGAACAAATTGAAGTGAAGTCGGACGATTCTATCATTGATTCCTTAGCGAAACAAGAGGAACCATGATTAGATATTATGGCGGTGATCCTGTGTTGGAGTGATGCAAGCAGAGAGAGAAGGAGAGAGGAAAGGCTGAGGCAGACCAAGATCTTAGCATGAACCTGAGAGTGGACGTGGTGACTGGTGAAAGTGTACTAACTGGGTTCATCTCCTACCGAAAATTTGGCAAAGTAGCTGGAAATGGATGCTTGAAAGTTTGTATTTGGATCCCGCTGATCATCCTTAAAGTATTAATAAATCAGAATTATGGACAATTTACAAGCGGAGGCCCAACAAAGGGCCACTCAGGGGATCCGAGACAGTATCGACGTCGTGAACAAATACGTGCAAGCAGGACCGCAAGGGTTGAGCCTCCTGTGTTTCTTCTCAGGTCTGGCGACGAGCGTCATTGGGTCCCTTGGCGTCATCGGAAAGATGATCGACATGACGATACTAACCGACCCCTTCGATTTCGTACTATTTTCCGCCAATCGTTGATTATGCCATACGTGCTCTTCAAGGTCGTGCCTCAATGTTATGCTATAGCTATACTTGCTCTTCAAGGTCGTGCCTCAATGTTATGCTATAGCTACTTGTACTTGCTCTTCAAGGTCGTGCCTCAATTTTATGCTATAGCTATACTTGCTAAATAGCTATTATACTTGCTCTTCAAGGTCGTGCCTCAATGTTATGCTAAATAGCTATACTTGCTCTTCAAGGTCGTGCCTCAATTTTTGAAATTCAATCTTTTTCAATGGCGCCCTTATGGCAGTCTGCACTGAACTTTGTGCGAGATTGATTGCATTGTATTGTATCTTTCTTGGTACGTAGCCCTAGATGGGACCGAAGTTTTCTTTGCGCCTTTCAGGTTCTTCATGCGTATCTCGTGTGTTTCGGCGCAACAGCGGTGCTATTAGAAAGCGACGCAGAGATGCTGAGCACAGTTCCTGTTGTAGGTACAACTCTTTAATTTGATTTCGAGTATTAAATCTAGCAGCCCATGTTGGTGCAATTTTCCTGGGCATCAAGGACTATTGAAATCAGTGGCACCTTCATATTTGCTTATCTGACTGCTAGCACTTATTATTTTTTTCTAAGAACATGAAATTGAAAATGAATTCTAAACACCCTGCTCCCTAGGCCCACTCGCAGTCTATTCGGACTAACCTGAATTATCAACATCCCAGGTCCACTAGCAGTACACCTGAACAAGTATCAGAAGTTTGTGAACGAATATGCCCATTTCTTGACCAAGTTGCAGGGAAGAGGAGCATTCTACATATTTGTGGGCACACTCTGTATCACGGAGTGTATGTTTTTATGGCTTGAAAAAACTATACTGTCTTGATAGGTGGATAGCTGGTTTTATTCAAAACAGCCACACCTACATCAATAATTTCTGCTTCAGACGTATAATACTAACATCAGATAATCCTGTGATCATCAACTTCAACCTCACGACGTACTTACTAAGTTACTACAGACTTTTGATCTACTTTCTGATACTTACGTACCTTCTAAGCACATGCATCCTCTTTAGTGTTGTAAATGTGAAGAATATAGATCCTGCCTCTTCTAATGGGATGCACCCTCTTTATCGTTGGAGCAGCGAACGCGGGACTCGGTGTACTACTAATACTATTGTCGTTCGGGTACACACCCGATCTCAGTGCTGAGGCTGTCACGAAGCGAGTAGGAACGACATACCAGAATGTGGTGCAGAATCGAGTTTAAGAAAGGATAAGTTACTATTCGAGATGAGAAAATTGATTTGAGAGTGGCAGAAATAGAAACAAAAGATGGAGTGAGGACGATCAACACACTCACACTGCGCAACGAGTTGTCGGTATGACGAAATTGAAGTTATGCTACAACAAGAATTTCCACGAAATCTTTAGTTTTCTGGATAGCCAGCGCTTCATCCTGGACGATTTGATAGTTGTTCGACCTTGGTTTTTGAGCGAGTGAAGTAGATGTGCTTGAGCGTCTATTGTTGAGCTTGAGAGACAACGCTATGCTGATGTGTTTGAGAGAGGAGGGATGAGGAAAGTAACATGGTTTCCTTTTAGTTGAGAAGGAAACGCATATTTGTTAAGTTGACTCTCTTGAGATTTTTTTGTTCGACTAATCGACCCTAGCTATTGAAGTAGGCCTATGTATTTAACTAGCTAGTTAGGTAGGTACTGTTTTGGAGGCAGCAGCAGCTGGCAGGCTGTGGTAGAGTGGCGTTGGTGGAAGTGGTCTGGTCGACAGGTAGAGTCCATCTGGTTGAACTGAAGGATCTGAAGGCCTTGGGTCTGAGGAATGTGAGCGTTGACGTCTGCAGAACTTGACAAATAAATGCTCTTCCTTTATTGTTAAGCTGACTCTCTTGAGAAGTTAGAAGAGTCAACTTAAGAGAGACTAAGGAGGAGTGAGATATACTGGAGAAGGAGATGTTGAATTAGTGAAGATAATAGAGATTATGAAGTTGTATACTTCAGGATAGGAATTATCTAGTTGTTAAAAGAGTTGACTCAACTATAGTCTCTTTTAAGTCAATTGTTAAGGTGACTCTTTTAGTTGAGAAGTGAATCTTTGTCTTTTGCGACTGTTATAGTCCCCCGTTCATTTCAACGATGTTTATGACGGTAGAAGTTGTACAATACCAAAGGCAGAGTCCCGGGTACCCCCTTCGTTTCTGTGCACATGAGGAATTGTAATCAACATTCAACTTTTTCGATTTGCTTGATCCATTAATGATTAGTTCTTGTTCGACTTCAGCAAGTTTGATGAATGACAATCAGACTTCGGAAAAATATGATGCAACAAGAGCAAGAGCTGTCATGCATGCTTGCTCCCTCGTCGAGGTCTTTTTGCTGTGACCACGACTCAAGGTGAGCTGATATCCGTGGATACGCCTCTTGACTATGGCTTATAGTCACTGAGATATCAACACTATGGTTACACCGCTACTTGGTGTCCCGACCACGTGCTCGACCAGCGGCAACATCCATGGGCATGGAGATGAAGTTGAAGATAAAAGTAGTTGTAGACGGGGGGATCGACGTTCTTCGCTTTCTTCGCTTCGAAGAAGAGATGAAAGGAGGTCATCAACAGCGTGGTCGGCAAGAATATCATCATGGCTCATCTTTTATGGACATCATCAAGCAGGAACACATCAAGCTGCAGCTCGAAGAACAGGAACAACCACGGGTACAGAACATCTTCAACATAGCACAGTCGCGCCTATAGCTTCTCACGCTGATCAGGAGCTATTGGAGAGTAGTACGCAGAGATTCTTAGAAAGTGACATTGATGTAGCGAGTAGATCCTCCAGCAAGGCTTCCACACGAGATGAAGATGAAAGCCGGGAAGATAAAAAAAATACAGAGGTGGAGGATGCTACAGCTACTTTGGTAGTGAATTCATCAAGCCAGAAAAATGACGACCACCCTTCAGAGGACTCACCTCAGAGTGAGGCCATCAGCATTAGCAGATCTTTTCCTGGGATATCGAAGATAATTAAGATATCCTCAACTTCAACATCCTCGTCATTAGAAGAATTGTATCGTTTACGACTGCGTGATGGACTAACTTCGGAGGAAAAAGCCTTTCTACTTCATGGGGAGGACATCTTGAGGGAGTTTGAGAGCGGAATGGATCATGAGATGAGAGCAGAGATGAAAGGTGGAAAAGATAAAGGTCATGCAGATCGTGGTGAAACTACTCGTACAACAGCTGTTGAAACTAGCACATCAACTGTTGGAACCAGTACAACGGCTTCTACAAGTACAAAAGAGAGGACTCAAATTCCGGATAACCTACGAGCCCTTTTCGGAGATTGGCTGAATACTGATTCATCTGATGGGGGGAAGAACGGAAGTTTATCCCGCCTAAAGCAACAGATCGACCAAGAAAATGGAGGTCGGTTCGCGGTGCTAGAAAATTTTCTGAGTGAGTCTTTTCTACAAGCACTACTAGCAGACTATCCGCCGTACGATCCCAGCGTCTGGTTCATGTACGCCAACCCATTGGAAGTGAAGTACTTTTGTTTCTTAGAAGAATCGTTTACAGGATTGAAGTACTTACATTATACTTAGCTGGTGGACTTTATTAGGTCTAACTATTTGAAGAGAAAGAAATTTTTTAGATCTACGCGTTGCAAAGAAATTTGATATACTCCAGTCACCTACGATGAACCATAATCAATCGAAGATGTCAAAGTCAATAGTAACGCAGCACTTTTTAATATTCTTGATGTATAATTCTTCTTTTCCACGACCTCGTTGGTATTATTCGTAAATCATTGATTTTGATATCTTCTTCCACCAGACAGTAGAACTACAAAGGTACCTACACGATCGCTTTTCACTGTATGGAAAAGCTGTGAAGAAATACCTCTACGCCCTGTCGCATCCTGCGATAAGCGCACTCTTTACGGAGTTGTTTTCCTTTTCCGAAGAGCTGCACTACGATCCAGTGATACATGGAGGTGGACTTCATAGTATGCCTCGTGGCGGACGTCTCAATATGCATCTGGATTACGAAAAGCACCCGTATTTGCATAGGAAGCAACGCCGATTGAATGTGATTTTCTTTACTTAAGGCTACAGGTACTACAGCAGGAATGCTATTGTTGAGCTTGAGAGACTAAGGAATAAGAAAAAATCCTAATAATTATCCATCTTCGATCTTTCCCCGCAAGAACATCTTAGCCCCGTTGTTAAGGGGACAACGGAAGCCAAGATGAGTCGCAAAGTGGATTTGTGGTAGTTCTAATTTGCGAACGAAGACTGGCGTAAGGAGTGGAACGGGGACGTGCAGCTGTGGTCTGCGAAGAGTAGTGCTGGAAAAATGGGAGACGAATCTCAATCCTCTTCAACCATGACAAGAACTTCTGGAATGAAAGGACTAAATCCTTCTACTTCTCCCAGTCGTGTTAGTACAACCGAAGAAAACCCTATGGACTCCATGCTTGTGCGGCACTATCCTAAACGTAATATTAAGGCTCAACTTTCATTGGTCATTGAGGTTAGTCACTGCGATCCCTCTTGAGAGAACAGGAGAAAATGAAGGAAAAGCAAAGGGAGAACATGGAGGGGCCCTTTTCTTTCAGAATCAGTGACCACTGACTGCGGACCTTTAATAATAGCGTGATCATTTTTCGAACGGACGAAGAGAGCTTTCACGGAGTCCCGGATACGGTTTTGAGCCCCTTGAATACAACTAGGGATACGATCACCTACTATTACCTGTCCGACCTGACGGCACCAAGTAGCAGGACTAAGATTGGTGCACTGTCCGATGGGTATCGCGGGAAAGTTATGGAACTTCTACATATATTGGAACAACTGATATCGATAAATGACATTGATTTAAGTAGAAATATTGATCATTAAGTGCTTTCTATCTTCTTCTGGTCTGTCTTTTTTCTAGTTAGGTCGGCTCCACCACAATCATTAAGTGCTTTCACCTCCGGCCACTCCACATATTCATATTGATTAAGTGCTTTGGCCACATACTGATTGCGCACGTGCCTGCCTGCTATGTGTAAAAATGGGAATCAATGGCAAGACAAATGTCGGAGAGTGCTTCTACGAGAAGTGTAGTTGCATAACCCAGGAGTTGTAGCGCCGAAATATAAAGTGTAAAACTTCTTCTAACACAACAAGTTACTTCCTCCGACCTACCGATGACCCGGATCCTCGTTTAGAGAAACTATTTGGCATCCGGTCCAAGCGGCGTATTGAGCAAGAGGACGTTGACGAGGCTTTCTACCCTGAGAGTTGGGACTATAGGGACAGCTTGCCGGAAGGCCGTGGCGGAGATGGAGAAGAGAGGGCTTCCACGAGGGGTGAAAGGAGGCTGAATTATAAAGCTAAACCTAAAGGGAAAAATTATAGAGAAGGAGAACTCTGAATCAATGACGGACAATCTGGAGTCAGGGGGAAGGTTTATTGATTTTTCATCTTCACGCGGATGCGTTGGGTTTAGATTGTTTAGACGAGGTCACCTGTAGAGCACAATTATCACTACTTCGGAGAAGAGGTTTTAGTTTAGCATTTCATCATCATCCTATTATGCGCCGACGTGCAAGAAAGAACGTGTAGAAATTATATCGTGCTGTTGCAACTGAGACTCCGCGGCCACATTAGGATGTTGAGTGTTGTTGACGCAGACGCACACGCAGTTCTTGATGTGGTGGATGTGCAATGGTGCACGTCAGAAGAACAGGGGAGGTCTTCACGACATCAGGTTTAAGAAAAGTGCATGCAAACAAGCGATTACTTTTCTTCCGACCGGTACTACGAGTTGTGAGCGTGAGCGCGAGAGAACGGCTATCTTAGCCCTCGACGCCATCTTCCTCTTCTCGCACTTAAAAGCAGGAACCACGACGGACTATTGAGCTCCCTTATATGATGAGTGACATATTCATAATTTTGATACTTCTCTACTGCTTCCTTGGTCATTTATTTCTACTAGAAGTTTATTCTCCTGTGATGAGCACTGCTGTTATCGAGGTGAACACTCATCGCAGATCTCTTCTAGTAGATAGTCACAGACGAAACAGATTCAAAAATTTTATGCTGAGTACTAGAAGAAGAAGTTGTTGTAGTAGCCTGAACTACTACAGAAGAAAACTAGAAGAAGTTCTTGTAGTAGCCTGGAGAAAAAATGCCTGGCGCATTCACATTCTTGGTGTGGAGAAACCTCTACGGGAATGTGATTCGTTCCATTCTCTACTGGAACTGGAGTTGTCCACTTTTGAGGTGCTTGAAAGGAAAGGTCTCACCCTTTGAGCTTGAGCCGGCTCAGACTTCTTAGCCAAAAGGCGCAACTTTACCATGAGGCTGCTGTCTACTTTTGACCTGCTTGAAAGGCCCCACCCTTTGAGTCAGCTCAGAATCCTCACCCAAAGCGCGCAGCTTTATTATGAAGGCGCTGCCTACTTTTGACTTTCTTGGAAGGTCTCCTCCTTTGACGCAGCTCAGACCCCTTATCCGAAGCGCGCAGCTTTAGGCGCTTGCTGTCTACTTTTGACTTGCTTGAAAGGTCTGACCCTTTGAGCCAGCTCAGGCGCCTAATCCAAAGAGCAAGCGGGTGCTAATTTTCTCAGCGTATAGCTGCTGGATGCTTGCCTCTGTTTGCATTTGTGTGCATGTGTGCCATAATTGTAGCACATACGCAGGCGCAGCGGCTTTGCTTCACGCAGATGATTGGCCTCAGGCTGAGGCGCTTCGCTCTTCGTTTTTTGTCCATGCAGCATAGTCCTTGGCCTGTGCTGTTGGTTCAGGGTTTTGAGGTACTGCGGAAAGCTTTAGCAGGAGCAGAATCACGGGAGAGATGTGCGCAAAGTCGCGGCATTTTTACGGCGCGAGATGTATACGTCTAGCCCGTACACCTTTCCCATGATTTCCGTACATCTCAAAAAAGTAGAATTTTGGAAACCTGCTACGAATCGGCCCGGTGTGAGTACATCGCGAGAGTACATCCTTCCCGTGGTGTACGTATAAGATATATGCCTCGCGCTATATATGTCAGACGTATACATCTAGCCCGTACATCTTTGCCATGATTTACGTACATCTAAAGCCGTAAGCTCGCTCCTGTTAGTTTAGTAGTAGTAGCGACACTCTTCTTTCACACAACGCAGTCACAGACGCGCTCTCTCACAGAAGAACTTCATATCTTTCACGATACTTGATTATTCTCATCGGGGACCCCTTGACTATCGAGCTGCGTTTGATCATTCTTCGGGGATCCCTTGGCCAGGCGCGTGCGTTCCCTCGGTATAGTGAGACCGAGAGGTGTCTGTTTGAGCAGTTTTAACTACTTACCGCAGTAGAAGAAGAGTGCAGTAGTGGTGAAAAACATGAGAGAGGACCTCCACGAGGACAGTGAAGAAGAAATGAGAACTAAGTACAACTAGCTACTATGATAAAAATATGAATGAGCTTAGTTGCCTTGAAATGAGAGAGTGAGACCAGCTGCCTTGAAATGAGAGTAGAATGAGCCTTGTTACTTTGGTAAGAATTATTTTTTTCGATTGTAGGACCTCCCATGACTTGTTGAAAGACTGGAAAGGACATCACGATCACTTCTTCTTACAGAAGTTTTATTCAGTATGCCATCACTTCTTCCAGAATTCAGTACTTCACTTACCGGTGACTGAATGCCCAGAAGACAGACTGCCCATCGGGAAAATCAACTATCTATTAGGGTCCACTGGACACGAATGAATGAACCATGGTAGTGCCACCGCTGCTGAGGGCAGACCGTGCTGCGGTTCCGACCACTAGACATGATCACGAAGAACGCGAGAGACACGATACCTCAGAAGTTTCGACAGTGCACGAAGATATCGATATCATTAAGATGGGACCGAGGAGTAGGTGTAGGATATTCTCAGTGCTGTCCGAGGACTGGGTATTCTCGGTATTTGATCAGTGCTGTGACTGTGGGGACGGGGACCGACGACTAAGTGTAGGCATGTTTCTCGGTACAACTGCCAGTACTGTGAGTTGTGGAGTTTTAATTTAAAATCTAATCTCCATAGTACAACGACGAGCGAGGAAAGTGAATTATCGACACGAGACGATTGCAATTCGAGTTGCATCGATGTTGCGGCATCGAGTCAGGATGAAGGTGGAGTTATGGCTAGTAATACATAGCATTTTGTTCATCTTTGTATTTTGGTACTACGTACATCATCCTGTTGTACTTCTAAAGTACAGCACTGAGTGGAGTTAAGGACTTCCACACTGATTTATAAGTGCTTACATCTTGTTGTTCTTGTGATTGTTTCTCTCTCTCTTCGATTACAGCGTACGGCGATGGTTATTCTAATGCGCGAGGGCCTTCGATGGCAACCTCAACATCTTCCTCTTCGGCGTTGACGCGACGAGGAAGAGGACAGAGTAGTCGGACAAGTAGAGATCAACATCATGTTGAGCCACCAGGATCGACATCATCTACTTCGTCTAGGAACGTCAACAACACGAACCACAATCAAGGATTGTTTCGTGGTGGTACACCGCAGATAGCAGTGGGCAACGAACTGACTGCATGGCGACGACTGCTTAGCACATACACTGCAATAGTTAAGGGTCATGATAATTCATCTTCACTAGACTTAAACATTAGACCACAAAGACTAGAGACTACAGAGCTATTGGAACACTCATACAGAGGAGCCAGATCATCGTCACATTTCACAGAGTGTCTTTCTTAGTTTAATTATTCCTTGTTCTGGTGGGTCCTCGATATCAAGAACTTATACTCTGAATACAATGCTGACTGTAAGGAAAGAAGGCCAGTCAATTAGCGTGGGCTCTTTCATCTCTGTAAAGCTGACTGTAAGGAAAGAAGACCAGTCAATTAGTGTGAGCTCTGTAAGGAAAGATGAATTTGTGTGAGTTTAGTGTGACCGACCTATAAAGGATATCCCTACGTAGTGAACTCTTCTAAATGAGAAGGCGCGACAGTATTATTCCTGTATTGGAGCATTGTTGGATTTTCGGGTAATATTGTTTCTTCCCTTACATGGATTCTGGGAGCCCTACTCCTGTTCTGGTGGGGTATTCGACGAGAAAAGGCTATTAAGGCTCAGCTTTCAATGGTCATTGGGGTTGGTCACTGAGATCGAAGAAGCGACCCCTTTGGAGAACAGGGGAAAAGGAAGGGAAAGAAGAGAGCTTTGAAGGGGGTCTCTTCCGTTCAGCATCAGTGACCACTGAATGCTGAGCTTTAAGGCTAGCAACTGCGAAAAATCAGACTCACTTCTGACGGCGACTACTTCTTGCTACAACTCCAAGAATTAAGGCTCCTTCCCATGATCCATCTCCAGAAGCATCTCGAAGCTGTCCCATGATATGGAGAAGAGAGGCTCGAGATGAGTCTCAGGATGGGTTAATATGGTGGGCGCTAATCCAAGAAGAGTAATTGTGAAAATGAAGTGCATCAAGTTGTTCAAAAAGGCACCCGCTCAAGAGCTGCCTCAGATTTTCTACCCGCTTTTCTTAGAAAACCTGACCAAGAACAGGAATCGGAAAAGCAGGAAAACTCCAACAATTATAGTAGAAGTTCCATAACGACAACGTCTTCAAGAACATCTTCTAGTAGGGTAAAAAACAAACAACAACGAGAACGAGGTCGAAGTAGTAACATAGAAGCGACATCACACCAGCCAGATCCACGACAAGGACATCAGAACGACCCACGCGTAGAAGATCTTGACCTACAACTTCTAGAGCGGCTACCCCTATCAAGATTGTGGAGTTGCTGTATTTTTGAGACGTTTCGCCGTGGTTTTAAGCTACTTCACAAACGTGGAGTAGGCCTCGCACTTCTAGCGCTGCTTGCATTGCAACCACTGCAAGGCGTGCCGCATTATGCCAACAAAACGGAAGACTTTATTCGAGATGCGGTTACTGCGGTTGTAGGTCGAGTGCGGCCGAGCAGTACTTTATGGAGGACCAGCGCCACTAGTACGTCGAGCTCGAGCTCCTCGAGGGCTACAACCGCGGCGACTATGTCCCTACTGGAGGAGAGCAACTACAGGAACAACAAGCACATATCATCTCGTGTTAGCAAGACTAGAAGAAGTACCTCGTCTAGCTCTAGAACAGAAGAGTATATGAGAAATAAACAGAACAAGAACAAAAAATCTGGTGTACGAATAGAAAAAATGAAAGCACACCATGATGCTGGACCCTCATCCTCTACTTCTGACGGTTCTCCTGCTGGACAACAGCATCTTGGGTCGTCCGCTAAGAAATCAGGACGGTCGAAATTGCTTACGTTGCTCGAACTCCAAAGCCAGAGACATCGAGGACGACGATTGAAAAGCCGTCAGCTTGAGGCGACTTTAAGAACTTTAAGAACAGGGCTTCCTTTCATCTACAGTCGTGACTACTTAGTTATAATGAGCGGAAAAGTAGAATGTTGGGACACCTCATCTCTGTTTGTTCATCTCCGTAAGAGAACTATAGACCACTAACAGCGAGAACGCTGCGCCTGACGACAACTAGGATTATATATACAACAGGAAATATATAACATTTTTGCTACTGAATACTGACTAATAAAAGCGTCGCTTCAATCCGATGCTGATCGTGGTGCGATGGTTTATGTTAGGGATAGAGATCAAGGGAGACGTGGAGGTGAAGTCTTGCGGAGCTCCTCACCCGTTGACGATCCGTTTCATCTGCGAGAGGGTTCTTCACATAGTTAAGGCTTAGAGCTGAACATGCACACATCTCCATATTATTTGATTTCTCTTTTTTCGGTTTTGTTTTTTCTAGTTAGGTAGGTACGTGGGTCTGCTCCACCAACAACGATATTAGAACAGGGACAGAATATGAAATGCTCGGACATCAACTTTAGGAAGACTGCCATATCTTCATTAGCGAGGATTTTAGGATTGCAGACTACCATATCTTCACTAGCGGGACAGACGAAGGTCCTTGTTCCCATCTACAAAGCAACCCAGTATGTGATCGCTCTAGTCATTTTGTTCTCAGTTTATCTAAAGCTAATGTGAAGATCAAACATTTAATTTATTTTTTCTTCCCTTCCTTCTTTCTAACTAAAGGTAGGTACGTAACCTTCAAGACTGTTCTAATCTGCGGACGAACAAGAGCCTTCGCTTGGCGCAACGATGGGACGGACTACGAAGGACCTTATTTCTACGCTACACGAGATCGGGACATCAGTGGCTGGAAAAGTTGTTCTCCCGGGGGTGGATGTGGAAGATGAACTACATTCAAGAAAGACACGGAAGAAGGTGGTGGACGAGGACAAGATGAGCTATATCAAAATAGTGGACGAGAATGAGAAAGATACTAGGCACAGGAACAACAGGAAGGGTGACGATTTTGATCCGAAGGAGCTTGCTGCTGTGGAATTAGAGAAAGAAGAGGAGGATGAAGATGCTGACCAAGACAAAGAAGAGGGGGAGCACGATGAAGAAGATGAGGATCAAGACAAAGAAGAGCATGAGGACCAGGGAGTCGACGAGGATCAACACGAGCAGGGGGAAGCCAATGACAGGGAAGATAAAATACCTCACAACAATGAGAAGGGAGATGAGGACGCTGAACGTGAACATCACCACGAGAAAGAAGTTGCTGATCATCACGGCAAGAAAAAAGCCGACTCCGAAGTTGCTCACAAGGAAGATAAACTCCACAAGGAGGATGAGGATGAGAATAAAGAACCTCACAAAGACCACGACAAGGAAGAGGATGACGAGCCTGAAAAACATCATCATCATCATCATCATCATCATGATATAGCAACAGACATCAAGGAAAACAAGGACAAAGAAAGAACGCAAAAAAAATCCAACTCTCCTGATGAAGACAAGGAGAAGGCAGCTCATGCAGCTCTGGAGCAGATGAGTCTAGGAGAGTGGAAGTTTGATGCTCAGTGCTTGAGAGTTGGCGAATACCTTCCGATCTGGCCTGTGAGAAGTGTGAACCAAACCGCGATGTGGCCACCTACAGTTCACTGCCCGTCGAACTTTCTTGCGAGTGTTATGGTTCGATTGGTTTTTTGTGTTGATGGTTTTTTTGGATAATGAAGACGTTCTGGAAGTGGATGTGGTGTAGCAACTATCAATCAATGGCTGTAAATTTATTGGTTACAACTACTTCAAGGGCTACCACTATACCATTAGCACAGTCGTGCCCTGTGTGTTTTATTGTGATCCAAATGTTGGGCGTAGAGGTATCACGACACTTCTATAGTATAGATATTATAATATATATAATTCCTCTAAATGATCCAGCGATCCGCAAGGTGAGGGAAGCAAGGACTTGCTCGTGCAGAAGAAGGAGAAAGCGGAAGGAGAGGAGGAAAAGGAAAGAGCAACTGCAACCAATAATTATGCGCAGTGTGTTGTTATTTTTAAAACGCGCTTACTTGGAAAGGCAAGTCCGAGAATGCCCTCGAAGGGAATGCCCTTGAAAGCGTCGCCAATTTCTTCACGGATCATCCCAAAACTATGATCTTCCACAGTGAACGGCCCAACATGAAAATCGTCTTGCCCTGTAGATGACGATCCTAGCTGTTTCCTTGCAAGAAGAAAACGCAAAAAAAGCGCATTTTTGTACCTGATTCGTCTCAGAATGAAAATTTTCCATTTTGAGACGAATCTTGCCATTCTTCTAAATCCAAACCCAATTTGACGATGGACGGCCGACTCCGAATCAGACAGAGTGGAACTACGATGAATTTCAGGGGATGAAGGTGTCTATCGTCATTCCCACGAAATACGAGCAAGACTACATCGTGAAGACCCTCCGACTCATCTACGCGACGACGCCAATGTCTTTGCTTGAGTTAAGTCTTAATAAGTATGAAGTCTTAAGTCTAATGTTTATTTATTAAATGGCCATGGAATTGCAATTGGAAGATTCAATTTCACAGATGACTGGGTACTGGCGTGCGCGTCTCTACTGGTACCTCACTTTTCTGTGAGGGAAATAGCATCCGTGTCTCCGCTTTTTAGTCCTCCTGAAGAACGCAAGGGCAATTCGCTTGTTTCAAAACATCAGGAGGATCTCTACCCCGCGAATGGGTACACTACTACTACTTTCTTAGTAAAGATCTCCTTGCTAATCAAAGAAATTATTATTGTAGACGACAAAAGTCCGGTACCGGTCCAGCCACTCCTAGAGGAAGCAGCGAAGATTAAAGGAGGCATGTTGAGGGATCTGGTATTAGATTTTGCAATTTTAGATGAATGAATATCAACGTGTTGAATACGCTACCTGTGAATATCAATATGTTGAATATCAATATGTCTGAATGAATATGATTTAATGCTGCTTCTACCTCAACGTTGGTCGACATGAAGAACGTCCTCGAATCCTCTTTCTTCCCCCTCTCCGCATCAGTTTCATGTATATTAAGAATCCCACAAAATCAATCAAACAGACGGCCACGCAGCTCGCATCTATCAAAGTACTGCGAAATGAGCATCATCAAGGCTTGATCCGAGCAAAGATTCAAGGTGCAGAGATGAGTAAAGGCTCTCACATTTTCTTCCTAGACGGACACTGCGAACCTTTCCGCTTCTGGCTTGAACCGCTTTTGCATTTACGTCAAAATGTTAATATAGGAGGACTGTGTACTACAATGAGGAGTATTGCAGTGTAGGAATTAAGTACTTATTTGAAAAGCTAAAGATATAGTCAGAGGACAGTGCCAGAAGTTAGCATTGTCATACTAAAGTTCTAGTGCAGGGGCTAGTCAACTTAACGACCTACAATCTAGTCCTCGTCCTCTCATCATCATTATTTGCGACACTTAGAAGTCCCTCTCTCTATGAAAAAAACGCACTATGTATTCCATTTCCCCAACTCTAATCGCGCGTGCAAAGCCCAGTTACAAGCGCGTAGTGGTTCCATTGGTCGGGAACATCAATGCTACAGCGGAAAAACTACACGATTGGACACCAGTGGACAAGAGTGGTGGCGCGAAGATGATGTTCGACTGGACCTTCGAATTCCATTGGTTTGACGACAAAGAGAATGACGATGTGCCGATTTTGAGTATGGCAATTATTTCAAAATTTTGAAGAAATAGTGTATAAATATAGCTACCTTTCTACCTCCTTTCCGTCTCCTTTCCATCCCTTTTCATTCCCCGTGGCGGCCTATTACTTCTCTCCCGTCGTTGGTGGGATGAAGTCGGTGGCTACGATGACGGAATGGTAGACTGGGGAGGTGAAAATATTGAGCAATCTATGCGATGTTGGATGTGTGGAGGGGAAATACTGGTTGAAAGAAGAAGCATTATTGGACATATCTTCGAACGGTACTAGCGTTGTACCAGTAACTTATGTATTCTACTTTCTGTATTCGTCTCTGTACTGAACCCTTGAAGAACCTTGAAGAACCTTGTATATTCGTCTCTGTACTCCTGGCAACTACTTGTACTTCTTGCGTTAGTACAATGTCACACCAAGCATCCTTTTACATCTCCTTTCTCCAGGCCTGCCAATCCAACGAAAGTACGGAAAGACGGCGTACAGCGCAATAAGGCTAGAGCGGCGTACGTGTGGCTCGATCAGTACTGGGATAGCGCTTTCCTACCAAGTCAACCTGGTGCCAGGAATTTAGATTACGAAGGGTCGTGTTGTATCTCTTCTTCGAAGTTACTTGTTCATTTCGTTGATTCCTCTAAGTCCCTCTCGGACCGGGCCTGTTGCGGCAAATGCTCCATCGATTTGTCTACAGAGGCCAGAATAAAGCTGAAGACCTAGCAATTTTCCGAACAGGAAGCACAATGGCTCAGGACACGACAGTTTTTCTGGATCATGGATCTGCATCTGCTTCGTCGGAGATCAAGAAAGTACAGGAGGACGTGCCACAGGAGCACGTGAAGGAGAAGCAGAAGAAAGCAGGGGGTCATCATGAGAAAGGTAGGAAAGTCGGTAAGCATAATGACTTTCAAAGGTTCAGTCACGACCCTGATGAACAGAGCTCTAGTGCAAAAAACGAACATCACAATGACACTGAGATGAAGCTGCAAGTAGATGGGAAGACACATCTTCACGATGAGAAGCCCCATTCACTAGTAGAGGCGGCCAGCATCTCACAACGAACTGAGGGAGCTTCTGAACATGAACATTTTCTGCTTGAGGAGAAATCACGAGAAGATCATGAGCAGAAGACTCTCCATGAAAATCCACCACCACAGCAAGACTCTTCTACTGCCCATATCAGGTCACTCTCAGAACAGCTCGTGAAGAGTATCGAAGGCGAATTAGATCTTTTAGAATCCCACGGAAAGAGTCAGGAGATGAGGAAGGACAGCACACATCCATCTCGTAGAACACAGAAGCAAACAGTTTTTTTAGAGACCGAGGAACGCGGTAGTGCTAGTACTGGTGATAGTGCTGAGGACGACCTCCCAGTGGTCCCAGCGAAGACGAATGTGATGATCCATTTTGAGGATGGTACAGTGTTGGCCACAGGGGGTAAGCCGCTTGATGGACATGGACATCATCGACGTGGAGAACTCCATGAAGATGGAGAACACCTCCATCAAAGTCGTGCTTCTTCTTCCGAAAGAAGTAGTAGTTCTTTAGACACAAAGAACAGGCATCTTCTAGAGACTGGTGCGAAGAGGATGGACACACTTGTCCACGTCGATAGCGCATTAGCTGTGGTAGAAAAGGCGCTGTCTTCCTCTGGTGCTGAACAATTGGAGAGCAATAGTAAAAGTAGTAGACACAAGAAAACGAAAAGTCGCAGTGCTCGGAGTGGTACGGTGATTGTTCGTCATGTAGAAGGTCAAGAGGGACGCAAGGACACCGAAGCGGATACGTCACTCGCTGACATAGTTAAGGAACCGTTTTTCTACATTCTGCTTGAGCTGTCGTCCTATGCACTCAATACTGTGCTGTCAAGCGAAAGCGTTTCTTATGCGAGGCAACAATGTATATGATTGTCCTGCTACTCGTCTAACCTTTTCAACACCACCTCATTATATCTGCGCCACCTCCACCTCCTCTAATAGCCGCACCACCTCGAAATCTGCCGCGACAAAAGAAGAAGACCGCTCAGTTCAGTGTACCAACTTTGAGTGGTGGAAGAATCGGTTCAACTCCGTTTTCGAAACGCGGGGTCTTCTAGTCTCCGACGCACATCATATGCGACACACGCCATCAGGGCTGTGTCTCGATGTCAAGGATAATTATGGTTCGTGGGATTGTATTCCGGCACCAGAACAAGTACTAGAAAGAACTCCTCGATCAGACTCAGGTATAATCCCGATTCGATTCGCGTACAACCCACCGTTTAAAAAGTCGAACAAGAAGTAAGTACCTCATTCGCGTTTACTAGGTCTACCTCAAGCTCAAGGTCCTTCTAAGATCAAGGCAAAGACAAAACGCCGCTGGTGCTTTTGAACGAGTGCAACCCTGGAGCAGACACACAAAAGTGGTCGATTATCCACAACAACACACGCGTTATGAACCACAAGCTCGACAAATGCTTGGATAGAGGTACTAAGTATTTTGAGCTAGAAGATAATATCTTCAGAAGTGTGTGCGAACTTGATTAGCTTATCTAACTGCGAGGTAAATGAAGTTAAATCACCTACAATCTATTCCAATCGCCATATATCTATGGTACGTCTCTTGATTGCAATGGCATAGGTATGAAGGTCTGGTTGCATCCGTATGATACTTGTGGAAGTTGAGTTCTCGGTTCTATAGAAAAAAATATCAATCAATCTGTAGGATACATGCAAAATTTGAATATGAAATCCAGGCATCGATAATTTTAAGCGCTTGCCACACCAAGTTCTCATAAATCTACATAACCTGCGGTTCTGGTGAATCGATGACTTTTAGTCCAATTTGCGCCACAGGTAATGACGGTGCGCGAATGGCTCCCATTTTATATGCATGCGATTTTGGGCACAACAGCAACCAGCATTGGAGTTTTGCTGGTGCCTTGTGGCCTCCAAGCCAAGACTTGAGTTAAGAGGTTCATGTCGTTTCGCTACTGATTCATTCAAGAACTTTTTTTTTCGATAATATTATAATTTATTATCAAGAACTACTGTAGTTCAACTACATCTAGTTCTAGAGAACACAATTTTTGTCCTCAGATGTTCTTTTTCGTTCGTGAACAAAAGTGAGAAGCTGATAGCTGCGAAGCTGATAGGAGCTCTAACAACGACGGTCACGACCATATGGAGACCGGGAATTCGCCAGTATGGTGTACAGCGACCTCTACGGTCACGATGCGAAGTGTCTTGGTTTTCCGCTGACTGCACCAGTTGATCCTTATGGGCTATGTTGAGTCTCAGTATCTATATTAATATGTACAGTTTCTTACATCAACCTAGTACAACTTCGTAGATGAAGATGAACCCTCCGCCTTCTACTTGCTTCTAGTAGTTCCATTTCTAAGTCCAAAAGAACACCTTCGCGGAGGTGAATCGGACCGATTTCAATGCCTTCCGCGGGATGGAGGTAGGACTGCACACCTGCAAAAAACGGAAGAAGAGCATCGCTTCTCTGCACGAAATTGGACGCAGAGTCAGGGAAAAGTTAAGTGTCGACGAATAACATATGCTATCCTTTAGTTTCACATATAATAGTGATTCTAAAAATATACTAAATCTTCTTCGATGTGCAGGTGCAACATCCATATAAGCTACCCTAACCTTCAGCAGCACAAATGGGACTGTCTCACGTGTGAGAAGCTTTTACCTCTATGACTATGACCCACCTCTAAGATGACGGGCCTCAGCCACAATCTACGAAGATCTTGCGGCAGGCAAGGAAAACCGATTCTACGACGAAGAGTATGCATTTGATGTTATCTGGTGAAGAATGCATTCAATATTATCTGGTGAGCACAACTACTGAATATTGGTTTGATGTTGTTAAAGATTATAAGTACGATTTCAGCCAGTTATGACAGTGTTGATATAAGTACGTGTGAACACAACTGTTGACGATTTGACTATTTCACACTTAGTTTTTGTTTCTCTTCCTAGACGTACAAATTGAGGTACTATTTTGGCGCCCAATCAGTTGTTTTTGTTTAGCACCAGACCTTTTCGATAGTTCGTTGTGGTTTCGTTTTTCCGTATTCTTTTGTTTCCGAACTAACTCACGTTCGGTTTTCGTTTGATTGAACATTACTTCAAGGAATTTCCATTACTTCAAGGAATTACCGAACGATCGAAAAGAAGGGATCGCTCAATTTTCCAATTTTCTAAGGAGAGGAATGAATACCTTTCGATGTCGTGAATGTGGTGGAAAAAGTGCAATCATGTAGAGCTTGTCGCCGCTAGCGACTAATGCAGAGACACCTCTTACCGTTGATATTGACTTGTTTCGGATTTTTTGTACAGACCGACGAGATAATGATGTTGAATGAGGATTGATCTTAGGATAAGGAAACTTGTTACAACACCTTCAGAGTTAAAATGCCAATGAAAAAAATGAAAACTCGGAATGAAGAAGAAAGCAATTACCCGGGTAGCACCCCTACTCATATCCAAGATCAGTAGCAGTACCCTTTTCGTTGTGAAAAGAAACGCCCGAGAGACCCTGCAATGAATTGTCAGGAGTACACCTCCTCCTCCACCTGCCTTGATATCTTCATCTGGCACAGCACCCTAATCATCCAAGAAGGCCTATCAGGAGTACAATCAAGTGCCAGCTAGTACGAAGGGAGGTGTAACTTCCTCTTTGAAGCTGAAACGCGCTGGGGAATCGACCTCAGCTAGCCTGACGTTGGAGGTTCGTGTTCCATGCTTTTCGTCGGGGGGATGTTGATGTCAATACGAGCGAGACAGAGAGAGAGAGACTTTTGACTTTGAAGTGAAACCTGTTCGACGCAAAATGGTTTAGGATTTTCAGAGTAAACTCCTGAAAGTACGTGTTGGTACTATAATGTAGTTATGCTAGAGGTGTAGTTCTGAAGCAACATCCATGATGAGGGAGATGACCTAGCGGCCGTCCACGGAGTGGTCCGTGTCGTGCTGGGCGGGGCGGTGGCGGACTGGTGGATGACTGGTGGAACCACAAGAAACATCAACAAGCTTGATCCGATCATTACTTGTAGGACAAGAGCAGACATTACTACGAGGAGCGAAGATGCAGCAGTCAAGTAGAAGTCCACCGTCTTCGACTCCTAGTGCCTTGTATGACGTGGCACTCGATCAACCCGGGGATGAAGTGGGGCAGAGTGGAACGAGGCAGGAGAATGCAGAGGTCGGAGATTATGGACATGTTGATGTTTGAATCTTGAAAATGACCGTGAACAGCACGAATCCGTTACTTCAGTTTTCCTAGTACGTAGTTGATCTTGTTGATCATGCATTCAGCTTAATGGAACTGAAGAGCACTGGTTGAGACACTTCGTTTTATGAGTCGAGTCGTCGACCAGCTCTAAGACGAAGAGGAGTCACCAGCAACTCGGCCAAGCGTGACCACGGCGCGCGCGGTCGACATCGCAAACTTGGCGGATGACGAGGACTCAACGGTGGTGCAGGTCGGAGGACAGGAAGGAGATGATGGATCAGTTAAGGCTATTTACAATTCATTTTTTTTCTCTGGGCCGATGGTTGTTTGAACATAGAACATAGAAACTCTAACTACATCATTACCCCTAGAGCAGGAGTTGAATTACTTCAAGTGGTAGTTGTAGTACAACAACCTACCTTATCTTCCTCTAACTCCTCGTTAACCGGAGGCATAGGGGCGATCAAGAGTGCAGGCAATTTGATGTCGTTGGCGTGGCTACTGCGAGAAAGCGTGCTTTCGTCTGCGTTCGCTATTGTTTGCGCATTGTATCTGTGCGGGCGGTCCTTGATCGTCTCCGCCTTGTACCTGAATGTGAGCATGTTTTTGCTCTTTCTCGCACAAAACAATGGGATGAAGGGAGGCAAGGGACAAAAAACGGTATGCTCGTTCTTCTTGGCACTGCTTTTACTGAGTATTGGCCTGTCGGGGAAAATCAGCGACGTCGAACAACATCATCAAGACTCAGCGTCTGGTCCTTCTGGCGACAGCGGGTCAGCGCCACCTACAAGAGGACAGCTCTACTACAACTATCTCGTGCCGCACTCGGTGGCGAACTATCTGAGTGCAATAAGCCTACACTCAACAAGCACAAAGGGTAGTAGTGTCATTGACAGGGAACGCGCTGCACTAGGAGGTAGAAGTACTATCTGTATCATGCTTGTTGTTTAACTTTAACTTTAAAGGACGAATTTGCTTGTTGTTTAACTTTAAAGGAGGAATTAATGAGGAATTTTCAAGAAGCTTCGATTGGTTTTCAGTAACTTGCTTGAAGAATAATATCCTCATTACCTCCTCAACATCCCCTCTGTCACTTCTCAACAGGTGAAGTTGCTATGGCAGAAATGCATCATAAGGATGTCGTCACCTCAAAGTACTCGCATTTACGCGGTAAAGTCCAGAACGTGCGGGAAGAGTTCAAGGGTCTCACGGTTTCCATCATAATACCTGCAAAATTTATGGTCAAACATGAAGCTGGAGGTTCGTTTGTTTCTCGGTTTATCTTCAAGCATTTGTTTCAACAGGAGGACAGTTATAAATATAATCAAGAAAATAGTACTAGTACAACTATGTATTGGCCACTCCTAGTCCTACTTTCAGCATGCACTATCAATGCTACCATGAAGTGCTGTCCTGATTTGTCTCTCTCTAACGCACACGAAAAAGAGTACATCACGAAGACGCTGATGTACGTTTACAAGATCACGCCATGGGACTTGTTAGAGGAGACAATAGTAGTAGACGACGAAAGTGGCGACCCTATAGACCCACTGATCGAAAATGCAGTCAATGCTGGCGAGTTGTCGTTTTTGTCGACAGAACAACTTATGGTGTTGTTAATGCGTAGAACTCAAAGGAGATTCAGGGAAGTCGTAGGTCCAATCCGAACCGACTAACCTCATCAATGCTGGACGATAGTGGGAGGTTCTGAGCAGGATTTTGTTGAAGATCTCGATAATTACATTGTAGCTTCTGAAGTACAAGTAGATTGTAGTTACCAGTCATCTCTAATCCTTGGAAATCAATCCGAATTTTACGGAACAACCACAGACAGGGATTGATCCGAGCGAAGATTATGGGTGCGAACGCTGCGATAGGGACACATATCTTCTTTCTGGATGGCCACTGTCGACCGTTCGAAAATTGGCTAGAACCACTGCTGCATAGGAGTTTAGGTACCAAATTGGACATTTATAAATAGAAGCTGCACATTCCCTTATGGCAGTCTGCACTGAACTTTGTGCGGAAAATACGCAGGTAGGTTTTGACTCGTCGGAACTCGCTCGCACTACAAAAAAAAAAGTGCGAGATCAATTGTGTTGCATTGTAGTTGTACTGCGTTGTACTGTATTGTTTTGTATTGTAATGTATTACACCAACTACCCCTCAAACGGCCACAAGAAACAGGCAACTACAAGCGGATCGTAGTTCCGACAATACCTGATGTGGAGGCGCGGGACTGGAGTAAAAAACCGAATGTGGGCATTAAGATGATGTTCGAGTGGAACTTTCATTTCGACTGGTTCGACGATCCGGGTGACGAAGTGCCTATTCTTAGTGGTGGCCTTCTTTTGATGACGAAAAAGTGGTGGAACGAGATGGGAGGGTATTATTTTTCTAGATCATCTTTGTGGTTTGTTAACGACACGAATTTAACAGACCACAAAAGATGTGGTTTGTTAGGTTTTTGTAAGTACTAGAAGTACTACTGCTCGCGATTGTAGTTCCTTTTTCTTTTGTCAAAATCGACGAGTCAACGACACTAGATTCTTTTTATCATCTGTAAGCCATGACATAGCCACAAATACACACTCTTGAAGACTTGCTCACATAGACACAAATACACACTCTCGAAGACTTGCTCACATAGACACAAATACACACTCTCGAAGACTTGCTCACATAGACACAAATACACACTCTTGAAGACTTGCTCACATAGCCACAAATACACACTCCTCACTCTTCAAACACCCCTAGCACCAACCTCACCACCTCAGCTACGACGATGGCATGTTAGAGTGGGGTGGTGAAAACATTGAGCAGAGTCTGCGATGTTGGATGTGCGGTGGCGAAATAGTGGTGGAGCGAACCAGTCAAGTAGGGCACATCTTCTTCCGACCTCAGCCACCAAATAAGGTGAAGCCGCTCACGGTGCCGAGGAACAAGGCTAGAGTTATGATGAGATATATAATCGTATATTCAGGAGATGATATGAATGGAGTTGATTTTTGTGAGAAGGAGAAGAGGAACAGTCGATCTATTTACATTTAGTCTGCCAGAGACGTTACTGTTACTCACGTCGTTAAGCAGTCCTCGGTCTTTTGTAGTAGCAGTCGTGTCTCTATTCGGGTCACAGCTGAACCGGGCAATTACTTGTAGCTGCTACGTGGATCGAATGAATGAGTGAGTCTGCTTCTCATCCCTTGTGTTGGTAGCATAATGTTCGACTGGTGTAGTTTATCACTTCGCGTATCCTTAGACTTTCCCTGCGCTACACCTACATCTACTACTAGAAGACAGGAAGCTCCTCTTCTAACAGTCCTGGCTACGTCTGGCTGGACAACTACTACAAAATCTTCTCGGAGAAGGTGCCAGAAGTAGCATCTTTGGACCTGGGAAACAATCTTTTAGAGAGATTGCTGTTCAGGTACAATTCCTTGAGGAACATTAATTTGTCGTACGTACCGGACAAGATTTTTATTTAACAAATATTTATTATTATTTAATAGGAGTTGGAGAAAAAAGGTGACACAACTTTAGTATCAGAATCGGATACTAGTAACAGGTATAGTTACGGTTGCAAGAAGTTCGATTGGTGGCTTCACCGCTTCCAGAGCGTGTTCGAGCAGCAGGGTTTGATAGTAGACAAACAGCACCATGTGCGCCACAGCGCGACAGGACTCTGTCTAGAGGCCGACTTGAATTATGGTTCTTGAACTTTGTGCGAGATTAATTGTATTGTATGTTCAATGCGAGGATCAATTTTTCGAGGATGAAAGGCGTTACTAGTAGATGAGCAGCACCTGAACAAATTTCTCCCCACGACGTATGATGTATCCCCAAGAATGAATAGAAGATCCAGCACGGCATAGTTTCGTGTCACTCGAGTAACGTGCTGGGAGTAGCCACCTCTAATTTCGAGAAAGTAAGGTCGCCATGGCCGTCTGTCAACCAGAGAACGACTTGCAGCGATGGGGCTGGATTAACGGCAGGAAACGACTAGTGAACGCGAAGGCCAAGAAATGCCTAGACAGAGGAAACAATTATGACTTCTACAAGTATACGTACAAGTACAGAAATTGTACTAGCTTTCCTTACCTTTTTCTCGACTCATTGTGATTTCGTTCGTAATACACATGTTGTTGCTGTCACTTTATTCAACCATAGCAAATAACAGGTCACTCTTTTGCTTCTTCTAAATCGCGACCAATTACAAGTACAACCTTATCGTTCCTATTTTACCCTCTCTTTCTTTTCTAAAAAGCCGCTGGCTTCGCAACACCAATTCTGTACGCTTGTGACCGGACAATGAGCAACATGAATCAGATATGGAGTTTTACCAACGACAGGGATCCGCCATCACAGAAGGATAGGAATTTCCAGGACGATCACACTTTTGCCGGGTTGATTTTCAGCAACGGACAGCAAGATGGATCTCATTCGGACAAGCTCGGACTGGCTTATGATGTGTGAGTTTTGTTTAAACATAGCACGACTTCTATTTTTAAGGAACGATGCATGACCCCTCAGTCTATTTTTAAGGAATGATGTCGTGAGTTTTGTATTTGTTTGAACAACATAAAAGGACCTTGAAAGAAAGATGGTGCACCCCTCACTTAAACAAACTCTTCAGCACGTCAACGAACAATCAAACTGCTTCTCTGGTAAGTCTTTTTCACCTTCAACAAACCTCTCCGACAAACCTCTCCCACAAACCCTTTTCACCTTCGCTTAAAAATCATATGTCCCCCAAACCCTCATTTTCATCCCCTCCATCTCCGAAGCAGCATTGGCGGCAAATGTATCGGATCACCTTGGAGTCACGAGAACAAGGTTGGCATGTACGACTGTGGCCAGGAAGCGGTGTCGAATCCAAACTTTCAGTTTGATATTATCTGGTAGTTTCTTTTTCAGGGTAACTAATGTTCATTTTCGATTTTCACTTGACGTTCACGTTACAAGCATCTGAATGTATCAACACCTCCTAGCACGCTTTTTTAGTAATATTTCCAATCAACAGATATTGATATTATCAACAATCCAGCATCACAGCAAACATTTATAAATATGTATCGACTAACACTAACCTATCGTATGCCAAAGACAGCTAGCCAAGGGCAGCTAGCGTCGTGAATACTCATCTTAGATTTATGACACAAGATTTGTCTAGCAGAGGCGTCACTGCCGCGTGATTTTTTAAAAATGTTGACAGACGATGAAAAGATGGAAAGTCGAATTTACGTTAGCTTATAAGACGAGAATTGTACATCTACCTAGTACATAAGATGAATATTGTACATATACAGTAGTATAGTCTACTACTGCATAAACAGAAAGCTAAAAGCAGCGTTCCAAGAATCTAGCAGGTGCAGCGGCATGATAAGCCTTTCCTTCTTCCATCGTAGAGTGTTTTTCTGTTACTAATGCTAGTTTGACGAGAATGAAATAGCAACTGAATATATCACGAGTGAAAAAGTGTTTTCGGACGCGCAAAAAGTGGTGCATAATATGTTGCAAAGAAGACTCGCGGCAAATAACACGTAGTACCTCCTGCTCTACTAATAAAACGATAAACCTAAAAATCAATGAGAATGAGTTTTCTTCTTACTCTCCTTACCTTAGACATGAATTTCAGATTGTTACTTCTACATTCAGATTGATAGACTCCATATCCTTCCACAACAAAGAAGAAGTCTCAAAAAAGATGGGTGCGCTTTGTTCCCGGCCGTTCGGGCGCGGCGCGCATCAGTGCAGTGTCGTCGTCCCATTTGTTCCGGCTGAGAAGCTCGACGCCGTCGAGGCAGAACCCAGTTTGCCGCGACACAGCGCTAAAAGCGAGAAAGTCGTGTCGTTTGAAGGTTATGTTGGATGAAGTTTGATTGTGAGTATTTGATTTTCTTGATAAGAGTAAGAAAAAGAAGGTGATACCGCAGTTTTAGCATCAGATAAACAACATGCACATCTCCCGACTCTGTATGTCTAATTCCCAGACGCTCCACGCAATCTAGCTCAAGGCACCACATTGCTGGAGGATGTCGATCGTTTGCAGGCTTTGTCCGGGAACCTGATGCAAGATCGGAGTCTTGCCAGCCAGGTCATCAGGGGTTCATCTCTTGTGCTTTCCCATGGTGTCGGTGTGGAAAAACAGTCACAACAAGTAGTAGAGGAGACCACTGCTGAGAATGAGACTCAGGAACCAGTAGAAGAGGAGAACGTGGTTGGGCACGACGAGTCTTATGAGGAGAGAGTCGTCCAAGTAGTTCAGAAGGACGAAGCGATCGACGTGAAGGATCAAGATGAGGGTGAAGTGAAGGATCGAGATGAGGAGGAAGTGGTACTAGTAGAGCAAGTAGGACATGAGAATAATTAAGGCTCAACTTTCAATGGTCACTGGGGTTCGTTGACCACTGAGATCGAGGAGGCGACCCCTTGAGGAAAGATGGGGGGAAAACGAAGGGAAAGGGGAGAGCTTTGAAGGGGGTCGCTTCCGTTCAGCTTCAGTGACCACTGAGTACTGAGCTTTAAGAGAAGGCTGAAGAAGAAGGAATTGTCGTCGACAAGGTTGGGGAAGTCGCAGTAGTTGTCAACCACGACAAGGAGGAAGTGGAACAACAGGCGATGGAGAAAGAGGAACATCAAGAACAGACACTTTATCATGAGAAGCTGGAACACCCAGATGAAGCCGTACGACGAGAACAAGATGATGACGTTGAAGAAGAAGAGCAAGATGACAATAAACAACCATCGCGACAGGATTCTCTCGCCCTACCAGAGAGCATTCTAGATGATCCGGCATCGGAAAGCAGCCCCAAACGTGGCGAAGCCGCGCCAAGACATACCGATCGGGAATACGAGACACTCAGTGCAGCTGCCGCAGCTCCTGCAGTAAAGGAAGAAAATGTTCAGAATGATGCAAACAATCAACAAACATCAAATGCAGGAGCTCGGGTCATCAACAATAAAGACAGCATCTCTCAGGTCATCGAGAACAGCATCATAGACGACGTCATCCGCATCGCAACTACGACGACTAACGGTCTTGTCACTGAAGAAGTTGTGGTAGGGGAGAAACTAGAAGGTCAAGCAACTACGTCAGGCGCCGTTGCGGGGATCGCTATCGCTTCTTCAGCGGAACCAGAAGATCTTCAGGTGAGTTCCGCTATTGTGGAAGACTCGCATCAACATCATCAAGTACAACCCGAAGTAGATGAGAAAACAGTAGTAGCCGCAGCACTGAGTGCTATCTATAAAGCTGCTACTCGCGGCGGTTTTCTACAACCTGTTTCTGTTGGACAAGAAGAGAACAAAGGTCTAGCTCAGTTGACTGCAGAGAATCAAGTACTACCTATTCATCAACCTCAGGAAGACTGTCTGGAGAAACTCGAATCCGATGAGATTGCTCCTTCAGCCGCACCACTGATTTCCGAGCTTCCGATGCCAGATGATGCGATCTTCGTTCGCTCTACTTCATGTACTTCTTTAAATTTGCAGCTCTTTCTGGAACCAAAATGTGAAAGAACTTGAACGTCAGCATTGCTCCATACGGGGAGTTTTTATTCTGTTCCTCAAGGAACTCAAGGCACCTTCATCTAGCAACTGGGTATTCAATTTCCCTATCGTTATCTCAACCTCTAGGTTCAGGAGCAGACAATGAAATCGATGTGGAACAAAATTTTCGCACTTTGCCGGAATGCAGTATTGAATTGCCTCAAACAGAGGACTACGTCCGACAGATGCTGCGCAGATTTGACCAGCCCAACGAAGCAACCAGTGTCTTGAGTCGCTGCTATGACGCTGCTATTCTGCAACTGCCGAACCAGATTGCGGACGAGGAAATGGGAGAGCAATGATGGGAAATATCAAAGATTGATTACAATTTGGGAATCGTGAAAAAAATGAAGGTTGTAACTATAAGTTGTTGTGGTCGTTACAACTACAGTTTTGTGGTATTACAAGTTGTAAGGTGTACTGAGAGTGAGATGTCATAGTCGTCGTGGTTATTTAGTTATTGTTTGTTTGTTTGTTTGTTTTGATGCGCTCCGGGCGACGCGTACGATCCCGCCGGATTTCTTTGTGCTCTGTGTGTGTCGTGCTATGGTCGTCATTGCGATCGACTATGGTTTCATGTCAGGTCGCCACAGTCCCCGCCAGCTGCGGCTTTTGTGGCATGCCAGGCGCGGCGTGCTGCAGGCGGCGGCGACTGCGCGTAGGTAGCACCTGGCGGCGAGGCGCGTCCGGGTTTGGTTGACGTTCTTGCGGCCTGCGTGCACTGTTCTTCGCGTTCTCGTTTTGTCTTCGTTCTTTTTTGTCTTCGCGTGCTTCCTTTCTTGTCTCCTCCCTGCTCGTTCTTTGTTCGCCACCACCTATCTCGGCCCCCGTCCTATCGTAGCGGGCAGCGATGGGTTTACCACAGCAGCCGCTACTCGTTTCCCCTTGTCTTCACTGGAGGTGTGGCGGCTGCGCTCGCAAGAACGCACCGCCGAAGCTGGTCGCTAAGTCGCGAAGGTATGGGATTAGCCGCTTCGGGTTCGACGCAGCCACCCCAACATTCGCCGGAACTCCGTGGGCCTCTACTAGAGCCTGGAGCGCAGGGCACTCTAGTAGGTGCTGCGTGCTTGCCGCAAGGCCAGGGCAAAACGGGCAGCCAACGTCCTCCCCGGTGACTCCGCTCGCCAAACGTCCCAGCCTGAAGGCATAGCATCGCCGCTCGTCTTCCCGCGAGCACGTTACGCCTCGCAGGAGGTCCTTGCCGCAGCTGCCTGTGTCTGTTACGGTCTTGGCCGTCTTGCTCCCTGTGCGTGCTGCTCCGCTTATCTGGCGCGACTTGGCTACGCGAAGTACCCTCGCGGCCTCCGTGCGGTACTGCCTGTGGCCGATCGCCTGTCCCGTCTCGGCGGGGAAGTCCGAAGAGCTTGCTATTCCGGCTAGCTGGTCAGCGATCTCGTTGCCGATGACGCCTGAGTGCCCGCGGGTAAATCTCAGCTCTAGTCTGCCCGCTGGTCCGAGTCTTGTCAGGGCAGCACGAAGAGCCGAGTACAGGGCTGTGTCGTTGTCGTTCCTAAGTGCTGGGTTTAAGATCGCGCGCAAGTTGGACTGGCTATCGGTTACGATGACGACCCTTTGGCCAGGGGTAGCCCTGGCGCCTATCCCCCACAGGGTCGCCTCGATTGCCGATCTCTCCACCTCGAAGGAGTCACACAGCGGCCCGCAGTCCCAGGCGGAGCCGAAGTATCCAGCGCTACTATACCAGAAGGCCGCCGCACCACCGCGAAAATCGGAGACCGACCCGTCTGTGTAGACCGTCACGGCTGCTTTGCTCAAAGCGTCGACGAGTGCGGGGGCGCCACCTGCTGCGCTTGGCTCGACGATGAGGCGCCCGTCCTCCTGCGCCACATGTACGCTAGAACAGCCGTCACCTGCATGCGCGGCAACCTCTGGCAGCACAGTCGACTTTGCTGCGTGCGATGCTCCGCACTGGATGATCCTTCTCCCGGACTGGATCCATCCGACCCCGGGGTGCCTGTCTACTAGTTGCCGGAGGAGGTCTGCCTTGGGGCGCGAGCTTGCCCGAGCGACCACCGACGCCGCGTCGACCGTGTACTTGTCTTCGAATGTCGCCAGCCCCGCCAAGGCGAGGGCGCACTCCCGCTGTGCGTTCCCTGGCTGCCCCAAGATCAGGCATGCTGCGCGGTACTGGAAGCCCTCGAGCTCTTTCCTTTGCTCTGCGGTCAGCCTTCCCCAATAGCACACCAACCCATACGCCGCTGCTGCCTCGACAAAAAGCTGATGCATCACGCGGATTTCTCGAGCGCGGCTCCAGGACTCCCTGGCAAGCTGCCGCGCAGCTGCCTCCCGGCGTCGCATCTTAGCGACGAGCGCCTCGAAATGCCTCCCGAACGACCACCGGCGGTCGACGACGATTCCGAGGAACTTCGGGCACGGGTCGTAGTGGATCTGCACCCTCCCAGCCGAGAGGCTAAGCTCCGGCATCTCGCACGCATACTGCTCCTGGAAGACAATGTAGGAGCACTTTCCTGGCGACAGCTGTGCGTTACTAGACGAACAGAACGCAGCCACGAAGTCTAGGGCCGCCTGGAGCTCCCGCTGCCCGGCATGCGGGTCCGTGTACTCGACCGAGAGGACGATATCGTCGACGTATCCAAACACTTCGACGCCAGGGCAGCGCGCTCGGAGCTCAACCAGGAGGGGGTCGATATAGTGCCCCCACACCGATGGGCCGCTGACTGTTCCCTGCGGAACGCCTTGCTCCAAGTCGACCCTCGGCGAGAGCGCCTCCGCGAAACGCACGACCCTTGTCCGCCCAGAAACGAAAGCCCCTAGCCATCGGGCTATCAGGAGGAACTGCTGTCTGTCACTAGACCTGGCCGGCCCACTGCCCATGGCTGTTGTGTTTGTGGCGCTGAAACTGCTGCGCTTGGCAAGTAGGCGGTTGACGAAAAGGTCCGGCGGGACACGCTCGAAGGCCCCTGTGAGGTCCAAGAAAACAGCCGCCCGTCGTTTGTGCTTGCGGAAAGTCTCCTGAACCTTGACTGCCATGGCAGCCACATGGTCAGGCGCTGCCCTTGCTGGTGTGTCACCGTACTGCGCCGGGTCGTACTGAAGGCGGCCAGCAGCCTGGAAGAGCATCCGGAGGCGCCTCTGTGCGGTTCTCTCGACCACCTTTGCTAGTGTCGACGTCAATGCAATCGGACGTAGGCCCTTCGGCTCCGGTACGTTTGCTGGCTCCTTTGCGGGCTTCAGGATCGGCGTGCACAGCTCGCTGCGGAGTGGGGCCGGCACTACTCCGGTGCTCAAGCTGCCCCGGATGAATCTCAGCAGCAGTCTCTTGCCTGCCATGGGCATCTCCTGTAGTTGCTGTGTTGTGATCCCATCCTCCCCTGGTGCAGCCGCTGCTTTCTGCTGGCTGAGGGCACACACAACGTCGTCCAGGGTGACCGTAGCAACCGCCTCCGCGTCGAGCTCCTCCGCAAAGATCGTAGCGTTTGCACGCGCCGCCTCCCTCATCGTCGCCTCCGGAAGACGTGGGTGACCGTCGTAGAAGTGCGCCAGCACCGACGCAAGGTGGTCAAAGAAGACCTTGCCGCAGTACCGCAGTCCCGCGACAGCCTGTTCGCACCTTGGACCTCCCTCGAGCTCACGCAAGACCTCGAAGCACCCCCTTGTTGACTTCTCTGCAGCCTGGACCCGTTCTAGGAAGCGGCTACGGAGACGGGCCCCTTCTGCGTCTGCGACGGCGCTTGAGGCTTCCGCCACCGCCTGACTCCAGAGGGCGACTTCGCTGCTGGTCCTGGCTCGCGCGAGGCGGGTCTGGCACTCCTCTCTGAGCCTTAGCGCCTCCGCAAGCTCTTTCGGCTCCCTCCGTCGTTCGCCCGCCTTGTGCGTTCGCCTGCGTACGTTGACTCTCGGGGTCGCTCTCTTGGACGCGTGGACTATCGCCCTGTGCAGATACGTGTACTGGTCCTCTATGCGTGCCGGGAAGGGGTTTGCCTCCGTGAAGGCGCGGTAGTCCTCTCTGTAGAGATCCCAGTTCGTGTTGCGGATGTCTAGCCGGACCCTGTTGCGTCGCGTGCTCGTCTGCTTCCACTCCTCAGGCCGGAAGGCTGCTCCCTGCGTGGTCGGTGCGGTGCCACATGGACGGCATTTCGGGTCGAAATCCACGCGCGTTCCGCCTTCGGAGCTGGCGGCCAGGCCGCTGCCACGCGACAACCCTACGAAAGCCCCGACTCCGCCGAGAGCGGTTGCTCCCAAGGCTACAAGCCCCATCCATCGCGCGACCCCTGGTTTTCCGCTTCTCTCCTCAGGCGGTGGGGCTCGGGGCGGTGTCTTAGCTGCTGTTCGCTGTGCTTCCTCGTACCGCTCCCGCCGGAGCCTCCTCTTTCGTGCGCCGGAGCTCTTCCCCGATCCTGCGACGGGATCAAGCCCGCCTCCCGGGGGTGCTCGTCTCTCCTCCTCAGTCGAGTCGTTCTGTCCGGTCACTTGTCGCGTGTTGCTGGTGTTGTCGTCTGTGGCGTCTTTTTGTGCGTCGGTGTGCTGCCGACGGCTCTCTGCTGCTGGTGCCGAGTGCTGCGGCGGGTCGGTCCGCACGGTGGGAGCAAGAAAGCCCCAGGCGGTGGCGTCGGTGTTCGTTCGTGCATGGTCCTGGCGTGCGCTTTGGTGTGTTTTTGGGACCCACGTCTTTCCCGCCGCGCCAGCCCCTCTGCTCGTGTTTCCGCTTGCTCCTGCTCCTCCGTTCCTGCTGCACTTGCCGGCCCCTCCTGTGCTAGATGAGCTACTGGACGACGTCGAGGACCCGCCGATGGTTGGGTCATTTCCACCCGTGCCTTCGGAGCCCGGCGCGCTGGTCGCTCTCGCCGCACATCGCGGGGCCATGTCCGCCTCCGCTGCGAAGGGGAGATCCGTGATCACCCCCGCATGGTCTCCAGCGAGCACCGCAACCGCCGGCCCCCCCGGTGTCAGTGCAGCGGTACGCGCGTGCAGTCTGCCCGAAAGCAAGGTCCAGTCGGGGGACGTTCCGCTTGCAGGCCGCGTCGGAGTACGTGCGTTGGCATAGACCTCGAGCCCGTTTCTCCTGGCCCAGTCGAGGACCTGCGCTCCCCTCCGGTCCTCCGACGCCGTGGCGAGGTTCTCAGGGCTGTGTCCGTTTACATCCCAGTGCAGAGCGACGTCCCCTGCTGGTAGCGGCGTTGCGAGCACCTCAGCCGAGCCGGGTGGCGTGTATACTCCCGCGCTTAGGATGGACCTCTGGCCGCCAGCGTCGTGGATCCTCACCGCGGTGTAGGCATGGTGCCTTCTGGCGAGGTCTCCGCCCCATCGTAGTTCGCCCCGTGCATCAGTGACGCGGCCGGCGCACGGCGCGACGGTTGCTGTGCCTCCGTATCCGTCTTGGTCACATTGTTGGCACGAGACAATCGCCCATCCCGGTAGGTGCCTGGCCACGAAGGTATTCAGCTGCTCCCGTGTGGCCCACGTCTCCCCGATGTGGCAGACGTCGCATGACGTCTTGGTGACGAAGTTTCGCAGGGCAGCCCCCTTCGCTGCTGCCGCGGAGCTGTTCGTTGCGTTGATGCTCTGCGCGTTCCACCACGCGACCCTTGCGTGCGATCCTGTGGGACGCGAGGGGACATCTGACGGGGCGACAGCCGCGCGCATCTCTGCCTTCTCGACCGGGTCGCAGACCGTGTGTGCCTCGTACGCTTCTATCTCTGCTGATCCACGAGCGAAACGCGGTAGGAGGATGCGGCGGCACTCCGGGTGTGTCTTGCGAACATGCCTCCTGATTCCCTCGACCCTGCTGACGTATCCGCACTCGTATCGGTTGGCCTTGGACTCCGTACTACACAAGGGGCACGCGAACCGCCTCTCTCCGGCCTTGGTTGTCGGCCCGCCTGTGACGAGGATCTTCGCCTCATCTGCAGCCGGCTGGTGTGTTATCGGCAACACTGACAGGTCGATCCCGTTCGTCGAGCTCTGCGTGTTGCCTTCGTCCCTCCTGGGCAGGGCGCCGCCGCCGTCACCTTCCCCTCCGTCGTCCGTGGCGCCGAAGACAGCGTCTGCAATGCCTCCCGCGAGACTGCCCATCCCCTGGCCAAGGCCTGTCTGCGGCTGCCGGGAAAAAAGGGGCACACTCAGCGACCCAAGCGGGCGCGTGGAGGGTTGTTGTTGTTCCGCCGCCCCCTGCCAGGGGCCATCGGCTCTGGTGCCGTCGTTTCTGCCAGGGTCTCCCAGGTCGTCTTCGTTTGCTCCTCCGGCTTTGTGCGTCTCGCTGTGTCCCTGCCTCCGGACGTGCGCTCCGGCATCAGCCCGGGGCCTCTCGCTTACTCTCAGGCCCTCCCGTTTCTCAGCAGCAATGCGGAATAGGCATTCTCCTATCGCGTTCTCGCTGCCGACGATGTGACCCCAGTACGTGTATGCGTAGCTAGCCAGTCCCGCCACGGCGGCACCAGCGCAACGTCCGGCCGCGTCGAAGGCTGGCCCTGTCCCGAACCCATCGGTGCGCACCACTAGAGACGCTATCGCCGCGAGGCAGACAGAGGCGATTGCCCCTCGCAGTCCGTGCCAGTGCAGGTCCTCTCCACTCGCCGGGCCGTACCTCTCTGGCGCCTGCCCCGTGTCGTGTAGCCACGTGCTATCAGCGCGCCGTGCTCCTACGCCTCGGTTATCTGCTAACGTGTAGGCGTCCCGTCCACTTCTGCTAGAAATACCCGCCAGGTAGAAGCCACCTGCTACGTAGACGAAGGCGGCAACCATACCGACTAAGAGGGCGACGCAGAAGCCTTCTACTCGACCCGCTAGCCTCTGCCATCTCATCTCGAGCTGTAGTGCCGCTAGTTCTATGCGGTTTACGTCTCCTCCCCCTGCTGCCGTTCCCTCCTGCCACATCGTTCGCTTCGTTGTTGGGTGTCGGCAGCTTCTCTTCTCGTGTTCGTGCTCCTCGAACGCTCTCTCCTCCTCGAGCCCCTGTGCGGAGTTTTCAGCCATGGCGCCCATTCTCGGCGGCATGTCCTGGACGCTTTCATATCCACTCGCCGAGCTCCGGTGGAGGTTGGTCTCGGCTGCGGTGGAGCGCGCATAGCTGTGAGCGCCTCCTTCGCGATCAGTGGGACTGCAACCACTGGAGGACCATTCGGGTCTGGCACAGCGCTTATACAACCAGCTTGCATCAGCCCGAGGACAGTCCTCTTCTGTTCTCCCTTGTCTGCCGTCTCTGGTCCCGTCCCATTCCCTGGCGCTGCAGGCGGCATCGTCTGGTGGTGGTAGAGGCCAGGCGGGTAGCATGCATACGGGGATGGCTGATACATCGCTGCGTGTCCTGCGTGTCCCATGCTCGTTGCGTGTGCTGCACTGTGCGTTCCACTCGGCATCGGCGGGGTCGGATACGGAGGCGGCGGCGGTGGTGGTGGCATCGGCGCAGCCGGCGGGCAGTGGTAGCCCGGTGTCAGTCCTGGCGCTCCTACGTTCGGGCCCGGGTGCACTCCGCCTGGCATTCCGTTTGGGTATCCAGCTCCCATCGGTCCGTTGCCAAACGGTGGCTGGCCGTAAACTGGCATCATCCGCATCCCTGCTCCTCCACCGTAGCCAAATCCGAAAGCCGCCGGGGGTGGCTGCCCAGGCGGCTGGCCATTGTGGTGCGGGTACATCGCTCCTTATGGTGCCATTGGTCGCATATCGATTCGCCGGCCAGGTAGCGTAGCGCCGTCACCGCAAGGTAAATTAGAGGCCGGATAAGGGAAAACCACTGGAACTGGAGGCCGCAGTACCTGTGCTGTGGTAGCAATGAGAGTATCGCTGTGGAGGGTCACGCGCTTCACTACTCAAACGGTATGGTTAGTACCGTTGGACAGGGTCTTCGCTTCGGGTGGTCACTGGATGTTCTGCGGTAGGGGCTAAGCCACGGGCCAAGCCTTTGCCGGAGTCTCAGAGGCCAATCCACGGGCCACGCTTTTGCCGCTTTCTCCAAGGCCAATCCACGGGCCACGCTTCTGTGCTCTTCGGTCAAAGCCGCAGTCTAGGCTTCTGCGTCCTCAGAGCCGGTCTGCGAGATCGTACTGGCTTCGCTCCGGATTCAGATCGATCGGCACAGGGTTCTGCGCACCCTGGTGTGTCGCCGTCTTCGGGTGGAGCGAGATACGGCTGCGCAGTCCTTCTCTGCCTTCGGGCAGGAAGCAGTGCGATGCGCGGTCTGCTTCTATCGTTGCCGACTAGCGCTGCACGCGCCAGTCTCGCTACCCATGGTGTGTTTTTCCCTCTTCGTTAAGCACTTACTCATTCTAGTCAATTTCGTCGTTACTCAATTACTCAATTACTCAATGTGTGTGATCACCACTTCCTAGTATTTAGTTATTGTTATTGTTTCCTTCACAACATGGACAAACTCTTTTTACATGATAATTCTGGTTTCCTTACATTTAATGCCTTTCACGCGAAGAAAGGATTCAAAGCAGTAAGTAATACCGAATATTGCGAAGCAAATTAGTAAGGGTGTATGTTAAAGATGAGTTTTTTCTTCAAAACTAACCCGTTAGCAGGTTGAATACGGCCCGTTGGCTTCGAGATAAGGCCAGGGTGGAGCGCATGTGAATGATATCAATTTAGGATGAAAGATTTTGCGGAAAGTAAGTACAAAAAGACGCTTCTTATTGGGTCCTCCATCAGGAAGTGTAAGTTTTTTTATCATCTTCATCATTTATTTCATCTTCGTTTCTGTGTGTATCAGACTCGCTCCTTAGTAGGATGAAGATTTGTTATTTGTCATTCTCACGATGACGTTCAAAAGAAAACAGTACAACACTTAGCATCTTCACATCAAAATTTTTATCGCACCACTACTATATGTTATGCCCAAGCATGCGACCTTCATCCTCGTCGTGTGCAGTTCTTGCACTAGTTAGAAAAGAACAGGTCTCCAATGTGTACAGTGAATCACAATGTCGGTCATCGTCTCATCATAGGAAAATGTAGAATATCGTTGCATTTAATGAACAATGAGCACAGGCAGTGGTGGATTCCATCCAACAAATTGAAGAATCTTCTGATTCACACCATCAAGTATTTGATCATAACAAAGACGTCTAGATGATGAACACAAAAACGAAAATAGACGCGCCAGCATTGCAGAGACGGAAAGCGGTTCAGGAGTGGATAACAGAAGCAAGAGTTAGTGGATAACCGAAGCAAGAGTTAGTGGATGACAGAAGCAAGAGTTAGTGGGTAACAGAAGCAAGAGTTGAAACTCTTTCTCTACATACAGTACATAGAGTCCCGTCCGAAGCACAACGGCATGTCGAGTGGTTGCAAAGTGGCACACTTGGAGAGACGGCTTGTGAGACAGTTCCACGAAAGAGTAATAAGCAAGTGATTTCATCTGAAAGGACCGCAAAAAACCAAAAAACAAATGACCTTGTTGCTTTATCTACTTTGAAGAAGTTAGTAAAAGTCCATTCTCTCATTTTACGCTTCGATAGAAGATTCAAAGAATTCCTTCAACATATGTACCTGCTGTATCAAATAAAATAAACAAACATGAGAAACGGTTTCCTTCGTTCTAGCACGACGGTGGGCATTGAGCCCGGTTCGGCGATCAAGAAGGGAGGCAGGGAAAAGTCATCCTCTGCAGTATCTGCGAAGGGTGAAGTCGAATGGACCTCATTTCAAGCGGAAGCACTCGTTTATGATGAAGAAAAGATGTCGATATTGTAGTGGGTAGTTTTACACTTATCAAGCAGATCTCCTTGCATGTTGGCCGTTTTTAAGTCAGACCACGCACTCTATCGACTACATGATCATGTACAACATGATCTTCTCCCTCTCGTCAATCTCTCCCGCTCTAACCCTTCGGTGTCTTCCGTGCGCTTTTATCCGAGAATCGCACTTGGCTAGACCTCCAAAAGCGATTGCGCTATGGGACAGGTGCGAGTCCGCCTTCTGCTCACTGCGAAGAACATCCGGATGACGAGTGCAACTGCATAGTTCGGATACCAGGATTATGCGATCCTGTCTCAACAACCGGTGACGGGGAAGAAGAGGACCCCAATTTGATGGTATGCGAGGAAGTCGAGGTTACTGATGCGCCAATATCAGCATCTTCAGGAGGTTTTGGTTTTGCAAGGACTTCATCAACAGGGGGATCAGCATCATCGTCACTAGGAGCTTCTTCGGGTACAACAGCAACTACAAACAAGTCAGGAACATCTTCTAGTACATCTAGTACATCTTCTCGTGCATCTTCTACCAAGTTAAAGTCAAAAGAAGGACAACAATCTGCAGAGGAGGAAGCGAAAAAGAGTGACGTGGCTGGTCGCCTCCTAGCCAAATGGACTAGTAATAATGGACTTTTGGAGATTTTACCTACAGTCCTGTCTGATGCGGCGAAAACGTTCGGGAATATCAAGAAGAAAGGCGAAGCAGCAGGCATGCGATTAGAAGGCGAAGAAGCTGCGTCTATACGGAAAGATGTGGCGCGTGAGACACTGTTGCGGGAGCTTTTACGCCAAGTCAATAGCGAAAACACTGCTGCCTTGAACACTGCAAGTCGTGATGCTGGGTTACTTGCGACACCCATGGGATGGAATAATTTAGGAATGATTTCAAGAAAACGACTTCCTCTTTCCGAGAGAAGAAACTTCGGGAGCCAGAACTACTACCTTGCATTGGCCAGAGAAATCCGCCGAGTATTAGTTTCTACATAGTCTTTAGCAGAATAGTGAATCCACACTGAAGACAGCTCTATCCTCATACATAGATACGTCTAGTACCTTATAACTAGCACCTTCTAAACCCTGCTGGCACAAACCCAAAGTTGGACTGGCTATCTGTGGATGTCCTTCGTGGCCTTAACACAAGCGGAGTTGGCGTCCAAGACTCGTGGTGCAGTTTGTTGGCCTCGGGAACCGGAAAAGCGGATAAGTTATGCTCTCAGATGCGGTTCTTTGTGAAGAATATATCTCAGTCTTGGGACTGCTGAGGGGTGGAACTGTCTGATCTTAGTCTAACATAGATAACAGAGGAGTCGTCACTAGAAGTTGTTTTCCGTGTCAATCTTCGTCCTTCTTTCATTCCCCGCGCACGCTTCTTGGTGTGAGCAAGTCTGGAAAGAGCTAGAACTGATGGAATTCGATGGGGAGTTCGAGCCCGTCGTTCAAGAATCACATGCACGCGGTGACCGGATCTGCTATAATTACGGCTTTGGATAAACTTGAACTTGATACGGCCACGAGTTCTCAACTGGAGAGCGCCAATCAACTGGCGAGCTACGAGTTCTCAACTGAAGATAGCGAATCAATGAGTTTCCTGTAGTTCTTCGCCTTTGAAGAACTCCAACTAAAAGATTCAATCCTGGGCTCTTCCCTCTCTAAAGCGGAACACTTTCGGATCTGAACCGTGAGAAGCAGCGAGCACTGTTGCGGTTATTGCAAGGAATGGTCTCATTGCCCTTCGAACTCAACAAAAAGTGCAACTTGCTGTTGCAAGGTACTGTAAGATTCTAGGTCGTTGTTCAATATAGTTGCCTTCTATGTGTGTTGTACAACTTGAAATTATAGGCATGCATCGGCATCTTGTTGATCTAGAATTTGACGTTTTGCAAATAGCGAACTCCATCTCCACCTTGAACCTGCAGGTAGCGGGACCTTCCAGTTGAGTGTCTTTCCAGCTGGGAGCTCTTTTCGACGACATCGGGATGGCGGCATAGGTGACAGGGACAACGGGCGCAAAGTAACAGCTATAGTGATGTTCTGCAAGCCGGCGACAGAGAATACGCCGTTTTTTCGGACTTATCCTTATGAGCAAGATATTGCTGTCGTAGATCTACTTCATCTATCATATAAAAGATGAAAGAGATGAAGCATAGCATTAATAGGAGATGTGTGCTTCATCTTCAGTACCTGTATGATCTTAATACTTGGCCTACCTGCTCTAATTCCCCCTCATCTCCCACGACCAAGATGGCGGCGGCAACAACGATTGCAGCGAGGATGACATCATCACAACGAGACCCGGACGGCTTCTTCTTTTGAACACAAGGGAGAAGCCATATGAAATTCTACCGACTGCAGAAAAACGTTTTCTCGTGTCGATGTATCTGCCAGGACCTCCTGCTAAAGGGGGTGCAAATCGTGCCAGGTGATGAGAATTGGGGTGTCAATATTGTAGACGAGAATATACTGTGAGGGTGTAGTGTGGAATTGGTACAACCCAGACGCAGTCGAAAATGAACTTAACCTCAGAAGTAAAATGTAGGACTTCATCACGCCACGAGCACGACTCATTGCAAACATTTAGTAGATCATCAACCTGTAGTCGTTGTACGCTACATTATTCTTCAACCAAAGCATTTTGCGCACCTACGATTGTAGGCACCATGAGTATCTATGCACATCACATTCAACATTGTCATGTCTACCTTAGGAATCATTTTGGTTTTGCACACATATCTGCATCCAAGAACAAAGCAATGCGTAGTTGAAGTGGGCAACTACAAAGCAAATCTCGACGTCGTGAAAAAACATACAGATACAGTTCGTCACTACATTTTTTGCCGTTGTAATTTAACGATCATCGCATGCTTATTCCACGCTTGCGAGGCGTGGCCTCCTCAAAACGATGGACAAAAAATGCTGAGATCCGAAGCTGTGCGCGGTAAGCGAAAGGGGATTGAAGAACAGAAGCGATTCGGGAATCTCTTTGTCCGAAGTAGAAATCAACTATCTTTCTAATTCGGCCTTAGAAAAGAAAAGCGGCATGGAAGTGAGCACACGACACCACACTACTTGTAAGCAGAGCGACATCTTCTACATGTTGGTAAGTACTGTGGTAGACCACGTAAAAATAGAAAAATAAGAGGAGCACTCTTGAGAAGCTTCAACATGGTGTAGTGCTGTCAAAAGTGGACACGCGATCGCGACTTTGCTGATGGCTAAAAGAGGAAGTAACGTGGAGGAGACGGGGACCTTAATACAGTTCCGACGCCTGCGATCGTCTTGTGGTGCGTGCGAGCCACGTCTTGAGGTTCTGTAGGCGCTTCTGTCTCTTGGCAATCTCGGCTTAGCTCTCGATCGCAAGTGATTCTCCACGCAGCACTAGCCAGTAACTTGCTTGCGATTTTGCTGCGATGAAGGGCGAATCCTAGTAAGACCAGCTGCAAGCATCCTCGCATTGACTCCATCTAAGTCCCGCAAGCTTGATTCCTGCAAGACGACTTCACCCACTCGCTCCGCCAACGTCACTCCACACGACTTCAACTTCACTCCACACCGCAAGATGATGGACACTTCAGCCGCTGCCGCGGCTTCATCTTCGTCCACGTCCAGTAATTTTCACACAATGTTGAGGGAGAGACGGAACTGGCACATAAATCTCCTCTACGTACGGCAGGAGTTCGACGAATGTAAAGAGGTAATAGATTAAGGCCGCATGGAGGTATGTTGTATGTATCTCTCTGTAAATGTAAGAAGGATAACAATTAATTTTTCTGTATACAATTTCTCGGCCAGTCTCTGACCGTCGCAGAAAATGTTTCGCCTTGCCGATGACTGTGTGTAGTCATTTGAGACGCGATGTATGTATGTAATTTTTAGTTCTTGGTTGATCCACTGCTCGTTCTCAACAGTCATATAACTACAGAACAAGAAGCAAAGCGCGCTTCTCAGTTCCGGATGTGTTGACTTATCCCAGTCATGAATGACTCGTCACGTCTTCTTTGATCAATTTCTTCTAAACTGTGGAGCAACTACGGGAATGTCAGGGAATGTGCGAGTTCGCGATATATGTGAAAGCGCTCATATTCAGGCAAGAAGGGAAGATACAAGAGAGCTTGGCACTGTTTCAAGCAGTGACGTGTTTGAATCCACATAACGTGCTGAACCTGAAGCAAGTCGGGAGGAGTTTGTACTTACTTAATATAAGTACATTGTTGGACTTGTACTCCTTTTTTAATAATGTTGTCAGTCCTTCTCAACTACACTGTCCGGTAAAGAACCCTTACCAACTACTACCAAAGAAGCTCCCTCTAGACAAAGACCTGTTGGGTGCACTAATGAAAAAATGTAGTCCTAGTGTGCATGTGCAACTAAAAACAGGTATCTTCTAGGGAACCACCGAGCGGCAATAGACGTCTACGACGAAGGTCAGGTCCTAGCGCCAGACGACTGGGAAATCTGGCACAATAAGGGCTTGTGCTTCATGTATTTGCGTGTATGAGGACTGGGATTTTTGTTGTAGTTCAGACAGTTAGCTGCCTTCGTGTATGTTCTCGACGGGGAGTTTTTCCGCGACTTAAAAAAGGGGGTCTGGATCTGGATTACTAAGAACCGACATTAGCGATGATTCTAGCATGATAAGATACCTAGGCGAGATAGACAGAAAACTTCTGAACCACGTAGCATGCAGATGGTATGACTATGAGGCATTCTCATTCATATCTTCAATACGACGATGCAGTGGACGCTTTTGAGAAAGCTAACGAAAGCCAGAGGCACGACGTCACGTTTCTGCAGCTTGGGAAAGTCTTTGTTATGTCTTGTCTGGTCTTTGTCCTCGCGGTTGCATTCTGGACCATGAGGAAGACGAAGAATCCTTGTTGACTCACTTTCCCACAGTCAACGACCACGACGTCACGAAGAAGTCAAGATCGTGAACGCAATCGTATTGTACTAGTACTACTGTAACCTTCCTCAACGCAATAGTATTTTTGTACTAGTATACATTTATTATTATAGTAATAATGAGGCATACTGCATGATACATTTATTATTATTTTGTACTAGGATTATAACAAGAATTATAACTATAACTACCACTAGTATAACTAGTGACTAGTATAACAATAACTACAATAACTATAACCTCCTCCTATAAGGGCCTAACTATAACTACCTCCTCACACACTCTAACTTCATGCTGAAGGAGGAATACAAAAAAGCCATAGAGGTGTATCAAGAGGCGCTGGAATTCTCACCAGAAAATCCGGAAATATTAACGACGCTGGGGATACTTTATTATGGCATGTTGATGGTCGTAAATTGGAAAGAAAACGTGCGTCGGTCATATTTAGTCTGCCATAGGCGTTACTATTTAGCTGCCGCGTCTCTACTCGGGTCGCTACGGAACCAGGCAGCTTTGAGTGAGTTGCTACGTGGTTCGAATGAATGAATGAATGAATGAATGAAGGATTAAGAATTTTTAAACACGGTTAGCAAACATCATAAGAGTCTCAGCAGGGCCTCTATCCGACAGCCAAGAACACGACTACTTAGGTCTAAATCCATACCTCCAGTATCATAGTTTGCCGATTCTTCTAAGTCTTCCTCCGAATGGGTGAGTCTCTAGTCGCTTTCGACCATCTAGGGAATTCCCTGACCTACAATCCGCGAAATCCGAAGACAATATTAGCAGCAGGCAGCATCATACAAGACCATGCTTTATGGGTTTTGATGGCGGAATAGCTCATTTTTGTTAAATTTCCATAGAACAAGAGGAACTTCCAAATTCGGAATTCGGAATTTTTTTTCGCTAATCCCAGACATGGACGTGGCCCTAGTGAAATACCGCGTTGCCGCTGTTCACACGCCGAATTCAGCACAGCTATGGAACAATATAGGAATGTGCTTCTTTGGCAAGCAGAAATTTGTGGCGGCAATAGCATGCTTGAAGAGGGCTTTGTATCTTCTGTATCCTGCTTGTATCTATGTTATTTATTTTGCGTAGTTTGTCTCTATGTATGGATTATAGGTTCTTGAGCTTCAACTGAGCAGAGGCACTTTCATGTTCATCACGTTGTCCTTGCTACAAAAAATCTGACAAAAATTCTCTCCAAAATCCAGGTACCTCGATCCTTTCGAGTGGATTATAAGTTACAACTTAGGCCTCGTCCACTTAAACACTGGACAATACGCATCCGCCTTTCATTTTTTCTCGTCATCGATAAACCTGAAGCCTGATTTCGCATCGTCCTACATGTACCTGGCGATCACGCTGTCAAGGCTCGACGATTTCACGAATTCCTGTGCGGCATACGAGATTATGAAATGGGATTCATGTTGAAGATTCTGTTCTGGCATCTTCACACAGCACTTCTCTTCACTAGCGTATGGGTATGCAGCATCCTCCTCTTTAGCAGTTTTACAAGAAGAGCGTGATAGAAGTATCCGCATATCCTTATCCGCATGTATCAAATAGATTTCTCCTTTTATTATAGTCTGAAACTGAATCTTCTGTGACCTAGACACAAAAAAATAGCTCACACACATACACAATGAATAGCTCTTCCTCTTCGTCCACATTCTTCATTACCAAAGCAATCGAGCTTGAGGGAAGCGATCATATCTTTCAGCTGAATTTCGCGATCACCCTCTTCAACCATGGAGACCTCGTGGAGGCGAAGAAGCAGTTTCAGCTGTGTAAGGATAGCGATGAAGACGCAGATCAGGAGGTTGTGGACATGAAAGCTACACTGGAACAATTGCTAGTGTAGCTGTGTGTTGGGGTTTCTGTCCTCGTGGTTTGTCTATGTCGAGTTTTTTTCATCTCGGCGAAGGTAGATCATGAGCAGGAATTCAATGAGTAGAGAGTTCTTTTTCATTGTCCAGCCCTGCTGTGTAAACTTTGGAGGTACTAGAGAACGAAGTGTGAGTCGTGACACTTAATACCAAGCGAACGTATGTTGACACTTGATGCCAAGCGAACGTGTTCAGCTCTCAAGCGAACTTCTCAATCTTAGTCCAGTTAGTCTCACACGAACTTTTACTTGGTATTGTCCAGTTAGAAGTCATAGTCATTTTTGAACAAGAACTTCCTAAAAAGTGTAACCATGGAGTTCAAGGATAGCAGTCCACGGTGGACAAGTGTTCTGTCGCTTGACGGATCAAGTCCATCTTCTCCTGTTCGTGTTCTCTCTTCTATTTGGAGATCATCAGAATGCCACTAACTAAGAAAACGACGATGGCAACATCCGCAGTTGCTGCTTGTGATGTCATCCGCAGCCGCTGCAGAAAAGTTTGGTTCCCTAGTCTCTCGGGATGTGTGGATGGACCTTGAACTTTTGTCGTACAGATGAATTGCAGGCACATTAGAAGATCCACGGCTATGACAGAGGAACGACGACGTGGCATGCGTTACTTCTGTCTTTGTGAAGATCACCTCATGACGCCTCTCTCCATTAGAAGAGATCAAGGTCGGTTTTTTTCCGGTGCTGATATCCGCGTCAGTCTCGAAGTTTCTTTTTTTTTCTGCATGAAACGTCGGATATGATGGTGGATAACAAATGGTACAACATCAGCAATTACAACGTCAACAATGTGTCATTTAAGTGCATGACTTGGAGCTGTTTCACATTTTTTCCTGGCGATTTCTGCACACTTGATATCCGCGTTTTTCTTCATCCCAAAAAGACCACTTAGGAAAAACGAAAACTCGATTCTTTCATAATATGAAATAAAATTGATAACTCAATAAATCTTGTATTAAAGCAGTATATTTCATACTGAAAGTAACTGCCGTCTCTCAAAAAATTGCATAGTAAGTCATCTTACATACGTAAAAAAATTAATATCTCGAAAAAATTTTCCAATTGTTGTGTCAACGTAATAAATCGTTCACTCAAGAACATTCAACAAGAAGGTCTTGCATCTAGATCGAGTGGTAGCGATCGTTACATAAAGAATAAGAGCACTAGCAGCATTTCCACACAATTTTGGTTGTATAGCAAAGGATTAGAGGATATATAGAATTAGAGTTTGTTCTTGGTGTTTCTCAAGAATTTCTTGTTTGTCTTGGTCGTAAGTCTTCGCGTTTAATAACTACTACAAAAGAGAAGTTCGCTGTAATCCAGAAACTCTTTTCATCTTGTTTTTTATCACTACGTAGTTAGTCTACTTTCAAAGAAGGAATAAAGTTGTAATCTCTTCAAACATCTTCAAATAAGAAGAACTCACCGGCGTCGTCGATCTCGCAGAAGACAAGCAGGTAAGCCCCGAACTACGAATACTTAGAAGTTGTAAAAATTATAAGGCTGCATCATCTTCAACCTCATCTCGCGTTCCATCCAGACAGGAACAAGACAGCGGCAAAATGGAAGGCGGCATCTTCGTCAACTTGCCGAACGGGCAGCCCTTTTAAGGCTGGAGTTGACCACTGACATTTAATTTCTTTGCTACTGTTAGTTTTTGTGTCTCATCTTGTTCGACGAACAAGATTCTTACTTTCGTTATATTCTCTTTATCATTTTTGGCTTATGTTATTTATTTTGCAAGGAAGTGGCACTCTCTCTTCAAAGTAGAGCGTGTAGAGCTATATACAATGAATACTGAACGAATTATCAACTCTACAAAGTCAATTTATGAGAAAGTCTAATGCCTGTCCGTGACTTCTGCAGAAATGGATATCATGCAGAGCGCCTTGGAGAGCCTCTATCGCGATCAGATTTTTTATGGTTAAAGTTTTTCGATTTTTTTAACTCTTTGAATAAAAAGCAGCAGGCTTTATTTTTCTTTTCGAAGTGCGTTCTTGCGCATCTCGGCTTAGCTTCTTGGCACTATGCTACTGCTAGCTGGACTTCAAGACGCTTACTCTTTCCGGCGCTAGCTCATGACCACAAAAAAATAACTATCACTGGCTCCAACTAAATCACACTCTTTTCGACTCTTTTCGACTATGTAGGGCCCTATCTTCCCATACAAATGCAAACTGAAGAAGTAGCAGGAAAGAAGTGCCCATGCTAATTAGATAGAAAGATCAGCTACCTCAAGAATGGGCACACTACTACCACTACTACTCTCTTCCCATACAAACAAGCTTATCTCTACTTTCTCTTCCTTCATACTTTTCCGGACGAAAAAACGGTGAAAGCCCGCCTCAAAACTTTCAACGTTGGAATGATGATCGAGGCCCATTTCGTGGAGATTTATAAGATCCAACCGGCTTACCTTGTGGCCGCGGATGCCAATGGAACAATCTGCATCCAGTTCAAAAATGGCTATCGAGGTACTCACTTTTTTTTTCTTGGTTTACTTTTTAGTTTGTTCTTTGTTTGGTACCAGCCACCAAAGCATGAATAAATTGAAAAGTAGCCGCTACTTTTCAATTTATTCAGATTGTTGTCTTCATTTCGTATTCTTCCTTATTAGGCATCACGGTATCGGCATCTTCGTAGCACTGCTCGTCTGCAAGGTCTATCAATCAGTTAAGAAATCAATCAGCCTCGATTTTTCATCTTCATCTTTTCGTCTCCAATAATTTCATCAGGCTTCGAGGGTTGGGTGGACCCCTGTAACAACAGCAATCCATACCCCCACGCCATGTGGCAGAAGTTTGAAGAATATCTTCGCGAAATGATGGACGACATTCACACAAAGCAAGGGCTTAAGACGGTGACCTTTCATCGCGGACGCTATGGGATGGCTCAGGATTTGTACTAATATTTCATTCTTCCCATTCTCACTTATTGCAATATTATTCATCTTGATCTTGTACAAACCTACTCCCTTGCACTGTCAACATCACTCAGTCACAAGGACATAGTTCAGCCCACCACTCCTTATCTCAGATATGGTCGGCGATTGCCGTTTTTTCAGGGATATTCTCTAGGCAAGGTGTGCCACATCGTTGAATTGGCAATCCAGAGGGACCTTCTCCACTACGAAAACAATCTGCTGCTTCCTGCTCAAGCATGTGGAAAGTACCACAATGGTACTAGTAATTATCTACGAAGAATCTTCACCAATTGATTGAAATTGATGCTCGCGCTTGCTTGGTGGCGGTAGTTGGATTGTAGTGCTGTTACAAATGATTATACCTGGTTGTATTAGAGCAGCAAAGTACTTCTGACTCTAAATCCTATGTTCCGCGTTCCTCGTGGCGTCGACTCGTGTCCGTTCAAAATCAAATCCTGCTAGAGTAGTATCTAACTCTACAACTTTTCAAGATTTTTAGTCCTAACAACCGAACGGACCATCTTCAGCCATCTACGGAGTCCCGACTGCTTCTTCGGCTAATGCCAAGCATCAAGAGCAGGGCTACGTGAAGGATATGAACGAACTCAAGGCTATTTTGTCGGATTTGCTTCGGTATCTATTATTTGACTTGTTTTATCTTTATTCTTCTAGGATAGCATAGTCCTTGTTTGAGTAGGTCACCTGAGTGGCCTTCGAGCGCCGTCTTCTAGCAGGAGTAGAAGCTTTATTACTTCTATGCAAAAAGATGTTTTCTTATATATTACAGCAGCTCTATCATTTTTGACTTTTTGATCTCAATCAACAACTTTCAGCTTTCAGATTTTATTGGATCTATCTCAACTCACCCCCAATGTTCCTCATCACAGCAAATATCCGGATGGATTCAATTTGTCTACTCTCAAGACGAAGATTAAAGGCTGGCACGGAAAACGATTGTCGGAGACCGTCTTTCACGAGACCAAGTTGCTGACATTGGTACAGATGCCACCGCTGGACAACATCGTCAAGATTGTCAATTATGGAAATACTTTTGGTTTGTCTCCTGCAGTGAAGACTGCGGTACTTACACGACTTAGTGTAGTTCTAGAGTATAAGTGAAAATAGTCTTAAGGGAAGTCAGAGCTGTAAGGTTCTATCATTTGGCTTCGCAGTGTGAGCTTAAAAATCGTACCGCTCTGGAGTTGCAGTCAGAATTTTACCGGCGCTATCGTCTTCTTTTTCATCCTCACCCTACTACTCCCATTCTAATTCTCATTGCAAGGAAATTGCGGATACCTCTGTCAACCCGCTACCGAGTTGATGGCGCAGATCGTGGCAGATCGCAATAACGCCAGAAAAACCCAGCAGCAGCACTATGGTTATGGCCTATATTTTTTGCGAAAGTCCTCAGTGGGTATCTTTTTCTATAAGGTCATCATCTATGTATTTATTGGGTGGAGTGAAATGACACCAACAAAGCAAACTTTTCAGGAATGAAGTCACTGCCTCAAGAATGTCATTGTTAAAAAATGTTGCCAAGTATTGTAAGAGACAGTAACCCACAATATCACGCTGACTTTGATCTTAGTTGCCTTGTTTCTTCTCTTTCTCCCCTTCTCTTCCTCTCTAATCTCCTCAAGGACATCATCTTCAAGCTGATTATTATTATGGCGGCGGCCGTGCCCATCAGCACAACCACTCTACTCGTGGAAGCTACAGCAACGCTCAGCAGCACTATTTAAGGCTTGAGCAAATCCATCCCATCTTCCCACCCCAGCATCATCTTAATTCTTCCATCCTGTTTAGAGAGAAAACAGGAGGCAGAGCATCATCTTAATTCTTCCATCCTGTTAGTTTAGAGAGAAAACAGGAGGCAGATGGATTTTTGCAAGATGGATGGCCTTTGCAAGGTTTAAAGTATGCCCCTCATCAGCAGTACAACTACGGAGGACACGGACACCCTCAATACGTAGTCTGTGGTCATCAGGGTGGACATGGTGGGTACAACCGAGCTCATCAACGAAACAACGACTAAGGCTTCCCGTAATTCCTGATCTTAAGAGGCATCTTCGCCACGTCTTCAAGGGGAAAACGCGTCAAAGATGACTTTCAAGATGAATTTAGGCAAGTTCTTCTAAAACAACTACAATAAGGGCGGCCACAATGGAGGCTACAACACGCATCGCAATGCCCCACCTACTGCAGCCAAAAAGAGCCACTACCAAACTCCTCGTCGTGCTAACCCTTCCACTCTTGGAGGAGCAACCTCTGTACTTTTATGCTTTTAGCTTTTGATTCGATTTTCTCTTCAATAAAAAAAATTTGTACAATGTCGCGATGGATCATCGTGAAAAATGCTGATCAAGTAGGTATGACGTCTTGCTTGTGGCGATCATTTGTGGCACAGAAGAACAGAGGACTTATTCTTGTCCAAGCATATTAGATCCTGATCATATGAGTTTGAAGTAGCCTCCCGTCAACAAAGCTATTCCAGACTGGACCTTCTTTAACCTGTAGCGGGAGAACTTTGTTGAGACTACTGTCTGTGATAACCCTAAACCCTAAACCCAACCCTATATCCATCTCGACTCCTATTCTTCAGTCGTCGCCGCATCGTAGTCCCAGTCAAATGTTGGCTCCTAGTAATCCACCTATGCTGTCGTTGTCGACCACTCCGATTCCGTATGATGCGGCAGCCAGCTACTATCCCAGTCAACCTCTCAACTACAATTGGTTGGGACCTAAGGTAGTAGGTTGCTCCAGCTTTATCCCTTCTTATTTCGTTATATGAGGTTCAATTTCGTCATTTTTGGTACTTGTGGGAGAGAAAATGAATCACATGATTTGAGTGATAGAGTAGATCATGGACAGAGTAACTTATAACGTTTGCCAGCTCGCATGGTGCATGGATTGCATGGAGCGCAGATCTCTAAGGGACGCAAGAAGCGCCCCCTTTAGCTCCATGCAGCTCCATGGGATTCCGGTACTTGTGCTCATTGGATCCATCTGCTCATCTCCATCTTCTCTAGTATCAATTCTCTCCCCTCTCTCTTTTCTCTCAGTCTGCTGGAGGGGGAAATATCTGGTCACCGGCTCCGGTGCTGTCTCTGCCATCCTCCGGGTAGACGCAGCGCGTCGTGTGGGCAGTTTGGATGGGGGATCGGAAAAAGCTAGTAAAGTGGAAAACTATGTTGAGGAGGATGCTCAGATATTGAGCAGGGTGAGGCAAGGGGTTATGGGAGGGCGTGCAAACGAGGGGAAAGACAAAGAAACTGAAATATCGAGGGTTGGTAAGAGGTATTTCTAGTTTGAAAACGAGAGGATATTAGGGTGGGTTATCCATGCTTCTTCTAGTTTTCGTTTAAGTACAACAAGTTCAAGTTGTTCGTATTAAAATAGGACTAGTTTGGTAGATATATTGGATGCTCGAAATGAAGGAGTGTAGGCCGAGCGTGCAGAAGCTGCCAGCTTTTTCCATGAATAAAGTTGCCCTAATTAATCCGTTCAGAATATTTAGGATAAATTGTTCTCTAATATGTATCGTAGTCCGTCACATCTACTTCGTACTTCCTTTCAGGTAGATTCTACCTAGAAGCAGAGGGGAAGGACAAAGCTTCATATTCGTGTCTTAATTCTTCAAATAAATACTAAACGTGTGGTTGATCAACATCGATCGTTCGACATAGTATCTTTTTACTTTCGCAGTTCTTGTTAGAAGCTCTCACCAATGTTGTACATTTCTCGGTTCTTGTTGGAAGGGACGACTGATATAAGTACGTAGAAAGTAGATATTAATGATTGACTCATCAACACGATGGCGTCACCTTCTGGTTCTTAATGATAGAAGTAGTCTTAAACTTAAACAAACATGTTCGTCTGAAACTCAATAATTGAAGCCGTCGACGTTGAGTCCTAGGGTAACCATACACATGGAAATCCAGGACACTCACTACGTGGTCTAAGATCTTAAGATACTTTGGCATTTAGTCGGGGAGCCAGACGGCGTTCGGTCATGTCGACGATATCATTATCAACTTCTGACCACTCCGCAACCATATCCAACAAAACTTGGATGAAGCTCTGAGGATATGAATCATAGCAGGCAAAAAGCAGGCCTCCTAAGGTGTCCTTGCTCTACTAAGGGTCTATTTTTGGTACTGAAAATATTCTTGTTTCGAATAGAGGTGGTACTTGCTAGTGAGTACTAGCCAGTAATACGTGCTCACTAGTAGTAGTTTAAATGATTCGAGGAAGTATTTGAAGATGCACTAGTGCTATCAAACCAAGTATTCCATGAAACTTTTCTCGTAGGAACTTACCTACCACAGGCGCGTACCGAAAGAGTATCTTATTTGAGGTACCTAGGTACTCGTCACGTAGCTGACAGATGAAGGTTGGCGCTACTTCTCGAAGTGTTGGTCGTGATGGATGTAAGAGCAGTTACATGAACAAGAACATTATTCACTAGCGGCGCTTGCGAGCGCGGCACGCGTGATGCGGTAGGGTCGCGCGGCGCGAACATAATAATAATAATAATAATCTAACTACTTCTTACTAGAGAGACAACAAGCTAAGCGAGCCGACTATCATAGATCTCATCTTCTGAAATGCAAAGGGCGGAAATAGTGAGGGTGCCAAAAAAAGGAAAAGGAGAAGGAAAAAAGGAGGAGAAGATGGAGGGGGAAAAAGAAAGTGCAAAGCAACAAACTAATTAAAGTGTCTTACATACCCCACGATTGGGTACACTACTACTACTACTACTACTAGTACTAAATATAATGAGGTGAACGACGACAGGCAAAGGGGACAATAGAACGCAAACTAGTACGCTGGATGATTGGTCATATACAGGTATGCAAGTCTTAATATTTCGTAGTTACGTGTTCGTGTAAATTGCACACCCTTACGAGTTACGACGGACTACGTCGAAGCAATGAAGACCGACGAACAAGATGCACATATCAAGTTAATATAGCCTAAGCGAAGACACTGCCGACGCTAGTATCGTCTCGGGAAGGTGGAAGTGAAATGCAAGATAACTAAGTCTAAGGAGGGTAATACTAATATAAGATAGGTAAGCAGGTAAGGCATAAAAGATAGTGCGGTGAGGTTAGCGTTATATCCGCATTTTCGTGTGTCTGTGTCTAGTTTCTGAGATTGTTTTCCCCCTTTTTTTGCTGAAACGAAGGTGCAATTTGAGTTTGTTTCGATCGTTCATTCTTGTCCGAATGATTCGATCCAGGAAGTCCTCATTCAAGGTACGTACGTAAAAGTAACAGATGACTGTGATTCGGCTTGTTGACGCAGGACCTGCATGTGCGCGAGCAGATAAACCGGTGATCCATTTTTATTACCTTTTCATCAGACTAGAAAATGGCTTCGGTTTATCTAATAATGGCTCCACTAGAACTAGATAAGATAGACCTCCATAAGTACCAGAGGACCTCGACTACAACCATAACATGGTTTTGATATTTGGGCATCCAATTTCTTATTTCTAGATATGAAAGCTAAAGTAGCTGTCTTCACAAAGAAAGGAGATATGTAATCAAAGGCTGTCTTACTACCTTCAAGTTTGTTAGGAGCTTCGATCAAGGTGTACTTCTTGAACTACCTTTTGCGTCTTTTGTTGTCAAAACTTATCTCTCCAACAGGAACAGGTAAATAAGGAGACGAGGGGGAAGTGCCGGAAGAGCAGGGGAGGGGATGAAAGACGGGAGAGGCAGGGGAGATGAGAACAAGAAGAGAGGGGCGCCAGAAGCGAAAGGGCCTGAGGGATGGGAGGGTGGAGGAACCAAGAAAAAGGCGAGCGCGGACAAAACTAAACACGCGAAAAAGGCAAGCAACGACAGCAGAGACACGCAAGCGGCACGCCGGTCGCAGATCTCAAGACGATAATCTACTTGCGCCGCGCTGCCCTTGCAAAAATTTGGGGGGGGAGGCGGGGGGGCGGTCTCAAGGACGCGGCAAAGCTCTCCTGGCCGGCACATTCGAACAAGGGAAGGCCACAAGCGGCCGCACCTCTAGGATTTTGACAACGAAGAGCAGAGGCCCGCCCCCTCGCTCTGAGATCGACAGCGCGCGGCCGTTCACGATGGTTGGAATGCCACACGCAGCGAAGCCACCGCCGAGCGACTGACAGGCCCCAAGCGTGCGCACTTCCTCCATCGCTTGGGGCGCGTCCTCCTTGCTGGCGCTTGGGTCTTGGTGGAGGAGCGACTGAGACAGCAAAGACCACACGGCGCAACAACTTGCACCAGCGGCCGCATACCAGCGCCGCCGAGCGGTGCTCGCCTTTGTCTCCTTGCCGCCTCAGGCTGGTCGCCCCCGGCCAGGGATGGTAGCTGCGCTGAGCCCCCCGGGGGCACTCAGTCGCCAGTGAATACGGGCGCCCAGTCGCTTCCCTTGGCACTGCCGCCCCGCCTTCAAGGCACAACCGTGGCAAGCCTGCCGGGGCACCAAGGAAGATGCCGAAACAAAAGGCCCCCCATCCAAGCGTGCGCCTTCCCTCGAGAGGATTTCCCGTCTCCTGACTATCACCAGGTAGGCGCCTCACATTCGCAACCTTTGGCATAAAAATTATCGCGGCTGCGACTTGGTTCAGGGTGGCAGAAAAAAATTCCACCCCGGACCGGTTTGGGTGGGGGATAAGATAAACTAGCAAAAACCTGGACCAGGGTGGGATAGAAGCCAAATCAAGGGAAAAATTTGCCAGCGTTCCACCCTGAACCAGAGCGGGAGCCAGCCTGAACCAGATCCACCCTCAGGCGCTGCATGTATAAAAAGGACAAGTCTAATAAACTGTGCGCGACCCCAGATGGAAGCGACACAATGTCAAGAAAGATGTCAGAAAGAAGATGTGAAGCGGATGCATTGTGCCTCGGTCGTCGTCAGAAGGTGAAAGATGCAAATGGACATCGGTCGTAATTAATGGCACGACTTTTGTAGTCATCGCCTCGGCTATTGTCGCTGACTTTCGTAGTCACCCATGAACCATCATCCTCGGAGGCGAGCAGCAGGTGCCTGTGGGGCTCGTTGTGAAGGGCCTGCAACCTAACCACTAACCTCTAACCGATAGATATCTTTTCAGACTTTTTTCGTTGCTTTTGCTTTTGTGTGTCTTGTTCATCTAGTATCATTGATTTCTTCGCGATCTTGATTGACGTCAATGCGAATGAATTTCTAATTTCTAGATTGAAAAACGTCTTGAAGATTTGTTCAATTTCGTTCATATTCTTATAAAAGAAATCTGAACCATGAAACAAGATGTTGACTGACGACACCTCTCATACGTAACCATTGATTTTCTTGGAGCGTCAGCATGTCAGCAAGCTCTGGCATCCTCTTGACAGGTGAAGCGGACAACACTTTTTTGTACGTGGTCGGTGTTCAACTTAGAAACGGGTTTCTCACAGAGTCTGTGAAATGTCTGCTTTCTCTGCGCCCACCGCTGCTGGTGCGTCGAACTTCCATCGAAAAACTTGTAATTCATTGTAATTGTGGAAAAAAGATTGGATGCTATTCGATTTTGAGGACGTTTCGTTTTTTCGAAGTTTTGTGGACGGAACGGATACTTATCTTCACAGATTATCTTGCTATCCTTCCTTGTACTAGGACAATAAGGTCGTGGTGGGAAACGCGATTCATCCTTGCTTCCAAAAAGACACGATGCTCAACATAGTGAGTACACTCATACTTTCAGTCACAGGAGGACCACGACGATGCTTTAATTGGAGAAAAATATGTCATGTGATGATTCGTAGATCATCTGTTTAGTCTAGGAAAAAGGTTAACCCCGTACTGTCGTGTATAACATCAACATCATGGCTGCTGCTGGGCCTGTGTGTGCTTCCGGAGGGGCTCTGATCTCACCAATGCCATCACGGTCAGCTGTTCCGTCCGCTTCCCCGCGCTCTACTCTGAAAGTGCACCGGTTTAGTTATGGCCGCTTTTGTTCATTCAATTTTGGTATAATATTTTATACAAGTACTTATGCAGGACATGGATCTATGACGCCCTTAAGGCAGTCTGCGCTGAACTTTGCGCAGGTGGGTTTTGACTTATCGGAACTCGCTCGCACTACAAAAAAAAAAAGCGAGATTAATTGTATTGTGTTGTATTGTATTTGGTATATACAAGTTAGTATCCAAATCCATCTTTTGGTTAATGTGCCTCTTCTCTCTCTCTTCCCCTCCTCTAACTCCCCGTGAAGTTTTTCGATTTCTCGTTACGGGGTGTGCCACACGCACAGGAGCCTTTCTTGAGGGTCGATTTTGACCACTTCAAGTGTTTCCAGACAGACAGAGAGCGCCTACCAGAACATTTGTATCAGCATTAAGCCTTCCGGAAATTCATCTTCAGAAGCATTTTGGCCCTCCTCCCGTATTTAAAGGGGGAAACGTTTTCAAATTCTTGGAGTTTCAAGATGTATTCCCGGAAGGTCTAACAGCAGCAACACCATCACGTCTTCGAATGGGGATTCAAAGCTGGCTTCATCTACCAAACGAGAGCGTTGGAGAAGTTATCGGTAAAGAAGTTCAAAATCTTCTGTTACGACCACCATGCAACAACAAGTTCGGGTTCGGGTTCCCAACAACAAGGGCCGGCCGCGTTATTGGGATCTGCGGAAGTATTGTTTCAGTTTTTTTACAGAGTCGTGTGCAGAATGAATGATCATGCAAGACGAGCTCGTACAACATATTCTTGACATGATCGAAATCGAATTGATTTAGCACGTCTTCTACAAGTGTAATATCGAGTAGTACACGTTGTTGGCGACTACAGCCATTTCGAAGCTAGTACCTACCTCTTTTTATTGTGAGTAACTTTTTGTTGCTGTTGCTTATCTTGATGTAACGACCTTTTCTCTACAACAGATCGACCTCCGCACCCTTGCTTGTGGTCCCTCGCTCATCCGACTCGGGCTTCAGGACAGTACCGGCAATTTAGTTCAAGGTGGGCAGCTGGAGTTCACTTGCCTGATGAAAATGCTGAGTAACGAGTTTACGATAAACTTGAAGAACCTACGCCTGAGCATCCAGGGTTGGCCGGCAGCTGCACGACTAGAAGTATCGAGTAGTCTGCGGGAAGATATCATCGTGGAGGCGCCTTTTTCAACAGCTGGAGCCTGGGAAGAAGGGATTTCTTTGCTTATGGTAGAAGTAGATAGATGATACGACTTTCATGAACAAGATTATTATTTGAGGACGACTTTATTTTTACTTTTTTGAGGCTCTTTTGTATTTGTTGGTGTTAGCCACTGGCATCAACCCCTCTCTTCTAATGTCGAGTTTGAGACTACCTTGATGGATCTACTGAACACGAGCTCGCGAGAAGGTCTTAGAATTCTGGTACAAGACGAAGGAGGCAACGAGCAGGGGACAGTTTCCTTGTCCTTCCGAGACTACTTCGATGCAAATCTGGAGAAAGCTCTTATGAAAAGGATGTAGTAGATATACAAGTTTAGTCTCTCGTCAGCATGATAGATGAAGACCCGTATCTTCTTTTGTATTGATCATCCATCTTTCTAGAAGTTCATGTCAATGAGCCTAACAAGCTCTCTTCTTCCATTTTTTCCCTTCATAACCGGCTTGCTCGATTCGGAGGAGCCCTTTCCCCATTCCCTCCTTCATACCACGCCTGCTCGATTCCAAGCATACCCCGCTTACTCGTCAGCAGCACAGATTCGAGGTTCGCGAAGCAGTTACATATGGCGACGAAGGCGACCAGGTTGGCGAGCTCTCGGGCGTTCTAACTTACGCAAGCTTGCCAAAGTATGCTCAGATGATAGGAGGTGTTTTAGAGCGTGCCACTATTCAGTTAAGGCTACGTTAAAGAATGGATCCATCTTTTCCAGCATCTACTTGGTCCCGTTTTGAAGAGGAAAAGAGGGCCCAAGATGAAGATGGTGCTGCTGGAAATTGATGGATCTCTCCTTTTCCAATTTCTAACTCAGGGAGAGCGCATTGAGCGAATCGAGGGAGGATACATGCTCGTGCCTGGTCTGCCGTATCCGGTCAGCTTGCAACAGCCACCGCCAGCCTTCAGCGAAGAAGCTAAAAACATTGGGGAAGATGTGGAAAGTACTTGTCTAACCATATATTTTTTGCCTCTCTGGCCTCGCTCTCTATCAGAACTAGTCTCTACGGGTACTACGGCCAGGACTATCAGGGACGACGTACACCTGGCCCGCTCTGTTGATGTGAAGACTCCTTTGCTAGTTTAACATATAAAGAAAGTAGACCAGGACCACTCCACGTTTTATAATAGCCATATTTAACCATAACCTAAAACCAGGGGACGACGGTCAGCAACTAGCAGGCTCAAATGGAAGTACTGGACGCTTCGGCTTTGCGCCACCGGCTTTAGGCGAAGAGTTTGAAGGACCGAAATGGAATGAGACACCGGATGACATTGACCTACCACCAAACTGGGAACTACGGAAAGCTTCTAGTTAAGGCATGTGCTTTTGTGTTGGTATTGATGGTTGATAGCTGATGCGCACACAGTTTGAGATGCTGGTGCATGATGGAGGATGACGACTCATAGTACACTGTCATATAGTGTGATGCTCGAGTGCAATTCTAATAACCTGGACGTCCTTATTTTGCTGACCACCGAACGAAGAAAACGAGCTGGACAGATCCCCGCTTTATGCCAGATAACTGGGATCAACGCGCCGACCCCATCACAGGCAAGGTGTACTTTGCGTATCACAAGACTTATGACTCGGAAACAAAGGTCTATTACTGCTCATATCAGTCTGCGCGTTTATATGAGTTTTTAGGTTTGCAAAGTGGCACTCCACCCAGAGGGAACGACAACAATTTTATCTGCCCAGACTGATATTTCATCTTCATCCTTCCACACACACATACACGCACCACGCCCTTTCTAAGGAAGGCGGCAAACGACGTTTGTGGATCCGCGTGGGATGCCTCCAGGATGGGAAATGAGGCTCTCCAGGAGTGGCATCGAGTATTTCGCGTATTATCCTACCAAACAAACGAGTTGGACCGATCCACGTGGCCTAGAGGATGGCATCGACATGTGCCTCGATCCGAAAGGGAGAGTCTACTTTCGGGACCATCGTTATGATGAAGGAAGATTTTAGAGCTAGGTTTAGGTCGAGATGAATAATTTTTCCATGTTGTACTACTACTATGCAAAGAAACAAACTGCATCTAAATAATTAACACAACATCTACCTCATGAATGGGTACACTACTTCTACTGCTACTACTTCACTAGCGAGTTTCATTTTTTTGTCTCTACTGGATCATTGGCTTTGGGATAATATGACGTCGAAACAGTAGAACTGAGTACTTCATCTGTTACTACTAGTGGAGACGAGGAGAACCACATAACTCCCTGTCTCCTGACACCATCTGCAACATGAGTATCCTCTAACCTCTTGACGGCACGACGAGTTGGGACGATCCGCGTGAAAGGGTGCCGAATCCGATGGCGCTGCGGAAGTGGGAGTACAGGCAGTGGTGGAAACATCAGGTAGCCCTTGCCCGTGCTGCTTATGAAGAGGCGGTCGCCGCGCATGCGGAACAGGAGAAGATTAAGGTGTAGAAGACGACCAGGAGAACAAGAGTGGAGTGGAAAAGACTCCTCCGTCGACGGGTTGCACGAGGACGCTCAAGAACTGTGCGTGCGCTCAACAAGAACTCGCTTCAACCACGGCAGCCCAGTTGTAGAGTAGAAACCATACTTAGCAACAAGTAGTAGAGCGAGAAAGGCAAAAACGAGCGACGAGTTGTGATGATCTTCCTCTGGGAGTCCGCTGGTTGCTCACTCCTGTAATTAGCAACGCTCTTCGTCTTCCGCGCGCGCTTCATTGTCGCGAATGCGTCACTCCTACCGCGACTGCGTATCCATCGCCAGAACTATGGCATGAACACTTTTGAGGCTTTTGAAGGGACATCAAGGCGCCATACTACACGGACAAGGCGCGACGCGCATGATTCGGGCGCGGTCTAGTAGAAGGGCTTCGGGTCGCGTGAGGGCACGACAAACTATTGGAATTCGAAGTCGCCATTCTGACAGTCAGAGTCTGACTACATCACATTTACGTAAGTAGAACAGATGATGTACGGACTTTAGAGACGCAGAGAACTACTCACTCCATCTGGCAAAGACATTGATGAAGAAGTTTTCGATGCCAAGAACAGGTAGGACTCATAAAAAATCCTTGTGCACTTTTCTCTCGCCTCTTCATCAGAATATGCGATGCTATTCTTTCTTGACCCCTCTCTGCTGAAATTGAAACCTAACACCAGGAAGCAATTAATGGAAGAGTGGAAACAAGTACTACTTTGAGTAGCCTGAGTGGGACTCAAGGAGTTGTTTAGGAACCCCGATCATCTACATCTATCTTTTGGTCAAGACCATGAGTGCTGTCCATGAGCAGAGATTGGGGAGAGACGAAAAGAGAATCAAAAACACGCTGGCTATCTTTCTGTGCCACAACTTTTTTTTCTGGTTGACATACGCACTCGCTGAAACAGGGCACTTATGTGTTCCAGTCACCTTTCTTGAAGGAGTAAAATGCAAGAATATTAGATCAACATCCAAGGGTGAATGACCACGGATTTTTAGTTTGAATGTAAATCACCAACACCAACATGAGATATCTTTAATATGGGTACTCGTCTCGACTCCAAGATGAAGGATGAGTACTCTTTTATCTGTCGTCGCCTCACCAGAAAAGTTATGAGTGAATGAAGGTAGCTTTTCATCATCACACGATAAATCGCGAACAGGTATATGAATGAATGAGTGAGTGAATAAATGATAACCATAACAACTACATTCTTCTAGTAAGTACTTGCGTACTAGGTTCGATTTAGCATATCTCTTGCCAGGCACATCAATCAGTCAATCAATCAATCAACTTCATCTAAAAAAAGCAGAAAATAAATCGAAGAAGAAGCGTGATGGGCCAAGAATTGGCGTGGCCGCGGCCATCCTGGGTGAAACGCAAGGAAAGGAAACGTCAAAAGATACCTCCTCACAAGGAAAGGATGGACTTATGATACCGAGATAAGATGGGCTTATGAAGATGATAAGAGTACGAGTAGAAGTACTTACAACATCAAGTAGATGTAGAGGTAGAATAGAATATCCAGATCGTCTTCCTAGTTTCTAAATGAGTTTGTCATTGCCCTTTGCTTAAGAACATGACATCCCCATTCGCCACATAGAGCATGTTGCCTCTTGTTCCTTCATTATCAAAAATGGGACTGCTGGCACCCCAAGTGGTGCGGCATCGGCAGGGACATGGCGGTCGTTTTTTGGTGGCCTATTTGGAGGGAGGAGACGGAGTGCGGAGAATACAGCTGAGTTCACATAAGGCCCACAGTAAAATTGAAATTCATTTGAGAAGAAGATCATCTCTCTTTCTCTCTCTCTGTTTTTTTCTTTGGGAATTGAAAAGATGAGCTTAGAATATCTATAGATATCATTTATAAATAAATCAATTAACGTGAGGAGCGCTTAGAATATCCAAGAAGTCTAACGCGAGCTCTAACTTACAGTGGACGGTATTCGGTCAATGCTTCAGGGGAGGTCATTTACCCTAAACGACTTCGATCTGCGGCAAACCGTAGGAACAGGAACGTTTGGGCGAGTGCGCGTTGTGAAGATTAAAGGTATATTATCACAGAGTAGTTTATAGCACGCATGGCGCATGGAGTAGCATGGAGCTGCATGGAGTGCATGGAGCGCAGAGCTTTAAGGGGCGCAAGAAGCTCCCCTTTTAGCTCCATGCTACTCCATGTGATCCATGCACTCCATGCCATGCGAGCTGTGAAACCCTATAAATTGCTCTGTAGAGAAGAACGCTGAGTAAGAGTATGCAGTGGAATCTTCTTTTTCGTTATACTAACTATTCCCTTGAAGTCTCACATGTTTGCGAAGGGAAATTTCGCTGGTCTGTTTGGAGAGCCTCAGACCCCTTTACTGCTACTGGCCACGGTACTGCAATTACATCATCCTCATTCTCAATCTCATCCACCCATCGCAGGTAGTCGCGTTCGCATACCTTTGGCACTGAAGATCATGAAGAAGAGTGAGGTCATCAACTTGCGACAAGTAGAACACATACGATCTGAGAAGGACATATTGTCGACGCTTCACCATCCATTTATTGTCAACATGTTCGCGACCTTTCAAGACCAGAAGCGCTTATTTCTGATTCTGGAGTACGTGAATTAAGGCTCCAACATGTAAAAAACTGTCAGATTTACTATTTGATGTCCACAAATCAATCACTATCGAATTTTCTTCCTCTAAGCGAATGGAGGTGAACTATTTGCCTTACTTCGACGAGCTGGTCGCCTACCGCAGGAGCACACCCGATTCTACATAGGGGAGATCGCACTGGCGTTTAAGTACTACTACTAACGTTACGCTCATCCCCTCTCTCACCGTTTTAGCTCACCTTTTCAACATCTAAACCCTAAACCTTTCCACTAAGAAGACAAGCCACCCTCAACGTAACAACATCTTCCAGTTACATGCATTCGGTGTTTGTGATTTATCGGGATTTGAAGCCAGAAAATCTCCTCCTCGACTGCCAAGGGCACATAAAGATTACTGATTTTGGGTTTGCGAAGCATGTGGAGGACCTAACGTGGACGTTGTGTTAAGGATAGAGGAACAAAGAAAGATATTCAAACACAGTAGATCTAGCTAATTAATATGCATTAGGATGAGGACCGTGGCCTTATCAGCATATGCATATCAGGGATTACAATAGACTTCAGTATAAAAGAACATCCGACATTAGACATCATAGTACACGAGTTGTTTCTTCTAATCTGCCGGTACACCAGAGTACCTAGCGCCAGAGATCATTCAGTCAAAAGGACATGGCAAAGCTGTCGATTGGTGGGCTCTAGGGGTGCTGATGTTTGAACTGCTGGCTGGTTACCCACCATTCTACGACGAAAATCCGATGGGGATATATCAAAAAGTCATATCCGGAAAGTTCTCGACACCGAAACACATAGATGTGAAAGCAAGGGACCTCATCAAAAGGTTCCTGACACTCGAAAGAACAAAGCGATTAGGGTATTCAGTTGGACGGATTGTTATTGGCTTGTTGGTTTCTTTTCCACTCAAAAATATCTTTCCACTTTCTTCAGCTGCTACAGGTGCAGAACATGACCAGTCGCGAACAAAAATCAATACCCGACTAAGGTGTCTAGCTGGCGGATTTCAGGATATTAAGGATCATAAGTGGTTTCGGGGCGGGTGGTCCTGGGAAGCGTTACAGGCTAAGCAAGTGGCTCCGCCATTTCAACCTGCTGTGCGATCTAATGTTAAGGCTGCACTAGTACATCATACTTCGAGTAGTAAGTATTTAGATGAGTGCTACCAAAGAACATTTTTTACCAAAGCACATTTGGACGTGGAGTAGAAGAGTCACAGAATAATACTGATATGATGCGTCTCCGTCTCCTGCAACTGCAAGGTAGTTGTCATCTTGTGTGATGAATCATGAAAATCGTCGTCGATTGAAAATTTATTTTCATCGAGTTTCATCCTCAGCAGCTTCTAATGCCAACGACACCAGCATGTTCCAGCAGTATCCGGAGAGTACAGAGTCCTCCTGCCCGAAAATCGAAAAAGAGGAACAGCAATTCTTCGAAGGTTTCTAGATGTAGATTCTATTCGAAGGTTTTTAGCTTGTCTAGAGCTTTGATTTCTCAGTGATTTTTTTGGCTATGTTTTCGGCTATGTATTGTGCTTAAGTTTTCTTACTCTGTTATCACAGTTATCATCTACGTCTGAACTCAGTCAATTCCAAACTCATCCTACTACTTTACCAAATCAGAAAAAAAAGATACCGCCACTCAGTATCTTCAGGGAGGACTAGTATCACGCACGTATTACGCATTTTTACTACAACAAACGGCCCGACTCGCTTACACTAATACTTCTGAGAATGAAATATAGAAGATAAAGTCATCTTCGTCACATGACGCTATGTCATCGTTGTTGTTGTATCTTTCTGCCTCTGTAGTTCACTTCATTTACAGGCGCCTGAGGAGTTCTTTAGGGCTCACGGTAAAGGCGCCTTGAGAGTTCTTTAATGTTCACACTGAAGGCGTCTCAAGGTTTCTTTAATGTGTACACTGAAGGCGGAGAGTGTGTCGCGGTTATTAATGTAATTTGAATAGAGTATAAAGTCATCATCTCCGTCACTTGGCGCTAGGTATTTGTGTTTTTCTTAGAAGAATCGTGGTATTTGTAAAGTGGACCCAAAGTGAAAGTGTGGGTGTGCAGTGCACTTCTAGTAGAAGGGATGGAATAAAGTGATTTTTTGACTTTGACTTTCAGGAGAATTTATTATACCTTTCAAAATTTGCATTTGCAATCAAACCCCAGATGAATCAAGGTGAATACTTCCCATCAAACGAAATAGTTGTAAGCACGCTTTGCGCGCACGAATCGACAACGCGTCAATTATGTTGCTTTTCGAGTATCTGTGTCTCTCGAAAAAATGGACGAGTGAGACAAATTACATCTCTTGATAGAGATAAAACGGCTTTCTAATAGACCAAGGCAGACGAGGGTAAAGAAAAAGCCCTCAATGTAGAAAAAAGACCAAATCGGAGCTCCTTGTGAAAAATGCCAGCTGTTGCTGTAAATATCTGAAAAAGAATTAGTAGAAACTGTTGCCCCATCAATCTTCTATACCTTCGATTTTGCAAAACCGAGCGAATTGAGCAAGCACAAGTGCAAGATACACGACAAACGTCAATAGCAGTCCATGCATCCCACACTTGTGAAGGAACATCTAAATTCAACTTGAGAACTTGAGTTTCTTGTTGTCATTGAAACTCTGCATCTAGTAGACACCCAAAAAAAGGAAAGATCTACATGCAGGGCTTGCGTTGTTGACAATCTAAAGACGATGCCGACAGTTGCTGGGCGTGACGGGAGAGGAGGACCTCTACTGAACCTCAACAAGTTAAGCTGACTCTTAGTTGTAGAATATCAATACCATAGCAGATGTTATTTTATTTGGTTAAGGAGGAATTGCACTCCATTTCATCACCGAGAACAACATAAGCACCCGAAAACTGAAAATAACCGAGTTACTGGCTGAAATAAGAGTGTAGCTTAACATCAAGGCTGCTCCTCCTTCTCATCAGTATCTCAGTTAGTCTGATCAGTTACTTGCTTTCAAAAATCAAAAAATCCCCATCATACTACTTCATTCGACTTCGAAAATTAGAAAAAGTCGAATTAAGTAGTACACCAAAGCAACCATGGCGGACCCTCTTCGCGGCGACCTGTATCGAATACATATAACCGCTAAAGAAGGGTGGAGCCGGAGCTGGAGGGGGCAAAGGAGATCAGATAGTTGTGGGGCAAAATTTGGAGTACTACAGCAAAAGCGCAGGTGGCAAATGGATAGCATGCGTCGTCAAAGAAGTGCAATCAGATGGAACTTTTATATTAAGGCTTCTTGCAGAAGTCTGCAGTTGTGCGCAAATATGTAAATGTAGGTGTTTCTGTTTGTAGCTACGAAGGTAGATGTAGGCGTAGGAAGGTGGATTCATGTACATTCTAAGAAGATCGTCTATTCCAAGTAGTTGTACTAAAGCATTACAAATATTCTTTAGGCTTTCAGTAGTTGATTTCAGTAGTTGAAAGGGAGGGCTTCTAAGAACACTCGTGTACTCGGATGGGACCATCCTCAAGGAAGGAGCTGACCCAAGTCAAGTCAGAAAGGTCCTAAAAATCCTATTAACAATTATTTACCCCCATTGTCCTGTAATCATGGTCACCATGTAGAAGCCATTTATGGATATTGTAGGAGATCATGTGTAAAAAGATCCCTTCTCCGAACCTTTACTCAGGTTCCCCCCCAGGCTGCTTCGAAAGACGAGGGTCCGTTAAAAGAGGTGGCGTCCGGACCGGATTTGGGAGCACTGCTTCCGCCTAAGGAAGCTGTGAGGCAAGGCGTCCAGGCAAGGCGCAACAGCGGCATACCACCAGCTTCACGTGGAGGCCCACGCGAACGAAGAGAGAGTGGAGTGGTTAAGGCTTGTTGTGGTAGTACTGCGAATCATCTAATCGAAAACTGAAACTAAGCGAGTAACAAATACAACAACCGAGTATCTGAGATTCTTGTTATCTAGTAGATTATTCGGTTATTTCAGTTTTTCGAGTACAATACATCTAGATTCTAATTTAAATTACTTATATCTTGCTTAAATCGTCTCTGTACGTAGACTCTCTACTTTTGGGTGTGTACATCGCGGACCATCGTCAGCATCTAAAGTCGGTAATCCCTCCGCGCCATCACGAAACCCTCCAGGAAAGGGCCGAGCGACGAATCACGCAAACGCGGGGGGTCCGTCAGCAGGTCGTCTTTCGGATGCTATGAATGACTGGGACTAGTTGTATTTTGTTTGAGCTGAACTTGTATCTATGAAGAAATTTGCTACCCCGAGAAGTTACTTATAGTAGCATAAGTGTCTGGCGATCCTCATCATAGTAGCATAAGAAAAAGTCTCTGCTCCTCTTACTTAAGTAGTTGAAATTGCAAACATATCATGTTGAGTACAACAAAATGAATTGGTTTCTCACACTATTAGTCGTAGAGACACGCCTAGCTGCTTCTATTCCATCATCTCCACACACCTACAGCTTTCTCTATCCCCCTCTAAGCCCGATCAGGACAGCAAAAATGCAACATGGAATATGCAGAAGGTTTATGTTGGCGATCGGGCTAAGATACGCGAAACCGGTCGCACGGGAGACGTAATGTTCGTCGGTCGGATAGCAAGCCTAGTTAAGGTCTTTTGGATGCTGATAAGAGCTGTTGCTGAAGATAGGGGTTAGATGGATTGTAGAAAAGAATTAGATTCTTTCTTCTGCGACGCGTACGGAGTAAGTTTCGGCCGTGCTCCGCAGCTAAGCTCCTTATGATTGCACAGATGATACACAGAGGTAAAAATTTTTTTCTTACTCCTTTCTGAACGTGATCCTACTGAACTTCTCTAAGACACGCTCAGGCCTTATTGTGGGACTCAAGTTAGACGAGAAACGGCGAACAGCCGAATGTGATGGGAGGCATGGCTCTGAGCGTTATTTCCGGTGTCCACCCGGATACGGCGTATTTTTGATTAAGACATAGTTCGTACTACAACTAAGTGGTTGTACCTTTATGATAGTTCACCCATTTTCTCTGAGGGAGCTACCGGCCAGCGAGTCTGCGGTGAGACTCAATCACAACTTCTGCTGATCCGGTGGCGGTGCTTCGTGCGCAGGGCTGAGGCGGGAACCCCTCTAAACCTAAATTTAAAGAGGGGGGCCGAGTCCTGCTCCTTCGTTCATTTTTTTGAAATAGATAAAAGAAGAGGAGAAGTATTGTCCAAGTTCTTCAGGGTTGTACAACGGCATAAGAATACCCGGCTATCATGTACAGTAAATAATAGCTGAGGATTTTTATGGACTCTAATAACTGATCATCTTTTGAAGAACAAAACTCGTATCGTCTAATCCAGGCATAGACGAAGTGGAAGTGGTTCAAAAGTTATGAGTGTCACGTTATGAGGGCTTACGCAGGTTCCTCTCTACAGAATGCTCGCATGGGTGGAAGTCCCCACGTACAAGCAATAACAGGAACATAGAAAGGAGCGATAGCAGTTCTACCTATAATGACGTAGTTGACGAACACTACGACTACAAGAATTAAATCAGCAGAACACTACTCACAATGGGCAGTTAGAATTTGAATCTTCTTACCCTTACGTAACGTAATTCGCACCTCTGCATCTTCCAGTTTTTTAAGGAAATCACAATCTCTCCTCTATTCTAAAATCCGGGACTGACAAGGAGTCTGCAGCAAGTCTGGAAAATTGCAAGCTTGTATTTGAAGCTCCAGGTGAGAAGAACATTGACCTAGAAGATGCGCTTGCGAATTTTTACGACTCTGCGGGAATCAAAGGGCAACTACGCAAAGTAAAGCATTGGGTCGAAGTACAACTTATGGATGAATATTTCATATTTATAGTATAGTAACTGTAGTAAGTTCAATGTCAATCATTCTAGTTTGAATGTTTCCGGTATTCGGTAACCTGAATTTGATCATAAGGGAAAACAAGAAGAGAACCCTTAGGATCAAACTCAGGTTACCAAATACCAGAACCATACATAGTTCCTCGTGGTAGGACTCCTTGCGACGTTGACGTAGTAAGCTAGGGAGCAAGGCGGGTCTGAATAACTTGGAAGGAGTAACAAGTAGAAACGATAGCTGTCACTTACTGCTAGTTCTTTCGTTTCGCAGTAACAAGTAACTGTCACTTCATCTAAACTGAGAAAACGTTGTGAGGCAGCAATGCAGGGTGACGGTGACGTTGATATTGGCCTTAAGCCACTGACCTTTCTGTTTCGTGGAAACTGCGGCACAGGAAAAAGCAAGATTGCGCGTCACCTTACATTATGAACAATCCCTCGGCTTCGGTTGAAGTACTCCCATTATATGGTAATTCCTTGTGGATCTGTTGTTCTATATTGTTGAATTTGAGGAGGACTTTTTCTTCTAAGAATCCACTTACTCCGGGATCTTGGTGTGGTGAATCGCGGCCATTTGATAGAAACGAGTCGGAAGGAATTAACGGCGAGTTACGGAGAAGGCGACAAGACAGTAACCAAAGTCTGGAAAGCTGCAGCGGGTGGCACTCTGCTCATCGACGACATTGGAGTTGGAGCAGAGGATAAGGTGCTAGTATAGTGATCCTGTATCACACGAGGACGTAGGGTCCGTTTATGCGATGCCTATGTCTTTGATTCCAGTTTGAGTCACAAGCACACGCAGATCATCCTGGCATATAAACAAGACATTGACGGAGTAGTGCCAGTTCTACAATGGCTTTCAATTTAATTGTTCGTGTGCTTGCTCCTCTTCATGTGATTTCATGTACTTAACAAGAAGTACTTAGTCAGTGTGTATTTAAAAAAAACAACAACAGAATGAGCGAGGCGGACACACTCTAGAGGAGGCGCTTTACTCGGTGATGAAACATTTCGATTATGGACTTCTGGTTTTTACTTCCGCAGAACTGTCATTCTATCTCTCAAGAACGAAGTAGAGGAAGGCAGCCTCTAACCCAAGCAAGTGTAGTCGAGATAGTCTTATAAATTCCCTGAACAGTAACTGAGAACCCCTTTTACAAATGACTTTTTCACCAGTTGGAACTACATTAATCTTGTAATACTGAAAGGGGTTCGCATCGCTCTACTCGACAGTATTTCCACCCTCTAACCCAAGCAAATGTCAAGGTCGTTCAAATCGTGGCCGCAGCCTGTCTGTCTCATTTTGAGTTACCCACAGTTAAGCCTTAAAGGGTTACCACATACACTGCATTCTTCAATCTCTAGTACCATTCTTGCCTTATACTATTTTCCGATAGAAAAGAGCAAGAACTCAACAAGGCAAATGCAAAAATGATCTGCAGAATGCAAAAATGTGACAGCCTCTAACACAGACATCGGGACTGCCAGAACGACTGCAGCCTATTCAGCATGAAGCCAGGAGTTTCGATTTTGATGACTACGATGATAAGTGCATAGCGAATATCCTCGACAGGAATATCAAGGCCAGAAATTTCAGTGCGAACATCAAAGCAGATGCATTGTTGAGGTATTTTTAGATTCGAAATTGTTGGAGTTTATACGTCGCTTAGGGACATCACGTACTTATGGTATTATCATATACACTTATTTCGAACATCATGGAGCACCATACACTACAAATTCCTCACTTTTGTTGTTTGCAGATCCTACGTACTAGACACAACGAACTTTAAGTTTAACAAAACAGAGAGCCGCCATCTCTCTTCCAGCGTAGATCTTCCTACCTTCACTTCTTGACAAAATTCACAGTGTCGTTCGCGGTGCCATCGCCAGAGGGATGGGTCAGGAATTTCCGAATGCGCTTTTAGCAGACAAACTCTTAAATGATGCGATTCAAAAGCAAACGGAGCGAGTGTGGGCAAAAGATTAAGGCTTCACCCGATATAATGTGAATACTTAATCGTCCAACTATGTATGTTTGTTGTCACCTACGGCTACGAATGCTAAAAGCCGTCTATCTTGATAGGTGGGAGCCCGGCTACGGATGCTAAAAGCCGTCTATCTTGATAGGTGGGAGCCCGGTCGTGAATAATCCAACTATGTATGTTTGTTGTCTCCTACGGCTACGAATGCTAAAAGCCTATCTTGATAGGTGGGAGCCCGGTCGTGAATAATCCAACGATGTAGGTTTCTTTGTTGTCACCTAGTACGGCTACGAATGCGAAAAGCCGTCTATCTTGATAGGAATCCCGTCGTTCATAATGCACGCATCTCCACCTATCGGAAAGCTCTAAGCGCATACGATGAGTTGGGAAGGACTAACGACCCTCTGCGACGACGACTTTTTGACAGAGCATAAGGGTCAGCAAGAACAGAAGGAAGCACTTGGTATTGTCCCTACTACTTGTGAATGTATCAGTTGGGGTCAATGAGGAATTGCTGAGAGGAATGCTGTGTATGGTTCTGGTATTTGGTAGCCTGAATTTTATCCTAAGGGTTCTCTTCTTGTTTTCTATCTCACAACACCAATAGTCAAAATGCTGAGAGGAAGTGCTATCTTGGGATTTTCTATCTCACAACACCAATAGTCAGAATGCTGAGAGGAAGTGCTATCTTGGTATTTTCTATCTCACAACACCAATAGTCAAAATGCTGAGAGGAAGTGCTATCTTGGTATTTTCTATCTCACAACATCAATCTATTAGCCAAGCTCGAAAAAATTGTGGGATTACGGGAAGTTAAGGAATTTGTGAGGTCGTTGCACGCCCAACTATCTGTGGAAATGCAGCGAAGGTTAGCCGGAATCAACGCTGGCTCGTCATCCCACACACTGCATATGATTTTCACTGGGAGTCCTGGTATCATAAGTACACTCGATATGTTGATGTACGATAATATTTACAAGAACTGGCAGTCTGGGTATTTAATTGTTGATTTTCAATTTGATTGCAGCGTACAGAAGTTTTAGTAAACTACTAGGTTTTGTAGTTAGCGAGATGGTCACTGAGAGTCAGGGTATTACAACTAGTTTGAATTTTGGTATTGAAGAAGTAAGTAGCATCGAAAAGGTGTGCAAGTAGGTCGGTCGTCGGTATAGAGTAGGTTGAACGTCTACAAATAGGTCACCTGGTTTGCTTTTCTTATGGAAGTTGAGATCGTTCATCTCTACGTGTTTTTTTTTCTTCTTTCTTTGAAGACCACAAAGAGTATTCTCTCATATACGACTAGGTACCGGCAAAACAACCGTCGCGCGAGTGATCGCGGATCTTCTGAGGAGTTTAGGCCTCCTCAGAAAGGGTCATTTAATCGAGGCTGACCGCTCCTCGCTTGTGGCCGGCTACAGTGGCCAGACTGCTCTGAAGTTATGCCAGAATGCTCTGCTATTCTCAAGGACACTGGCCACGATCGATGAAACATCTCTCGTGGATGATTTTCATTTAATAGACTCTCCCACTAGGGACCCGTTCTTCTCCACTTCCAAGGTCTAAGATGAAATCCCGTTCTTCTCCAATGAAACCCGTTCTTCTCCACTTCCAAGGTCTAAGATGAAATCCCGTTCTTCTCCAATGAAACCCGTTCTTCTCCACTTCCAAGGTCTAAGATGAAATCCCGTTCTTCTCCCACTAGGGACCCGTTCTTCTCCACTTCCAAGGTCTAAGAAACACAAAAGCGGTTGTAGAGTCAGCCTTAGGCGGAGTACTTTTTATCGATGAGGCGTATGCTCTCGTTCAAGGCGATGGTCGGGATACCTTCGGTCACGAAGCCTTGGACACACTCATTAAAATTAAGACCACGATGAAGATTTGAATTGATTCCCAATTTACCTATGAAGATTTTATTTTGCATCCCTTAATACAAATACCGTGTCGTTAACGTTAATATTGATGCTTTAGATTTGAAAATCCTATCTCTTAGCCGCGTCAGCGTGTTATTCAACATGTCTTTAATCGAAGTGCTGACTTCTAAAAACCCTATCTTATAATTTTTTTCCTCGTCAGTTTTTTAGCGGAAAATTTATAATCTTTTTCCTGATGTTATTTCCTCTAAAAACCTGACGGAGGATCATCGAGGCAATCTGGTCGTCATTCTAGCAGGATATAGTAAGGAGATGCAGAGACTGCTGGATATGAATCCGGGTCTCACGTCGCGATTTCCAAATAAGCTGAATTTTCAAGACTACACATGCGAAGAAATGGCAGATATCGGAGAAGGGATGCTTAACCTGGATAATTTGATTATGGAATGGACAGGGACCACTAACGAAGAATCACTCTAACTAACTGATGTAACTCAGAAGTCATAACCATAAGCAATCATAGATCTGCATCAACGACACATCGTAGTTTGATGATAAACTATAGCATGCATTAATCATGAAGTAGGTTTTTCAGGTTTTTGTGTACTCGTCCTGTAGTAAGCAACTAGTAACTGATGTTGCCTCTCTTCGCTAGAATTTTTCTCCATACGTCTAAGAAGTGATTCGCGGACCAGAAAGCCAGAGCTGCTTTTCGACAGAGGTTAGAAGCGTTGGGGAGTAAGCGACATGTTAAGGCCCAGTTTACAAGTTTACATGTATTTCACATCTATCATAATGCGTAAATGTGTTCGGGGAGGCTCGACGCTGCAGACATTTTTCTGTATGATCCCAGAGTTAGACTGACATGGTAAATGCACATGTAGGCTGACATGATATGTCAGGCACATGTAGTCTGACATGATAAATGGTAGCTACTACAACTATAACACGGAGCGAACACATAAATCAGATTTATATTTATAGGATACTATGCGTCGGGTCTTCATCTTCTTGTTCTTGAGCAGCTACATCGTCTTCTAATTTTTGCAATGGTCGTAGCGTCCGCAACATCTTGGAGGAAGCGAAGCGACTCATGGCTGTGCGGTTGACGCAAATGAAAAAACCCTCTGCGAGCGATTTAGTCACCTTAGCATTAAGGCTTGTGGAAATCCATCTTGTTCCCTAGCATGCATCCTCATACCGTTGGTTTTGAAGGGAAAACCAACGGGCACCAAGATGGATCTGGATGCATCCCGAGATGGATTTTTGTAGGGTCTAATGGCAGCAGAGGACTTTTAGTCGAGATCATATCTTGGGAGTAACTACATCTATTTTCTAAAAGTAAATTTTGCTGGTGAGGCAAAAGACAAGGATGGCAGGTGTAAAAGTCTTTATTTAGATCACATCTTCATGAGACTAACAAAATGATGATATGTCCTGCTGAGACTGAGACCACTTTTAATCGAGATCATATCCTAAGACTAAGATCTAAGTCTTCTAAGAGTGATATTCTTGACTGGAGTTAGACCTAAGCCTAACAGTAACATCTAAGAGTATTTGTCTGGAATTGGACGTCTCACCCAAGACCGTTTATTGAGATACTTATAAACATCTCACACTGGTGGAGGTGTAGTTCCAACGGTGTCCAGATAGTTCCAACGGTGTCCAGAGAGTATTTCTCTGGAATCCTTGAACTCATATTTTTTTCCAATTACACAGACACGCGCAACCGGCGCAAAGAGTATAGTCGCAAGGGGAATTTCAGCTCGAGTAGACTTTCAATTTCGAATAATTTCCTGATGTTGTTACGACGCCTAGTATTTTCGTCTATTTTCATTGAAGCAAGGGATCAAGCACATCATCAACATTTTTTTTAGTCTCGTGTGCATCGAAGATCATATGACCATACAAATAATATAGATCGCAGAAACTACAGGGTTTTTCAATTAAGTGATTACTTGATGTTTGGTTTTGCGACTGCATAATCGATTAATAGCGTTCAAACTAGTGTTGTATCGACGATTTAGAAATTTTTTTGATATTTTCATTTTTGTGAAGATTGTGACTGTAGTGATTGACTCAACAAGCATCTTCTTGATCTTTTGACTTAAATCACAACTACAACAAATTTTGCATGTGCAAAGCGTTCTGGATGGCTGTGCATATTCAATTTCTTATACAGGGATCTGGGAGAGGCCTGCGCGACAGGCGCTCGTTAAGTTAGAGGAATTATATATAAAAAGGGTGAGTACGAGTAGGAGTAGACAACTAGAACGACACGTCGTACATCTTCTTCGTGGGAGAATTCAACATTGAATCATGATCCTTGCTCTTGCTGGCGAACTTGTAGTTATTTTTGACGGTTAGCCCCTATTCTCTTTCTTTTTGGCTCTTCAGTAGCCACTGAAGTCTGCTGGTTTATCTAGTGGATCCACACCTAACCTAACCTTATCCGTTGTTACAGACAGTGGTCACACTGAGGCCTGTCCATGTGAAGTCTTCAGTCCTCAGGGTTGTGCTAGGCGCTGTAGAACGAGTGCGAGAGATGAACGGACAAAGAAACCTGAGTTGAAGTAAAAAAAAAAAGAGATCGACGGAGAAGGCAGGTTTACTAGTAAATAACTACAGAAGTAGGCTGATGTCATAGCTGTCGCGCGAGAGGGCCTTCAGTTCAATAGCTCTGATGTAGCAGCTGAAGCTGTTCTGCTAGCGACATCCGTGGCCGATCAACATTGTCGGTTAAATCATGGGTCCATCCTCATGAAGTTCTTTTTTAAATAGAGAGTGATCTCTTAACAACATAGTAAAAATCATTCAGAACAAGTTCCAGATCTTTATTCTACGTAGCATTGATCGTCCTCTTCGTTCTACGTATGGTTCTTTTACAACTAACTTGTTTTTATTTTCAAAAGTGGTCCCCATCGCCATCTAGTAGCTACTAAACTTAACAACTGCTAAAAGCACCCATCTAGTAACTACTAAACTACTTAGAACTTTTTTTAAAAGTCCCTAACATTAGCCTTAACCCTTATGCCTAGCCTTAACCTTAAGCTTAGCCTTAACCCTATCTGGTAACTACTTCGCGTTCTCGGCGGCCTGGCGCATAAGTAATATAACCAAGCTTACATCAACACTTTCATGTTATTAACACGATACGGAGTTATAAGTACTTAGTTGTACTATTCAACACCACGCATCAAGTTGTACTTCATTGCATTCAACACGATCACGCAAGTACTTTATTCAAGACCACGGACCACGAACATCATCAGAATGTCCATCGTCTTTGGTGGCTCATCCTCTTCGTCGTCTTTGGTGGCTCATGCTATAAAGAGTGCTGGCATCGCACTGCCTCTTGCTTGCCAAGCAAGAACAACTTCATCCAGTCCAATCAAGACGAGAAGCGGCGACTACAATCCTAATCCTATTCCTTCATCAAGTCCAATCAAGGCGAGAAGCTTAAGGGTAGTGTATCATTATCCCATGATGTGGAGTAAGCTGAGTGACGTCCTCCTTGAGTGAATCATGGGGAAAGAAACTAAGGGGCAAGGAGGGCAATCCACTCGACTCGGGATAGTGAAAAACTACCTTTAAGAAGCGACGAAATTCCTACTCCTAGTATCGCCTCCGTCTTCTCATTAGGCGGGACAAAATCAAAATCGCGACTAGTAAGATTAGCGCCACCAAGAACAAGGATGAAGATGCTGCTTCACCAAGGAGTCTTACGTGAGGCACGAGGACATCAGTGTTGGCGAGGACATCAGTTTTGGACCTCTGCCAAGAGGCATTTCGCAAAATATCGACCATTCATCAAGCCCATTCGCGGACCCGTTAGGCTAGCGAAAGCTGGAGGGCCAAAAGACCAGATCACAAAACAAACTGTGATAGACACAGGATTAGAGGATGCCAAGGTCGAGCAGGAACGACGAGAAGCAGATTAAGACATCAGTTTTCAAATTGAGCACGAGAGAGGGGAACTCCTGAGCATGAGAGAGGAGTTTCAACTTACTGTAAATCACACTCGAAGCAGAGGACGAAAATGGAACACTTATATATAAAAATACATGCCCAGAAAGCGGGCCCATCAAGGGCCCGCTGCGCTGGGCATAGGTTAACAACTCGACAGGTTGACTACTAAGAGACAGAAAGACAAACGAAAAAAGTCGCCAAGTCTGCTCGCCAAGGCTGGGAAGCTGGCCCCCACTGTGGCGAGGCTAGTGAGGAGGTTACCGCTATGGCTACTGCCTTGGCCAACTTGCTTGCTAGGGGCAAGCCAATGGGCGCCAAGGCTGGCCCGCTGAGCGTCATGGAGTCCATGAGAAGGCCACGCTTGGACATATGTAGGCACAGAGATTGGGCCCTTTTGAGTGTGATCATGTCCAGGAGAATCCTAAAGCATAGCATACCCATGGGATGGCAAAAGGCTGACACTGGCGAGCGTCATGGACGAGGCCCATGAGAAGGCCACGCTTGGGCATATCTATGCGCAGGGCCAGAAGCTGGGCCCCAACCTTCAGGCGCGGGGATGTGTCTATAGGGTTGGCTGTTTCATGGACATGACGCAAGACGCCCACCACGGTCCGCGCCTCAGACATGCAATGGCCCACAGTTATCACTCTCACACACAGGCATCGACGTCCTCAGCCTTCAGCCTTCACCGACGGAGATGCATGCGCCTGGCCTTCTCATGGACATGATGACGCCCGCCAAGGTCCACCCTTATCTACTTTGTCACAGACATCGACACCCTCAACGGCTTCGACTTTCACAGGCAAATCTGTATACCTTTGGCCCTCTCATGGATATGATGACGCTCACCAAGGTCCACCCTTCAGCCACACAAGTGCTCAAGGCTATCACTCTCACAGGCATCGACATCCTCAACGGCTTCGACTTTCAAACACAGAGACGCACATCTTTGGCCTTCTCATGGATATGATGATGCTCACCAGGGTCCACCTTTCAGACATGCAAGTCCTCAAGGCTATCACTCGCACAGGCATCGACATCCTCAACGGCTTCGACTTTCAAGCACAGAGATGTATACCTTTGCCCTTCTCAAGGATATGATGACGCGCACCAGGGTCCACCCTTCAGACATGCAAGCCCCCACGGCTACGGCTATCATTCTCACAGACATCGACATCCTCAACGGCTTCGACTTTCACACACACAGAGACGCATGTCTTTGGCCCTCTCGTTGGTTTGATGATGCTCACCAAGGTCCACCCTTCAGGCATGCAAGTCCTCACGGCTATCATTCTCACAGACATCGACGTCCTCAACTGCTTCGACTTTCATACACAGAGATATATATCTTTGGCCTTCTCATGGATATGATGACGCTCACCAGGGCCCACCCTTCAGACATGCAAGTCCTCACGGCTATCATTCTCACAGGCATCAACATCCTCAACGGCTTCGACTTTCACACGCAAAGCTGCACACCTTTGGCCTTCTCATGGATATGATGATGCTCACCAGGGTCCACCCTTCAGACACGCAAGTGCGCACGGCTATCATTCTCACAGCCATCGACATCCTCAACGGCTACGACTTTGAAGCGCCGAGATGTATGTCTTTGGCCTTCTCGCGACTCAATACGATCACGCTCGTCAGCCTCTACCTTTTCAAGTGCTCACCCTCTCCCTTACAATTCTCCCGCTTTTATGCTGGTTAGGAGTATACTGGTCAACCATCGACCTCCAAGGGCTGCCGCGCGCTCCTGTGCCGTGGTCGATTGCTGTGCGCGGAAGGTAGTCGCGGAAGGGGAGCGAGCTAACTTTTTTCCAAAAACTTCAGGGAGGTCGTTCAGTTTTCTCTGTATTTGAATGACCTCCCTGAAGTTTTTGAAAAAAAGCAAAGGCGCTGGGCGATATATGACAAGGGTAGCGGTTGGAAGTTCGTTGGGGCGATTCGCTAGGGGTGGGCGCGTAGTGTCTTGCTGCGGATGTGGCTGGTGTACGTGAGTAGCCTACAAACTAACAGCCGCGAACACGTTAGCACGTTCGTGACACTTTTGGACTCGTAGTACTAGCAAGGTCCTTAAGGAGCCGCTGTTATTAGCCCAAGTTTATAACAGCTTGTCCTTAAGGGACCTCCTTAAGGGAATTTTTTTCCTCTTAAGGAAAGTTATAATAACTTTTTATAATAAAAATTCCTTAAGGAAACTGATTTCCTTAAGGAAGCGCCTTAAGGAAGCTCCTTAAGGGAGCTCCTTAAGAGATTTCTGGGAATTGCTAATACTATAAATACTAATATTCTACTGTACACCTACACGGTAGAAGAAAGGAAATCGAAATTCACTAGTATATCACACACACTCCAAACATAATTGTGAGCGCCGCTCATTCTGAACAACAACTCCACTTAAAGGCTGTGCACAACAACTCCAGTTAGGACTGTCAGACTCCAAACAGCACGATTGTGAGCTCCATCTAAGCACAGCAGCGAGCCTTAGAACTGTCAGAGGAACGCCGTGTGGCGCTCTGCGGTTGCACACCGTTTATGAGCCTTCGCTACCTACATTACGGCTTCTACTTACAGTTCATCTACTTTTTGTTCATCTGTGGTGTGCTTTCTTGAAGTTGTACTAGCAACATGGAGACAGCACGAGATGAGGGAAAAGATGGATTAGCATTAGGTTTAGTGATTTCTAATTTGAGGCCTTCCATGCAACGAAATTACCGACTCCAGCATCTGCGACGGTCACCAACATGTCCAGCTCACAAAGCGTTGACTAAGGCTCTGTTGATGATCTGCGAAGAATCTTGGCAGAGTATCATTTTCCTCAGTTGCGTCCTTGGACTTGGAGTCATTCATCTCAGAATCAAATACCTATTTTTTCATTACCGTACTTCTTGAAGTACGGCACAACTTCTGTTAATTACATTTAACAGGTGGAGATGATGATATTTTTATACTGAGCTCTAAAAAGGTGACAAGACTACATCTACTGAGGACATAATTTTGCGTTTACAGCTCGACGTGGATTTGACAAGGGAGGCGGTTCGTGGCGTATGCGTTCTGCCGAATGGGCTGCAAACGAAAATACGATTATTGGTCTTTTGCCCCGACCGCGACGCTCAGGAAATGAAGGACCTTGGTGCCGACTTCGCAGGGATAACAGTTAAGGCTGCCCAATATCGATGATATTTAGCTTCCAAGTCTTCAAGAATCACAACCTCCACCACTCTTCTGAAGAGCGAGGTGCATAACTTATTAAATATTCATCTTCAAGAAGTGCAAGTGCATTTTCGACCACGGGGGTCTTTCAGGCACGCTTGAAGTACTTACTCTCTCTACATGTTTTTCAGAGGCATCTTCATCTAGGTGCTCTCAACAAGGGGAATAGGAACAAGAAAAAGAAACCCTCTTTTATAGGTTTAGGTACTCTCTATGTTGATAATATTCTGATTCTCAAGGGGAAAACAAAATCAAAATCAATTCTCAAAATGATGAAAGAACATGCGTTCTGAGATGGAACCATCTCTCCAACTGTAAGGAATCTGTCTAATAGAGACGTTGTGAAACGCATTCAGCAAGGATGGCTCGGCTTCGATCGTTGCATCGCAACTCAGGATATTATGGGCTACAAGCAAAATCATGAAGATGCGGTCTATTGTAACAAACAAGCTATTACATCCTACGTGTAGTTCCGTAGATTCATTCTCGTATTTCTTGGCTCTTATCTCAAGCTTGCCAGCTTTTAAATCTTCTACGCTACGCCTCTACCTTTTCTAAGAACTACATGAAAGCCATTACCACTAAGAAACTAAGAAACTACACCTTGCTTTAAGGACTGTTATTCATTGTTAATGTTTTAACAACCAAACTAGAACTACACATGATAGACTGAGTGACGACTGAGACTCATCTAAGAACATGATGCGACAGGTGTTGCCAGTAGCGAAAATCTTAGGACCGAAAAGACTTATGCCCTCTCCCCGTTCCGGAACCGTGGTCGAAGATCTACGTGCAGCGATACGAGAGGTGAAGTTAAGACTGATGATGTAATTTAAATATATGATTGTCTGCGACTGCGACGTGCACTAACAACCAGCATACCAGTGAGAAGTTGTGAAATTTAGACTAGGATGATTCATTTTTCATTTTTCCACACCCTTCACGGTACTCGTTCGACGCAGTTCTTCTAAAATAAGGTGGAGGACTTTTAGAGTATCGTGCTGAAGGAGAAGGCGAGCTAGAGGTTGCAATCGGAAACACGCAATTTTCCAATTTATGAGTGGATTTTTTTTTGGGAATTTTTTTGTACTGGATGACTGGCACTAAGTACACTAGCAGATCTATTATTTACCCTCTATTTTAGGCAGACTGCAGAGTAGATTCGCATCATCATTTACCCTCTCTACCACTACGACTACCCATGTCCGATAGAGGACAGTTCCTCTTTGTTTTCTTCGCTCATCTGCAGAGAGTTTCCTGGCTCATTCACTGTGGTTCAGCTGGCTTTGTTCAGGAGATTTATCATGTTATTTCAGAAAATGAGTCGATCGCTGTATTCTAACGAAGGCAATGGTATTGGAAAACGTGAAGTTTTTCATCACGCAGCTAATGCGTACGCGCTCAAAGGGTGGAGGCGGTTCTCAAGGATTATGGGACTCATATTCTAGGTAAGTCCATGAGGACGTCGGTCTCGATCATGAAGATGTTTGAGAAGCCAGTTGTCGTACCATGTAAACACAACATAGGGGATGTTGATTATTATCTTCATGATGTGTACTTTTGACTCGGCCCCTCTTGATCTTCTGAAAAGATATTGTATCCATCTCTGGGAGCGCCACCAGCTCCAGGTCGTATTCTTATTTTTGGCTTTTCAGTAGTTCATTATGTCTGCTAGTTTTTCTAGTTGGCCCACACCTCACCTAACCTAACCGACAGCTCTAACTCAAGGCGGACAAACTAGTGGCACAAATCTGATCAAGGATGCGCGGATAGAACGAGGAAAATCTGGAACCTCAGATAGTGGAAGATTAAGGCTAATATACCACAGAGAGGACGCTCATCTTACTTACATAAGCACTCACGCAGTACTAGTACTGTTTTGCAGTAGAAAGTAGTGTTTTATTGTAGTAGTGTCTTCCTGTTGCTGTTGTAGAAAGTCAGTCAGCAGTAAGTATCTATTTACCATGATAGATATGATCATTGATTAACATTCGAGTAGAGAAGACCGCAAGTGTCTGAGTTCATCTGTTAGAATATTTGTAGTTGTGCAACTTAGCTCAAAGAAGTCAAACCAACTAAGCTTTAAGAACAGCCAGATCAAGCGGAGCATCAGGGTACATACTGCGTGCTTCTCTCAGAACAGCCAGTGGACCTGACGTTCCGTTATTGCCGAGTGAGGTTTTGCCAAACAGCTCAGGATACTTTCGATAGTAATGAGCAGATCTTCATGTAGAATTGAAATTGTTGAAACTTTTGGATTAGAATCCTGAGTGTGGATCAGTTCAATAGCTCTGATGTAGCAGCTGAAGCTGTTCTGCTATGGCGACATCCGTGGCCGATCAACATTATCGGTTAAATCATGGGTCCATCCTCATGAAGTTCTTTTTTAAATAGAGAGTGATCCCTTAACAACATAGTAAAAATCATTAAGAACTAGTGTCTTTTTTACGTCCTGAGTGTGGATTCACCACGAAGTTTGCGATTCTTTTATCATCGTGCAAACAACAAGACCGAGAGAAGGAGAGTGAGAAAAAAGAGAATTTTTTAGCACGTTACTTCGTAGCACTGATAGATATCAGGAACTAAATAGACACGTTAGTACGCTGATGGGTAGTTCTTGATACTACTTACCTACTAACTAGATCATACTTTATGAATTAAACCTACCTGCTCTTGCCAGACACATCAATCAATCAATCAATAAGTATTACTACTACAAATACAGACACAGATACGCATCTACTCCTAGTACCAGTACCAATATAAACCCCACAAAATCGTCGAAAATGCCGGAAAGCCGTGTGTACAACTTCTCGGCTGGTCCTTGCATCATGCCAGTGGAGGTCCTGGAAGAATGCAAGCAGGACATGCTTAACTACAAAGTAAGGCTAGTTTGTCGCTATCCCATATTTATACATAGATAGAAGACTATCTTCCTGCCGCTGAGTGGAGTCTCCCTTGATTTAAAGGGCGGAACAATATTTAAGGGGAAAAGGGGAACTCACTCAACGAACCAGGCAACGGGAAAAACTACCGCTAAACAAAGGTGCTGGCATGGGCGTGATGGAGATGAGCCATCGGTCGAAAGACTTCTTATGGCTGAAGACTTCAGTTCGAATAATTTGGAAGGTCAAAGACTTTTTAGATAGTGCGTAGATCTCATTTTTATCATCAACATCACAACGCTTATTATAAAGCCATATTGAGGACGAGGACATCTTTGTGTTTGTGTTCCCCTTCTAATCTTTGTGGCGATCTACAATCAAACGGAGAAGGACTTGCGTGACGTCCTAGCCGTCCCCGACAACTACAAAGTTCTTTTTCAACAAGGTACATGATTCCTTACCTCCTCGCTCTACTCGTACTCAGACGACTTAATGATGTTTATGTTACTTCTCAATACTAGATGAGGGTCGTGAGAAGTTAGATTGAGAAGATGAATTACAATTACTGGAATTGGAGAGAGACCGATACTGCTTTTTGGTCGCAAAATTTGTTCTATTGGTGTACAGGTGGAGCCTCTCTTCAGTTTGCGGCAGTGCCTATGAACTTCTTTGGTGGTGGTAAGACGCATGCTGACTACGCCGTCACTGGTCAATGGACAGAGAAGGCAGTAAATTATGATGTTGGGCTTTCTTCTTCTAGCAAGTAGAAAATGGACCATTTGAGGGTGTGCAGCATAATGATAATGACTACAGTTGTAGATACATAAAAATAAGTTCTTGTGGTTGGACAACTAGAAGTCCTAATTTTATTAATATCCGTGACGTTTTGGTTTTCGAAACTCCTGTACTAGGCTTCGAAGTAGTAGCATCTTTCTGTTCAACTTGTCCTAGAACGTAGGAGCAAAGAAGGGACTAGTGTTCTCAAATAATCGACATCTACTACGCATGACTCCCATCTCTTCTCTAATCCGAAGAAGCGCAGAAGTACGGGACAGCCACAGCAGTGTGCAACACCAAACCCGAAAAATTTACTCATATTCCACCTCAGTCCGAATGGAAAATGAGTGATCCCGAAACAACCGCATACTTCCATTACTGTACTATATTTTAAAGCACTATATTTGAAATCAAATAGCCACATGTTGACGTAGATGTACCTAGTCTTTTGATCACGGAAATTCTGAATCGTATTGTTCTGTTCACTATTTTAACCACTTCTGCTTTTGCTAACCATGATAATTAGAATTACCAATTCCACACACTCGCATCACAGGTGACAATGACATTCGACTTTCACAATTCCACACCAGGTGACAATGAGACTGTGAACGGTGTCGAATTTGGATACGTTCCCGAAGTCTCTGTTCCTCTGGTTGGCGACATGAGTTCGAATTTCCTCACCAGACCTGTTGATGTTTCTAAGGTACAATAAATCTGAGTTGTCACAAGAAGAAATGAAATCTGTCTATCTATCTATCTATGAGTCACAAGAAGAAACAAATCATCTGAGCTAGAGCTTGTTTGTTCTTGACCACAAGGTGAAACCATTTGCCGCAAGTAGCACACTGGAGGTCAAGTAACAACTTTCTATCAATTATATCTCTAACTATCTTGTTCACTCAAAGTCAAAAAGAATACGAACACCAACCCAGCTACTTCCCTCTTCAACTAGTACCTCAACTATTACGTACTATGTATAGTCTCTTCAACCTCAACAAATCCAGTTCGCCATGATTTATGCTGGTGCACAGAAGAACGCGGGCCCAGCTGGAAATACAATATGTATCATCAAAGACGAATTCATCGGCAAGCAAATGCCGATCACGCCAACAGTGATGAGCTGGAAATCTCAGTGTGACGCGGATGGAATGTAATATGTTTGTTTTGGAATAATCACCACGTCTATATATGATTTTTTTCGTTGGCAATGAATCTAAAACTAAATCCTAATTGAGGAACCAGTACTACCAACAGTACCCCAACCGATCTAATCAGGAAACTTCCACGTATACTCCCACCAACATCCGATCCCTCAAGGTACAACACTCCGCCGTGCTACAGCATCTACGTTACCGGAGTGTATCTGAAGTACACGAAATCAAAAGGCGGACTCGCCTACTGGGCCGACCAGAGTGCAAAAAAGAGCAGCATGCTAAGGCTAGTTGTTTTTCACTATCCCATATGAACTATCTATCTATGCTCCTGACTGAGTGGAGTTCCATGTATGACGACAAAGTCTATCATCTCTGTCCGAGTGAATGAGAAAAATACTCTGCTCGACCACAAAGAGAACGAGAACCGAAAAGGTTAAGAATATGAAAGTGGAGAGATTCGCGCAACACATCCTAAACAAGACGCTCTCGCTAGCAGTCCAACCCTACCGGACGCAGCAGAAGCTGTCAAGGATAAAGAAACTGCTTCACAGTTTGAACTTGCTAAAGTCTCTGTCAAGCAATTGCCTGCTGATCCTGCCAAGGACGCAGCAAACAACGACGACAACAACGACCAAGGAATCCCAATTCCAGTCGTTCCTGTAGCAAAAGATAGGACTTCGCCCGCAGCTACTAAGCTGGATATAATCTATTATAATCCAGATAGTCTGAGAAAGCTAGTAACAGAGCGAATTCCCCATCTCTCTCTGTTATTAAAGCACTCGCCCGACGTTCTCGCATTTGGTGAAACCCGCATGGCCACCAAAGCAGAACCAAAAGTCAAACAAGCTTTAGAACAGCTCGCGCCTGAGTATGAGATAACCTTCAATACCAACAAACGCGATGGATTCGCCTCTACAGCCGCACTGGTTAGAAAGGGCTTAGGCATTCGCGTAGAGCGTACCGCTCTAAGTAACGGACGAGGTATGTTGGTACATCATCCCAAGTGTCCCATTCCGATTCTCATCGTCTACGCGTGCTTTCGTGAAGACGTGCAAAGAACTCAGTCATGGGACCAAGAACTTCATAAGTACCTGTCAGCACAGACGGCAGCACCTATGATTATGGGAGATTTAAACTACTGCCCATCATCTCTGGACTTCGAGCCAGAATGCTTAAAGGCAGCCATTCCAGGAGTAAGAGAAACTGACCAAGAAGCTTGCGTAACTCTTCTTACAAAGTTCCAACTAATGGATGCATACAGAAACTTAAGACCCAATGGAAAAGACTACACATGTATCACCTGGGGACACAAGTACCCAGATGCTACTGGAAAAGGCATGCGCATTGATCATGTCTTTTATCCACAAGCACACGCTGGATTAGTCACAAGATTCCACGTTCTAAAGAATGTTCGACGCGCATGTGGTGAACATTATCCAATTGGAATCACATTCAAGCAATTGGAGGGGATTCCAATTAATTCTACCCCTCAAGCAAATCTAGATGCAAAACTACCTGCAATAGCCGACGGCACTGACATCCCTACGCAGTCACATCTGACCAATGTGTCCACTGGGTAAGTAGGGGATCCGGTCAATCCTACTACTAATGTCAATGCTAGGATAGGTAATCTAGATTCTGCTAAAACAGAAAAAGGAAAAGAAGAAAATAAAGGGCCCAGGATCGAAATAAAGCTTACTAAAACAGAACTTGATAGACTCTATCAAGAGTTTCAAGAAGAAGCGCGCAAGATCCTAAAAGAACTAAGACAACAACAAAAAGGAAAGCGTCTCCACTGGCGAGAACGCAAAGCAGGGGTTAGACGGATTCGAGGTCTATTCAAAGAGCATCCAAAGTATGAACACCTTAAGCCAGCGCAGGCAGAAGCCGCTGCTGCAAAAGTGTTACATAGACTCGAGATGGAACCAAATCCACTCGATGAAGAGCTAGAGCTTCTCTTGGCAGTCTGTGAATTCGTCGAACTCGACGATGATGAGACGCCGCTAGTGCTTCTCACTACAGAAGGAAAAAGTCCAAACTCGCAAGAGCAGGACAAATACGACGCTCCAGAATGGAGAAAGGCTATCCAAAAAGAACTCAACGCGCACAAGCATGTTTTCAGAAAAGCTACAGAACAGGAAGTCGCTGAATATCCATACAAGCGCATACCGTGCAGGCTATTACTGTCGGTAAAGCGTGATGGACGCCACAAGGCACGCATGGTATGTATGGGATTCTTAGCACCTAAGACCCATCTATCCACGTATGCCGCGGTAACAGATATCAGCGTAGTAAGGCTTATGATTGCGCTCGTAGTACTATCTCGAGGGAGAATCAAAATTAAGTCTGCTGACGCAACTTCGGCATTCTTACAATCTCCATACCCTGAGCACGTTCTAATCGAACTTGACTCCAGGTTGCAATCTGTCTTACGCTATTCCGTAGGAAAGGTTCTGTACTCCATGAACGGGCTAAAGCTATCTCCCGCTGCATGGGCCAAGTACAGAAACGAAGTACTCGTCAGTATAGGTTGGCAACAGTGTGCTATAGAGCCTACTCTTTGGCACTTGTCCAATGTCATCCTTATAATCTTCGTCGATAACTTTTATTTCTTCGGTGACGAAGAATCTTTTGCTAAAGTCTATCCTGAAGTGGCTCACAGACTCGACCTTGTCGAAGAACCACCTCAAGAAACGGCTACTGAGTTCATTTATGATGTCTTGAGCATTCAAGTGCGTCTTAATAAACTCACATGGTCCGCTATCCTCGACCAAACTCAATACACGCAGAAACTGCTCAAGCGATTTGGAGGGGAAGATGGCAAGTATGTTCCTACTCCAATTGAAATCGCTCCAGCAGCTTCTAAAGTACCTCTTGAACCTGACGCACTAGCAGCATTCAACAAAGAGAGAATGTCTCTGCTAGGCAGTTTGCAATATCCTTGCATTGCTACAAGACCAGACTTATGCGTCGCGTTGAAAGTACTTGCTACTTCGGATATCAACGAGAACACAATCCAAGGATTGAAGCGAGTAGTCCGCTACTTGCGTACACAACGCGTTCTCCACTACGTCGCACCTGACTCCTTCACAGGTGAACTCATCGTAGAAGTTTCCACTGATTCAGATTGGGCATCGCTACAGAGCCTCACTGAATGGAGAAGCAATTCAGGCATCTTGGTAGAGTTGTGTGGAATTGCTATCCAGTGGAAATGTAGAACTCAAGATACAGTCGCTACTTCTGTGTCTGAGGCTGAGTTATACGGGATGAGTGAAGGAGCTAAAATGGGTCTAGTTTACAGAAACCTACTTTCTGTAACGCCATTAAAAGAGTTTCTAATGCGTTTTGGATTCTCTCTGCAAAGAACCCTGAAACAGTTCGGGGACAATCAGGGCGCTATAAAACATGTTACAGGCAATCAGCCAGTTGCTCGCCTGAAGCATGTAGTTATACGTAGTGCGTATATCAAAGAGCTGATCAATACGGGAGAAGTGCAAGTCTTCTTCCTTGAATCTGCTAAAAATCGAAGTAACGTCTTAAGTAACATTTGTCGTGGTATTGAGTTTAAACGTGGACTATTACAATTAAAACTCCTCCAGGTTGAAGCTATTGATGCGGAAGCCGAATAAGCCGAAAGCGAAAAAAGAAAAAAACAGGAAAAGCAAAAAGGGAAAGTACTAGTAGTAAAAGTAACCGCGTACGAAACGAACAATGGGAATTATCTGGTTGAACAAGATGAAGACTTAACATAAGTGCACTGAAGTAATTAATTAAAAAGTAAGAAAGTGAAAGTACTCAAGTGCTGAGTAGTAGAAAAGTGAAAAAGGTAAAGGTTGAAAGAAAGAATTAATTAACGAAAGTATTGAACATCTCACCGACTAAGTCAAGTATTTAAGTATTTGAAAAAGTGAAGAAGGAAGTACAAAACAAACAAGTAAGTAAGTAAAAACGGCCGTCCTGCAGTGAAAAAGGGAAAGTTTTCCATAAGTGAAACAAGTAAGTAACTCGAGTAACGTCATCCATTTCCCAAGTATTGAAAACTAAGAATTCAAGCATATCAGTCCTAGAAGTTAAGAAATATGTAATTAAATATTTTCCAACGTTCTCAGGGCCGAACAGAGTAGGAGGGGACGTATGGCGACAAAGTCTATCATCTCTGTCCGAGTGAATGAGAAAAATACTCTGTTCGACCACAAAGAGAACGAGAACCGAAAAGGTTAAGAATATGAAAGTGGAGAGATTTGAGAAATAGGAGCGTGCCCAAATATGGCACGACTCCAATCAATAAACTCCTACAATGACAGCACTGAAAACATAGACCGACCAACCTAACTGTGTGCAGGGCCGGCCTTTGAGTCAAGTGACAGACTAACCAAATAACCACAACCGTCCCGGGATATATTTAACAAGTATTTTGTGTTCTACTTATACCGCAGAGATGACGAGACTCCTTCATTCCATCCTTTGACTTCTTACATTAAAAAGGGGAAAGAAACTATAACTAAGGTGGGGGAAAATATTGACATTAAAGAAGGGAGTCCACCCCGCCCACTCACTCAACCTGAGGGGAAAGATGAGGGAAAAAGTACTAGCTGTTCTAAGCATAATCTATGACACAGTGGATGGGTCGGATGGATACTACTCATGCCCCATCGCCAAGGATTCGCGCAGCAGAACGAACATTCCGTTATGCCCAGGGTGAATGAGAATTTGAATTCTTTTTATTTAAAGACTTATTTCGGTTTCTCTTCTACTGTCTCTCATGTCCTTCTTGTGCAAGAATAAGGTTTTTTGATTAAGTATAAGGTTCATAAGTTGAGATAAGTAGTCCTACTGTTCTAAGGTTCTTCGTTATCGGTGGCGGCAACGATGCTCTCGAAAAAAAATTCTTAGCAGACGCGCAGAAGGAACTGCTCTACACCCTAGCGTTAAGAACAACAAGTACAACTACATCAAGTGAATAACAATAACAAAAAATCCGAATCTTCGACTAACATCTTCATCAAGAAGAACGAAATAATATCTTTCATCTCACGTCGATCTCACAACGAACATCAACTTCGATATCTTTTAGTCGTTTTTATACTCCGTCTTCAAAGATCATGTCCTACTAGTTCCTGTTCTTCGTTGAGGTTTTAGAACAAGATGTAGTGTAGTTCTTGTTCTACACCATTTCCTCTCTAACACCTGGCCATCGCTCCGTTGGTGGCATTCGGGCAAGTCTCTACAATGGAATGCCGATGGAGGGGGTGCAGAAGCTACAAGATTTCATGAAGAGCTTTGCAATGGAAAATCCTTTGTAGAAGATACTAACTTTGCTGTAGTATGGAAAACCCCTTGTAGAAGAAACCAACTTTGCTGTATGGAAAACCCCTTGTAGAGAAGTTTGTCTTTGCTGTATGGAAACCTCTTTAATCTAGAGATAATCGTTGGAAATGAGAAATATGACTAACTGCTTTAGTACTATAGGAACCAGACGCCGTCTGTTATATGCCGTTTGTTAGAAAAAGCTCACTACACTGGAACGACGAGGCTTTTTCTCTGAAGAACACCTTCGTAGATTGTAGGAAAACGCTGTGTAGTTCCTGTTCTAATGATGAAGCTTTTTGTTTTTATCTCGTGTCTACTTGGCTCGACTGTACTATTCAGGTGTCGACGTTCAACATTTTTTTAAGATTCAAATCAATTACGACGTCGAGGTTATGATCCAAAGAATTGTGACCGCTCCGATGAAGGTGCTCTATCTTCCTATCTCTTACTCAATGGCCATTACCGATGATTGGCCTACCTGGCACTGAGAACATGATCAAATTTTGGCATCTTTAGTTCGGATAGTGTGAGTGCTTCATCCATGAACACTGACCTTTTTATTGAAGCTAGCAGGTGATTAATAGCGATGTCACATCATGTGATATAACCACTTTGATGGTTGTTGCTCGTGCTCGAGTTGTGTGTTCTCAGTAGCGTGAAAAATTGTGATGCTCGTGAGTTTGGGGAGATATACTAATACTTGTGTTCGGTTTGTTGAACAACTGTTTGCCGACGCGCTCCCTATATTCGACTGTGCTGCAGGTCGTGTTCCAGTATCTTTGCTGCTCCAGAATTACGTGGCTTTCGTCCATACGTCCTCTTCTAGCCATTTTATTATGCTCCTCAGAAGCTGCGTGAGGTTCTTGACTGCAGCATTCGACATTAAACAGACCATGACGAAAGGAAGAGGTCAGTGTTTACCGTGTAGTTCTGTGCAGGAGCAATTCAGTGCCATTCTCTAGTGACCAGCTCCACGTCCACTACTTTCACGTACTTATATTACTTCGGATTAATATTTTCTCGTCATTTCTCAACATACATTTACATTTCTCTGTAGTATAGGTAGATGCATAACCAGCACAAGAAAAATGGGTGCCGTTGTGAGCGTCTTTGGGTCCGTGGCAGCTGTGCTGGCTGGCTGCCTGGGCTCTTGCTTGGGCTCATGCCTTGGCAGAATCATCGCTGCTGGTGTTATGGCCTGGTTTTTGTGAGTGTTGGATCTGTATCTCATTTTTTCCCTCAATACAAGCATCTTGTTTGATCTTTTGTAAGGTCGATAGAAGAGTAAAGAGCAAATAGATGAATAAATAAGAGCATCATTCTTCTTGAATGGAAAAGACGCCACCACGACTTTATTTTCCAACCTCTTCTAGTGCCAGCTCTTCTAATTTGAAAATCGGTGATGGTATGTGGCGACGGGCATTCGGAGTTCTTCAGGCTTGGAATGTCATGTGGATATTCATTTGGCGTTATAGCGCAAGTGGAATCTTTCCACGCAATGGCTTTCTGTCTATGTGGGATTATGGTCTTAGTTCGTGCAACCGAGAAGCTGGGACTGACGAAATTTTGCGGCTGGCCTGCTTCGAACAAGGGGCGACAGACTGCGTTTTCTTCGCGTGCTTTTTGCTGTTTAAGGCGGGTTATATGTTGTGCAAGTCAGTACTAGCTCTTCGGAAATCTTAGGCAGATTGCCGAATAGATTCGCGTCATCGTATGCGCAAGTCAGTACTTCGTCAGTCTCCGCCAACTTTCCACCTTCTCCAAATATTCAATAACCGCTTCAAACGACGAAAAAGTGTACGAGCGAAACAAGTAGAAGTGGCGATGCCTTTTTTACTGGAATTGATAGGTGCTTCTGGAGCAAGAACAAATACAACAACTAATAAAGATCACATTGATGTTGAAAATGTCGGAGCTGAAACTCACTTCATCGTACTTGCTTAATACGCTACTTACTTCTACTCTAGTTCTACCTTGTCTAACTCTCTCTCATTCCTTCTGCTTCTAGCAGCAGTGGGAGGCACGAAAATGGCTTTGCGCCAGTTCTGGGTAGCGAAGTTTCTCTTTCCTGCTGTCATCCCGTTCCTCCTCTTCTTCCTGTGTCCGAGAATGCTTTACTTAAGATAACTCGACCTACTTTCCTACTGTAGAACAATCCTCGCCAATTTCTTGAGTATGAGTGCACTTTTTCGCTCCGTCGGAACAAGTAAATGAGTCTTTAGAGCAACATATAAAAATCTGTGTCCTCATGCTCAACACAGTACGACTAAATAAGTATGCATGCTAAATTGCTACTTCTAGTTCTAACTTACGACGGTTGGATGTATTACCTCTGCGTCTGCGTCAGCTGTATCTATGCCACTCTCCAGATGATGCTTCTTTTTGATCTAGGATACGTATGGAACGAAGCATGGGTTGAAAAGGGATTCGACGATCAGCGCAATGGGATTCGGACTGGAGATTATTCTTCTTCATCTTCGGGCCGCAAGTGGTTTTTCGGTATTTTGGCTGCTGCGGGACTGTTCTGCATCATTGCCCTAGTCGCTGCCATTGCCTTGCCGCATGTGATGTACCCTGGTCAAGTAGCGAATAGAACAATCGTGTGGACCAGTTTCGCTTTAACGTTGATACTCGTTTGCATCTCCGTCACCAACTGGTGCAAAGATTAAGGCTGAATACTGTAAATGTATAAGTTGTGCAAAGATGCTGAATACTATAAATGAATGGTTCCGGTATTTGGTAACCTTAATTTGATCATAAGGGAAAACAAGAAGAGAACCCTTAGGATCAAACTCAGGTTACCAAATACCAGAGCCATACAATAAATGTATAAGTCACGTTCGTTGAGCAGACCACGCATCCATGATCGAGATCATCGATCTTTATTGGCACCTTTTATTTGGTATATTAAGGGACTCTTTGTTCTTTTACAACAGTAAAGGAAATAAACGTGTCAATTATGTCAAAGAAGATGAAATTCAAGATGTGCAACTATAATTCGGTTACGAGTTGATAACTAGTAGTTCTAAGAAGAGGGGGCCTTTCTTCCTAGCGCAATCGTTTTTGCCTATTTTGGTTGGTTGCAGTGGCTGACGATCCTGCAAAGACCTGGAGTACAGCTACCCGATCGGACGGTCACAAGTCACCACCAACAAGGGCCCGGCTCAGGCGGATTCCTCGGAGGCATCGGCTTCATAAGCGGTAGCATTAGCTTTTTATGCTCCTGAAGAGAGTTTCAGTGTTTTGAGGATCGAATTAAGAGTAGCAGGAACTAAGTCAGGAGTCTGAAGGAACAAACACCCCTGCGAGTCCCTCAGGCGGTTGAATCTCGATGCTGGGAATCTAGTACTATTTAGTTTAGAGTTGTTTGATGCTGTCTTTAGTACAAGAGATCTTCAAGAGCTATAGATCCGGGATCTTCAACTTTCACATCTGATCTGATCTCCAAGAGCTATAGTTTGGGAACCGATAGATTTCTATTGTGGGATCAATTGTTGACTTCGATTCTGGGATCTGTAGCAGGAACTAAGTCAGGAGCTACCACCCACGAGCAGTGTCAGACCTCTGCTCATGCTTTAATATGGACAGTCAGAGGTGGTATTGACTACGACGATCGGGGCAATCTTGCGATGACCGGCGACCGATACGCAGCGTGGGTAGTGGGAAGCGCGATCATGTTGGTGGCTTTGGCGATCTTCGTTCGAAATCCGAGTCTGCTCACAATTACGCAAGACGCGAGCATGCGAGAGAAAGAGGAAGCAGCAAGTAGCTCGGATGAAGAAAATCAGAGGCATAACTCTTTTACGAAAACTAACCAACAACAAAATTTATTTACTTATAAATATTGAGTTGTAGATAAACGAGCACAAGCCACAATGATATGATGTTGAAATCGTGCCCGTCTTGCTTTTGTTCTTCTGCTCGTCTTGCTATTCTTGTTCTCCAAAATCTGAATCATTGTTTTAACTACAAGCCATGAACCAACTAGGTGTGCGTATGGGGATACATATCTACATGTCTTAGTTTGTCTTTGTCTGGAGACCCATTTTTTAAGTCTGCATTCCTAGCGTTCTAAAGCATCCAACGAAGATGAAGAAGATGCAGACGGCACGCCTCGCAGGACAAAGTTAGTGGAAAAACCACCTAGAGGGGAAGCTATTGGATTCCTAATCGTTCACATGGCCTCAGCTTTCTATTTCCGGACTTTACTTAAGAAAGGACTTTTTGGTCTTTGGTATGGAAGATGATGATGATGATGATGTTGGACATGATGAAGAATCTTGTGAGTAAAAGTATGTGATAAAAAGCAGTTCCAGTTCCGCTGCTGGCATAGAAAAGTTGAACAGGGGACGGCATTTGGTGCGGGAGGGCAAACGCACAGCAAGAACCAGTACTCTAGAGGTACAACTCTTGGCTAACAGGGTTGTAAACGACCATTTGATTTCATCTTAACCACGACCCCTTCTCGTGGGCTGCTAAATTCTGTGCTTCATACTCACCTAGTATAGCACAACCTCTAATCCTTTTTACCAACGACAAAATCTTGCGGGATACGTTTTATTCGCCATCACCCTCTACGTAAACATCGCACTCTACGGATACGCCATTCTACGGCCACAGTTCGACTGAGGAGCAGATGGATTGTTGAACATTGGAGCGGAGACAGAAGTACAGCTGCATGGACAAATAGCAACGTCTTGCTTTAACGTGTTGTTGTAAACTCTCTCTGCTACAACGATGAACATTGAGATATCACCACGTAGAACATACATACTAAATTTTTTTGCCTCCACGTAGGACACGCACACGACCCATAATTATACGCAACATAAGCAAAGGTACTAGACGAATTGACACGCCATTTAGAGATTCAAGACGATGCACTCGCGGTCGCACAGAAGTGAAGAATACTTAGGAAGCATTGGCGTTTGGTCGTCAATCCTTCTAGTACTAAGTGAAACGCAACAACAAACATCAACATGTCGATATTTGGTTTTCTTCGATGAACAAGCGAGCTGCAGTTGCCTCTAAGATAATCAGTGGTAATCGTGGCTTAGAATTCTGATGGTGTTCGTAGAATCTGATGATCCTGATCGGTGTCTCAATGGGTTCTTGTGCAATTCATTGTACATGAAGATCGCACATTAACAAGGTCTAGTTCTTGTTCTTCCTTTTCTATTTGGAAAGGGCTGAAGACCGGAGGACATCGCAACTGCGCTCGATCGCGAGTCCGCAGGTCGTGGACATCGCAACCTGCTTCTCGAGCGGACCACTCTGCGAGGCCAGGCTCCACCTCGTGCACGATAAGCCTGCGGTTTTGGCTAGCTCCTCAGCTAGCTGCTTAACCTCTTAAAACCGAAGGCAAGGAAATTTTCAACTAAAAGCAAAATATAAATATATTTTTTTAACTATGCCATAACTAACAAGGTCTAGTTCTTGTTCTTCCTTTTCTATTTGTTCTTAAGAACTCAGTCGTCTTAAATATCGTGATTGTTGTTCAGGCATATCAATCAATCAATCAGTTCTTTTACCTTGTTGAAAAGATGTTTCGTGTTTGCACTGCTTTGTCTCCTGTCCTTGTTACGGGGCAACTGGGCGGTCTGCAGATGCCACCGCTTGGTATAATTCTTACGCGTTCTGCAAAATGCATGATGCGAATGCTCAAGATAAGTAGTATCGAACATCTGTTTTGAATACTCGTACCTCACCCTGATGCATGTGTCTGTCTATCACAACATCTCAACATCCTCCTCTTTCCTCTTGCTCCCTAAAAAACAGGTGGCGGCGCACCTCCTGCTTCAGGTGGAGTTGCAATGCCTCCAGGGATGATGGGTGGCGGTCCGCCGCCTTCTGGTGTGCAGATGCCTCCATCTGCTGGAGGACGATCCAACATCGCAATGGGACCTCTGTTGACACCAACTGGAGCACCTATTCCAGGGACAGCGCCGACATTAAGGCTCATATTTCGGAAAAATAAATGAAGAGACCCGACATGAAATTATAAATAATAACTTCCTCTGGTCTGTCTTTTTTCTAGTTAGGTCGGCTCCACCACAAAAATTATACGTAGATAATAATAAATGAAGAACTTCAACATCATCTCCACCTGTGTAACTAATATGATCCAACTTACTAGGTAGTAGTACCTCCAGGAGGGCATCTTCTAACATCAGGACCACCAGCAGGAGGCAGTGGCTTAGCAAATATGGTGAATATGGGAGGAGGAGGAGGAGCAACGCAAGATCCTTTGGCACCCGTGATTCAAAAAATGCTCCAGAATCCGGCACTGGATGGACAGGTGCTTCTAGTAGTTGGAGTTTAATACACTCGTCTTGCGAAGATACTGGTTGGTAAGCAGGCAATGGTGATGAAGGGGTAACCTATTTTTTATGATGGAATTTCATTTATTGGTGGCACAGAAGATTGTGGGAGCATAGTCAAGATGCCAGTTGCCCACCTCTGGCAAAATATTCGATTTGAGACCTGCCCCCCAACCATCCCCATGTCCAGAAGCACAGGTAGAAACCACCTCGTCAACCTCATATTCAGATATGTACCGGTCTGAACAGGCAGCAAACTAGTGTGGGTCAAGATTGCTGGCAAAAGATTTGGACATTCGTGGGCTGTAAAGCGGACAATACGCCTATGTACGAACAGTGGCATGCGGCTCAATCTCTAGAAATTCTCACAATCGACGCGGTCCAATGGGCAAATCTGCCAGACGAAAAACATAAACAAGGTACTTATTTATTTAGTTACTTAAATACGGCTTAGAAAAATAAAAAAAAAGACAAACAAGATGAGGATCACTCAACCGTATTTAGAGAGTGCATGGAGTCGCATGGAGTTCATGGAGCGCCGACCCAGAAGGGACGCAAGAAGCGCCCCCTTTAGCTCCATGCAACTCCATGCGATCCATGCACTCCATGCCATGCGAGCCGGCAAACCTTAGAAATTACGCTGTTACGAACCTAGTTAAATGCGGTTCAGTGATCTTCATCTTGTTTGCACTATCACGATCACGAAGATCTCGTTTTGCGGCAGACTAGTGTAGCGTCAATCATCATGTTGATCTTTTTACAATATTCTCGAGTTAATGACGGAGACGGCTTTCCCTTTTTTCGCAACTTCCACCAAGGTTGCTACGGTAACGCCGGTCCGCCACCACCTGCTGGGCCACCGGGTCTTTCCGGGTCTCCGATGCCCATGGCAGGTATGCCGCCACTTCCACAGATGGGTGGCCAGGGACAGATGGGTGGCCAGGGACAGATGCAAATGGGTGGACCGTTAAGACTGTGATGAATAGTCCTCATCCTGCTCATGATCATAATCCTCATCAGGAGCAATGTCAAGATGATAATCCTGCTTAATCCTCATCCTACAAGATTAAGATCTTGACATTGAGCACATCATTTTTTTATACCTATCAATGAAATAGCCATGTCAGACAAGTTTGTGACAACGTTGAGATTTGTCACTGTGTATCTCCAATGAAATAGTTATACAGTTTTTTTCCCATGATCATCTACACCTTCTAATTCAACCTGGTGCCCCGATGGGAGGACAGCAGCAACAAATGGACCCGCAGCAAGCTGCCATGGAACAGGCAATAGGGCAAGCTGTCCAGCAACTAGTGCCTCAGTTGGCGCAATCTTGTGGCATTACGGCTCCGCAGCAGACTAAGGTGGGTAAAGAGTGCTGGGCGAAGGCTTGGGCGGCAGTGGGATGCCAGCCGGACAGGGTACGAACCTGTCGTTGAACTAAAACTAGGACTAGTTGAGGAGCAAGGATGTCTTTATGTGCTAGTGAACGCAGTCGCGTGGTCAGCATCGGAAGGAAAAAATTGTTGATTTTGATTGTCAACAAGCCCCATGTCTCAGTCCCTTATGATGAAAAATTTTACACCAAAACAGGTCCCTCCCTATGAGCAATGGCATGACAGCCAATCGTTAGAGGTCCTTGTCGCAGACGTGGCACAATGGGCAGCTCTGCCGACTGAGAAGCATCGCATGGCATGCTATGGGAAGATGGAGTTGTAACCTTCTACGAGCGAGGGTTCGGGGACGTCTACGTACTTCTTACTTCAAATAGTGAAGATGAAGAAGATGATGGAAAAATGAGGACGCTACTAGGGAGAGTGTCCTCACATCGAAGAACACGTCGAACACGAAGCGCGTACAACTGTACATGATAAATGATGAAGATGAAGGGGATTATGATTACAAAAAAGGTTCCAGGTTCCAGAAGGCAAGGAGCATTAACGACACCAAAACGAATGGATGATTTGATGGATGCGCGCCAATACACACATTTGAGAATACCCGTTTATCAACCTGTCGTGTCTACTAGTTCGAAGAAATATGAATGATTGAACGAATCACACGACCAAGGAACAGGCTTAAAAACCCTACTTTGCCCCCCGATATGGAGGAGCATACTTAAAGACGTTTCCGTGCCGAGGTCGAGAGAGAGACACATGAGAGTCAATCATGACTACGAATAGGGTATGCGTGACTAAGAATAGCTACCCCGAGAGAAGAACTAGGAGGGACCGAACACCCTTGTACATCTCTATATTCTCCCAAAGAAATAACATCTTCACGACCAACTGCTCAGCACCCCCTTCCAGAAGACACCTTCCCAAGGCTACTCTCCGCAAATGGTTCAGCCTCAACGAAGGATTGCGAGCTTAGTTTTCTTACTGACAACGGATCTGATCATACTCACCATGAAAAGGGGATATCTATGTATGATATATTGATGTTCACTAGCTAGTCGAAAGACTTTCTTGGTCTTCATAGACATGATTTCTTTTCATTCTTGTCTACTCAAGTGATATATTTTTTTGTTTGAAGAAGAAGAGATAGAAAGATCTTGGTCTTCTATCTTCGGTTCAGAACATCATTCTTGTCCACTCAAATAAAACCTCACAAATTACGCAATTAACCAAACCAAATACGACGAGTATGCGAGGACGCAGTTTCCTACTAGCAACTTTTGCTCGTCAACCCTGATTGTTGGCTCTTCATCGCGAGCCACTGGTCGGATGCTGACAACGAAAACGAATGGCGACTTACCTTTTTTCCAGGACCACAAATGTTGTAAACGAGCCCCGCTACTTATGTTAGCTAGATGAAGATCACAATTAGAACTAAACTAACGCGTTTGAAGTTTCTACACGCAGGCGAAAAATGACGCGCCCACTCCCACAAGTATCTACGAGAACCGGAATAACGGCGAGTATCACCAAACACCAGTATGATGAACATGCGCACCACGAGCATCATCATGACGAGCAGAACGGCCACGGAGAGCATCGTCTATTTCTTATGAAAGACTGTCCCTGTCGCTGTAAGAAGGTAGTAAGCTTAATCGCTAAAGTCAATCTGCAATCGAGGAAGATACTTGAAAATAAAATAGATGACATTTACCTCGATGATCTTCCGCCCTCCCTCACGCTATTCCTCTCACTCTTTCTCACGCTATTCCTCTAACTCACATATGGGCGGAGAAGCGCTTGCACATGCGCAGAGAAGAATGCCCCTTCGATGGCGATCCTCTTCCTACGTGAACCAAGCAATCAATCGTCTTGCTTCGATCTACGGCATCAACGCTCGTCGGGCCGTGGGTATTTTGTCGCGTGTCACTGAGGAGCCCTTCCTTGACGACAGCATACGATCGGACGCTAGACACCGAAGGCTTCTACTAACGGGAAAAAGGCTGGGAGTTTAGGAAGACTGCTTGAGACGCCGCGATGATGAGCAAGGCATGAGTCTCACCCAGGACGATGGATTAGGGCAAGCGCTAATCCTCGCCGATCAATCGCTAACATGGTCTATTTCTTTGTGGTCTTCCTCGTTTTGTACGTAGTCATCGGCTTTTTAGGCCATTGGATGTTTGGCACTATCGCACCGCATACTTAAGGCTGGTTTATTATCACTCTCTGAACATGAACTATGCTGAGTGGACGAGTCCCCCTTGATTTAAAGGGAAACTGAGGGAGAAAATACCAGGGGAGCCTACTCAACAAGCAACCAGGGGTAGTAAAAAAGTAATTACCTGCTGTATCTCTAACATACTTTTCGCACGATTCGCAAAGGGATGAACAGCCAATTCGAAATGATCATTGTCGAGTTTCCATTTGATGATGAAAATAATATGAGTGCAGTGAAGTTCAGCATGTTCTTCGCCTACCTGTTTATGTTGAGGCTCGAAGGGGTAATTGTTCATCCCTGGACTCACCTGGTTACGTCCTTGTATTACATCTACATGCATCTTGTAAAGTATTCCTAGGTATTCATCCTCATCTTTGTTGCACTTGCAGTGCACACTGAAAATCAAGTACTAACCAGCAGAAGCCAAACCGAAAGATACCTTACAATGATGAACTATGCCTTCAATTGGCAAGCTCCAATTTCGTTTGCAGTGATCGATTTTTTTACGCTGATAAACTTCTTCCTGGCAGTACAAGTGCTGGTGGACGCCTTTATCGAAGTGAGGGCGGATATCGAACGCCAGGTGACGGAGATTACGGCAAGGGGTCACGTAGAGGACGAAGTCCTGCCACAACTGAAGTAAGTACATTTTTCGTCTTCACTCCTAAATACTTTTGAATCTTAAGATTAGGATGTTCTTCCTTGGTCTCATTTGTTTTTTGATGTGCAAGATACTTTTAGAACCGCTCCTTTTAGTGCATCCCTACGGTCTGGTCTCAAGGTGGATTTGGGAGGTCAAACCGGACACAAATGGCATGACATTTTAGACCCACTCCCACGAGAGTCGTCGCATTTCTTTCAAAGCACTACCCAGACCTTCCTCTTCTAAGACCAGAAGTTTTCCGTTCGATTGTGGCCTGACATCTTCAGACTAAGATGTTCATCTACCGCAACCATAGGGCGGTAATGACCAAATAATTATAAAAGAAACCAAATCAACACGTCATCTTCCTCTTAAAAATTATAGGATGTCCTCCTCGTGGCCTCCTCAGCATCTACTGCGCGTAGTGCAGTACAACGTAAGACGATTTCTGAACGCGCAGAAGGAATCGACAGTCCCGGCAATTGCAGCAGCATTGACGGCGCTGAATCCGCTACCTTCGATCATCTGTCTCAACGAAGTGGACCTTGCTAAAGATCCTTCATGCTTGACGGAACTCGCGGACGCGTTGGGGAAGGCAGAATCTGCGCAATCATTCCCGATATTAGGAGAGAACTCTTCTCCTGTCGCTACAGTCGACAGCACACAAACAGGATCAAGATCTACTTCTACTTCAAAAGCAGGACTAGATATGACAGGCACACCTGTCGCAGCAGAGACAGGTAACGAACAAGGGACGCCTCAAAACGACACGTCTTCATGCTACACCGTCTCGTTTTGGGGTCATGTGCGTGGACGCTATGGCAATGCTATCTTGACGTCACAGCGTTTATTTCGTATTGTCGAAAAGAAGGAGCATCACCTTCCGGGTGGAAGCGTCTTTGTTTTTCCAGCTGGCACAAAGAAGCTGAACGGTGACATAGCGAAAGAAGGTGAAACACATACGATTGTAAGGGGGATGCTGGAACTTACTTTGGGATTCATATCAGCGCCAGGATCTTCAGCCTTAGGTTCAGCACAACCGCAAGAGGGGCCTCGAGAACAACTGCTAACTTTAAGGGCCGTTGCGCAAATTTATCTTCTACTCAAGGGAGAGAATCATGGGACCGCTATATAAAGTGCCAAAACGGACCGGGCCGGGACTTTACCTGAGTGCGTTCATCTTGGACAAGATCAGGTTGTCCAAGATGAACGCACTCAAGTCTAATGACGATATTTCAAACCCATCTGGATCACATTTCCGAAGCTGAACGCGAAACTCAACTTTCTTACGTGCGGAAGCAAGTGTTGGCGTATAATGCGGAGAGGATGGTAATTTATGGAGGGAGAATGCAACTCGTCCAACTTTGTAGCGAGATCACAACCTTACACTTAATGAAGAGAGCAAGCTAGCAGGAGTTCCTTGTTCTTGAGCAAGCAGCTGGAACACCGTACGCGCTACACTTATATGTAGCCACAACTTCATGAAGATGAAGATTGATAAGACTAGAAGGAAAATGGGATCTTTTGCTGCTCTTTAAGCACAGATTACCAGAAAGAAGGAATGTACTGTGCATTAGTGGAAAATCTTCGTTGTGACACTACTCCTAAGTAACGCTTTCTGGAGACCTCAACTCTCTGACGCGGTCTGACTACGCGGAGGCTGAATGGACAGGCCTAGAGGAGAGGCATAAGGAGCGCGGTTGGAATCTGCCACAGTCGGGGTGTTTGGACCACGTATTGTTGCGAGATGCCGGAAGTGGAAAATGCCTTGAATCTGCAGGTGTTGGAGAACAGGAGCTGGGTGATTCCAGTAATTCTAGTAATTTGTTGCAAGATTCATTTGTTGCATCAGAGTTCATTGGCGGGTCCCATTTGTTGCAAGACTCGTTTGCAACATTCACAGCTGACAAAAAACTAGCGATCAAGGATCTATTTCCAAGAGAGAAATTCACAGCTCACGTTGGAGAACCACTTTACAGGATTGACTACAATCTCGTGAACCAAAATATGCTTCAGAAGTTTAGAATATCAAACTCAAAAATTTTGAATGAGATTGAGCTTAGCGACCACTATCCTCTGTGCGTTGATTTCATGCCAATTGGAAGTGGAAGTGGGAGGTCAGAGAATTTAGAAGCGAACCTGTGATACTTGTAGACGCGGCCAATGATTTCTTTGGCAGAAAAGAAGAGAATCTTCAAGTATGTCGTCGCAACGGCAGGTCTAAATTCGTCGTGCTGTTCTTGTGTATAGTCAGACTGGCCCTCCTTCCTTGCTGGTGATTTTACTGGATAGTTGCAGATGTAGGAATTTGAACAAAGATCATGTTCGTGCTAAGTTGATGGGTGCTTCGTGTCTGATGATGCGCGCCGAGTAAATCGTAATTCAGGTGTCATGTGCCTGTCCTACCTGTACGTAGTGGAATCTACTTCTGCATGAGCCGTGCGCATTACCACTGCCAAGCACGTTTCTTACTGGAGATTGACTTCTGTGCTACACAGTAATTACCTAGACCTTTGTCGTCACAAATTCCAATTTTCTCTGTTTCTAAATCCGAGCAGGAATAGGACTTTCGGGTAGATACTTCGGTAGGTGTCACCACAGTAGTCCTTAGAAGTTGTTTTTAACAACATCTTCAACAAGCATAACCTAAATCAAAATCTAACGATTACGTCATACACAGGAGCTCCTAGTCTAACTACACAACCTCAAGCAAACCCCAAAAACAAAACAAGATGGACAAGTACAAGCGCAAGGTTTCTTCCACTGAGAAGGAAAAGTCCGCTGACGACGAAATCCGTGTGACCGCCAAGGGCCGCACCGCCACCTATGTCTCCTACGCTTCCAAGCTGTTCAACGAGAAGGAGATGGATGCCTTCACCCTGAAGGCTACGGGAGCTGCCTTGGCCACCGCCGTCACGGTCGCTGAGGTCCTGAAGCGTCGTTTCAAGGGATTGCACCAGGTGACCAAGCTGGGATCCGTCGAGGTCACCGACGAGTGGGAGCCGTTGGAAGAAGGGTTGGATCCGGTACTGGATCTACTTAGAAGTTGTAATATCATATGATCGTATTTTTGGATGTTGAATATCTCAACATCGTACAACTATTGGATCAACTTCTAAGTTACAACCACATTGTAATTCTTGAGGTGGAAGACAATTCAAAATTGCGGAAGAACTGCAAAATTTTTCTAAATCATTCTTCTTATTCAGTTTCCTCTACCTCATCCTTACGAAATAATTGTGAAAATATGACATCTCCATTTTCAAATTCAACTTACTTCAATAAAATAGAAAGAAAGCAAATTTCTCCACCATTGTTCCACCCACAGGTCACCTCCGTTCGCAATGTAAGTTTCATCGAGATCACGCTGTCTAAGAAGGAACTGGACAAGACCGACATTGGCTACCAAGAACCCCTCGATGAGTCCCTGGTTGTCGAAGTCGATCCGGAAGAGGTAGTTTGTTTTTTTTTGTAGTCGATTCTCTTCACGGGTCGTGTCACTACTTTTTTACATCGCCTTTTGAAAAGGTTGTTGTAATTCTCTTCACGGGTCGTGTCACTACTTTTTTGCATCGTCTTTTGAAAAGGTTGTTGTAATTCTCTTCACGGGTCGTGTCACTACTTTTTTACATCGTCTTTGAAAAGGTTGTAGTTGTAATACATGAAATTATATGTTGGTTAAAAATAGATTGATGGTATGCTGACTGTGAAGATAGGTGTTGGGTACTCAAAAGGAAGTTGAGATACACAACGTAGGCAAGTGAGTAAGAAGATGTGCACACTGACGCTGGTGCATTCAAGATAGAGACGGCTGTTACGGATTTGAACCACGTTTCCGTTTGGCTGAATACGATTTAGAAACGCATATCAGTGTCTGTAACGGTCACATCTCCACCACACCACAGATGCTCAAGGGCGGACCTCGCAAGGAAGGCGGTGAAGGCGGCAAGCGCCGAAAGGGCAAGGGCAAAGGCAAGAAGGGCGAGAAGGGAAAGGGCAAGTCCAAGGGCAAAGGAAAGGGAAAAAAAGGAAAGGGAAAGGGCAAGAAGAATAAGGGAGGCGATGACGACGAGTAAAGGAGTTGTTGATAGTGAAGAAGATGAACTTGCCGATCTTGGCGGAGATGGTTGGCGAAGGTCTAGATCGATTTTCTGCGTTCCGTGAGCAGGAGTATCTCTTTGGCAACGAGGAGGATTGGCTTTCAGAGCAAGCAGGTGAAGAACTTCTAAATCAACTACTAAGAAGAAGGGGAGGTTCATCATGAATGGTCAACACGAAAACAATCGAGGAGGAAAAAATGTACTTAAATGAGGGGAACATCAAGTAGCTCATAACGATTTCAAAGAAAGAAGAAGATGTGATTTTTCTGACAACATCAACCGCACTACTTCAATACGAGGTACTCTCAATAAAGTCTTCGACGTTACAGTACTTTTGTCTTCTGCTACTGAAACTAAGGGACGACCAGGAGTAGAAAGTACAAAAAAATGTTCGAAGGCCTAAAGAAGAACACCTACCGAAGTTACCACATACTGTGAGTCTAGGAGTGTATCTCAACGGATCGAGCGCCTACCATCCGCGCCTCCCTGTCAGATTTGGCAGATGACGGTACGCGTTCGATCTAGGAGGTGGCCGAAGAGGAGGTCAGAATCTTCACGATACAACTAAGATTTTTTCAGAACTTCCGGTCTTTGTGATCGACACAGCGCATGAGGCAAGGTGAGGGGATGTGGATGAAGAAGACGAGAAATGGGTGAGCACGTTCAGGAGGAGACGTAGGCGAGATCTTGACCTCATACATTGGCGAGATTTGATGGAGTCTAAGATGCGCCCACTTTTGAGTTTTCTTGATTCTGCACTTGATCTTCTGTCTTTGCTCACTTGTAGCTTACTTAGTCCAGCGGAATAACCGAGAACTCCTGGACTAGTGGTTCGCTGTTAGGGTTTGGCAGCAGAAGTCTCACACACGGCGACGGTGTTCGTGACGTACTGCATCCAGAAAATGTCAGAAGTCTAAGAGTAAGTGTGTGTGGACTGCGCATGTGGCAGAACCAGAAGCTACGCGAAATGAAACAAGAAGGCGATCGTGTTTGAGCGAGATGAAGTAAAACACAGCTTCTGCGCAGAGTTGGATGACTATATGATAGCGAGTGATTCCTGTGTTGAAGAGAACAAGTTCGAAATTATACGCATGAAAAGTACGAGTAACTATAAGCAGACAAAAGGATTGTGAGATAGAAGACGCGACTTATCTGTCTTTGTGTAAGGTTAAGAAACAGCTACCGGAACCGGAGTCGCAGTAAAGTCATCAGTATCATCTTGTTCCCGCTAGGTGATTATCAGAGACATTTTTGACTGCATGAACCACGACACCTGTTCCATATCGAAAAAAAGATGTTCCAACGCCAGCAGCGTCCGCAACCCTCAGCATCAAACAGCATTCGCCCAGTGCTGGCTTCTGGGTGGTTTGGGCTTTGTGAGGAAGTAAACGACGCAGTCGATAAACTCGGTGAACGCATGCGCGAAAGGCTGAATTTCGAAAACGCAGTGTATGCTATCGCGAAAACGGGTTCTGACTACGTGCAGTTGATGTTATGGTGGAGACGGGTTTTTGATTTCCTTTATCTTTCGGATCTCTCGCTCTCCGTAGACGGGCGCCGCGAATAGAACGGACCGACTGTGAGTAAGTCACCGTGTTTCTCAGTGGTAGTACGTTGGACTTGGAGAAAAGTCTCCATGTATTTCGTTGTTTCATCAAGGCTTTTCCGAAAAAACGGCAAACCCAATGCTACATCGTTCTCTAATGTTGCAGACAGCACGAGAAACTCTAGATCAGGTGCAGGAGTTGGCAGCGCAGTTAGCGAGGGAAGAAGATGATGGCGTCCGAATTAGCGGAGAAGCTGAGGCAGAAAATGGCGACCGGGAGGTTGCGCAACTACATAGGCCGGATTCCTTTGACCTTAGCGCAACACCAGATGCATCCCTGGCATCAACGCAGTTCGTACGAGCTAGGACAAGAACGGTGAGTGATGATATTGGAGTTGCAGCACCGCTCGATCAAGCAGCACAAGCAAAAAGAGTGGAGGAGAAGGGGGACGAACGGGAGGAGGAAGATCGCGACGTCGGCGTCGAACAACATGGTGATATTAAGGCTTCCCCTAATCCCTCCCGTGAACAAGCATCCTAGGGAAGCTTTTCAAGGGGAGAAAGCTCCTACGATGATCTTCAGGATGGATTAGGTTGAGCTCTAATGATAGAATTACAACTACCTGTGGCTGTGCAACTAGCCATTTTGGTAGTGAAGATAACACCGAGAGCGACGAAAATCTTCATCAGGGAAAGGTGGAGAGTTTCGTTTTACGACTACCACAGGAGGAGAAGCGCGCGATGGGGACGATGCCTCCATCTTCCTCCTCACGAATAGCAGGACTACCCACTTCTTTGTTCGGTAATTCAAGGTCATCGAGATCGATACTGAGCGGTGAAGATGAAAGCAGAAAGAGAAGACACAGTGGAGAACATCAAATAGCAATACCCCCAGCATCAACTACATCGACTGCTCAGCAATGTTCATATTCGTCTAGCTCTCTTTCGTCGACCTCGGTTCTCAGCGACACAAGTGCTCTAGAAATGCCACAGGGATACCAACTCTTTGATCTACGCTTGTCTACAACGCGGCGTCTCGTGAGTAGCAGGAGTGAAGCTTCTTTGTGGGGAAAATTCATTCCAGCATCTATGGGGAGCACCAGGGACCTAGGGAGGATTGGAGATGCCTCGACTTCATGGATATCGATTGCAGGCGCAGGAGGCAGAGGAGTAGGAGATGACTTCTCTCATACCACACGAAGTAGTAGTAGAGCAGGCCAGAGCACTAGTATGGGAACGGAAAGCGCGCATGCACGGTACTATTCATAGTGGTTTGGTGGCATAGACTTAGTAGACTGTGAACTTCATCCATTGTCCTTGGTTTCCTGAGGATCTTGTCTTTGAGGCATAGATTGTCGATTCTAGGTACGCGCGCGAATTCGGATTGACGCCGTTCGAAAGGGATAAGTGTCTTCCGTCGAGAGGAAGGGTTACACGATCAAGATTCATGGCAGGGACGACTGCTGGAGGCGCATGAAGAGAGGCTGAGGCACGGTAAGTCATAGAAGAAGATCATGGTCTGCGTGAGCTACAGGTAGGGGTGGAAAAAAGAAACTGAGTCTGAAAAATCATGGAGCCAGTGTGCACTTCAAGTGCGACGTTATTGAAAATGCATACGAATTTTTTTCCACGGAGACCCTTTGCATTGGCTCGGTGTGTTAGGCGCGACTGCATCGCATGTAACGACCAAAGGCCAAGAATGTTAGCGTGAAAAACTTTGATCACGCAAGCATGGATCGAAAGAACGACACTCGTTGATTGTTGTATTGTTCCATACCCGATAAGAAGTACACATACCCTGTAGAACCCCGAGAGAGACTGCCAAATGAGACTGCCAAATGTTCCTAGTATTCTTGATCAAAGGCGTCGGTCTCTTCTTCGTGGTTGTAAATTCGAAAAAGAGAAGGTCAACATAGACGTTGAGATCGATGGATCTGTGGTCTTCATTATCATTGGTAAAACCATCTCGATCTCTTGATTAAGTACAGTCGTCTTTGTCTGCTATCTGTGTTCTCTGCTATCTGTATGCTTGACTACTCCCCTCTTCTTCCCTTTCCTGATGTCTTTGTGGAATCAAGTTCAACGTCTGTGCCCTGGCAGAACCTGGTCGCCCACCAGAAGCCTATTTTTAAGCGGTCACTCTCTTCTTACGTCTGTCTGCCTCACTGTATAATATCCGTCTGTCTCACTGATCCTAATCCGCCTTTCTCATCCATCGAAGTCTAAGCCATTTTCTGTCCAAGAAAATGAAAATTCTGGTTGGGAGGTCGTGTGTAGAAAGAAAGGGTGGTGTAAGTAAGTGCAACTTTCTTGGAGCAGTAGTTTTAACAAAAAACTCGATGCATGTAGATGAAGAGATAACGCGTTGACAACTAGATGTGAATTGTGAAAGAAAATGGAGGCGCTACTTATTAGAATTCGGAACATCCGGTCCGGAAAAGAATAAAGAGTGCGTCCTTGTCCGTCAGATGAGCAGCACGGACAACTGGCTTCGAATGACTCAGCTTCTGCGTCAGTTGTTTTCATGTCATCGTCTTTCGCAATTCGCATAATTCTTTTTCGTCTGTTCATTTTTAACTTCAGCCACTTTAATTATTCTGATTTGCGAGGACCACCGCTGAAGCCTCGTTCTTGCTTTCGGCATCGTCCACATCTTCAGCATCCATTTGTTTCTCAAAATCGAACTCTTCTTCAAAATCGAATGCGATGCACTTCAAGAATGCTGCTTCTCCACGAAAGCAGGGATCATCCAGTTCGTAGAAGAAACAGTCCCAACGACTCTCGTCCACATCTTCACCCGAAGTGATGCCCAATGTCCCTTTCTCTTCGTATTTGAGCTTGTCAGCAGCAGCAAGCTCCATCTCGGGGGGGGGGTAGAGGAGTTGATCTCTTCCAAGGAAGTGTCCTATGAAAACATACTTTGCATAATGACTCTATTTTTACTTCTACGAATACGAAAGCGACATTAAAAATGTCGATACTGTTGTTTATGTTTGCAGAAAGGAAGCAAAGCTGGTTTTAGAAAACGCCACAACTGTCATCTATATCACTTAGTTCTACCAAGTCGTCCTTAACTCTGTCACCAACGCCTTCGTTAGCGCCTTCGCGATCTGATTTGCCTCATCCAGTGCGATACCGATGAAGACAAGTTCGATTGCGCGATCACCCCAAACAGAATCGTGAGTGTTACGTTCCGAACCATAGAGAGTGAGGCGATCGCCGTCCTCTACTGGGTTCTTTCCGACACGGCTTGGTATCTTGTGTACCAGTACGTTGTCGACCAGCATGGTCAGGGAGTAGGCAGTGGGGCTTTCTTCATTGGTCCGCTTCGAGGAGGTCTTTCTTGTTCAACGCTTCCTTGAACTCGATCTTGATGTTCTGCTCGAGGTTGATGCTTGTGTCAGAAGTAGAAGAAAGGTTCTTTTCTGCGATTTGCTTCATAACCAGCTTCCGCACAGGCACTAGCCAACGTCCCGGAGCAAGCATATGAATGTCATTCTAGTCGGATCGTCTTTTTCCTCTCTCTTCGGTCTTCACAGTGGCCTCTTGTTCTAAGTACTTCGGCTTTCTTCTCCTTCTGCTTAGTCGCAGATACACAACAAGATCGCTTCGCCAGAACAAGGCTTCCTGCTTGCTCTTCTGGCTCAAAAGGGGTTGCAGCAGGCTTGACATCTTCCTCTTCTCCTTTCTTGGTTGTCCCAGTCCCCAGCAACATAACCATGCTCACACTTCGGTCATTTCGTCGCAGAGAAAACGTTGTCAGCCAAGCGACTGAAGCCTCCACCTACGAAGATGTCGTACAGTTTCTTATTCAGTTTCCTCCTTCTTTTCATCGTCCTGCTTGTTGATCTTAGCATCCGCAACACCAACGAACTCCCTCGTCCTTTAGCAGAGAACCTTTTTGTTGATCAGGATGACGTTCGCAAATTCGATCTGGGCGATCAAGAGGTCAGCAATACTGCGATCCAAGTCTTCAGATGGATTTGAGAGAGGGCGGATCATCTTGAGAGCGGTAGAGTGCGAGTCTCCTGTCCTTTTAACTCTATCAAATCATTCAATAATCATTATTTTCTGCTCCTGGGAGTTCTTGTAGCAACTCGTATTTTCATGGAGACGCCAGAGTATTCTCGAACTCAATCTACTACCACCCACGCAGAAACTCTTCCATAACAACCGACTCCAGGAGACCGCTTCAGCTTGTCTGGCTACCTCTTTGGACCATTTAGCTTGTTTCAATGAGTCCGAGCACTGTAGGACATCCCACATGGCCGCTGAATCCACAACAGTCACCAAATCGTGGCCAAACGTGCGAGTCGTCAGAGCGTTCAATAGCCTGAACAGCGATCTTGTTGCGTTCCGCTTCCGCAGCAATGGCCGCTTCCGCAACATCCCTCTCTTCTCCGAATCCTCTCCCACATGATGATCGTGTCCGACGTCATAGCCTCGCATAATATCCTCCAGCTCCTTCGTCAACGAGTGACAAAACTTTTGAGCTACAGGAACCGGCTCTCCCATGGTGCCCGTGGACTCGATCATGAGGTAGTCGTAGTCCCCTTTCGCCAGTTCAGCGATTTGTTCTACCAGGTGGTCTTCACGCAAAGTACAGCAGTGGCCAAGAATGAATCCATATTCACACTGGCCACGACTGAAGCGTCGATTATATGACCATCGTTGTTGTTCAGGATGTGAGTCAGGGTACTCGTCGTACTGGTTTTTCCGGAAAAAACCGGACAAAGCCAGAGGACCCTAGGAAACCGGACAAAACCGCCTCCACTGGAAGACGTTGCTGAGCAGTAGGGCCGTCCATTTTTGTGGTATGTGGGGCAATTTGGCAGAACGAGGACGAGGAAGGTTGTAGAGAGATATTTGAAGACTGAAAGATTGTGCTGATTAGAGATGTAGATTTCGATAAACTGAAGTAGCTACCGAGTCAAATGAGCTACTAAACTAGAACGGTACTCGTGAACTTACTTACTTACTTAGTCACTTACTTTGAAAGCTTCTTAGTAGATACTGAATGAGATCTAGATGCACTTAGTAGATGGTGAATGAAGATGTTATTTTGGAACTTACTTAGTTTTAGTTATTTAGACGATAAACGATATGCTGTGAGAGCTGACGACGGAAAGAATCAGGGACTCGGGTGTGTGAGAGGACCCCGGTCATCCTCACATACTTGTCTTTGTTACAACGGCAGATCATGTTGATGTTCCATCGATGCGTTAATATCGGTATCACTATAATGTAAGTACGGAGCAAGAACTACCAGTACTGCGAAAACTGAAATGAAGAAGATCCTTTCGAAAGCTGAAGTGAAGAAGTCGAGGAGGTGAGCATTCACGACTATGAAAACGCCGAAAGTGATTTTACCTTACTAGACCGAGCTGTGCTTACAACCAGCAATCCGTTTACCCCAACTATACCACAGGCGTGAAAGAAGACTACATCAGCAATGCAACCAATGCCAAGAGCCGTTGAAGCAGAACAAGAGACACTTTCAACATTGTTCGCAACGTCACAACTCTTGCCAGCCTCCTCCGTCGACCTTGTACAATCAATGTATTTTTTTACTGCTAGCTCGGAAGAAATGCAACAAGAAACTTTTGGGGGCTGGAGAGATGGTTTGTACATAGCAGGAAGGACGTAACAAATCGGGATAAGATTTCCATCCAGGTTTTTAGAAGATGACTATGCTTCTGCGGAGCATCCGGTAGAATGAGTCATCAACAGTTTGGGGCAATGCAGGGAAAGGCGAGATGCCGTCGACTTCTTATATCTTAGAGACACCAGGTTACTACGAGTACGATTTCAAGTTTTACTATTCCATGTGGTTTCGACTTTCTTTGTTGATGGGGATACAACTGAAGAGTTCCGATTCAGTTTTTGAAAGTATGATGTGTGAGCAGTTAGTTTTGCAACGAGCTTAGCCATCTTCTTTTAAACTTAAGCTTCGCCTTTCAAAGAAATCAACATCATGATGTTAAAAAGTAAGTAGTACGTGGTGTCGGACAGTTGTGGGTCGATTATGCAGGCACGTGCTACGGAATGAGTTTTCAAATCATCACGGACGACAAGCAATTTGTAAGATTGACCAAGTGGCTTTAGGGGAACGGCTACGCATGAACATGAAGTAGTCAAAGACCTCGAGCACAACTAGTTTTGAGTCTAACTCTTTGGACTAACAGGTGATATAAGTAGTTTGTCAAAAAGTGAAGATCTATAATAGAACTAGACTTCTTTCGCCCGATATCGGGTCGAGTTGCTCGAGTTGAACGAGTTCCATACCAAAAAAGCGCTGCGCCCTTCGGGCGCACGATCTTCGAAGCGTCAAATATGTCGCCCAGGAGCACAAACCACCCCCACAGGCGAACGCCTCCAGTAGCGCCCTCTCTTCTCTGCGAGGCGCTGTATGCGCGGGGCAGACAAGAGCAGCGCTATCTAAAGGCCCTGCTCTCGTAGTTTTGTGTTACTAAGTTCGCGCGCTTGCCTGGTATAATAGTTTCTGCCCTATAAAACAAACACACAAAAAACCTACTCCATTCCGATCCCGATGCGTCTACACTACTCAGGGGGCCTTGCTTGTGATGCTACCCACTAAGCGGCGCGCTACTCAGTAAGCCCACTACAGCGCAAACCTGAGCCCCAAGAAGTCGAACAAGCTGGCCACTCACCAGCAAAAAAAACAGAGCCAGATCGCGGCCGACATCAGCGCACGACTATGCAGAAACACCGACACAGCGTGGAAAGAGCTGCACTTCGCAAGGCTTGCGCGCGCGCCGCTCAAACAAAAAAGGCCCCGAGCTTCGCCTTCTTACTTTCGCCAAGCCCAAGCCCCGAAGAGCTCGGCCGGGGCGTCTCTTCAATACAAACGGCAGATCTGCTAAGAAACAACGGGCCACGAGCTTCCTCCTGCTCTCCGTGGCATCTTGGGCCGCCATACCGCCGCGGAGTGCTGCGCTTTCAAAGTAGCAAGCTGCGGAGAGGAACTCGTTAGCAACTCGTTCCGGACTGGGCGCGCGAGTCTCGGCAACTCGTGGCAACTCGAGAGAACTCGAGCAACCCGCAACTCGAAAAGCGGACTACTCTACTATAACATTGATATGGCGACTTGCATCTTCACTGAATCACGAGTAGTATACGATCATGAAGATGTGAGGATTGCTGGTCCTGGTTCCATGTTCGAATATGCATCGGATCATGCAGGAAAACAGGATAGCTCTGACCAATATGGAGGAATACAATCACGATCACAAAAATCAACACAACATCAGCTTCAGCAATGAGTGTAATATTAAGATGTAATAAGGTGACAATTTTACAGCTTCCAAATGAGTATTCGTATCGTGTGAGAAATAGAAGAAATCAAATGAGTCGAGAGCTCAAACTCATTGCCTTATCCGATCAACCTCACTGAAGAAAAAGAGCTACCTTCTCCGTGTTCACTCGTCGGAGCGACGCCACTCATTACGACAAGAGTAAGAGATTCCTTGTTTGTTAAAAACCTTCCTTAGCTGCATCTCCAACATAATTTACTCCTTCCTCGTTCTTCACAACTCCCTAAGCACCCTCCTTCGCCTTAGCATCATCTTCTTCATCTTCTCCTTCCTCGTTCTTCCCCTCAAGCACCTTCCTTAGCATCTTCTACGCCTTCCTCTCTATTGGCATCCTCATTGCTGACGACTGGCGCAGGATTGGCACCCAATTCTTTCAGCGTTGTCTATTAGAGCATAAACGCGGGCACTACACTTCTCTAGTTTCTTTTGTTTCGCCTCAAGGCAGTCTGCACGGAACTTTGTGCGAGATTTATTGTATTGCATTGCATTGTATCATGAAGAAGCCAGGCATGACAATTACTCGTAGACTTCCTCTTGACGAGTGAACACTAAACAAGACGAGCTACACCAATATATTTCAGTGGTAATGGGTGGCGTGCCTGGTCGCGACGCTGAAAAAAGTGGATCAGGGCCACCCATTTCATATGTGGCCTCGAGGCTCCCTGCCTGTGGTTATGAACAAGGACGCAAGAAAAAACTACTAATTATAACAGAGCGAGTCGCGTTTGCCATAATTGTACCACTCCTTACTTGTTACAGGTTTGCTAAAATATACAACGCAAACTCTGTGCCCAGATCTATAGGGTTCGGTGGCATGCGCTCGCTTACCGGAAAACCGGACCCAGGTCTTGAAAGTTTCAACAAATTTCCCACGCATTTTTTCGCCAACCTGCCAAAGCTTGTTATCGTTGGGATTAGAGAGGGGGACTGTAACTGGTAAGACAAGTAATGTAGTACTAGTCAGTGTAGAAAGATGACCTAAAAAAGTAGTAAGGCAGAGTGGACCACTGACAAAGCCGTGCCCCACTCAGAGGCACTGTAAATTAGAAGTCGAGAGCTTTCAAGGATATGATAAAGAACGCGACGAGGCATAGGCAAAGTTATAGCATAAATTTTAGGTTGGGTTCGGTGATCGGATAGTAGAAAGCATCTCCCACTTCTTCTCCATCCGCATCCGCTTCGTCGTCTCCACCGGTATCATGGACAAACAGTCGCCCACAGGGATACCTATGATATAGTTTTGAAGAAGTGGCGACACATGCCTGAACTGAGATAGTTGCTTTTGCAGGCGCCGACAGACTACCATCACGATTTCCATGAAAAACGTCTATCATGCTCATGAGAGAAAATGGGTAGCAAATGCCATCTTACATTCATGGGGGAGCAGCGCCCTGGAAGTTGAAGTGTTCCATTAGTAATGATTACTGTAGTTTTGCTACTACACGTCCTAGCATTAGTCACTAGTTGAATTATCAGCACCCTTTGACTCCATTGGTGTAGCTGCCTCCTGAAAAGGTTGCACTTGGTCTGGAATTTTTGCCGTCAACATGCACCGGCGTTATGACGTCGAATCCGATGCCGATACCTGTTTTGGATAAGACGACGCAGGTAACATTCCAACTTCTCTCACATGGCAAGAAGCAGAAAATTAGACATAAGTAGATAAGCTTCTTCTAGACTGTGCTAATATTGAGTGTTGTCCTCTTACGATGATCTCACTGCTGAGCGCTACTATACCAGAAAAGAGATTCAATTTCTTATCATTGTTCATACCTGTCCAAAAAAATTCCTTTGGCTCTGATCCTGATGCCGCTTGCTCTTTGGCTCTGTCTTCTGCCACGGCCTGAGCGACTGCAACACAGGCGTCCCAAACTTTTTTCCTCCAATCATCTAGCATTTTTGTTCGAATAGCGTTCGCCGATCCGTTTTGCTGGCGAAAGTCTGTGTAGCCCAGTCCCAAAAAAGCCACCTTGTTATCCGGATCAATGTTGTTCCTTTTGTATGAAAGCGGGATGGAAGAGGATTCACCCCTTGGGGGGAGAAGAATCAATGCGGATTAGTTGGTTCAAGAATGCGTATGCAAGCACTTCTGATAGAAGATGTATCAAGCAAGCGAGAAAGATGAAGTAAGGTCATCTACCAAAGAAATTAGCATGGCGTTACGAGAGACAAGGCGCGTCGGGTGGTGTGCATCAAGGTCGTGCCTCGTGTGCACCCTATTGCTTCCGGTGGAGCCGACCTAACTAGAAAAAAGAAAGACCAGAGGAAGATCGAAAAGCGAATAGGGTAAAAGATAGAAAAGAGATGTACACACTATTACTTTTAGACTACTTACATCACTACTAGCACAAGTACAAGACACACACGCTGTCGCTATTAGTCTAGTTTTAGTTTTGGGCTACTGCGTACATAGAATGCAACAAGTGAAGGAATACATCAAAACCCATGCGAAATAGCTTGAGAAACGCGAACGCCACGAAGAAAACGAAAAGCTTTCGCATACGCTGCGGTACACAAATAAGAATCACTTTGCCATAACTCAACGGTCGGGAATTCTCCCTTTGTGCCCTTGTCCATGCATAGGTCTATGACCTTCTGCATCTTGTCCTGGATGTGCTGTTTCTCCACTCTTTGTCCCTGCCTCAGGAAACCAATTGGGAGCGCGTCCTTTCGTGTGTTGCCAGCGTTTTTACTGCTAGACGACTCCTGTTGATCATTAGAGCATGGCGCTTTTTGAGAAGTATGTACGTGATACAATACAATACAATTGATCTCGCTTTTTTTTTGTAGTGCGAGCGAGTTCCGATAAATCAAAACCTACCCGCGTATTTTGCGAGCGAGTTCCGATAAATCAAAACCTACCAGAATTCAGCGCAGACTACCTCAAGGGCGTCATAGATGTTACACACCAAATGCAGCTTCACTTCCCCCGGTTACAGATACAGTAGTGAACATGTTAACAAATGCGAAGAAGCCGTCCCATAGAAGAAGAGCATACTGAATGAAAAGTAGGCTCTATCCCATCAGTTTCAGTGGTGAATCTTCAAACGCAATCTAACATCACCATCATGACTCCTCACATACACATGGTACATTTATATATAAGCACAGGGAAAGTGACGCTATGGCTATGCAACATCGTAAATAAACAAAGCTTGACGCGGAGATTATACATCAGAATCAGTACAACGAACTTGAAATATAATGAAACTGAAAGTGAAACTCTAGCTCTACTTTTACATGATCTAGGTAAAGCTATTAAATTATAATATAAAGTCTAGCAATAGCACTCGTTTCTTGAGGACGTAAGATTAGCGAGAGGAAGCTGCTGATTGCGCTTGATCGGCTTCTCTGCTGGGTTCCGCACCAAGTCTCTTAGCCCTCCAATCTCCGTGGAAGAGGACGCCGGTCCACCAAAAGCCTGGCTCTTTTCCTCTTGTGGGATCTTTTCGTACGCTCTTAGATAGATTCGCCACCTAGGGGAAGCCGACCTCGAATGCAAATACAATGACAGTCTATTTCTACTTCTAGAGGTTTTACTACATCCACTAAACTATGAAAATGCTAATAAAGAGATGATCACGACGCGGTCGTTCTAATACAAGATGAATGTTGTATGTTGCACACGCATACCAGAATAGCCGCCATGCTGTCTGACTGGTTGGTTCTGGTATTTGGTAACCTGAATTTGATCCTAAGGGAAAACAAGAAGAGAACCCTTAGGATCAAACTCAGGTTACCAAATACCAGAGCCATACACTGTCGTTGTAGTACACGTCTCGTGGAACAACTACGATGAGCATCAATTTCCATAGAGGAATGATGACGATATGAGTTTGACGTCGGTGCTGCATCGCTAACTAGTACTGCTACTAGGGTCTGAGTCCAACGACATAGTGCAACAAACTACAACTAGATTATTCTAGGGTCTGAGTGTGAGTACTACAAGAAAGAGATAAAGACGAAAATGTTTAAAAACGTTAATCGTAACACTCGTTTGAGAGCAAATAGGCAACGGCGGAACCTTTCCTTTTGTACCGCCATTGCTACGACGGGACGTGTCGCACAGCTTGCGAGTGGTGCGCAAGCACGCGACGACATGATTACCTGAAGGACAAGACGAAACGAGTGATAATGGCGCTTCTCGTTCTCTAGCTCTCTTCAAGAATTATTGCTGATGAAATAGCCTCACATACTGGCGTTGTTTTCTTCTAGTATGATAGAGTTGATATTTCAGTAGAGCCCTCAGCATAGATTTGATATTGATCATCACAAGTCCATACGAAAATCGCAAAAATCCAGATAGTACATGAGGACGAGAAGGAGGCCGTCTGTTTTTGTCAGCTACGTACATTGCCAGAGCGAGTAGAGTGCTAGGTAAAGTGCTACGAGGTTGGAAAGTGTCGCGCTAGGTGAGTAGAAGTGTCACGCTAGGTGAGTAGAGGTGTCAACATGGTTTTTGAATTAGCAAGACCAAAGACTTACTTGTAGATACCTTCTGTCGCCTGGACTCTGCTCGAAAGTGATGCGCCACCTCTTGTCCATCATCTCCGATACGGAGGAAAGTGACGCTTTCTGTCCCGGTGATCTTGTGAAAGATCTCGTCTCCGAGCAGTTGGACCAGAGCAAATCCGCCTTCTGGTCTTGCGGCGTCTTGGCTTTTTACGGATCCGTTGGCGTTCACGAGTTGATGACATTAGAGCTAATAATGAAAGTGGTGTAGACGAGCAGCTCATGTATTCTTCCGTGGCGAAAACTCCAGTGGTGAAGTCTCCCACCTCCCTGGGTCGAATTTTTCATCTCGGAGAAGCTCCATGACTGACGTCTCCCGCGCCATCCGGAAAAGTTCCATGAATGACGACTGACAGGAAGTTCATGCAACTCAGGCGAACCGGGCCACCGAAGTTGAAGTACTACTGACGCCAAGCGCGAGCAGCATCTAACGTTCGTCCATGAGAGATGGACGGCAGGCGCAAAGCTGTGGACTCACCTTGGACCGAATAAAGCCGCACCAACCCACCCTAGCAATGCTCGCACTATTTTCAGCTGTAAGGGAGTCTATTCTACACTATAGCGAGTAAGGAACTTCAAGCATAATCATGGAGGATCGACAGGAAGGCCATGCAACTTCGTCTATTTTCTTACTAAATTTGAGGCTTCTACTAACTCTATGAAAGGCCATAAAAGTGCCCGCCCGCTTGCAGTACCTCCGTGATGCACATGGTTATGCGTTGCCTGATCATAACGCTGTTGTCCTCCTGTACTCTCTTCGCATTTTTATCTGATTTTTGATCACTTGTTTTCTCATCTTCTGGCGTGTTTTCTGACTCCGCTTGTGCCTGTCCTCCATGTAGAAAGCCTCTTCTAAGTCGCTCCTTTGTCGAAAAATTAGATGAAGTGGTACCTAGTCCTTCTAGGGTAGGTTTCGAGGGTATGCCCATATGTCTACGTAAAATTTCTCGTATTGTTCAGCTCTACAACATGATATTACCTAGTACAACAGTAGTTGTACTAGTACACTACACCCATAAACATCCATAATTCGACTCACCGCCCTAAAACTACTTGCGTCAGAATGTATTTCACCTTTGGCATTCTTTTCTTTCTTGTGCACAGTGAGTTAGAACTTCTAAATATTTGTACTTCTCGGGGAACCTCGCGCCCGAATGACGAGTGCGAGCGGTTATTTATCCGATAAGATAAAGGATAGATTTGAGTGGGATCTAAGACTTCTAGCAGACCCAGACAGACAGTGGCCTTAAACAGTTTGCGAAGTATGCCATGCCAATCGTTCTGTGCCTGCAGAACGTCCTTTCGCTCGGATCCCTCCGTGTAATTTTCTACCCAGATAGCATGATGAAGCCTGTTGCTTGCTGTCCTAACGGCCTCTTCGTGGATTAGAAGATGTTGATGAATAAAGCAAAAAACTTATATATACTATCTATTTTATTTAGTCAACTACAGCGAAAGTCAAGTAGACTGACAATGTACTTCTACAGAACAAGTGTGTCTGTAGTGACTGATCATGTGTCAGTGTATGGTTCTGGTATTTTTGGTATAGCCTGAATTTGATCCTAAGGGTTCTCTTCTTGTTTTCCCTTATGATGCTGTCTTAACGGCCTCTTCTTGAATAAAGCAAAAAAACTATACTAGAAGACGGGAGCCAGTGCAGCAGTACAACCTAGCTAGTTGTAACACATCAAGCCTTATCTTCTCCTCCTTGTTCGTTCCCGGGGGAAAGTTCAACATGGTTTTTGCCGTTTCCGGATCCGCATCTAGTAAGGCCCGCAGAAAGGCACGCTTCGCAGCGTCCGCTAGAGCTGGATAGCTCAGTGGCCAGGATGTACGCAGAAGAAAATAGGTTAGAACTACATATTGACACTGAGGCTGAGGGCAGCACAAGAAGGAGATTAAAACAGGTTTCAGCTTCATAGTTATTACAGGGAAGAGGGAATTTCCCTCTTCCCTGTAATATTAAACGAGCTTCATATTCTTTCCTCTTACATTTTCTAGGTAATATCTATAATACCTCTCATGGAGTAGGAGTGAGCAAATCAAAACGAGTTTTGGTAGAGTGGTCTACTAAGAATGAGTAATCACGCATGCGAGCAGAAGAAGGCGCAGATTCTCATGAAGATTCCCGGCTTCGCACCCTGTCAACTGCGTCCACTGTTGTCAAGTCAACAGCTCAGAACAAGTCCAAGCTTAGAAATGAAGCATTAACAACTTTTGGCCATAAGATATCACCCTCTTTCCAGTCAGGAACGTCCACAGGTGGATGCTTCGCGAGCGGGTCACCATAGACGCGCTTGGCATCATCCTCATGCCAATTATAGGGATAATTTCGCACGATGACTGTCTTCGTTTTCACTTCGTCTTCAATCTCCTGACCTCCAGTTGTATCATCCGAGATCGCAGCAAAAATAGGTCGAAAACCACGGATGCACTTCTCGCGTTCCTTCTCGTTGTCCTTAAAATCCTTAGCTGCTTGGCTCTTCGTGCTCATAGACGTCGACTTTGCTGAACTGGGTTTCTTTGTGGCTTTCCCGTTATCTTTTTTGACCATTTTGATGCTGGTGGTGGACGAACTACTAGTATTAGAGTTCACCCTATTTTAAAAATTTTAATCCATTTCCAAATCCATCTTCCCGGGACCACCGCTTTCCCCTGGAAAAGGAAAATCACGTGTCGCAGATGCTTCCGAAGAGGAACATGGATCAGGGGAGGCCTTAATGCTAGAAGAAGACGAAGAGCTGGCGGCCGCTCTCTGCTGCTCTTCTCGTTTTTCTTTCACCAATTTCTCTTGCAGTTTCCTACGCTTCTGACAGAGCTCTACATACTTGCGATATTGCTTTTAATTAGAAGAGCTAGAAGTTGGTTCTTCATCTTGTTTTTACCGACGAAGTTATATTGCCTGGTGGGAACAAAAGGACCATGGATCAAAAGAAAACGCGTTTTGGGACAAAGAGAAAGTACTCACTATTCTTACAATTTTAGGATGGCAGCAGTAGCTGAAGTTGATTTACCCTGCTTGGCCAAGCCGTAGGGGTTTTCACCGTTCACCTATGAAAAAGGAACAGTTTTGATAGATATGCTTTGAAGCGGAGAGAACAGTGCTAGAAATGAGGAATACTACACCTAGAGGCACAATACCTCACCAGACCAGATGGAGGAGCAGGAGGTAGCCTTGGCCATAACTAGAAGCGCCTCTTCTTTCTTCTGGTAGGTGTCTCCAAGAATGCTGAGGTCGTCCTGTGGGTTTAGTTGTTTGTATACCTCGACCCCCTTGTGCACAGTCCACCTCTGAGACCTTTCCTTCTTCGCATTCTTGTCCTCGTATTCTTTGTCTACGCCGTCATCTCCATCCTCGTCTTCGTCCTCACCATCACCTTCATCCAGCAATGCTCCACCACCAAGCAGCACTTGTCCACCAAGAAGTCCTTGATTGCCTTTCTTAGCTCCTTTGGCTTTGGTGGCCGTCTTTTCTTTCGTGTCGGATTTGGTTGTTGTGCCCTTGTTGCTACTGGAAGTAGTGGCTTTAGATGAAGTGGCTTTTGATGAAGTGGCTTTCGACGAAGTGGCTTTTGATGAAGTGGCTTTAGATGAGGTGGCTTTCGGTTTCGATGGAGTGGCTTTAGATGAGGTGGCTTTAGATGAAGTGGCTTTTGCTGGTTTTTTGACCGCTTGAATGTTCTTAGTGGAAGATGGCGTGGAATTAGACTTCAGAGCACGACTGGCAATGCTTGACTGCTTCTCCTTGAGGACCCCTGCATCACTCTTTCTCGACAGATGTCCAAGATCGTCCTTTTTTTTAGAAGTCTTCTGCGCGCTAGAAGCCCCACCGATCGCGCCACCACCGAAAACGGCATCTGTCAACGTATTGCCCTTATTGTTGGAGGAGGAGGAAGATGTTGAGCTCGAAGGCTTGGCGCTGAAAAAGGACTGGAAGCCAGCAGGAGAGGGCTCGGCAGCTGACGTCGACGAGGACGTTTTCGACGCAGACGCCGAAGCACCTCCACTTGCGGCTGTTTTAGTTTTGTCTACTTTCATCTTCTTCATTGCGTGACTCGTATTGTTCATCATTTTTTTCGTTTCGCTTGATTCGGTATCGATGTTGACATATAGCTTGGATTATGTATTTCTCGTGTGGACAATCTCGTCGTCCTCGTTGTTCTTTCAAAAAGTGCTAATGTGTAGCCTCTCACTATGGATGAATAAGAACGATCAGAATGAGAATGCTGGGAAAGCGAATGTACCCACGATACCAACCAGGTGACTCACCATCTTCATCGTGAATGTACCCACGACTGCATGATGTTCACATGAAAATTTATGGATTGATGTTTACAGATTACCACAGGAGAAATTGGGTGCAAGTAGATTCACATAACCTATGGCTTTCTTTTTGTAAAGTGGGATCGATATCATCATGATGTGCTTGCATGACCCGAAGAACCAATGATGTGTCAGTTGGTAGGCTACCAACCAATTATCCAGGTGACTCACCATCTTCATCGTAAAATTCTGATCTCAAAGACCTTGCTGCACTTCATTCATTCACGCTGCCACTTGTGCTTTTTTTTTTTTTGGGACCTGGGTCTATATTCCTCGCAATAAGAACATTTACTCGAAAAACTAAAATAACCGAGGCGAGTCGAGCAAATAATAACTGCGCGAGAAGTCACTTGCGCCTGCGCAACTCTTCCGCGGAGCGTCACCAGCTTGAAGCATTTTGCGCGCCTGCCTCCTATGCTCTATCGATCGCGCACAAAGCCCCGCAGGAGGTGCGAAGAACCGTCCCCCAGCCCGCGCGCAGTGCTCGACTCGCGAGTCGCAAGCGCATAGCGCAGCTCGCAGGGGATCGATAGTGCTGCCCCGTTGAAGCATGGGGCACAAGATTGTAGAAATAACCGACCACAAGATGCCGCACTTCTACGACTGGAAATTTCGAGGATCAAGAGGCCGTTGCGCCTCCCCCCTCGATCCCCGGTTCGCGGCGCCGCGAACCGGGGATCGAAAGGTCGTTTGGCACCCAAACGNCCCCGTTGAAGCATGGGGCACAAGATTGTAGAAATAACCGACCACAAGATGCCGCACTTCTACGACTGGAAATTTCGGGGATCGAGAGGCCGTTGCGCCTCCCCCCTCGATCCCCGGTTCGCGGCGCCGCGAACCGCGGATCGCGAGGTCGTTTGGCACCCAAACGCACCGTTTACCCTCCAACCGACCACTCGATTCCCGGTTCGCGGCGCCGCGAACCGGGGATCGAGGGGGAGGCGCAACGGCCTTTCGATTCCCAGACTTTCTACAAATGACTTGCTGCCTTGTCTGGAGCGGTTGCCATTGCAGACGCGGCGCTAGTGCCCCGAGACCAACACGGCTAGCCGCGCAGGGGCCGGGTCATGGCGCTACCGTGAACGACGGGCAGGGCACTGCAGGCGGGCAGCGAGAAGCCCTGCCCTTGTGCCCCATTTCGCAACAAAGGCGCCAAGAAGTCAATCACACAGGGCAGGCCTGTAGAGCGCCCGAAATCCGTGAAAAGCGGGCCGAGTGTAACCATAGCAAGCGCTTTCTTACAGTTATTCTCAAGCTAACTCGGTTATTTCAAGTTTACGAGTAATTACCCTGCGAGAATCCTGAAGCACAACGGCCACGGTCTACAATTTCCCGCAATAGTTCCATTCAATTACCCCGCGGGAAGCCTGAAGCGCAACGGCCAGGCGCTACAACTGCGTGAGTTAAAAATTTTTATCTCAGTGGGACTTTCCACCTTCTCCACAGTTGACAAATGGGACCTTCGGTAGAGAGGCCAGATCATGACAACAAGGGTTTTGCCGGGAGAAGCATTCGGATCCATGGAAGCATAGCCTTGTCGTTTTCCTAAACACATCGTATCCATGGGTTCCACCCTTAGTTAGAGATATCCATGATGAATGTATCAAATTAGAGGACTGCAGGATCAGAGAATTCAAGGCATCATTAGAAGTTTGACTTATTCACCACGATCCGACGAGAAGCATATCCCTAAATTGCACATGAGATGACGCAGTTTCTTTTTCTTATAGATACTAGTAGTTCTTCTACTACTAGGTTGCATCAGATGAAGGGACAGGCGCATACTTCTGCAAGAACTCATAATTTGTCTATTTTTTACACATGAAGAGACAGCTCTGTCATCGTCATCGTCTCCGACTAACAATCGGTGAGGAAAACAACGCGCTAAACCAAATCTCAGACTCTTGGAGTTTCAAGATCGTCGTGAGCAGGTGAGGACCAAGAACCATTTGCATTTCTAAGGAGTCAAATCAAAAGCCATGATGTGAGTATGACAAGGTGATGGTAGTCAACTGCACATCAAACGCCTCCCAGGAGAAGTCTAAAGCTAGTGCTAGAGGATCGATGGTGAGGATCAAAATATCCGCAAACAACAATGGAGTTGATGTTCATTATGAATGGGCCAAAATAGTGCTACAAATACAATTACATGCTTGACGTCAAACAGAAGTCAAAATTAGTTACTCCCCAGGATGAGCATGAGCAGCTGCAAGGGTAAGACAGCTTCAAAAAGTGATGTTGTCTTCAGAGGGTAGTTTGAGCAAAAACCAAGCATACGAGAGCAACTCAGGTGGGCTAGGGCTAGGGCTTAGGAGGATGATCATGTAGAAGACGTTCTAACAAGTTATATCAATTTATTCTTGTTTTGAGTCTCAGTCTCTTCCGTAAATCTCGAACAAATCCAAGAGTAACTACCGCTACCCAGTATTAAAAGAAGTTTCTTTGCCGCATTCTCATTGCCATTCCCATGATCTCATTCGCCTTTATCCAACGAGGACGTCCACCAACCACACCACCAAAAGCTAAAGTCTCGGAGTTGTAGCCTTTTGCCTGTTGCTGGAGCGCCTCGATGACTGCTCTTCGAGTTGTTTACTTAGCCAGTTTATACCTTAGCTCTTTGCATGCATTCTACATATCGGCCACCATTTTTTCTCCGCGAGCGAAAAGAAACATCAGGACCGACAAGTCAGCGCAGAACTCACTTCATCGATCCCAAGAAGGTTTGAAGCTGCTTGCGTTCTTCATCTTGTGATCTCACTAGATACAACTAGCTAGTACTGCTTCCGCGTCGATCTACTTCGCGATCATCTCCAAATTCTACGTCGATCCAATTACTTAGTATAGTAATTATGCATATTCAACTATATAGTACGAGTACCAGTACGAGAATCCAAAATTCTCAAATTATACCAAGATTTATCGTCAAAGTCAATTGATGATAGCCCATAATAGCGCTTACCCAGTTTGATGACTCATGGCGTTCTCGTCCACGTGAACGCCCAACTCAGGCCGATTGTGACTAGGCCTAAATTATTCTATCTTTAATAATGATCGGCAAAAATCGAGGTCGGACGTCAGGGTTTTAAGGGCAACCAAGGAGAACCACAAGGGGCACAAAAAAACGGGCCAGGACTCTCAGAGCTTTAAGGGGAAAGCCAGGGAATCCCAGGGTTCCCAGGGCGGGCTAAATCGCGGTCGGGTCAGGGTTTGGCATCTCAAGGTTTGCAAAAAGGGGCACAAAAGTCAGGATCCAGTTCTCAGGGTTTTGCAGGCACAAACGGCGGCAGGGTGTTGCGTCTCAATGTTGGCGGATGTCAGGGTTTCCCGCCTCAGAGTTGCGCCATGTCAGGGCTTCGCGCCTCAGAGTTTCGGCATGTCAGGGCTTCCCGCCTCAGAGTTGCGCAGTGTCAGGGTTTAGCGCCTCAGAGTTTCGGCATGTCAGGGCTTCCCGCCTCAGAGTTGCGCCAGGTCAAGGCTTAGCGCCTCAGAGTTTCGAAGGTCAGGGTTTCAGGATGTCGGGGCTTCCCGCCTCAGAGTTGCGCAGTGTCAGGGCTTCGCGCCTCAGAGTTGCGCGCCTCGGAGTTTCGGCATGTCAGGGCTTCCCGCCTCAGAGTTGCGCCAGGTCAGGGTTTAGCGCCTCAGAGTTTTGCGCCTCAGAGTTTCGGCATGTCAGGGCTTTCCGCCTCAAAGTTGCGCCTGGTCAGGGTTTAGCGCCTCAGAGTTTCGCGCCTCAGAGTTTCAGCAGGTCAGGGCTTCCCGCCTCAGAGTTGCGCCAGGTCAGGGTTTAGCGCCTCAGAGTTTCGCGGGTCAGGGTTTTCGCGTCTCAGGGTTTCCCGCCTCAGAGTTGCGCCAGCCAGGGTTTCCCGCCTCAGAGTTGCGCAATGTCAGGACTTAGCGCCCCAGAGTTTCGGAATGTCAGGGCTTCCCATCCAGAGCTGCGCAATGTCAGGGTTTAGCGCCTCAGAGTTTCGCGCCCCAGAGTTTCGGCATGTCAGGGCTTCCCGCCTCAGAGTTGCGCCATGTCAGGGTTTAGCGCCTCAGAGTTTTGCGCCTCAGAGTTTCGGCATGTCTGTCAGGGCTTTCCGCCTCAAAGTTGCGCAGTGTCAGGGTTTAGCGCCTCAGAGTTTCACCCCTCAGAGTTTCGGCATGTCAGGGCTTCCCGCCTCAGAGTTGCGCCAGGTCAGGGCTTAGCGCCTCAGGGTTTCGCGGGTCAGGGTTTCCCGCCTCAGAGTTGCGCCAGCCAGGGTTTCCCGGCCGCCTCAGAGTTTCGGCATGTCAGGGCTTCCCGCCTCAGAGTTGCGCCAGGGCAGGACTTTGCGCCTCAGGGTTCCCCGCCTCAGAGTTCCGCCGGGTCAGGGTTTAGCGCCTCAGTGTTTCGCGGGTCAGAGTTTTGCCGTCTCAGAGTTTCCCGCCTCAGAGTTGCGTAGTGTCAGGGTTTAGCGCCTCAGAGTTTCGCGCCTCAGAGTTTCCGGGTGTCAGGGCTTCCCGCCTCAGAGTTGCGCAATGTCAGGGCTTAGCGCCTCAGAGTTTCACGCCTCGGAGTTTCGGCATGTCAGGGCTCCCCGCCTCAGAGTTGCGCCAGGTCAGGGTTTAGCGCCTCAGAGTTTCGAAGGTCAGAGTTTCAGCGGGTCAGGGTTTCCCGCCTCAGAGTTGCGCAATGTCAGGGCTTAGCGCCTCAGAGTTTCGCGCCTCAGAGTTTCGGCATGTCAGGGGTTCCCGCCTCAGAGTTGCGCCGGGGCAGGGTTTTGCGCCTCAGAGTTCCCCGCCTCAGAGTTGCGCCAGGTCAGGGTTTAGCGCCTCAGAGTTTTGCGCCCCAGGGTTTTGCCGTCTCAGGGTTTCCCGCCTCAGAGTTGCGCAGTGTCAGGGTTTAGCGCCTCAGAGGTTCGCGGGTCAGAGTTTCGGGATGTCAGGGTTTCGCGGGTCCGGGTTTCGGCGTGTCAGGGTTTCGCGCCTCAGGGTTGGCGGATGTCAGGGCTTCCCGTCTCAGAGTGGCGCAGTGTCAGGGTTGAGAGCCTCACAGTTTCGCGGGTCACAGTTTCGGCGTGAGACCCTGTTTCACCGAGTCACGCAGCCGTTGGCGGGCTCTAACGCGGCCGCCAGCCGCGTTTGGGCAGGCTAACGTCAGGACCACAAAGGGGCCCGAATCGGATCGCGCGCCTGGGGTGGACCAACCGCGGTACGGTGAGCCGGAGGCTGGACTCTGCCCAAGCCTGCCCCTAGCAGCTCCCTCTCCCTCGTTCACCTTTCTCTCCTCTCGGACCGCTAAACACACGGGAAACGCCTAGTATGTTATAAGAATCGATCAGCCATAAGGACAATCGCTCCCGCCGCTGCCCGCGACATCGTGCGCGCTTGTGCCAGCACAAGAGAGAGGGCTCGTGAAAGAAGAACATGAGCCTGAGTTTGACAGACACATAAAAATTAAAAAATTTCAGACTTGAATCAACTCAAAACTTTCTTGCCCAACACGAACTAGTGGCAAGACTACTGCTAATGCTACTACTACAACACACTGAAAGCCCATAAATTCTGTTTTGTTGATCATGTCAGCATGAATTTCACAACAGTGGGACTTTTTTCGCTTCCTTCATTATTGTACCGCTAAATACAGCATTATCATAGCGTCAGCATTGTTACTTTCGGCACTGCGACCCTCATCCAGCCAATCAAGCTCTTGCTCTCAATACCTTGGACTTGAGCATTTTGATTCTCAAGATTTTCAAGCTGTATTTCAGAGGATACATAAGGGATCTCCACTTGTCTTCAGTGTTCTCATGTCACAGTGTTCCCTCATATCGCTCAAGAGGCTGAGCGACGCTGGTCCAGCCGGTCTGATCTGTTTTTTTACTATGTCATTGTCACTCAAGTGGTAGAGTGACGTTGGTCCAGTCTTATTTGTTTTAGCAGCGATGTTCGTTGTAGTCATACAAGAGCGCGGCGCTCTAAGATGATACGACACCACTCAAGCCATTCGAGTGTGGACAACAAGTATGCGATAATGGAAGAACGATTTTCACGACCTGTGTATGCGTTCTTGCCGTGTTGAAAGTCGTGTGCCGTTTGGCGTGAAAGTATGTCCTGCGGCGCGTCCACAAGTTACATCAGCTGATGTTCTCGTGAAGCTTCATCTTATACAACATAGCATATCCTTTCGCACACCTTTCATCCAATCTCATATCTAACCCTAGTAAATTGTCATACTCAACACATGGAAGTGCAGCCAAAAGAACCTGCAGAGAAAGTCAGTAGCGCTTTGTGTAGTTCTTGGTTTTCACGAGCCAGCGTGGGAATGATCAACACCAGATGCTTTTTCAGTGTTTAGAGGGAGAGGAGGCTGAAAGAACTTTCAAACTGCGAGTAAGACTTCTCCACTATTTGCTAGAAGGAGATGCCATAGTTTTTGCCGGGGTCATAAGCTGTCCGACCACGCAGCATATTCCATGGACGAATGTTGCATAAAGTGGAAAATAAAGAAGATCTTCTCCGCAACGAACTCGTAGTTGATGTAGAAGACGCAGATCGCCTCTTGATCTTGTAGTAGTTGTAGTAGTGGCCACCATCAGCATCAGCATCATCATCATCATCATCATCACCATCGTGCGTCTCTGGCGGTCATTCTTTACCACTGTGTGTAACTGTGCCTGTACTGGATGAAAGTCAACGCATTTCCCTGGCGTCTACTGTTGCAAAGCTCCAGTATTGGTCTTCAGTGTCTTTTTTGCCGTCGACGTTGAGACAGGACTTCGACTCCAGGCGCTGGTCAGATGGCATATTGAGGCTGCCATGACAATAGAAAGGGCATCGTCAACACTGGGCATCGACATGTTTTTCTGATTTCTTAAAACGATGACGGGTAGTTGGTCGTGGTTGGTGAAAGTGTAAAAGCCAGAAGAAGATGACCGAACTTCTTGAGTATGTACTTTACATGAACAATACAATTATTAGGCTTGTAAGTGTGCTTTAGCTTTATTATATGACGATGACCAATATTCGGGCTGTAGAAGGTACTTAGATAACTTCAACAACAATCGGCGAAAAGGCATAGTTAGTGAAAAGTGACTGATTTAGAAGACAGCACTTTTTTTATGTGAATGGACCGGAAAAACTTACTGGGCCCCCTGTATTTTAAGGGTCCCGATGTTTTTCCCCCTTTAAGCGAACCGGGGCCGTAAAAATCCAAGCCCCTTATTTTCCAGCGGCGTCCCTTATTATTCTGGTCGGGTCCCTGGAAATACTAGGGCCAATATGGTTCTGGGAAAGACTCGGGCTGCGGTATCAGAAGAGGCCCGAAAAATAGGGGGCTTGGCCTTGGCCCTTCTTGTAGGCTGCTCCTTCCACGACTCCACTGCCAGCGCAGCGCCCCGTTGGCCTGTTCGGTGCGCGCCCGGACCCGGTGGGGAGCCGCGCGCGCTTGGCCGCGCAGTGTCCTGGCAGGCACAAGATTGCCACCAAGCTGCGGCCGCTCCCCCAGGCTTGGCGCATCCTGCTGCGCCTTTCGTTCCCCTATGTTCTCCCGCTCTTGCCGCAGTACCTCGCACCCACCAGAGGCAGGCGCGCGGGCAACTGCCAAGAAGCAGGAGCTTCGCGGCACGCTTCCTCCTTTTGCGGTCCCCCCGCCTCACTCTCCCAGTGTGGCGCTCCTTTTTCGCTCCGCGGGCCGCTTTCGTTTTGAAGTGCGTCAGCCTTTGCGGCGGGCTTCGAAAGCCCTCGGGCGTCGCGTGGTTGAAGCTTGTCCCTCGGGGATGGTATGCGGCGGCTCTGTATGTCGCCGCTGTGGCACCCCGGATCCCTGCACGCGCGCGCTGTCGGCAACATCGTTCGCCCCCGTCGGTTCTCGATTGGTCCCGCTTGGTGGTGCTGGGATTGGTTTTGGGTGTGTCGTGTGGGATTGTCGTTGCTCTGTCACCGAGGGCGCCCGCCGTTCGCTTGGCGTGGCTGGTTCTATGCGCTTCTCTCTTCCTCTCGTTGGCTGCTGGCTGTTCTGTGGTGTGTTCGCGTCTGCGGCTGTCTTCTGGCCTTTTCCGTTCTCCTCCTCTTCTGCGCGGCTTCAGGTTCTACCTTTTCGGGCAATTCTTCAGCCTTTTTGGCTCTTATTCTTGCAGGCTTGCGCCTTTTGTTTTTCGCCTACTTCTACCTTCCTTGTCGAAAGTTCTACCCTTTTCTGTAGATAGCCTGATGCCCCCACCCCTTCTAGTACCGGCGCCCTCCCTCCCAGTTTATCTGGCCCATGCATGATGAAAATGCCATAAAGGTACACCAGAGAAGACGACCCATGCCCAAGATCAGCTGGCTAGCCTGATCCGACGCCTTCTCTGTGCTCTATTTCCTTTCAGTGGTCACTGCCGACCAACAAACAGAAGCCCTCCGATCATGTCATCCAAGTTTGGCAGATGGTTCGATCTTGGAGTGGGCCAAGACTGGACCGCCAAAAGGTCTTCGCCGCCGGGTCTTCATCTTCACGATACACAGACGAAGATAGTGGGCATCCATCTCTTCTCAATGCTGGCCGAAATGGGCGCACGCCTCTACTTGTAGCCGTGCCTATCTGGTGCATTGATTTACTCGAGCTGGCGCCCTGCATATGGGACACGTAGCCCCGCATTGCTCAAGTCTGCTTTTTTCTCTTCCCACCCGGCAGAGGTCGCGCGCCGCTGGTTTCCTTCTGCTTCCGGGCTTATCTGCTCACGATAAGGCGAGAAGACAGGCAGCATTAGACCGCCCGAAACTTCTCGAGCCCGCTTGGGTCCGCCGACCCTCGCACCCCGCCAGCCTCCACGTGTTCCCGCCGGCCCCGCTAGAGACGCAAACGCGATATCACGCTGCGGCCGCGGGCGCAAGCTACCGACAGCGCAGATGGCATAAGCATAAGCGAGGGCCCCTTCCTTTTTAATTTCATCTACGTCGCCCCTCTGCCTAACTTGTACAGCCTCCTTGCCCCCTCAAAACCTTTCGGCCAGTCCCCCAAAAGTCCCACGCGGCGCCCCCTGCTCGGTTCACCGTTGTGTCACGGCGGTGACGAAGCGTGCGACAGCGGGACTCTCAGATTCTACGCTCAGAAAAGGGCCTCCACAATAATGGCGCACTTCGTGGCCTGGCTTACATCTCTAAAAATAATGACGAGAGGTCTACACTTTCGCGATTGGGCTACAATTGAAGGAAGTAGATCGACTGCCATGATTGGGCAAACGAAGTTAAAAAATCTAAGCGAAACGCAGCAGCTTGATCTCGTCGACCGATCTGGGCCTCGCCTCGGTGGTTTGCCGTTTGCTTCTAAAAAAATTTATCGAAGTGCCTCTTCGGCCGTTATAATTGGGCTGAGTTAAAAATCTAGGCGAAACGCAGCGGCTTGATCTTGGTGACCGAACTGGGCCTCGGTGGTTTGTTTCATTCTAAAAAAATTCGTCAAGGCGAAACGCAGCAGATTGATCTTGGTGACCGAACTGGGCCCCGGTAGTTTGTTTCTACGTACTTGTTGTCGCAGAAGTGGCAAGATGCAAGGATATCCGTGAGCGTAATCGTGAGGCGCTATCCGTAGCATTATACACGATCGCGCTGCCTTTGTCAGCCTCAGCCACCGAGCAGATGCTTGCAAATGAAAGCGCCGCGGGGCTCTTGTCAGGCACGGAGGACCTCACAGACAGAACGAAGCCCGAAGACCCCCCTAGCCCTTTTTTACCAGAAGAGTGAAGCTGAGGGCTCCCATCTGCAACTATCTACTCCGAATCTGGAGACAAACTACGTACATAGCTGACGCTCGTGGCTAGGTTTGAGACGCCAGACAGTCAGTCCAGGACAATCGATATCCACATTTGATATGAAGCGGAGCCACTCGTTAGCTTTGCCTTTGCGTAGTATGATGAGCCAGCTTTTTCGTGTCACCTGAGGCACACTCAATAGATGCCCACCATCTTCACACTGGCGCTCCCCTTTGACTGAAATGTCGACAGTCGATTCATCAGCCATCGCGAAGCGAGTAAGTAAGTAAGTAAGTAAGTAAGTAAGTAAGTAAGTAAGTAAGTAAGTAAGTAAGTAAGTAAGTAAGTAAGTAAGTAAGTAAGTAAGTAAGTAAGTAAGTAAGTAAGTAAGTAAGTAAGTAAGTAAGTAAGTAAGTAAGTAAGTAAGTAAGTAAGTAAGTTAGTGAGTAAGTAAGTTAAGTAAATAAGTTAGTAAGCAAGTAAGTAAGTTAAGTAAGTAAGTAAGTCAGTAAGTAAGCAGTTGCTCTAGACGATAGTGGTATAGTTACTTAATCTGTATTAGGTCCATAACTAGCACTAATCTAATACACCCGAACATTTCCTAATTTTTGGAGAAAGGGAGAAATGAAAAGGAGGACGGAGGGGAAGAGGGAGGGTAATGATCGGAGGTAGTAAATGAATGAAAGAAAGAGGCCGATGAGCTTACCCACGATGGGCAGGGAGGGTCAGGGACCTGATCATGAGCACCCCCTGCGACCAGGTCACCCGGCATCTCACGCCCAGAGGCGCCACCCTCTAAGCGATCACAGATAACCGCAGGACTGGCGTGTCCCAGCTCACCGATTCCCTGAGCAGGGAGACACATGAGCACTCGTGAAGACACCAACAACAACTCGTAAATAGAGGGAGAGGGCTGTCTGTAGAAGTAGGAAGTACAGGACTGCCAGGCATACGAGCGCATACATCTCTGCTCACTCGTTATAATACATAAAAGTTCAGATTTGTTCTAGCCAGCATTCTTCATCATGACATCATATACCTTATAGCCGCAACTTCTTAGTTGGCCAGATAGATAGGAGAAAGGTGGAGGTAAGGATAGAGGAGAGAGGTAGAATCTGACCGCACTGTAGGAGAATGAACCCGACATACAGCAGTAGTAAGGGAGAAGAAGATAGAGAGGAACAGAAAGAACGAGCCATGAGGATTACATTATCACCAAAGAGCATAGAGAAGGACTAAGCTTTCCAGAGCAGTGACTTGCGCGAGAAGGTAGCATGTTATTCCTCTCAGTTCAGAGGTAATATCAGACATGTTCTGAACAGCAGACTCTCAGCTTCAATTGACAAATGTGTAACGCTCACTACCATCTCTCATAGAGAATAGATTACATTTCTCCTTCACATTCGTTCATAGAAAAGTAGTAAACGATGGGACAGACTCATAAGGGTGAGGGAGGGGAGGACAAACTTTGAGAAGGGAGCACTGAGATCAGGTCCAGGTGCATATTGAGTGGTTAATGCATAGATCAGTGAGATCATCAGGCGACTACAGGACCTGATAGATAGTATCAGGACTTGACAAGAATTAAAAAAAACTTTTCCATACATTCAAGTTGATAGTAGTCGCTAAGTAACGTGTTGCTTGAAACATCTATATCTTACAGAACACCAAGTTGACAAAAGCACATAAGAAAAAAGTAAGTAAGTAAGTAAGTAAGTAAGTAAGTAATTCTTCAAATCTAGGACTTCGACTAGGTAAATTGCAATTGATTGAGAACAGCACTACTATGTTCGAGACCGACTTGTAAGACAGTGAGTGAGTCAGGTTAAGGATCTGCATGAACGGCAGACGCCATCAGGAAGCTTCTTAACATTATTGACGACGTGAATCTACTCCGAAACCTGCCTAAGATTGTTAGCATTTTCCTAATTTGGCAGTTCGTTTTAGATATCGAACTTAGGATCGTGGCGGTTCATCTTCTTATTCGTAGCTACTTACGGTCGTACAGTGACTTGAGAGTCGTAGTCAAATTCAAAATGAACAGCAATCTTTCTGAAGGGGAGGAAGTCTGTCCACTTAGCCTCGCCTCGGGTTGCACACATTATGGTGTACGGTCCTGCGCGAAAAGATTCTTCCGCGGCAGTGTTTCTTGATATTCCTGCAGGGAGTTTCCCTTTTTTTGCCACTCTGTCTTTGACCTCGGCCAGCATGGTGTTGAAGTCTGTTGGTGTGTTATCGTCTCTTAGTAGAAAGTGTTCCTGTACTATTACTTCGCGTACTTCTTGTTCTGTTAAAGCTCTGTCAGCGCGAATCTGCTGTGAGAATTGTTTTCCACCAGCCGCCTCGTCTTCGTTGTCAATGTTGAACTTATTCTTCAATACGTGTAGCAGCGTGTCACCTTGTTCAAACGGGCGGAATTGTTCGGCGTATTCCCGTTCAAAGTTGTAGTTGAAGCGGCACATTTCGGCGAAGATCTGCTTTATCTGGGGATCTTCGAGTAGAGATAGTTGCCTGGACCAGTTTCGCGGATCTTGATCCAGAGGCGTGAAGTATGCTTTTTTCTCGTCACTATTGACGAGGAAATTTTTTACCGACTCTGACTCTCCACTTGACTCTACTACTACTGCACCAGGCTGTTTGAATAGGAAACGGTAAAAAGGAAGGCGTTTTTGATGATCCTCGAGGTAGAACGGCACTGTACCTGTGGCGGATACTTCCTGAATGTTCAACGTCGTCGCGTCTAATGCTGTCGCAATGTCGTGCTCCTGCTCCTCTTCTTGCCAATCAATAAACGGAAACGGCAGCTTGTTTTCCGCGGAGAGGGTTAATTTCCGTAGCTTCAACACCTGCTTTTTGTTCTCTTGTTCTCCATCTTGAAGGACTACTTCAATTAGTTTATTCGAATTTCCTATGAAAGCCTCGTCACCGCTACTTGCGGCCAAAGATTCTTCTAACGTCTCCACTGGCACTGTTGTAACTTGTCGTCCCATTTGCTGACGAAGATGTTTCCGCGCGAGTTCTTCTCGTTTCCTCTGGAGCTCTTGTTGCTCTTGCGGGAGTTCTTGTTGCTGCTCTTGGTGTTTTCGTCGTTGCTTCTCGAGTTGTTCTTGTTGAGTCTGCAAGTCTGCACGTTGCTTCCGGAATTGTTCTTTTCGAGAATGGAGTCCTCGTTTCTCTTCACGGAGTTCTCGTTGATGATCGTTTTGGAGTTTCTCTCGCTCCTGCTCGAGATGTTGTCGCTTCTCCAATAATTCTTCGAGTCCTAGTCGATGTTCTTCCTGGAGTGCTTTTCGCTCGCGCTCGAATTCTATTCGTTGCTCCCCGAGTTCTTCTTCTTCATTCTGGAGCTCTTGTGGCTGCTTCTGGAGTTCTTGTTGCTGTTCCCCCAGGCGTTCTTGTCGCTCCTGCTGCTGCTTTTGTTCGTTCAGGAGATCATAATGTTGCTGCTGGAGTCGTTCTTGTTGAGTCTGGAGATCTAGTCGCTGCTTCCCGAGTCCTTCTTCTCCCTCCTGGAGTTCTTGTCCTTTCTGCTTGAGCGCTTTAAGTTGCTTCTGGAGTTCCGATGGTGGTGGTTCTTCTACTCGAGCAGTCGAGTCGCAGGCAAGCGCAAACTCCACTTGGAACTTTCTAAAGCCATGCTGTCTGCTATCCTTCCCAGTGGTTGCACATGTTACCGTATAGGATGTCATTTGAAGTGGACCGCGATCACAATTTGCTGGCAGAGTCATCTTCTGCGCACTCTGTGCCTCTACTTCTAGTACTCGACTTCGGACCTCATTCAACATGGAGGTGAAGTCCAACCCTCCATCTCCTGATGTTGATGTGATGTCCTGTATAACTACTTCGCGCACTACTGCCTCTGGGCGAAAGTCGTCACCTCGAATCTCCTCTGTGAATTGTGCAGCGTCGAAATGGGGATCGTTGTTATCGACGCTGAAGATCTGCACCAAATCCCGATCCTGACCTCGCAGTCGCACGGCAGCCTCCGCGTCTCTCAGTAGTTCGTTGTCGCCTACACTTCCAGCAACTTCAACTTCACCGAATTGCTCCTGGTATTCATCTTTCAAGTTGTAGAAGTTGTAGCGGCACATTTCGAGATAAATCTGCTTAATATTCAAAAGGAGGATCAGTTGATTGGACCAGCGCAGGGAGTCATTCTCCAGAGCGTTGAAGTATTGAGTCCTTTGTTCCGGTGTGCGGGCGGTGTCGGTAATCGCGAGTGGACCTGTTGAAGTAGAAATTGCGCCAGGCTGTGTGAAAAGCACTCGGTACTTGGGAGCTTGGCCACCTCCTTGATGATGTGCTGCATTTGCCGCGTCTAGTACATGATTTACAGTGATTTGATCCACTACTTTGGAAAGGGGATTCGCGAGAGCCTCGCGATTTTCTACCGATAACGCAACAAATGGCGCTGTGCCCTCGGGGGAGCTAAATAGCCTCACGGACAGCGGCTGCGCCTGCGCCTGCGGCCATGGAGCAGAAAGGGATACTACCAGTTGTTTATTCTTGTTGTCGGTGGACACTTTTCGTCCTCCATATAGTTGCTTCAGCTTCTGTAGTATCCGATTCTCTTCTTCTCGCGTTTGTCTTAGCTGTTCTAATTTTTCTAGTACTGGCGCGGACCCTTGCAGCTGTTCTCCTTGTACTTGCAGGAGCTCAACATCATTAAGGAGTTCGTCTTGCCGCTTTCCATTCTTCAGCAATTGATGTTTCAGATCACTAAAAATTCCTCCTGCGGCCCCTACACTCACAAAACTGCTATCCGTCCGAACCATCTGAAGGTCGACCTGAAAAACGAATAAGAAAATAAACCCGTGCCAAAATCAATCTTTATCGTGAACGTCAAATTCAAATCAAATTTTTCTACTTATGCATTGAGAATACCCAAGAGAAAAAGGATTATCTTTGATTGTGGTCGATGAAGGTGCAAGATCAAACTGTCTGCATATTCAATCAATCTGATCCTGGTAGTAAGTAATCGTAAACGTTAGATATAATGAATCTTAGTACAATATCATCAAAAAGCGCTTTGTCTTTCGGTCCTTTTCCTGGCTCAAGATTCACTTCCCCGTCCGGAGATACGGTGGAAAAACTCGAGATTGTGGACCCGTTGTCCTCATCTTCCTGTACATCGGCAACGCCATTAGGCTCGTCACTGTTTCCCTCGCCAGCTCGCTTTCGCTCTAGCTCCACGTCTGTTTTTTGATTCAAAAGAATGACTGATGTCGATCAGAAGTTGTAGGGATGGATCACAATGATCACGCACCCTGCTAGATCAGGATATGAAGTTGAAATTGTAGTTGAAGTACTTACTGTGGAAGATGTCAAGATAGTCACTGTGAAGATTGTCATGTCATATCATGTCATGTCAGTGCATCTTTCAAAGCCAGTAGTCCTTGATAACAACAAGACAATTCATTTGGATTTGATGTACCAAACGCCGTGCCGTCATCTCTGCGCGTGATTTGCTTTGCAGCAGCATAGAAAAGTCCGAGCAATGATGAGGAGCACCGGGAAAAAAACAGCGATAGGACTCCGAGTGTACCGGGAACCGACGAACTGAGTGCTAGCATTAGATTGAGACGAGGGAAAAGTGTCCTGGTCCATGTTGGACGCATCTTCGTCTTTCCAAGCACAAATCATGAAGTTCAAGATTAGTAGTATAAAAGCATCATCATCTTCATGCGTTAAGGATAAGGTTTCAGTTTCTACTAGATATCAGCCATAAGGACAATCGTGCTCGCCGCTGCCTCCGACATCGTGCACGCTCGTGCCAGCGCAAGATAGGAGGCTCTTGAAAGAAGAACATGATTGTGATGTTTCTGAGTTTGACAGACACTTAACAAAATTTCAAAAATCAAGTCAAAACTTTCCCGCCCATTCAACACGAACTACGATTAGATGACAAAAATTCAAATCAAGATTTTAACAATTACAACACTAACACAATTAAAATAGCACATTGAATTTTCTGTGTGGTTGAAGCTGACGGATTCATGGATTCCAGTTCCACACTGGGACTTTATAAATATTCCACTGCCTACGTGGTGTCGCAATTTGGCTTTCGATTTGTGTATGATCAAGGCACGAAGTATAGAAAATTCTCACGGACGCAACCTTCATCGATTTACGTTGTTTGAGGACAGCACTACGATGTTCGAGACCGAGTTGTAAGACAGTGAGTGGGTCAGGTTAAGGATCTGCATGAACGGCAGATGCCATCAGCAAGCTTCTTAACATTATTGACGACGTGAATCTACTCCGCAACCTGCCTAAGATAAAGATTGTTAGCATTTTCCTAATTTGGCAGTTCGTTTTAGATGTCGAACTTAGGATCGTGGTGCTTCATCTTCTCATTCGTAGCTAGTTGCGGTCCCGGTCGTACAATGACTTGAGAGTCGTAGTCAAATTCAAAATCAACAATAATCTTTCTGAAAGGGACGTTTTGGTTTTCTGTCCCCATTCTTGCCTCGCCTCGGGTTGCACACGTTATGGTGTAGGGTCGTGTGCGAAAAGGTTCATTCGCAGTGGTTCTTGACACTCCTGCAGAGTTTATCTCTTCTTTTGCCAGTGTTTCTTTGATCTCGGCCAGCATGGAGTAGAAGTCTGTTTGTGTGTTATCGTCTGCTCTTACTAGAAGTTGATCCTGTAGCTGTACTATTACTTCGCGCACTTCTTGTTCTGATAAAGCGCTTTCAGCGCGAATCTTCTGTGAGAATTGTTTTCCACCAGCCGTCTCGTCTGCGTTGTCAATGTTGAACTTGTTCTTCAATACGTGTAGCAGCGCGTCAACTTGTTCAGCAGGGCGGAATTGTTCGGCGTATTCCGGTATAAAGTTGTAGTTGAAGCGGCACATTTCGGCGAAGATCTGCTCTATCTGGGGATCTTTGAGTAGCGAGAGTTGCGTGGACCAGTTTCGCGGATCTTTATCTAGAGACGTGAAGTATGCTTCTTTCTCGTCACTCTTGACGAAGTGTTTTTTTGCCGACACTCCATGTAAATCTGCACCAGGCTGTTTGAATAGGAAACGGTAAAAAGGAAGGCCTTCTTGATCTTGATGAAGCCGCCGACTCCACAGTCCATCGCTCCTGGACGATACTTCCTGAATGTTCAACATCTTCGCGTCTACTGCTTTCGCAATGTTGTGCTCCTCTGCTTTCCAATCAATAAACGGCAACGGCAGCTCGCTTTCCGTGGAGGGGGTTAATTTCCGTAGCTTCAACACCTGCATTTTGTTCTGTTGTTCTCCATGCTGAAGGACTACTTCAATTAGTTTATTCGAATTTTGTATTGAAGCCGTGTCATCGCTACTTGCAACCAAAGTTTTTTCGAACGTCTCCACTCTTCTAACGTGTCGTCCCTTTTGCTGATGAAGATGTTTCCGCGCGAGTTCTTCTCGTTTACTCTGGAGCTCTTGTTGCTCTTGCCGGAGTTCTTGTTCCTTCTCTTGGTATTCTCGTCGTTGCTTTTTGAGTTGTGCTTCTTCAGTCTGCAATTCTTCCTTTTCATTCTGGAGTTGTTCTACTTCTGGAGCCTGGAGTTTTCGTTGGTCTTCACTGAGTTCTAGTGGATGTTCGTTCTGGACTAGTTCATCTCGCTCCTGGTCAAGATGTTGTCGCTTTCCCAATAATTCTTCGAGTTCTAGTCGATGTTCTTCCTTGAGTGCTTCTCGCTCGCGCTCGAGTTTTACTCGTTGCTCCCTGAATCCTTTTTCTTCATTCTGGAGCTCTTGTTGATGTTCCATCAGGCGTTCTTGTTGACCCCGCTGCTGTTCTTGTTGAATCTGGAGTTCTCGTTGATGCTCGCCGAGTTCTCCTTGTTGAGTCTGGAGTTCTCTTCGCTCGTCATTGACTCCTAGTTGTTGCTTCCTGAGTTCTTCTTCTTCACTGTGGAGTTCGTGTTGTTGCTGCTCGAGCGCTTGAAGTTGCTTCTGGAGTTCCGATGGTGGTGGTGTTGCTACTCGAGCAGTCAAGTCGCAGGCAAGCGCAAAATCCAGGTTGAACTTTCTAAAGCCATGCTGGCTGCCATCCTTCCCAGTGGTTGCACATGTTACCGTATGGGATAGCAAACTAATCATTTGAAGTTGACCGCGATCACAATTTGATGCTGGCAGAGTCATATCCTGCCCATTCTGTCGTGTCTCTACTTCTTCTTGTACTCGCTTTTGGACCTCATTCAACACGGAGATGAAGTCCAACCCTTTATCATTATTTCCTGATGTTGATGTGATGTCCTGTATAACGACTTCGCGCACTACTGCCTCTGGGGTAGAGTCCTCACCTCGAATCTCAGCGTCGAATTGTGCAGCGGTGAAATACTCATCGTTGTTATCGACGCTGAAGATCTTCACCGCATACGGATCAGTCGTTGTAGCTAGAAATTCTGCCACGTCTTTGAATAGTTGATCTTCATCGTCTTGCCCTTCTAGGTCTCCTACAACTCTAGTAGCTTCATCAACTTCACCGAATTGCTTCTGGTATTCAAAATCAAACTCGTAGTTGTAGCGGCACATTTCGAGATAAATCTGCTTAATATTCGAAAGGAGGATGAGTTGATTGGACCAGCGCAGGACGTCATTCTCCAGAGCGTTGAAGTATTGAGTCCTTTCTTCCGGTGTGAGGGCGCGGTCGGTAATCGCGAGTGGACCTGCTGAAGTAGAAATTGCGCCAGGCTGTGTGAAAAGTACTCGGTACTTGGGAGTTTGCCCACCTCCTTGATGATGTGCTGCATTTGCCGCGTCTAGTACATGATTTACAGTGATTTGATCCACTACTTTGGAAAGGGGATTCGCGAGAGCCTCGCGATTCTCTACCGATAACGCAACAAATGGCGCTGTGCCCTCGGGGGAGCTAAATAGCCTCACGGACAGCGGCTGCGCCTGCGCCTGCGGCCATGGAGCAGAAAGGGATACTACCAGTTCTTTATTCTTGTTGTCGGTGGAGGTGGTCTGCTTGCCTACTACTTTTCGTCCTTCATATAGTTGTTTCAGCTTCTGTAGTATCCGATTCCCTTCTTCTCGCGTTTGTCTTATCTCTTCTAATTTTTCTAGGAATTGCGCGGACCCTTGCAGTTGTTCTCCTTGTACTTGCAGGAGCTCATCATCAAGGAGTTCGTTTTCCTGCTTTCTTATCTTCTCCAATTCTTGTTTCAGATCACTAAAAATTTCTCCTGCGGCCCCTACACTCACAAAACTGCTACCCGTCCGAACCCTCTGAAAGTCGACCTGAAAAACGAATAAGAAAATAAGCAAGTGCCAAAATCAATCTCTATCATGAATGTCAAATTCAAATCAAATTTTTCTACTTATGCATTGAGAATGCCCAAGAGAAAAAGGATTATCTCTGATTGTGGTCGATGAAGGTGCAAGATCAAATTGTCTGATCCAGATCCTGGTAGTAAGTAATTATCGTAAACGTTAGATATAATAAATCTTAGTACAACATCATCAAAAAGCGCTTTGTCTTTCAGTCCTTTTCCTGGCTCAAGATTCACTTCCCCGTCCGCAGATATTGTGGCAAAACTCGACAATGTGGACAAGTTGTCCTCATCTTCCTGAACGTCGGTAACGCCATTAGGCTCGTCACTGTTTCCCTCGCCAGCTCGCTTGTTTCGCTCTAGCTCCACGTCTGTTTTTTGATTCAAAAGAATGACTGACGTCGATCAGAAGTTGTAGGGATGGATCACAATGATCATAAACCCTGCTAGATCAGGATATGAAGTTGAGTTTGTAGTTCGTTGAAGTACTTACTGTGGAAGATGTCAAGATAGTCACTGTGAAGATTGTCATGTCATGGCATGTTGTCATGGCATGTCATGTCAGTGCATCTTTCAAAGCCAGTAGTCCTTGATAACAACAAGACAATTCATTTGGATTTTATGTACCAAACGCCGTGCCGTCATCTCTGCGCGTGATTTGCTTTGCAGCAGCATAGAAAAGTCCGAACAATGATGAGGAGCACCGGGAAAAAAACAGCGATAGGACTCCGAGTGTACCGGGAACCGACGAACTGAGTGCTAGCATTAGATTGAGACGAGGGAAAAGTGTTCTCGTTCATGTTGGACGCATCTTCGTCTTTCCAAGCACAAATCATGAAGTTCAGGATTAGTAGTATAAAAACATCATCATCTTCATGCGTTAAGGATAAGGTTTCAGTTTCTCGGAGATATCAGCCATAAAGACAATCGTGCTCGCCGCTGCCTCCGACATCGTGCACGCTCGTGCATGCGCAAGATAGGAGGCTCTTGAAAGAAGAACATGATTGTGATGTTTCTGAGTTTGACAGACACTTAACAAAATTTCAAAAATCAAGCCAAAACTTTCCCGCCCATTCAACACGAACTACGATTGGATGACAAAAATTCAAATCAAAATTTTCACAATTACAACACTAACACAATTACAATAGCACATTGAATTTTCTGTGTGGTTGAAGCTGACGGATTCATGGATATTCCACTGCCTACGTGGTGTCACAACTTGGCTCTCGATGTGTCTGATCAAGGCACGAAGCATAGAAAATTCTCACGTACGCAACCTTCATCGATTTATGTCGTCACGATGTACGAAAGATCTTCCTCGTTTTGCTCACTCTGTCTCTCATCGTTCGGAGAAACAAAATCAAAAGACCACTCTTGGCTTCTCGAAGAACAGATGGCTCAAGACGAGTAATAACGATGCCACTAGGTACTCCAATACAAGCGTTCTGTTTGGTTCTGAGTTTTGCATTCCATATTTATCCTTGTTCGTCGAGAAAAGGAAAACTAAAACATTCAATATTCACCGTCTCTGTAAATGGACTAGAGTTCTTTATCTTTATTGTGAAGACAATGAGAATGGCAAGCACGAGGAGTAGGAAGCTCACCTTCATGGGATGACGCAGGAGGACAAGGAACCACTCAATTCACGGCTATATGACTTTCTCATACTACTTCATTAGTGGTGGAGCCAACCTCACTTAGGAAACCACGCTTCTAGTTCTGCCTTTATTGATTACAAATGATATCTCTACACAAGAAAGGGTTCTACTGCACAAACATACGCACACACGCACAGGCACACTCGTTGCGTCCTAATGAAATACTTAATACGAATGCTGTTGGTACAACAGCTACATCAGGACCAGACAAATGTCAATGCAAATGCTAGCAGTAGTAGATAGTACGACTCCGAGCTAGTACGAGGGGAAGATCCGCGTATTAGCAATCAATTGCGCTACTACATCACGGAGTTTGGGAAAGCTGATGAACAAGAAGTAACGGAAGCAACCTATATGATGTGCGTATGATGAAAAGGAAGCCTACGCGACAGGATCGTACTAGTGCTAGTGCGACTACCTAAGAAGCTCAAGCTCTTAGTCTTAACATTACAGGACCAAAGAACAACAGCTGCTCTACCAAAAAATTCCTTATCGAACTACAGCATGTCCTCCTACTCCTCAATCCTCATGCTCCTCATCAGCTATTAAATTGTCTTCCTTCATGTTCATCTGCTTGTTTACTATCATAGGAATGTACTGTTCTTTGTCCTCATCGTCATCATCGTCGTCGTCTATTCTTTGTCCCCCTCGTCACCAACATCCTCTTCCCCGTCTATTCTTTGTCCTCGTCGTCATCATCCTCCTCGTCGTCGTCAAACCCAGCGAAGGTTAGAGCTACCGCGTCGCATCCCTGAGCCCATCCCTGTGCCCTATTCTCCCTTGAAAAAGGGGCCAGGGATGGTGCTGAGGATGCTCCAGCAGTTGCCTTACTAAAGACTCTTCCACGATAGCCACGACTCGCCTATTATATTCCCGTCTGTTCTCGTTCCACAACTGCGCTGCTTCGCTATTGGCAGGACTATTCGGATTCGGATCTGTCAACAAGCTCTGGATACTCGTCAGAATCGCCGAAATGTCGTAGATAGGGCTCCACTGGTTCCGGGATTAGAAGAGAAGATATTCATATTTTTGGTCGTGGAGCCAACCTACCTAGTAGGATAGGAAAGATAGAAAAAAGTAAAAGGAAGAGGTATATAGAATTCCAACACCCAAGGAGTCTACATCTACCTCATCATAAGATTGCTAGCGTGACTTCTAGGTATCTATACATGATGAACGTGAATTAACCAGAAAAGTGCATCTATAATCGTCTCCATCAGAAACTATAAACCAGAAGAGTAGTCGATCTATCATCTATAATCAGTATCGGTATCAGAAATAACTATAGCTTCGTGGTCGATCTATCATCTACAATCAGTATCGGTATCAGAAATAACTATAACGGCGCAAACTTTCAAACTTTTCATAATGTAATATGTCCAGGCATATTTCACCGCTCGCGTAGATGTTGGGATGGAACATCTTGGTGAGGAACCTTATCTTCGGAGGCTTCGTTGGAAACTCTTCGTTGAATGCGACCGTGAGCTGAAACGCTCCTCCCTCCCATGGTGTTTCCTCAGGGCCGAAGGAGATTAGAAGAAGTGTGTTGGGATGGCACCCATCTTGTTGTAATGGAACATCTTGTAAAAGTCCATCTCTCTAGCTTCTCGGAAGAAGCCGAGATTTACAGTGACAGACAACAAGGGGTCGTGGAAGGACTGCAAAAAGTGCAAATTTCACATAAGATAAATGGGTATTGGAAGTTTTCACTTGTTGTAATTATCGGCTGAAAGATGTAGATGCTTGATGCAGGGATATTATTCATTTCTTCTTGGGTGCTCATAGCACTTCTTGCCCCGACTACTTACCAAAAACGAGTAGACAAGTCCTATTTCGACATAAATATACCTAGCTACCACTTCAAAATAAAAAAAACTATAATCACGTACACAATCCGGGGATCATATCGCTACCACTTCAAAAAAAACTATAATCACGTACACAATCCGAGGATCAAATCCAACGCCATAATATGACTGCTGACCAGTTCATTATGTCATCGTCGACTGGTGCTGCACTGATTCCATTTGGCGGGTCGCTCTGGAGCTTCTTCAGATCCCGGAAGAGGCGCTTGCGTGCGACTGTCGTCATCTTTGTCAATGAAAATGAAGACCTCCGCCGGGTTGCACGAAAAAGTAGTAGAAGATGTCGATCGTTGTTCTAAAAAATTATTTGTGCTAGTTCTGTTTGTACAGCCAATAAGAAAAAAATGATAACGCCTACGCAGAGTCAAATTGTCTCTGGTGTCCAGCTTTCGGTTTTTGAAGTCGTGACTGCAACATTTTTGAAGATTAATATGAGAGTGTGATTTTCACGATTCGATTTTGGAAATCTAATTGTAATTTGCTTCGGAAATCGAAATCCCTCCTGTGGGTCTCCTGCCACATTCACGTTCACACTGACGTTGTAGACGGATTTAGAAGATGGTAAAAAATGTACAGAGACAGGGTAATCGAGTTCCGGAATCTCAACGCTGCATATAGAGTTTGACGAATGGGGGGTAGCACGACTACGATTTGAGTTCTTGCAACTTAATTTTGGCCTTCCGTTTTTGACGAAGATTGTGCTAGTCGTACTCGTGGGCAACGAACTGTAGTACGTAGACCTTCTCAAAAAATACAACGACCATGATCAGTCATGGCGATAGTTTTGCTTCTCGATTCCATTTTTATCCATTTTATTGAGGATATGTAGAGGATGCACGTAATCACCTCTACACCTAGATCAAAATTCACAGTTATTTGCAGATACACGAACAACCACGACAAGAACCGTCCTAATGAATATCTCGTCTGTGCCTAGCTAAGCAGTGCTGGCAACGCGCGATTTACCATCTTCAACCTTCCTTGTGCTGCCCAGTACAAACCCTCACCAGCACTGTGCTGCTTAGTACAAACCCAAGAATACTGAACGAGGGCTGTTCACCGCGTAGCCCAGTGTAGAGTTGCTGCTGCAGGAATGCCATCGTGATCCGTCTCGCCCAAAAGCTCGCCATCCAGGTTAGGTATCCCAGTACAGAGCGCTTTCGGATTCTCCTGCAGATATCTTGCTTGCAGTAGAGTTAGAAGAGGTGGCGTGGCGGTTCTTATTGATCTTCCCAGTGGCTGTATTGGGCTACATCTATACATAGAAGGTTAATGTGCATCGGGCGAACAAAAGTTGTACTTAGTTGTACTATTATGGACTTAATGACAAGAGTGATCGTGGACTTGTACGTGTCCGAATGACTTACATCCATCAATAGACTTCTTAGACTCCTGCCCTTGTCTTGAGTCATCGAAGTTCTCCAAGGACTACTTCCTTGTGTACTTATATTTTTTACGTAAAGATGATGATGATCTTAACACTACTTGTTCCGCCAAGCTTTGCAATTCTCGTGTCCTTTCCTGCGCATCCGCGAGTAACAGGGCTGCTTTGCGTGCATGGCGCATGCCGGAGCTAGCATTGGCTATGGAGTGGGTTACGCGCGTCTGATGACCTAGGAAAGGTTCTGACGCAAGCCTCTTGATTAGAGCTACCGCGGTCGCAGCTTCCCTGAGAGTCCAATCCCTGGGTTCTTCTTCTTTTTCAAGTAGAAAAAGGGCCAGGGACGGATGAAGCTGAGAGAGGCTGCTCGAACGGAGGTAGCCTTAACTTGACGAGTTCTCCCGGAGACTCCAGTTTGCCTGGATTTCCTACACTGCTAAGCATCCCAAGTAACATTGGGAGGAAAGTTAGAGAACAACGTTGAGCTTGAGACCACAGAAGTGGGTGCGGGACTGGACGTGGGTGCTGTGGTAATGGGAGTGATCATTCCAAAGAAGTTGAGAGACGTGTAGTCGGTACACAGCTTCATAGATATGTCGTCCCAGATCCAGACTCATACTTTGATTTGAAAAAAACAGGTAAAAAAACAAAGATGAATATGACAAGAGGTACTAGAATCACAATGTTGAGTTGTTACTTACATAAAGTAACAACTGCTAGACGACCTATGCCTATGGATAGGGTACTATAAAAGCCATCATGGGACGTACTTCTATGTGTATGTATAAATAGAAAAAAAAACCATCACTAATAAGTATGATCACATTCACAACCACAAGGGTCCTCGAACATCATAAAAGCAATGTGCTTGTGACGTAGCTGAATCCGTTTTTAGTCTGTGTAAGTCCGACTCCGACAACTTTTTTGCCAAACTCGCGCGCTGAAAGCGCCTTTTTCCGAAATTGGTTGGCCAGCTTCAGCATTGCGGGAGCCACGTAAATCATTTTACCGGCAAACTTCATGAACTTGCCTCCGCCTTCTCTCATTTTTTCAAACATCACCGCTTTTGCGCCAGGAGTTAGAAAGAGTAAGGTAAGAGAGGTGGTTGTAAAAAGAAGTAGTTAACGTGAGGCCACGATAGTACGTAGCCTTGAAAAGGTCGACAAAGCTTGTTGGGATGGTGGCTCAGAACGAGGGCTGCAACATTCATCAGTGGATATCAAGAAAACTAGAAAGAAGTTCGAGCACGAGCATGATCGGATTCATACAAGATACAAGAAAGAGTTCTATCTTGTTCAGGTTGTAGAATTTTGCTTCGCGAAGAGAGATCATGCAACGTCTAAATACACATTTGCAACTTATCTCAGTAGGTTGCAACTGACTTCTTTTAGGAAGATGCAACTATACATAGATACAACCAAGGTAAGGACCAGAAGCCTTAACATCACGTCTTTCTTCGATGGCATCAGAGCTGCTATCCGCGTCGTTGCACCGTCACGTGTGCGAGAAACCATCTCAGACCCGAGGGCGGGAAAGGATGTAGTTACTATAGATGATCTCGATTTCCCACCCATATTCTTAGGTCTCTCCGGTAATATCTGTATGGTGTTGGTGGTGGTATCGTTCTGGATATCAAGAAAGGACGACCATGACATCGGCTTATTGATGTAGCTGGCGGAGTTGTAGTCGCCTGGGTTCGCGGCTGCTTCGTGATGTTGCCAAACCAGGTATGGGGGCTTAGCTCTAGCCCCTTTATGCGTAGAATTAGAGGTAGGTTTTTGGTGCTCGCTTGCCCCGCTTGTTATGCCATTCTCATCCTAAGGGAGAGAGGCATAAAAAGCGGTAAGAAAAGCACCTACTTTAACCTAGTAACCTTAATAAAAGTACAAGTACAAACCTACCCTTACGCATGAAGTACAACTTGCCATACGCATACTTAGCCTAGTACCCTTAATAGAAGTACAACTTGCCATACTCGGAGTCACCTCCAGAAATGCAGTAGTTCGACCACAGCGTTTCCAACTGCTGCCTTCTCGGAAAGGCGTCTTTTTCGGGATCTGCAGATCTTCTGGATTAGAGACTGGATGCGTAGAAGGTGGCCTTGTGTGATGCTGATGTATCTCATCCTCACAGAAGCGGGAAAAGAAGGAAGGCAAGGTGGTGGAGGAGGATGCATGACGAGACGACATTTTCGGATGATATTTTTGTAATTAAACAACTTCAACAACTTGTAACTTGAACAAGTCGCAAATTAAATTTGAAAGTAGTCGTTTCTGTCCAGTAAGGCATACCTACTTCATCGGTGTCACACATGTATTCGGGTTCTTCCATCACCGCAAGTCAATATCAGTACTTGAATTTTCAATGAATATAATTTCAAATGCAACTGCAAGGAATGAGACAACAAATCAAATCTTACGTACTTCTCCTTGATGACTAGAACATCGTGGTAGTACTTCCATTTACCAGGAGGATGGAGCAAGAAGTAGGGCTAGCGTCTCGTAGCAGGGTGGTCGCTTCTCTCAGGAGGTTGTTATCAAGACGATTTTATTATACCTCATGTTGTGGGACGAGTGGAAAAGTTCTTGATAACCGATTTTAGATTTTACCGATGATATTCAACTGCGGAGTTCTTTGCTCATCTACAACCGATGGCACGAGCATAATTCACGATTAGATTATTCGACAGTCCTACACGAGGACTAGTCACTAATTAGTGGACGATTAGTGACTCGTCTCTGGCGTTGCATGATCTGCCGCCTTCGCTTGGCTAGTTCACGACTAGATTACTCGGCCGATGATGATTTGTCTCTCGTGCATACTTAGACTTATTTGTCTCTCTTGCATACGGAGTGATAAAAGGGACGAATATCGAGTCTCTCAACGAACAGCATCGATATTGGTCCCTTTTTTCACTCATGCCGCGTCCCAATAGAAGGCCACTACAGTCGTTTTCGTTGTTAGGAGGTCCTCTTGCTAAAGTCAACGATGTGAATTATACAATAACGTGATCAACATCAATTCTAATTCAGTTTCAGATGGACCAAAATCATTGCATCATGTGCATTTCCATAGCTTCTTCTTCTGGCGTTTTATGATCTGCCGCGTTCGCTTGGCTTTCGTACACGGTTATTACTGCTTCTCGCCTATACTGCGTAGGTATCCCCTTTAACCCGATCCAATACAATTCCTTCTCGTCGGCACCCTCGTCCTGTTGTGGGAGGATGAAGACGTTCTTTCAGATTACCTCCTTATATTACTGCGCACTAATTGCCTACGAACCTGCCGATTTTAAAATGATGAAACCATCTAAAGTACCGCGACTAAATGCACGACTAGCATTTGAAGGTTGCAGAATTTGTTCGCGCGTAGAGGGTATTCATATGTGCCACATAGATCTGCTGCAACATCTAGTTCCTGCTCTGGCGTGCGATCTTCGAAGTCGCTAAACTCTGTCGCAGCGGTTGGCGGATTTGCAAACAGTCGCGCTTTCCTGGGATGTCGCTGGCCTTCTCCTTGTGCTTAGAGGGGGATGGAGGAGAAGGAGGAGGATGGAGGAGGGAATGAAGTAGGGGGTGTTTCTAAATCGAGACGAGATACAGCTAAAGGTAGAGTAAGCATAGGAGGAGGTTGAGTGGAAGTCATCTCAAACTCAAGCTCCACAGTAGCTCCTGCTGAAGTAGCAGAACAAGCACGGTGACTGTAGTAGAAGCAACAAACTGAATCTGAAACTACGTCGGATATAGAAGCGACGAATTGGAATTATCAAATAATAGACAAGAACCAACCACATCAACAAAGTTATTCCTTGCGGCCATACCCTATGATGTATACTGACTGGAGTAATACAGGCGAGGCAAATGGTATGAAGATGAGCATCTCGTTGTCGTCCTCAGGCGTCGCTACGAAGCCAAGTGCATCTTGTAGCCTTTCTGCATACGTCTTTTTAGACCTCTCCGCAATAATTCATGTTTTAAGTGCATCAATCTATCTTGAACAAGAGTTTATTCATAAGCACAAGGTCGTGGTGGAAATATTACTCCCCCATGTAATTAGAATCAGATTTCAACTTAATTTCAAGGATGCAGTTGCACTTGCAGCCAAAGTCAGAGATGCATATTACTGAGAGCCATAATCTTTCGCAAAACCGTCTTGATATCACCTGTCTCGACGTTTAAGGCTACAGCTTGGTCCAGAGCTATCGACGGATTCAACCATTTGGCGGTTAGACCAAGGGTTTGCGCCTCCTCTGCGCAATTGCAACCAGCACCATGAGCACCAGGCATTTTGTATGTAATAAAATGTGAATCTAGTAGGTACCGACCACCAGAACCAATTAGTAGCAATAATAGATACAAGAACGAGGAGGCGCAGATTTCATCAAAGAACCGAATGATTTTTTTTGAATTTGAATTTGGATCTTTTACTACCTTCAAGTAGACGTGATGGCATAGTCAGACCAAAAATACCTCCAATAATAGGACACAAGGATTACTATTAATTAGGAATTTAAAGGTCAGAGAAAATATCAAGGAGCCTCATTTCTGACCAACGAATAACGAGGACGAGAAAAAAATAATACAACTCGGTAGAAAAGAAGGACGACGTAGAACAGCTGAAGAAGAAGAGTACGGATGATCGTAGTGTACGGATGATCGTAGTGTTCGTGATCCTCAACATTATGATTCTTATGAGTAAGTATCGACAACATGATTATCATGGAGGTGATCACGGTGATGCATCTGCATCATGCAGCCGATTATAAATTACTTCTGTCGGCAATCGATCAGTGATTCTTAGAAGACTGCTGGAAAACAAGTCTATGTTCAACCTGGAAAGATGAGATGGGCGGTGAATCGTAACGATGTTGAGATGGATGTCCATGTGATGCGAAAAAATTATTGGTAGTGGAGATGGCGAACAAAAATGATGGAGATGGGTGAAGCCATATTGTGTACAGTGGATGCTGGAGGGAGCGGGTCGAGGAAGGGACATGAAATGTATGAAACTTTTTCAAGGGAACATCAAGAATGAGAAGGGCGACAGACAGCTATTGCTCTCGTCCATCTCACGCTCACCTCTAGTCGAAAGAAGATGAAGATATCCTTATTCTACTTCCCGAGTCTGAGCTGCGGCGCAAGACGCCTCAGATGGCGACCGGCAAGGCCAAGGGCAAGCATGTTTCAAGCTACTCATCCACGTTCAACGTTGAATAGCTTCTCTGTACTACACTTCAAGTTCACAGCCGACTCAGTAGCTAGCACAGGATCCGATGATCTGCCTGCTTATAGATGAATAAGTGTCTAAGTTGGTAGGTGGACCGATTCTAGGAACATCGCTCGTTCTCGTTTCCTTCTTGATCCGCGCTTCTGAACAAAGAAGGACACGATGTTGTTCTTAAGGCTAGAACTCCAGAGGTAAAACCTTGTTGCAGCGCTGTGCTGTATCTGTCTGCAGCTGCTTGATGTAGCCTCCATTCAATTCTTGAGGTCAAGGTCTTGATTGTGCTAATAAAAAAATCGTAGAACAAGTTCATCTCCTATTCTCCTCGCCCATTAATCGATCACACGTTCCATCAGGTGCTTAGACAGTAAGTCGGACAACAATGTATGTGTAAAAAGCAAGTGCTCCATTGAAATTGATGTCCTTAATATAATAAAGGCAAGTATTAAATAAGTGTCACATCATCAGGCATGTAGTAATGTGGAGTATGCGTGAAGATGGAGGCCCTGTCCAGCTCGACCAACACCTGCACTTATATGTGTAACTTTCTCCTGTACATCTTCATCAATGATGTCTAGTATATGTAGATTTAGACCATAAAAATCTGAGCACCTCCTGTATAATTTTCTGACAAATAAGTGTACGGCGATACTCTAGAAGAAGAGAACAACAACATACGCAATCTTCCTCAAGGTCAAGGTCAGGATGGATCACTTAGTGTTAGTCTTAAGAGACCGTCTTTTGGCGATTCTTGTTCCATAAAAAAGAAAGAATAGTTTAATTATTTATGAGGCAGCTCTACCTCTAGCACTACTTCTCTAGACAATTGATGAGTTGTTCACTCAGCTTGTTTAGGAGAAATGAATCCCGTTGAATAGGATAGGAGTTGATTCGCCGCCCACGCGGTAACCCGTGCCAGTCTTCTGAACGTTTTCTCTACTCGCCCGGGAGAGCAGCTGGTACGTCTTCTGTGCAGTAAAGTTTGAGCTTGTTCACCGCACGCGCGAATGCCTCGACGTGGGCCAGCTTTTTGAGGACGGTCGTGAGTTTATCGTGGAAATTCCTAAGAGTACCCATCATGCGCTCCTTCGGTTGCTTACCCTGCTTCAGTTCCTCCTGCACCTGCTCGTTGCTCATGGGAGCCCCCTGCTTACGCTCACGTGAGTAAAAGCGGAGAAGGAATTTCCATTCGAAATGCTCCCGCAGAGCTTCTTCGGCTCGGGCTCCTTCATTCTGTCGATGTCTATCCACTACAGATGAAGATGAAGGTACTACAGGTGAAGCAGCAGAACCAGAACCAGAAGAAGGCACATCAAGAACAGGTCCACCAGCATCAGCATGTATCACGGCGGTATTCAACAATGGGAGCAGTAGTTGGAAGTCGTCATCTCCTCCCGCGGCCGCGTTCTTCAAGAGGAACTTCGAGAGGTCCTCACTTCCATCTGCTTCCACTGCTGTCGCGAGCACGAGCAGCTGGCGACGAGAGTCGACGAGCTTTCTTACTTTCTCTGCCGCAAACGTCTTCATCATTTTCTGCCTACTTTCAGCATAGTGGAGAATGACTTCAAACCATTTGAAGATCTGTCCGAGTTCAAGCACGATCTCGCGAGAATCGAGTGCACGAGGCGAACCTGGCTTCTGAGGCTTTTTCTCTTTTTTACATAACTCACTCGCCAATCTGTATGACTTGCTGAAAAGGTCTTTGAGTAGGCGAACTTCGCGCACCGCGATTTTCATACTTTTACGGCTTGTGGCTGTGGCACGGGCTCGGGCAACATCTTCTAGATGCTGTTTGACGAGTTTTTCCGAATTTTCCTCAAGTTTCAAGCTGGACATTGCGACTCTGTTCGGGCCCCCGTCTCGAATGATTGTTGCACTGCACTTGTCTATCTGGACAGAGGGTCGGGCTCGGCGTTGTTGTTCTTTGATGGGTTCCTCGTCCGGCAGGTCTTTCATCGCGCGCTTCATGTGATTGGCGTGCTCTCTCAGATACTCGGTAGCGCGCTCCAATTCCAAGTCCACGGAGTGGTCTGGGCTTCCGGGAGTGTGAAGTTCTACCACTGCGCCGAACGACTTCCCAAAGAACTGTCCAGCTGCCTCCTCCACATTTTTCAAACCCTTCATCGCGGATGACTCCTGGGCATAGCTGTCCGAAATCATATCCATGAGGCCTTGAGGTTTGGATGAAAGGAGTATGTAGTGCACCAATTGGAGTAGCGTCACACCACCCACTTCTTCCACTTTTACCCATGCAGCGGCATTGATGTCACTGGTGGTTTTAATCCGCAGGAGCTCGTCCCTCTTCTTCGCAACTTGAACTTCTTCAACTCTTGCCTTCTTTATTGAAGCATCTAGGAGTGACATGCCAACGTGCTCGCTCATGAAAGCAAGGGCTGCTTCATAGGAGGGCAACCGCTCCGCCGCAGAGTCTTGAATGAAAGACGCAGATAGAGCACTCAACTGGCTAACGCACACCCGACCCTTTTCACCCGTCTGCACCAACCCCAATCGCGCCAGGAGTATTTTCTCGGCCGTTGTGGCGTCAACTACATCCTTTTTGTCCTCACGACTTTCGCCCACACCTGACGCTGAACTAGTAGGCGTATGTAGAGTACTACTAGCCACACCTGTACTAGGATTCAGTAGGGTTCGCTCTTCGGCTCGCGCCAATTTGATGGCCTGCTCCAGTGCTTCACTGTCCAGTTTCTCCCGCTCCACTTCTGCATTTTTCATTTCCTGCAACATCGCTTCAGCCCGCTTCCTGCGCTCCTGCGCAAGTGTTTGATGAAGCCTCTCTGCCCTCTGGTCTGCCAGAAAAGCCTCCTCATCAGAAGATGAGCCTGCTCCTGGCTCGTCGACGATTTGATGTTGTTTCTCTGTTTGTTCATCCTCACTCGTCAGAGGAAGAAATCCGCAAGGTTGTTGCCCCCTTTGATGTTTGGGAGCAGGTAAAACAGGTTCCTTCTTCACATCCTTTCTTGAAGATCTTTGTTCTTTCTCTTTCGCGCGTCCGAAGTGGTCATCGTACATTTTCAGCGTGGGCAAGACTCTGCTTTCCAAGAGGTCGATGAATTTGCCGTCTACCTTCCAGTGATTTTGCTGATCTTGAGCTGTTTTCGACGTAAGGTGCTGTAAGATGGAAGCGCATGCCGTGTTTTGGAGCAGCTCCTGCCGAGCTACGAAACACTCCTTCGCGCGGCGCAACAATGAGACTTCTTTCGCATCTATTTTTGCTTCCTTCTTGTTGTGCGCGAGCTCATGTGAAGAAAGCTGCTTCTCCACGCTGGAACAGACTTCCTTTACTGCATTTATTTTCTCCGCTACAGTCGGATCCTTCCCCTTGCTCGTAACATGTGCGCCCTGGTGCTGTTCCTTTTTCATCGGGATGTAGGGAGCCACAAGAATGTCGAAGCTACCTGCCTTATCATGACAGTGGCTCTGCACAGCCAAACTGGCATCGAGGCAACGGATCACCGTTCTCTTCCACTCTGGCAAACCAAAACCATGCACGTGGACGAAACCCGAAATAACACTCCACCGCCGGAAATTGTTGAAGAAAAACCTCATGATTTCAACCCTGATCTTTGATGTTAATGTAGAAATGCGAAGTAAGTGAGTGTGCTTGTTGTAGTATGACGGAGAACGACAATAGAAAAAGAAGACTACCTTATTAATAGATGTAAAAAGTGTAAAAAGGGCTTTCAAGTGGAGAAGTTTTATGTTGCAATCATCTTGAATGAGCTCACTATTTTTCTAAAAATAGCTGCTACTGTCTACTTTTATGCCTTCGATTGAACGCGAATGATAGCAAGTAGGAGGGGATGGAAAACTTAACAAGGAAGAAAAATATAAAACTAAATCGTTAGCTAGTAGAAGTAGTGTAGTTTTTCTTTTGTAATTGTAGGAGCTTCCAAAACCAATTATGTAGTTTTCAAGTGCTAGGTGGTACTACTTTTCTGCGAAAAAACCCACGGGGAGAAAAAATTCGAAAAAAGGGTGGTATGTTGTTAGATGTCTTTTTAAAATTCACGTCGGAGAAAAAAATCGAAAAAAGGGTGGTATGTTGTTAGTGTTAGATGTCTTTTTAAAATTCAGGTCGGAGAAAAAATTCAAAAAAGGGTCGTGGTATATTGTTAGTGTTAGTTGTCTTTTTAAAATTCCCGGGGGAGAAAAAATTCAAAAAAAAGGGTGGTATGTTGTTAGATGTCTGTCTCTTTAAGATATGCAAATTCTTCCCTTGTTGTAACAGTTTTCGTCGTGGACTAAACTTTGGATCTTCTTCTACTTTATCTCATTTTAGTTTTTCATTTATTGTAAAAGAACTTGTCGATGATCATGCGACGTTAACTGCTTACAGTTTGGATCCTTATAAATTTTTTGGGGAAGGAGCTCTCTTTGTCTTTTGTTACCCGAACTACAGGCATCAGGATCATACTGCTGTACAAGAAGATCCAGATGAAAGGAAAATTTCTATGGCACACTGCTTCAACAAGAAGATTTTTTCACTTTCAGAGACAGCTACTATCTTCCTCTTCCCAGCCGGACTCAATGCTCGTACTTCTTTAGTCGCGTTGCGGTGAACTTGAAAGCACGTCTTGAAGGAGAGGGAGGGGTAAAATAACATGGAGGTCTGCGGGAACAGGCAAAAAAAAAAACTTGCATGTAGTGCTGCAAGAGTACGTGTTGTGATCGCGTATGAAAAGATTCATACATTTACATTGTTGAATGATAACTCTAATAAAGTAGTTTTTGAGCTTCAACAATTTCACTCGTTGCGTTTCTGCATGATACATCCTAGCAAGATCACCTTCAATGAAATCGTTTGCTGTTTCCCATTTCGCTTGCAGATGTAGTTTCCCATGTCTGCGGTTATACTTCATCGCTTGCTGTTTCCCATTTTACTATTGATGGTTCGAATTGTCATTACAGCGATGAACGCTCCAGCAGCGTAATTGAGGAAGCTCGAAGACGCAGTGTCGACCGAACAAAAATCAAATTAGAAGAAGTAGTACCATAATCAGATATTGAAGATGATCTAGAAGTGCTGTCATGATTACCGATGAGACACGCGCCGAGTCTAATGATGTACATGCCTAGAATTATCATGAATATTTTTCAGAGATGGCAAAATGATCGCAGCTATTTCTATTATACGTACCTACTTCTACTTATGAGATAAATAATTATCAGATTCAGTAGGAGTAGCCTTAAGCGGAAGCAAGGAAAGCAGCTCCGTCGTCTCCCACCCACGCATTGACATCAGGATGGATCTGCAATAAACTTGCTGGAGGATCAGAAGAACTGGAAGAAGGATCAGAAGAACTGGAAGAATTAGAGCTCTACCTTCATGATCAACACTATCTCCAATGGACTTGCTGGAGGATGGCCATGAATCGATTTTCATACGAACTTGAAAAAAATAAATAGACTGAAGAACTCGTCCATCGTCGAAACATCATTCAGTGCAGCCATAAAGGAAGAATCTGAAGTTTCAAAAGTCGCGTCTCCGGTGCGCGTAGCTCCGGTGGAAAGCTGAGCCTGAGTCTGAGAAGCTCCGACTTCGAATACAGCATGACCTCCCGATGTAGTATCTATTGGCCGGCACAAGAGTCGGCGACCGAAATACCACGCACCGAGAAGGAACAGGACAAGGTAAGGGATCACGGAAATTAGAGGATGCACGCAAGGGTGCTAAGGCCAGTACGCTTTTTTAACAAATTTAAGTAGATCTGACGCCTTAGAAGAACAAGAAGATAGATTCTGATGCCTTAGAAGAACAAGAAGGAAGGTTTTTTAAAAAATTTTATATAAAGATCATCTTTAAGTACTTAGCATTACTCGAAACTTTCGGAAAGTCGAGTTGTCGAGAAACTCGACTAGATGCTAGGTCAATTTTCAATTTTTCCTTTTAGACAAGTAGCGCTCCTACGTGGATCACGTTGAGGATGTTCTGACGCCTTAGAGGAACAAGAAGATAGATAACCGTTCTTCATCTCCATGACTCTCTCACAGTGGTCAACTTTGACCCTAGTGATGGACCCAAGATAGCAGCAACCATACTCATCAGCACAGGACTTGCTAATTGAAAGTTTGTTTGTAAACGTGACTGTTTGTAAATTCGACGTACTAAAAACTCCTATCTAGATCCACAAGTCACCTCCATAACTTCAAGAGCAACTGTCTGTCTGAGAAAACTTGGCGAGCGATCCACATAGGCGTAAACCTTGTCGGATCGTCAGGTGAATTATGCTGAAAAATCTGGATACGACGTTTGCGGTACAAAGCTGTAATCTGGTTGTCGACTGGAGCATTAGAAGAGGACGTGGAGGAAAAAAGTAGTACCTACTGTTATCAGACAGAGACTCACAAAAAGAGATAACAATAAAAACTGTCTCTAGAAGATCGGATGTATGACAGTTGTGCCTTAATAATCGCAGTGCTTGAAACGAAATCGGTACCACAGAAAACATGCCAGCTAAGAGAAGCCGATGGGAGCGAGGGCTTCAGCTCGTGGTCTTCGTTCTCCTTGATGTGGGCTGCTTCTACTGGTGTGGCCTTTTCTTTTCCACCTGCTGCTCCGTCTTGTTTTTCTTCATCTAGTTGGTCAATAACAAGTTCCTTGCTGAGGTGGTAACGTAGAGAGCGCGCGTAAACAGCCGGATCGTCATTGTGAAAAGCGACTGCTTCTGTCAGGGCTCTAATTGCCGGCTCAAATCGGTCCCGACTGCGTGCATAATCGATAATTTGTTTCGAGGACTTTTTCTTCTTCATTTGATCTACGTCTACGCTGTCGTTCTCTTCCGCCTCTTCCTTCTCGGATGTCGTGGAAGCAGTCTTGCTGTTGCTTTTTTTACCGTTATCCTAGAGGTTACGGAATTACATTCGTCCGAACTACATCCCATGTCTCTTTTCTTCTAGGAAAAGAGTCAAGGATGAAGGTGCAGGATGTAATTCGGAAACCCCTAGTTATCGGCACTACGAGCTCCTGTTGATGTTTTAGTACTCTGTTGCTTCCATTCCTCAGCACAGTAGCCGTACCAATCGACTACGCGAAGCTTATTACTAGTACTCGAAGATGAAGTTGTAGTTCTTGAAGATGCTTGTCCAACATGATTTATTTTTGTTGTGCTAGATTTAATATTGTCTTTATTGTTATTGTTCTCTTTCAACATGATCTTGCTGTCATCTAGTGGCTGCTGCTTCTCTTTCACTTCTGGAGGCTTCATGATTAAGAGTCGATTATTATGCAAAGCCATGCTTTTCGGGCTGGATTTGTACACTAGCACTCGCACTTCTTTCCCTATTCCGAAGAATCCTGCAGAACCTTTTCGGTACCGGATCGCAAAACCCATATCACGCCCAAACAAGACGTGCCAGCCGCCTCCATAGCGACTATCCAGAACATGCCGTATCCAGTCGACGTACAGCTGTTGCGTTGCCCTTGATCTTAGACGCTTGATGTAACTTGTGCGATCGAAGTTCTTGTTTTTGGTGTGGTCTTTGGAAGTGGTAGAGGACGTTGTATTAAAGATGGAGTCTGTACTAGAACAGCTGGTCGTCGTCGTGGTGCCCAAGAGTGACGCGACAAGATCGTTCTTGTCTTCTCTTAGAGCTGTCCGTAATTCATCTTTCAAGTGCATGATCCGTGAAAAGTCTGGGGGAGTACTCCCTTAGGATCGAAACTCCTCCATAACAAACTGTTTCAAGGATCGTGCGCCCAAAGATGTATTAGGTACAGCCGTAATTCTCCATGTGCGCCTGTCGGTCCAGTACTTTCGTCTAGTTCCCCAGACTCCTTCTTCTCCAGCGCTTGTTGCTGGTCCAGTTCCTCACGCTTTAGCTTCAGTGCGTCTTCGCCGTTGATAAATACCTTTTCATAGAGAATTTCGATGACGTCGCGGACAAAAGCACGGCTATTCGCGGTCAAGTCCGTGTGCGGCTTCGCAACCACAGGTGGAACCAGTGAGTTACAGGGAGAGGAGGTTCTTGAGGGTGCAGCACCTTGTCTGGCGGAAGGCATCTTGTTCCTGATCGATGTGGCGCTTTTATTGCGTAGTCTAGCAAAGAAGAAGCATCAACTTCTAGCAAAACTACATGAAGAACTAGCAATACAACATGATTGCAAATTTAAGATCCCATAAGCGAAACCGATTGGTGAACCACAATCAATTATTTGAGGAAAAAAATAATTAATCGGAATCGCTGCATAAAATCAAAAGATGAACAAGCACGGGATAAGCGTCAGACTCACGATCAGGAGTATACAACGGAAATGAACGCCTGCGTCGACGTGACACATCTACACCTACACCGTTCACCTTTTTTCCTAGTACTTGAGTCGACAAGTAGTCCACCAGCATTTATCTACGTGGCTTGTATGATCAGGGTCGTGATCAAACGGTGATCAAAAGCAGCCACAGTTGAAGACTACAGACAGAAGAATACTTTTTGTCCATTGCAGTTGCACGAACTTTGCTGATCTTGATCCGATCAAGATCAATCACTTCTGAAGGTAGAGTCCCGATAGCACAATCGTCGCAAATTCTGCAAATTCGAGATACCCACATTTAGATGTTGGAAAGGGTAATCTTATTAGTTCAGGCCTTTGGAGAGAGTGGTAAGATAGCCATAACACTCTTGTTGACGCAAATATAGTAAATTCGCATTACCCGCCCCTACCCCCTGTTGGGGAAGGTACTCATTTTGTTAGTTTAGGCGTCTGGATTAGTGGCCAGCAGCCTGAACATCATCGACTTGAACACTCAACATTGCCGGTTACTTATTTGTGCACAGCAATAACACTTCTAATCTTCAGATTGAGAAACATCTTCAGATAGAGAAACTTGTACAATGCCGGAGATCTTTGTTGACCGCATCACTGGAGCAAGCAGTTCGAAGGGCAGCAGTCTCATCATGAGATAGAGCTATTCTTCATGTCATTTAATATCAGATGGAAGAAGTGAAGATCAGCAATATCACGGTTCTCACTGTGACCACGATCATCCTTTGATTTGATTTTCATTTTTAGGATAGCCAGGGCCAGGAGGGAGCTGCAAATCTATCAACTAGATAAAAAGTAGTAATCTTCAACCTTAAAAAAACTCGAGAAAATCGACTATAATAATGAGTGACTACCTTCAGATTCAGATACACATTTTTTTTCTAGCTCTAGAAAGTGTAATTCATAATTCTGCTGAAGTTTTAAACAATGAGAAATTTCTTTCCTTTCATTCAAGGGTATGAAGAGGAATGCTGTATCAAAATGGAGATCCACTTCCACATTCTGCAAATAACCACCTTAACCATCATGCATGATAGATTGAAACGAAAGATAGTTCCTTTGATGAAGGGGGAAATGAAATTGAAGTAGACAACATTTGAGTTCGAGTATCTGAGGCTGGCCCTTGCTGGCTGCCAGATGATAAAAATTTCAACAAACCTCGTTCTAGTATGCTGTAGTTTCTTGAAACAAAAAAGTTCAATGTGAGTCCGCTAGTGTCGTGCTGTGTCGTGTTGTGGTCAAGCAGTGGCGTCAAAAATCAGCAGGGACCTACGGTGACTTTGTGCAATCTGTACAAAACAAGTAGATCGCTAGCTATCCAGGGACCTACTGTGACTTTGTGCAATGCTAGCTATCCAGCTTCGGGCAACAAGTAGATGATCTCCATGCATTTATTTTGACGTGCACGCCCTAACGCTCAATCTCTCCATGCAGGTTCTTGTATAAGATAGCCTATTCCACCTCCTGTGCAAGCACACGCGGAGAGGACGTCATACATTCATTCTATTTCGATATTGAAGAGAGTTCTGTGCAACCGCGGCATGCATGTGGGGATAGCGAAAAAATAAAAATCTTTCTACCGATGAATGAAAAGATGGCCACCTATTAACGACCAAGAACTTCATCAAAAAATCAAGAACAAATACAAAAGCCAATGTTTGAAGAAGAACCGAGTAACGCTAGGCTACTTAGAACAGGTACGTGGAGGAAAATACCTCTTCTAAATAGTGAGAAAACAAAGAGCTATCAAAGTTCTCCAGTCTAAACAAGTTCAAGTGACATTAAATCATGTTCGTACTATGAAGTGTAACTGCAGCACTACCAATATCAAGTAGCAGGAGCTGCACCAGCAAACAGCAAGTTCATTAAATCATTATATTTGATTTTGAGTTATTTACGACCTTATGATGCCATCTTATTCCCTAAGTTAGAAGATAAGAACAATAGCAATACTCGCCGGCGTACGCGTAAATGATATTTATATGGCACTCGCACATTTGTCGGTCTGAGTGATCATTTTTACTGCGCTTCTGACGTGGATGACGGCGTCGGGTGGACGAGTCCTTAATTTTTCATTCAATGCAAAAATTATGGTAATGGACAAAGTTCAAGAGAAGTTCAAATTCATAAATCAAAGAGCAGCAAAACAAGCACAATCTATTTCCATCCCTAAGGCTATTAAGTATGATCTTCTACTTCTAGAGGATAGTAGGTAATTCAGTAGCTAGTGAAAAAGAGGTCGTAGATGCAAGTAGAACGCTCTTCGCACATCCGTTCTAGATGCAGCGCTCTTCACGCATTCGCTCCAAGTGCTTCACGTATTCTTCCCGGATGCAGGTGCGGGGATGCTGGCGTTTCACGAATGCATAAGCTGTTTCGTAGGAGACACCCGATACGAACATGAGATACGCTATGATAAGACAGGGAGACATGGATCGGCCGTCTGTGCAGTGCAACAGCACCTTCTGCCGCGTCACCTCTGCATCAGGGTTGTAGCTGCCGTAGATCTGGCGTGAGGAGGAGGAATTCATAGAAAAATAGTGGGAGTCAGATTGAAGAAGATACGAAAGATCAAAGAGTGGTCCAGCATTGATTTTGTTGTTGAGCTGTGAGAGAGTTCTTGCAGCTCTACTTGCAACGAGGAACATGATTAAGATTAAATAGACAAAAACTACATCATCAAATCAAATGCACAACTACATTCACAACAAGAAGTACCTGCCACAACGCGTGTCTCAATACTGCTGCTCCTTCTTGCACCAGGTCAAATTTGATGGGATGACAGGCCTCCAGGAACCGTTCCATGACTACTCGTTGCTGCGCATCCAGATCCAGGACTTCGAACAAGGTTAAGGGATGTTCGCTTTCCCGACAATCGAAGTTTCAGCATTAGAAAAGGTCGTGGGAACGAAAATAAGTAGACCTATAATAGATATCCATACGTAGTGAACTCTTCTAAATGAGAAGGCGCGACAGTATTATTCCTGTATTGGAGCATTGTTGGATTTTCGGGTAAAAGATGGGAATGCGAATAACTGTAGAATACATCAATACAATTAATCTCGCACAAAATTCAGTTTCAGTGCAGTAGTAGTAGTGACTTGATGTTCCAGTATTAACATGCCATTTAGGTGGAAAGAGATGAAGAAACGCAAGTAGAGTCGTGTTCTTATTTGTTAAATGCCATAATGTCGACTACTTTTTTCCAAGCAAGTATAGAAGTCGCGAAGCAATCCGCTGTTTAAAGCGTCATAGCCAGGAGCTCTCTCAGGTAGATCCGGAACATGTACGTCAGCTAAGAAGTTCTTCTTTGTGTTGTTACCCTTTCCAGTCAGAGAAGCTCGTCTGTTACTAGGATCCTTACTGGAACAAGAAGAGGACGAAGCAGACGACGACGTGAAACTTCCATTAGCAGCATCTTCTTCTTCACATCGTCCACTTGTTATTGCTAGTAAAGTTCTTCCTGCCTCTAGTACTCCATGCTGCTTCTTGCTGTCCTCCACCGCTTCCAGGAGTCCGCCATGTGACGCTATTGATTAGAGGTAGGTTTTTGGTGCTCGCTTACCCCGCTTTTTATGCCTTTCTCCCTTAGGAGAGGCATAAAAAGCGGTAAGAAAAGCACCTTTAACCTACCCTTAAATTGAGGACAAGAAGTCTACTGACGAGACCTCAGCCATTGTTTCGTCCTGCTCCTGCTGAATTTTTAGGTGTGATCCTTCTCCTCGCTGTTCACTAGAAGATGATATGACAGCCTGCTCTCCTCCAGATGATCCTGAGGCACCGCCCACCTGCTGTATCTGGTCTTCAACAGCCGCCAACATATTTTCCATGTTGCTATCTTTTACTGGGTCTTGGCCACCAGTATCTAGGTAGCTCGCAATCCAATCGTCTAGCCAGTTAGTGTCATCCACTTCTATTGGCTGCGCTTTTTTCAGCATCTTCTCCTCGCCTACTGGGATGAACCTGGAATATAGGGATGGTTTTGATGGCGAGCATAGGAGGTTCGACTTCGGAGAAGAAATCGTAAGTGCCTAATTAAAAAGTACTTACAATATAATAACAACATGAAGCAGCAGCAGTGGAATTCGGGTTCTGGGTCATCTTTTTTTTTTTTGGGTTTGCAAACCTCCATCTAAAATCGCAAAGTAAAATCGCAAACTATGCAAAATTACCCTGCCTCCGCGCGAAGTTGGAAGAAGTCGCGGTCAATTCGATTCTTCTGAAAGGCAGAAGTAAGTGTATCGAGTTTCAGAGAACCTATGACGTTTGCGGCATGCTGCACTTTGGCAGTTTGGAGAATCTTCGGTCGTTTTGCATCTGGCTCTATGGCATCCGGAGCACGGTGACGCGTCCTTTAGAAGGAAAACTTGGGACAGAGAGAGAGGCAGAGCCTTTGGATGCGTTGAAAGGTCGTGATAGCCAACTCTGAATTTGAAAATCACAATGAGTGAAAGTGAGTGGGGATGTAGTGTCCAAGTCCATGCCAATCATTCATTCATTTACCTAGCACGAGGTACAAGTTCATCAAGTAGACTTAATTAGCGTCTCTTCATCTAGTTCTAAATACAACTTGTGGTTCTTGTGCTATAGCTATTATAGCCCTGCCATAATTATTCGACCTCCCGTCGTGATAGTCGTTGAATTTGCCTCCTTTTCCTCCGTCCATCGGACTTGACCGATCTGCATGATGGTCTTTACCAGAGGAACTCGACGACGTGCCGCCGCCGGTATTGAACGCTGCATATAGGTTTGCTTTTTTCTTGACGACCTGCTTAGAAGCAGGTGCTTCTTTTTCTTCCTTTTGCTCTTTCTCTGTCACGCTCATAGTTGTGACGTCAATAAAAGATGCGGAAGATGATGTCATGCCATCTGTCGTTGCTCCTGAAGAAAGCTCTTCTTGCGGAAGATGTGATGTTCTTCCTGCTTCATTACTTGCACTCATTCCATGTTGAGGTCCTGGAGGACCAAGAGGTAGACCTGGTGCTGCGTTTTTACCGCCTCCTGGTGGGGGAAAAGCACCAGGAGGAAAACCTCCCTTCATTTGAGGGGTAAAAGGAGGAAAAGCAGCAGGAGGAAAATGAACTCCAGGTCCAGGAGGTCCAAACGGTGGATAGTTCGTCCCCCCTTGATGAAAAGGTGGTGGTGGTGGTGCGAAAGGGTTAGCAGGATGGTGCATCATATTTATTTTACCTCCAAAGTGTGGAGCAGGATGCGGTGCTGGCGCGCCTTTCATGCCGGGGCCACCCATAGGTGGGGGAGGCATCGGCATCATTCCATTAGGAAGAAACAAACCCTGGTGCATTCCTGGTGGCTGCATTCCTGGTACTGTTCCAGGTGCCCCTGGTGGACAAGGAGCTCCATTTGGTACTACTGCTGCAGCTCCTCCGAGACCGAGGTGTTGACCTGGTGCGCCAGAAGCTCCGCCCTCTCCATCACCGCCACCAGAAGGAGCAGAACCTGCTCCGGTACAACTAGGTACTCCCCAAAAACTGTCTATTTCCATACCAGCACCGTTGCCTCCGGCAGCAGCATCTCCACCTCCTACGTCACCTAGACCTAACAACGCCGCTTGCTCTTCGGCCGCTTGCTCTTGTAACAGCTTTTGCTCCTCGATCTCAAGTTTGGGCAAGTCCTCCTTCACTCGTTTCGCTGCTTCGAGCAAAATATCCAAGACCGGTTTCACTTTCGTGCTCAAGAACGACTGCTGCAGATGGATTGACGCTTCCGTATGCAACTCCTGAAAGTCGCGGCGAGCTAGACTGTGACTATTCAGAGCATTCAGATCCAAGCACATCCATTTGAGACCTTCGAAAATGCGCTCTCGGAACCGCTCATAGGGAAAATCGCTTGAGTCTTCGACTTCCACAGAATAGTGAAAAGCAGGGCCCTTATTCGTCTCCTGCATCGCCTCGTTCACAACTTCCGCATCGAGGAGAGGCTGGATCTGTGGATGGCCACCAAGTATTACGAAAAATCAAGCACTAAACAAGGAAAAGAAATAGTATAATCACATCTAAATTTAAACTAGATCATCAAGAAGGGCAAGGGTTACGAGCAGTGGCGACCTCAAGAGAAGTTGTAGTACATTATTCTTCCACATTTCCGTGAATCCACTTTCTGCTGCTGCTGATGTACCCAGTTTCGTCCAACGCATTACGCTCACGACGTTTGACACCGCTAAGGTACTAAGGATGCGACTGTCGAAGGAGGAAACCCCACCAACAAAGATATCAGGTAGCACAGCCGTCGGAAAGGCTAGCATATAGCGCGTGCTCAAGTCGAGTGGCGTATGGCGTTTTCGGGAACTGATGTAGTTTTCTTAGAGAGGAAACACATAAAGACACGCATTTTGTAGCTTGCATAAGGAACTGATCTTGGAGTTGTCATTGATGCTAATTTGCCCTTAATCAAACTGAAACAGAAGAAGTTGAAGATATTTATAGGACCGCTAGAGGAAAACTCACGATGATGTTAAGGTTAAGGTTGAAGGTCCACTGCTTCGCGGCCAAGCCGAACCTGATGGGACGAATTGGGTTCGAGTAGAACCGTATAAACCGATGTGTCAGGCATGAGTAAAAATATGATAAATCACACGGCGTAATATTCCCTTCTCGCTGGATCAATTTCTGGTGGCGGCTTCCGAATGAGATTGCGCGTGCCTTGAAATTCATCTACCAAAACCAACCGGCCAAGATGGTCCACGTATTCTGTATCCTCGTTTGCGACGAAAGCGTCGATATCCTTCTTCCCCTCAAGATCCACGAAAAACAGCGTGCTTGGCAGAACGTGGTGATACGGGATACGCAAAGAAAATTCCTCACGTAGCATTCTATGGTTCTCCGCCTCCGTATTGGGGTTAATAACGCTAGAATCCACAAAAGTCATCAATTCGTCCAGGTGTGTGGCCTCTTCATCCGAGGAGGCTGCTCGGCTGCCGGGTATTAGAGCAAGAAACTGAAGAGAGTGAAAGAAAACGGTTCTTTTAGTTCTAGTACTCACGCTTTTAGTACCCTGCGAAAATGCGGACGCATTTCTTCGAAGTTAGCAAGGAAGGAACAGTCGCGAGCATTCTGTATGCTTCCGGTATTTGGTATAGCCTGAATTTGACCATAAGGAAAAATACGAAGAGAACCCTTGTGATCAAATTGAGGTTACCAAATACCTGAACCATTCCCATTCGCACGATTCTGGTCCAAATTAATAGCATCTGTGTTCATAAGAAACCATCATCCGCTGACGGGAGGCCAAGGTGCTTTACCCCGCCAGATCCTCTGGAACTTTGCATGCTCAGATCGCTACAAGGGCTGCCGGCAAAGGTCGAACTACTATTAGTACTTTTTGATGTCGTTTTTTCAGTGTCGTTGTTTTTACTGCTTGGATTGCTGCTCCTTCCCGATTCTATTGGTGCTAGGCAATAGGTACCAGCAGAGGATGAGCATGAACCACCACCGTTTGATGAAGAACAGGATGTTGAAGATCCTTGTTCAACTTTCGACGAAGTTGTAGTGAGTTCTTGCGCTAGTTTGAAACTTTCTAGCAGGTCCTCTGCACTGCCCAATCCTAATTCGCAGTTGAAGAGGTCTAGAACCTGAGCATGGACGTTACCCACTTCCATTTGCTGCATATTCTTCTCGTTGCAAACCTCCTCCTGTTGCTTGCTCATATTACTAGATGAACTGTTGTCATAACCGGTTCCACTACAAGTCGTAGATGAAGTAGAAGAAGAAATAGCATGCCCTGCAGCACCTGATTGGACGTCATGCTGGTCGTTACTAGAAGATGCTGAAGCAGACACTTGTTGATGTCCACCTCCTGGTCCTGCTCCACCTCCCGATCCTGCTCCCTTCCCTACTGCGGCAACGTTAGCACCCATCGTAGGAGGTACTTGAGGCGTTGCTAACATCACGCTTTGCTTTGAGAAAAGAACAGGATAGAGGTCGCCTGGACCACAGACGCTAGCATTACCGCTTCTCAATGTGGTTGAATGGTTCTGGTATTTGGGAACCTGAGTTTGATCCTAAGGGAAAACAAGAAGAGAACCCTTAGGATCAAATTCAGGTTACCAAATACCAGAGCCATACAGTGGTAATGAGATCAACGTCAGCTTGGTTACAACTAGATGAACAAGAAGTGACACCAGTTGTTCTGTTGTCCTCGTCATCAAGTCCACCTCCTTGCTGGTGATCTGTGATCGCCAAAACAGTTGTTTTTGCACCAGCAGCACTAGCTCCGAACAGATGCTGATATCCAGATGCCAATGCTCCCTCAATGTTAGTACACAGAGCATCTTCTCGTCCACATTCAAAGGCATGATCGTTATTCTTCTTCCCGCCTACATTCAAAGGCACTAATGTGCATCCACCTCCCTTCGCATAGTCCCTGGCCACTAGGACTTGAAAATCTCGACCAACCAAGGTGCTCTGGATACCTGCACGTAATCTTTGGATGGAAGAGAAGGCAGAACAGTAGCTCATCAATCGTCCGAGACCTGCTTCGTGGCAGTTGACAGTGGGCATCTGGTGGAAATAGCGAAATCTCTGCGTCTCCTCAAACTCCTCGCTGAAGCTTTGAGAAAAATGCTCTTGCACGCGAAGGGATTAGAATAATGTTGACACCGTTCGCGTCGTACTTGCCTACCGAAGTAAGGAAGAGAGTAACAAGAGAACAAGGTCTTCTAACTTTTTAGGACATCATCATACTACCTTCCTTGTTGCCTGTTCATGTTCTGATTACTGCATCTGCAGATGGGAGAGAAAAAATGCGAGTGCAACAGATTATAATACGCGACGACGACTGAGCTTGCCATAAACAAACGAAAAATTTGACAACAGCCGCGATCGCAATTTCCGCGGTCCAATGTTGCCTCCGTAGAGCTCTTTCCGTCTTTCACCCGATATCTGTTGATAGTATGCCGTCTTTTCAGAAGCAATACGATCAAGAAACTGCCATAAGCGTGTTGGTAGCAGACCTGGGGGTAGGATCAGAGCATGATGTTCATGCAGCACTCTTCTCGTGATGTGTTTGTAGCTTTACAATATCAAGAAAATGTTCATCATTTTTGGTGTCATTCATGCTCATGAAGGAACAGCTCTAACACTTCTCTTTAATGAGTACCTTTGTAATCTGGTCTCGTTTGTCTCGGCGACGGAACTGAGTCCGCATCTTGGTCGTTATTCTGCACAACACCAGCAGTGCTACGTCCAGCCAAAGCCAGCGGATCTACGCCACAGTCGTCATCGTAGTCATCTACTCTTGACGTCGCTCTGGGTGCTTGTCTCACCACGAAAATTACTTGATGCTCTTGCGCAATATGGTCTAGGAACCGGTCTCGAAAGCACGTGATATGTGTTAAAGGTCGACACTCATTGGTCACTGATTCTGAACTACTGCACCTCTCTACTTGTTTTCCCTAAGAAGTACTTACTCCCCTGTTCTCTCAGGGGGTCTCCTCTTCGGTGTCAGAAACCCCGATGAAAGAATCTAAGTGGTGACCAATGAAAAGTGAGCCTTAAATGTGGCTTTTTCAGTTCCTTCGAAATTAAATCTTGACTCGCTTTTATCGGACACGACTGGAGTAGAAAATTGGGAGAGCCCGTTCCGGAGTAGTTCTTCGTCTTCCCAGAGGCAGAGCATGTGCCGCTAGAAGTACTAGTAGTAGTACCACAAATGGCTGCATCGGCAAACGCTAGCAGAGAGGCGGATGAGTCTCCTCCTGGCAGCTGCTCATCGTAGTTCACAAAACCGAGGAGGTTAGAGAATGCGAGTGGCGCCGTGTGGTATTAAGCAACTGGTGGCAGTCCTAGCACAGCGGCGTTTTTAGCTGTGTTTTCGACGACTTGTTATAACCGAAAACTTGTTTCAGTTTGAACAAAAGAAAAACAAAAACACCAATGAAGTCCAAGTCACCCTCACCCGTCCATAAGTAATTGTTCTAGCTCATCGCCAAGGTTGTTCTGTGCTGCCTCCATTTTGATGATATTGGCGTCCGGGAACTTCTTCTGTGCTGCTTTCTTTGGAACAGCGCTGCTAGCGAGTTTTTTTGAAGACGAGGCGGAGAAGGTTAGAGGTTACGGAATTATGCGATGGAATATTCAGTAAATCTAATTATATAAATATGTATAGTACTAACACTAGTAAGTAGAAGATGAATTTATTACTGTTGAGTATCTATTTTTACCTTTACAACCTCCTGCTGCTTGTTTCAAGAACTTCTCAAGGACGAAGAAGAAGAAAGCAAACTCGAAGTCCAACTTTTTGTGACCCAAATGCAACATAATGTTCCACTCGATGCTGCTTTCTTCGATTTGCTCTTCTCCACTCCACTAGCACTTGATTTCGAACTCGATTTACTCACTGCACTGGACTTCGTACTAGTACCAGATTTCAGCTTTGTGTTCTTGTCCGCAGCTCTTTGAGTCCTGTCTCGCGTAATAGCAGCCATCCATCTTGCGACAGAGGGTTCAGCTGCCGAACCCACATCCACGATCACTGGTGGGTCTTCGGGAACGGGATGGAAGGATTAGAGAATGATTTCGCATGACTATGCCAATGACACGTTATTACTTACTAGTTGTGGTTGAGATTGCATTTAAAACGGTAGTTCTAAAATAAACTACTTCGGAAATTTTGCTCTTCCTGATACATAGATGTCCTAGATGTTCCTGTTCCATAAGATGCATAAGAATGCTTGTAAAAATTCTTGGATCGCTTCCCGTGAGACGCTGAGCCCCTAGCTTCAGCGAAAAGAGGATTCCCATCCAAATCCCTAGGCATCAACATCCCCTGTGGCGGACTTGTGAGCCCTAGAGAGCTCTGCATGGAATTGAAGACTTTGTCTGCTACAGAGGTAGTTTTCTTGGATGGAGGGATGATATTACTGTGCTCCAGCTCCTCCATGCAGCTCGACGCGGTGCTCTTGCTCACTTCGACCATAGGAAGGTCGAGGACGCCTAATGCATCGAAAAACTCATCGCGAAAAATGCGGTCTCCACACAACTGCAAGACGCCTGACGTACAACGAATTCGCAGATTATTCCATCTTCTTCTGGTTTCGACAGCCTCGTCACAATCGAGTGAGGTTAAAAGGGCGGTTAGTTCATCGGAGTGGCTGCTTTTACCTGTTGATCTTGTGATTGTAAGTAAGCGTCAATTGTGGACGTGGCGTGGAGTTGAAATTTATGTAGTCGTGGTGCACAAACGTAAGGGAGTAAAAACGTAGATGTAGTAGACTCGATAAGGAAAGGTATCTTACTCGTCCCCACATCGTGTCCTAGCATGTAATCCACTGCTTTGATAGCTGCCTCGAGCCCGCCCATATGCCCAGCATTTCCGCCCTTGTCTTTGGCTCCACGACCTGTCTTTCCACGACCTTTGCCATGATCGCTGATGTTAGAGAGCGGACAGTTCAAAAAACAGTAGCGAGAATCTAGTTCTAGCGTGTTTTTTAGAATGAAAGACGCACGTTTGAGTTTCAGCCATCAAATGTTAGAGACTCTTCAATCATTCCGCTGTTTCGGTCAGAACCAGCCGTGCTTCTCGGAATATTCTATCATCACCTCCACATTACATTTAATCATTCGTACAAACATAACTTTCATTTCAGCCGCTTCACAACCGCCTGACGTGGTGCTCGTAGTGGGTTCGATTGCATCGAAATTCGAGTTCGACGATGCGCCTCCCCCACTCGCAGTCGCCTGTTGCAGTTCCAATTCAATCTGTTGCTTGATCTTGATTGCATCTTCACCAGAAGTTGTTGAACAAGAAGAAGTAGAAGTAGCTGCCAAAGCCAATGCCAAACTACTAGAAGACGACGACGAGGCACCGCCAGTAGCAGCAGCTGTTTCGGTTGCGCCGCCTACGCCTTGTGCGAATAACGCTTTCAGAGACACAGCTCCAGAGCCTGTGAGACCACCTCCTTTGCCCTTCTTTCCGCGTTCTGAGCGTGAATTACGATTGGGATTTTCTTCATTCTCAGCTTGTTCACTCGCGAGAGCAATTCTGCGGTTTTCTTCTTCTCTATCTTGCACTCCCTGCAGATACGTTCTCCGCTGTCGAAAGAAGTTGCCGGATTTCACAGCTAGTTTAGCCGCGTACTCGCCAGTCTCAAATAGCTCGTAGATGTAAATGTAATCCGACCTCTGCTGTCGTTGCAAGATGCTGTTATACAGCTCCAACGTGGACAATTCGCGCAACATTTTTTTGGATTACGATTGTTCGTCTTCTTGGAAGTCTTACTTTATACTTATAGCAATTAATATGATGCAGGAAAAGGTGCAAGTGCAACTCTGATTTTCATTCCGGTTTAATTAAGCAACTCTTCAAAAAGCGTACTCTGCTATCCACTCTTGCTTTGGAGAATGACGTTTTTCTACCACAAATAAATTTCATTTTTGTAGTATATTTTAATACTTTTTGCAACTTTTGCTTTCTCTCGATGATTGCTTTCTTTACACTTTCAAACCCCTCGTTGCTCTTTTTTCGGAAGTTCTCTCAACGACAGGCTTTTTATCGGGATTGCCTTTCGCAACGACATGAAAATACAGAAGGATTTGAGCCTTCATGCTTTGTCGCTCACAAAGATAAGAAATAATGGCTTTTTTGGCGTTGCGCAAGAAGGATACAAAAATGTAATTTGCTTGTCGCAGACACAGACTACACATAGTGATAGTGGTTTAAGAAAGAAACAGATATAGCAGCTTGGAGCCTCCTTTGAAGCTGAAAGTTTTCAAGAATGATCAAATGCAGATTGCTCAATAGATATGGATGCGAGTCGCTACAACTACACATTCAGAAAGAATTTAAAAAACTAAGAGTGCATGATAGAGTGGAAGGCTCTATTTTCAAAATTATCAGAATCAGAATGTGAATGGACTTATTCTTATAATCATCATCATGTAAAAGTTCATGCTGCATGAGTGAGTGCCGTAAGAGCAGTATTCTGTTGTAATCTTCATATAAATCTTCTTCATGGCTGTGATGTCGATGTGCATCTAAGGCAAATTCAAGTCCGTGTCGTGTGTAATTGTAGCAGACTGCAGCAGGCGAAGGTCACAGGTTGTACTGATCTGCAACTATCGAATAGATGTTCTCGAGTTATGCTCATGCTTTTTTATGTTGTCAAGATTCTGAAGAAGTAACTAGCTTTTGAAAATATTGTGGCTATCGAAAGGGACATTTTCAGTCGACACACTCCTCCTCTTCATACTCATGTTCATCCAACACCTGTACTCCTTCGCGTTCCTTCACCTTCTCCGTCTCGGTCTCCTCCTCGTCCTTCACGTCGTCATAAAGCACTGCCGCTCGCAGATCCTGTAGAGAGTTCATCATCTGCGGTTCACACCAGCGGGTGAGTGGTATCTTGTCCCTCAAAAACTGTCCAACATCAGTCTCCTCTAGGATTTGAATCATAGACATGGAAGTATCTTGAAACAAATGGAGCAGAAGTTGGGAGACTGTTGGCATCATGTTGTCCTGTTCTCCTGTTCCGGGTGGCGGAGGTGGTGGGACATGAAAGAAACCTCCTCTTGCGCCATTGTTACTACCTGTACTGGCTTCAGGAGACCACGTCGCGTTCGCAATCGCATGATGTTCTTCCACAATAGACATCTGCTGAATAGAAGTAGGAGCTTGAGAAGAAGCTATCGACGAAGAGGAAGATGATAGCGAAGATGAAGCACTCGCTCCAGCTGGTGTGTCCACCTCTACCCTGTCCCTGTTCGTAGGAGAAGGCACACCTGTCATGTCGACATCATCTGCATGATTATAGAGATCTCGCTCTTCTTGTTCTTCCGGCAACATCAAAGTACCTCCATCGGTCTCGTCTTCCTGCTCTCGTACGTCGTCAAGTAAGCGGCTTGGAGGTTGGCGTCCTCTGCTTCGAGTTTGAGACGAAAAAGCCGGTCCGCTTCTTCGAAAATTTTGTTCCTCATCCGAGGAAGCAGGATACACTGAGATAGTAGTACTCAAGAAGATAGAATAGGGTGCAACACGTCTCGGCACCATAGTGGTCCTGAGACGATTGTTCCCGTCTCCAGAGATGAATACCTGATCTGTTGTATTCTCAGCATGTTGCTCAAGATCTTGTCTTATGTTCATCGCCTCTTGTTCGCGTTCCTCCTCATCGATGACACTTCCCGTATAGGAGTAAACAGCCGGCGTTGCTCTTGTGATTCCGTTCAAACTCCGAGTTGCTTCTACCTGGTAGTTTCTAGAAGCAGTAAAGGCAGTTGTGTCCTCGAAAGCAACCGGAGGAGGAGATGTCCCGCTTGTGCCATTTGCGTTTCCGGACGTGGAAGTCGTATCATTAGTGGAAAAGCGTCCACTCAGTAGGAATCTACTTGCCCTCGCTGTAGCATCTCCAGGACTTATCTGGTAAGCAGGAAGAAGCATATTTCGCAGTGTGTTTATTTCGTTGTCTTCTCTCGTGCTAGCTGAATCTTGTTCTTCTTCTCGAGGAAGAAACGTAGAATTTAATATTGGAGGCATGGGCATCAAATGGTCTGAAGTCGTAGTATTTTCAGCATGTTGAGCTTCTACGTCATCGATCTCCATATCGCGTGCGGATGTAGATCGGGAAGACTCTCTTGGTGCAGTCCTAGACGCAGTCGCCATCACTTCTTGTCGAGGTGCGCGTGTAGTCGTAGGAGAAGGCTCACGTCGTGGTCGTTCAATATTGAGTCCAAGAGTTGAGTCACGAACTAGACGGATCTCATCATCTCTTTCATTGGTGCGCATTTCCACCGGTTCTCCAAGTCCTGTGTCTAGTAAGGGTCTGCCGACATGTGAACGGGGCGGTTAGAAATGAAGAAATGACGACGAGATAAGGAATGTACATGCAGAAGGTACTGACGAGTTTATAACAAGGATTTCGATCTGTTACTTGGGCTTGGCAAAAATGTTCCGTAAAAATCACTCACACCCGTCATGCCACGTCGAGTTGGAGGGCGTTCTTGCTCTCTTCCGCCAGAACCTGCAGTCCTTTCTTGTCCTCGACCATTCCTAGTACTAGCATCCTCTTCTCCCAGCAACTGTGCTCGTCGCTGCCGATAAGCTTGAAGAAGATTCAAGTGAGTATGGAGATTAGAGCTTTCGGCTTTCTTTCATCGATCTACTCCATGGTGCACGTACTCCGACACCGACTCGTCCATATCCATAAAATTTAAATTAATGCAGGAAGAGCCTGCTATTACTGCGTAGTTTATTTCTCCAGGTGGAAGGAGATGACTGAAAAGAATAGGCTGCGGCGACATGTACAAAGCAGCAGCCAAGAAAGAAAGAAGTTTTGAAAATGTGAAATCTTTAAACATTGAAAATAAGTGTCCACCGTAACGTCTCTCGTTCGAAGAAGTACATCGTCAAACAAGAGCGAGAGAAAGAAGGAAAAAAAAGGAATTCGTGAAAGTAAAGGTCGTCGCTACTTCGAGGCCGATCGTTTATTTAAGTCATTCGTTCGTTTATTAGTGAGTAGTCTTAAAGGGCAGCATGCATCACAAGAATACCACGGTAAGCGTTGAAGTATGAAAATAAGCGCTAAGGTGGTTTGATTAAAGTTCCTTTTGGTGCAGGGGCTTAGCAACCCCCCCTTTTGCGATGCTTGGGCGTTGTCGTGTTTGGTCTGATGTGATGAGCTTCCATGTCTGGGAAGAGTCTGGGAGAAGTCTGAAAGTCCCAAAGTCTCAAGGTCTCAAGGTCTCAAAGTCTCAAAGTCTTAAAGTCTCAAAGTCTCAAAGTCTCAAGGTCTCAAAGTCTCAAAGTCTCAAAGTCTCAAAGTCTCAAAGTTTAAAAATCTCAAAGTCTCAGAGTCTCAAAGTCTTAAAGCCGTAGAGGTCCCAAAGTCTAAAAAAAAGAAAATCTTAAAGCCTCAAGGGCTAGAAATATCAAAGTCACAAAGTATCAAGGTTTCAAAGCGTCAAAGTTTTAAGTTTCGAAGGTCAAAAAAAAATATAAAAGTCGTAAGTTAAGTTGTTGACCGCGTCTTATGTTTTGGTTCCAAACGTTCAAAATATAAAAATCTGAAGGTGAGAGTTAATGTTTATTGTACCACCCATAGGCATACTGTTGTCGGAGTTGGACGAAGTTCAAAATTCTTAAATTCTAAAGTTAAACTTTATGTCAGGCGTCTTGTCTGCAAGCGTAGCGTCTAAGCTGCGTGGTTTTTTTTAGAGGCCTCTCGAAGTCCGCGCCTCCCAGTTGGCGCCAGGGTCTGTCCCGCCCTTTGGTCGGGCTGGAGTCTAGACTCCGATCAGTCGGGGTAGTCCCCGGCGCCAGCGTTCGCGTCTCCCGTGTGGCCCACTTGTCTTGTCAGTGCTTGTCACATGTTTTTGGTTGTCGAAGATGTTACGTCCGGTTGAGTTTCTTAATGGTTTTGTAATAATTGGAGGATTTGAGAGGTCGTCTGAGGTCGTTAAGGGTTAACTGGGTTTGACTCTGTCAGGCTCAGTTTTAGCTTCAGGAACAGTCCTGTCATTTACTTTCAGCTGCGAGAAATAAATTATGTGACCCTTAGCAGGAGTAAAAATACTACTAGGACCTTAACTACCGGGTCCGGCGCGAGCATCAGCCGCGCAGGCTTACAGGTCATGTCTACACAGTTGGCGGAGACGTCACGCCAATGCTCGTTATCATCATGGTTCCAACATTGACGTGCGTTTTCAGCGAATCGACATTGTGTTATCCACCCACGCAGACGAGTCAATGCATTTGCTCGTTGTTGCTGTTCTCGTGCAGGTTCACTTATTCGCTGTTGAGGACTTCTACCTTCAACATGTTCGACAGGCCCAGAAGTTGTACCTACGTTGTTCAACATCATTTGCTGCTGTTGAGGTGCTTGTGTTGCGCCAGCTTCTCTATTTCCACCTTCAGTAGTTCTTGCAGCGGTCTCCGCATTCCCATTTTCGCCATTATTTCTTCCCCACCCTGAGAGCATACCACGTTCTGCTGCTGCGCGTCGTCTCCGCATACGTTCGTGGAACTGTGTCAGCCTTTGCCTCTCCACGCGAGCCCACTCAGGGTTCTGCCGTACGATATTGGGCTCTGCGAGGTAAAACTCCGTCAATACAGGGTCGCGCACTATGTGCCGCCCGCGATCATCCTGCTCTTTGAGGTGAGCCCAGGAGACACAGCGCGTGACGCAGGATTAGAGTGTTTACTACAACCGCAGGTTTTATATATAGGTCTAGGTCCACCTAGTGCATTTCCGAGGACACGAAGACTAGCCATAAACACAACAGGAGTCCCCCAGTAGACAGCAGTTGTACAGGGTGTTCCCACTCATCTTGAGAGCATGTACGAAGCCAGGGATCGACAACGAGGCAGGCACAGGTCCAGTCATGCCGTAGAGAGAGACTTCAGGAATCGTCACTCCAGTCAAAGCACAACAGCAAACATCCAGAGCACAAAGAGCCGCACCAAAAGCAAACCGTCCTGTCGGTGTAGGAGTGTCCTCACAAGCGCCACAACCAGTGACACAGAGGTGCTTGGATGTTTCACAACAGATATAACTGGAGGTACTTGGATTTCCATTTCGATTTGCATTTGCCTGTCCTGCTTGTTCTTCTCTTCTGCCTCTTTGTCTCTCTCGATCGACGTTATTGTCTTGCATAGGCGGAATCTCTACCACAGCTGGCGCAAGGATATGGTCTAGCCCTCTATCAAATATGGCAGGCTGTCTCGCTGGCCGCTCATCATCGTCGACGTCAATATCAATGCCAAAAATAGCAGCCACTTGTCTTCGAGCGCGCCTGCGACGCGTCTCTGGTTGTGATCCATGACCTTGTCGTTCCTGTTCGTCATTCTGCAGCTGGGCTGCAGGAGGGAAGCGTCTTCGTTGGTCATCAGCATTCTCCACGTTAACGTTAACCTCTCCTCCGCCAATCTGACGTATGATTCCTGTGCTATCTCCTATAGCCAACGCTGCCTCCCATTCTTCGGACGCGGCCAGTGCGGGGAACGCTTCTGCAAAGCCTTCGGGGCCGCGAGCACCCGCCCCGCTTAATAAAGTTACAGGGCTGTTGTAACTATCGCTGCTGAAGATGGATGGAGCGAGGGAAGAAGCGCCTGCTGCAGGGCGACCGGAAGTTGGTGTTCTTGCCGTGGTTGCTCTCCCATCTTCAGTACTTGCAGATCCAGACTCGGTTCCTGTAGTACTGGCACGTGAAGAAGTATGCGGCAATCGCTCTCGGTCATTGTTCTCCCTCATCATCCTGTTTCTGAGCACACCGTAAGCAGCGGCAGAAGCACCAGCTGGATTCGCACCAAGGAGTCCATACATAGGTCTTCTCTGCCCAACCACAAGATCTTCACCGGAAAGCCACGGTTGCGAAGACCCTAGGAACATCCGTCTTGGATTTTGTTCGACAGATGAGGAAGGTTGAGGTTGTTGATCGCGAGTTGTACCAACATTCAACATCATGTTGTTCATCTGATTCATCTGTTGATGTGCAGCGTAGGACATGGGAGTTGCAAAGCGGGCATCTGCGCGGTTCTCAGCCTCCGCCCACCCGTGGAGAGGATGACGGGATGGAAGAGATGGAGTCGGTGGAGGTTCACGAGCATTGTCCTCAGTCTGGATCGAGCGTCCTCTGGGTGTAAACGGTAGCAAAGGGCGGGATCCGGCGCCAGGGTATCCCGATGTCTCGGATGCCCTCATTGTGCCAAGAACGACGTTGTCCGAAATTGTGCCAAGTAATACAGTGGTCGAGTCAATGTTGCTACCTCTAGGTCTTCGACTGCTATGATCTTCTGTGGGTCTATAAGAGGACGTGGATAAGGTCGTTTCTTCAGTCGTAAGATTCCTCGTGCTACTGGCACTGGCTCTGGTGGTTTCTGGTGCAGTACTAGTTTGAGGTTGACCGTCTTCTACATTGCCAGATGTAGTTTCCGGCATCGGAAACAAATCCGGCATCGCGTTTACCCTAGCTGGCGTTGGGGTTGATGGAGTACTTCTGCTACTGCTTGATGTTGCTTCTATTGCTCCTAGTACCTGCTGCTGAGCTTCTCCTGCTTCTTGTGGCTCCTGGTAAGGATGACGCCCGTTATCAAGAACATTTTCCCGATTATTCATCAATTCGTCAGTTGTTCCCTGTAGGTGCTCTAGTTGCTCGACAGTGTCTGGGTCTTCAGCCACACGACTTGGAGGCCCTCGCACACGCGTTGTAACTCCAGGGATGGCAGTTGGAATCACATAATCTCGTCTTCGTGATGAACTACCAAGACCCGTCCGTGGTCTATTGTTGTATACGACTCGCCTCGCTGGTGACAACAATACGTTAGTTGTTGTGCTGCCACCTGTTGTGTCACCTGTTGTCGCGGTAGTGTTTGTTCTGAGTGTTCTTGCTCTCGAAGTTGCCTGCGGTGGTCCTGGCTGCCTTGGCAAGGGAAATGCGTTGACATCAGCAGGACTAATAGTAGGAGTAGGAGATGGAACCATAGAAAGCAGCAGCCCAAATAGGACGATCTCGACAGCGCCCTCACGGCCATAGAGCCGAACCAAATCCAGCGAGGCTAGTTGTCGAACCAAAATAGGTGGCGGGATCAACGGAACAGGAGGACTCGTTGTTGTGTCTATGATTGTGCTAATCGTAATCTGCTCAGTTGATGTATCATCATCATTTGTCTGCGAAGTAGATCTCTGTGCCTCCTCACGACTGTCTCCTTGTCCTTCTACCTCCGGTTCTTCGGTAACGTCTTGTTCTTCTTCCGGTGTCGACGTCCCCACGGGACTAGCATTAGGGTAGCTACTTCGTGCACTAGAGTCGCTTTCGAAGCGGAAGCTATAGCTCCCAGCGGAGGATGGTCCGGCAGAGGAACTAGGCGGCGACGGTGCTATCGATCCGGTTACGGTACGGAGGTCACGATCGTCTTCTTGCGAAGCTGTCGTGGATAGCATGGAGACTGTTGCGTGAACTGCATCGTCTTCTTGCGAAGCTGTCGTGGATAGCATTGAGACTGTTGCTTGAACTGCATCGTCTTCTTGCGAAGCTGTCGTGGATAGCATTGAGACTGTTGCTTGAACTGCATCGTCTTCTTGCGAAGCTGTCGTGGATAGCATTGAGACTGTTGCTTGAACTGCATGTCCTTCCTCTTGTATGGTATCAAACTCCCCAGCACCAGTCCTCGTTGTAGAAGAAGTAGGTGGAAGAAATGGCTCAAGATGTAGCGTTGTCCTTCTCGAGGATGCATTTATCGCATTTGCAGCGTTTCTTAATCCACGGATTGTCCCTCCATCTGCACGTTCTCGCTCCCTTGGCAGCAGAAAGGCAGTACCAGAATGAGTCCCGCTACTTTGTCCTCCAGTCGACGGACTACCAGGTGTGCTCCCCGATGTCGATGATGGCGTCCTCGACTCGTCCGTGACCACGTGTTGATGGTCGATATCTAAGCGAACAGCTAAGTCATACAATTCTCCCATAGACAAGCGCTCACGTTCTCGCGAAGCTCCCACTCCTGTTGGGGAAGTACTTCTAGCGTCCACCACAGGTCCCCCACCTCCTTGTGAGGATCCTTCTTGTGGAAGACCCGATTCCATCCGCTGCATTCGCATAACATGTGCACTCCACTTGTTGTGCTCTCTATCGACATAGTTTTGTAAGCGTGACCACAGCTGGGAGCGGAGGTTTTTGTCGATGCTAAAAGCAGTTGTACTACTGCTAAAAATAGGCGTGGTGTCATCACCTCCTGAATTTACCTCATTTCCACTGCAGCGACTCTTCCTATGAGGATCCGCCCTCTCCTCAGCGACAAACAGCCTCAACAACCGGTCCACATCCGCCAGTGACAGAGTAGGAAAGCAAATCCTCTGTGGACACAAGCGTAACCCACAGTCACACCCGTACTGTTCCATGTCACATGTGTGCTCATCGTTAGCTCTCCGCAATCGTCGACATAATTCATGTTGCTGTGTGGGTGAGTTGACGAGACTCGAACGCATAGGAACTAGCAAATCTTGCAACTGGCATTGTCTGCAAATTGGACACCCTTTGCGAAACCCGTCACCTCCACGGATGTATTCGTCGCCACACGCTTTGCAGACAAGGTGACCACATTGAAAGGCGGACAAAAGCGGCTTCCGTTGTGAAGATGGAGCGGGTGGTCGCTGGTTTCTGGACGAACTTGGACTCAGAGTCCTCACATGCGTTCCGTTAGAAGAGGAGGAAGGAGCTCCAGCAGTAGCTCCTCCTCGAGCTGCTGGGCTATCACCACCTGATGTACCTTCGCCATCGCTTGTAGTAGAATTTCCACACGTTTGTTGCTGTTCAGCTAGTACACCTTCATCCTGACAAATGACGCAGGTCAAGCCACCATCTTGACCAGCTTGGTGACCATCACGCTTATTTCTCCTATGATTTTGGAAAAGCAGTCTAGTTTTCTCTGGCGATCCATCGTAGCTTAGGTGGATTTTTAGGGCGAAGTAGAGTCGCCACTCATTCGACAAGAATGGTCTACTAGGCTCGGTTCTGAGGTGGATGCGTGGTCGGTGTCGGATAGGCTGCTCAGTGGTTTGCTGTAATTGTAAAGCTGAAGGTGAAAACTCTACTGTTCCTGGTGCTGGTATTCTTTGTAGTGGTATTGCTAGTAGTTGCTCCTGTGATGAGGATAGTTCTTGTCGTTCTGTACGTAGTTCGTGAGGAAGTAGTACCAAAGACTCCCCTTCTCTCAGGAAATTACTAGTTGCGCCTGCTAGGGTTACTTGAAGGATCGGCTCCTGCTGTTCCGTCTCGTTCTGTTGAGAATGACCTGGTGGAAAGGTGGTGCTGGAAGAAGAAGACGCGCCGTCGACGAGGCCAAGTAGAGAAACACACAGGAGCACAATGCGAATCCCAAGACGACAGGAGTTGAGGAAAGCAAAGCTGATTGCAGGTCCCTTCATTCTTTTTCTTATTCTTTCCATCTTTTGTAAAAATCCGTCTGCCAGCACTGCCTGATCAACATCATGATAGATTGTGATACAGAAATATATATTTTAGTGCTTCTAAACCCATCTAATACTCTTCATGTTCGTGCTGAGTAAGTTGATCATGCAATTGCACTTTCACTCTCCCTCTCTCAGTCGTACCCTCTGACACTAACTTCTAAATTTCCTGCGAGACATGTTGAACACAACATCAATTCGTCGTCAACAGAAATCATATTAATCCAGTTTCTGATTATTCTGACAGTTTCAGTAATATCACGCATTGAAGATTGTGCTGTAAATATTATTCGGAAGTATCTGCACTGATTCTTTATAAATCTTTCAAGCCTATTATGAGGTCGAGGAAAACACGTCCGAGAAAAATGTCCGCGATGAGAGTGCTGTGTTGCCGCGCCCACGGAATTCGTCGAGGGGGCTAGGCGCTTGAGCTTGTGGGAAAACTTGGACAGCATTTTGATTCACCAAGTGTCGTTCTCTTATCCCGAGACTTAAGACCTCTCCTTTGTCCGTCCTCTCATAAACATTCGTCACCATCAGCTTACCCACATAACAGTCGCATCGCTTGCAGTGTACTTCGAGCAACAGGACGTGAGGTGACAACATTTTGGCTTTTTTAGTCTTGTCAGCTTTAACAAGAGTAGCAGCGGTCGAGTTTTTGCTTTCAGTACTAGCACCAACCAAAGGCAACCCCACAGGTCCTCCTATCTCCTTGTCCGGCACAACAAGGGAAACGTGATGAAAATACATACCCCCGGAATAGAGAGATGTCGGAAATAAAGGCAACACTCCTTGTTGTCGTTCCTCACCGTGTATTATTTGTGCTTCATCTCTGGCATATAGAGGTAAATTGCAACCTCGGCAACAGTAAAAAGAACTGCTGAAGATGCTCTCATACAAATGCGATGCATTTTGCGGCGTCCTCGTTTGAGAAGCAGGGTCGTAGCTCCGATCAAGGTGCTCTTCACTTGGTCGAGAGAAAGCAATGGCTCTCCTAGGTTGCCGATTGGGCGGTTGAGTTTTTTTGTCGAATATTGTAGGTGGCAAGCCATCAAATCGATGCTCAGGAATCGCAATGCCGCTTACTTGCGCTATTGGGTCATGAGGAATGAGATTGTCTTTGGCATCATCGGAGAGAGCTTCAGGATCTTCTTCAGGTTTCTCTTTTCTATTGCCACCTTCTGCCTCCGCGACTGTCGCAGGATCGATAGGGCCATCCGCGAGAGCGCTAATCTGAGCTGTTGCGTCATAGGAAAAGCGTTCAGCGTCCATTTTTTCAACGAAAATATCAAGAGGAGAAATCTCTGGGACTTCGAGCTCTACCTCTACATCCCGGCCTTCTTGTTCAGGGCTAATAACAGGAGCATCAGCGGGCTTTTCCACTTCAGCTGCAGCACCATTTTCGTCCTTAAACAAGCTAAGAGGGTGGACCTCCTTTTGAACTTTTTTACCCTTGTTCAAAAGTTCTCTCGCAGCAAGCTGCTTCCTTCGCATGTCGTTTTCTCGGAGGACTTTGGATGGCGTGGTAGAAGTTGTCGGAACAACTGCAACTGCTTGTTTGCCAGCCTTCATCGCAACCTTCTTCTCTTCGATACTTCCAAACGGCATCTTTGTCGGATCGCTCAAGGCAGTGGGTCTTGGGAAACAGGACGGATTTCGACCAAGGACGTCTTGCCCATGGATGAATTCCTCCTTTTGATAATTAGGAGCGCCTTTTCGCTTTGCTACATCCGAATAACACTCGTGGCTCTCCTTTTGTGTCCTTATAGCTCGATTTCCTGCTACTTCCGCTTCTTTCTCTATCCTTGCTGTGATCCAAGGTTCGTCCTTCTTTTGCCTCAAGACAGCCATCGCAACCGCATCTCCCTCTAAATAGATGCGCCATTCGGTCTCAGTGCGCCTCACCTGTCTCGAATACGCGTACTGGAATCGCTCTCCGCATCGCTTCCCCAACATATATGCCACTGCGGCACTAGCTCCACTGCTCTTTGCTGGCAGAAACGAGTAAATCGGAAGAGCTTCCAACTCATTCAGCAAACAGCGCTGCATGAGTAAGCGCTTCCAAGTTTCTCCTTTGCGCTGACTCTCCGTTGAAGATGAGCATGTTGTGGGAGATGGGCATATTGTTCCCACTTGTGCGATGTCCTTGCGCACCATTTTCTCAGATGAAGTGATAATTGTTAATGGTGCCATTTTGTGTGTAGGTAGGGATGTGCGCAGCAGATTATGCGAAATAAGAAATCGTGTAGACGCAGAACTTACATAATTGATGCTATCCAGTGCTAGTACAAGGCTATCGTGACGATGAAAAGAATACCGAAACAAAATAGGGAATGTTGAAAGTGCTTGGGTCAATCTACCGTTCAGAGTGAAGTGTTAAGGAACAAGATACTGCTTATGCTTATCCTTATCGCAGCTTGAAAACGAAAAACTTTATCACGTTCACGACCTGCCTCATACTAAAGGGGAGAGGGTGTAAGTGTATTTAGCCTTAATAGCGGGACTAGTAGCACACAGTTTCTCAGAAACTCGAAGTGGTCTATGATCATCTACCTATGGACATCTCAAAAGGATTCTCAAAAGGATTAACGACCAGTTGTAGATGTCAGTCTCACACAGGGCTTCTTCGTTTTGAATTTTATCTCTCTTACACCAACAGAGGAAGATGCGGAAGATGTGACAGACTTAAGTTCTCGTGGCTCGTCTCACTTTCACAGAGGAACACGACCTGAATGTACGGCAGAAGAATCAGCTTATCCCTCGACGGAACGTCCTTCTATTCTTCATGCCGCTTCAGATGAGATCCTTGAAAGGGAAAAGGAAACAATCATCAAGATAGGAGGGATTGAGGGCGCTTTTTAGTGGTTTTGAGACTTTTTCCGCGCTACATGTAGTTAGAAAACGTCTGGGCCTGGGGATGGGTCGTTAGACATATGTGCGCAGATGTATATTTTGACTGTGTTCTTCTTCTTGTTCAACGAGCAAGACTGTAGCATCTGTGCAATTACAATAAGGGTGGCTGACGACAACAATAAAAGATTCAGGTTGTGAAACATTTTAACTGTGCAGCCTGATAATGACTGGGGAGGACGGCGGGGTAAGTAGAACTATCTATGAATATGATCATGATGTTTTCTTAGTATAGAAATTTTGCTTGTGAAACAACTTCTACCTAGCGGAAAAAGACGCTTGTTTGTTCGCCCTATGGTTTATTGTTATTCAAAAGTATAATATAGGATAGCGATAGGATAGATATGTGGAGGGTGCTTTTACTCTTACTGTCGTTACAACTACTCCACATTCGATATCTAGCTCTTTCCCTTTAAACCGGCGCCAAAAACTGAACGACAGCCGCAAATGCTCCCACTGCGCCAAATGTCGCTATGACACCAACAACAACCCACCACCTCCAGGCTGTTGTAGACTGACTTTTGCCCTTTGCCTTATTCGAAGTTCCAGAGGACTGTCCGCTTCCGAATAGCAACCACGAAGGCAGTTCTAGGAATGCAGATGATGTTGACGCGAGCAAAGACCAATAGAAATATCTTTCATCTTGGTCGAGTTTCTCCGGAAAGAGTCCCGAACCATAGAGATCTGCTACCAGAGGCAAATCTTCTAGTGCAGCTTCTTGTAGAGCGCCTAGGCCAGCGCCAGTAAGATCGAAACCGTCAAAGGAGATTTCACGGCCATCCTCGAAGTCGTAGTCTTTTTCAGGAGAATAGAAGATACGATCATCGTCATCAGAATCAGAGCTTGATCCTGAGGATCTTGGATCCTCGTGCACTCCACCTTTCCCGCTGTAGTTTCCAGCACCAGCACCACCCGCGCCAGAAGATTGTTGACCTCCGCCTTTACCGTCTGCTCCAGCATGTTTACGAGCATGACCACCACCACCTCTACCACCAGCACCATAATCGTGGAGAAGAAAAGGGTCGTCGTTTCTTCTTCGCAACGCGTCACGTGCAGCATCTGCAGCATAGAGGACGCCACCAGTGGCAAGCGCTGCAGCGAGTGCTTGGCGACCTCGGCCATTTGTGGTCCCAGGTCGTGTCCCTTCTGCAGCTTCATCCGCTCCTGCTACCGCTTCTGCAGGGTCCTCTCGCGGACCGAGACCAGCCTCGTCTACCGCTGGTGCAGGAGGGGCTGGAGCTCCTTCCTCTACTACTGGAGCGGCTTCTGGCCGAGCCTCAACGTCATGATCATGATCCGGAATTCCAATTCGCTCGGGCACAGCTGCGGGTGCAGCAGCTTTAGCTTCGGCAGCTCGCTCTGGTACGGGTGCAGCTTTAGCTTCTACAACTCGCTCTGGCACTGGTGCAGGAGGTTTCGGTTCTACAACTCGCTCTCGCTCTGGCACTGGTGCAGGAGCTTCGGCTTTAGGCTCTGCGGGAGGGGCTTTTGCTGCAGCGTTATGAGGAACGCCAGCATCCTCCGGATTGTCAAGACGAGGCTGTTCGAGGTGTTGTAGTTCTTCTCCGCCTACCTCATGTACTTCTTCTACTTTGCGTACGCCTTCAACGTCTTGACCCTCGACCTCGTTCTCTCTCAACAACAACTCGGAGTATGGCAACTCCTCTACTAAGAAGCCAGTTGCTGCAGGTTTTGCAAATACCTGGTGTCCTGCATTCTCACGCGCTGTGAAGGCGTTAGATGGTCCATCTCTTTCCACGAATCGCTGGCCATGATGATGGATAGGTTGTGTAGCCAATATGTAGTTGGACGAATCATCTCGTCCCGGCAATGGCATCCCTGAAGACAGGCTTCCTCCTCGTCCTCGTGGTCTAGCAATAGGCGGCGCCTCCATAGGAACAGAGGGATGGCGAGGGCGAGCTCGCACTCTACTGCTTCCGTGGTCTCCCGATTGACGATACGGCAGTCGTCCTCTCTGTGCAGATTGCTGTTGAGGTTGCTGTTGATGTTCATGTTGCTGTTGCTGTTCGTGGTTCTGTTGATGTTGCTGTTGCTGTTGATGTTCGTGGTTCTGTTGATGTTCGTGTTGCTGTTGATGTTCGCGTTGCTGTTGATGTTCGTGTTGCTGTTGATGTTCGTGGTTCTGTTGATGCTCTGTGTCAAGTTGTACATGATCTACACCATCTCGATCCTGTTCGTCCACGTCCTGTGCTGCTGATTCTATTTCTATGTGCTGCTTGTGATTGTCCTCCTGTGCTGGTTCTTGTTGTGTTTCATCCCCTTCTCTTGTTGTGTTTCCTCCCCTACCTCTCTGACGTTTTTTAGCTGCCTGAAACGCTTCAAAGGCAACAGGAGCGTCGGGTCTTTTTACATCTCGCTGTCCGTGAAGAACAGGTTGTGCAGCCATGTTGGACGAACCTCTCATCCGCGAAATCTCGAGATCATGAGAAGAACCACGACTGCTAGGACTATTGCCACGACTGCCGCGAAGATGTTTTCTTGGTTGTTCTATAGCACTTTTGTCGTCCTCGAAACTCGTAGATGTTCTAGATGTATTGCAGTTTTTCAGCTTTGTGCCAGGAGTTGCTGTTTTTTTCGCTAGTGCAACCTGCTGTTGTGTGGCCTCCGTTTTCTGCATTTTCCTAGCGCTACATTTGCCGCCCGCACGAGCACGCTGCTGTTTTTGAATTGCATTCAGAGCTTTGTTCTTGTTCACAGGCTTTTTGCACACCTTATTTTTCGTCTTAGCAGTGGCCTTAGGTTTCGAAACCGCTCTAGCCTTAGCCTTCGAAGGCACTCTAGTCCGAACACCCCAACCTCTGTCGTTATCTTTAGGCTTATCAATCTCGCCTATGGCGTCTTCCTCTTCGTGAGCAGCGACAGTGCCTGCATCTTCTGGTGTTGCAGAAGGTGCAACCACTTCACCTGGCCCCGCTCTACTTCCAGGGCCTGCTGCTGCTGCTTCTTCAATTTCTCCACCTACACCCAGCACAGCAGGTTTTGTCTCCTCAACTACTGCACGACCAGGAGCAGCATCAGAATCTCTAGTAGCGGGAACCGATTCAGCAGGTCGGTCGTCTGCGAGACCTCGCTCTGTGGGGACCACGGTTTGGGTTTCCCCAACATTACTATGCACAGCAGCACCAGAACCAGATGAACCAATCGATTCGACACCATCTGCTGCAGTTGCATTATGATGTGAAGAAAGTGGAGCTCTGTTGTCAAATGCAGCTCGCACTGCAGCAGTTTCGTGATCGTGCGCGGCTTTTTCTATATCTATAGAGGCAGCTGCATGATGATGATTATCTACATGCGCTGGAAGATTTGAAGCTTGAGAGTTGGCACCTGGTCGTACTTGCTCCGGTGCAGGTGGAGCAGGTACAGGAGCGCTACCAGATGGAGCATCCTCTGGGTCCCGGTGCTCAGGCTCAGGAGCATCGGACTGACCGTGCTCGGAAGAAGCCTGGCGTTCACCTTGCTGACCGTGCCCGAGTGCAGCTGCATCTTCTAAGACAAGCACCTGCTCTGCATCTTCTTGTTCACCACCACGGGCGTCGAGGTGTTTGTTAGCAAAGTCAAGACCTAATTCTAGCATTGAAGTTCCAGATTGTTGTGCTTCCTCGTGTGCAGGTGGAGCAGATACGGGAGCGCTACCAGAAGAAGCAGCACCTGAGCTGGCGTGGGCAGCAGCATCGGAAACAGCTTTCCTGGAAGATTCATGTTCAGCATGCTGGTTACTCACGCCAGAGCCAAAATCAGATTCTGAATCAACCTGCTCAGCATCCTTGTGTTCAGCGTGTTCGGCACGACCGCGAGGACTGACGGAAGCTGCGTCTGAACTCGTGCGATCAGCAGTGTCTTTGTGTCGATGAGAATGGCCATCTTCACTAGCACCAGAGTCAGAAGCTGGTCCAGCAACCTGACTTTCATCAAGATCTACATCCATTTTTTCTCTATAATTTGTATGAGCGGCGTCAGCTTCACCATTGCCAACAGCATCAGCTTCATTACCACGGAAGTCTGGACTCTCCTCGTGTCTATCAACATAAAGACCATCTTGATGAGGAACGTCTTCTTCCACTCTTCCTTCCTCTTCGGGACCATAAAGACCAGGACCGGCTTCTTTTCCTGGGTGATCCGCAACATCGAGCCGAGCATCTTCTTCCACTTGTTCTCCTTCTCCTCCGGCAATAGGCCGGTGCTCCTCGTCTAAATGAAATCCGCCATCGGGGCTGCTCTGGGTGACTCCTGGTCTAGTACCTGCATCTCCATCTTCCACAGAAGCAAAGCTGAATCCACTCTGGTCTTTGCCAGCATCAGCAACAATCCCGCCAGTGTTTGTTGGTGCATTGGAGCTCTCAGTAGGTGCTAAAGCGCCTCGTTGGTCCGATGCGGTCTCCGCAGGGTGAGAGCTCGAATTTGAGCGACGTGGACCTACGACCGCTGCATCAAGACCACGGTCCCCTTCCTCTTCTCGTCCTGCACACGCAATTGCGTCATTGCGGAGCGTTGAAGCTGGAAGGCCTGACTCGTCTACTGCCGCCGGCACACGAGGATAGCTCGAATCTGGAGGAGGCGCTTGTGGACCTGCACCTGCAACGGCTCCAAAATCAACAACACCTTCTTCTGCACGATGAAGATCATCCGCAGCTTCACCTGCATCTGCTAGAAGATTTCGAGTATAGCCTTCATCTTCTGGAGGACTTGTGCAAATTAAACCTTCCTCTTCATCATTGCTAAAGTGCCTTATCGGTACGCCGAACGGATAGCGTTTCGCCGGTGGAGCCTTATCGCGAGCGACAAAAGATACATTTGAGTCGTCTAGGTGTCGTATCGGTACACCTTCAGGGAAGTTCTTTGCCGGTGGAGCCTTATCGCGAGCGACAAAAGATACATTTGAGTCATCCAAGTGGACTGCTTTCGACCCTGCATGATGCTGGAGGTTGACACGCTTACCTGTAGGCTCAAGCTCAAATTGTTGATCCGCATCTGTTCTATTCATGTTGAACCTCTGTGCATTCTGAGATAAGTGTTGTAACTCGACGTCCTCCCCTCTTGCGGGATCCTCGACAGCATCATCATCTCCAAAGAAGTCATGATGTCCGACAGCTGCTTCAGCAGCAGCGTTTGCCGGGGCCGTCGCCCCCTGTACTTGATGCGCAGCAGGAACGGGTGTTTGTACATCAAAACATTGCTGTTCTTGTTGTGCGGGAGTCGTACCGTTAGAGCCTGGTGCGGGAGCAGTCTCAGCAGATGGAAGGACAATGCGGCCTCCAGGTAGATTTGCATGTGGTCGCTGTGCTCCTTGATCTTCACAGGAAAGGGAATCATGTTGTGGTCCAGAATGAGGTCTTCCTTGCTCAGGTGCTGTTGCATTAGCATTACTCGGACCTAGAGAAGACCCAGGACCTAAAGAAGCACCAGGAAGATTGCCCTGAACGAAGCCATCTCGAAGGCCCTCTGCAACAACGGCAGTCGCCGTCGGGGTTACTTCTTGTCCCGCGGCTACAGCAGGTGGAGGCTGCACATCAAAACATTGTTGTTGTTGTTGTTGTTGTTGTTGTTGTTTTTGTGCGGGCATTGTGCCGTTGGAAGCCGACGAAGCACTTCCTGCAGACGGAAGGCCTAGACCCCCAGGTAGATTTGCATGTGGTCTTTCCATTTCATCTTGATCGCATGATGCAAGTTCTGGTCCGATATTTCCACGTCCTTCTTGCTCCCCTGCGTCTTGTTCAGGTCCATGCTCCTGAAATTCTTGGAGCGACACGCTGCTGTTGTTCCCACTTTGGTCATCATGGAGGTCAAGACATTGTTCACCATCTTCATCATCTTCATCTGGTAACTCCATTTCGGCTTCAGCACCACTAGCAGCGTCATCATCTTCATCTGTGCACATTCCGTCATCTTCAGCAGCCTCTTGGTCTGTGCATGCATCATTTTCACCAGAGAGATCGAATATTTCGGGCTCAGAAAAAAGATCGAATCTTTCAGGCTCAGGAACAAGATTGAATCTTTTAGGCGCATCATGTGGATCTACTTCTTCTCCGTGATCTTGATGTGCCTGTTCTTCACCACCCACATGATCTTCAGTGTCGTTACGCCAAGTGAAATCGAGTGCACCACGCCTCAGCTCATCAGGCTGGCGCCGGACATCTTCTACCTCTCCCTCACCTTGGTTGTTATGCCTAGCTGATGGTGTTCCACGGTGGGCATTAGCTCCACCCGGTTCATCAGAAGCGAGAAGATCCGACGAGTTTGCAGCTCCGAAACCAGGCTGAAATTGTCCAGCTAGTCCTGGTGCATCTGCACGTGCTTCGCACATTTCATGGATGGGCGGACATGACGCATCATGGTCCTGCACTCGTTGTGCTTGTGGGAGTGGCTCTCCAATCTCATCTAATCCTGATACGTTCTTGTACAACATGCTCCGGTAGATCGTCATCGTTGCCACGTCTGCACGCTGAGGTTGCGGTGCAACAGCTTTATCACGAAAGGCATCCATCGGAACACCTGAACCGTCTTCATGTCGTGTACCTTCCTCGTTAGCTGCGTCTAGTTGGGGTCCATCTTGGCGGTAAGGTAAACCAAGACCGGACGCCGACGAGTTCGAGAAGTCGTACACATCTGCGACTGGATTAGCAACAACAGTAGCAGCTGCACACTCGGCTTCAGTCGGGATCGGACATTGATGTACTTGTTGTTGGCCCCCTACTGCGTCTTCTACGTGGGACGAAGCATTTTTTATTCTCCGGTAAATGTGTGACACGTAGTCTTGCGCCGCTGCTTGGCTCGGCCGCTCAGCTTGCGGTGCCACCTCCACAGCGTCTTCTTGCGGACGATGTGCTTCCTGGAGACGACTATGAAGATCCAAGTCTGGGACGTCTCCACCTAGTTCTCCCTCTGCAACGGCTTCGGGTACACCACCAGCAGCCGCGACCCTTTGCGCATCTGGGTAATGAGGTTGCTGTGTCGTCACATTGTTGCGCACCCGATTGGTAACGGCGCTCACTTTTCCGCGCACCCGCCTGCTAACGTCGCTAACTCTGTCTTTGAGCCCATTCGCGCCATTCCTCAATGCTGGTGCTTCTGGATTCGACGCTGGTGTTTTTGGGTCATTTGGCTGTTTGAACACCTTCTTGCGCACCCGCCTACTAGCGTCACCAACTCTGTCGCTAAATCTACTGGCCCAATTTCTCGATCGTGGTGCTTCTGGTCCACCCGCAGGCGCCGCGGACACTCCACGGTGTGGAGACGGGTCGCCGTTATCCACGCTCGCTACTTCGCGCTCAGCTCCAGTAGATGGTTGCTCGTCCGCAGGTTCATCGAGATCGACGTCGACAAAATCATCGAAGGCTTCCTCAACATTGGCCGCACCGACGGCAGCGTCATGCATATTAGCTCCTTTCAAATGTTCATGTTGCAGTTGATGTTCCATTCCAGGCACGCCTTGCTCGTCATGTGCGTCTACATATTGTTCAGCCTCAAGGTCAGGAGCGCCTGCTTCGTGTAAGTCCACCTCTGGTACTGCTTCTGGATTATCAAGCTGGCTGATCACTTTGTCGCGCACCCGACTACTGGTGGCGCTAACCCGGCTTTCTTTAAGGTTTCTAACGCCCAAGTTGCTCGACGCAGCCGAGCCCGAGGCGGGTGCTGTACTGTCGGCGCGTGCATCATCAGCAGCTGCTGCGTCTCTTTGCGCTGCTGGTAATTCTGCATCATGAGGCTGTGATTTTTCTCCTTGCTTGCGCAGCCCCGTACCAGTACCTTCGCTCACTTTCCTGCGCACGCTGCTACTAAAATTGCTAACCCTCTCTCTGAGTCCGATGCCTCTGCTCCTCGGAGCTGGTGCTTCTGGTCCACCTTCAGGGTCTGCACGTTGCTCCACGACTCGTGAGGCAGCTTCCTCATGATCTTCAAGTGCGTCTTCATATTCCATTTCAGGCTCAAGCCCATGTTCAGCAACAGGAGCTTCGGCTTCGTGTAGGTTTGCGTCAACTTCTTCCCCTAAAGCAGACTCTTCTTTTACGTCGGCGTCTTCCTGCTCACTCTGATGTACAGGAGAGTCTACACCATCCTGGTCGTCGGCAACAGCAAGAGCGCTCCCCGTGGCATTGGTGTCCGTTCCCACCAGCTGTCCCCATGTAGCATTTACGATTCGTCGTCCTGAGCTTAGGTTTGCCTGCTGACCTGGTGGTCCCGCTCCTTCTGGAGCTTCGTGTGAAGATCGTAATTCCTCTCGTGGTGGTCCTTCTACTCCCACCTCTTCTTGATGATTGAGATGGGCCTCATATTCGCTAAACGAGTAGGTTTGAGTCTCTTGGGGACCGCTATTTTGAGTTCTTTCCCCTAGTTGTAGTGCTGTTCCGGATCCAGGCATCCAGCTGTAGTCGTGAGATGAGGACCCAGAGCCTCCAACTCCTACACCATCTTCTAGAGAATCACCATAATCGCTTCCGTGCCATTTTTGAGCACTATTTTGTTCATGGCTCCTCAGAGGACTCGTCGTTACATCTGGCGGCGCCGTTTGTCGGATTGCAGCTCTGTCCCCAGAGGAAGCGAGAAGTTCCATGGTAGCTACAGTTACCATCTTCAATGGGTTCCAACTCCAAGAAGAACCAGGCTTCACTCCTCTGGCTCCACCTTCATCGTCACTGTCCTCTGAATCTGACGACGACGTGGCAGCACTAGCGGGTGCACTTCCTCTTCCGTCAATACTTTCTTGTCGGACGCTTTTATAATCTCCATCATCTTCATCTTCACTTAATGACGCAACAGGAGTTTCGTAGCCTTCATTGCCGACTTCGCCTCCAGCGTCAGCACTGTAGAAGCTTGCAGCATCGTCGTCATCCTGATTGTGATTTCCAGCGTCAGCACTGTAGAAGCTTGCAGCATCGTCATCATCCTGATTGTGATTTCCAGCGTCAGCACTGTAGAAGCTTGCAGCATCGTCGTCATCCTGGTGTTCGTCACCATCTGGCAAACCAGCTGCCAGAGCAAAGGGAGACGCTGTTCTTCTGGGAACAAATGCCCTCGTCTGCGTAGCTACCAGGTCACCAAGGGTCCTCTCCTTCACATCATCAGATATAATCCTATCATCCAACAAGAAGTTGTCCTCGGGCAAAAGCACATCAGGAGCCAAGAAGATGGCAAGAAGTGCCCGCTTCTTGATATATCTCCCACCTCCAGTTCGCATTTTGTTTTTTTGGTGGACGTCGTGGCTTGTTCTTACAAGTATTATAGCGCACGTGATGAATAATGAATCATGGTGACATTAATGTTCTTGTAGACCACGATTTGCTCGAAGTCGAAGGAACGGAACAAGTATTAAGAACGGGTGAAAATTCCCGTGCGACTGTATCTGTGACTAGCCTAAGTATGATCATGAATAACGATGAGGCCTGGTGCGCGACGTTTCAAATGACACGATCAAAAATCATACCCATTGATCCTCATACTTTCAGGTGTTTCGCGAATACAAAAAAAAGTCAAAAAGAGATACACCCTGCTCGTCCTCCTGGGAGAAATAGTAGAAGTGCGGAAGTGTGAGGTAGACGAGAAAGAAGCCCTTTGCATCATCATCGCTATTTATGACATTTTAAAAACAATGCATGAGTAAATTTCCTAGTCCGACAATCAAATTATTTTAACACCACTTCTACATAGTGGATCTTGTTAAAATAGTAAAGGTTAACCGCACAAAAAATACTCCAGGTGGCAGTCTTCTGTCTGTTGAGTGTTGATCTTCTGTCTGTTGATCTCCTAGGCATAATGTAGCTGATCCTCCCAAAGCTTCAGAAGTTGATAGATTATGGATCGGACGGGTATTTGATCTATTCCTGTTGTCTCTTAAAGAGATCAGTAGCGCCGCCACAGTAAACAGAAACAGATGAGCTTTCCATTCCCTCTGTTTTGCGGAGGTCAGATCACTCTCCTGAAAAGCTCGTGTTGATGCTGATTTTTTTGATTTCCTGTGCTTGATCTTTTTCATTTACCTGATCTATACTCTTGCTTAGCCGTCTTCTCGAGGCTCTGCTTTTTCCAAATGCACCAGCGTGCGTTGTGGAAACTACCTGCGATTCGCATTCCCGCATCCGGTAGTCGTGATACCAGTAGACACCACACCCATGTTTTCTTTGCAAGGCTTCCAGAAGATGAAGGGCTATGACATGCTTTCATAAAATAAACGTTTTTTTTTGAAAATCAGATTTTCAGTGCATGATGGGGGTACAACGGTTTTTGGTGATCGCAATCATGTGGATAGCTCCGACCATCTTTTTGAAAGATGATGTAGTCGCTAAACACATCACAATTGATGACGATGGTTCCATCTAACAAAAGCACTCATGGATCATTCATTCATTCATTCATTCATTTACCTGTTCTGGAGGTATCTTTTGACGCCATGGCGACAGCGTTTCTAATTGTTGGACTTCTTGCTCTATTTCGAAGCTATTCTAATTCAAGCTTTTGACTTCTCTTTTTTCTTCTTTTTAGAAGAATTGCATGCTGCTTTTCTCATTTCGTTCTACTTCTTTTTTGCACTCCCTTTTTGCATTTCCTCACGTGCTTTCTCAATCGGTCCACTCTACTAGAAAGGGCTTGCAATGTCATCTGTTCCTCATTGAAAAGAATCTTCCAGCTGCTGCATTTATGGCATCTGAGATATTTCCTTCGCCTGAATAAGTAGCGTAGTTGTTGCGGGACAAAAATCTTGTGTAAGCGTACTCCTGCGCCGGGGCCTACTCTTCCAGTAGTCCTGTTCTTCATGTGTTGCTCGGGCCTGAGGAGATTCGTGACAGCTCCTAACTCGATGTCAGAGCATCTCCTGACAGTTAGCAGCCGGTAGCACTTTGTTGGTTCACCTTCGTGATGACATGCCTCATGTTGTTTCATTGATCCCCAGGAGGTGTTGAAGTTGATATCGCATATTCGGCAGTGATATCTCTCCGGATGTTTCTTCCTATGCTTCTTCTTTGGGCCTACCGATCTTAGCCGATAGAAGCACACTTCAGAACCACGGCGCTGCTTTTCCTTTTTGGCAGCGTATTCTTCTCTCGTTTCCTCCTTGGCCGCAAGTTGTAGTGCCTTTGCAAGTGGAGATATCTCAGGCCGATCGATCGGGTGACATTCTTCAACATGTCGGATCAATTCCGCAGCTCGCCCTTCTGGCAGCCCTATTTCCCAGCTTTCTGTTGGAGGGACTGCTTTCCAAAAACATCCTGGGCAGACTCCTGCCGCGTGAGGCATTCTTCTTGCTCTGATCTCCTCAAGAGGGATAACTGGTGGCACTTCAATGAACATGATGGGCACATCTTCGGCATCTTCTAACTGGACCTGAGGTTCTCCAGGGAGAACCAGCTTCCTTATCGCTCTGACCCGCTCAAGACTTCCTGTCAGATAAAGGCCGTCTCCACTGTATTGTTCCCATCCTTCCGAAGGCTGGCCGACCTTTCGTATATCTATGGGAGTTCCTCTTGTGCGCTGGAGATCGACCTGATATATCCAGATAGGAACTTCAGCCGAAAGCTTCGCACTTCCTCGATGTACTCCTTTTCCTAAGAACGTACTCACCACGGCTATCTCGGCGGATGAAAAGCAATTGGTGTCAACTGTTACCCCTGGAAGCAATTCCGTCGCCTGCTCTCCTCCTTTTAGTGCAGTTATGGCCGCAGTTGCTTCACCCGTGCACTGTGTCAGCAAGTCTACGCTTATCCTTGGTGAGAGTGGGGCAATTGCTCCGTCGAACGTGGTCCACGTGGTCGCCTTCTCTTTTATCAGGAGCACCTGACGACCCTCATTGCGCTTGCTAGCCCTGGAGTGAATGTGCTTTGCTGATAACTCGCCCCATAGCTTTTCAGCTTCCCATTGGATCTTTGGCCTTTCTTCTTTCGTCCACTCTGCTACTGTCTCTGAGATGAGTGCGACCCTTGTGACTAGATAGTAGAACTCTTTCCGAATGGAATAAGTGGGATCCTCCTGGTCCGCTCCTTCCTGCGCTTTTCTTTGTGGCTGGATGGGAGTCCTGCATTTCCCGTCTTGGCTAGTAGGCAGACTCTTGAGTTGGATTTCTGACCGCGGCAGTTCAGGTGGAGATAGTAGCACGTCAATCATGGCAGGAGATAAGCCGCACTCTCTTATCAGGTGGGCGGCTAGCTGCTCCCTTAATGAGTAAATAACGCGCTCCTCTGGCATAAGATGCCTCTCGTCGGCAACTGATCACAGTTATCTCTAAATAATACATAAATATGGATATGCTTTCACCGCAAGAATTAGATGAAGGTTGATTTGATTCGATTGGTCGATGTACCCATTCACGAGGTATCGCGCCTTTATAATCTAAGGCAGAGTTTAGCCTTCATTTCTGTCGAAGAATAAGAAAGATGACTCCACTGACATCAATTGAGCCCGCCGATAACAACGGAGCAATTGTGTCGAGGTCCACCTCTGCCTCTGGTATTGTTATCCTTCCTCTTTGTGGTGGCGTGTCAGACTCAAGTAGCTCTGTAGTTCTTGGCACGAGGGCACTTCTATGTGCTGACTTATTGTTATTACGAGTCTCGACATCTTCAACCTCCTTGAAAAATACACGCGCCAATCGAAATCGATGCCCAAGAATAGCAATGATGTAATGGCGATACTTATAACATTACGCAGAGTTCGCGGTTTAGCGTTAAGTTTGGCGTTAAGATTTAGATGGAATAATATCGCAGCTCTTCGTCCTTTTCTTCTGCTTTGCGTTTCGCCTCATGCTATTTTCTCTTTTTAGTTAAGAATACGAAAGACGACTTCACTGGCATCAATTGAGACCGCCGATAATAAGTATGCTGGAATCAGTTGCGTTGTGGCCCACCTCTACCTCTGGTGTTCGTATTGGTATCCTTCCTATTTTCTCTACTATACATGGCATGTCTCAACGTCAAGTAGCTTTGTTGGTGGCACTTCTGTTCTACAGCACGAGGGAAATGCTATGCATTGACTCGTCTTTTTCATTACGAGTCTCGACATCTTCAACGACCTGAAGAACAAACGCACCAATCGAGATCGACGATGCCCGATCTCAATACATCCTCAAATAGTAGTAGAATAAGTAATAATACAAGTACATTCGCCAAAACGCCAAAAAAAAAACTTCCGTCCCAAACGCCAAAAAGACTAACTTTGAAAAACGACCATCTATGCAACAAGACTCCACGTTTCATCTCTTAAGTGGATCGTCGTTAGATCTTAGTTTCTTCCTAAGCAGAAGTATATACAGACACCACTGCTCATAAATTCTCATCTCCTTCTAGCTTTTTCATTCATATTTAGAAAAATACTGTTCAATCAAAGGTATAAATTAAGGCACTTCTCATAGTATGGTCCGGATACATCATGTCGTCTCCTGTTAGAGTAGTCGTCCTTGTAACAGGACAACTATTACTTCGAGTAACCACAGGAATTCCTAAAGTGATACTAGATGCATGTCCTCACGACAGGACGCTGACTACTTCTTCGCCACTGCTGTCAGAACTGGAACTGGCAAGATAAGCACTATCGCTGAGAGGACTGGAGACAGTCTCACTGCTGGGAGTTGATGTAACGCCATTATTATTCTCTTCTACTCTTTCCACAACTTTAATATTGGACTTCTCGGACATCTGAGCGCCAGATGAAAAGTTCACATGTTCAGGTTCCTGACCAGGCAAGACATCAAACCAGTTGCCTGTGCTTGGGCGAACAACCTTAGCAGCGAGATCGCCACTACCATTAGCTCTTCTTGCTATTCCATCTTCGAAGAACCTTATTAATGTTGCTACGTTGCGGACGGTGGCAATATTGTTACCTTCTTCTTTTTCAGGGTTAACGCCTCCGTGTGCTGGAATAAAAAGAGCATCGCCATTGCCCAGCTCCGCAACGGCGCCGTTACTTTCAACAACTGCAGCTGCTAGCTCCTGTCGAGGACCAAGCTCCTCTACTGCGTCCTCGTATCGCTGCCGCTCTTCCTCCTCGCTCTGCGCGTGGCCGCCTTCTACCTCCTGGCCACCCACGCGAGCCTTAGATAACAAGCCCTTCAACTTTGTTGCGAACAAGGTAGCACGACCCATAAATCGAAAGTCAAACTGACACTTTTTCTTTCCTTCGCCTCCTCTTTTGAGCAGGTCTTTCTGTACGCGGAGCACGCCTTCTTCGGACAATTCTCCATCTTTGCATCCGTCAAAGTGAGAGTGTTCCCAGCCATCGAAGTAAGTCGTCTTCGCGTCCTCCTCGCCTTCCGGATTTACGACGCCTGAAGAAAGCGACTGTCCATAATCGCCCTGACCTTCGCCTCGTCCCGCACCGATTTTCATTTCTTTGGATGCAAGAATAGCAACAGGACTGGCCGCAAGAACAAAAGGAGACAATTTCTGGCTCATATCTGCAGCACCCATCGAGACCTTTCCATCCTCTTCTGTCAGCTTTGCCAGCAAGGAAGCATCTCCCAAAAAGACAGCGAGGAGAGCCCGCTTCTTGAAAAGTTTACCGCCGAGGCCCATTTTGGATCAAGATGTTGATCTTGGTTCAATGAATGTGAGTCAAGAATGAGTCAATCTATCGACCTAGGTATGGAAAAGTTCGGAGTTCTTTATTACTTTTGTTGGTTAGTTGAAGGTTTTTTTACACTTGTTCTTTCGAACAAAGTAGTAGAAGTTGATGTAAGTAGTTGTTGAGTGAGTGTAGTTTCAATCTTCTAATAAAGAAGAAGAAGAGGTTTTTGAATGCAGTAGTTATGTGTCTGATCAGTACGATCGCACACAAGCAGACGAGGCGCTGGTGGAAGCCTGACAGTTATTGATGGGAAGAAAGAATTGGAGCAGGTATACATTGTTCACGCTTAAGTGCGCAGTCAATAGTTTTCGTTTTTGTGAGTGCACTAGACCACGAACACCGCCGAAACCAGTACAAGCCTAAGCATCGCGATTGATGAGCCTAGTCGTCAGCGACGCTAACAAACCAGAAGGCACAAATTGGGCGATGATGGTCGTTTCATCCTTGTAGCGATCATCAGTTCCTTCATTCATTAAAATCCTGGGGATCTTCGTGGATCTTTATGGCTTGAATGAATGAATGTACCCACTCCAGGGGTTGAAAAGACCACTAGCACACTACGCGATCATGTGTTGATTTTTTACTCATCTTTCCAGAGAATTAGAACTAATGGAAGTCCATCCTCAGCAGCATCTTGGGTCTCCTTTTCCCTTTAAAAACGGGACCAAGATCACAGTGAAAATGGAGTTCTTGTACCCTTAATAGAATATCGCGTCCTCAAACGATCTTTTAGAAAACTTCTCTGTTGAAGAAACTTGCTTCTGTCATTTGCTGGCCCTACAACTTGTGAACTACGGGCTGCTCTACCCACAACAGCGCCAATCGCAAGTCTTCTACCAAATTTTGTGCAGTCACATCTCGACGAAGAGGGACCTCAACACCAGCATCAGACGAGGATGACGAAGATAATGATGATATGAACTCCGAGAGCACATTGTTGCAGCTAGTACTGCTTCCACCTGCTGAAATTGAAAGCTGCTCTGCGTCATCTCCACGTCCACCAGATGAAGATGAAGATGATTCTCGCAAATCGAAATGATCTCGGCCACGATCTCCGCTTCCACTTCTGAGCAAGGACTTCCTCAAGGCTGTTGCAATCTTGGCTGTCTTGAGGCGATGCAGTTCTGCTTTTTCTTCTTCATTTTTTCTTCCTCCAAAACAAACGAAACGATGAGCTTGACGAAGATCTTTTTCCAAGGCTACATAGGGCGTTGCTATTTCCCTGACCATTTCGCGTGCAAAGTTAGTTAAACTTTCTTCAAAAAAGATGTGGCTTTCTTCAGTGCTAGTACGAGATGAAAAATTCTTCCCGAAAGCGCAAAAGCGCACTAGAGGCGAAGCAAGAAGAATAGACGAAAGCGTCAACGTCGTGTTACACCAAGGTGGATGTACTGCACTACAACATGCGCTAGGACAACATGCGCCAGTACAAGAACTAGTGAGACACGCCGTTGTCGAAGTGAGGCTTGGGCCAATCGCAAGGGCCCCACACGCAGCCACAGTGCTGCAGTCTAGCAAAATCGGCATTACAGTTTCGTGGCAATACGGGTTCCGGTATCGCGAATGCTCAAATTGCTTGTAAACACAAATGCCACAGCTATGAGGACAGCAGATACACGAAAGAAAGCAGCAAAGCTCGCATGGGTTCTCACAATGCTCGAGCTCCATGACGGGGCCACGTCGAGCCCGCATGGCCACGGGATGCTGGTGACCATCTGGGGTAGTGAGAATGTAGCTCACTACCAGATCCCTGCGGGGCTGGAAATATTCCTGGTTGATACGCTCCAGACTTTGCACAATACCACTCCAAATGCCGTGTCGATGCTTGGCAGCTTCTAACTCTTCAGGTTCAGCTGATAACACACTATCCAGGAATTTAGACACAGAATCCGCCACAGGTGCTCGTAGAATTTCTACTACGAACTCACTTGCTTTCACGGCACCCACTTTTTGTACCAAGTCTAACATTTTTCGTTGCCGGATATACAATCCCGATGTCAGCTGCAAAGGCGGCTCCTCCTGCTGCCGTGGCTGCAAGAACATGGAACTGGAACTGGAAGCAGAAGTGCGAGCACCTCTCGTATGCTGTTCGGTACTTCTAATCATAGGATTAGGAGTATCCCTGCTATGCCCAGTAATAATATTGGCTTGATTTCCCTGGTGCTTTCGGACATGTTCAAGCCAAGTTTCTTTTTCATACTGCATCTCTCTCTCCAGATTCTTCCACAAGTTCTCACGGACAGCTGCCTCTAAGACGCGGCCATCTCTTCCACCTTCAGTACTACTCTTAAAAAACCGAGCATCCACGTCTCTTGCGACTGTAAGAGGTACTTCCACTGGCTGCCATCGCCGTGGCAAGAACTCTTCAGTAGGGAAGGCATCTTCATCTTCTGTGCTAGTTTCCTCCTCAGTGCTTGACTCGTCTGAGCCGGATTGCGTGCTTCGTCCACTTTGACAACCTTTCTTCTTGAACTTCAATAGTAGCTTTCGTAAGTTTTCCTGTTCTTGTGTCGGCACGAGGTCTTCAAGCCTTCCACCTTGCCGACACACTACACAGCGTTGCTCCGCTGCATAAACAGTCCTCGCAGTCCTCACTGCAATCCCGTTGCCGCTCCGACCGTTCCCATATCTTTTCGCTTCCCGTCCTTCGTCTTTCGCTTTCTTACTTGCATTTTTGAACATCTTATTTTTGCATTTCGCACACAAAGCATGCCCACAGAGATGCCTATAGTACAACGACGTAGACTCCCCAACCCCATCTTGATGTTCTCTTGCTACCTTGAGACAGATCGGGCACATCATAGGTTCTGGAATCTCAATCCCACCATCGTAGTTTTGGGATTTCAGCAGGTCAAACATAGCCACATCTTCGGCACGGATTCGGAACAACTTCTTATGCTGGTCCTGATTCGTCGTCGTTGTCGGACTCTCGCTGCGGTCCTCGATCATCTTCTTGTATTCGTCGTGGTGTGGACAAGGACCAGGACCGGGAACACTTTCTCCTTCTCCTTGAATATGAGCGTCCAGCCTGCTCGTTGCTGATACCATCTCCAGCTGTCGTGGCGATGTCAACAAGCGCGCTCCTGCCGGGTGACCTTGATGACTACGAAATATAGACGCGGCAAGAACGCCATCACGCGGCATCGTTGCCACAACTAAAAATAGGTGGGTAATGACACCTCCTCGAAAATACGCCATGCTTGCGAAGCAGTTAGTTCTTAGTTACTAGTGCAAGTCTTGAAAAGGTTGATCGATGTTGTGCAACAAGGTGGAGCAAATCAAGCAAGACTATTGAACTACGCATCAATCAACTGTAGCTAACTGATGCGCTCCAAAGCAACAAGTTTTTAAATGACAAATATATAGGCCCTTGAGCCAAAATGTAGTCAATCCGTCCAACAAATGAATTAAAGTACGGCTCATCACTCATTCAAGCTCTTGCGCCAAAATGATCAGGCTTGAGCCTGATCATCCTGTTCCTCATCCTGATCTTGATCTTGAGCCTTAGCGTCACGATCTGAGTGTTTATCTTACTGTAGATCCTCATCCCTAACAGAATTTCTTTTGAGAGATCTCATTCTGTGGCTTTATCTCTGTTGAACTATTGCTGCTACATCACGATAGTGCATTTTGCTGCACAACACTTACTGTAGATCCTCATCCCTAACAGAATTTCTTTTGAGAGATCTCATTCTGTGGCTTTATCTCTGTTGAACTATTGCTGCTACATCACGATAGTGCATTTTGCTGCACTCGCATTCTTTTCTCATCGTCAGGAGATCATCAAGATCGTGTACTATAACGTCATTGAATTCGAACCTTCGCAATACACTCATCGCAAACACTCCAGCGGAGCTATGGCTATCACAGCGAAGCAGGACTAATTATATTTTCAGTTTGTGGAGGGAGTGGAGGAGATAAAAAGCGGGAAAGAGGTCTGAAAATCACCATGCGGGAAAGAGGATAGATGGTTCACAAGAACATGACATGATTTTTCGTTTTGAAACAAGAGGGTGCATCAGATTGCATGACTGTGCTTCGCATTTTCTACGGTGAAAAAGTGCCACTGCTCTTTTGGACAGGTAAAACTCGTTCTCGTCTAAACTATCTTCCCGCTCCTTAGTCCTCGTACGCATTTCCCCCAGCCTCTTCAGCTTCACCCAGATCGTTGGCGTCTGCATCATCGAGTGCAAACTTATAATCTTCATCGCCAAAGGCACCCTCATCCTGCTCACCAGCATCACTGCCAAAATCGCTACCCTGATCCTCCTTCTCGGAATTTTCCTGCGATTCTTCTTCAGCATCAGTGACATCATGATCTTCTTGCTCTCCTGTTGCAGGAGCTCCTGTTGTGCCACCCTGAGCATCTGTTCCTGCATTATTAACAGTTCTGTTCGCTGTTCGTCTTTTCTTAGCTGGAGGCGGAGGAACCTCACAGAGTTCTAAGGGGAAATGTTCGGGACCCACGACAAGATTCTTGAATCGCATCTGGTCAAAGAATGACATTCGCGCGCTACCCTTCATCGGGCTCAGAGAACTGCTTATGTTGCTAGAAGTCGATGATGAATGTTGTTCAGGTTGATGTGATGCATTCATCCTCTTATTTGTTGAAGATGCTGAGCCACCATGTTGTGGATCTAATGCTCCAACATATTTTGCAATCGCTTGTTGACAAGCTACAAGTTCATTCGGATGCAAGCCGCCAGTAAAAGCTGAAAGCGTCACAGGATATGGCTTCGGCATTGGCAAGAAAGCGCCAGTTCTATTCGAACTCGAGCAGGAGGTGTTGTCTACATTCGTTTGAGCTCTGCCTCTGTTGTTCTTGCCACCAGTAATCTTGTCGCTGCTACTTTGATTCCATATCTGATCTCCATGTTGATGTTGAGTAGTTCCACCTCCCAGCACTAAGTGCTTGAAATTCCTCTCCATAAACTCGCGACGGAGCCTTTCGTGATGAGCAGCATCCTCATTCGCGATTTCGTGGTGCTGTAAAACGCGCGTCGGATTGATAGGATCCGGCACGCCGTCCACATGCTGTTGCAGGCATTCCAGTTGTCTCGGATCTTCGGGATATAAGGCTAAGGGACCACCAGTCTCCCGAGACGGGGCAGATGCTTAGAGAGGGATCCCTTTGGGGGATGTTGTAGTTTCTTGAAGATGTGGAGGCTCTTCCTTGTCGTGGGAGTAGTAGAATTATAGTAAGTTATAGTAGATGAATATTAGAATACGAATAGTAAGTTATGTAGCAGAATACGAATAGTAGATTATTATAGTAGATGCCAACTGGAAAATAAATCTTCCTTGTGGGACGAGAATACATATGGTCTACATGAAAATTTAAAATAGAGAGAAAGTGTTGTAATCAGGCAGTACCTAGTAAGTAGAGAGATCTTCTACATTGTCAGAAGAGCAAGAATCTAGACATCATCATAATTCGCTGTCTGGAAAAAGCTTCGCTTTCCCTTCCCTTTGCCGCCCTTCTTCCCCTTTCCGCCACCACCCATTTTTGATGTGATATTACTTAATAGTTGTGGTGGAGCCGACCTAACTTCTAGAAAAAAGACAGACCAGAGGAAGATATAAAAGAGAAAAGGGCAACTATTGATAGTGATGAATTAGGTCGTCAAGATGTCGTCTGTCACAGGCGATTGAAATAGATGAAAATACAGTTGTCCTCGCACGAACCTTACCTTCTCGTGAGCGATAAGTTTTTATATCAAACTAGTACTTCTAGACGAGAAGGGAACAAGAAACGCCCGGATCCAGAGATCATCTTCCCCCGAGCCACAATATGATCGTCACGAGGAACTACCATCGACAATGAGACCAGGCGGTATCGAAGCAAGAAGACTAGATCGCTTTCTTTCACAGAGCGAAGTAGATCTCGCAGAGGCTTTGTCAATAAACGTGATGATCAGGTCCCGGAAAACGTCGAACAAGTCTCATTGATTTGGATTCACTACCATGAATGTAGAAGCGGCGTTTGCTCGTCTGCAGGAGCTTCGACGATGAAAACTAGTTTGGCCAATGCTTCAGCTTCTACTATTGCACCGACATCTCCCCAAACATCAGTGGTCTTTCATTTTCATAGAGGCATAGGGCTCATAGCAGCTTTGAGGATAAGATGCTGTCGTCATTTTTCTTTTGTCTATCTGTCTTTCTTTGGGTATGATCATCAAGTTTCTTTGTGCTTCGCCCTGTTCAAGTTTAATTTGTATTCATTCTGCTCTACGCCCCGCCTTTTCTACACACAATTTGCATTCTGTTTTCTGAAGATCAAGACATGACTTGTTATCACATCTCTATTTTTTGAGTCGTGAGATTTCGGCACAGAGATCTTCAAAACAGATACTGTTACTCATTTTCATGGAGGTAACTGCCGAGTAGAGTGAAACAAAGTTGTGATTACAATATAATTCGATTTGCTAAAAACCTCCTTTATCGTCAAACGTCATTCTTCCAAAACCTATATTCATGTTTGCCTAGTACAATGGTTTCGTAGCACATCCTAAAATCGCCAATCAATGAGAAAGCTGCACACCTAGCACTCTTCAACGTCACAGGCTTATTCTTTTCCACAAAAACGTGAGCACACCATGCAAAGGAATAACCCGCGAGAGCAGCGCCGAGAAGACAGCGAAGGAAGAGGATTAGAGCAGAAGAAGGATTCAGATTTGAGATCAAATAAGTTAACATGGAAGTGCAAGACGAGACGGTGACCTCAAACTTAAGTAATTGTACTTTCATCACATCGAGCTGGAAGCTAAGGTCGTTATTCTCTACTCACGAAGTCTCCCTCTTTATGGCACCAACTAGATTTTACATATCCAAAAAAACATGATAAGTAGTTAAAAATGAACCACAAAAAAGAGTGGTTGAAAAGAAGACTCAAAGAGGAAAAACGCAAGCATTTCATCACATCGAGCTGTCATAACATATCCGTGAAGCAGTCGAGATGGAAGCTAAGGTCGTCATTCTCCACTGTAGACGGAGCCAAGAAAGCGGAGAGTCCACCCGAAGCCCCTATCGTCGCCAGATACAAGAATATTGCGAGACGGAGATTAGAGGAAGGTTGTTAGTGGCGAAGGAGAGTGGATCACAGAAACTCGGGGCAGAGGGGATTGAGGCAGTGAAAATTATCAACCAGATAGAAACTCCGAGTGAACAGAGTGCTCTTAGTACTGTCGTACTTCTACATATTCTACATCCACTTACTTAAAATGCCTCACAACAGGATGAAATTCATTTCATAACAGACACCAAATAATAGCATGCGCTGAGGAGGAAGGGCAATGAGCAGCATGTTCCACAGCAATGCAGGAATTTTGTTAGCGGTTTCCTGTGCTCAGTCAGATAGTAGGGATAGAACTCCCGGAAAGTCGTGATCTCGGTCGGATCGCGAGCTGCTATCAACGGCTCTTCCAACTGTTGTTGTTGAGTCGACATTTTTTATCATTCGGCTTGCTCTGATGTTTACCTAGTCTAAGTGGAGAAAGAGAAAAAATACCTAGTCTTTGTGGAGGTGAAGAAAGAGGTAGGAATGAATGGTCACGCTTAGGATAGAAGAAGATACTGATGTGCAAAGGAAAAGGTAAGTAGTTGTAAAACTCATCAAACAACCATGCTCATCGATGTGGATGGTCTACTTCTACTAGGTAGTTGTATCAGTAATGGTAATGCACCTTTTCTCTATAAACTTGATTGAGGCGATAAAGAAAAGCAGAATCGTAAACGCAATATAAGTTTTGTACACAGATTGAAACGCAACGTACAGACTAAAATGTTTCTTGAAGTAGACTTGTGGAGGGGTTGTTGTGGGAACCTTCTAGACCATTATCTTGGTCGAAACTGGATGGGATGTGAAAGGGAGCTTGTGTTTGAATTTAGGCATGATGAATGCCTGTGAAAGAATCAATGACAATATCACAATCACATGTGAATGAAACAGAGTCAATACAGAGAAGATGACAAGGAATTCTTTGACACAGCAACAAGTCAAGAAATGGCGCAAACGCATGGAGGATCGTTTTCACGGTGAGCCGAGAAACACAAAGCACAAAACGAAATATCATGAATACAAGAAGTACTCTCTCGTCACGATCTCGCTTCTATCATCACTGCAGTAGAACACTTCTGAGGACGCCAGATTGACGCCAGATTTCCCGCAATTTCCAACACACCATGAGGACCAAAGCGTCAAAGAAAAAGTAAGATAAGAACTGAAGCTTGAGTTCTGCGATTGCTTTGATTGAGGCCAAAACCATTTACCTTTATATTCAGGGAAAAGTCAGAATGTAGTTTGTTTCAGAAACCAGCACGGTGAATGCCCATAATCAATATCAATATCTACCATCTACGGGTGTTCATTAATAATGGTGACGGAACCACTTTGCGATGTACGCATAGCTATGACGCTCTCCGTCTTCGACTGACGAGGATATAAGTACACGAACCAAGAATGACGGGGAAGGGGATGAATAAAAACACGGATGAGAATGGGTAGCGGTAGTAATGAGCGTAATGTATTTTTCTCATGACTGATTGAAAATGTAACTGCGTACTACATACATTTGATTGAAGGTCTTCCATAGCTTCTATTGCACAAGAAATCATCTTTATAGTCCTCCAGATAAATATATATCGCTCCTATTTACGTCCACCTCCACTGAAACAAAAACTTCGAAAAATCATGCATCCTAGAAGACAACATGCTCAAAAAACTTCTACAACGTGGTCAAGCTTAGCTCACCTGTAACACAACTCACGACACATGTTCAAAAAACAACGTTCGCGCGGATGCAGGGTCCAGAAAGGTAGCGCGATATCGATTTACTGCTTCTTTTGGTGGACTTAGCAGCTCTCGATCGATCAGATGCCACCAGCGACCACGCGGTGCACCAGTACAGTCCGCCTGGTCTTTGCTTTTGCGTGGGACACTGGGGTCGCGTTTGTTTTTCTTCTCGTCGTTTGCTCGATCCTGCTTCGTGGAGTTATCCTGTGTTCGAGCTGGCGAATCGGATCGAGTTTTTTTGGTTGTATTAGAGGTAGGCTTTTGGTGTTCGTGGGTTCTCCCGCTTGTCATGGCTGTCCCCACCCAAGTGAGAGAGCCATAACAAACGGCAACAAAAGCACCTTTAACCTAGTAGTACCCTTAATCGAAGCACCAAGATGATCATTCATCTTCTTACGACCAGCCTCATGTGGCTCTCCAGCCTCTTCATCCGTTTGGTCTTTGCGCATATGCTGACAGTAGAAGGTAGACGGAATCGGAAGGAGTTTGCTCTTCTTGTAACTGTAGGGCAGAGGCGGCGGACACTCGTTTTCGTCATAGAGATCTTGGTCCATGAAGAAGATTGCTAGTGTCTTCTTGTTGACCTCAGATGCAGTTGGGATCATATCTACTTCCGTGACCACACCACGAGGACCTCCAGGCGTTGTGGAGGTTGTCGTCTTTTTCATTTTCTCATCTTTCTTCGTTCCTAGGAGTACTGCACCGTCTTCCTCCAACGCCCAAGAAGCTTGTTCCCGCTCGAGTGCTTCTACACCACCAGACACCTCTTTGAAGTGGACAGGAGTTCGGAACTGGATTTTTGAATCCGGCTTTGCTTTGAAAATAGCTTCTATCGATAACGATGACGACTTAACGCCTTCATCAGTTACTGATGAAGATGGTGATGGAATCATCTGCGTTACTTTTGATGAGGAAGAAGAAGAGGAAGATGTTTGTGCTGGAATTGCTAGATCTACCACAACTGAAGATGTCTTCTCGTTTTCATCCTCAGGTGGAAGCAGCCTCTCTTTGTCTTGTTTTTTATCTGCATGATAAACAGTTTCTGTCTGTGCCGCTGGTGCACTTTCCAAGCCATCTTCTTTGACCTGGTCCTTCTGCAGCCCGGTGTCATCTACCACGTCCGGACTCACGTGTGCGATTTCCTCGGGGTCTTCCGTACAACAGATGAGAAGAGTTAGAGAGTGAAGGTTCATCATCCAAGGTTCTACTTCTGGTTCTTGTGCCTGCAACTACATCTGCAACTGCATGATGTACAGTTTTAGCTCACTACAACTATGAGTAGTTATTATACTTCTTATGAGCATCTATTATTTACGTCCAGAAGATCACAGCAATAGGAGCCAAAGCAGCTGTCATAACTTCTGAAGTATCCGCAGGTTTCTTTTCTTTCGCTCTGGCGTGCCGAATACCCTACTCCATTCACCTACGGCCACGAAGAATTCCAATCCTCGATCATCACGTTTTTCCACCATCTCAACAGGCAGCTTCTCGTCTTGTTCCTCCTCTTCCGACTCAGGGCAAGAAGTTGCACGGTCCGCCACAACACGAGCAGCAGCTGCACGACTACCAGTCATACTTTTCTCGTTATTTTTCTTTCGGCTTTGCTCAGGGGAATGCTTCTTTTTTGATGATGTGCTGTCCGTGGCGGTTCTATTTCTAGAAGAACTCTCACGCCCGTTATCACGATTTTTAGTCTTCTTCCCTTTAGAGCGAAGAACCTTCTTTGCACCACGTTCTCTAGTAAAATCTTTACATTTAGACGAAGTATTTCGTTCGATCTCCCATTCAGATGACGGAGCACTGTCATCAGCGTCTCCCCTTGCAGGAGGTCCTCTAGAGTTCATCGTGGTACTAGTTCTTGTGTAACAATAGCTGGTATAAGCATCTGGCTGTTGATCTTCATCACGCTGTCTTCCTTGTTGTTCCCTCTGCGCATTTCTCCCTGCAGCTCGGCCAGCGATAGATGAGCTTGAACTTGTTCTATGATGCTGTTCTTCATCGGCCGCTACACCACGACTCGGCGACACCGGTGGCGAGGAGGCGGTGGTCGAAGGCGTTGCGACAGGCTGATGCCAACAGCGGTAGCCGCGCGCTGCGAAAAAGTCAAAGTCCGGCACTGTGTAGCGAAGAAAGTCCGTATTTGTTTCACCACCACCTTCATCGTCCTGCTCGTCTTCTCGATATCTGTCCCTGTCGTGGCGTCTGCTACCGCGTCGTCCACGTCCCCTACGTTCACGACCGACAGAAACTTTATGCACTGCGCGAATCCAGCAGAGCTGATGAAGGCACGGTAGAGGTAAACAATGTTGAGTCATTATACTATAGCTTTGCAACCTATAGCAGGACTTTGTCTTGTCGTGCTATGAAATATTAGTCAATTTTCTATCATGCATCGTCAAGAATCTGCCAAGATTAAAGAACAAAGAGGAAGTACCATGGTCGAACTCATCAATTATCAGTTCTAGGATTAATAGAAGCTCTAGAAGGTTAGATTCTAGACAAAATACCGGTTCAATCGGTCCCTCATGCCGTCTGCTGCCACCTCCATTTCTTGAATTGGATTTCAGATCATCGCCTTCCACAAACACCTCATATCTCGGCTCACCATTCTTCAGATTCTCCGAAGCGATCAACTTCAACTCATCAATGGTGGGTAGACGATTGCGTTCCTTCAGTGGCCGCAGATGCGTCCTCAAAACCCAATTTCCGCGATCACGCATGGTGCTGGCGTCATAACGAAGTATAGAGTTCAAACTGCTCTTCGAGTAATGCACTAAAGCGTGACCACACTTCTCACGGGCTGAGCGAAGTTTTTCATTCCTCATCATCCTCCTCTGATCGCGCTCATTCACCCATCGTCTTCTAGACTCCCACTCATCAGAGTGGCGTGGCGCTTTGCCCTTTCCCTTACTGTTGGAGCCCTTGCCTTTACCATACTGACCATGACTATCTTCTTCGTAGTAGGAGTAGTCTTCCTCTTCGTTTTCTTCTCTCCCCGACCTACTTTCATAGTGGTCTCTGCCTGCCCAGTGGGAGTCATCATGGCCTCTTCTGTGGTAGGCATAATCATCATCCTCTTGTCTGTCATTGTGTCTCCTGTAGCCACTGGAGTCGTCTCGCCTATGATGATGATCTCTATCAGCATAATTGTCCCAGTCCCAGCTGGTTGTACTGTAGTAGTTGTAATTATAGTTTCTGTCGTCAGTCGTCGTGCGCTGATCGTAGTCATGGTTTCTTGTTGTGCTACTAGAAGACGCCGAAGATGAGTTTGAATTGATGTTCCTGCTTGGGTTTGCTGGACTGCGATCGTGGTCATAGAAAATATCATCATCCGCGCTACGGTTTCGATCCCTTGTTCTAGCGGGCGAGGTATCATCAACATGTTCGTCTGCATGATCTTCACCACTAGTGGTATCTTCTACAACTTGTCTGGGTGGAATATCATCGTCTTCATCAGCATCATCCTCACTAGAAACGCTAGCTCTTCTATGGGGGATATCATCATCTTCTTCTTCTGAAAATGTTCTGAGTGTGCTCTTTCTCCGAGGCGTTGCTCCAGCATCCTTGAAACGATCAGATTTTGGTAGTAGGTTAATAGAAGAAGAAGCTCCACTTGGAGAGGTATTTTGGTCAACAGACATCCCGTTCGCGACGTCCTCATCACTGCTAGTAACGCAAGTAAGGTTAGAGCTGTCCGTAATTCATCTTTCAAGTGCATCCTTGAAAAGTATGGGAGAGTATTCCCTTAGGATACTCCTCCATACGTAGTTCCAGGGATACGCCCAAAGATGTATTAGGTACAGCCTTAATAAGGAGTGCATCTTCTCGGTTGCTCTCCTCTTTCTTCTTACCTTTTTTAGCCTTCTTCATCTTCGCTCTATTCTCTTCCTCCTGAGCAAGCTTTTCCATCCTCGCACTCGCGCTACAAAGTCGACCAGGATCTTCGCTTTCTCGACTTTTTAGCGTAGTAGAAGAAGATGTAGTTGTAGAAGAAGTTGTAGTTGCTTCGTTTTTAACAACTACTTCGCGTATTGTTTGCAGGTCTTGCAGCTGCAGCTCGTCCTCGTCCTCGCTAATTCTACCTGTATCACCAGAGGACGAAGAAGAACCGCCTCCGATGTCGGCTTCTTCTGCCGCTTCGACGTCACGCGTCGCTAGTAGGGACATGATGTTCAATGGTACTGGTGGGTGTAGGAAACGAAAAATTCAAGAAAAAAAGATCAGTATTTTGATTTTGGAATCTTTTCAATGAAAGTTCATCTTGTTCGACATCATGTTCAAAAATATCTTGAGGTTGAAGTAAGTCTTCGAGTTTTTCTGTGTCTTGATTTACCACACAGAAGTTACACATCTATTTCGGAAACCGACACGACACGCGGTCGCAGTCCGAGTTCGACAGTACAAGAAGAACTCTTCACTTATTATTGCCATTCCAAGTCGGCAAAAACTTGAACTTCACCATTTGCAATAGGCCTTTGTATGTCTCATTCGCCTTTTCTGTGAAAAATTACGTTTCATGAAATAAAAGCACGCTGGCAGGCGGGACACGATATTAACACACACACAACTTATCCGCGGACTTGTTCGGAGACGCGGCATTTCGTGTACTCATGCCTCTGGGCCTCGCCATCTCGTAATTTCTTACGGAAAACTTACTGTTACTGTGCAGTGCAGGTGTGGTGCTGAGGCTGACGATTCGCAAATTAGTGTAAGGAGTTGAGGGAGAGGATGCTCAAGTAGGAGTAGAATTCCTACCACCAACACCAATGCGAGAAGAAAGTTGGTACTGACAAAGCTTTTATCGTCTTGACGCTTGCAAGCAAACAGGCAAACTGTATGTTTTCGACTAAGTCATAGATCATCAAGCTGTCGCTGAGACTAAGGCTATGCATATACTTTGATGAAAAAGTGATAGAACAACAATACGAAACGTCTGACTCACCTTATTCTTGGTGAGTGTCGTGAGTGCCCTCGAGTGTTAATCTAAGGCTTTCACTAAAAGGCAGTGCACGACATCGACATGTACATATCTTTATAACGATAAGACCAAGCAATTCAAAAAAAAGCAACTAGAACTCATCTATCCACGAATAACCCATTTCAGAAAAGCAACTTCGAGCACTATCAACTAAGCCCAGCGGGCCACACAGGAGCACTAAAGCTCGATCGCCATCTTCCTCCTCATCAGCAACGCTTCCTACATGCTTTTGTAGTAGATCCGAATTCACATGCTGTCCACGAACAACTTCTGCGTTCGCTGATATAGTCGTACTCGACGCAGAAGCTTTCGAAGATAAGACATGCACCAATTTCTGCAATACGCCCTCTTCCACGCAAGCTTCGACCATATTTCTGCACAAGATGTCCTCTTCTGATCGATTCGCGTAAATCAGCTCAACTGTGGGAAGTACCCTGGTGCCACGGCCGTCTTCATCTAGACGGAGATACTTCTTCTCCGCACACATGTAATTGAGAATTTGTAGCATAGGTGTGATTCCGGTCCCTCCCGCTACCATCACGACACGACTGAATTTCTGAGACTTATTGGAGTCGGCCTTGCGATCATTCGCACTCGAAGAACCAGTAGCAAACTCTCCACAACCCAAATACTCAATGTGGCCAAAGGGACCAGCAAACTGGAGACAGTCGCCTACGTGTAGCTTGTCCAAGTAGTGATGCGTCAAGCGGCCTCCGTCTGGAAAGTGCGACGATGACGAAGAACCGATCTCCTGCATCTCAATAGTAATTGAGCTCCCACACCCACTACCACTTCCATGATAAATCTTGACCACCAAATCAAAATATCCATTCCCACAAGCAACAGGGGTAAAGGACCGCTTAATCTCCAAAGGTTGTTTTTCCGCTACACTTTGCAGTTTGTTATTCCACTTCTCTTTCTGATAGGCTGCATTGTCGCAAAACAAGGAGATATGTTGGCCACACGGCAAACCGGATGCCAGGAAAGGATGTCGCTGTTGATCGTCGAAATTGTAGCTAATCCGAATCCGTTTCGTGTTGTGCGTGAGGGAAACAATTTCTGTAATTTTCCCCACTTTCCTTTCGTTTCTCTTTTCGGGATTCAGAAAAACTGGGACAGGAACCAGGTCATCGACATCACTGCTCGTTCTGCTTCTAGACCACTTCGTCGCAAGTTCATTTCCAAAAGCACAAGCAAGATTTTGTGTGTGGTATAAGGTCTCACGATTATCGAAGCGGTCCCGCTGCATCTCTCTGGGAAAGTCCGAGACTCGACTTCTGGAAATATTAGCAGTCCAAGATTGGCCGATAGAGGTAGTCCACCTCTCGTCGATTGTATTTGATGCGGATTGTTCCACATGTGTCTCATGCGGAGCAGACGTGGTTACCTTCGCACAACAGCCTAAGAAGACTTTCCCCACACGACCTTCGTCCACAAACTTTTGATAGTGCGCTCGAAAGTGCGGCAAGACTGGGTCGACAAGCATAGAGGCATCAGTAGCTCCTTCACGTTGGAACTTCGACTCCAATTTCTTGATCATTCCCTTACCATCTCTCTCCATGTTGCGCAACAGCTTTTGCAAGCAGTCAGCATCGCATTCGCCTGTTATAGGATTGACAAAAATGTGGCTGCATCGTCCACAACTTTTCACTGTGTCGAGTTGCAATCGACTTTCAGGCTGTGACTTGATGCGTCCAGATTGTGTCCCTGCGGTAAGAGAACGCCAGCTGTCTTCTGAGAATGCACCACTGGCAATAGTATCGTCTTGGTCTCGAGAATTCGTATCTGCACGTCGAAAAACAATGTTGGGTCTAAACCTTCTTGTCGTCACATGTAGAGGTTCCGTCAGTCCATGTTCTTCCCGCAACCCTTGGTTTACGTACCTGAGCGTCTCTTCAGTCACGTACATAAAAGGCGTATAATTCGCAGCTCGTGGATGAAAATATTCGGCTGGGTGATTCTTCGCATTAGCGATTTGTCTGCTTGCGACCCACAGAAGTCTAACACGTGGCACCACAGTGTCTGTAGTACTGTGCTCTGGTTCGTGTACAGCCTTAAGAAAATTCGTGATGAAGTCCGCAGCTTCGTCACCTTGGTCTATGCCATCTATCAAGCACTTGTCGTACATTAAGATCGATTTTTTATTGCTCTCTCCATCAGGCAGGATTTGTGCTTCGACTCGGGGCACGAATATCGATCTCCTGCTGGCAGTATCAACATCTTGATTGCTGTTGTCTTTTTTATTGATGCTTGTCGCAAAACTGCTTCCTTCCACCTCCATTTTCTGCCAAAACTTTTCCTCCTTACCTTTCGCAACACCATCAAAGGCCAACTGAATCGTCATACCTTTTTCACTTGGCATAGACGGGTGAATAAGAGCAAGAGCGCCCAGATCGTAAGGTTTCAGCAGATCGTAATAGCTTTTGGCGTTAGCGTCCTCTTTCACTAGAACGTATTCCCGGTCACCTTTAAAACCGTGTGCGGTAACTTCCGCACTATCAACTTCCACTCCTCCACAAGCTTTGATAGGGTACACAAAGATTCGTGCCACGCGGAGGTCTTCATCATCGGAAGAGGCTCGCTTTCTTCCACTATTTGTTGTACTTGCAGTGACCGTATTAATATTGGAGGATGATACAGCTTCCTCTTCCAGCGAGGACGACGAGAAAGGCAGACGCAGAAATATCTTGCTCAAGTAGCCTGGAAAATAAACTCCGACAATCACTGCCAGCAAAAAGCACATCACGGTTACGCCATCCCACTTCCCGACATAGAACTGTGCAAAGCATTCCAAAAGAATGGCTAGAAGTAGGACATCTCCGACTGTATGCATCCAGGATGAAGATTGCTGCAGCACAAGCACACCCCAACCGCAAACGCCTTCGTACAATCTCGCAGCCGCCTCCTTGATGCCACCACATTCATTTTGAATTTTTTGGTCGACGTCCCCAGGGAAACCGTCCAACACTCCAACTTTTTTCAAGCTTCTAAGCCACTCCCAAGCGAAGTCAGAGTGCCCAATGTCGTTAAAATCCGCTGTGCAGTCAGTACCCGCTACTCTAGTGATCGTAAGAGCTCCTCCGGGATGTTCTTGTTGCGTTTCCGAGTCTACGACATAGACAACGCCATCCACAGCAATCCAGCAGTCCTCGGGAGTACTATGTTGAAGCAACTCCTCGAGAGTGATGAGTCCTTCGCCTTCCCGAGTTCTGATTCCTTCAACATCCTGTTTCTTCTCATCTTTTTGTTCTTGTGTGAGGGTAGCAGAGGTAGACATTTTGTACGAGCGTGTGGGTGCTTTTCGTCAGGAACAAGAAATGTTCTGCGACTACGTAGTTGTATTGAGTAATCGTGTTACTGTACCTTCTTCTTCATACGTCAGTGCTGGAGCGAAACAATAAGACATCCAGGAAGCCTGAGAATGCTGACAACCAGGAAGAGCAAAAAAGTAGGTACGTAAGCGGAAGCAAGAGAACGAAGCCAAGGCTGCCCTGTGTGTGTGTTGATGAAAAAAACATATCTAACTATCTGCGGAGGTGGCACTTTTAGGATCACGTGCGAGGAGGCCAGATGATCTTCTGAAGTAGAATCGAAGACCGTAAAGAAAAGATCTCATTCTCTATAGAAAAACTCCCCAGTGAAAATGTAGATCCTCCTTCCACCTCTCAAAACTTTCAGATTCGCGATCACTCCATATTGCGTCTAACACTAGCCAGCATACTAGAACCTTCTAGACGAAGCGATGTGCGGAATCCTCAGAAGAGAAGGGAGAGACCGAGACACAACACTATAGAACTCCCTCACTGATTGTCATGATCGATCCGATTCCGACATAGATGTAACCAGATTGATAAATGGCTGGCCTTGGATCGCGATCGATGAAATAAAAAAATAAAAAAGTCAATATTGGTCCTGATTGAAGAAGTCTTGCGTGGTGCTTTTTATAAGGAAGGAACAACGGAAATGAAAACGCTCTGTACATGTACTAGGTGAATGAACGACTACTTAATATTATGGGGAAACATACCTACGTTGGCAAGAGGTTTTTTACGATACAATTTTTAGGGAACAACAAGCCTAGAAAAAGTAGAGCAGGAGTTGGAGTTGTATCATCTCCTAATAACTGGGGAACCAACAGGGGTCGCACATGCTGATGGTTCTCCAACCCCAAGCAATCAAGAAGGATTCCACTACTTCTTGTTTCCACCACCCTGCTTGTTGGAGCAATCTGCACATGCGTCACGACCATCACGTGTGCAGCCGGACAGCGATAACAATAATTCCAGCCTAGTTCTTTGCTTCGAATTTCGCTCCATTCGACGAAAGGCTGATATGGTCTTCCTCGCAATAATTCTAGCGTCACCCTGTTTTCACCACAACGCTGGCATTTCACAGTCTACAAACGCTTCTGTAACGCAGCCTCCCACTCCTCTGCTTCGCCATTTGTCCCAACGATGAAGGCTCTCCCTCTACTTGAGAATCTTCACGATCCAACATATTCATGTTTTTAAATGACGCAGATCAGCTCGAACGCAGTAAGTTCTTCGTTCTACACGACCTCCAGCTCCACATGATAAAATTTACAATCATTCTTTTGGAGAAGTATACCTTTACATAAGTGTTGAGTTGTTTACTGCAGACGCAGCCGCTACTCCATTCTGTGCTAGATGATCAAGTCAAGAATAAACCATCAAGTACCCACTAACCCTTCCTAGCCCTGGTTTGATTGGAGAGAAAGGAAACGCGCACAAGGCCACGACGAACAACCAAACAAACAAGAAACAACACAAACAAGGCGCCAACGACTGACCTCCAGCCCATGCGGTCCGTAACATGAATGGTTAGAAACGGTGCGCGCTGTCAACGAATCCAGGCATGAAAACTACTGCCTTTTTACATAAACAAATCTTTTCATCTGTTTATTCACGTATAGAACGACCTTGTTCTTCTTACGTGGATATGTATTATGGCTACCACGGACGATAGTAGCAGAGAGTCCGAATTCATTAGAATTTTCGTATTCGTACCTACTTATGATAAGCGATACTAGAGAGCCACCTCCAACGCGCTAGAAAGAGCAATACGTTACGACTCACGAGAGGAACTCACCACCATCATCATCATCATCATCATCATCGCGTATTGAGCCAAAATGTAAGCAATAGCCAAGAAGAAGCGCGAGACGCTCGTTTTGACATCTAATTTCACCGGTTCGTTTTTAGAGCGAAATATCAACAACTCATGATGTGCATCTTTTACACGAACATATTTTGGCTCCTTCCGACGCGGCACGGAAGTGGCACGGATCGCCAAGTCGTCTCATCCAAGCACGTTTCCATCCATAGAGCAAGCTTGTATTAACTACTCAACAGAATGGGCGCGCGGCTGCGTGCATATCACGACATTTTCCAAATCATGCAGGTACTGGTCAATAGCGATTGAATTTGGTGTTGTTGCGTGTTCGCAATCGTTGAATTTGTATGTGTTTGTGTTTGACGCGAAAAAATAAAAATCAATGACGTGGTCCTCTACGTCGAGATGCATGTGCGGCGTAGAAAAAATAAAAATCAACAACTAATGATTATCAATAAACCCCCTCAGCGTCACACCTTGGCAATCTTTCCTGCAAGGAATCCACTTGGAGCATGATGTCCCTGTCAAGTTTGTGCACCACAGTGGGTGGCCCACGATCCAGCGTACATCGGTCGACTCGAGCCTCACCATACTCAGCTACCTCAACAGGCCACTGAAGACACAAGGCATAAGTAGGTGTGCCGTTTGGGCCTGGGGTTTGCCCCATCAGCGACGCGCTACGGCACCAACGTGGCTGCAAGCGGGATGGGAAAAGGGCGAGTTTGGACGAGGAAGAGCGATTCAAGAGATGCCGAAGACGATCCTTGAGCAACAGCAGAGTATTGCTCACGGCTTCATAGGCGTGGGTCCCGTTTTTGCTCTGTGTAAGATCAGTGTAAAACTGATGCCTCTCGCCAAGATTCTGTCGCAAAACTGGGGCTATGCGAACGCCAAGCCGCGGTAACTCAGACCACTCGAGCATGTCCAGTAATCGAAGCCAGCTTTTGTGATCAGTAGAGGAAGCGCCGTCTTGGGTGCCACGGCCACCTGCTTTGTCGTCGTTTTCTTCATGTCCGGCACCGGCCAATTCTAGAAGCAGATATTTCAATTGCTCAATCTCCGGATCTCGATCTACACTGTGCAGAAGTGTGCTATACCATGACAACACGGAAGACGCTGTGCCCAGAGTTTCATCTTGTTCATCCTGAGAAAGCGCATCATGTTTTTCGTGTGACGTTGTCGAAGAGGAGGTAGACGGGGGAGTACTAGCACTAGCACCTTCTTCACCACGACCATCACCACCAAACATGATCTCATGCACATCTTCGCCTCCAACGTTTCGACCTTTCGACCTAAACTGCAACTCTAGGTAGTAATTCCAATCGCAGCGGTCTAAGACGTGAGGCTTGAGCAGTTTGAGTTTCTGAAAGAAGTAGTAAAACATCCCGGCTCCGAGACCATTCTCAGCGTAGTAATGTCGGATTTATTAGGGGTATACATAGTCGAGAGCTAGAGGATGGTCATCATCCTATTTTTCTGATAATAAAACAATGTACTAGAGCTAGAGGATGGTCATTATCCTATTTCTCTGATAATAAAACGATGTACTTCTAGAGATTGCTTTTCATTTCCCCGCGATCTAGCGGGGATGAGCTCCTTGTTCATTTCCAATTACATCAAATCGAATTCTCACGAAAAGGAACTACCACAAGCAGTCTCTACATTATTCTTTTCAGGGAAGTAGGATAATGACCATCCTCTTTATAATATATGTAGAGATTGCTTGTGCTAGTTCCTCTTTGTATGACTTCGATTTGCCGTGATTCAGCGAAAAATCCAAAACCAGAAACAAAAACTGCCAGTCCTTAACCATGATGAAAGTCCGTCCTCGCCGTCGCCGGATCGCCATTGATGCTTGTCTGTGTCACTGGCATGTATTCTGTCAACAACAAAATTTGCTCGAAGACGCTCAGTTCCTCTTTCCCGCGTTGGCTTAGTTGGACGTTTCCGTTTGAGAAGTCTCTTTTCTCAGTCTTTGGCGTGTGTGCCGCCTCTTCAACATCTTCAACAGCCTCAACGTCGTCTCCATCTCGATCTCCTACCTGCAGAAACAAAGACTCTTTCTCCGTTGGTGTGTATTTGTCTAGGACGTTGCCTGCTGGAGCTGATCCTGTTCTTTTGTCCTGAATCTTCGTGAAAATCATGAAGCCTTCATGCACAAAGTGGAAGTCTCCGTTGGTGAAAAACACGGAATCCTGAGAAACGTCTTCAGCCTGTGCTTGTCGTAGAAAAAGACCTTCTCGTGAGACGGAAGTCGTTCTTGCTGTTGTTTCTGGAGTAGGAGTACTTCTATCAAGATACTGCTGCTGCGCTGTAGACGAGAACCTTCTCGACGTAGAAGTCCTCGTATCCGAAACATGGCACAAAAAATACAGCATTCTCAATGGATTGAAGATGACCATATCCAGTTCTAGAACGATCAACGAATCGTATCTGCCAACTTGTGCCAACTCTATGAGTGCGAATTTGAGGTTTGCAGCTAGACCGTAGCGCCAAGGATTCGCAGCTTCGGGGTGCCAGTTGCTCTTGTGCATCCTTTGCAATAGCTTTCGTTTCATGGGATAGTGTACAAGATTTACATGTTGTTTCTCACGAAGCATGATCGCCTGATGTTTCGTCAAGGGATAACGAGGGGAGAGGCAGAGATTGCGCTCTTTGGCTGTAGGCTGAGAGGCGGTCCACAAACCTGTGCGACAAGTGATACCGGCGAAAAGCTGGTCGTCTCCACTTCTTTCTGCCGCGGCGATAGTTCTTTCTTCAGCTTCATCTCTTTTTACGTCATCGCTTACAACAACTGTCGAATCACTTTTTGCAACAACTGGCGAATCACTTCTAGCCTGCAACCCTCTCAAGTGTTCTTGCATCAATTTTGCCAGACGTTCTGTTTCTCCCTCTCCATCCTCCTCAGGTTCTGCACTTGCTCTAGTCTTGACCCACAACCGCTGTTCTGGCGCGTAATGAAGTTCTTCATAGCGCGACAGCTCCTCAATATTCTCGATCTTGGTGGGATCTACATAGTCAGGATCGGTTAGCGCTTGAGCTATTTCTGCTGCTGTGGGAGGAATCTCCTGGGCAGAGTGATGTTAGAGCTGTCCGTAATTCATCCCTCAAGTGAATCCTTGAAAAGTATGGGGGGGCATTCGTTCCCTTAGGATACTCCTCCATACGTTTCAAGGATGCGCCCAAAGATGTATTAGGTACAGCCTTAATGATGTACTGCAGGTTCCTGCTGTTCTTGAAGCCTTGTTTGCAGGCTAGCATCAAGTTGCTCTTCTGACTCTACTACATCGTCAATCATCTCATCCCCATAGTGTTGTCGCAATCCAGCTTTTTCCTCCTCACTAATCCTCCCTCCTCTCACCACATCCAACTCAAACTCGGCTCTGCTAGGACTTGAAAGTACCAAGAAAAAATCCACTCCGTAGGAGTGCAGGTATCGTAAGCCCGCTTGATTCCAAAAGGAGAGCATCCCAGACAAGCTTTGGCCGAACTGCAAAGCGGTCGCCGCCTTCGAGGAACTCCCTAAGTCTCTTGTCACAGCAAACAAATCTGCCATCAAATGCGCGTTCAAGCCAACTGCGAACCTCTTCTTTCCAGCATGGTAGCGAAGCGTGGTCGCGTCACGTGATAGAGATAGCGATCGTTGTAGCTTATTTGTTGATGAAGGAACAGGAATGTCCTTCTCGTTCATCTTCATCTGCTGTACATGGAGGGTACCCGTACTATCTTCATGAGTAGCTGTGACACCTCGTCCACCACCCGCTGAAAAAGCAGCTGTGCCAGGCTTGGTTGACCGAAACAAATTCGCATCCGCCAGCGTTTTTTGCGGATTCCACCCGTCTGAAAAACAAGCTCTATGACGCCCATCGTCTCCCCTACAACGCGGTGCAGCAAACGAGTCACTTGTGTTCAGTTGTCTCAAAGCTCTCTGCGAGAACTCAGGCAGAGTTCCTGCGGAGGTAAGGTCGAGAAAGGCAGGAGCAGTCGGCTGCAGTGTCGGAGAACGAGAAGAGGAAACTACTTTTAGAGGGAGGTTCTTGGTGCTCGCTTGCCCCGCTTGTTATGCCTTTCTTCCTTAGGAGAGGCATAAAAAGCGGTAAGAAAAGCACCTTTAACCTACCCTTAATACTTGTTCATCTTCTGCTTTTCTAGGAAAATAATACCTTCGCAACATCCTCAACAATGCTCCTTCGTCTGCCAAGAAGTCTGATACCGCAGAAGCCCACTGTGGGAAACCTCTCGTGAACGCCGTGACTACTGGAGATATAATTGTGCTAGAACTGGAACTACCTGCTGTCGTCCTCGTCTGTCCAAGTTGACCAAGCTCTCGCAAGATATCATCTTTTTTCGATGAGACTAGAAGGAGACCTTGCTCCAGAGCAGGGGATCTTGTGCTTGAGATATCTACTCCTGCAGCTGTAACCTCGAAAACCTGTCGTGTCCTGCAGCTCCCACCTCCTCCTGCTTCTCCGACATCTTCTCCGAAATCGTCTCCACAGCCTACTAGGACTTTGGTCAACGCCTTCATCGTCGGCAAGTCTTTGAAGAGTTGAAAGTAGAGCCATTCCCGGTCGATACCGTTGCCAGCCAAAAATCCCTGAAACGCTTTCTCTCGGAGATTGCGCTCCTCACGGTCGGCTAGGGGGAAGAGGCCAGGTAGGTGGATGCAGAACGGTAACGGATTTTTGATCCTGGTTATAGTTTTTGGAGATATTACGGAAGAGACATTGTTGTAGTACGTTAGTAAGGAATTCGTTGTAGAAGGGGTAGTAGCAGTAGACTGTGCTGCCTCGACGTCGACCGCTGGCTTCCTCCCGCGCCCAACACCACTATCAAGGTATCGGAATTCGTAGTGTCCTAGAGCATACTCCGGCGACAGGTCCTGCAGAGCGTTGCACAAGGTTTCATCATCCCCAAACGTGTTTTCCAAAACGAGTGGTTGGACTTCATCTGCTATAACTGACACGTCGACCAGCGGAGGTTGAAGGCTGGCGACAGTCGTGGAGGGTGAAGGAGATGAAGACCACGTCCTCGTGCCCGAGTAGTAAAATTCATCGCGAAGCATATCCGGATCTACGAACAGTTCTCGATACAGCTGATGTTCGAGAGCGAAAGAGGCGACTTCTCGTGCTACGATCTCCGTCTCGCAGGAAAGTGGGACGCAAATCAGAAACGCACTCTCAAGTAACTCACATTTCTTCTCCTCTTTCGATATTTGCACAGGAACTTCAAACAGTGTCCCCATCTGCGCTCTGCAGCGTCGTTCGGCATTCACCAAAAGAACTTTTGTTTCCACCGCAGAGTGGTCGTAGGCCAGCTGTACTCGAGGCTGAGATGAAATAAACGCAGACGCACCAGTCTGCGGGTGGTCCTCTAGTTCTAGTACCTCTGCAACATTGACAGCCCACAGCGCAGTAGGTTTTCCCTCCAGCCAGATCGCCAAGTCGCGGATGCACCACGCTGGATGGCGCCAGAAGCCGTCTCGCTGTTGTCCCACATGATCTATATTTTGAAAGAGTTTGTTTCTTGAGGACGAACTTGCACTCTTGTTACCCTTCAAACTACTAGCCGACGGCCTCTCCCACAGTTGTACTTGATACCAGCGCGCCAGTCGTATCTCGATCCAAGACCGTTGCCATAACGGTGGGACGTTGGGGAACTTTCTGGCGAACGAACGAGGATAATCGCGTTCTTGAAAGAAAACTAGCTCTTTTTCTTCATGGTCCACATCCTCATTTGTCTGCTGAGCATGCGACGTATGGTTTCGTATTTGTCCATGGGGAAATGGCACTCTTGGCTTTCTCAGGTCAACTGTCCTGCCCAACTGCCAGTGATCGAAGAGGCGGAGTCGTAAGGAGATTGAAGGTCGCGATATGCTCCATTCTTGAGCCTCACCTTTTTCTTGTTCCTGATCCTTTTTATCGCTGGTGCCAAGGAGCAGTTGCAAGAGCCTCTCGCGTAACAAGACCTGCGGGCTGCCAGTGTAAATGTCTCTGCGTTGGTCGAGGTGGTCCCTTGGCAGGGGTCTGCAGAACTCTGCACTGTAGAGAGCAGCGCAGACACTCCGCAGAAACGGCCGTGCGGTTCTTGGTCTACTAGCTGCTTTTGCGTCATCATTTTCGTGTTCACCTTTTAGCGATGAAGATGCCTCGGTGGCAGCGAGCACGAAAGGAACAAATACGACGGAGTAGATAGACGAAAGAACTAGGTAGTTGAACAACAAGAAAGCGGGAGACTTACATCTGCATCTACCCTGTATCAGCTTCATCGCACCTAGTTGTACAGTAAACTGGAGTACGAGTAGGATTCTTGTCAATAAATTGACGTCAGGGCATTTTTGGTTTTCTCTCCTTGTTACAGAGCAGCAGTCGCAACCGATCCTGACGCATTTGCTCTCCTAGACTATCAATTCAGCTCTCGTCATCATTTTCTTCGATCAGCGCAGCCAGTGGCTCTCTCCTTCTCATTTAATGTAGATGAACATCACTGCTCCACAGCCGAGGGCTAGGACAAGGCTTGTGAGTGATGCCACAGCCGAGGGCTAGGACAAGGCTTGTGATGTTGAGGATGAGGTGGTGATGTGTAATAAAACTCCTCAGAAAAGAACTAGATAAAAGCAAGTCGTTGTCCTCCAATTCATCACGATCATGCACGCCGTTGCTGCCAAACTACAACAACTTGTCTCTGCATTCCACGTTTTGCTTCAACAATGAGTCAACCCGTCGTTCATCGTCATCACTGACTCAAGTATTAATAGAAACGTAGTATGAAGATTAAATGAAGGATTATTTCTCTCCCCGGTAATGATCAAGATAATTTTTCTGGAAGTTCTAATAGAGAGCAAGAATCATACATCAATCACACTACGCTCTTTTTTTGTCTTTACATTTATGGCAAAAATCTAGTAAGCAATATAGGCCTTTCCTTGCCTGAGCGGGCTTTCTGGTCTACTTGTGCCTGTCATGGAGAAGTCTAAAGAACGAGATAACAGGGATTTGGGTAGTTCTTGCGCTTCGTTTTTAGCAGAGCACACTGTAGGGGTTGGAAGCTTGGCTAAGTAGTTTTCTAAAATTGACGAATCATCCTCGTCGAGATGAAACGTGTTGTCGTTCTTCATGATTCCTCCATCTCGACGTCTAGAGCGAGAAGTACCGTCGAATATCTTCAGTATCTTTTGGTCATGTTGCGCACTCCCGTTTTTACCTGACATTTTTTGAATTATCGTCCCGTTTGCGGTAGTTGAGTTCCCCCTACCACTGGTAGACGTGGATCCCTTTCTCATTATACTACTCCTCGTCCTTTGATGTTCTTGATGAAGCTTCTCGATCTCAGACCGCGGTCTTGGTGCTGGCCCGACTAATGGGCTCCGTGGTTGCGCTATTTTTGTCGGCGGACATTTATACAGGTCGTCTACGGTGCCATACGGACCTGCGATTTGTAGTTCTGTCCTTGCCGCAGAGCTGGCGCCGTCCCTAACTCGTCCATTACCAAAATCAACTTCCGCATCGGTATAGATGTTGTAAAACAACGTATTTGCTGAACCTGAGGTTGTTACACTATTCGGATCGTCTAGCGTTCGTCCTGAAGAAGGCACATCGGTCGACGTTGGGGACCACTGACCGATCAAGTCGCTACCTGCAAGATCCTCGCTACTACGGGAAGAGGAAGCCGCGAAAGAGCCTTGTCTACTACTTTGCATCATGGATGATAGGGATAGAGAAGAAGTTGGCGAGATATTCTTCGTCATCGTGTTTTTGCTTATGCTCCTGGTGCTTGCGTTTGCGTTATAATTGTTCATCGCTAATATGCTTGAGTCAGCACCACCTAATCTTCCAACTCGAGACGTTGCACCAGAGGCCACGCTTTCGTACATAGTACTTAATATTCCATCCCTGGTGACCACACTTTGATACACAGTAGTGCTTCCGGTTATTCCAGCACCTCCGACAGCTTGGTTCCTGTTATTTGTTCCATGCTCCACTATTTTCAACGCATGATCTGGTGTGTCATCCTCGTCTTGGTAGAACCCCTGAAGCACAAACGAATCACTAAAGGCATCGGGCTTAGCAGACGCAAAAAACAAGTTATCGATGTCTTCATCCTCATCAAGGATCTCCAACAGCTGACCAACATGCTGACTGCCCGACCGCGACAAGTTGCTAGTGTCCACCTCTGATCTCGTGTACCACTCTAGAAATGACGCAGGACAACTCTTCACTGAGGCCTCTCCTTTATGAAGACTGATCTGGTCTGCATCGGGTGATTCCTCCGATACTACTCCTTTCCTATGTAAAAGTGAACGGTCTCGATCGCTTAACAATCCCGCTATCAGGCTACTCGAGGATGGAGTGCCAACCCTTATTTTAGGAGGTATGGTATCAACGCCAATTATCTTTTTACCAAGAAGTTCTGTTTTTCTTCCATCAGCATCGGGATCTCCTGCAAGAGAGTTAGCGTTAGGTGGAAAGGTAAAAAAGGCACTGGCACCAGTGGATTTCTGACTGCCAGCTGGAGCACTCGTCGAGTTTCGCTCCACCTCCGTCTTGCGGGACCCGGTGCACAATTCGTTGCCCATATTGACAATGTGTACTAAGTCTAATATCTGCGAAGACGACGGAATCCAGTAGTTAGCGACGACTGCATATCCTTTGTACACGAGGAGAAAATCATGATGATAGAAATGGTGGGCGAAATGTGATTTCAGGAGCGCAACAGAAGGTACATTACACGACAATATAGACATACATCAGGGGTCGTGTCGAGACATCAGCGGCGCGTAAACTTTCCGACTTCTGCATAGCATCCGCTGGGAAATCAATATGAAAAATGAAACATAGTTAAACTGATGAGTGACAATCTGCCAGGTGAAAATGCTCCTCGTACTTGACTCTTCACTCGGGAAACGCGTTAATTATTGATGAACACGTTAAGAACAGACACGACTCAAACTTGACACCTTCTCAGTGACAGACACATCCAGGGCGAAGCAATGAGACTCGACAGACGCTGATCATCGGTAAGCTATTTTTTCCTACAGTCTCAACCTTTCTTTCTCTTTCTCTGCTCGTTCACAGACTTATAGGCTCAAGCCGAACCGCAACCAACTTCGAGTACAACATCAAGCAGATGATGATGAAACAGACACTGTTAAAACTCTCCGACCGTAACTCTCTTGATTATACTCAGTGCACATTGATTTTGATTGATATTGTGCCTCGGAGACGAGCGTTTTGGTGTTGCAGCAGTGTTATTGCGTCAAATGTTCGCTGCGCAAGGGACCGGAAGGGAGGAAGCTGTGGGTGAGGATCTGTTTAAGTCTATTATACTAAGTGGTCTATCTCTATCATGCCAAAAATAATATTGAAGATCTGAGAGTTGGATTGCAATCGGATGAAGAAAAGAGAAAGACATCATTCAGAGTAGTTAACATGACAAACTGGACATCCTTACTTTGTCTCATGCTAAGCACCTCCTGCAGTGCTTGTTCCGATCCTGGTGTTGCATTCAATCTATCACGCTAAGCACCTCCTGCAGTGCTTGTTCCTGTAGAGGACGTTACAGGCTTTTTCCCACCTCCAACTACTCGCTTCTTCCGTCTTGTTCCTCCGATTTTTTCAGAAGCTGATGCCTTCTTTCTGTTAAATAGCTTCTCGGCTGTTGTGCGAGGAGCCTTTGTTCTTCGAGGACTTGTTGTGGTTGTAATGGAGACCACGTCCGTCTCTACTTGGCTAGAAGAAGGAGTTGCGGCTACTGCACAAGATGAGGACAAAGATGATGGGTCTTCTTCGTAGTTGTAACATGAAGATGTGTTATCCTTCACAGCGCTTGCTTCAAAAACACGACTAGGCGTAATTGAGGTAGAAGACCCAGAGGATAAAGGAGTGCCTCCATAGAGCAGCTCAAATGCAGTAGCAGGAGAATCCTTCTCGTTGTTCTCCTTCTCGATGAAGATGTCGCTTTCTTCGACTTCGATAATGTCGTGCTCCTTGTCGTTGACGGCATCTTCTTCCTCATCTGCGGGAGAGACATCAAGAACTTGTTCTACTTCGATTTCTTCGATTTTCTCTGCTTCTGCCGCAGTTGCATCAGCAACTTTTTCTAGTTCGACTTCCTCGATTTCATCAGACGATGGTATTCTTGCTTCCTCTACTTGCTCCAGCTCAGGCTCAGCCGGCTGCAGTTCAGGCTCAGGAAGCTCGACAGGATGCTGAGTCTCGAGAAGTTCCACCTCAGGCTCAGTCTCAACAAGTGCCACCACCTCACTCTCCTCAGCGCCAGCCACCGCTTCGGTCTCAACAAGTGCCACCACCTCAGTCTCCTCAGCGCCAGCCACCGCCTTAGGCTCAGCCTCCTGAAAATCTCCCCCCGCCTCGTCCACTGTATTTGAGCTACTAGGACAGGAAACTTCTACTTGGTTTTCTACTTCTGGTACTTCAGCAGGCGACTCTTCATCCATGATCTCTTCGAGTTCAGACCCAGGAGACAAAAAAACGTCGTCCTTCGCTATCTCAGCAGCGAAAACGGTACCCGCAAGGGGTCCGTCCTCTTCGCTGCTTGCGTCGGCGTTTTGTGCAGTTTCTAGCTCTATTGCTGACACAACTTCTACTTGTTCCTCTAGTGCTGGCGGAACAACCTCCACGTCTGGCTCCTCCGATGATGCTAGAGTTGTTACCTCGTCTTTGGTGTTTTCAGGCTCTGATTTTGTAGTCTCCTCGACAGCTGTATTTTTACCTGTATTTTTACCTGTCCCTTGTTCATCTGCTACACTACTTGCATCCTCAGCAGCTACTACTTTTTTTACTTGTTCGTTTTCAGGAACAACACAGTCAGCCTCCAAATGCCACTTAGAGCAAGCTTTTAGGTTGACGAGTGTATTTGTCCCTAGAAGGTCGTCTTGTCGAGGGGACAAAACTACTTTGACATGCTGCTTGGTATGGCCGATGGTTTGTCCTCTTCTCAAGTCCGTGTCCGACCACCAGACACGGTGTAGGAGGCCAGGAGAGGTGGTACTAGAAGCGCAGGAAGAGGAGGAAGTAGACGGAGAAGTGGAGGAACTATTTTCTGAGGCTGAGGCTGTCGTGGTGGGCTTCATCGTTGGGTCTGTGTCCTTGGTTGACGCGACTACTGGAGCGTCTGTGGGAGCTTCTAAAGACGAGCCCTCTCCACCAGCATTAGATCCCTTTCCTACAGCATGATTAGGTCCTGCTCCCCGTCGTAGCCATTTTTCGTTCCTTGTGTAGCTCAAAAACAGGTCTGTGACTTCCGTAGACCGCTGTTTCACCACAGCTGTGTCCACTCGTTGCATCTCCGCTGCTTTGGTTCCCGGTCTCGGGTAAAATTGCGAGATGTTCACCACCGCGAACTTATACTTCTTGATCAACTCTAATGTGTCCACGTGGTCCATGTCGCGTTCTCCAGGAAAACCGCAGATGATGTCCGTCGCCAGCGTCATATCGGGACAAATTTTTAGCAGGTTGTCGCACATGCGCATGAAGACTGACCGCGTGTACTCGCGATTCATGCGTTGGAGGACGAAATCGGCACCGGACTGGACCGGAACGTGGAGAAACTCGAACATATTTTCGTGCTGCAGCAATTCGCCGATGCGCTTGGCGTGTCTGGCCATGTAAGGAGGGTTGGTCATCCCAAGTCGTAACATCTTACCCTTGGGAGCAACGTCAAGCAAGGCTTCGATCAAAACGACGATGGAAGTACCTGTAGTTGTAGGCTTTGTGTTTTGAGTAACAATTCATAAGCATAAGGCTTGATGATTTGGTATTTCAAGTTCAGGATTTGACAAGGCATCCAAGATCAACTAGGAGTGGAAGAAATCGTAACCGAAATAGGAGTGTAGGAAAAATGTCTATTACAACTCAACAAGAATAAGGGGCGTTTACTCATGATCTGAAAGTACCAATATCAATCCCATAAGCTCCTGTGTCCTCACTAGTGAGCCACACTTGTTGTACGTTGTCTACTTCCCATGCGAATTTGGCTCTTTCCACGATCTGCTCTACCGGATAACTACGCAAGTCGCCTCTTGCTTGCTTCGTCTTGCAGTAGGTACAATCGCCTAGACAGCCAGTATTGATCGCGATGATTTCGACCAAAGGGTTCTTCCTCACTTTGGGCAGCATCAATTTGGGCAGAGCGGGAGCGTCTTTTTTGGGATTTTGCAAAAAATCCATCATGTACACACGGTTGCCGAGAAGGACCTGAAAGGGAAAACAAAGTTGTAAGAGGAGGTGACGATGAAGTTGGAATTGAAGTTGGAATTGAAGTTGGAATTGAAGTTGGAATTGAAGTTGGAATTGAAGTTGGAATTGAAGTTGGAATTGAAGTTGGAATTGAAGTTGGAATTGAAGTTGGAATTGAAGTTGGAATTGAAGTTGGAATTGAAGTTGGAATTGAAGTCGAAGATTTGATGTTGGAGTTGGACGACATGCTCTTCCTCAGATTTGGAACAAGAGGTAGCCCAGATTTGGAACAAGAGGTAGCCAAGCGCACAACAGATCCCCCTCAAGAACGCCAGAAACAGTATAGGCACCAGAGTCATCTTCATAGTACCTGTTCCACCGCGTCAACGATTTTGGCTGTGTAACTCAACCCAACGATTGAGATATTGGCTTTGCCCTTCTCCAAATTGGCCACTAATTTCGGGTCCGCCTGACTAACACATCCAGTCAATATCACTGGTTTGTTGTGTCCCTGTTGCTTCAGCAGGTTGACTGCCGCGTCTTGAGACGGGTTCTTGACTGTGCAACTGTTCACAATTGCCACGTCCGCGTTAGTTGGCGCATCCGCGATCGTGTAGCCAGCTTCTTGGAGTAGTCCAAGCATAATTTCGCTGTCGCTGGCGTTATGACTGCAACCGAAGGTCTTCATCCACACGGCTTGACCCCTACCTGGCTGCAGGAAGCCTTCGTCACCGTGTGGTGCTACAGGTCCTCTTGCAGTTCCTTCTTGTTTAGAAGTTGTCATTGTCATTGCTCTACTAGTGGAGGAAGAGGAAGAGGAGGAAGAAGAGGAAGGGCTGATCGTGTTGCCGACGAGCTGTCCCGTTTTATGTAGTCCTGTTGTAACAGCGCCACCCGCGGCTGCAGACTCGGGGTTCTCCCCATAATCTTCATCTAGAGTCTCCGGACTCGTATTCATGTCCCTTAGCAAGTCCGCAGGGCTCAACTTCGTTTTATAAGCGTCTACTGGAGCTAACTCACTTTCATCTGTTCTTCCACCATTACCTTTATAATTTTGATCATGTTGATCATCTCCTTCACGTTCGAAATCAACATCCTCCTTCGTGGCCTCGATAAAATCTTCCTCGTCAGGATCTGCGAATTGCCTTATTATGTCGTACTCTAGTTTCTTTGCTCCATCTACAAGGTCCTCGACATCGTCTAATCTGTCTGCTGCAGTCGAGAACTTCTTCCTATTGCTAGGGCCTGTACTACTTGTTCTATTATTTCCTGTACTTGTGCTCTTAGTTTTAGTAAGAGATGAAGATATTACATCAACGGAGGATTCGGAAGAATCTTGACTTCGCGTACGCGATGGAGGCCTAGTCCCGGTTGTAGCTGCCTCATCTAATGATTCTGCTGGTCCTGCTGGGTTTGGGTTAGAAAGGGTCGTAGTCGTTGTAGTCGTGTCTATTCTTGATGTCGAACAATATGTCGAAGATGTAGTAGGCTCCTTATCGTCGTCGCCGGGTTTAGGGTTTAGGGAACGAGATCCTTCACTTTGTTCCTGTGGTCGTGGTGCAGTGTCTTCATCGTCCTGTGGTCTTCTGAAGAACCCCTTCGCACGACTCAATGCGCTCGAAAACACACCTGACACTGTGTCGATGTAAGTAGAACTACCTAGAGTAGTTGTTGTCGTTCTTATTGTTCCATCTTGCCGCTGATGGTGTGACGAAGAAGATGAAGGGGTGATCGCTTTTTCGTCATCTTCTTCTTCTTCGTCTCGATTGCTTTGCTGTTCAGCCAAATACGCAAAAGCTGCAACAGCACCAACTGCGGCAACGCCCGCAGCCAAACCGGCACGGTGGGCTAGCGAAAAGGATCCCATTGCTCTCATATTGATTCTTCCTTCCTGATCACGAAAAAGCAGATCTTCTAGAACTTCTAGAGGATGATGGCACTGGCAGGTAGTAGTACTATAGTTTTGCTGCTGTCTTGATTGGAAGAAAAAGCCTTTCGAATGATCAACATCACCTGAGAGAACCGGAAGCAAGTTGTCATCAAAAAACAGAAGAACTACTCTGATGTGTTTAATATACTGGCTGCAACTCCACCTGCTCCAACTCCTGGATTTTTATATTTATCAAGTAGATCTTCGAATGGATCCTCATGAATTTTCGTTTACCCAAGAACAGATGAATTCTTTTCTTGTAGGTTGATGCCTAGATGGGGACCGACTTCCAATTTTCGTTGATCAGTTTTTGCGTTTACCCAGGAACAGATGACGTTGATCTACTACTTCTAGTTGATCTCCTACAACTTCTAAGACTAGAAATACCAGTTTTGGATCTCAGATTGGCATGGCACTTCTCAGATTAGCATGAATTCAGATCCGGCTCGATTATAGTCTTCATGACACTTCTAGCGCGACTCCTTTGACTGATGTATCAGATACCTGTTCGGGAACATCTTGTTCCTCCTCCTCGGTCTTCTTACAACATCATGTCATCTATCTTCACTATGTCATCAATAAAACCTTCTTCGTGAAGATCTAAAATTATTTTGGTATGAAAGTGTTGTAGTAAGTATCATTATGGTCAGATTAAGTAACCACTATGCTCACGGTCACGCGTTTCATGTCTAAGCCTCCGTGGCTAAGTCTGAAGAAAAGCTACTTACACAGAGTATGCTAAATGGAATCGATTATGTATAAGAAAGTAAATATTAAAGTATAGTGTGCTGTGATTCATCATACAGTTTCTTTCGAACATCAAAACATCATTTTAAATTTCTTCATCACCCGAGAGAAACTAACATAAATCAAAAGAAATATTAGTAGTAGGAGCAGTTGGAGGAGTAGTAGTTGGAGTGGTAGTGAGAGTAGTAGTTAAGATGGGGAGGAAAGGATGAGTTTTGTTTTGTTCTGTTTTGCTTGAATGAGCAGTTAATCGTGTTGACGTGATTGAATTCGAGCGCACAGCCCTCGCTCAATTGTCCGCTTTGCTGTTTTGAAAGTTGTGATAGAACAGAAAAGGATGCCGCACCGGCATCGCCATACACGGTGAGAGCTTAGTGATTGATAAGGAATAGTCATACAACATGATAATAAATGTGGATCAACTTCAAGAATTGGTATGAAGATATGTATTATCATCCACGTCTAGCCATCGCCCGAACAAAAATGGTAGAGCCTATGCAGCCTAAAACGTCGATTATTAGTCTCCCGACCATCCCCAGCAGCACCCAATTGCAATTGTCCACTTCCACAATTGACCACCCAACAATTGCAATAAATTGTCCACGACTTCGGCTCCTCTTCATTAGTTACGCCTAGGCGTTAGGCTCGGTTGTGGACCGTGCACATTGAGCCCCCCGCACTCCTAGCTCAACCCCGAGGATGATGGGCGACTTGAGTAAAGTCAGCAGAAGCACCCAGGCGGGGACTTGAGTGAAGGCGTTGCCGGTTGGACGTACTCACCGAATATGGCCGATGTCCTTCTTCCGGATCTTTCCACTCCTCTCGTTCTCGTGAACCGAGAGCATCTTTTGTATGACATTACAACATGAACGAGAGTGACAAGCTATGTCTATTCCAACCTATACAATACAATACAACTAATCTCGCTTTTTTTTTTTGTATCGCGGGCGAGTTCCGATATATCAAAACCTACCTGCGTATTTTTGCAAGTGAGCTCCGATAAGTCAGTACCTGCCTACATATTTTCCGCGTGGATACCGGCGTAGGGGGGAGTTCTTGCAGACTGCCTTTCTCAAAACAACGCAAAATGGCAACAACTCGCAGGTAACCTCAGACGAGCCCGAGCTCTTGGCTCTCCCATCTTGTTCACATGTAACAAGATACGGACCTACATCATGGGCGTAGTATTTCAGTGCTGTGATCATTGTCACCATAGGAGTGCAATGGTTTCCATCATGTTCATGCTGTTGATGGTCTTCATATTCTTGACAGTACTAGGATCGTCGTCATCTTCTTCTTCTTCATGTTCTTACTTCTATCATTTGCAGAACAGGGGAACTGAGTCAACTTGTACTTGTCCGGATCCTCTTGACTCTCAAAGCTAACGGCCACGGCGTTGCCACAAGGTGTGCGGAAGTTCTTGTCCCGCGGCTCTGGGAGCACGCCTTCCAGCTTAACCACGTGGTCCCGAGTCTTCATTATCATCTCAACCAAACAGGGACCGCGCTGGTACGCACGATAGTCACCTCGTGCTTTGTTTTTCATATATCATCTGAGACTGAGTGAGCCTGTAAAAGAATGCAGCAGTCGTGACTCCTGTATTGGAAGTCATAAAAACATAATTTTTATCTCTATTTTTGCTGCTCCTGGCGAGCTTCAAGGATATAGATAACGCTCGAATTGGCGGCCACTTGTCGTGAAAAAACATCTGTTGCCATCAGCACGAGTGGCGGAGTCTACCCCTTTTTCCTTCAGACCCGTTTTTAGCCTTCGGAACTTCAACTTGGTTTCCACCAAAGCCCTCTTCCCTTGCGCAAGCTTCACATCTAGCGCGGCAAAGCGGAGGCTCAGAGGCAACTCTTTTTGCGGAGATTCTTGCGTAGTAAATTCTTGCGGTGCTGCACCAGATCCAGAGGCACCACCAGCATTCCCATGTTCATGATGTGGCCCCGCGACAAGAACTTGGAACTTGTATCCGAGTATGAGTCTTTTGCGTTCGAATTCAGGACTTCCATGGGGATCTCCACCGTGCCCGGCAATAATGGTGCGACCTGTTTGGCGGCGTGCCGTGGTATCTCTACCGTGATCGTCAAAAATTCCAGGGTCAGTCTCATAAATCACGTCCACCTTCACAAACTGCTCTGACTCTCGTGGAGGGTGAAACCTCTCCCAATCTTCTGGCTCGCGAACAGGGTCTTCCTCGTGCAAGACCAAATTCACCTGATCTCTCTTCCTATCATTCGACGATCTCACCAGGATGCGGCGAGTTGCCCATGGGGTTTCGCGAATAACCCGAAGAAGTGCTTCCTCGCTTTGGTCTAGATCTCCGACATCCCCTAAGTCCGATCGCCTCCCCAGTAGCTCGTATAAAGGCACTTGAAGGCCTATAATTTCGGGTCCGCCGGATGGTCGAAAGACGGGAAAACTCCTCCTTTCGTCAGCTATTGTGTCATCGCCGTTTGACGTCTCCTGGTGGGAGAGGTGGGGGTCTCTTAGCTCCCGAGGCAAGCCGCCAAAGGCGTGCGTCTGCTTCTCGTGGCACACTTCCCATTCTTCTCTTTCTGCTTGGTCAACATCTTGCTCTTTTCCACCTTCTTGTATCTTGAAGTTCAGACCACGCAAGCGTGTCATTGCGGTGATCCAGCGACGCCCGTCGGTCACACTGCCATGTCTATTAATGCCATCCAAATTTTTCGCACGCTTCTCGTAGTATCTGGAAGTTGCTGCGCGTCTTAGACGCTTTCCCTTTTCGTGCGAGTATGCCTCCTTTGCGCCTTGTCTACAAGCGGCCGTTTCCAAGTCGTACTCTTTCCTAGAATTATGACTCTTTTCAGCGCGAGTTTCGGGACCCTGGAGGCTGTCGAAACCCAATCTCCAGCCTTCTCCTAAGCTGCATGCTCGCGTAGTTGTCGACGACGCAAAAATAGTACTAGAGGTACTATTCTTGTCCTTCTCCTCTATTTCCTTTCCAATTCTGCCACCTTTTTTACCTGCGGTAAGAAGTGCTGGAGGTTCTCCACTATGTCCTGAAAGGAGGATGTGCTGTCCAAACCATGTCGGAATAAAAGAATCCGCTAACGGAAAAGATGACCTCTGTTTGGAGGAGGACTTCTTCCCTCTTCCTGCCGCGTCAACATCTTCACCAGCGCGATACAGTTCTACTTGAACTGGTGTTCCGTCCTGTTCCTGGTTTGTTCTGGTGTTCAACTGTTCTTCATCGTTATGATAAAGTGTGCCTGGCAGAAGTCGCACGGCTTCGTCAGGTCCATCTTGTGCGTAGGTAAGAGCTACGTTGCCGACTTCTTGCGCGTCTGCATCCTCTCGCGCGAACTGTGCGCCGCGCGTTAGCCCAAGAAGATGCCGCTTCAGTCGGTAGCTGAAGAAATTCAATATCCTTTTATGGTGAAAACTTTCGTCGGTTTGAACCTTCTGGCGAGCCTTTTCAATTCCTCCTTCGTGCCAAGGATCAACTTTTTTCGGTTCCCCTAAGTGAGGATAAAAGTCCAAGATGTCGTTGTTGAGCGGGATATCATAGGTTCTCACTAAATCTTGTTTGCCTGTGGCCGCATCCACGACAACTCTAACTCTTGGCCGCTCTTTGTCCTTGATGAATGCCCCTTTCTCGAATCCAAATAAGAGCTCGAGCAGCTGACCACTTTCCATGCTACTAAGCCGCTCGACCTGCGCTAAAAATGGGTTCGGCTGCGTTCTCCTTCTTGGGATTTTTTCGCGAACTCCTTTTTTTCCGGTCTCCAGAATACGCCGTGTGGCGTTAGAATCAGGCCCCAAAAAGTCTGCAAATCCATACAAAGGATCATGACAGTACAACAGTTCTTTGTTCCAGCTCTCTACAGGATTCCATCCTCTTGCTCCAGGTTGTTCAGCACCATGAAGATGAAGATCAGGTGTATCTGCAACTCCTGTTACTGTATGCGAAGAAGAAGACGAAAAATAAGTCTCCATATTGGCTGCACTCGTGGTGGTTCCCGTGGGTGGCAGCACGGACGTGGTTGGCACGGACGTGGTGGGGGGAAGTGACGCAGCAACATCCCTGCTCGGTGCCGAGAGGAGGTCGAGGACTGCCCGCAACAACCTCATTCTGTTGAGACAATCAATCGAATGGTATCTATTGGGTATCAAAATGTATATTTTCCGGTCAAAATATTAAGGCAGGAATGATTTTTATCATAGCGTCAAGTACTCAGCAGTATAATGCTATAATCGCAGTAGAATGAATGTAAAAAAACCTTCAAGTGTCGACTTGTCTAGTTCTTCTTCCTGTAAGTAGAGAAAAACGAACTCGAAGATACTGCCGAGGCACTTCAATTTCTCATATTTAAGTATTACACTACATTACAAGTTTTCCGAAGGTTCGACGCACCAGCTTGGGTGGGCGCAGAGAAAGCATGCACTTCGCGGACGCAAAGACAAAGAGAAAACAGTGGTGATAGAGTCTAAAACTAGACTAATTTATCCATTGCGTGAAATTGGATCGGTTTCGCAATGGATCACAGTCAGTTCATCAAAAAGGTAAGGAGGATCGACCAGGAGGACGACGTCGAACACAACACGACCTGTAATGCAGAATGAGAATCGGACTCAAGCTCGATCACATTTTTAGAAGTAGAATTTTTGTGAAATTATAATAGAAATGGAGCAGAGGCTTGTTGTCATAAACACCGTATGTGATCTTCCTTGAAGAAAATCAAAATCCATTATAATCGACATCCAACGTTCCACTAGTGAGTTGCAGTTGGTTGAAGGACTTTTGTTCATTTTGTGCATAGTGCCTCAAGTCTTTTAGCAGGTACTCTATGAAGATTAAGATCAAATATGCCCGCCTCTGTTCTACTGGTACAACTCTAGTGGTGGAGTTATCACAATCACTGAAGATCACAATCACTGAACGACACATGATCATCCTCAGTTGTAGAGGCAGTGCAGGGAAATTCATCCTACAATTGGTATTGGAGATGATGGGGAGCAGCGGGTGATCTTCTAGTACGTTTCAGTACTCAAGAAGCCACACACTCATCTTCAACTCTAACCTAGACCTACAACCAAGAACTAGAAAGTTCTACTAAAGACATCTCCTATCTTTTCTCTATCTTCTATAATTTCTTTTCAAACAACTATAATAGTACTTACTTCACAACAACCACGAGTAGAATGAACTAGTTACCTACAACAGATAGAAAAAAATGACCACTGTGCCTAAATTAAGTACTGGAGCCTGTGCAATCCACCTCGTATCTCCGCAACACTTTCTCAACTACATCTTCTATTTTTTATAGTACATTGAGATGATAATGATTTCAGTCATAATTGCTATTGCACTTCTGCCAGTAGATGATGACAATGGATACTGCCTTCCCCTTCGACCAGAATCTTCCAAACGGTCGCCTCCTTCTGTGTCGCGCCTCCATCCTGTTGTTCCTAAGACTCATGTGACCACTGGTGTAGTAACAACCAAAACACATCCTAATAAATATGCCAATTGTTTTCACTTCCAACCTCATTTTCTTTAAGGAATACAAGAATGTTCACGTTGTACACGCATCATGCTTATCTTATGCTATACTTTTTAGTTTTTCCCTTTAGCTCCACCGAAGCTATGTATGGATTGGCTAATATGATCAAAAAAAAAAACTAAATCATGTTCCACCCATTAAATACATTGTACAACAAGGAACATGAAAGAAAAAAGTTACTATGCTCGACTTTTTCATTTTGCATACAGAAGTTCTTGGTAGGCAGCACCTATCTAATCAAATCTGTCACACGAAGGTCTTTCTCAGTCATCGACCGGCGTGACTGAAAAAAGGAGCCGAGGGCAAACATGGTGTCGGTGATAGGCTCTTAACCCCTCGCATCCGGACTTGGCCCGCCTGTCCGCGTCGACCCTCGCGACTATATTACAGCCAGTTTGCTGTTGAAAAAAGCAAAGGCAAGCATGTTGGATATTGATGAATTATATGATGCAGTACACTTCTAAGTACCACGATGGATAATATACAAGATGTACATGAACAGTAAAAACCGCTACAACTGCTGCAGCAGCAAATCATGGGTGAAGATCCCTGGAGAGAATGTCGTGTCTTCAAATAGCGTTCATCTGGATGTTGGAAGTATACAGGGAGAAACACGCCCCGTCAATAGAAACAGGCATAAGAATGTACAAATATGTAGAAGGTAGATTGTGTCTCATTCATTTAGAGAACAGCCACTTATTTTGTACTTGTTCTACTGGGTCTGGGCTCATAATTCGATTGTTAGTGCTCCAAATACCTTGTGGTCAGCTGTGAATCAAATGTTAATGCTGCAGCTTATCGACCCCACAGTCAGTTTCACAAGAAATAACCTTGTTTAGGGCAGACATGGCTGTTGCTGTATTTTGGCCAAAAAACGCGGCCGCTAGTAAAAATATCGATAATTATAAATTTTTATATATTTCACGACAGACTGCTACTGCGTGAAGCTCATTAGAACAAGTAAATTGACTACTTGCCAAAAACTCAGGAGCTAATCTATGTAGTGTTGTTTCCCTTCCGCGATTCATTGTAATAAAAAAACTTCACAGTATAAAACCGACGAGGCGAAACAGAAAAACTAGACTCCCAATTATCCGCTGAAGAGCAGGACAAGTGCAGTGGAAGCAGTACGAACCTCTAATTTATTTGGGCGGAATGAGTATTGTTGTTGTTCGCTTCCTTTTAATTAAAATTTGTTCAAAAAAAACTTCATGAAAATGAAAAACAATGATACTGATTCAACATGTCGCACTAATTATCAAGAAACTAGTCGTGACATTGCTTTTGCTTCATTTGTGGTAAAAACATTCATTTCATTCATCAATAAAACAACAAAAACGCAAAGAATGATCTGTAAATAGGTGTAATTAGGTAAGCATGTACCATGGTGAAATGACTCTGCTTTTAACGTTCATCACACATAAAAAATCACGCGACCTCCTCATGCGCCGTCTGATGTGACCGTTCACTCGAGTGCTTTTCGACTAATTTCAACATTTTTATTTTTCTATACCTAGCTTGGTAGTAGTACTCCTTAGAATGGAGTATCACACCCACACCCACACGCTAGGTTAAGGAGATTTTCATTTTATGAGTCGTGCTGCAATGATGTTCATTCATTTCATACCTATGTTGTCGATGTCAAGGTCGCGTGGTGCGCAGCTATGTAGTTAGCCTATTCTTGTTCGTTGCATCCTAGGCATAGGCCTTGACCTTGTAAGAACGACAGATACGACGATGACGGGATGTTGAGCGGCCCGTCAGACGCGACCAGCGATCACAAGTGATCGTCCCATATCATTTAGACAGTTACTGTTACAGTTACGATTTAGTTAATTTTCCTAAAAACATCGAGATCCACGCCTAGTACGCGCTTTTCAGCTCTTTATTGTAGTCTGACACCTACATGATCTTCATGGTCTTTCCATAGACTCAAAAAATTGAATATATCATACAGCTCGGCTCGTTCCTCGTTCATCAGGGACGAAGCCGATAATTGTATCTACAATGTAGTTGTCATCCCCAACTTCTATAATATACTGTCGAGGGCATATGTTTGAGCAAAGTCATTCAAACTTTTTCATGAGAGCTGCGATTTCTATGCGTAAAAACGAAAAAACGAAAAGGCAAATGAAAGAAGCAAATTTCGTCGCACTATCATATTAAGTCATACAACTAGCATTCTCGCATCTTCGATCTTCATTGTAACGACCCTAATCCACCTCCATCTAGATCTACTTCGAAACATTAGAGAAAGAGGCATACCATCCGCAACAAGCTGCTTGAATTTCCTAGCAAACCTTAGAAAAAGAAGAGCAGCTCCCCCCCCCAACCATTTGTAACAAGCTGCCCAAATCTCCTCGCATGAAAAGCAGCTCCTCAACACCCGTGAGCTGCATATCGTCTAGAAAAGCAGCTCCCCATCCGTAAGCATGTCCTCAAATCCTCCAGTATCTGGCATAAATTCGAGATCTAGATTGCAATCTGCATGGATAATGCTCTCCAATGACTCTTGCAGTCTGCTCATCTGCCTCAACACCTCTGGCACCTTGGGTCTGACTTGCAACTTTACGGACTTCACGCGACACATAGGGTGGTTGGAATCTGAAGAGGCGTATATTAAAAAGGGGTCTTCAGCTTCACAAAACGTTCTTTATTAATAGTTGGTTCTACTACAAGTAACCAAAGCTAAAACGGCAAAGCTAAAGAGGACAACGAAAAGAACAAACCTTGTCACAGATACAAAAGTCATGTACACCCACTCTGTAGAATCCGAAAGACCGCTTCTCTTTCGTAATTAAAAGATAGATATTTATAATGTACTACCACTCTGTATCCGAAAAACCGCTTCCCTTTCGTGTGGTGCGTCTCCGATAGAAAGGATATTCTTCCACGATCGCGCAATATAAAACTCTCTGACCACATCCCGAAAAGCGTCAGCCTTCCAACCTGCTGGAGACTTACTCCCACTCGGCTGCTCATACGACGAGCGCGCAGAAACGAGACGACAACTTAGGACCTGAAATTGACGAGCAAAAGACAAAGTCGTGGTGCAACATACCTCCAGCAAAGTCGAAGTGACGAGTAAATAAGCATTATTATAGATACCTCCGGCAAAGCCTTGTTCAACCAAGCTTTACAGCTGAGTTCGATCCAACCAGTTTCGGCATTCGTGACAATAACCACCCGCCCCAATTGCTTTGCTCGTCGTAGTAGGGCAATAAGCCGGTCTGCGACACTGTCTAGCTGTGTTCGGTGCTTCGTCGAAACCATTGACATATAATACTCACGAGCTTTCTCGCGCCTAAGATTTTTGGGTCGTGGTGGACACGTTGGGTTGAAAACCTGTGAGCTTTGAAGCGGAGAGACAAGTGCTTGAAATGATGGTGACAGTAGGTTCAAGTACTTTCTTACCTAGCAGGAACAGAATCGGCCTGGTGCTAAAAAAAAACTCACAATTCAAATCCAGCTTTCCTCTAGTACCCTCTCAAATGTCTCGGGGACAAGATCGGCTCAGATGGTGCGTCATCCGAGTCGCTGACTGAAGCCGCAAGCTGCTCATTAGGTGCAATATTGATCTCTTCTGCTGTCAAGCCCTGTCGACCTATATCCCATGCTTCCACGTAGGTACTTGGCATGGCTGTGGAAACGGGTTGATGTTGAACAAGATAGCAAATGTTAATATGGTCGTATGATTAATATCTCGGTCGTCACAAAGTCAAACTCTAAAGTTCTAAATAACTCTGCTCACCTGAGGATGCAGCGGCCGAAGCTGGTGTTACTTTCCCATTCGGAGATTGCCCAGACTTGCCAGATGAAAGTTTTGTCACTTTTTCCCCGCCTTTCTGTGGTGAGACTGCACTCTTCGGTGACGCTGAGCTACTGGAACTGCCACCGCTAGCACCTGGATTAGAAGTACGCTCAGATTTTGTTGCTGTGACGACTAAGGTACAAGTATTCCTGTGATTGCTTTTTCTTCAATACCAAGAAACCTTGACGTCCTACTAGAAGCAGAACATGCGGATCGGAAAAAACAATGGTTCTTTCCTCTACCAAAATCAATACCACTAGGAAACAAAGAAACAGATTAAGATTTCTGATAGCCTCATAACTTTCTTTGATGGTGAGACGCTTGCTGCAGGGTCAGTTCCGTCGTCGGGTAAGTTGCAGCATTCTTGCCAAACCTTGCAGATAAGCTGTTCAGGAAGCTGGTGGCGGCAAAAACTGCTAGGGCACAATGTATCATCCCAATCGAGTAAAAGAATCGTTTGCCGTGCTTCCATGAACTCGCATTGAGAATCGGCTTTAACGCTGCCATCTGAAGCAAAGCTCCGTGACAAACTGTCCAAGCGACTCTGTTTTATGTTGGTTCGTCTTCTTGAAATGGAGAGAGAAGTGATGCAAGGCAGTTAGAAAGAGAGAAGTCTTAATATTGTATGTTCTTGGATGAAGGAGAAAAATCAAATACAAATAGATGTATGGGTGGTCTATGGGAACGAGGTGGTCCGCGTGTAGGTAGGAACAACAACCGCTGCACAACGGTCGTTTTCTGGTGGTAGAAGTTGTACCCCATCCTTTGATGTGCAGTTCGAACTGGCAGCCGTGGACTCGTTCCCCTTGCTGCGCTGCTCCTTATTCGGTGAAACTGTGAGGAGGAGATTCCTCCTTTCAGCTTTTTGGTCTAACATCCTTTCAGCTGAAATACGGAGATCCGACCCTCCTTTCAGCTTGTCCTTTCTTTGTTTATATTTTAGTGGTCGTGATTCACAAAGAGTAGGCGTTCCCTGCGACTGACAGGAGTCTGAAGATTCCCAGCTCAGTCAGCTATAGAAACGCTACCTTGACGAACAAACCAAAGAGGTAAATTGATGTTGAAGAAGACACTGACAAGTAGTTGTCCACAAGAACTACGCAGATTAGTTGTCGTCAACTACAAATTATCTTTTTTATAATCACTTCGCTCTAGTATCTATGACCACAGGTATTTTTAGTGTTACTTTTACCGCTTCGACAACAGGATATTAAACCATTCAACAAGCAGATTGCCGCAACCCAATACATAGGATCAAACAATGCAATGCAAGTTTTATTACTGCTCGTTGTTGTTATTGTTGTTGAGTAAAGTCTTTCAAGAGTACCACAATGAAACTCGCATGGCATGGCACGAGTATCGCATAGGCATACATAAACTATACTTGAGACTAAACAATATCCAGGACACGTCAATGCCTAGAAATTGTGGGCTCCTTAAAAGCTAAAAATAGGGGGGAAAAGTCAATATTGAGACAGATTCTTGAAGCAAGAAAAAGCCCAAAATTTCCTGCAGGTTGGAAGAAAAGCGCAAAATGATCACACAGGAGAGCAGAAACACTGAATTCACAATTCAACAACGTTCTAAGCCTATTTGTAACTCTAACAAAAGCTGTTCTTCAATAAATGTATTTTTATCAGACAGGGCGAGCAGTAGATCAAAAATTTTGTGATTTATCTCTACACAGAAAAAAAACTCCACAATAAAAAACACAGTACTTCTACGATACATGTGACTTTCTTTTGGTTGCACAAGTTTTACAATTTGTGGTTGTGGTGGGCGGTTTTTTCAAGAACTGTTGTTGGGTTACAAATTACCGGTTCTTGTCAACAACATAATGCGATCTAGTGACTCGTCATCCTTTTTACAAAAACGTTGTTACCTGCTTGCTTCTTCTTCAAAAAAACTTACAGGAAAGAAAAAACCGAATTTTTACTTCCTTTACCTAAACCGAAAAAAACCGAAAGATCTACCCTCGCAACCCGACATTGTTTGCAGGAAAAAAAGAAGAAAAAACACCGAGGACATTTTGATCCGACATTTTTGTTTCCTTTTCATCAGCTTTGCTACCTGGGGTCTTGGGTCTCTCACTCGTGCCTCACTCAAGACATGTTTCATCGATCACTTCAAAGCTACGCGTGAAGTGATCGATGAAACATAATACGGATAAGATAAACCAGTCATGAATGCCTTCCCTGTGGTATCTTGCTCTTTGAAGGAAGGTGAAGAAAAAACCTTTTTCAATATCCCTCAAAGACCGAGAGTGACAAGTGAAAGTCTCTCTCTCAAATTCTTGTCGAATATCCCTCAAAGACCTGCTGCTCGTAGTACAAAGAAATCCTTGTTCACAAACAAAACGCTTTATTTTAAGAGGTAGGTACAGGTAGTCATCGTCATCACGATCGACATGTCTTCAGATGAAGAAGAAGAAGTTATAGTCTTGTACCTCAATCTTGCTCTACAACAACAACAAGAAAGTCCCAAGCATTTCAATACGGATCCTTTTCCTTGTGCTCTTAGTTTCAGCCGTAATAGATTTTTATTTAACAGGTTGTTCATCTTTATCTGACTGACGAGGTGTTCGTCTTCTCCTGCCTTATCCGCTCTATTAATTAGGCTTCCTTCACCAAATGCGAGGTGAAAAAGTGCGTTGTATAAATGAAGTAAATGATCGCGTGTGTGCCGAAAAGTAACGCGATAAGGCCGTATCGGACACGTGGCGTATCCACTGCAATGTCGTTCCACAGATGGTTCCGGATAAAGACACAGGAAACTGAGAGCCCTGCTAGCGCTATCAGCCATTGTAGGAAGCCAATGGGTATGACCATAAGGAGGACTGATGCGGGCAGTAGTGACACGAAGCTGTAGCCGTACCTGGTGAAGGAGGAAGTGCGACAAGTTCTCTACACGGAGATCGATGTCGAGGGTCCTCGTGAGTTAAACCGGAAGTAAAGCTGAACTCATGAATTCAACACCAGGTGTTGTGATGTGGATAAAATAGTAGAGGGTCCCTCCATTATGTTCACATCAACAAAGTGAAAATATTGAAATACACGCAGACTAACTGCCGCAAGTTGATTTCGATGCCCTCGCCAGCGAAGTAGAGGAGAATCTGCGTCACAAGAGGTACACCAACTAAAGCACCGTGGATTAGAGGGACTACAACATCAGAAGGTCCTCAGAGCAAAAGGGGGACTCAGAGGGCCAGGTCGTAATCTGATGAACGACATCTTCCATGTACCTACTTTGGCTTCGTTTAGGGGGCACTGACTTTCTCAGGGGCGAAAGATTTTGAACCTTTAATTTATCAACTCACCTACTGCCTTAAATACAGCATGCCTGCGGAGAGTGAAACTAGCTCCCAGTCGGTATCTACGTGCGCCTCGCTCCAGAAAGATTGCGCAAAGTTACCGGTTGAAGCAAGGAAAACAACCTTTGCGGTGTGTCGATATTGATGTTGAAATTCAATGACGGCAAGCTGTTCTTTTATCACAGTGTTCCTCTACTGGGTCTAGACTGTCTCTGTCAAGCAGAAGCAATGTTCTAAGAAGCGTAGAATCTTCTCATGATACTACACAGTCTCAAGGGTTAATTGACACTGTAAGCGGGTGATGTTACCGCCGTCGTGCAGATCCAGAACGGTCCCCAGAGGTCTGGCCTGCTTTTGAAGTCCATAACGGATTCTAATGACGCTTCCTTCTGTGGTATCGCAGCAGCTTTGATCCTTCTAATGTTAACGGTAGGCTTTCTTCACTATCCGTGGTCGAGTGGGCTCCCTTTCCTTCCGTTAGAATCCCCTTGACTTCAAAGGGGACCCCACGCAGCATTATAGGGGATACATAGTGATAAATTGGCCTTAATGATAACGTCATCGGATGACACGTCAAAATGCGTCTGCAGATAAGCAATGTCGAAACAGAACATGAACTTCGGTAAAAAACCGAACAGCATACTGCTACCAGCTGGCGCGGCGCTAGAGGAGGCTGAACTTGCGGTCGTGTTTGGATCCTGTTGCATTAGGGTGAGTGGCGACTGTTGCCCTAGGGTGAGTGGCCAGTTCCGTCACACAGAAGGAGTGTGAGAGAAGAACTACAGAACAACAAGCGCACTTCCTTAGATATTTCTCAAGCTGAAATCTGGTGTTCTCCGATTTTGCAATAGCTAGCACTAGCAGAGGTGTAGTCTGTGCGTTGCTTTTTTTGACTGCCTTGTTGACAACTTCTTCTTCAATCATGTTCATGTTGTGATATTACTTAAATAATTCTTCATTGTTATCATGAAGCTGGTGGATACAGTATAGCAAGTACCCTCAAAGGTTGCATATCGTTTCCTGCGGCTCCAACTTCGAGGTTTGCCATTGAGGTTGACGAAAAAGTGAGGTTGTCATCAAACGCCAAGCCTCCAGTCCCCAACATGCCGCCGGAGGATGTTGTTGAGGCTGTTGTTGATGTGCCGCCGGGGTATGAAGAAGTCTAGATTGGAAAATAACGCATTGGAATATTCTCGCTTGCACTTAAACATACATTCTTCAATGAAGAATCTTTTTGAAGAACCGTTTCCGTACTTCTTCTAAGTCAAACATCCGCATATGTGTACGTATAGACGAGGACGTTACGTTCCGTAATTTATCTCCCAATTGTAAATCCGCTAATGATGGATTGTAGACTGCATCTTCTGGACCAGCAACCACCGGCCACGCAGGCCGATCCCACGTTGTTGTGTTCGTAATGGCATTGTGGAAGTAGTCTTTTCCGTCGTCCGTGGTGTATTTCGTCCAATTAGGTGGTAGAGCGTCCACCATCTTTTTTTCGTTTGTGGAAACTGAATGGTGCTGGTCTTTGGTAACCTGAATTTGATCCTAAGGGAAAAAGAGCGCAGGAGAATCTGGTGACGCTGACCACAACCAGTTGTCTCAAGCGGCGATAGGCGAAACAACGGAAGTTGTTTCAGCAAGATAATACGTCTGCATTCTAATCGTTCTACAGAAAGACAACGATAGCCGTTCCAGCAAGATAATACGTCTGCATTCTAATCGTTCTACAGAAAGAACAATAAGGAGTCGTGTGAGATAGAAGTACCCTTTCTATATCATGTGCCCAGCACAGGAGCTAAATCAATGCAAAAAATAAAAATATCTTCTTCTTACAGTGAAAGAAGTGCTGTCCTTGACATCTCATTTGAAACAAGAACCCCACAGTTGATCAGTCATACCTTTTAAACCGAAATGCTCTAGTCCTCTCATTTCGCCTGCTAGATTTCAGTCTTGAACACGAATCAGAAGAGCCCGCCACTCATCAATCATACTCACCTCGTCAGTGGCTGGTCTCTCTAAATTTGACACGTCTAGTTGAAAATCAATTGGTTCAGATGATGAGCGCTGCATAGAAAATCATCCTCGCGTGCTGCTATTGTGTTGCATAATTTGACCTGTACAAAGTGGAACAAGCTTGACCTCCCCACGTCCACCTCATCTACTAGTTGTACTAGAATTCCTTCCACTGGTAACTCTGCATCTGTGCACAGTCGTGGTGAACTTTGTAAAAACGCAGAAGCGCCCAAAGCTGCTGTACAAGGGAAATCGTTCACGTTCACCGTGTAGAAAAATAACGCAGACGCTTTATCCGCCTTCACGGCTTCGCCCAGTATCTGAATTGACAGGTGTTCAAAACGCCGATGTTGTAAGAGGTCATCAGCCTTTGAATGTAAGTGGTTAAAAAGGCCTTGCTCTACTCAGCCAACACTAAATCTTCGCAAAGGAGGGCCCTTGTTAAGAAGTATTCTAATTAGGAACTCCGGTCCCGGTGTCGCTAACCCTATATCAAATACTGTAATATCTTTACTTCACAAGGAAAGTACGGATGCGGCGCTTCCTTCGTTGAATCGCTTCCAGCGCGTGCCAAATACTGCTGTGCAAGGTATTTGATGTAGCCATCGACGGCAGTAGGATTCACCTTATTCTCGCCATTATCCCCATTTTGAGCTTGACCTTCTTCCGTTCTCCTGGTCATCAGGTGGATCGCTTTCTTGGCACTGGTCCTCGACATCGAAAGCTTACCAGCATTTCTCTCCTTCGCATGTCTGGTAGATTTGCTTCGATCGCCTTCTGCCAGAACACTTGTAGCTGCACTAACAACAGAAATTGACCAAGTTGTTGATCCGAAGAGCAATGCTGTAGCAATGAGCACGACGAAGCGGGACCCGCAAAGTCTGCCGGTGAAGGTAGGAGCGGCAGAGGACAGTGGCATTTTCATCATCATCAACGTAAATCAACGAGGAACTACATCATAGAAGTTGCGGATAGACCACAGTAAGAAAGGCTATTCAGAAAAATAAAAATCATAGTTTTTTCTATTCTCAGTTCTGTGCTGCTAGTTTGGCAAATCCGTTTTTAGGCTCAAATGGAGGCGATTGCGATGGTCTCTGAGTAACATGAACACAAGAAACCGTTAAAAACGAGTTGCCGAAGACCTGTCTCCGACGACTGGTGTATCTTCTGTATCATGCGGTTCGGGGCAACGACCTGCTGCCTTTCAAATTTTGGTCCCATGTCGTGAACATACCAAAATCACGGCGATTTCACTATTTCCCATGAACAGTTGGTTGTAAAGTTGCATCTTACAGGTACAAGCAACAGAGACCAATGATAATCAATACTATGAGGGGGCGAAGGAGGTCACGGGGTGATGGTGGTTTTGATATCGTTAATATTATGTTGGTTACTCTTATTTCAGTGTCGTCATCTCATCGAAGTCTCAGAAGACTGCGTTCGGTACAATCTGCCTATTTCTTTCCTTTCCCTTTTCCTTTCCCGATCCCAACACCTTTAGGCGCGACTGCGCCGAACCCGCGACGACCGCGTTTGCGTTTTGGGGGTTTCGTCCTTTCCTTGACAGCTGTTGTGAGGGTTGAATTTTTTTGTTCCTCGATCGAGGATTTTTAGTACTACGTACTTCTAGATCTCATTTTTAGTACTACTTCAAAATTTTGAAATATTACCATCATCCAGCAGCTTTTTGTCCAGGTCCAACTCTTCGTTGAGGAAAATGTATCTTATTGTCGGTCCCCTTATTGTCAGATGCTCCAGTGTCACTGCTGGCCGTCGTCGCACTATCATCGTCACATTCTTCACATGCGTGTTCATTGATGTGTCGCAACCTTGATGGAGAAGTGTCGTGAATTTCAGTTTGAGTTTGATGAGTTCTTTTACTAGATTTTATTTCATTTTGGTTTGCTAGTACGTAGAAGAGAGATTCATTAAAGAAGCGAGGTTGTGGGAGAGCATACCTGTCATTGTTCCTTGCACAACCGTCCCATTTTTCATCTCTATTTGAACGGTTTCGTTGTTCAACCTCATCAAAAAATTGACGAGCTTCATCTTGGAAGTGGCTTGTAGGCGTCACTAGATCAACCAAGTCTCGTTCAGGTTATGCGTCCTCGTTCAGGTTCTACTTTTATAATTGCAGAACAAGAGTTTCTTTGCTTCGACGCTCAAGCTTCCTGTAAAAAGCGTTTGCTTCCACTAGCGAAAAGTCGTCCCTTGACGTAGAAGCAGCAGCGGTAACATCGTCCACTTCAAAGTAAGTATATGCAATCAATATTCAAATGCTTTGACACTCAAGAAGAGGCAGACACACTTCGAAAACTTGTTTCGCTCAGGCAGATGAAAGCAGTTACGTAGGGCTTTCTTACGTAGGTTAAACAATTTGAATTATCAAGCACGTCACCCATCTTGCTTGAGAAACACTAACCGCCACCTGCTCGTTCTGTGTGTGTGTGTGTTTTTTGGGAAAGGATGACGGAGATTTTAGGAGTAGGACATAAGTACCACGCCTAGTCCTCGTACTGTAAGTATTGGACATTTTTATTCTTGTACGTTTTGTGTAGCGCAGCACTGGTTGACCACATAATTCTTTCGAGTAGTACTTGGTCTACCATCAGATCGCCACAGAATGACACACTTAGAGATCGATGACACGATAGTTGCCCAGATCAGATCCCTTCTAGAATGGCGCATTGACTTCCTTCGGTCTTGGAGAGACGTTCTCACCGTTGGCAATCAGAGACAACATCCGGAGAGAGAAGAGAAGGAAGATTCACAAAATAGCATGGCATTCGATTCTTTCTTCAACACCCTTCGATCATTTACCAGACACCAAAAAAGGCCAACAGAAATCGAGGAACACTTCGCGCTCTACAGCTAGTCAAGCCCAACATCTACTTTGTGTTCATTCGCATTCGTTCGGATCACGATCATAAGTCTCACTCTGTATTCTACTACTTTACCACATGGTCCATCACATCATTCTTCTATTCCTTTTGGGGTGATGTGCGTGAGTGTGAGATGCCTGGATGTGATAGCAACGTGTCGCAGAGGTATCATAATTGATCGCTTCTTCACTCACCTCCTGCTGAGGATAAGTGCATGCACCAATCATTTACCTGGAATGAGTAATTTGTATTTTTTGCATGACTGCTACAAAACAATGACATTTTGTTTATGTAGTTTTTCAGACGTCACACCAATAGAACTTTCTACTTGGTGTTTCTCCTACTTATGGCTATGCATTAATATGCTGTCAAACAACAATCCAATACAATAAATCTCGCAGAATTATGCTGTAAATGTAATACAATCCATCAATGCAATAAATCTCGCTGAAATTTCAGTGCAGACTGCCATACGGGTGTCGTAGTTGTTCGTCACGATGATAACCATAGCTCACGCAAGAATTCAAAATAATAACTGCGAAGCGGTACGGAAGTAAGAGGGGAAGTTACAAGTACAACTTAGTTGAGCGTTACTTTTGACCTAACAATCACAAACGCTACTGAGACGTCTCGTGCGCCACTGCTTTGAAACTTACTAAACATTACAACACCAAAGTGGGACGCTAAAACTTACAACTCGTGAAACTCTTTGTGGACAGACACAGAGTATGTTGTTTTTCGCGGTGTCTGTGTCATCGTTATCGAAAAGAAAAGGGCTGACAAGATAACAATATTGATTCATGAACATCTTCAGGAAGAACATATTCTTGGATTCTTTTCGCAATCTCACAGTTCGTGGCATTCGCATTCTCGATCATGCGAGCACGATAAATTGAACTAGTAGTTGTACTTAATACAAATGATCTAAAATAAATACTAGTTGTAGTAGAAGTTGAACTTGAAGTACCAACGTGGTCAAGAAAAGTAACTTCTATTTCTCCATGTTCTCATCCGCTGCCTCTTCTTGCTCGCTCCTTTGCCTACAACCTCGTGATTGCTGCTGCTCAGTAAACTTTCTTACTGTGCGTTTTTGTACTTCGCGCCAGCGAACTAGGGCATCTCTGTGAGCGGATCTTCGTGAAGGTGGGCTTTTTTCAACTAACGGAGGTATAGCTTTCATAACCTTGTTCCGCAGAAGTGTGGGAGAGCGACTCCTTGCCTCGGATTCAGCACTAGGACATCGAGTACTCCCTTCCGATGAAATCGCCGCCTGCTGCTCTTCTCCGCTTCTACTTATGTTCATCTTTTTCCCAAGACGCAGCCTTTCCTGCTCACGATCACGCAGCAGTTGTAAGTCTAGGAACACTAGGGGAGGTAGTTTTGGCGCTGTAGGTGGCGCGGCTGATGAAGAAGATGTAGGTGTGACCGTTCCTCCAGTTGAAGATAAAGAGGTGCCGCGTTGAATGTGAGCTACGTCGTCGCCAGTATTTTTTAGAGCTAGCATGCCACGGCGAGAATCACGTTTTTAGCTCAAGCTCATTATCCTGAGAGATCCATAAAGCTCAAGTTGCTTGGAAGATGGTTCTGGTATTCGGTAGCCTGATTTTGATCCTAGTAAGGAAAAACATCAAGAAGAGGATCCTTGTGATCAAATTCAGGTTACCGAACAATAGTACCGGAACCATTCAGTGCTGGATCGATGATCACGATACAAGAACACATAGATACACATACAGAAACAGCATACTTGCTACTTAATACGTTCTTGGTTAGCAGTGGCCGTTTCTTCATAAAAGCTTCAAGCTTCTTATCCGTGTTCTCTCTTCTATAGCATCCGACACCGCAGAGAGCACTTGGGATGCAGAAGAGGCTCCAGGAGACAAACTAGCTGAACCTCGAGTATCTTGACGTAGTTGCAGAACAAGGGATTCTGTAGTAGCTGAGCTGCTGGACTCTCCATCTCCATGAGGAGCTGCTCCATCATGATGCAGGTGCAGGTGGATCGAGTGATCATTGATGTAGCAAGGCGAAGCAGGAGTCGAGAAAGTGCCTCCACAAGGAGTAGACGAAGCAGGAGAAGATGCAGCGGTGCTCCTTATAGGGCTGTGATACATGGCAGGACTCGACATATCAGCTGCCTTCAGACCGCCTCCTGTTGTATTGAACCGCCATTCGGTTCCGTTCGTTGAAGAACAAGGAGGTATTGATCGTCCGCAGAGATTGCTTCTGCTCATCGACAGCTGACCAAACTGTTCTTGTTGATCCTCTGCTCTGGTCATGTCAGCAGATCTAACTGTTAGATCCACATCCATGATGCTTGCGTTAGTGCCTTCCGCAGCTCCACTTCCAGCTATATCTGCACCAGCTCCAGGTCCTCCAGCAACATGAACATTTTGTGGAAATAAACCGCGCCACCAGGCAACGACCGCAGTGAGGCCAGCCACAACCAGGCCCGGCGTCGGGTCCAAAGACAGGGTTTGCGTAGCCCACGGTTCATCTACTAGATGCTGGGATATGTTCGTTATGTTGAACAGTGTAGAAGTAGAGTTGGTCCCTTCTCCTCGTGGTTCTTCTCTTAGCGGTAGGTTTTTGGTGCTCGTTTATCCCGCTTTTTATGCCTGTCTCCCTTAAGGAAGCCATAAAAAGCGGTAAGAAAAGCACCTTTAACCTACCCTTAATTCTCCTCCTTGTCCACAGGCAGAAGCACGACTAGCAACGCCTTCTATTCCATTTGCAGAACACGACCATGCTGTCCCTCCATCTCCGATTTGTCCATGATCTAGTATATCTCCACCTGCTATACTGGATGAATATTCGTCAAGAATAGCTCTCGAGCTCTGTTCGCGTCCTCCCGCCCATCCTACTACTGCAGCTGCATCTGCTACTCCAGCATATGGTTCATGCCTTTGTTGACTAGACGCGTCCATGATTACACTTGTTCTTGGTCCTCCTGTAGAAGTGAAGATACGACTATTACGTGCCAGTGATGTAGCTCCTGCTAGAATACCAATACTACACAAAATCTTCCCGCCAAGCTGCATCTTCTTTGTTGACGCGCAGTATTTATTATAGCTGTTACTTCTGCGTGGATTTCCAGGAGAACTGCAGCAGCTAGGGAGGTCCTCTCCGACACCTCTTGCGAATTCGCCTGATGCTCCTTCAGAAGAACCGGCCTCTACACGCTTATGCACATCCTCTGAGAAAACCTTGTTATTTATTCCGGGAGCAGGTGAAGATGATTCAGATAATTGAGATGATGTCTTTCCTCGTCTTCTATCACGTTCATCTTCTTCACGAGGAGCAGCATCTTCAGATGAATCAAGCACATTTCGGCGGCCCTCTTCTACCTGGACTTCTACTTTTGAAGATGAGGAAGACTCCTCTTCATCGTCGCCCGTCGTGTCTTCTGGAGAATTGGCCACTTCTCGACGATTTTCAACAGAAGGACTTGTTGGACTACCAGCAAAATTTGAGAGGAATTCTTCAATGTCATTGATAGTGCGTTCCGCATGTTGGTCTTCAGGACGTAGCACAGCAATTAAAATTGTGGGCCTTTGAACCACGAGGACCGCTTCTTCAGAAGATGGAATTCCAATAGTGGTCGCAAGGTTCTCATTTTTGTCAGGCTCGGGGGTCGCACTAGCAAGATCTTCAGAAGAGGTTGGAGCTGGTGGCTCTCTGGTTGGCTGTGCTTCTCTTGTCGACACGTCTTCTTTGCTCCTCTCATTAGTCGTGAGGGTTGGCAAACTGGTACTACTGGAAGGTGAGCTGGAAGAGTCGTGAGAAGCTGGCACAGGATCTGCCCTGCAGGTGCCTGCTCGTCGTTGTACCCTCAAGGCTGATATCCTTACATCAAGGAGGAAGGCAAATAAGGACCTCGAAACCATCGAAAGCACAAACATTTTCATCGTCAACGACGTGCACGTGCTAATGAGGTAATGGAGTGTACTAGACCTCCTACTACTTACTTCTGACTGTTCATTCAGAGTATCTTCATTCTACTGCAAATATTAAACTCATCTTCTCAGAAGAACTTCGCTTTCTACTACGATGATTATCTTGGCTCTTGTGCTCTGTTCTTCTTCTTTTTGTCGGTCAATAGTACTCAGACCACATTATGCTCTCTGCTCTCAAGCTCTTCCGAACACACATTACCTCCAACATCATCACACCAGTTCGAAAGCAGTCGCACTCGCGCATACTCAGCATTGCGTAAATGCTTGGACAAGATGAATTGTCCTTGATTGGAGTTGTCGGGATCGACCGGCAGATTCTTGAAAATCTCTAGAAGTACCACGAAGGAGAAACAAATCGTGTGGGGAGAGGGGAATAAACGTAGCACGCGGCCTACGAGTGTGTGAGTTTGAGTGCGAGGTGGGTGTTGAGGGACTACTAGTAATGCTGACCAATAACGTAATATGGGAGATGATCATCTACCAGCATCTAGCTTTTCCTCCTGAGCCTGATCGGGTGGGCCCAACTCCAGATCACGATCATTCTGAAGGTAGTTGTATGCTCTTTTTTCAACATGATCATCCTTCCGTTCTTGTTCATAGGTGGAATCTTGCTCTTGCAGAGCTTCAGATGATTCCTTCTTGCCGACTTCATCATCGACGTCCCCTTCCCCTATGATCTTGACACCTTGTTCCACGCCTTCAAATAGTGTATACAAGATAATGCCCCCAACAGTGATGGAGAACCCAAGATAAAACAGGGAGTTGACGCGCGCTCCGCATATTTGGTGATACAGCAAAATGTAAACGTTAGACGTCAGCGTGCAGAGATTAAACGCTACCGTATTGCAGCGCTGCAAGAAGAACGAGCAGGTCGTGTACAAACCGAACATGGAGCACTCGTAGCCGAGGACTAGCAGCCACGTTCGTAGACAGCGCAAGCCTTTTTTGGGGGTTTGGAGTAATTGGCGGAAGACATGGAACTCTCCAACAGCGAAAAACTGGATGGCACCAAAAAAGACGCCGATTGCTCCCAGAATGAAAAGCGTACGATATAGTTGCAACTGAGCGAGATCCTTCTTCATCTGTTGCTGTTCTTGGTTTTTGAGTTTGTGGTCTTTTTCAGGTGTCACAACTACGACTTCCAGATCGTCTATTTTTGCCGACGAGAAGGATGAGAAAGGTGGCAAGGCTGATGTTTCCTGCTGCATCAAAACCGGGGACGATGGAGATTGGCTTGGCGCCAACGGCTGCTCCACTAGTTCTGTACCTCGAGAGTCTGCTTGTCCTCCTCTACGACCTCTTGCTTCCCTTTCTGTAGTTCTGTTCATATGCTCAACATCGGTCTCTTCGCTTTTCGATAGTATCCATTCTTGCAACCTGTTACTCGCAGAGTAAAGGATTGCAGATAGCAACACCAGGAAATCGCCCAGAACTATGTCGCCGATCGTGAAGACACTGTCTGGTGGTTGTTGCTGGTCAGATGCCCCAGCTGAACCTGTTCCAGCAGGACTTGGGTCAGTACTTCCAGATGACGACTGTTGATGTTCTTCCAGATGATGACCACTTACACTCGTCCTTCTAGCCGCTGCTAGTAGTCGTGCCAACCGTTCTGCTTCATCTTGTTGTCGCTTTGCTGCCTGCATTCTCCAGTAATCCGCTAGAATTGTCAAGGCAACGCCAATTCCGCACACGGCCACTGCGAAAAACTGTATTCTATGATAGCGCGTCTGCATCCCGGTGACCCACCCTAACAACATGCTCCATGGCGCTGTGGTGGAGACGATGATGGACACGGATATAGGAGACGTAAACTTGAAGGCTTCCACGACCACGTAATTGGCCTCCAGATCGCAAATGCCAAAGCACAAACGCATCACCCACATACTACGCCACCATCCAGAAGAAGGTGTGGCGGAAGGTGGAACACGACGTGCTTCTACTTGTTCTTTTGAAGATTTTGCAGCATCTCCACCCTTGCTACAACAAATTTGGGTGCAGCAGTGGTCTGCCGCCGCCGCAGAAGAAGTAGAACAATTTGCCTCTGCAATTGCAGGACCTAGTATTTCCACGACGTCTACTTCACCTCCATTAATATCGTTGTGTTTGTCAAGCAGAGGTATTCGTGTCGAATCCTCTACATCAGCATGATCTTGTCTGGGATGGAGCAGAGGTGTGGTACGTGTTGGTGTAGTTGAGCCCTGCTCTGCGTCAACATGCCCACCACTTCTAACTGCGCCAACATCCGGTGGTCTCGTCACAGGAGCCATCTTGTGCGATTTCCAAAGATAGAAACTGCCGTAGACCACGAACAGCAGGAGATAGTTCAGGAGGTTTAAGAATACTGGAAGTTCCACTTTATCCTGAAAGAGAGAGTCTGCCGTGATATTTGTTCCAGACAGCATCAAAGAACAGATCTGTCCTACCAGAATCGTCTGCAACAAAGTGAAGGGCTTGACGCCATCTACATCTTCTTCTTCCTCGCCTGGGTCTGCGTCTGCTGACGCTGGTGGTGGGGAATATGTTATTGATGAAGGCTTTGCTAAAGTAGCGTCTTGGTCTCTTTCCACATCTTCTGGCGTTATCGACGACAAATTTCCGCCTACTACATCCCCACCCGTAATGCCTGAGGACATTCTTTTGAAAAATCCTCTATCTTCCTCTGCGGAAGATGCTTGCGGTGAGCCGTTGCCATGCAGAGAACCCGAGCTTTCTCTTTTGCCACGACTAGGAGGCCTTTCGCCTGCGGCCGAAGCAACCATTTTTTGAGTCGTTATTAAAGACTATATTTCTGTATACTCAGCTGGACTTCTTCTGTGCACATCGTAGTACAAAGCCCTCAAAACGAAACTACATGTATCAACATCTCTGTCTCTCTCTGGCCTGGTGCCTTTACAATTTTGTTCAAAAATCATTTTTATTCTAATTTTTTCCACTAGTACACAGTCAACAAGAGGTACTACATGTAGTTTACATAATTTTAGTTACCATGAAGATCTATGATTGCAGGTAGAGCGTGACAATTTTTTGATCATCCCCTCTGTCGAGACTCGAAGCAGATCAACATAGTACAGTCACGGATCTAACAAGCAGTTGATCTTCACAGGTATGATCCCCCTTGCGGTTCCGGATGGATTATAGAACTAAAAAATACATAAGTACATAGATCTGGTTTGCTCAGACTGAGTGAAGTGAACATCGACGGATCTACTAGGTCGGCTTTCCTCCAAACCACATCGAAGGAACACTCAGAAATGAGGCTGATGCGAACCCGACAAGGGGGACATCAAGGACAAGGAAAAGTCATCAATAGGTCATTCTTTGTCTTGTGTCAAATTTTGAGGTGAAAGTAGACAATCACAATGGCAGTCCTCATGTGCGCCGTTTAGAGCAGAAGATATCAGGTCAGCTTCATTGAGGATATTGATCAGTGTTCGGTTTTTTGTCAACATTTAGACGAGTGAAGAAAAGCCAGCACACGAGATGAAGCGAAAAATCACGAGAGTCAAGAGAATCCCGAGAAGCGAAGGTCACCTTCCCATTGTTCACGACCCTCACCCACTCGTTTGAGCCGCCGCCCCATCCCACAAGCGCAACAAGCCAGTTTCATGACAGCTTACCACGGTCGAAAGGTGCCAATCGACTGCGAGGAGTGCAGGATGTTTCATTTTCGTTATGGCACTGACCACTTTCCCACTCCCCACCTCCCAACAGAACAAACCATCTGCGGTGCCACACAAGAGAAAACAACCACATCCAGAAAAGAGGAGTGGAGTGCTGGAAGTGTTCCTGCTTGCGCTGAAATGCGGATTCCGAAACCACCATAGCAATTGAAGACCGTGCTCGGCCAATCGAAAGACCCGGACGACGTCGTTGCCATCTACAGTGGCAAAATGTTCTTGCGTATGTTGCGTACTACCTCCTGCAGGACTAGGAGGAGCAGGAGGTTGGCTTTGATGGCTACTTTTACTACAACCAGTATTTAGTACAGCAAGTGCCAGTATAGGAGCGCTTTTTTCACTCGAAGAATTATCATCTGGCTTCCATACTAATTCCACTTCGAGAGACGAACCTTGGTCTTGCATCTTGCTGGTCGTGATGTTCTGTTCTAAATCGTGTAGAAATCCGACGGAACCGTCGCTGTAGCCAAGAGCAAGGACTTTGGAATTAGACGTGCCGTTCGTGCGTGAAACAACGATCGCTTGCGTTGCATAGGCGTTAGTGGTAGTAATACCTTCACCTTGTCGTGCAGGAGCTGCAGTACTGTTCAGGTTCACCCCCTTCTTAGGCCATAGCTCCAATGTTCTGGTATGCACCACAGGAGTCTTCACATCAACATCATTGCCGCTCTCTTTCTCGACGACTACTACAAGTCGCGAAGAAGTTCCTGTTCGTAGGCGTAGGGGTCCTTCTTCTTCATTTCCGGAAGGTACTAGCTCGCCTTGTTGTTGAACCAAAGCATACGCACAATAGGCCGATGGAGCTATCCTCGGACCTACTAATTCTTCATTCCGTTCTCCTCCGGTCACAAGAAAACCCAAGTTTTGCACTCGACTGGAAGGGCCAAGCAGGTCTGTCAACGTAACAAAGTCCTCTAATATCGCAACTACTGTTGGACATGCAGAGGAACATGGATCTCCCGTGCTTCCGAGACGCAAGATGGCAAGCTGGTTATCCATTCCGCACAGCACTCTTTCGCGATTTGCAGACAGCGCCACTGCATGTATTGGCTGACCCTTTATTAGCCGGGAAGAAATCCATTTATCTCTTTAAGATCCTCGACGACATGCACTAGATGGAAATGCATAGAAGTCCCCCAACATCAATGTTACCTTATAACCTCAACAGAAAAAACAGGGGCTCGAGCTGCTACTAGTACTAACTAGCTTAGAAATAGTAGGTATAAACTTACCACCCAGCCGCCCGACATAACTTTAATATGAACTGATCACCGCCAACATCCGCTGTGATGTCATTTTGCACGCGACCGGATTCAGCATCGAGAAAAATGAGACGTCCTAAAGCGGTTCCCATCACGAGAAGCACGTCCGGCAAAACGTCCTCTTTGATTCCGGATGTTGGCGACATCGGAGACGAGGGATGCTTAGAAATCTTTCACGTTCTGCTACTAGCTTCTAGGTGTATGCTCATAAGGTTTCACAGCTCGCACGGCATGGAGTGCATGGATCGCATGGAGTAGCATGGAGCTAAAGGGGGAGCTTCTTGCGCCCCTTAAAGCTCTGCGCTCCATGCACTCCATGCTACTCGTCCATGCACCATGCGTGCTATAAACTACTCTGTCATATTGATGTATAATGAGGTCATGATGTGGTTCATATCATAGCAGGCGTATTTGAGGAAAGACAAATTCATATTCAGATACGGTACCACGTCGAGAAAAGCGAGTCCCAGTCCAAGTAGATTCCAACAACAGAGGGATAGAGCTGCTATGAATATTGGGTTACTGATATATTGAGTTAGACTGACACCACATCGAAACTCGTCATAGCAATGTGGTCATTGTGACTCCTGACACCACAGCACATGGAAAGGATGTCTTCTTCGCAGAGCCGCTTTTGCCGCTTTATTCGTTTTGGGACAACAGAAGGCACCACAACAGGAGCCTCGACGACTGGTGATCTTAGAAGTAAATGCTTGCTGAAGGAAATTGTTTGCAATAATGTTGTTTGATTGATATATTTTTTGAATAAATGAATTCATCTCTAGTTCGCTGTAGTTGTGTTCCTCAGTATTATACAGCGAGTGAAAGGTCATCGTCATGCCATACTTCATCCACACCTACAACTCCAAACTATACGTATGATGATATCCTTAAAAGTTGAGGTTCCTTTCTCGTCTGCTCAGGAGAGCCTGGATGACTACTCGTTAGTGGCTTCTCCTGCTCTCGCACTGGTTTCGGAGACAAAGAAGAAGAGGACTGAAGGTGCGAAGAACCTTCAATTCCTCGTTCTCGTAGCGTATAATCTTCAGCGCTTGCTGTAGTTTTTGTACCAGCAGTGGAGGTACCAAGAACTGCTGCTGGTGCATTGGTCTCATTAACATTCTTGCTCGGTGACACGTGGTCGACAAGATTTTTACTAGCATCCTTGTCCTCTGTCTTTGCGCTTGGGGAAGTTGTTGCTAGTGCCTTGTTCGTAGATGAAAGTTCTGATTTCCAGGCTTTCTCGATATTCGCCAGATCTCTCACTTCTTTCGTGCGTGCCTCTATGAGCTCTTTGCCTGTACCCACAGAAAGTTAGAGATGCGAACAGAATTATAAAAGATAAGCGTTTCAAGATGATACTTTCATCAGTTTTAGAGCATGGGCCTCGATTTTTATCCTTGTTCGGAAAGATGTTATTTTCATATAGAAATGTCTGATCTTTTAGGAGAACGAATTACCTAGAAAAATCCATTTTCAATAGATGTTTGCACATAGTTGTACAACATAGAGAACGATTTTTTATAACACAGTGTCTGACAGAATTGAGATTATCACGTGTACACATAAGATGATGCGCCAAGCAGTTTGCTGCTCGACTCCAGTTTCTCCCGCAGGCTGTAATAGTGCGAAGTAGAATCAGGCGACGTCCTAGAATTCTTCAGCTTAACGCAGGTCACAATCACGCTTAGCATCAATGAACACAGGTCGGTGCGTACTTTCTGTATGTGGGAATACTCAAAAAGATCAGCCGTGATAGAATAGTGGTACTATAAGAAGTGTAGTAATCTAAATCTAGTATCGTTTAGAAGTTCTCTAATCTAGTACGAATTATTCTCTTTTGTAAGAGCATGCGCGCGCTTCGTTAGGTTGTCCAACGCTCGTTTCTTCTGGGACAGGGTTTGTTAGAAAAATACGAGTTTTTCCGGGGACATGAAAAAACGCACTCTGTCTTTCCCTTCTTAAGATGAAAAGAGAAAGACACGAGGAAGGGTCCTTTTGAGAATGTCCTGAAAATGCCTGCTCTGCTATAAAAAAATGAGTCACATTTATAATAGAGTAATTTATAGGGGTGCCAGATCCGGGATGGGATGGATCGGATGGAACGGATGGACTTCCCACCATTTCAAGTAGGATCGGAAGAATCAGGGGGGTCCATCCGATCCATCCAAGTCCATCCTACATCCCGGATGATCCGTGCTATAATTAAACTACTCTGGTGTTATAAGATGAATCTGTAGAAGCAGCCTTAATCTTCCGACATCGCGTAGTTCTTCTCCAAATGTTCATGTAGATCATGCTCCAAGACTCGCGCTCGTTCCTCCGTTTCGAAATGCAACTCTTGCATATGGTGCTTCTCCGCCTGCAGAGCGTCTACTGTTTTAATCAAATTCGCAATCGTGCTCCGAGCTGTGTTGCATATGAAAGACGATAGGGACGAGGGGGATTACAACCTTAGTAGTATGAATCGGAGAAAACGAACAAAGCTTTATCCGCAGTCAGCGCGGGTAATATGCATTAGTACAGACAACTACAATCCGATATGCGTAAACGTATGTTGGATTAACAACATAGGTATTCATATATTTTATCTAACACCCTTCGAACTCCTCTTCGTCTTCACAAAACAACAGCACTCTGCTTAACCTAACAACAACACTTCGCGGACTTGCTGCTTCGAAGCTGTCCAGCGCTGAAAACGCTTCCTCTCTCTCCTGGCCAGCAGCATCGAGACTGCCTTCCACACTATTTCGTCCTCCGATAACTCGCGGCATTGCTGCATCGTATGAAAGAGGTAAAAGAATAAGCAAGAAGGGTACCTGTATCATGGTTGGTCGTATAAAAGAAGGGAAACACAAGCACATCATATCGACCGCATTTAAGAAATGGGCTGGAACAGAAGTAGAATACTCATAGGTGCTTTCCCTTTCGCATTGTAATCCAAAATGTAATTAATTAAAAATCTATTTCTAGTCATTGCAGCCTGCTGCGGTTCTTACGCTTACAGACATAATCCAGGAGTCATCAATCGAGGAATGATCATACAGGAAATAACTACTAGCTTGTGATATATGAAATTCTGAACGTCAATATTTCCATAAATTCCTCCCCGTGGCGTTGAGCGGTCCCGCAGCTGCGAGCGCCCTGTGCGTCACCATCATGCGCCAGAAGGCTTTTTGGGCAGTTAAGTGCTCTGCCTGCGCGTCCACTTGACTGTCCAAATAACTGCGGCAATTAAAGCTGGCGTCCCCAGTTCATCCCTGTAGGGATCCCAAAAGAAGATCCCCCAAGAAGATGTGGATTCTTGAGGGATCATCTCTATCGAAGAGGTGGATTCTAGGGGAAGCCATAAGCCAATGGGGGATCGCAATCGCATTGTTACTGTTAGTACTTCTGCTGATGCTTCCGGAACTCGTTGCCGAGGAGGCCACTTCGAGGCCTGTCGTTCGACCAGCAATGTGAGAGACTGATAGCTCCATTCTTTTTCGTGTTAAGACAGTAGAAGATAAGATAAAAGTCGTGAAATTTCAATTCGAGGGTTCTGCTTCTGCATGATAGATGTTCAACAAATAATAATTTGGCTCTTGTAGAAGAGGACTGTCAAGTCGTGATAAAATCTCATAGCGGGGCTGTAATTAGTACCGAATATACTTTCACCTGGTTCAAAATTAATGTAAATGCTGCACATAGATCAGAGATCAGACGCCTGGTCGTGGTGGGTCAGAAAGCATATTAGAGAACAGACATCTGGCTACAGATCACAGAGGATGAGGCAACAGACTCAAAAATTGTTGCATATGTAGCAACCGACAAGGAGGGCTTGAATCTTCGAAGCCCCAACATCGCCACGTAGTGGTGACTTCATGTGAACAGATGAGCACCACAGCCTCCTGCCTAGGAGACGAGCTCGAAGATCGTGAGAACTAAAATCCGGCTACTCCATCCAGCTCCAGGTAGCAGAAGCACTGTCGGCTACAACCCTCCACCTGTGGTCAACACTTCTCATCATGATGTCTTTATTAAGTAATTGTAATTCCCAAACTATAATGTCGTGCTATTAAATAGGTCACCGGTTTGCCTATTGTGATATTTGCGACGTCATGTCTGTTCAAATCTTACTTAGAAACAATTACATATTCCTTCTGCTCCATTCAGGAATATCGTTCACTGTACACGTCTTGTCCTCTTTGGTATAGGAAAATTGTTTGATTTGAATCCAATATTTCAAAATGACCCACCCTTCATCTTCTAGCTGCATTGACGAATACTACATCGATCTACATCGAATACCAGCACAACATCAAGAACAGCTACTACGAGTCAAAAATATATCTATTAACATCAGAAATAATTAACATCTCAAATCTTAGTTGACCATGCAGTTGAGCTGCACCACATCTCCTATGGTTCATCAAATCTAATTTTCAGAAAAAAATGTCGACAAGCATTGTCTCAGGGTCAGTAGTCTTCCTCAGATTATCTCACCAGCCCAACATGCATTCCCCATGATCGTTCTTCTATCACATCCTCTTAGACTTATTCTTTTTCCACTAATAAGTACTTAGCCCCCACTTCTTTATTTTTATAGTACACTTGTCAGCATTCTCTGATTCAGAAATACATTTAAAGAGCTAAAGAAAAAAATCAACAACGACCACGCTTCCCAATCCGCATGATCTTTCTTTGATTTGCGCAGAAGCAGAAGCCAAATGACTCGAATATCTTCATTCCCACTCTCCTGGCTGTCGTGGTCCGACTCCGAGAAAAAAATCATAAATTCGAATATCAAAACTAAATCTCAAAAACGCATTCGTGGCATTGAAAATAGCAGACAAGGTCAGTCTGTTCTAGTACTCCTACCTTCTCAAAGATGTACAGTATCATCTCGCGCACTGCTCAACCTGCCACCTCCCCAACTACGTCTATGCCACCTTTTTAGTTCCCATATCGACGTACTCCGATTTCATCTTTCCTCGTTACTGTTCACGCTTTTGCGCCACCTCCTCCACCAGCCCGACCAGCTCGACAGGTGCTTGTTTTCCTTGTGCTTGAGCTGCTGGAAGATCGGGTTCCGCTTCAGCCGGTCCCGCGGCACCTGCCGGTGCTTTGGCATCTGGGACTCCCTCCCCAAACACGGCCAGAATCTGGTCCAGTGGTGGTACTTCTGGCGCCGGCGGCGGCACCGGGGGTGCTTTCGGCGCCGCCTTACCGGCCTGCCACATGTCGACGAATGGATCGTTGCCGAAGATCATGCCGCCACCGACTGGAACGCCCGGGTGCTCTTCAAGATTTCGACGAGCACCGGGTGAGGGTGTGTCCGAATCAATCGGTAAGCCAGAGCCAGACGAGGTTGCCCGAGGAAGAGCGTGAGGTGGCGGCGTGGAAATACTGAATTGGTGCGAGGGTGAACCCGCGCCGCGCTGCGGAGTAAACGGCCCTCGAGGAGGGCGCAAGGGTGAACCCGCGCCGCGCTGCGGAGTAAACGGCCCTCGAGGAGGAGCTCTCCCGGCAACCGGACTGTCCTGAGCTTGTTCGACCGGCGCAACGCGTCGTGGAGTGCCAGGAGGTGCTTCTTCAGCTTGACCTTCAGTGCTTCCTGGCGTGGCAGGGGATGCTTGCTCCGGGTTGCCACGACCATCACCACCTGCCAACGTGGTACCCGGCGTCTGGGCCCCACCACCGGGCGCATAGTGTTCACCATTCGAAGAAGAAGAAGGAGAGGAAGAAGAAGAAGATGGAGGAGGAGGACCACCACCACCCGAAGAAGACGCAGCCTTGAATTGTTCCAGACGGATGCCACGAGCCAACTCCTTGCCGACACAACCAGCCACGACAACGCGGACGGCGCGTCCTTTCCAGCTTGAAGAAATGGTAGTTCTAGTTCGGGACATTTTTTGTCTATTTCTGGGGAACCTCAACGATGAAAACCTTCTCGTTCTCACAGTACCCTATCTTCGAACTAGACGCAGGGGGACTCTGCTTAGTAAAAATTGATTTTTTGGAATTTTTTTTGGAAGAAATGTTCTTTCAGACGAATAGACAGATAGATGTTCAAGCAAGAACGAAGATGGAGGAGAACCAAAAAATGTAGTAAACAGAAGTCTTGAAATGACCTGGTAAGGCTTTGAAGATTCTGGCTGGAAGGTACAGGTGCTGAAAGATTTTCAGTGTTACACATCGACGATATGGTAAATGTCCTATTGCTAAGTACCTAACGGAAAAACTGGATGAAAAGACACTCACAAATGGACACATTCTCGATCATGAAATCACAGATGCATCACTCGCCGATCTTGACAGAGAATATGGATCATTCCAAACCACAGACAGATCTCTCAGATCTCTCCAGACCCTCAGATCAGTAGGATCAACACTCTGACTCGCCTAAATGACAGACGGAAGATCATCTCTCAAGGATCAAGACAGAGGCAAATTGGAATTGTCACCTTCAGTTGAACTCATGACTTCTAACAGATCAATCTGCAAGTCTCAAGATGCAATAAACTCACTGTGGGTCTCCCTGTACCTTATCTCAGGATGAGCCCACGGTGTGAAACTAACAACTTTTCTTCCTTATTTCAGGAAGGTAGGGGCTTCATGGCGCAGCACCACGGCCACTTCAATTATTCCTTTTCCCAATCCTTTTGCGTCGTTATAAATGATCATAGTCAACAACATGTTCCTGCATTTTGTGTCTCCTTTATATCTACAATCAGCTTCTATCTGCATGGAGTTTGTTGTAGTTGATGAATTGATGAACAATTACATTACTGCTCTACTACATCTCCAGCACGTACACGTACTAGTCCAGCAAACACCTAAATTAATGATCATGATCCCTCTATATCTAAGGCTTCTTTCTTCGTGAGAAAGTCCCTATTTCTGGACTGCGCTGAAGGCAAGTGAATCTCTGTTCTCAAGCTCGTAGGTCGTTCGTCTGGCAATCATTTGATAAGGGTGTATGGAAGTCGAATTGGAATTTTCAACTTTCATGATAGATCTTTCTAGTAAGGATTAGTTGAATGTAATCGGTAAAGTCGTGCCTAGGATTTCATCCCGGGCGACTTCTGCGAAAAATAATTTTCGTCATCGTGGAGCTACCGCCTTCGCACCCTTTCGAGCATATCTGGCCCCATTTTCCGTTGGGAAAATAGCCAAGGATGCTGTTGCCGATGCTTGTCCAAGACCCTGTCTGTTCATACTGTCAGTGAGCTTGAAACTCCCTCGGCAGTTAAGGTTTTTTTTCTCCAGCTATCTCCTATTATCATTGGATTTGCGTGTGCGTGTCTTGTATGTGCTGTTCCTAATGATAAGAAAGTAGTTCTGAGCTGAAAAAAAAATCCTGTTTAGATTTAGTAAGAACAAAAAATAGACTACACCCTATTATGCAGCCTGAGAGATTAGATGAAGTGCGGAGAATTACATCAGTACGAAGTTACAAAGTACAGATTAGCAATCGACTCTTACTATCTTTCTTTCTCTTTGAAAACAAAAGCCGTAGACGATCTCCATCAATCTAGACTTTCAAAAATATCCTGGACGACCCGAACCCTACCCGTGCCCGTACTAGCAACCAGTCGCAAAATGAGAATTATAACGCTATTAAACAAATCCAAAACTAATTCAAGACATCACGACCATTCAATCACAGGGGTCTTCATCATTCAAGACTGAGTCACTACCTACTTTTCATACAAACGGCTTCTCCACCATTTTTTCCAAGTGAGTGCTCTCGTGTGCAATTATTTTTTTCACTTTTTCTTCATGGCAAAGTATCTAACAATCAGTATTTTTTTTCAACGAGTAAAAAATATATGATAATAATATCAGCAGTACGTAGTGATCCTACCCCCGATTTTGCATGAGCTTCTTCTATCATCTTCGTCGCAACAAAACCAATAATTACGTATAGTAGATACGTCTTTACGATTCTTAACATTTCTGACCCCCCGTCAGCCTGGCATCACAGGTCCTAATTACTTCTCTTTCGGTATCCAACACCAGCTGTCATCAGATAGAACCCCAGCAGTGCATTCCTAGGCTTCGTCGTTCATCTTCCTCGATGACTTCTAAGCTGACTAACACAAATTTATCTTTTTGGAAGCCCATGATCAGTTCCTTCTTCTAGAGACCACCTTCGAAAAGTGCCACCCACGACTTGGCGGAGCCTCTTGGCGGAGCCTAGGGGTGTTTCGTAGTTTTTCTATTCTATTCTGCAACAAAGCATCAAAAACGCAACAGCAACAACTACACAAAGGAAAAGGCGACCACCCGATGCCATTTTTACTATCAGAAGGAGGGGAGAGGAGGACGCCAAAGGGAAGGCAGCGGCAAAACCTCACAGCCTGACACGCTCCCCAGAGACGACCAGAAACACACGGACAAGCCTGGCCGCGTGGACCCAGGGACACGCACGCGTGCCAGTGAGAGAGAGAGAGAGAAAGAGAGGGAGAGAGACTCTTCCTCGTCGCTTGTTCATCTACGGCACTTGATGTGGTGCTAGCCTTTTCCAAATTGGGAGGCGAATCGTGAACAGCGCAGGGCCTCGCATCTCAAGTGGAGCAACTAGCTCTGTCCGCGCAGCGAACGGCGTTTTTAGGAGGTCTGCTCTTGTACTATGTCCAGCTGGAGACTGGTGTTTTGGTACGTGAGTTGTACCACGTGCGGCTACAGGTACGCCCTAATGAAGCTCGTACCCGCCTTCTTTGTCTTCCTTTCCATTCATCTCTGGTGATCTGTACCAGTGCGTAGTCTGATCACCAGTGCTCCGAAAAACCCACTATGGCGGAAGTATATCAAGAGATCATGTGCCAGCTGAAAAAACTCATCTTCTCGAGTCTGGTGGCCAAAAGGGTGTTGTAGAAACTTTTCTTGTGTAGCTTCTGGTGTTGCGGAGGTGAAACAGCATCATGTTCTGGCTCATCATGTCGATGTTGATGTTCGATGTTGATGTTCGATGTTGATGTTCGATGTTGATGTTCGATGTTGATGTTCGATGTTGATGTTCGATGTTGATGTTGAATTGAAAACGGATTAATTGGATTAGTGGATTGGTGGATTGAATACACTTGGCGCCCCAAGTGCACCGCGGGTAGGATGCGCGGCCCCCAGATGACAGAGGATAGATGGGCGACAGCACGGGTAACGCTCCTAAGTTGGCTATGACGAACACCTTCGCTATTCTACCATATCAACAATTAATCAACATTGAACTCGAAGTTTTGTTGTTGAAGTATGGGGCATCCGTCTACTTTAGACTCGTACACTTTCTCATTTTGCAAAAATTAGCCGTTTTTCAAAATACCACAGCAGCCATTCCTTTCGTTCTCAAGAACAAGGAGTGTAGAACCTGCCACGGCAAATCTTTGTCTCCAGGCTTGGCCATTCCGCCAGCTCCACAACACTTTTTATTTGGTTTGTTCCATTTTTGTCGGTGACGGAATAATGTGTTGCTCGACTACTAAAAAGTAGGGCAAGAACTACATGATATCAAACCGACGCCGGGTACAAAACCATAGCCATGCGTATAATCATGAAGGTTTATAAAGGTCTTAAAGGCAACGTTATCAGTAGGAGTATCGATATTCATCCTTCCGAATCCTACCCTAAGTAGACCCTATACTTCTACTAAGCCCCTCTTCTCCCCGATCAAGAACGGACTCGTCAAAAGGCGCTTGGGTGCCACAGCAAAGGCCGTAGGAGAGTTCTCGCATCCCGGGAACCGCTGGCCAGTGGTTTTAGAGTAAAAATTTTTCCGAACGTTCAACACTGAAAATGTCCAACCTAACATGAACATGAACATCAACATCTACTTCACAATCTTAACAATATGGATTCCCTTGTGGACCGTACTTCGTATCGCAGCATCTTTCACAAGGAAAATGCCGATCAAAACACTGTTCTAGATGCGTGGGAGGACAAACTTCTTCCTTCTTGCCGAAGTTCGTGTCCGTGGCAAGCCAGTCGCCACGCTCGGCTGCCTCTTGGAATACAGCGAATTGGGGTTAGACAAAGGTCAGAAGTGCGAAAAGTCCTCGAATATCCTAGACAGAGTTGTCAGTGCGACACGCACTATGCAGCGCAAAAAGCGCGCGCCTGAAAGAGTAAGCCGCCGAGGATCCCACAGACACGACCCCCCTTGCTTTGTCACATATCCCCGAACACGACCGACGGCGCGCCTTCTCACATTGCTCACCCATTGCTCTTGGAATACAGCGAATTGGGCTTAGTTGCTCTTGATATACAGCGAAAAGTCCTCGGAGTGCAATTCTTTAACATAGTTAGAAGAAGTCTTCATGATCGTCCATAACGATAGTTTGTTACTCCACAGCATGTCGCGAATTTTATTTCACCTTCCCAACAGGTCAAGTTTCCGATGGAAAGATTAGATGAGCTACTTACCACAGAGAGCATCCTTGAGGAGCCCATCCCTGAGCCCCTTTTCCCCTTTCTTGAAAATTCAAATCACGGATAGAAGCGTTGAGGATGCTTGAGCGGAAGTCTTAAGAACAGCCAGATTCCTACAGCATGGTCCGCATTGGTAATTTCCGTCAAAGCAACCTTGTTCAGCACCAGGAGGACAAGTGGCTGCTACTGAAGGGGGAACAAGCAATGCAGTCAAGAAGCTGCTGCAACATAGAATAGAAGTAGTCCTCGTGAAGATCTTCCGCCTGATGGGTGTTGAGTGCAGGGCAGTAGAGGACGAACTAGCGGAGCAGCGAATGCTACTCCTGGTCGACAACTGTGAACGCAAGGCCATGTTCTTGCTTGTCCTCACTACAGGTGTCGGAATGATCCTCCTTCGTAGGCTCTGAAAAGCTCTATCGCTCTCGACGCTCTGATATGTGACGTGTGCGTTTCAGGCGGGATGTGCGAAGAAAATTGATCACACAACCCATCCTTTAGTGGCAAACACGAGACCACCACCACAGGGAAGACGAAGAGGTCTTCTTACCGTAGCATCTTCTGGCAGTCATTCTTTGCCGCAGGCATGGTTCCTGCTCTCGACAAGCATGGCTTGTTTAGGGTGTTTATCACTGAAGGAGGGACTTGAGAAATTATAATCATATGTAAGGAAATTCCTATGCCTCAGATTTAGCTATGCAATCGAGATGTCGGGATGTCTGTGCACAGAAACAGTGACAGAGACAGAGTAGGGGTAAAATGACTCAAACATTCAATAGCACAGGAACCGGCGATGCTCATAGCCCTGCATCATGACAACAATATCGGAAACAAGGATAGCAAAAAGTCCACCTTGGTGCTCATTTAGAACTAAATCTGTATCTTTTTCATGACTTATCGACTTGCGGTACTACTTCTCACTTGGTCTTTTTTGGACACTGTACTTAATAGAATTCTAGCTCTTCTACTAGATGCAATCATATATTTTTTCTGTTCATATTCGCTTGCATTGCATTTGAGACGCGTTATTCAAATTTAATTTTCATTTTGCAGCTAGTCGTAAACTTTCGAAAATCTAACACTTCGAAAAACTATCTAAGGCAATAAATAATTCAATATCAGCCCTGATTAACAAAGAGAAACACAGTTTTCAGCTAGTTCTGGTCTTAATACTGCAACTGCTCTTACACAAACTATACGAAAGAGGAAGAGTGCAGCGCAGCCAAGCACTGGAGAATTTTATAAGTGCTACATTCAGTCAGCCAGCATGGTCAAAAGCGCCACCCCCCTCAACACCCAGTAATTGGGTTTTTGGTTGGTGTCAAGCTTGATTGCGATAATGAAGTTCGAGGAAAGTCCAGTCGTTGAGAGAGTTCCTGCTCGCGAAGGAGTCTTGTAAAGAGGACATTCGTAATGATAGAAGATATCGTCGTACAGGTCCTGCTCTATTCCTCCGTCTGTAGTGTCGCCAGAGGATGGATGAAAATTAGAAGATGCGAGCGCCAAGGGGAAACTTCTCCGCTTCTAAATGCGCAAAGTCAAGCTCAAGGATAAACGTCTACTTTTTTTTACTTGCTTCCGACCTCTCCATAATTATATTCCCGCCCTGGTGACCCTTCGCAACCGTTGGCACGAACTGGATACACGGACTTGGGGTAAACATCACGCCAGGGTCTTGATCCGCTAGTATCAACTGCGAGAAATCCCATTGTGCGCCCTCTAGGAACATGCCGTAGACCAAAATTCCATCTGATAATGAGGAAGCAATGGCGGCGAGTTCAGCTGGAGGCAGGGCATCTGGATCCGAGAATTCCCCAGGTGTGAACTTGAATTGCAACGTGTCCACCGAAACATGATGCAGGCGCGAGAAGGCTTGCAACACAGACGTAAGGAATCCCTGGGGGAAGAAAAAAGCGGTCACCCAGAATGCTGCTGGTATTTTGCTTTTCGCTTGCTGGATCCATTGAAGGTTAGAGTGATTAGTAGGCAGTTTCTCTTTTACTCTTGGAGGTTGGATCCATTGAAGGTTAGAGTGATTAGTTTCTGTTTTGAACATGAACCATCTCCCACTTTGAGTTGAAATATAGAGCACAGAAATAAATTATTAACTACTCAAACTACCATGTTGTGCAAATGGAGAGGTATCACAAGGAGTTAATTAACGAGGACGAGAATGGAGGCACGAGCGAATGAGATAAGAGGTGTGTAAGGAAGTAGTTCTATTGCAAACATATTTATAAACATATTTATTTTTATTTATTGTGAAGGTTGTACTTTCATCAACCCTCGCCAAGTCGATCCATCATGAACATGAGTGATGAAAGAAACTACAGATGTAAGTAAATCTAGTTCTAGAACAAGAACAACTATTCGCCTTCATATTTCGAAAAAAGTCGATCCGCTGTAGGAAGTCGGTAAACCAGCTCTGAAGTTTTTTGCAAGTAGGGTAAGCGATTTTTTGCCAGATTTGAGGCACCTTGTGTCTCGATAGGTCCAAAAACATGCTGTCCAGCTCTGCGCTCATTACGATGATGCCACTGGTTTTAGAAGATGAATACTAAGTCGTGGGTATCTCTTGGACTGCAGAAACTGCTTGTGCTTTTCAGATCTATCAAGAGCAAGGATGTATGTGATCTGGGCTGTGATTCTGTACTACCTTGACAACTAGTTGTCCCTAAAAAATGCAAGCAGAAAACGAACCTGAGTATCTGATCATGATCTGTGTTTCTTCTATAAACATTTACTTAAATGTCATCTTCCCGTAGTAGTAGTAGTATTACATCAATAGTACTCTAAGTCAGTACTACTACGGGAATAGAAGAGTTAGAGTGAGTCTCTAACTCTTCTATTCCCGTAGTAGTATTACTTACAGTACTCCAACTCTTCTATTTATTTTAGGAGCGCAGTATTACTTATACAATACGAGTAGTACTCCTACTCTAAAAACTCTTCTAAGTTTTAGGAGCCCTAGCAACTGCCCTTTGCAGATCCGCGAGTGACCGTTTCATCAGTAGCAAGAGACTATTAAACCGCTGCGCTTCTTGGACTAAGCACGTCAGCAACGATCCCATGGCGCCGGCTGAGCCAGAAGCGACTGCCTGCTGATGAGGACTCTGGACATTTTTTTGCTGTTGTTGTTGCTGGTTCTTCTTTTGATGTCCAGACGAGGTTGACGAAGATCCGGGTAAGGAAGGCGATGAAGAAAGTCCAATTGCACTTGCACCTACGCCTTGTGGTTCTTGATTTGGACCTGTAGTTGTACTACTAGTTGTTGGACTCCTGGAAGCATTATGTATATTTTCTTTCTCAACTACTCCAGGGGACCGAGCAGACGAGGACGAAGAAGATCCTCCTCGTCCTGTAGTTGTACTACTAGTTGTAGTGGTTTGGTTGTTTTTCAGTAATATATCCCTTAGATGCTGTGAAATTCGTCCGACATCCAGGGCTCCCACACGCACCAGTTTGGCGAGCATCGCGTCCGCTAGCTCCGTTACTAATTGTTGTTCATGACTTTGCTGTTCTTGGTCCGCAGAGTTTGAGCCTGTTGCTTAGAGCTATCCCCAGCTCATCCCTGTGGACATCCCTCAAGGACATACCCCAGTGATGTTTCCCTTGTAGTATTTGGGTGCATAGATACTTACGGTGGAGGGATGGCCCCTATGCAGATACATTAGGGGAAGCCTTAAGTTGCATCGCCATCTGTCCCACCAGACGCGCCTGTCGAAGATGTTGAGCTCGCGCTTGACGATGAAGCTTCTTTCGGTTGCATGGTTACAATGGTGTCCAACAATAGGTCCGACTCCCTTTGTTGGTAGCTGATCACGGCATTCGCGTGCAACCCGAATATCTCAGGAAGATCCACGGAAGGCAAGACATGTTCTGCGAATAATTCAAAGTCTCGGACACAATAATGGTCCCCTGTCCCTGGCGATGTTGGCGAAACTCCGTTCTGGGCAGAACTACTAGTAGGTTGTTGCGGTGTAGTAGCAGTTGCAGGGTTGTTCTGGGCAGGACTACTAGTAGGTTGTTGCGGTGTTACACTTGCCGATGCATTGTTCCCACCAGGTGTTCCACTTGCTACACCTTTTGTTGCACCACTAGCAGAAAAAGAATCCCCTCCACTGCCTCCTCCTCCTCCTACCAAACTCCTCAATTCAGCCCATGGCGGCAATTTGTACGAGCCTGCATATTTGTACTGGTTTTTCGCAATCATTGGGGTGACGTAGAGGTCTAGAACTGCTTTGAGACACCTCAAGTCCCAAGGATCCGTGACGCGGCCACCGTAGTTGATATCCCCAATGACAAAAGAAAGCGTTTCCCAAGGATTTCTTAGAGAAACAACTTGACGGATCTTCGAGAGCTAGGTGACACTACGGAGCCCCCTTCGAGAGAATGTGGCAGCAAGGCAACCGTGATGTACTACTACACTTTAGAACAAGATGGCATATTCACGAATATCGAGGAACATCTCCTACTCGTCCTCAGAAACACCAGCATATTCACGAATATGATCATTCAAGGAACATCTCCTCCTACTCGTGAGAAACACAAGGGAGCATAAAATCGAGGCCACATTAGGAGCATTTGCAAACAAGTTGCAGCTATTTGTGGTAGCAATGTCAAGGTCCGACTCGTTGAACTCGTAGGAGGTGTTCCATCCAAGAGGTCCGAACTTCCGCCGCTCCTGGATTACTGCGTGAAAGAACCTGTGACGATGAGCACAAAAGTGTAAAGTTCCTTCCTTCATCCTGGTCAGCGCGGCGGCACCTTACGGCGAACTGAACAGCGCGACCAAAGGCCTTGCCCACTTGACACCCGCGGGTGCCACTGTGGGGAAAGCCGCCCGGCAGTGGCAACGCCCTGATCAGGGCGCGTGTAAAACAGAACAACAACAATAAGCGAGCCGGCTGTCCTTCCACTGACTACGCCGCCCCCTCTTCCGTGCTCTGTTGCCAGCCTCCGGCGGTGCGGGAGTCTTTGACGACCAGGACACTCCTGCCTACGCTGGAGTGCCCTTGCCGAGCGCTGTCTTGGAGAGGACCGACTCTTGCTATCCTACGTTGTAAAAAAAGGTAGTGTTCAAGAATAGTGACACAAAATATTGATTACGGGGGTCGAAGTCGCTCTTTCTTCGAAAGATAACAGTGTGGGTGAAGCGAGCCTCATTTTCAATGTCTTTCGTAGTTCAAGAGGACGGCTCACGTCAAAGTACACCTGAGTCTCAAACACAGAAGTTAGTATCTTCTCTATGTCTAGGTAGTCGACCAGTCGATAAACCTGAGTCCTGAATCAGAAGAGGAACGCCCTCCATGGTAATCGGAGTACCTAAGTCCCAATTGCAATTTCTGCCAAATTCTCGCTTTTTCTGAAGTAAAGCTTCCCTCTCCAGAGTCTAAGACTTTGAGATCTGCATCCCTCAAATGGCGCAAACTCCGTTTCAAATTGGCCTTGACGCCCTTCGGAGGTTCCGTAGTCATTTTCACGGCAATTCTTAGAAAAAGGCCGCGAGTGCTTAGACTCTCGTCAAGGTCAAGAAGACGAGCCGAGTCTAAGCAGATGATAGTAGAAGAGTCAATTTATCAATAAAATGTTATTGTTCCTCTCCGTCCTCCAGGCAGAGTCGCAGATCCAGATGAAGATGAAGTAGCAGCTATAAAAATTAAAAATTATGGTAGAAGTACTACTAGGTATTAAGTAGAGTCATTTCTTAAATTCTGCAGCAATGTCTGTGGGAAATAGACACAGGGCATGCTCGTGAGAAACAACCGGAACTCCGGATCCGTATTGTCGCCGTTGTCTTGCGTTATCGCATCTGTGAGTTTCTCCAGTTGTGGCATCCAACTTTAAAGCTCAGCATTCATTGGTCACTGACTCTGAACGGAAGAAACCCCCTCCAAAGCTCTCCCCTTTCCCTTCGTTTTCCCCCCATCTTTCCTCAAGGGGTCGCCTCTTCGATCTCAGTGACCAACTCCAATGACCACTGAAAGTTGAGCCTTAACAACTGCGACAGAGATGGCAATTCTGCAAGAGGACCCACTTTCCTTCTCGACGACCCTGTTCGATGAGTCTCTGTGCTCTCGGTCCCTGACCCTGGCCAAGGGAAATGCTTTCAACCTTTCTGTTGTGAGAATTTGCATGGCGCATCAGCATTCCACTCGGGTCAGCGCCAGCGGATAGGACGGAGATTAGAACTTTTTGTAGACCTCCGGTATTTCTATCACACGCACTTCGACTCCCAGTATCTCTAGTACCATGATACGTCTAGGCTTCTAGTAGCGCAAGGTGGAGTACAGCGAGAAACTCAAGCTACTAGGTGACGCAAGTGCAACAACTAGGAGGTGACGCAATTGCAAATGCGATCTATTCTATTCTCCTGTGCATCCCAAATAGGCATATAGCACCTACGGACGATTGAGTTGCTGGCAAACACTTAACAACTAGGTGATGCAACAACAGACATAAGAAAAGCACTGCAGTAGTGCACCGGCAATCCGCAAGGACCGCTCCTAGGTCGTTGGAACCTTCAAAATTGAGGAATTCTTCACCAATGCATTTCCGCACGTACTCCTGACAGCCGAAGACGACCATATCGGGACAAAGCACTTTCAGGATTCCTGTTAGAGGAGAAGACCCATCATGTTCTACAACTTCAGAAGTAATATGATCTCAGTGACCAGCGATCATTCACAAAAATAAAAAATCCAAAAAGCCAAGACATGCTCGAAATTTGCATAGCCGAAATGGGGAGGGCCTCTATTTCATCAAATTCGTAGGTAGCATCAGCCATAAAATCAGCTTGTGGAAGTACATCAGCTCCCATGTCTCTTCTGCATCATTAGGCAAGGAACTCGTCTGCGGAGCGTCGACTCCAGACCACTCTGACCAGGCATCCGGATGCTTGGCCACGCTCTCTAGCATTAGAGCCTGCCCTAAGCCCTAAGCCCTGACGAGTACGAGCATGATCCTGAGTAACAGCATGCACTACTTGAGGCAACTACGCTGTAGACTGCAACTCAAACATAGAACAGATGATTGCTGGATGGGCTAAGACTCTAGAGGTAAAAACTAACTTACATAGGGACAGAGAAAGTCTTTGAATCTTATTTCCCGTTCCAAATGAGCGGTCTGAGGATGCTTCTGAGGACGGATTTGTGGAAGCCTTAATAATAGCTGAGGCAACCGACAAACTCTGGCTATCCGCTGCATCATGTCCCACTGCTTTTGGTTCAAAAATTCCGGTTTATGCGGCACTGGATTGCTTGAGGACATTCCAGAAGTAGAACTCAATTTTCTACCACTAGTATTTGCTGCGCCACTAGTATTTCTTGTACCTCGTCCACTAGCAGTTGACGCAGAATCTACAATATGAAGATCACTCGCTCCAGTTCCACTACTAGAACTTGAGCTAGCCGCTTCTCCCGTCAAGAACAAGAACCAAGCGTCGTTAGCCAAGTGCCCTTCTCTTCGGTGTATCTGCGCTGCTAAGCAGAAGCTAAAGGTAGTCTTGTGGCGTTCAAACAATCCTCGAGAGACGCTGACGAAGACCTTTTTGGAGACCCTATGGATCAATTTCGAGAGTCGCTGTTCTTGATAACCCGGATCTGTCTGATCCAAGCCGTCCGCATCTACTATAGGTTAGAACTAATAGATACGGATACTCATCTTGTTGAGCCTCGTCATCTCTTACAGCGTTTGACTTTTCCTCTACTTATAAGCAAGGGCTCGAAGATGCTTCTCAACAACCTCTTGTTCAAGATGAGTTAATACGTTAGAAGCCCTAAAGAAAGCCCTGAAGCCTGACATCGTCAAAATTGGCAACGCGGGAAGCACCCGCTCCTTGGCGCACTGGTGGAGGAGAGTTTGTCATGGTGGGGGAGACAGGAGAGTTCGACCCTCCACCTCCTCCTAGATCGACAGAAGACGTAGCGATCTGCGCAACGCGCGTCCTCCTACTTGCGACTGCGGTCGACTGACGTCCAACTGCATTGTTGGCGGCTCCCACCTCGTCTGCACCCACTCCTGGTGCTCCTTGAGTCTCCCTCCTGGAGTCTCCATTATTGTTTCCGCCTCCAAGTGCACGACTAGTTGTACCAGCAGGGTTTGCAGTTGTATCTCTGTCTCCTGCTGCTCCTCCTCTACCTCCTGCTCCAGGTGATGCTGCTGCGTTGAACATAACCGTGGTGGCCCCGCCTGGCGTCCGACCCGCACTACGTGGACTCCCAGGACTGGTGGAAGCGAAGTTGATGACACTAGCCGTTCCCCTTGCTGCATTGGTAGTAGGCATTTTGCCTAACACAATGCTCTCAATAAACAGCTTCTGGAAGTACAAAAGTGAAAACTGATACATCGGATCGATCAGTGCCAAATCTGCAACGGAGAAGTACAGCAAGCTGCCGCGAACGGCCAATGGCCGATAAAAATCTAACTCCCTTTGGATTTCCTGCTGCGTTTTCTCCGCCAGTTCTACACGATGTTCGATCTCAGTTGATGTTTTCTTCGACTCCTGCAGGGCTGTGATAAGAGCAACATCATCCAAAATGTTGCCTTCGGAGTCGGTGAGTAACTGGAGAACTCGTTTCGTTAAAGATTGCCGAGTTGCATTCTTCAGAACATCCTCGCACAGTTTTCCCGTTGAAAAGGACGAGCCAAGGATGGTAGTGAAGGAAGATGCAATGTGGAAACCCTTAATTTCTCCAGTTTCTCCAATTGTTCCTTGTCCTCAATGAGGCAGATATGCAAGTCCGTCTTCCTTTCCATCACTTCCGGCGTCTCTTCGGTGACCACTACGTTCAACAACTGCTCCTCCAGTCCCTGTGGCGTGACGGTGAAATTCACAATCAGCACCTTGATGCTCAAATCCGGCAAGTAGTGCGGATTCGCCAGTTTCGTGGTGAAAGAGATCCGGAAATTCAAATCATAGTCTACATCTTGATCCCCGAGTCGGATCTGCACACGTCCTGTACCACCAGCAGCTTGGAAATAGGCTTTGGAGAGGATAGGTTCTAGAGCAGGGTCCAAGGATTCTCCAGCGTCTTCAACCAGGAGCTCGTATCCGTTGCGGACACAGCTCTCGAGGAGGGTGAGCAATTTCGGATGTGATGCCTTGATGACCTTGAAGCCGGCAGGTCCATTCATCCCATTGGCGCCTTCATTTGAGGTTACGGAGTTACATTCTTCAGAACATCCACCCTGGCCTCTTTTCTACCAGGAAAAGAGCCAGGGATGGTAGTGAGGAATGCAATTCGGACACCCCTAACTTTAGCACCAGCACTATTGCCAGGCCCTGCATTTCCAGCCCCACTGCGATTCTCTGAGGCTGATTGACCACGGTTAACATTTCCTCCAGGTCCTCCTCCAGCAGTCGTTTGTCGATTCGCTACTTCATCTCTACTACTCGTGCCCTCTCCTGTCTGTGCCACCAATGCCTGATTCTGTAAGGCCTTCGTCATTGCCGCAAAACGTTTCCGCATCCATTTATTTGCCTGCCCTTGAGGGTCTATCATCAAGGGCCACCGTTTCCCTCTGGTCACGAGGATTCCGTTGCACACGCTGACACTGTCTGCTGGCAACTCGCACCTAGACCATTCTCGAATTTCACGCACGTCTCCCATGATCGCCTCTAGCGAAAATTGATAACTCCCAATAGCGGAATTCATGCAAGGAACAGCTAGCTCCACCAAAGCCTGATGCCATTGCGCTACGATATCACGCCGGAAACTACTATGAAACGAAAATCTGTTATCATTATCAAGTTTCTTAAGTAGAAAAGTACGATAATGATAAGAGATTTTGGTTTCATAACTACCCGTAAAAGGTCCGTAGTACGATATGCAAGCTGCGGCAAGGAAGACATCGCCGACTAAATTTTCTGTCTCACCAGCCATTTTCTCCACTGATTCGCGCCAACGCTGATCCTCTTGGGCCAAGGAGTTGGTCAAAACGTCTGCACGCTCTAGTCTCTTCTCTGTCAACGCAGATTCAGCGATCAGAGACTCTTTCTCTTTTTCCGTATCTTCAAGCTTCTGCCTTAGGGCATTGACTTCTTTGAGCACCTTGTCAAGCTCAGCCTGCTTTGTGGCGAGTGCCTTGTTCGCCTTCTTCAGTTCGTCGTTGAGTTCAGCGAGTTTGAGCTTTTTGGGTTCTACCTGGGGAGAAGGTGTCGAAGGTTGTTGGTAGAAACAGCTGAAGCTCTTTGGGTAAATTATCATTGAAAATGATTGAGTAGACAGAACCAGGAGCACAGTAAACAAATTCTTTAGCATGCATGCATGTTCGAAAAAAACTAAAACTGTCTCAAGACGAGCAAGAGGCTTTCTGAAGAACCTCTTTGGCCACGATCGAGTATGTATGAATCGCGTGTGTCCACATGCATAGACTTCTGCAGGCTCTAGACTGATTCCCCACGTTTTCTGGCGCATATTCCGGCTTTTTGACGTACGACTCTAATTTCTTCAGTAGGTTCTGAGGTATTTTGTCTTTGTCGAAGTCTTTTAGCCTGGCAATAAAAGCATTATTGTCCTGCATGACGCGTTTCGCGGAGTCCCAGTCGGTCTTTTCGCCTAGCAGGACACACACAGCTTCCATCGTGAGCATGACCAATGGTGGCGGTTTTACGAAAGTTCGGATCTCCGTAATGTCCTTCTTATCCAAGGCATCCAGAGCTTTCACGGCTGCGTGAAAAGCTGGCATAGCCTGGCTGAGGTCGTGGCTTGCTTCTGCTTGGATTCTGGCAGCTTCGTCCTTTAGAAGAGCGGAAAACCAAGAATGAGTAGTAGACAAACCAAGAAATGCCAGCACTTCTATTCCTCGTCGAGTATTTCTATTTTTAGGTAGTTCGGCTTCTTCTCTCCTCCGCAACTACATCTTTCTCTTCTATGTACAAGAACTTATGTACATTCTACTAGTTCTTTCTTCAACAGGGTCTAGGTCGTATTCTAGTTCTTTCTTCAACAAGGTCGTTCCCTCCAACCATAACTGCTGCTGCTTGCTGACTACCTCCGCATCTCTTTCTACGACTTTTTGAAAGCTGGTAGCCTTCTTCTGCTCCTCCCGCACCACAGGAATGAGTTCCAGGCATTCATCAATCTTTATCTGGATCCTCGGTCTCATTCGGTCCAGATCATTTTGCAGGTTCGTAACGAGCTCGCGGAGTATGAGAGGGGAAAGTTGACAAGGATGTGGAAGATGTCAACGGCATGGATACGGATGCATCGTTCGTGCTGGTTGGGGTAGGGGGCTAGGACTAAATTAGCACTTATAGTTAGATCTAAATGCTTTGGTAACGAGAGAGGAGTCGAGAACAGTATCAAGCAGGGTCTCATCTCCCCATAAGTGCTTCCTGTATCTTCCGGACGCCCACTTTGAGTCGCCGCTGCGATTTCCTCAGATGTTGCTGCTTTTCCCCTAGCAACTCCTGATAACCTTGCAGCAAGTCTAAAAAGCTCTTTGGTGTTACATACACGTGTCTTTGCAGAACGTGGAGGAAATTTTCGGCTTGGGCTTGCACGCTTTCGTGTACGACAACACAGGCACTACAAATCGCAGTGATCTGTGAGGGGAGAATCTCTGCGGATGGTGGAGGAGAGGAGGTATCAAGCCTTGGACCTCCTGAAAGTTCTGCCTTGTTGTTTTCCAAATGGTTACTGCTTTGCAACAGGTGTTCTGCGACAGAAAAAAGCGCTTCCGCAGGCCACGGGAAAAACCAATTCACGGTGGTACAGTTGATGAGACTCGGGAACATGCGAAGTCGAACTCGAAGCATTTCCCCAACAGGACTCATCGCCAAGACTACGTGCAGATTGTAACGCACGCGAGTGATTAGAGGCAAGTATCTTCAACGGTTCACAAACACACATCAAAGGGAACTTATATGGAACTTATGCAAGTCGTGCTGCCACCTTGGGCTGTTTCAATCGATGAGGAGAAGGAGAAATTCTCTTGTCAGAAAATGAAACCACGAGGACGCCCTCTTCCTTCCATAACTCCAAAAAGTACAAATACACGTCTTCCCTTGTGATCGCATCTATCATGCCGCCAGAGTAGTGAGCCAGGCAATGCGGTCTCAATGTCTGGATCAAGTCCTCAGTTTGTTCCGCGGAGAGCAAATTCGGGACTTCGCCGGCATTGAGAAGACTATTAACGTCCTCCAGAAAGCTTTCCTGGAGTATCTGAGTGTCGTTGAGCAAGAAGCAAGTGGGTGTACCGGATTGCTCGAGATTGGAGTCTGAAGAGCCAGTGTTTGGGTTGCCGTCTGGGCCACCTGCGGGGGCATCGGGTTTTAGAGGAAGAGGCCCTCTATAGTTCCTCTTGCGGTTCAGTAGAAATGTTTTCTTTTGTTCTCTGAAACTAAACTCAATAATCAGTAGAAATGTTTTCTTTTGTTCTCTGAAACTAAAAACTCAACAATAACCTCTCAGGCGCCTTAATGCCGTTTCAACTCCAGCTGCACCAGCATCTCCTTTACTCTCCCCAACGCCTCCTCCATCCATGCATGCCGCACCTACCCCCGCCAATTTCACTACTTCCCATTCAGCTTCTCGAAAATGGGAGAGATTGAACCCTCTCGTCATTTCGATTTCTATCCGTCGCATCTGTTCGTACATACTACAACACATCTTAGCGGTTCCCCAGGCCCCTAGTCGATCCATCTGGAGACACATCCCTCCAGTTCAAGGGTGTCATTTGCATTTATTCATCCCCTTTAAAAGTATCAAAACCCTCTCACTCTCCTATGATTATCATAAGAATCAATTTATTACACCTCTCATCAAGATGGATCAGATTAATAGAAGCCTTAAACAACCTCGTCAACGATTGACGGCCACTCCCACCGACACCCACTAGCAAAAGCGATCCCCTTGGCTGCGACAATACCCGCGCGATCCGCGTCACATGCGAAATCGCATCCTTGAAAAACACTAGGCTCATAGGAGTGTTCGTAGAGTTGAAGTCCGCGTTCACTTGCTCCAGCATCTTCACTAGTTTCTTCGTATCCTTCATCTCCTCATAGGAGCCACCTACATGTTGACTCCCACCACCACCTCCACCGCCTCCTCCGACGGCGCCCATCCGCATGAAGTTACCCCAAGGCGCCATCGCATCTGAGCGCAGCACCTCAATTGTCCATTGGTCCGCGCGATACTTCACTTTCAAAACTCTCGAAACTTTCTGGAAGAACCACGTTTGATCCTGTGCGCTGTTCAATCTGTCGTGAAAAACGCGGCTCATCTCATGGATCCACAGCTTTTGAAACGTTTCCTTATTCGTGCAGTGCAGAGCTTTGACGCATAGGATACCTTGAAACACGCGGCTGACATCCCGCAAGTTGAAGGTGTATTGCGGTTTACTAGGTGTCGGCAGGAGATTTTCACAGACCTCAGCGAACATCTCGATCGTACTAAGCACACAGGCGGACGCTTGGATCTGGATCTCTTGTTTAAACGTTAGCAAAAAGCCACTCAAAATACTGCCAAAAATTTGTTGCATGGCTGCTGCGCTGGTTGGTGGCATCGCGAGCGGGTGAGAGTGCCTCGTAAACCGTGGCGAGAGAGCTTTCCGGCCGCCACCAGGTGGAGCAGAAGAAAACAGCAACAGCGTGTTCTCGATCTCTTTCCAAAAGAGTTTTTGACGGTCGTAGAAACCTCGAAAATCTTGGAATTGTCTGAGCAACTCGATCGGCGGTTGCGATCCGTACGTATCAGGTGCTGGCATGTTCACGTCATCCACCAAGATTACTACTCTTTTCCCCACTGGCGAACTCAAAACATTTTTGCGCTTCTTCTCCAACTTGCTCTCAATCGTGTTCTGCGTCCGCTCAGCACTGGTTTGGGCTGAAAAAATGACAAAAACCGGTGCAACGTCGCAGTGTCTTTTCATGTTCAACAGCAATCGTTGCAGCAAAACGCTTTTCCCGACACCTGCGTCTCCGGACAAAAAAGCCGACGCATTCGCAGAAATCAGTTTATCGAGCAAGAAGCTGTAGCGAACCGTGTCTTGAGTTGGGACCAGCAAGTCAAAGTAATCTGTTCCGGTTTTATAGGCAAAGGAAGGTGCGAGCTCGTCCCAACTAACTAGAGGAGGTGCAAATCGACGACCGCTTTGTGTTGTAGCAGAAGGAGAGTGTGCCTGTCCTTCTATTTCTCCGTTGCTTCCACTACCGTCTCCACCTATGAAGCCCACCGCTCCTCCACTACTATTGGTATTGCCACCTGCACTACTAGTTCCACCTGCAGGTGAACCAGAACCTGTATCTTCTATTTGTCCGCCTTGCTGTGATCCGTTAAACGCTGGCAAAAGCTGCCAGCTAGATCCTCTCAGATCGAAAAAACCGCTATCCAACGTCGGACACTGTCTAGTTGTGAATTGTTCGAATTCTTTACTCAGATGGACGTGGAGGGACGCTCGCGCTTTCGGATCTGTCACCGTTCCCCCAATAGACCAGGCAAGAGAGAAAGCGAAAATTGGAGTCAGCCACAGTTCGAATTGTCTGTTGTCGAGCTTTTGCAGAAAGCTATGGACTGGCTCTCCATTGGAGTAAAAACCACCGTTCTCATCTGTTGAACCACGACGTTGGGTAGCTCCTGAAGCACGTCGTTTACTCGCGTTACGACCAGCTGTACTAGCGCTGCCACGACGAGGAGGATATCCTGCATTACAACTAGTGGAAGTAGTAGGAGATGCAGCTGCTTCAAGATCATCCACTCTTTTAGCGTTGTCACCTGGCAGAACATTTTCTTCACCTTCACCTAGAAGTGCATCATCAAGCATCTCATCGCCTTCGTCGTCTGCGTCGACGTCGTCGGGAGCTCCGGTGGCAGCGTTGATTAGAGAAGTTCTTGATAGACAGTTCAGAATTTTACGCCTCCTGCAGTCTGTTATTTTTACAAGACACCAAGAACGAAACTGAGACACATTCATACGCTGTACGTAGTAATGAATTTGCCGAAAGCCATAAATTAAGTCTCTTCGCCTCCAACTTGGCTCGCCTTTCTACAGCGTCCTTCGCTGTACAACCGTGAGCCGATTGCGAGTGCGCGTTGTCCAACAAGGCAGAAAAGATACCGCACAATGCCATAACTAGTTGCGTGTCTTCACTGGTCATAGGTTCAACACAGCCGTTCCCTGGTGTTCTCAAGTATCGCAAAGCTTCGTCCACATGCTTATCGAAAAGGCCATAAATTACTTCTTTATGCCGCTGTGTAAACCTTGTTGGGTTCAGCTTAGTGCGCAACCAGGTTTTCACATACGGCCTCCAACCGAGGACGCTGGCGGTGAGATAGACCATTCCTAATCGGGAAACGGTTGCTGGTGAAGCTTGCGCTAAGTCTTGGACCTCGAACAGCATTCTCATGCGCATGTGCAGCTTGATGCGTTCGCCGCTAGCTAGACAAAGCATCATGCTGTCGTCCAATACGGTGTTCATATTCTCGATCCAAAGAGCATCAATAGGACCGTCAAAAACAACCCAATGCTGCTTTTCTTCATCAGTATCATCCGCTGCTGCGCGGATCAAGCTAGATCCTAGACCGTCCGTCCATTCCTGCGTCAAAGCCGAAAATTGACCATAGAGTTCACCCATGCTGATACACTTCGGGTTCAGACAATTGTGTGTTAGAGAATGCGAATCAGAAGGACGAGGAGGTCTACCTATAGAGAAATAAATCAGGAGAGACAGTAGTTTTTGCTTTTATCACTTGGGACAATTTTCATTTTGATTTTTTGAGGAATCTTGAGGCTGACTCCGACAATAGAACAAGAAGTCTTAACAGTTTCACAACCGGCCAAGCAGCGCCTTCTTGTTGCTGGGCCAGTACACCTTCGTCGTCGTCGGAGTCCAGTGTGCCGACTTCGTCCTCCGTCAAAGCGATCGCCATCGCGTTTTGCTGTCCTCCTGTCCCTGAAGACTCTGCCTTTCCTCCTGCAGAGTTAGCATGTTTTTCTCCACCAGTACTTCCAGTATTATTCGTGCCATCTCGCTTGTCTTTGCTACTAGACCGATCTCTGCTTCCTCGACGCACATTCTGCCCATGGATTCCCTGGGATCCAGAGGCCCTACGTCCACCTGTACTCCGTCTTCGATTTCCGCCAGATGTTTGACCAGTAAACAAATTGCTCATCCGTCTTGCACCGCTTCCTGGAGCAGCGGCTCCTGTACAACCTGTCATCGCACCATCGACGCCTCGTCTCACGTTCCTCGTTTTGCTGTTTCGTCGACCATACAAGTCGAAGGCGTCTCCACCATTCTTCGAAGAACCGGCTCCACCCTCACCATCCTGTGGATTCCCTGATCCCTGCCCATTTTCCTCGTCAGAACTAGCATACACGCCATCTGCCGCACGTTGTTCTGCCCTCGCCCGCCGTTCTTCCCGCATCACTTTTCGCCGATCTTCATCGACCTTCAACCGGCCAAGAGCTTTCGCCAAGGTTCGATAGCACACTGTTTTGCCTCCTAATGTTTTGCCAACCAGGGTTACACCAAATCTCACGTTGGTTGTTTCATACAATTGGATCACTTTTTCGACCTGCGTCGAGACAACCTGCAACCCGAGATCAACTTTCGTCGCGATTTCTACCGCTTTTTTCAGTCTACTTTGCTCCACCGGAGGGACGTCGATACCAGGGAAGAGATCGCGCACTATAGCTTCAAACAGAGGTAAATCATCAGCAAGAAATTTGGGAACGTTGGCGTCTCGCATAGCGCGAATCAAGATGATGTCCTCTTGCTGCTGCTCCTCTGCTGCGCCAGGACTTGTTATAAAAGAGATCCTCGTGATCATAGGTTCATGACAGTAAAAATCCATTTCTATATGCTAACGGACCTAAGAACCCAACTTAATATCTGAATTAAATAGTGCTTCAGTTTTTACCGAAGTGAAAGCATTGCCATGTGTGCATCTCTGTTATGATCCTTCACGATCACCGTAGACACCGAAAACATTTTCATTCTAGGTGATCTTATCATTCTTAGCACTCGCTCCTCCCACACCAGCATCACCTAGGCCTATTCCACCGACTCCGTTGTTGTTGTAGAAATTTCGTTCCTGCGCAACCTGCTGTTCCCGTTTCGCGCGTTTCAGCAGTGTACCTGCCATGACAAGGACACTCTTCACCGCACGCATTCCGAAATCGTAGTGATCCTGTTGAGAGAGCTGTTCGGATGACAGTTTGAAAAGATTCGTGAATTTTCCACTGAGCCTCTTCGCTGCTTGGAAGCCTTCGGCAAAGAGCATGATTTCCGCAATCAACGTGTAATCGGGGACCATCATCGCCACCGGCCGAAAAAGCATTTTCAGATTGTCAGGGAGTTCAGTCCGACCGGCATAGCCTGGATTCATCGTGATGCACACGCCCGCGGTGTGTTTCAGCCGAAGCATGCAATTTTCGAACATAAACTCTGTAGCTCCGCTTAACAGCGCTTGTCGAATGCAGATGAGCTGCTGCGCAATGACGCTGAGGACCTCTATTGAGATGCGGTTGAACTCGTCTAAGCAGGTCCACGCGCCGCACGCACAGACCCCAGAGTACAGCTTGGCCATCATTTTGTAGTCGATCTGCTCACTACAGTTAAAGACCACGCATTGCCTTGCTAGTCCCTTCGCTAAATCCTTGCACGATTCAGTCTTACCCGTTCCAGCAGGGCCACTAGGATTAGCTCCGAGTTTGATGTGCATAGCACCGGTGATAGTCAGCCAACAACGGTCAGTGAGAGGTGTGACAACAAGCCGCGAAGTACAACCGATGTATTCGTAGCCATAGCGAAGATGGGCTTCTACTTGCCTAACGTGCACTTCATCCACAATGTCGCCTTGGAGGTCTGCTACCTGGGTGAGAGCTATCAATATCGTGGTGGCATCAAGGTTCTTGTTGTTTATAAATTGTACAAATGGCGTTCTTGTTTCACGACATCAATCAGAGCACCCAGGTCGTTGTGAGATCACCTGATTACAATACGAAATCAACATCCGGTTCCGGATGCCTAAACTAAGGCCTTACCCCTTCTCCCGGAACTTTGCTTCCAGTAGTCCAATTTGCTCCAGCTCTCGAGTCCTGATCAGCCAATAGTCGGACACTCGAGTGGTCACCCCAGTAGAAACGTAGTTGCTGCTGCCACTTGAAACTGCTAGCCGAGGTCACCCTTCCTTGCACTAGACTTTCGACGATGTCTCGGCAGTGCACATCTTGGGTCACGAGGGCAATGGGATTAGAGTGGGAAAAGCGGCAATGCATACCCATACGCACTCAGCCTTCAAACACGAGAGGGGGCGGTCTCCAATTTCTTGCAATGATGATGCTCCCTTGCACTTACTCGATATGAGGACGAACCTAGGTCTTTCTATTGGTACTAATTCTCACCTTAACTATGCTCTTCCTCTGCAATGGCGAGAGCTCGAAAGTACAAACGAGATCCGTTAACTCCGCTAGCTGCATCATCTGAATCCGCAGCCATCTGTCCAAAAGACCAACATGAAATTCCTGCTTTGCTTGCAGTCGTTCCCTTTCAGCCTTGGACATCGGAGAGTTTCCGGTTCCCATGGAGGACCCACCTGGAATTAGAGTAGTGGTAGTGGTAGTGCCAAGCAAAACAAAGAGCTATCCATGATTACAGTGAGCGAAGATCCACTTGTTTTTCACAAGCTAGCCTTAAGAGAACCGCATTTTCACTCCCCGCACCGACTCCCGTTCCACTATTCGCGACTTCAAAACACTGCTCCGTCACTTGGCACCAAACAATCAAGTCCACAGTTGTCACCACTTGCGCATGCTTCTCCAGTACCCAACGAGCGCGCGTGTAGAGAGACCGTTTCTTGCTTTCACGAATTTTCTCGTTCAAATTGGTTTTCTTGTCCACGATCTTTTGCTTGGTTTCCAACTCTCCTAGAACGACTTTCGGATCGAATTGACTGCTCGTCGACAGAGTCCTTCCTTCTTCATCCTTCCCCATTATCGCATAAAAGTCCCGCAAACCTCGCTTTAGAATAGACCAAACACTTCGCACCATGGTTTCCTCCACCTCAGACAGCCAGCGCACTAGTTAAACTACGCACCAAGAAGACCTACAACCCATGATCTGGTAGAAGAACATCTTCTCTTAATTCTTTTCAGGAAATTATAGAAAGAGAACCTATAATCGGTGAAAAGATGTTCCAAAAGATGGGTTGAAGGCGTGGCCCTTAATCTACGCTTCCGCTACGGGCCTTCAACGAGCGATAGAACCACACTTCCTCCCCCTCCACACTCTGCATAGCGAGGATCTCAGCAGAATGTCTGTCCACATTCGCGAACTTCAGGGTATGCAATCCGTCAAAGCACTTCCGCAGATGAGGCTGCACGGCCTCGATTCTACGAGATTGCGCCAGAATTTCGAGTAGCTCTTCGTTACTGAGAAAGAAGAAACGTGGGAAATGCAATCTCTTGCTCTGGAGATAATCTTCTAGTGATTTTTGAATCATGTCGAGACCATGATTCCATTTGCGAAAGAGCTCGAGGCGTTCTGGCTTCGTTGCAGCGGCGAAGGGGGGGTTAGATGAATATCAACATATAGGAGGGAAAGAGGTACTACAGGTTGAGGACGAGAAGCAGGATCTATTTGTGCTTGGTGAATCAGTCTCAAGCACCGACGTCTGACTCTTTCTATTCCTAGTGTATAGCTGCGGCAAGGAGGTTTGAACAACAACACTATCATAACTAAATTTCCCTCACATGTTTCTCGCATTATGATCTTCCATTGAGCGTCTATCTCAGCGAATTTGCCGCTTTCTGTCGGTAGTTGTTTCTTGATGTCCGCAGCGCCAAATATAGCCTCGAGATAGATCCAGTTTCTCTGCAAGGTCGCCCATTCGTCGAAGGTTAGACAGGAGAGGTAAAAAAGAAGAGCTTTGAGACCCTTCACAAGGAGCTAGCTTAATCTTCTAAGTCAAGATGAAGAAACTCTACCCACACTGACTCGTCCATAACAACGTATCCTGAAAATACAGCAACGACCGCTGCCAATACTCGACCTCCTCTTTTATCGGTTGCACAAAGCGACTTCCCGCCAATGTCGAAACCGTCACTAGAGAATCCTCCAAGCATGCACTCACATCTTCCAGGTCTCCCAAGATGAAGACGTCTTTGCTCTCCTTGTAAGGCAAGATGATCAGTTCCTTGTCGGCCCACAGCTTTTTCACTTTCTGCAGTTGCTCCTCTAATCCTGCTTCGGCCGTGGCACGAGAGGAGATTTCCGACAACGCCTCTAAGTGGTCCTGGATTCGTCGGTCCAATGCCATGCCGAGAGTGAACTCCGGATCCTCCAATGGGAGTTCTTCGCCAAGGAGCCGCATGATTGGATCCCAATGACGTTTTCTGAGTGCAGGATTACGCAAAGCGGACACAACTGGCAGTAGGTTCTTGAACTGCAGGACTTTTTCCAGGAAGATGGGGACGCAAGGATGTGTCTTGGCTAGAAGTTTGGCGGAAACGGAAGCAATGCGGTGAAAACCGGCGACTTCTTTCGGCGTTAGAGACGGAGGATAGAAGTTCTTGAGGGGTCAATTCCCATACTCACATGCTAAGGACAGAGCATCACTGGATTCCCCTGCGAGCGGACTGAAGAACTGCGAAAATGACATGACAACTACGAGGACTAGCTTCTTACACAAGAATAAATTATCACTTGACACATCCTCACCAGCATCAAGATCAAGCACGACCACGAGGTACCAGAATTACTAGTAGACGAGCATCTTCACTCAGCATAAACTCAATTGCTCCACATCTATGCTGCAGAAAGCGCAGCCTATCCACCTCGCTGAATCTCGTTCCCAATCCTCCACACCACGCCAAAACCTTGCATAATCGTCTAGCTGTCTCGTCAAGTCCTCTACATCATCAAACGCGGACTGAGCCACGTGCAGAGTTTCCTGATACCGGTTGTATCGCGCGGCGTCGTTGCGACATCTCTTGACGTTTTTCTCGATTTCTTCGATAAGCATCAAAACAGAGGAACGATCCACCATCTGCTCTGTCGACTCCAAGAGAGGGTCTTGGAGCTTTACGACTTGATCACGAACGGCTTGCCGTAGTTTTGGGATGTCCAGTTCAAGTTGGGGATTAGAGGAAGGCTAGTATCCAACATGGCAAGCTGAGTATCTTCATGATTATGATTCATTCGAGCCTCGTTTCCGGAGCGCCCTATCGCAAGTCCAGTGTCGTTCTGGCCTTAACATACGTGAACCGTGTAACGTTTCCTTCTGCGTTTTCATGTGCACTCTGGATCTGAGACCTTAGGGTGTCTTGCATCATCTCTAGTTCTAGAAAGAGGCTGCGTGCCTTCACGTCCATCGGTAATGTCCACTTCTTCGCGATTTCAAAGAGATTGGATTAGACGGCAAGTGGTGTACGTGTGGGAGTTTCTTGTAGACTAATTTCACAAGAAATTGTGCGTGGAAGGAGAGCATCAGCTTTTTCTACGCACACACGACCTGTAGAGACTAGAGGCAGTGGCAGAGCAAGAACCATAATCGAGTATATAATGCGTCCTCCTCTGCACTACTTCATGTCCATTCGAAATTCGCTTCAGGAAATCCAGAAAAACTATGTACTCGTCTACATTCTGCGGACTTTTCGCTAGCCTTTGCTGCGCGTTCTTGCACTCGGAAAGCAGCTGCTGCGCCAGGGAGACTGAATGCATAGGCACAAACTCGGAAAGAAGACTCCAACAACGAGTTGGTCCCGGAAGCAAAGTCTCTTTTAAATCGCCGCTTTTTAACTGGAACAAGCCAAAGGGCTGCGAAGTCTGCAAATTTTGCAGTTTTGAGATCTGCTCTTGGTACTTTTCGAGTAACAAGACGTAATCGCCAAGATCTTCACCGGAGACGTTTTTGACTGGTACGTAGCGCGTTTGGAGTCTCCGGTTTAAAACTTGTAGATCATGCTGTTGCTGCTGATGCTGTGGACTAGGAGCGACATTTGCTCCGAGAGGGGAAGCTGCAAACGAACTGCTATTCATCATCCCACTAGCACTATTCTGTGCAAGATCATGACTCGCCTTCTGTGCCCCTACATTGTTGTTCGCAACCACGTGCTGTGCAACTTTCTTCGGACTATTCGATACCGGCACAGCAGCTACTGCCAATTGTCCTCGCTCGATGTCCTGCACTACCCGGACCTGCTCCATCTCAGCCGCCTGTTCTAGCACGGTCCATGTCAATTGAGCATTTTCATTGTACTGTGTGACGAAATACTCCAGATGCTGTGTCTCCGCAACCACGCTCTCGAAGAGGGACGTGACTTCATCGCCTATCATGCGAAGCATCTTGTGGAACCTGTCGTCGCTGACAATGACGTGAAACAAAGCGTCGCACTCCTGGACGACGTTGGGGTTTTTGTTGGCATTTCCTCCGCCAGAAGAAGATGAAATGGCTTCTATACTCGAAGATGCGAAGGCGTAATGTTGTTCTGCTTGTCCCCCACTAGGTCCACCTCCGCTTGCTCCGTTACTCAGTGGATTCCGAGCAGATGAAGCGTTTCCAACACCAGCAGCAGCGTTGTTTGCCGTTTTCGACGACGATGTTGTCGCATTGTTTTGTACAACCATCGTGTCAATGGAGTAGATCTGAAAGCAATCCAAGTACAGAAATCGCGGAAAACTGCACACAAAAGACACTGCATCGTAAACCGAAGCAGAAATATGCTCTAGAAAATCGTTCAATTGAGGCGCAAATGACAGCCCATAGACCGAGAAGACGCTGTCTACACGAAATAGAGGTTTCGGAACTGCGACGTTCATCATCTGCTGGTAGGAAAACATACCACTACTGTTGCCACCTCCTCCGGGACTTCCACCTCCTCCGCCTCCATTGTCCAGCATATGTGTTCCAGCAGCCAAGCGAGCAGTTAAACGCCCACCAGTTCTTCCGTAGCCTCCACCGTACCCATATCCTCCATACTGTGTCCGTCTTTTACTCTCCGCTAGTTTTCTCCTTTCCTCTCGAAATAATCTGTCTTTCTCGTCTAAGTTCCGCAAATCTTCTTCCTCTTCTAACGCGCACTTGGTTCCACCGTGATAGGCACGGAGGAGATTGAGAAAATGTCGCACAGAGTCACGTGAAATGGAGAAAACTACGTGATCAAAGAGGTACTGGACAAAGCGGATGAAGCGGAGTAGCTTGCGACATTGTGTTCTCCTAGTAGCGCGTTCGGTGAAGGATTGAGCGACGACTACTTGCTGCTGTGGTTGTTGATGTTGTCCACCTTGGATGTAGTCCGGGTCGTGGTCTTAGAGTCTTACTTTCGCACTTGCTAGGCAAATCAAAATTTCCATTTTGAAATGCTGATGCATCTATCATCAGTAGTTCTTTGAAGTTTTGTTCCTAAAGAACTTTATTTTTCTAATGCTGCCATAATTCTCCTGTTCATTCCTCTCTACATCGTTGAAGCCGTTTTGCTCCAGGAAGACTTCCAATGCAACTTCGCAGCTCGTTTGCAGTTCGTTGCGTATGAGAAGCCACAGTTGTTCTAACTCCGCTCGAACCACACTTTCCAAACGCTCTCGTTGTCTATGTCGAAAATCCTCCAAACTCCAGATCTGCGTATCACCTTGGTAAAAGCCACTGCCGTTGTTACCACCTCCTCCGAATGCAGATGAAAATGCACCTCCTCCACCTCCTCCGTTATTTCCGTGAAGATTGGAGAATGCGGCCGAGTAGATTGTAGTCCTTCCTTGATGTCCGTGACCGACGTGTCCACCACTGATATTATTACCCATTCCACCAACATTGTTCGAAGAGCAGTAGTTTCTCCCACCTCCACCCAAACCAAACGCACTCGTTGTCCCCAGATATTCTAACAGTCCCAGTGTTACCTGTACGCGAAAACACGCAGACCTAATGCGCAACAAGCTTTGTCTGAGCACATCATCCAAGACAAAGAGGTTTTGGTTCAGGACTTCTGAGTATCGTTCAAAGCGTGACCTGAAGAAAACCTGCTTCCATCGTCCAAACTGTCTCCACTTGCTGAACTTCTGAAAAAACGGTATTTCGAGCAAGCCTTCGAAAGCGCTTCGTTCTCGCTTCCATTCGGAAATGCTGTGGTGGTGAGGTTGATGTGTAGACGACTTCTTCTACTATGTTCCTCGTGAGAGAGTGTGAAAAGATAAAGAAGCGTCAGCAGATGAAGTACGTTTTTCTCAGTTAATCGACAACTCCTGGACGACGACGAGGCACCAACTAACACCGCCAGAAAAAGGAAAAGACATCAAAGCATCGCTTAGTACCTAAGAAACTCCGATTCTCCTCGAAGTGTGTGCGTCACGCCTCTGGCTGATATGGTCAAGTGGTCAGACAGGTTGATCTCCGAGAAGGGCACCACCTCATAATCGTAAGGCCCCACACGATTCATGTAACAAAACTCGTCTTTCAAGGAATCATGTCGCTGAATGAAGTCCACGAAGTCTCTAGGGTCTACTAGGAAACGACGCCGTTTTGCTGCGCCGCCTGATGCTCCACCTCCGGTGCTGGATGTTAGCAATGTAGATGCAGCAGATGGCTCAAAAGGTCTTTTCTTCCATGTTGAAAAAATACAACACATATTTATAAAAACATCTTTCCGCCGGACCACTAACCTACTCCGGAACAGAAGCACAAATCCAAATGTACTACAACTACATCTTCTATTGCTTGAAGGGATACATCTACGTGACAGAAGTAAAAACTAACCGGTTGTTTTATTCATCTATATCAATTTCTACTTCAACCAAGTTCTTAATGAACTCGAGGATGCTTTCTGTTGACCACCTGTCGGGACTGTTGCATGGAGATGGTGAGCGTTTTTCACCGACGCCGAAGAAACTGGCCGTTTCTGAGGTGAGACGATTCTCCTCGTAGCTAGCGAGTTCGTACCCGGTCTAGAGATATACCCACTTGTTGAAGGCCGTGACAGTGCTGTGCTTGGGCGAGCAGCTCCTGTAGTTGACTCCCCTTGAGGTTTCGCTGACCTTGTTCCGCCACCAGCTGTTGCATCCTGACCTGTACCTTGCTGATCTCCTGCGCCTCCACCATTCTCTCCTCCAGGAGCTCCGAAACCCGTACTGATAAAAGCCAAATGTCTTGCCGCTTGTTCTGCACCAGCTGGCCTCACATTTGTATGAGGAATCGGCGGTCCAGGAGGCACAATAAATCTCGCTGATAAAGGTCCTCCTCTCGCAGAACCAGGACCACTGGTTCTGTTTGCGATGCGTGGTGCTGCTGCTGGTGGAGCCTTAAAGTTTGATGCCAAACAGAAACTATTCTGTAAATAAATCGACAGATTGATACTTACATACTGCATTTCAAGTGGATGATACACGACAATAAAAAACGTCAACATCACCCGAATTGATACTTGAAAAACCATTCTTAAGACAACTGGTCCCGCCTGCACCTCCAACGGCGCCTGTTCCAGCAGCATTCTTATTAGTGGGGCCTCCTCCTCCTCCAGCATTCTTATTCCCAGTTGTTCCACTTCCAGTCCCTCGTGCACTACCTACTTGACGTCCACTACCTGGCGGTGTGACGCCTCCATCTCTAGGTGTTAGTGGCGGTTCATCTCCCTTGCGGTAGAGCCGCTTCTGTAATTCACGCACACCAACAAGGTCCAAAAGAACCGGAAGGAGGGGTTTTGTTCCATCGCTGGGTGGAGGAGCCGACATCCTTGAGCTTGAGTCAGTGGCTGGTGGTGAGAGGAGCCGACATCCTTGTTCTTGGTCGCACACTTACAGCATGGGTAGTTTAGATGTTGTCACGATCAAAACGAATTACAACTCAAAGTAGCGCAGGTAAGTTGACTTAATCATGGCGATGAACTATAGGCGCATAGAGATAGAAAACACATAGACAATCAGCTGCTAGTAACTACGTACTTACTACTATGAGCTTGGTAACTACTGTCCTCTTCGCTCCCACAGATCCACGCTCCTTCTCTTTCCAACCGCACCGAAGAAACTCATCATACTCAAAATCAAAACATTTCCAGTCTCTCTCTAGACGGAAGTCGGAAGAGCACCGATTAAGCCTTCAACACTTTCTTGTTGACAAGCTCAAAAAAAAAAGACAACCTCCAGGCACGACCTTCTTGAGCACAAGAAGGTCGAGAATATCTCTCACTCTCAGTACCGACTAGTCAAAATTTCTTAAAGACCAAGACGGAGGCTTCCCACACCAAGGGCGGATGGCACCCACACTTCCTGGGACGGTGCACCGGAGGGGCACTCGTATCCTACAGCTGTTCATGGAAAATAAATCAATGGAGACTAGTCCCATATGAAACATTCATGAGAATTGAAACCTATGTATGAAATAACATAGTGATAAAGGCCCACGCCATGGGGTGAAGCAGGAGAAAAAAGTTCAAACAACTGGCAGTTTCTGACAGTTCAAGACTGAGGCCTAGTATTGACGCCTCATCGATGAAGAAGTCATCGTCATCGTTCGCATGTGAATATTCCAAGCTCATCGGATGAGCCTCATCCATGCTCATGCACAAAGCGCATGATAGACAAAGATATGCAGTAGGAAGAGCCTGAAAAACTCATGACCACATATGTTTGCTACTTCGAAACTATGCACCGAGTCTTTACAGGAAAACCCTTGTGAGGCTGGCATGAAAAAAAGAGTAGGATCCTCGATCCTGATTTACGGAAAAAAACGTTCAATAAAAATTCATTCCTTGCTATTATAGTTCATACTATGTATAGTTCATACTTGACTAAAAAATACTGTTCTTTCTCGACTCGTCGAGGACATTGGATGTATTTGTTCATTGTTATTCATACGACTTCAAGGGCTGGCTTTGATGTTTAAGTAATGAAATATCGATTCCATCTTCAAATCAATCTTAATCTTTGACTCTATGAGAGGCTTCTTCGTAGCATATTTGTAAAATCTGGAAGATCATAAGTCGTTGCTCTTTCTAAAATTGTCACCAGTAGTTGTGATAGAGAGAAAGTTTCATTGAACCAGACTGGCCTTGCCCTGAGCACATCTCCTATAATGTCCTCTCATCTTGGGGAACCTGCTACAATCACTTGAACCAGGATGCCCATCCAAGGGAGAGAGCCGGAGCAGCAGGCTCTTGTTTTATCTCCTGCTTCATCGATTGAAACTGCTGTTGTACTGCCTCCTTCACCGCTCCACTGCTGGTTGTTGTTGCACCAGTGTTCGCCGTGGTCATGGGTAACACCACAGTAGTGGCTGCTTCTCCGGAGGTTGTGGAGTAACTGGTGTTGTTCATTGCAGTTGATGTAGAAGGAGTTGCACCTGTGGCACTGTATGCAATAGCAGGAGTGTATGCGGTTGCAGTAGCTGTGCCTGGATTAGTGGTCATACCTCCGTAGACGTAGCTGTTTACGGTGGTGCCACTTGATCCATACATGCTCTTGGTCTGTCGGTCCATCGGCGATGGTGACAAGGCGGACGCGCGCTGTAGAGGTGGCGACATTGGACGAAAACCTATCTGCATCGGTTGCCCAAAGGAGAACTTCTGACCAGCAGGTTGGAAGCTGGTTCCTATGCGGAAAGAGGATTGGGTCAACGTACTACTCTGCTGAAATCCTGACTGCGTCGAGACTCCAGCCTGTGGACGCACACCGCCAAGCATGAAACTGCCCTGATACGGTGCCGGCTGTTGCTGTGTCTGTTGCTGCTGGGTCGTTGTAGTGGTTGTAGGAGCAGCGGCAGCGGCAGCAACACCTGCACCAGTACTTGTTGCACTATTGTAGTTGCTGATATTGTAGCTAGTAGGCATAAGAGACTGTTCCACTACGGAAGGTTGTTCTTGTCTACCACCCATCGTCACTGTACTTGTTGTCGTTGGCGCTTCGGCTCTAGCCACCTCAAACCTCACCTCCTCTACGGGACCACTAGCGTCAACCATCCCGCTCGGCGGGGGACCGCCTGTGCTGCGCGGTTTAGTACTTGTTGGAGTACTGCCGGTTTTGATTAGAAGCGAGATCAAGAACTTACTCAGAATTAGTCAACGAACTAGTTACTACACATATACAACTTATTGTCTACAGAAGTCGGATAGGCAATAGAGGCATGCGCATGATCAGTAAGATGAAGAACTCACTGCTTACAGAAATCAGTGTCCAACTTGGAAGTAACTGTAACATTTAGCTAAGTACATCATAAACCCGGGTAAAAGGTAGCGGTCTTGTCCGTTCCGCCACTCTGTGAAGTAGAGGTCACTGGAGGACTGCGAACGAGCGCGCTCGCACTATAAATCGTGTCCTCTACAGATCGCGGTGCGGGATTTTTGCTGTGCAGAGGTAGGTTTCTAGAAGTGGGGTTTCAATCGAGAAGGTGGGGAGATAGACGTAGAGATGATCAGCTCGTCCTCATCTTGTTGAAGGTTAGAAAACTTCTATGTTGGACGTAGTAGGTACTCGCCATTTTCTATAATTCTGTAATATCATTGATATCATATATACTTATTCTGATTCTTCTCCATTTCTACCTCAAATGACCTACTCAATCTTCTCGTCAGCACAGAAATATTAGTATCAAATAAACCGCAATGGATGATGAATGCGATGGAAGTGGAACTACAGAGAGATTAGTTGTAGGAGACGAGAGTACTAAAATCCATTGAAGGCAACTGAGACACCTCGGCGTCTGTGCTCCCGTGGCTGCATTCGAAGGCTGTGTTTTGCTCGCCGACCTTGGATCCTGAGCAGCCGTCTGCGAGACGTAGCTCTTTGGGACGTAATTGCTACCTGCAACGGCACCGCCATAAGGCGCCGCTTTCGATTCTGAATACGCTGAAGTTGCGTCATAACGCCGCACATTCTGCGAGCCACCACAGGCTGGTGTCGTTGATGCGTTTTTCGCCTCGAACGGGTTCGCTTTCTGTGGGGGCTCGAACGGGTTTACGTATGGCTTCGCTGGTGGTGGCGCAGGTACAACTGTTGGGCCCGCTTGTTTGGCAGTCGTCGAAGTCGCTACTGAAGTCTTCGATGATGATGCTGTTCTTGCTGCTGGAGTATTGGCCGCCGACGTACTACCAGCCGCAGCTGTTGTACTATAGATATAGTTGTTAACACTATTTCCAGGTGGCGCACCTGATGTGTAAGCGCTCATATAGGACCCACCTGACACTGCACTACTGTAAGTCGTTACTTGCGGTTTTGCTGCTGTGGATTCAACACTTGTACTAGTTGTAGGTGGCGCAACGGCTGAGGAATCTACGATACTAGGAGCCATTGTCGAAGCTGCAGCAGCGGCGTTAGATTTCGCTATGCTGTACGCCGATGGTGAGGCGCCAACCGTCGTTGAAGTTGTTGAGCTCTGCTGTTGACTAGGCAAAGATTGCTCCGTTTGAGCGCTCTGAACTGGTGGTTGTGCAGCTTGCTGAAGATATGAAGATCCGCTCCTGCTCAGTGTTGATGATACTCCTCCAGTGCTGTAGTTCATCATGGAAGCTCTTGTACTAGATGTTGTCGTCGAAGTCGGTATGACCGTCATCGGAGCGGTCCTCGGAATCAGACTCCCTCCGCTAGATGCGCCACTGCGAAACTTCAGAGGCACATGAGCGTTGAAGACGCCGCCGTAAGCGTTGTGGTTGCGGTCATAGGTTCCAACCTTACTGCTGTTGCTTTTCCACGTGTAGACTGTATTTGCGATGACCTGCAACAGTTCTTTGCACTTGCTCCGAGAGTCGCGGACGAGATCGATCTGCGCACACCTGTAGTTGTAGTTGATGAGGGAGTTTCGATCCCGAAGGTGTATATTCATAAGTATATCAATCAGCCACATCTTCAATTACTAATACATGGTTAGGTTAGGTTATGGATCCTGCACCACGAGCCCCAGCAATACATGTCAGACAAGAATTACATTGAATATTTAAATAGTGTGAAATTATAATCCACGACCACATCACAACTACATATCTTCGTTGTAGAAAGAATACAATATTCCCATGCTGCTCGCTCGCGCAGAAAGTAGAGGACTCGCAGAATAAAAGCTGTTAGAGTCTCCAGCTCCTCCGCTTACTAGTGTTCCTACGAGCAGTTGTGGAAGAGCAGCGACCTCGGTTAGAGGTAGAGCGCAAAAAAAAATCATTCCCTTCATTTCTTCATAATCCTAAGGAGAAAACAGAAGAAAAAGACTGACCATTGGTGGACTTCGAAATGCGATTTTGTATCGAGCCTTAACTTGAGTCCCTGCCGTTTTGTGCACATCATCTGAAAGGTGTCTGCGTGCTTCAACGTAGTCTCGTTAGTGGCATCGGCGAAGAAGAGAATAGCATCCATTTCCTTCGTAATCCCGTCAAATTGTTGAAAAGAAGGCTCCAGGAGAGTCTCTTCACCTGGTGTAGTGCAGATTATGTTTGATTGATTGATTGATTGATTGATGTACCCATTCACGGGGTATTTATAGCATCTTTAATTATGAGTTTATTAAGTACAACGAAAAATCAACCCTACACCTACTAGTAGCTTCGTGGCCACTAAGAAAATCTGCAAATCTTTACGAAAATCATAATCAATTTGAGGTTTGAACTACCTCCACCCTCAAAAATTTGCAGGATCACTTCTTTGTCTGAATCCGCCAGAAGCAAACTCGTCTGCATCGTGTGTTTTTGGACTCTTGAAGTGTATCGGTATTCGTCTCGGTCGAGAGGACGGTCAGCTGTGGACGAGTTTAGTAGGTTGCATCTTCGGTAAAGCCGTTACAGAAGTGCATACAAACCATACACGTAGCTATGCGACGTTGAGCAAGAATTCAACTTTTAGGATCTTTCAGTAATAAAAACAGTAACATTTAGTAAATTCAGATGCACATAGTCATAGAAGTCTAGAAAGTACACAATAATTTCTGCAGAAACGCCGATTTTCCCGTACGAAGCGCTCCTAAAACAGCAATCTTATATACCGGCAACCCTGAAGGATTGCTGAAATGTAGGTCTTGCACCGAGCCTCCTAATCCTCCACCTACAGGAGGCGTCGACGCACCACTGACGCCCACAGACAGGTTCAGGACGCTGGAAGAGAGACTTGAGGCTAGTGCCAGTCTCGTAATATGAGTCATGACCACGTCAATGCCACTTCCGGTACGCGAGGAACATAGCAGATGACCCATGTTTTCCTTCTCTTTGCACCAGTCTTTAGCCAGATCTTCATTACCATACTCACCAGAATTTCTTAGGTCTGAACGCGTTCCAACGACAAGAAACCGCACGTCTGGACACTCCTCTGGACTATTCTGGATCTGGGAATACCTGTTTTCTGAGAGAACTTGACAGATTTTTGCAATAGATTATACTTCTAGCATTTTTCCTGTTCTATATATTATATATACATAGGTATATCTCCAATAAGTAGTACCAGTGTTTCACTCCTTCAAAGGAATCCGCTTCCGTCGTGTCGTACACTAAGACCGCAATATCTGCGTTCTTAAAGTATCCTTTGAGGGTGAGGGCTGCATCGGGCCCACCAAAACCGCAATCCCATATGTTAAGCCGGACACTCTGGCCCTCTAAATGTTGCTCGAGGGAGAAGAACCTGCAGTCAGTGTTGTTGAGAGTGGCACTCTACAAAGATATGCTCGATCTGAGAAGGAGAAGAACCTCTCTGGCTATAACTTGGTGCTACTCAACTTCTTGTCGAAAGTGGGAAGTTCTAAAATAAATCATTTGCGAGTGCACTATATGGTTTTCGCCGATCACGATAAGAGCTCCCTCAAGTAGATTGCGTAAAAATATCATTACTCAGAAGCTGGTGTCGGTTCGTACTTCTTTGGGACAGGCCGTTTCGTAACCGCACAACTGAGTGCCGTTTTGCCGACTTGGGGATCGCCCACCATAATCACTTTGCGAGACATCATGTCAGTTTGGGAGAGTTAGTAGAGATAGGCCTCTCATTATAAGAACCTAAAGAATGGACAATGCATGAAGCACTTTCTTCCAGGATGATCCTCTCAATTCCACCTGGTGAGAGATGGTGCTCATAGGCTACTACTTTCTCACTTTTTCTTATTTTACTTGTATTTTCGCGTGTGCTTCAATGGCAGCAGAAACTAGTGGCGTGCCCAAGGAATGCCCACTAAGACCTGTACAAGTTTGTCCTTCTGTGACACTATGTAGTGCAAGGTCGTATCTAGGCCACTTATTTCTTCCAGGATGATAAGTATTCTCAATTCCACAAAAATCACTAAGAGAGACTGACATCGGTGTTGCTGAAACTTGAATGACGGTAGTGCATGTACTAGCCGTAAGAAACGGCGTTGGCCGGTAGCGTTGAAGGCGCCGTACTTGCCACCGTGGTGGACGGCGCGGATCCGAATAAACCGCCGAACATTTTACTTTTCTTTTTACTTCACTTCTACTTACTTCACAACGATTCAAATGAAGTTCTTGTAGTCTCACGTTCATTCGTGTTGGAGGAACCAGCTACTTGAAGATGAAAAAGATTCCCCTCTTGTGTTAGTAACTAACTTTATTGGCCTCTTGTTGTACTTCTAACTCTAAATTGCTTTGCAGGTTTTTTGGTACGACAGACAGACGCTCGGAATTAGTCTCCATCTACTCTCTGAAACGTCTCCCTTTTCGTCATCTGCTTTTCTGCTTTTCTGCTCCTTCTTGGTGGATCGTTGAGAGATTCCAATCTCAAAAAACGTTGATTTTTGATCTTGACAATTTTTGATCTTGTTCATTCATTTACCTGTTCGCGAGGTGTTGCCTAGAGTGTGGGGACTCAATTGCAAGGGCTTTCAGCCGTCTCATATACATCTCCGACAAACTCAAAAACATTATTTCCTGTTCGTCTTAATATGTAATAAATATGAAGTTTCCTCAGAGGCTTATGATAACAGCCTTGTTCTTGTTGTTGTTGTCTGGTACATTAGTCGTACATAACAGCCTTGTTCCTGTTGTTGTCTTATGATAACAGTCTTCTTCTTGTAGTCTGAATCATTCAAGTGCGCTTTTTGCAAAAGCTTTTCACCTCTGTTCCCTGGTGCTGCTCCTTGCCGCAAATTCTTGTACTTATAACTGCTTTATTGCCTTTATTCATCATATCCCGTTCTGAATGTGTATGGGACCCTTGTTCATATGTCCCTTGCTGGAGGAGCTATGGGTCCCATGCGGCTTGATCGATTGATTCATGTGCCTGGCGAGAAGTTGAAGATAAGGATCAGGGCAATACCAATACCTCGCTGTTCGTCTGTTCCTGTCGGCTACCATTATAAGCGGCCGAAGAGTCGCCCTTTCCAACACCTTTGCCGTTGCCTTTGTTCACTACTTGAAGATGTTTCGAGCCGTCTTGAGCACGAACGGTCGAAGAGGCGCTCTTTCCAACACCTTTGCCTTTGCCTTTGTTCACTACTTGAAGATGTTTCGAGCCGTCTTGAGCACGAACGGTCGAAGAGTCGCCCTTTCCAACACCTTTGCCGTTGCCTTTGTTCACTACTTGAAGATGTTTCGAGCCGTCTTGAGCACGAACGGTCGAAGAGTCGCCCTTTCCAAGTACACCTTTGCCTTTGCCTTTGTTCACTACTTGATGCTCCGAGCCGTCTTGAGCACGAACGGTCGAAGAGTCGCCCTTTCCAACACCTTTGCCGTTGCCTTTGTTCACTACTTGATGCTCCGAGCCGTCTTGAGCACGAACGGTCGAAGAGTCGCCGTTTCCAACACCTTTGCCGTTGCCTTTGTTCACTACTTGAAGATGTTTCGAGCCGTGTTGAGCCTTTATCATCCGTACACATTCACATATTCCAGCGAAGTGCGTATACCTATTGTGCAAATCCGCCTGTATTCTTGCCATCCTCGTTTTTAGCTCAGTTCGGCAACGTTCCCAGGATTTGCGTTTCCTGTCGCCACCCCTTTGCGGTATTAAGCCAACGGGGGAATGGGAACCATGCGGCGGCCTAGCCTCATAAGGCCACACTTCCCCAGCCGGGTCTACCACAGCCACCGAAATGTCTACTCGGTCTTTATACCAGTTGGCTCTAAGCATGTTCTTAAGCCACTCTGCAAACGTACGAACCAGAAACGAGGCATCCTTCTGAAAAGAGGCGTCCGCAAGATCTAGGCTTAAAGCATGATTAGCCACGAACGGCCAAGCCCTCTTGCAGCCCTCTTCCTCTTGCAGGACCCCCGCCGCCACCAGCCTATCAGTATCAGTATCATTCAAAATACTACAGCTTCTTTTTCCAGGTACTTCCACCTCTTCTTCACTCAAATAGGCACGAAGCAGCATATTTCCTGTAATAAGCAGCGACTCAGTGTCCTCTCCAGCTCCCTCAGAAGTAATAATATTTCCACCTCCCAGTACCACGGTTTTCATCACTCCTTCCTCAGTTGCGCCGTGCAGTTCAGGGGGCAGCGTTCCAAGCAGTTCTGTCTGCGACATGTGGAGAAATTCAAGGAAGGCAGTAGTGAGGAAATGTGCGTTCATGATCGTACTCTCGTCTCCGGTAAAGACGGCATGCTTTCGCGCATGCGCCCTTAGAATAACGACCGCCGCGAGACCTAGCTGACGATTCCGCTTTAGCCGACGATTCCGCTTTTTCTTTTCTGATTCTGACTCTGGAGCCTTTCGGTTTTCTGACTCTACTGGAGTCTCTCCTTCGACGTTTTTATACTCAACACCACTCTTCCTGGTTCTTCTAAACAACGCCTCAATGTTAGACATCAAATCCAGATTAGCCGTTCGCAGTTTGTGAAGCACCCCGTTTGTGTTTGTTACGGATTTCGCATCCGTATGAATACAGAACTCCACAACGATCGGGGAAGTTTCTGGTGCACTTCTCAGGCTCAATGACATGCACCCGACTCTGCCATCAATCTTCTCGGTGTGAAGGGAAATCGCGTGATGTAGCCGCGGATCTTCAGACAGCGGATCTTCAGACGCGCTCTCTTCAACCACTTGGGCTGAGGACGCGGCCACGGCTACTTTGTGCATCACATATGACAACACCCACTCTCGCCAGTTTCTCTCCTGGCATTCCAATCGCTGTTTCTTCTCGTCTTTGAGCCATTGCCTTTTCTGCAGCTTGGGAGAAATCCTCTTGCGAAAAACGGGCTCTGTTGGACGAATGAATTCTTCATCAATGTCAGCAGAAGATGCTTCAACACCACTACTAGGCACGACCGGTTTGACGCGACGGTCAAATTCGAGTTGCTTGTTTATCTTTGCGCAGATTTTTTTTATCATTCTTGTTCCGCTCGTTAGTAGTTCTGGTTTCACGTACAAACCGACATCCAAGTCACTCTCCTTAGAGGGTATGCGGTGAAAGATCGAACCGGCTCCGAACAAAACGTAATAATCGCTTTGCAACATCATGGGAGAGGTGGCGCTCGAGCTCGTCGTGATAGGAGGTGTATCTTCAACTACTGGAGGCTCATCAGATGCGAGAGGCAGCGAGGACGACCGATCTACTCCACGCCCAGCAGCTTTTATAGTGGTGAGCCCCATCATGTGATCAAAAAATTGCTGCAGTTCCGCGTCGGCTTTTCCAACCACATTGCGTGCGAACAGTTGCAAAGTCTTCTGCTGTTCCAGCGGCATCAGGTCGTGCAACAACCAAGTATCCGAAGTAGCCGATGAAGATTGCTCTGTCGGTTGCTCTGTTCTCCATTGTTTTCCTCTAATTGGCACCGTGGTACTCGTATGTCCTGTTTTGACTGCAGAAGAAGCAGGTGGTCCCTGGAAAGCATCGGATTTTGCCTGCCAATGCGTCGGACCTGGTGCAGATTGCCGCAACAAACCCGGTGAAGGTGGCAGCTCGAGTCCCGGTGGTGGTCGAATGAAGCCCGGCGGCAGGTCGAGTCCCGGTGGAGGCAAGGGTGGCCCGTGCTCGTCATCCGATGTTCTCAGGCGAACGGCGGAAGCCACGAACCCGCTCATACAAAAACCTGCTGCGCTAAAGGTTCTCATCATGATCGTTTCAATCTGTGTGTGTAAGGCTCAAGCTGTCTACTGCTAAATTGAATCCACAAAGAAATGACTTCCTTAGAACTTTCGTCGTTTTCTCCCCACGAGGTTGCCCGTTCTGCCTTCGTCTGCTGACTCTTCTCTTTCGCCCAGTGGCCTTTCGAGTATTAATCCCCGGCCAGTGCTGTGAACGACTACCGCAGGAAAAAAAACGCTGGTGTCAGACCTGCTAAATTGAATATACTTAAATGTCTCGCGTTGCTGATCTAAATCTTTACAACGCTGTGATACAGAATACGATTACTTTTTCAGCTATCTTTTTCGGTATTTTCGATGAGTATAGAAGAAGTGAGGCCTACTGTTTGCGAGCACTAAGGCCCCAAATTTACACCCTTACGGCTCTGCGCTTTTTGATAATTCTCGGCCCGTTTCAGCTGTGCAAATTGTGAAGGTTTTGCATGATTCTCACGCGGTTCAAAGTTGTCAAACGTGTGGACCTTCTTATTCTTTCTCATGTGTAACAGCAGCAGAAGCCACATAACACGCATAGGCTTCCAGTGCTGTGATCATTATCATCACGGTCCTCCAATGATCTCCATCCTCTTCACGCTCTTGATGATCTTCATACTCATGACAGTATTGGGATCATCATCCTCATCTTCACACTTTTATCATTTGCGGAACGGGGGAACTGGATCATTTACAACCAACTTTTAGGAGAATTATCATGAGTGATTTTCGAAAATTTTGTAAAAGTGATTTTCGATTCTTTTGGTGATCTGTTTCTTCTCTGCTTTCAGTTAATACAAGAAGAACGTGTAACTAGGTGTTTCTACAAAGAACGCTAACGTAAATGTAGATATACACAACACTCACCGTGTAACTAGATCTCCACACGTAACTAGATCTCCACACGTAACTAGATCTACACACGTAACTAGATCTCCCCACGGAACTAGATCTCCACACGTAACTAAATCTACACACGTAACTAGATCTACACACGTAACTAGACCTACACACGTACTTAACTACATCTACACACGTAACTAGATCTCCACCAACAATGTTTCTCCACGTAACTAAATCTACACAACATCATGATCTCGAAGAGAAGATCGCTCTCTCTGCTACACTCACGCTCTGCTGCCACTCTCACGAACAAATAAACGCAATCTCTATGCTGGTGCATGACTCGACGGTTACTTTCACCTTGCTACCTTTTTCAAAATAAATTGTTTGACCTTGCTACTTTGGTTTATTACCATTTGAAAGAATCTATTTACATGCCACGTCGGGTCTTTCACAATCCAGCAGAACATTTTTGCTTTTTTGCTGTTCATCTTCGTTCTCTACACAGTAATATGCCTATCCGCGTTTCCAAAAAATTATAGTCAGACGACATTCATATACAGGTGTAATTTTGCTATAATCCAGAATATTAGATACAGGCGATGGCGACTTGATGCGCTTTGTAGTACTACGTGATAAACGATAAGAACTTGATGATTGTGGAAAATGACTAAAAAGTACGTTGAACTTAACCTGCAGACCAGACGGTGGGTCACACTTGGTCTAAGATACAAAAACCACTTTTCTGTACAAAAATCCATAGGCGCCCTACTGATCCCCGAAATATAAAATTTGTCTTTTTGGACTCATACGAAACGGGAAAATGACTGCAAAATCCCAAGTGCGTAGATCAATGTCGTACGAAATAAGTTATGCTTTCTTCATTAATAATACCAGTCTATAATGGCAATAAATGCACATGAAGGTCGTGTACGTCTGTCGTTATAATAACATGGCACTGAGTTGTCTGACGACAAGCTACAATAATATGATATTAACAGTCACTTCTTCTGCTTGTTACGATCATGAATTAAATTTGAATATGAATTCACCACCTCTCCCTATCTGCCGCGATTTCCTGTAAAGCGTTAACAAGCAATTGGTGCCCTTTGTCACTCCACACCGCATCCATCACATGCACAAAGGTGCTCTTGCCTTCCGTTCTTAGAACTACCAGAAATCTCCCATTTTGAATTCCGTCTTAGTTCCCCTTCCCGTTATATTTAATTAGTTAGTCCCTTTAAAAAAAACGGAAGGACCAAGCAAGAAGATGTTGTTGGGAAACAATGATGGATTCCGATTTCTTGCAGCCTTAACGTTCCTTCTTGCTCAACCCACTTTGTGGCATCGTAGTTCTCTACCCATTTGCCGGTGAGTCCTCGACCTCGCCAGAAGTTGAGCCACCCATGGAAACCTTCTTTCAAAATCGACATACGGAAGGTGGGCATCTTCGCTGACATCTCATGCTCAACAGGGATTTGCTCCTCTTCATCCTCGCCATTCTTGGTCGAAGCATCTACTTTGCTTGTTTCGACGCTCTGTTCCGCTTCCTGGGTCGGTTTATCTTCAGTTGTAGTCGTAACATCACCAGCAGGGGTTGCGTCAAGAACACTACCACTATCTGGCTGCTCTGCTGCGCCAGCTCCTTCTCCTACAACATCCTCTTTATTCTCCCCAGCTCCAGCAGTACCACTACTTCCAGCAGCTGTTGCAAGCTTATGCAGCTTCATTTTTTGCTTGCTCTCGCTCATCGACTGCGACAGGCATCCGGCCACAGTGATGGCTCGCAACACGGAGTACATGCACGTGAACACGACGTGACGGACACCAGAGTTTACGAGTTCCTCGATCAGCGATTCTGGGTCATCCTGAATGGCTCTTGTTCGCATATTACGTGCACCCGGAACGTTTCCACCACAGAAATCCCGTCCACGCACATCGATTACAAGTAGGCCAGGCTCTTTCTGTTCGATGAGGGCAGCGAGCTCGAGATGGGTCAACTGTTGATGAGGTTAGTTTGTTGCACTGCTGATGAATGGGATTTTGCCGATTTTGGTTTATCACGCTGAAAGATTCTTCATAAAGGTCTCTACGTCTTGTTCACACATGAAGAAGTAAACCTAAACACAGACCTGCAAGATCCAAATGAGTATAATGTACCTGTTCAAAGTTATTTTTCGTTGGGCTTCCTGGTGAATTCATAGCGTCTCTCTGTTCTACGTCTTCGTCTTCCTCCGCTAAGACCTGCATCGACGAGTGCACTGTGTCAACCAAAGGCCTTCTGTTATTTTTCTTGTTCTTTTTCCCCTTCTTGGCTTTCTTCTGCTTGCCTTGTGTAGGTGGGTTAAGCGCGAAACCCCCACCAAGCATTCCGCCGAAGTTCAAGGCACTGGGGTAGTTAGAGAGGCAGGCACAAAGGTCTTTTCTTGGAAGAAGTACTTACATTCATCCGTCGTTATAGTTTTTCAGATTATTTTTAAGTAGTTACCCTTACAACCACGAGACTTAAAATTGAAAGCACTTTAGACTACTAACCCCGTAGTGCATGAAGTCTAGATGTAGTCCAACAACTGGTTCTTCAGACTTAAAAATATAACAACATCATCCTTAACTTGCGGCAATCCTCCACCTAGCGCCAAACCGCCACCCGCTCCTCCCATGTTCACCACCTGACTGCCACGACGACTGTCATCTGGAGAGCTCGTTTCTGTTTCTTCCGGAATAGGACTCGTAGGTCGCATCATCGCAGACTTTTGGATTCGCTTGAACTTGTCTCGCTTCTTCTTCTTAGAAGTACTTCTAGCAACCCATCTGGTGGAACATCTTCCCGTAGCCGACGTTTGCAAGAAGAAAAACGGCTATTAAAAACGGCTAAAAAAAGATGCTGTTGTACAACTACTAAAAGATGCTCCTGTACAACTGGGAGATAAGATGGGAAGTAGATCACGGTAATCTTAATCTTCAACGCTTTCTTCGCTAGTGCATCGTTCATACTCATCGGGGGTTGGTCCGGGACTTCTGGACAGTAGAAATCTTGCTGCTCTTCCATCCACAGATCACCCAAAGTCTTGGACCCATTAGGACTGCCACCATCTGGGGATGCTGCTGAGGAACCACTAGGACTGGCAGATTCGCCAGAGTTGGGAGGATGAACGGCGCAGAACAAATCAGGGAGAGAAGAGAGAAATAGGAGAGAAATATTAAGCGATTTACTCAAATGATCAAAACTATAAACGGATAGGAAATGGAACAATCAACAGCCAATCCATAGGCACTTGCATTCGCCGCCACAGGTGATAACTGTTTCCTTTTTAAGGAGCCAGACCTCTGCCGAACAAATTCCAAAGACTTTTGTCGGTTGAAGGCAGTGTTGTTCGACGTCGCAACATCTAGCTCAGTTTCTTCCTCCACCTGACCTGCGCTCGAACTTGGTGACGAATCCTCGTCCTTTTTTTTCGCGAAGTTATACTTCACTGTGTATTTGTACCTGTAAAGAGATGTCGTGAAAAAGAGATGTGAAATATTAAGAGAAACTAAAAGGTTGTGAAATATTAAGGAAATTAAGAGAATAAACTAAAAGCTTGTTGTACCTACTTCACCATGTTGTTGGTTATTTCGCACTTATTTCTACAGGTCGAGCCAACGTAAGCTCCTATAAATCAAATGGCTTCAGAGTAGGTGGAGCTATAATTAGTGTTAATAAGCTGTTACTTTGGACTCTTGAGCCTTCCCTTCAATGATCCCCGTTGGCTGCCTGGCTTCTTCTCTTTTTCTTGTTCCTCCTCGCTTGAGGAGTTGTCCCGCGACTGCGATATGCTCGCAACCTGTGACTGATGCAGACTGCGCCCCCAGTAGGGCGTGCATCTTAGAGCTGACCTAGATTGATCTTGGAGGTCCTCTTTGGCGCGTTTTCCCCTTGAAAACGTGTCAAAGATGTCCCTGAAGATGAATTACGGGAAGCCTTAAGTGTATCATACTTTGCACCTCGCTTGTCATCGGACTCATGCACGTGTGGATGTTTCCCTTACAATTGCACTTCCGAAACGGAATACCAGCATTGATCACTCGACCACGCATCATCACCGTATCGTAGCTAGGTCGCCGCAAAGCAGCTGCGCTCTGGCCTAGGTTCGGGTCTAAGAAAATTTAGACGTTCGTTGTGTCAAAAACTCCATCAGAACCTCCACAGGTCGCACAGTCACTCAAGCTCAGCCACAGCCCCGCCATACAACCCTGAAAACATAATAGTAATTTACAGTATTGCCCAGTTGAGTCTGGATTTGGAGATATCAGAAAAAGTTTCATTTTTTTTTGTATCCTGGGGCTACTGAAAGAGCGGCCTCAGCTTTATCCAGTTCGCAAACCGGCGGCAGGCGGAACCTAGTGTTCCTCTATCACGCTATACTCTACGAACCCGCCGATTTTAGAGATGATCGAAAACTAGGAGGTTGAGGGAATGACTACGCCACAATTCCCAGCGATATGCCGATCGCCTCACACTTAGCGTAGACACACAGGTCGGGGCGAGCAGGGTGCCACCTACTTCTTCTACCCACATCGACGCGCTCAACAATCGGTGAAAAAGAACTAGCTGATAGCCAATATTCTGGATCTGGTGTAAGACCCTATATAAAAACATGCTGCTTAGTCACGTCAGTAAGTCGACACTACGCTAGTTTTCTTATCTCTTCAAGCGAAGTCTCCCCTTCGTCACTTGTCACGCATCCTTTCCGCGTCCCACCCAGACGGCCGCAGAGGCTTCCAGTGCTGCAGAAAGCTCCATCCGTCGCACGATCCCGATCGACGTCTTCTTGCACGCAAAAGACCGGAAAATACAAAACCGGGGAAACCGGAATACCGCACTGAAAAGTACAACGAGGGGACCTGCTAAGGGGGCACAAAAAAAAAGCGCCGACAAGTTGCGGCAAAAAACCATGCAGGGCAGATCCGGAGAAATGTGTTGTTTTGTTGCAGTACCAACGCCAGACCGATGCTGAAAAAAAGGCGTCCATCTCAAACCCTGCGAGGTGAACAAAAGACAGGGCCGAGCACTGATCAACTCGTCATTTGAAGCACTCCCAACCATCAGATGGAAGGAGCAACTACAAATGCTCTCAGGAACACATTTCTGGCCACCCACGGGGGCAAGTTTCGTTCTCAATCTCAGTGACCTTTTTGTAGACGTAGCCTTCTTCTAATAGAGGTGTTAGGTGGAAGTAGACCTTCTAGTACTTCTCTATGTGTTTGTTGACCCTTAAAAATTCTGTCCAGTTGGCGTCTGCGCCACACCCGGGAATGAGCCTAGGTTCCCGAGTCCGGGAAGTGCCGTTTTCATCTGGATATGCGTCATCAATTCCATTAAGGACATCTGTCCTAGCTGCCCGTTTTCCGAAGATGAAAAGGAGGGGGAAGATGGAAGAGGTCTGGGTGTAGTATGAAAAGGTCTGGGTGTTTGGCTTTGGTGCAGTACACAATTACGAAAAGGGTTACGAACATTCTGTTCTTCCTTCACTTGTCAAGTCTAAGGTAATCAAGAAAAAAACTCTAATTCAAGTGACTTCTTCAGGTTCAGCATGATGACTGTCGAGATGAAAGTACTTAACACCTACATCACTTCTAGTTGTTCGAATAAACAAGTACTGCCTGTTTACCGAGAACGGGTACTACTTAGACAATCTCAGGTCATAATTGCACAATGTCCTTGATCGACACATTAGGGCAGGAAGAAAGCAGCTGGTTCAAGTCGAGCCCAAGATCTTCTTGCTCGTCCGGGTCCTCTTCCTCCTCTTCGTCGTTCTCTTGGGCTGCTGATGCGTCGACTTCCTTCTGACTTGGTTCAAACACCTTAACAGCTACACCAGATCCTCCACTGCCGTCACTCCTAGTGATCGTCACAGCCATTTTACCATCATCCGATTTTTCAGGTGGTACTGCAGCATTTTGTTCTCCCTCTTCTTCTGATTTCTGGAGTTCGTCTGTTTTGACTTTCAGTATGCCGTGACTCACATTATTTACGTCACCTCCAGAAGAACTACTTGAAGAAGTTGTGCTAGGATCTTTTTGAAGATCATCCGTTCTCTGCCCGCTAGGAACTTCTCCTGCTTCACCATTAGAGCGGCAAAAAGTTCATTTGTTGCAAGGCATTTCGCCTAATAAATCCTGAGAAGGAAACAGCGAGAAATGAGTACCAGCAGGCTCTACTTGAGGTAACGATATAGTATCTCTACATACACCTTGACCTGTAATACATCTCAAAACATAAGAGATCATGATTGAAGAACTACGTCACAGCGAGAAATTCAATATAATAAAAAGTTAAGCCTTAATACAACCACTCGCATGATCTTCCGATTTACTATTTTCTTCCTCATCCTCCGCGCCCTCAGCTGCCATCATATTTGTCAATGGCCCAGTGGCAGACATTGCCAAAGAGCTCGGGATCATCAGTGACAAGCGATTCGCGTTGTGTCTTATCACCTGCACTGGGGCAACGCCGCTGTCACCGCCAACACTTGCTAGACTCTGTGCGCCTCCTGGCGTCGACGCCAGATCCGTGTCCACGGTCAAGCCTTTACCCGCAATAGCACCCGTCTGAGGACCAAGACCGCTCAATGAACCTTCCTCCGCAACACCAGTACCACCAGAGCTTCCAAATCCACCTAGTTGCTGCGCTGAACCCATGATCCTCCCTAGGATGTTCTCATCATCTACAGGCCCACTTTCACCTTCCTCCTCATCGCTGTCCTCTTCGCTATCTTCGTCACTGTCTTCGTCCGAGGAGTCAGAATCTTCCTCCTCCTCTGAACTGCCTTCCTCCTTCATGCGGCGGTTAGAATAACTCGTCAAGGAGAAAAGCAGTATGGGGATGATTGTATTGATGACTTCTAGATTGGTTGAATTCCGATGTTTGAATTCAGATACCCTCTGTAATAATTGTGGCGGAGCCGACCTAACTAGAAAAGAGACAGACCTGAGGAAGATATAAAAGAGAAAAGGGTAACTATCAACAAGTATCCTAAAGTATCCTGCTAATTGCTAAAACTAACTAAGCGCCGGCGCTATCGTCGTCCTGTCAGCCCCATAGGTAATTCTAGTACATCTACTGTAATAATTGTAATTCTAGTACATCTACTCATGTTCTTCAGCTTCACCCATCGTGCCGTAACATCAAGTAACAATAGACCAGCTCCAAGAGCACTCACTTCTGCAGTGTCTGTTCGCCTCAACGTAGCACGATTCGGACTCTTTGCCGGTGTGTACTGAGACTGTCGACGGCTTCCGTGCAGATGGTTAGAGATGTTGGTGAAATCGCCTTAAGGGGTCGGATTTGAACTCCAACTCGCAAAATCAATATGAAAGTAGCTTTTCAGTTCTGACTTTGCTACAGTCGTGTTAGTACGTTGAAGTATATTTATTAGTACATGTAGATGTACAAATCCCGACGATGTTCATCTTCATAATAGAATTCCCTGCAGACGGGTACATGCTTACCGCAGCACTGCTCTGGGCTGAGGAGGCTAGACTCGTGCACACATTACCTGGCCGCACGGGCATGGCTACACCGGCTATAGATGCGGTAGAGGGCTTACGTGATCTCACCTCAGCCTCACCAAACTGCACTGCAAGGGCGCTCTTCTTCTTGCCTGGTTCAGCAGGAGCAGCGCTCGTTGGACTACCTGTTTCCTTTTGTAGATGAAGATGTACTACAAGGCAGTACCTAGCTCTGCTTTGAGCACTGTCCTCTGACAGGAACTAGACAAGTATATATTTTGTAAACAATTTACCTCCTGGCTGTCCAAGCAGATCCACTGCCATACTTTCACCTGCTGCCAAGGACATCTGCTGTGCAACAGTTAGGTCCGTTCGGTGTGCAGCTACGCACTCATTAGAGATAGATAGAATGTCTTCTAACATATCGAAATGTTGCATGATTGCTACAAAAAATGTGATTATTCTCTATCAATCAAACATCGCCGTAACCTTTCCCAATTGGATCGATCCCCCTGGTTCTTGCAATACTTCTTCGTCTGGAGGTGTTGCATGTGCTGACTTCGATGGTGTTAGAACTAAGTAAGCGAGACCCTTCATCTAGAATCAGCACCATCATGGGTCGCCTTTTCCCTTTAAAAACGCGCGGACCAAGATGCGTCCCCTTTTCCGTTTAAAAACAAACGGGACCAAGGGACCAAGATGGCTGTGAAGAAGAAAATGGATTTCTTGTACCCCTAATGGTGACACGATTCGTGACTCGAATGGACTTGCCGCTATGGATGCAGCGATGCTTGCCGCAATATTTGGCGAGTTGCGCGCACTCCACTCTTGCAATTCGTTGAACCTATCCAAGTCGATTGGCGCACCATAGACCGAACCTTTCCGGACTTGATTCCAGAGAAGGGCCTCGTGTAAGTCGTTTGGAGCAATGGGTTTCTTTTCATCACGGTCTTCGCCGTCAGGCAGTTGGTCCATCGCAGGCACGGGAACGAGACCGGACGCGCACGTGGTGAGAGGCTGAAGATTTGAGGAAAATCAACATAAGAGTTGTTGTAAGTAGCAAGCTTTTTCAAACAACTAGTACACGACTAGTACAACGGCGTCGAAGACTACATGATCGATTGATTTTTACATTTTATTATTTTGGATAAGCATAAGTATTAGACAAAGCATACGAAAGAAAAAGTACCGCTCCCGGCCCCGTGAGTGATCCGTCTGCGTTGAAGCTGATGCCTGGCGTGAGACCTGGCAATACGCCTGAAAATGACTTAGCGCGTGGTCGTGCCTTCTTCAGTTCGCTGGGATTCAAAAAATTGCCTCCAGTTCTTGGCCCACCCATTCCCCCTGCTTCTACAGTCGCCTTCTTGCCAAAAATTCGACTTTTTCTTCCAGCTTCTGGAGTCGCTCCCGCAGTTGGTCCATTGCCGGTGGCGACACCTAGGGTGAGGACGACAGACACTTTTGTACTAGTTCTTCTTCTTCCTTGTTGTTCTGATAGATATATATATCTATCAGATTCTCCTGCCGAAAAACAGTTGTAGAATAAAGAAAGTCAAAGTGTTGAAATAATATGCTGAAGATGGAAGGTTCCTTCCAAGAGCTGCTACATCATTTCTTGTTCTTCGACGTAGTAGCCTTCTCATTACTGTTCGCAGCGGCCGTTGACGTTGTCGATGCTCCTCCTGCACCCGAGGGAGACTTTGGTTCTACATTGGAGGAGTCTTGGAATTTTTTGTATCCGTCTTGTATCTTACTGCTACGCAGAGCTTCTGGGTCCACAATCGCGCTACTTCTAGGCGCTTTTGGGGCTGGGGAGAGCGACGCTGTAGCGGCTTCCGCGCCCTCGTCATCCATGTCTGCCTTCTCTTGCGTTGTGCTCTGACGTGGGGATCGAAAGGCGAGAGTTTAGAGCCGCTTCTGTGTATTCCTTACTTGCAAATCACCTTTCACCTGCGCGACAACTAAATTTGTCCAATTCTTGTAGGTCTACAGGCTAAGAGCCCCTCGTCCTCCTGGCACTACCACTAGTACTAGTCAGTAGGTACTCACTAGTAGACGATTATAGGCTTAAGCTGTATGATCACCCGCCCCATCGTCTTTCTTCGCTTCAGCTCGTGCTCCACTAGGGCTTTTCGGCGGTGGCTGTACGTTAATAACGCTATTAAAAGCTGCAGAAGCACGACTCGGTGAAATAAGCCCACCAGTAGCCTCAACAGCTCCCGAAGAATTGCTTCGGCGTGGACTACGTTGGACAACTGCAGAGCCTCTACGAATCATCATCCCTGACACTCCGCTAGTAGCAGTGTCGATTTCGGTTGGCCTTTTGCGCTGGATTGAGTCCCAGGTTTCCTCCACACTCTTTCGTCGACCTACACTGGTGGACGAAGAAGGTTCGGGCGCTGTAATGAGAGATGGCACCACGGTTGTGGCGGTGGAACTTGTATGGTCTATGCTACTGATACTAGTGAGAGTTGATGTGGCTGCTGTTGGGCCATCTATGTTCCCCTCTGGAGTGGTCTCACCTGCACCTGCTGATGTACTTGATGTTTTACCTCTCTTAGCTGCACTTCTATCATCACCTATAGCTGCACCAGATGAGCCGTCATCGGTATTCCGACAACTTGTAGTTGATGTATTGTTAACAACTAGAGATTTGCTTTTTGTAACGTCAACATCAGTACCAGCTGCAGCAGCTAGCAATGTTGGGCCTGGACCTGGTTGTTGATTTCCTATTGCGCTACTAATGGCCCCCTTATGACCCGTCGTGGCGTCGCTACCCGTCGCTGCATGCCGCTCTCCTATCACGACAACGTGCAACTCCTTCGGAGATGGGGGTTCTGAATCATCGACACGACTGTTGAATGTAGTCTTGTTCGTTTGTTTTTTATCTTGCAGCTGCTCTCCCACTCCCTCTGCTTCCTTGGCAACTACACCAGTTGTAGCCTGTCCTGCTGCATCGTCTTCACCTAAGGATTTTATTCCTTTACCTCCCGTAGAGGCAGACATTCCTGATGATGTTGACGAAAGACGTGTACTTGGCCCACTCGATCCAACCTGGTCCGCTGCTTTCATAGACATGATGCCTCGTATTAGATGAGCTACCGCATTCACATTCCTGGTACTACTTAGCATCCTGCTACTGCTTGGCCTCTTTTTCTACTGAAAAAGGCACCAAGGATGCCTTGCTTGGAGGATGCCCCTGCAATAGCCGTAATCGTAAGTCTGGTAACGTGCCTCTCTTCCCACTTATACCCTGTTCTCCACTGGCGGTCAATCGACTTCGACTCAGCAACGTTTCGTTCGTATCGTGGTCAGTAGGTGAAGAAGGGATTTTTTGCCAATAACGTATGTGGCTGAAGATCAGCATAAAAGATCTTGATGTTGATCTGACTTTCTTTACTTGTTCATGAAGATGAAACTTCTTCACATTCACATTCACATGAGGAGCCTAATTGTAACTACAGATCGAAAGATTTCTTGAATCATTCTAGCTGCAAGTGACCTGCATAAAAACTTCTTGCCATCTGCGTCCGCATCTTCCTTCTGTCCTCCATTGTTCGAAGCATGATCCTCTGTTTTTGGACACTCACCCCTTTCCAAATCCTTCGATATGCTTCTCAGTCTCCCTACGTCCTCAGTTGGGCTCTTGACTGGCTGCCCCATAATGTCACTGCGTCTTCTGGGATGGCCTTTCTTGGCACCTCCTGCACCAAAAGATGCTGGTCCCTGTTCTAAGGCAAGCACGCGAATAATTCGGTCGATGAAAGACAAATCTTGTTGCTTACTATTACTAGTAGCTTGCTCGTCGGTGGCATCATCTTCAGGTGTCCTCGCACTATGGCGGCAAACAACTCCGTGCACTGTTGCTTGCGATGCACAGGCTAACACTTGAACTGTTGTCCAGTATTCTCCGATGGACAGGAGAAACAGACCCAGCAGAACGCTACAACTCAGCGACAATCGTGGATCTCCTGCGAAGGTGTGAGCCTGGAATACCATCAGAATAATCCCAAACATTCCGGCTTCGTGTGCGCTGAGAGGGCGAAGAGCGTTGCTTGTCGTACTAGTGCTGAGCTGTCGTCTGAGCACATCATCGGCCGTACTGGTTGACGATGAAGACGAAGCAACGAGAGAAAGAACTGCCAAAGCGTGCGTGCCTATGATGACGTCTGTCATGCGACTCATCTTCTTACTGTTGTTTGAGGAGAAAGTAGAGGCTTCGCCGCCTCCTTTTCCTCCGGAAGTGATCAGAAAAGCTACGCCCACCAGTGCAAGAAACACGCAGGAGACGCGGATATGGTCCCCTTCGTACTCGATTTGTAACCAGCAATGGTACACGAGAGCGCTGGCAAGGCATAGGATGACTTGAACTATAGATGGAGTTGTAGAGCCATAGGAATTCGCGGATCCTGCAGTCGGCTCAGTAACATCTCCACCGTATCCCTGCGGAACAATGCCACCCATTGCTCCTAGTACGGAGGAGGCATTCCATGCAGCATCCTTTGTTGATGTCATCCGCGAAGCGCTGTGCAGTTCCAAGAACGTCGTCTTGCAGAAGACGCTCAGAACGCATAGCGACAGCGTTGCAACCGCAGCCACAGCTACGCCTACCCGCACGTCAGCTGAAAGATAGGCTACTGCAAGTCCAGCACAAGCAAAGACAGCAGAGGTGGAAGCAGCCAAAAGTGGTAGTTTCCATGCTTTCTGTGTCTCTGCTGCACTGGAAAGCCCAAGATGTGGCAAGGAGGTCACAACGATCCCCGTACCTAGAACTGAAGCGGCGATAGAACAAAGAAGCGAGGTCGATCGACAATACCATGGTGCCGCGATTAAGAAGAGGCCCTGAAGATTATGCAAATGCAGATGATGATAGCGACTAATGACTGTTGCTAGTGTATTTTGATCAAGGTAATTCCATAAAAATCATCATGTTGCCAATCTCAGCCACGCGGAAAGTAGAAGAAGATAGTCTTGCGTGATGCAGAAGCACATCTATGTGTAGTACCGCCACAACAGTCGTACTCCACAGCAGCAATGTTTCTCTTCTCCCTCCCTCAGAAGCTGCATTCTCGCCACGCTGTATTTAACGCTTTCAAAAACTCTCTCTTTCTGAAACTGAATGAATCCTTGTTACTGTAAAACCTCCTCTACTCTATTCGGGCCATCATATTATTCATTCATTTTTTTACAAATAAAAAAACAATCTCGGCCATACTGAAGCGTCCACGCCAGCGTCGCGGCCAACAGCAAAACGCCAGCTGGTGCAAGACATAACCCTGAACGCCACACGGGCCCTCCCACTATCTCCTGCAAAAACACAAGGACAGTGCTCACTGCACCGCTCAGCAGCAGCCAAAATACAAAGCGTGACTGTGTTGACGTCGTCATGGTAGAGTTCATTGTAGTTGTAGGCTTAATAGATACCGTCAAATGTACTAGAGGTTATTGTCATTTTCTTTGATCATATGACAATGCTAACATGATGTGGCGCAGCTTTCATCTTGGCCTAGTGGTCTGAGTCGACGTGTTAAAATGCATGCCAAATCATGATGATGACATGGTATTCTCAATATGCTACATTTCGATCACGTCCTACAGCTACAAGGATGCAGCTTGTGATCTATTTATGTTGTCCTTGTTGACAATGAATCGCTACTTGGTAGTTATCATCGATGATCGCCGACGTTTGGTCGTTACTTACACCTATTTTCGAAAAAACGAAGTGGAAAAAAATCGCTGGGGAAAGGGCAAAAGAAAAAGTCTACCTTCTAGCTAGTAGTACGTAGTCCACCTACGTACTCTTCAAATAAACGTACGTGGTCTACGAAGTGAGATGACAAAAAAATAGAAAAGTCACCTCGCGCTGGTTCTAAAAACTGACTACACTCATTTCTTCTCCTGCTCACTCCGAGATCACCGAGCAGAGACCGACAACACAGATAACAAAATTCGTCATGCAGTAGGAGTTAGAATTAGCAGTAGGAGTTATCTGGCTTGCGATTTTTTTTTGTAGTGGCTCCAGGACTAACAAAAAAGGGTCCAGGACTGCTCCGCTTGGAAACATTGCATTTCCTACAAAATATGACAGATCATGACAGATGAAAAGAGCTTAGACTTAGAAGTCCTTTCCAGACTTCTGAGTGAGTTCTCTTATTTTTCGCCAATTCCATCAAACGTTTTCAAATTGTAGATGACTTTGTCAGTTTCGCCGATGGGTCATGGATACGACAGCATGACGGAATTCATCGACAGACTAGCATCAACACCTTAATAAAACTAGTACAATTAATTTCGCACAGAGTTCAGTGCAGACTGCCGCACGGCGTCACAGTGCTTCGTCACAATGATTACCCTTATAAAACTGAGACGTGGTGACGCTTTTTCTTCTAGCGCAAGTACTAGTTGTGGAACACCGAGAAGCCTTTACGTTGGAAAAAAAGACGCTCCCCTTACAACGCCACCCCGTTCTTTGTGGCGCAGTCGTCTTGCTTAGTTCATAGAAGCTGATCGATTAATTTTCATTGATTCTTCTCCCGGTAAAGCTTAGTTGATGTTTGTCAAAGTTATTGTTTCCGTATAAAAATCTGCGATTGCAGAACTGGCTCCGTTTTGTCCCACGCTTACAGCTCAGGCTGTTTCCAACCAACAAAATGACGACGCGGTGAAGATTTTCATTCTATCCTATGATATTAACATCATTTTTCTTGTATCAACTAGTATATTCCTACTCCCAGGAAGGTATCTATCTAATGGATCTGGAGCACTTTTTAAAAACGAGTTGTAGGTACTATATTATTGTCTTTCGAACAACGTAAGTATTTCGATAATCTTAGTCCCCGTTGTATGAGACCAGTAGTTGTAGGTAACTCGATGATCTAGTCCTAGACGAACTGCAGTTAGTGTAAATCGGAATCACATCCTTCATCGTAGTAGCTCCTCTCCTCTCGCTGAAGCATCTTGACAAAGTAATCATGCAGCAGCGAGAAGAGTTTGTGTCGGTTGATTAAGTATGTAGTTCAGTTTTTTTCGATGTTTACTTGGCCATCATCATCTTGACGAACTCCTCGTAGTTGATTTGTCCATCGCCATCGACATCTGCCTCACGGATCATCTCGTCGACCTCTTCATCGGTGAGCTTCTCACCCAAGTTGGTCATCACGTGGCGCAACTCGGCAGCAGAGATAAAACCGTTGCCATCGCGATCGAAAACCTTTGGAAGGATGGGAGCATTTCAACATTTAGTTCGCCAGACAGGACGACAGTTTTGATTGTGTATTTCTTATACTCAAACTCAAGAAGTTCAACATGTAGTTTCACATAAAAGTACTAGCATTGTTCTGTCGACAAGAAGTTCTTGGAAGACCTGTTGATGAAAAATGGAAGTACCTTAAAGGCCTCAATCAGTTCCTCCTCGGTGTCCGTATCTTTCATCTTACGAGCCATCAAGGACAAAAACTCTGGGAAATCGATGGTTCCGTTTCCATCGGCATCGACTTCGTTGATCATATCCTGCAACTCGGCCTCAGTCGGGTTTTGACCTGATGCGAATCAAGAGAAGATGTTGAACAAAAATATTAGGATTGGAAAAGATCAAGTTCTTGAATAAAGTTGTTGTTATTTGCTGCTGAACATCAATTGATTCACAAGGAATGACACCACCTCTAGATTTCTCCTAGAAGTCTTTCATCCGACCCAATGTTTAGTTGTACCCAAGGAACGCATGACGGTTCCCAGCTCCTTGGTGGTGATGGTTCCATCACCATCCTTATCGAACAGGGAGAAGGCCTCCTTGAATTCGGCGATCTGCTCTTCGGTCAGTTGGTCAGCCATTTTGTTTTTGTTTTGTAGTTACGAAGCTACAAAAACGATTCTACAAACTGCTTTAGAAAAAGCGAAAGGTCCTACAAGTATAACGGTCTTTTCTTGAAGTTGAAAGAGATGAGTGTGTGCGTGATTGATAAAAAATCAATGCTGACTCTGTTGTTGAAAATACTGTACAACCTTCACTTACTACCAAGAAGGAAGTAGGATGAAGAAAATCGGGCGTCGAAATCAACAACCACCCAGATTAGGAAGATCGAACGATAAAGCGACGAAAAATCGGTCTCTTCTGCGCGCTGTCGATTTAAGTGTTACAATTCGCAAGAATGATGAAAACCATGATGCTTGGACGACACTGTAGAGTAGCAGCTTTTTGAGTCTCTCCACGATGTGGATATTTTCTCGTACACGATCTTTACCCTCGAACAGACGCTTCACGATGTTCTCAAACAGAGCCCTCACGTTCAAGATGATCGATCACTTATTTGCCATCTTCAGATTGACTCGTCTAACGTTTGCTTTTTTTTCGATTTCGTTCTCTCGGCCGGATCACGATAATCAAATATTAACAATGCGTAGCGTAAAATTGATAGGCGCAAAAAATCAGTTTTCTTGGAGTCTTTATGTGTATGCTGAATCGTATAATTTCCATCTAGTTGTATCAGTCATCCTCAATAGGCCCCTGCTCCCTCGACCCACAAATTCGACCGAAACAACGTCGAACGCAATCGCGCTTGCGAATACCATTCTCGTTTCTCGCGCGTGAAGGAGAAGGACAAGCAGTTAATATTACTGATGCGTCCTGTTCTGGTGCTATAGTAGTAGTCGCGTTAATATTATTGCCACTACCCAGTAGAAGTCGTGATGATCCGGCCTTGACGTATTGCGCAAAAGAAGGGGCATTCTCATACGTCGGGAGCTCTTCATCATCAGCAACTTCGCTCCTCATTACGGGAGTAACCTTATTGTTCACTATGTTTTCAGTCGCAGTTGTACCATTCATTTGACTGAGACGATTTCTATCAACAGTGTTAGGGGTGAGCACACGGACTGTGTAGCCACTGCCAACAACTACAGGCTCCAAGAGGTTCTTTCCACTTTCCTGTTTCGTACTTAGGAAGGTCGTAGGAGGTCGCACAGAACGCGCAGAAAGCGGCTGTTTCTTCTGTTCGACAGAGAGGTCCTCCTCATCCGCTTCTCCTTCTGCATCGCTTGGAATCGAAAAACAGTTAGAACTTCTTCTTCGACGTGTTGACCTCAGTCGTCTCGTACTAGTAGAAGCTCTTGGTAGGTAAAAGCCAAAAGTACTTCGTCTGGTCGATGCGGCTGGAGGACCTTTACTACCTTTTGCTACAGATGTGGTCGATCGAGACGATATCAAAGAGTCAGGTACTATGGAATCGGCTGACTGTGTTCTGCCTGCTTTGCGAGCAGACTGCTGGTGGAGCTCTTGGGCGCCAACACAGGGCGGAAAGTTTGTTTCATGCGATGTAGAGGTTGCACGTAATGCTAGGTGATCATTTTGGTTCCGCTGTTCGTCCTTGTTTCGTTCAGGACTCTTGGCTTGCCGTTGCTCTTGATCCATACTTGATCCTCTCCTATGGAAGTCAGCATCTCCATCCACGTCCTCATCGTCCTCATCTCCTAGTACTAATCCTCCTGAGTCACGACCGCGCTTTGCCTTTTTCGCACTGTTAGTCCCATTGCCTCCCAAAAAAGATGAACTATACAGAAAAGAGCCCAGACCGCTCATTTTCGCGGTTTGAGACGGTTTGGGAGAGACGGAAACTAGGCTGGCTCGTGGACTCTTAGTTGCATTAACATCATGACCTTTCTTGATGTCTTTTCCTTCGTCGTCATGTTCTCTATGTTCATCTTGTTCGTCATTGTCATCCCCAACAACGATTTGTGGGTGTGATATTCTTGCTGCATCCTCTAGCAACAGGCGAGAGCTTTCCCTTCTTGCCTGATTAAGCTTTTTTGGACTGCCACTGCCGCCGACCATTTTCGACAGTATAGCTGGACTGCGCATTCTGAGTGGCGAAGATAAGAAACTCCGCACAGGCGAGCCATGAAACAAATTGGCAGCACTGCTGCCTAAACCGAAACGACTTTTCGACTTCTTCGGACTAGGAGTCTTTGACCTTGAGGAAAGGCCTCCGGGTGAATTGGCAAGCAAATGCGCAGAGGGTCCATTTTTCACCGCATTCGGATCTTCTTCATACTTCAGTCTCATGCAAAAAATCTCCCGACTCACATCGTCGCCTAGAGCAAATTCAATCTGACGCCAAGCATTCGCCGATAAAACACAGTCAGTGAGAATTTTTTCGCCATCCACGGTTAAGCGAACGGCTTGTGCTTTGATACTGTGGGCTAGTTCAACCAGACTTCTGCGACGTTTGAGGCCCAACCCGTAACTCACTTCCCACGCATACAGGACTTTGGGCGTAACCTCAACCAAAACACCCTCATCAGTCCATTTTTGACTTCCTTTCCGTGGCACTGATGGACCAGCTGGAGGCGATGCTGTTGTATATGGTGACGACGCTGTGGGGGCACCAGGTGACCCAGGACCAATACCAGAAGTAGTTTTCGCACTACCATCCACCAGCTGTAGACAAGACGAAGACGCCGTACGTTCATGGATACTGTCATACGCTTGCGCACCAAGGAATTGGGCTGCAAGTGGAAACGCGTTTTCTTCTACGGGTGAGTTAGGTCCTCTCGACGATTGAGATTGCCGCCTAGCAGATGGTGAACCAGGTGTTCCTCTGCCTTCTTGTTCTCGTGAGTGACCAACTGCTTCTCCTCTATTTGTACCTTCGTCTTGTTTATCACTAGTATATTTCATTTCCCACATTGAACTTGTGTTTATCAAGGTCACAGATTTTAGATCTTGCTCCACTGACTGAGCTCGCCTGCGACGTTCCAGTTTTCCTATCCTGGAAAGCCGCACACGCAATGGACTACGTCTGAGTGCGAGGCCTGCGATAGTTGACCCACCTCCTACGGTATCTCCTGGATGAAGATCTCCCTCTGCACCTGCTGCGACACCTTCCTCATACACCACCTGCAAGGTATGCGTCGAATGCGGCAAATGTACCGGTACGCATATTGCACCCAGCTCACACCACTTCTTATCATGCAGAAGCTTAGATATCCAATGTTGCTGTTCATCCCTGAAGGACGATGATGATGAAGACGATCCTGTTCCTACACCAACGGGTCCGGTTGTATTGGAAAATCTTGCTGGCACGGTATTTCTACCTTGGAGTTGATTTTGTTGTGCTCCTGCTGTTGTTCCTCCTGACGCTGATGAAGATATTTCTACATTCCCGCTATTTGGTCCCTGTAGGTGTGGCTGCTGGAGCCATACTCGAACTTTCCGACTCTTGCGAGACAGTGTGGCATGCACCACAAACTGTTCCACTGTCTCAATTTAGAGGTGCTTAGGTTGTTGGTGTTCGTTTATCCCGCTTGTTATGGCTGTCCCCCTTAGGAGTAGAGCCATAACAAACGGTAACAAAAGCACCTTTAACCTAGTACCCTTAATTAATGCAACTACCTCTACCTCCTGAACCAGTTGGAGTTGAGAAAGCACCGCTTCCGCCAGTTGTAGCGCGTCGATTCGTGCCACCTCCAGACGTTCGCGAAGCGCCTCCACCAAAGACAGACAAGCTCGACCTTGATCCCCCTCCTGAGGCTCTACTACTACTGCTCGTTGTATTTGTTCCCGTTCCACCTCCACTGTAGAAGTCTCCCCTACCCCCTCCAACACCTCGTCCACTTGCCGCAGCCAAAACCCTGCTTTCCGGATGGACCACACCAAAGCTGGGTCGACTGAGCTTCGCACGTATGCGCCATGTATATGCTGTCTTGCTTCCGGGATCGAGCCTTCCGACGCCAGTCTCTGCTTCCTTGACGACTTCAATTTCGTCTTCATCGATTATGCGTGTCGCGCGTGATGGCAGACTCTTTTTCAACATGTTTTTGGTCCTCGTAGTTATGTAAGGTAGAATCTGGGCTGACAATCATCGTAGATTCTGGGCCGCTGACAATTATCTTCTTCGCAACTACGGATCTTCCAAGTTCAATACTTTCCAATCTCGCTCAGACACCGTTCATTCTGTCTTATCTCGCTCATTCAGCCATCCCTCTCTTCCAAAAACCAGCTTCATCTCATAGTGACTTCTAGCGATGGGCGATTGATGGCTTCAGTCTCATAGTGACTTCCAAAGACCAGCTTCATCTTCATAGTGACTAGTCGTTAACATTTACTGGCGACTTCTTGATCGTTCCCACTCTGGCGTTAAAAATGTATGGACTCAAGAGAGCACACAAATTACCTAGTTGGGGCCGGTTCTGTTTTCCTAGAGTTGGAAACTTCTGGCCCTAGAACCAGAGGCGCCTGCTCCTAGAGTCAGAGACTTCCGCTCCTAGAGTCAGAAGCTTCTGCTCCTAGAATCAAGCAGGCGCGCTCCTAGAAGACCGACAGCCAAGAACTTCTGCAGCCCGTCAGCCACCCCGCGAAGCCTCCCAATGCCTTCGCCTACGTCAGCAAGCAGCGGCCACTCATGGAGCCCGCCGCTAGCCTGCTAGGCGAGACGCAGGCACAGATAAGGGAAAACCGGAGTCTTTTTCTTGATCGTTCCCACTTTGGGGTAAAAAATGTGATCAATTGACTGCGTTATGTTCCATCCTAAAGAATCGATAATATGTTCCATCCTATTCCTAAAGAATCGAAGGACGTCTTCAAAAACAAAATCTATGTGTTCTTAATAGAGTTCTCATCAGATGAAGATACAGAGGGTGTATCAGAGAAGTCAGAAGTGTGAAATTCAATTGACATACTAGTGAGAAGTTTATACATCAGTGAGTCTGTGATTCTTGGTAAGTTCTTTGAGGTTCTTCATCTAATCGTTGATCAACATTGTAGGTGAGCTGTCGCTCGTAATAGCAACCAAGAGATTTGGGGGATGAAAGGTCCGCAAGGCAGGAGCCGAGAGAGCCCAGTCGTGTGCTAACCAGGGATCCGGAAGGAGTAGGATGTACTCAAAAAGGGAAAGGGTTGCTCCGGGAGGTACTAGAAGTAAGAGAGCAATATTTGCATTTCTAAGCACCTAAGGGGCTGTACAGGTTCTTCGAACAGGCTTCCGTTTGCGGGTCTTCATCTCTCCTGACGCGGCAGCAGCTGTAGCTCATCCAATCTTCTTTCGCCAGATGAAAATTTCTTGCTGCTTGAAATACCTGGTCACATTTTTGTTGAGTGGACTTGTTCTTGTAGAAGATAGGACGTTTGATCATTATGACGATTGTTCTCACTCCTGCATAAATTTTCTTTGTAGAATTCACCTTGTTGAACGTCTGCGCATCCGTCGTTGGGGATGATGCAAGAACAGGAAAGACAAGCTATGCATAAGCGAAAATACCTCCTGTCCTCTTCGTCTACGAGCACGAGGTTGAGGAAGTATTTGACTGAGAACTTGTTCTGCACGTTTTTATAGGTCGGTTGCAGATCGACACCACTAAGATAGAACCGGACAGGAATGCACTCCCCTCGTACTGGTGCGCCGTCCATTATCTCGAATTTCGTGAGCGTCTCGTTATCACTAGATTGATTCTGCGCTCCGGAACCCGTTGTTTCTCTGTTTACAAGTTCGTTGATGGATGATGAATGCTTGCGCTTTTCCGGAAAAAATTGAACTAAGTACTTAAGGTTGTTGAATGATGAAAATCGAAATTGATATACATAGGTTTCCTGTATTATACTTATTGTTATTCTATTCCTATTGTTCTTCGTTTAAAACAACTAAATTGCAAAGTAGGTAACAAGTACCTTCGTATAATGTTCAGCTCCATATGCTTGATCTTTATCCTCACGAGGAGGAAATACACTTTCCCAACTACCACGTCTTTCATATGATACTTCGACTTGTCATACCTGTATGTGGGAGGAGTTGTAAAGGGGATGAAGAAAATCGAGAGATTAATATGATCAGCTCAGAGGTAGATAATCGTGGCGATGAACAGAAAGTCGTGGCTTGCTGCTGTATGGCTATGGCTCCCTTTTTCCATTCTACTTCTAGCGCCTGCGCCCCTAAGCAATGCAGGGAATATCCAGCGCACCCAGATAGGAGATACGCCACACGCAGAAACACGCACACCGCCCCAGGCTTAAGCGCTTTCGCTAGAAGCTCCTGGAAGGTCATCCGCTTCTTAACCATCCACTTCGTTTCGGTGGCAACCCACCGTGGGGCCGAAAAGCTAGCGCCGCCCCCGCCTTCAAGGAAGTCCGTCGGTCGCGCCCCTACGCCCTCGAAAGCTGCGCGAATGCAATTGCCTGCAGGCCCTCGCCATTAGGCGTGGCCACGGAGTCCACGAGCCTCCCCGCGTGAAGCTAGCTTGGCAGTCTATCAAGCTAGCGCCAGCCCTAACCTACCATAACACCCGGACGCGGCCCGCCCCTCCGTGCTTCTTTTTGCGGTTATGCAATCGTGGCGCCCCGCTTCCTTGGGGGGCTCACTCTGGCTGCTTTGCTCGCAAGGTTTCCAGGTGGTTGCTTGCTCTGGAGGCACCCGCCGAACTTGCCTACTTACGCACGGCGGCGCACCCGCTTCGAGTTGGGTAATGCCCTTGCTTCCAGCGACACACTACCGCCCCCCCTTGCTCTTGTCTTCGGTGAGTTTCTCCGATCTTGCGAAGCTTGTGGGGCAAGTCTCTCCCTTTCGGTTTGTGTCTGGCTGTGCTCGTTGCCTTCTGCGCAGAAACTGCAACAATATCAGCGCGCCGAGGCAGCCGCGGCCCGTCGTCAAGTGCTACTCAATCGCCCAGCCGAAGGACCCCACGCCCGCGGCCGCAGCGTCACTGGACGGGCGCCCCTCCTCAGGATGTAGGCTAGTGCGCAAGGGCCTCCCCAGCACATCCCCCCCGCCCGTCAGCTGCCCCGTGGAGCAAGTGCTGCCCGCAAACTACAAACGACGCCGCCCGGCCAGTTTTGCCACCCTCCTGCTGCTCCCGCACCGCTTCCACTACACATTTCACCACTTGCCAGCCTCTGTTCTTAAAAAAGGGGCCGCTGATTGAGTTCACTCCTCGCCCCGCACCCAGGCCAGCATCATCCCCTTAGTTAGTAGGCCTAGACGCGTAGAGCGCCGCGCGGAGCCTCGGCTCTGCGAGTCCCCCTCTTACCCCATGAGTCGCAGCAGCGTCCCGCCCGTTTTTTGCTGGTCTCACTTAACTTCTCCAACACCATCCAACTCAAAGCAAAAGGGTAAATAGTAAGTACTCGAATTCGATATGAAGGCAGTCCTCAATCCCGACTTCCATTTTGATCGTGTTGTTGATGTCTGGCACTGTGTAAAGGTTCTGCACTATCAAGTCGACTTCCTTGGTCACGTTGCTAGCGTAATTTCTGACCACCACGAGTCGTACGAAGTATCGTAATCGCACATTGAGCCCTTGGTAGGTCTCGCACTGCTTGTCTACTGACCCAAACCGGAACTTCCACTGCTTAGACTCGAAGAGTCCGCCTGGTGGTTCTAGATCCTTCACAATGGCGAAGAAGTCGTAGCTATTTGTCTTGTCATAGATCATATCGACTTGACCTACAAGCTCCACCCGAATGCCCTGATGATCGACCTTCTTGCCAGGCCTGACGGAAACGACGGCCGTTCCGCAAACATCCTCACCGTCGGTGTAGATATACCTGTTTTTGTAAGAATCTTAAATGTCCTTCACTCGGAATCCGACAGTAAACTACTTACTTCTACAGTTGAGTATAGAAGACGGTGCACACTGCCGCAATCATCCTTGTCATGACTAAGAACTACAACTGTGAAAGACCTTCAACTCAAAGATTCTTTTTTCTTTTTTTCCCTATACTTACTAGAGGGTCTCATTCCGCGATAAGTAACAAGCAAGGAGGTGTAGAAGTACGCTCTCTCCCCTTTCTTGTCTCGACCAAGCGGTGCCGTTTTTCGGTTCTCCTCTGCATCCATTAGAGGTACCGACGTGCATCCCTGAGAGCCTCCCTCGGCCCTTTTTCCCCTTGAAAAAAGGGCTAAGGATGGTGTTGAGGATGCTCCAGCGGTAGCCTTAAATCCAGCGTGACATCTATCGTACACGGCGTCGGATTGAACCAACTAGTCAACATCTTCGATTGTTCGAGGTCGATTTTTTGTTGCTCGTCAGAATTTCTTTCTAGTGGCACAAGATCACCAAGCGCAAATCCACTTTCCCCATCAACCAGTGCGGCGACACTCGTTGTGCGTCGTGCTCGTGACCTTCAACCGCGAGAGAAGCGCGCCGCTAACAGACCCGTGCCCCAGGGCAACAGCACTTCATATTTTTGTGTCTCATTTCACCATGATAGATCATACTAAAGAAGAACAGCAAGAAATGTGAAAGAAAAATTCTGTTCTACAACTACAAATGAAACTACTACAACCTGATAGAGAGTGGAAACTAGAATCTCTTAAATTTTTCAAGACCAAAACTCAACAACATTCTTTCTTCGAAGGCGCGCTGTTGTAGGCAAGAGCCAGGCAGGTAAGCGTGAACATGAGATGAGACACTCCAGCAGATCCCTGTGGGTCTAATCTAGCATCTTTCAATGGATTCTTGTTCGTGAGATTCGTATTTTAGTACCTCTATGTTGTGGTCTGGAGAATCTTCGCAAAAGTTTCTATCTTCATCTTGTCCGTGTTATTCTGTAGTTTCCAAGACTGTTCATATGTGTCTGTGTGTGGTCACCGTTGATTTGAATTTCTTAGTGTTTCTCAACCACTTTTTGAGCCAAACCGACATTCCTCCAAGCATCGCAAGAAGCTGATGTTTGATCACTCTAGATAAACAACAAGAAAACTTATGCTGACAACTAGTGATTGGTTTTGGTGGACGAATTTCCGCATGTCTATCATGGAATGCCACCAGTGAAGAATGCTACTTCGAATATTCCTGCATGTATTGTGCATACCTGAACATACTACCCCTGCTTGAGATCAACGCCTTAAGAAATTTGCCCTGATATACCATTATGACCCCTAGCTCATCTATCTAATTCTTATATGCGAAACAAACTTTACCAAAATACATCCATGCCTATGAAGAAACAAGAACATATGCCAGATCGAAGATCAAAGAAGCTACTGCAACCTATTTTATTTACACCTATTTTATTTACCTCCTGATTAGTCATTCATACTAGTAGACTTTCAAAAAAACTAATGCATGCGTACCACCACGTTGCAGGTGTTGGTTACCCTAACTCTATAACTCTCGAAAAACACCTGTAGTCAAAACATTATGTTGCTATTTCTAACTCGATCCATATTTAGAACAAAACCATTTCGTTTCAGACAGACTGAGACTGACACAGACTAGCGGTAGGGTAATAAAAAACGAACTCCTGCATAGTCATGAAAAGAACCCCCTAAACCTAGTCTTGAAACAAAACGTAAAGAGCGACCGGCTGTGCTCCAATCAAAAACAAAACACAATCGTAACCAGACTGGACAGTAGTTGCTCCGCGACCTTCTGTGTCGCAGGAGAGGCCCATTTGGCTGTACTGCAACTGCGCACCGCCTCTAGCGCATCGGCTGCCATCACAGCATTCCCTATGATGGTCTGCTTGGGTCATTAGAGTGGGTTTTCATTTTCTGACTGCTACGATTCGTGGATAAGTATCCCAATTCTTCCCTCGTTCCTTTGTAGTCTTCATCAGTGATTGATTCCAATTTAGTCAAAACCTAGCAAGTAATGAACATCAAAGTCTTAACTCACACGCTGTCGGCCACACTTATCTCCCGCGATATCCGAAACCAGTGTCTGCAGGTTCTTCAACACCACAGCGACCTCTTCGTCACACCGGTCTTTCGCAGCGATCGGGTATTGCTCTCTGAGAGAGGATTATCGAATCAATAATTCGTTTTCGTATGGTGCATTTCATGATTGAAGATTATACTTTATCAAACTGGTACATGGTTATTCTGCAGGAACAAGAAGCAAGAACATCATTGAGAAAGACAGAGTAGTAGAAATCATAGGAAACAAGAAGAAGAAAATCTTCATCACTATCGCATTAATATAGTAAGTACTTCAACTGCCCAAAAAGCCCCTCAGCTCTGACTTTAACGAAGGCTTCAGCAGCTAGAACGTTCTTGTCTTCGCGCCAAGTGAGTCTTTTGGCCGGCCGTGGCGCATCCTGTACGAAATCCGTAGCCGTCATATCAAAGTCCTCTAGTAAGGTCGCATGCCCTTCACCTCCGAGCATGGTGGTGCTATCATAGGCGATACGGCTCGACTTGTTGGTCGGAAATTCCTGATCATTATAGAAGAGTTGTTGGCTATTTCTTAATATGCATGGTAGTTGATATCAAGCAAGTAGTGGGAAGGAAAGGTACAGTTTTCGCGAGAAACAAGTACTTACTTATGTGGTCCAAAAAACGCAACCGACAGCAGCAGCACATAAAGATTACAGTGTTAAGATGTTCATCCCTTTTACATCACTTCCTTATACGAGGATGAGTATTAAGATGTTACCATATTCCCTCCATCATGTCCTCCAGCTTCTCTCTCCTGTTCCGAATCCTCATCTTCCTCTTCGATTGCCGCGATCGTTGCCCGTCTTGCGGCCTCTTCCTCTTGCCCTAAGGCAATTTCTCCTTGCTGAGAACTTAGAGCACGCCTTATGATCCCTCTTGAGATTCATCCTGGAATGCTTCTAAGTCTCCCAACCCTTGGGAGGCTCGGCTCGGAGGTGCTTTGGAGGGGTGTCAAAAAGGGGGGCAAAAAGACCCCACTTTGACACCCCAAACGACCCGGGTCATTTGGCGACCATTTTGGACCAAAAAGGGTCGCCTTAAGGCACCCCCTAGCCCCCACTAGATGGGGCCGCTTCGGTCCTCGCAAAATGACCCGGCAGCTTTTTTCCAAAAATGGGGTGCAAAATGCACCCAAAGTGACCCGGTACATTTTTCAAAAAAAAACTACGTGGTGCAACGAGAAAAATCCTGGTCTAAATGATCCCTCTTGAGATTCATCCTGGAATACTAGGAGAAGCCTTAAAGAACCCGCTGACCGGGCTCCGCGAAAGCGCAATTGACTGTCCTGGCTGACTCGGCTACTCACATGCGAACTCCGCATGGACGAGACGCTAGCCGAACTACCACGCGTATTGGTGCTTACACTGGCTTCGCTAATGCGATCCAACATCTTGCTGGACGATGCTGGCCCGCCTTGTCCTGAGGAGAAATGGTTCGTCTTAGAAGTTGGATTTCCAGACATGATACTAGTGCCTGGATCCTGTAGTGTTGTTGGTGTTAAAGCTGAGGATGACGATGCAGATGAGGACACTAGACCAGTACCAGATGATACAGCCGTAGAGGCTAAACTCCCCTTTCGCGAGTCCATGAAACTTTTGCGCAGGTCATCTCCTTGACTCGAAGATGGTGTGAAAGCTGCTGTGGTCTTACGACCGGGAGCTGTAGTGTTGTAGAAATTGTAGTCCTCTTTGGTGGTACCATGATCTTCATCTGTACTATAATCTTCTTGCTCGTGATTGTTGACATTGTAAAAAGGATCTTGTTCGCCGCCGTCGCGTTCGCTTAGTAACTCCGTGACGGGACGTGGTAGAACTGGTGATGGCTCAGTCTCGATCGGCGAGGGAAGATTATCCACCAAGACTAGCTCAATTTCTGTGGAGTTTCGTGCCGAACGAAGTCCTCCACCAGTGTTGTAACTGTTACGATGTTGCTGACCTTGACCACTAGTTGTACCAGCATATAGTTCTTGTACCTCCTCCGGCAGCTCCTCAAGAGTTGTACTATTGCTTCTACTGCTGGCATAATTCAACATCTTCTGTTGATTAAAAACACCCGCTCCTCTAAGCTCAGTGGGCGTAGTACTTGCACTCGGATTCTTGCTGTCTACCGGTGTCGGAGCTGCACTACTCTTCATCGACAATGATCCTCGCATTGCCGTTCGCATACGTTTTTCTTGCGCTGATGTGAGCACATGATGTTGAAGAACCTCTGCTTGCGAATCCCCCTCTCCAACACTCGGCGAAGAACCAGCTACAGTCGTTGGCGTCGACGACGCTGAGCCAGCACCTAATATTTAGAGCTACCGCGCTCGCACCCCCGAGAACCTCCCTGGTGCCTTTTTCTCCTTGAAAAAAGGGCCAAGGATGATGTTGAGGATGGTCCAGCGGTAGCCTTAAAATATGGAGGTGCTGAAGTTTCGAGTAGTTGAACCTTTGTTCATCTTACTACCAAACATCGAAGATCCTTGCTTGGTCCTCGAGAACATGGATTTACTTCCAGTCCTAGAGGTTGGAGCTGCACCTCCACCTGCTGGCTTAGAAGTGGTGCCAGGAGTACCTCCAGGAGAAGAAGCTGCTGTCCCCATAGCTGTGGCAATCAACGAGGATGATGCGCCAAAAGATGCTAGTGATGCTTCCAGCTTTTCAGCCTCCCTCAACCTGGCCAAAGTAGATGATTCAAAAGCACTCGTACTATAATAGTAGTCTTCTTTCAACTGGACTTGATCGTCGTCGTCTTGTTCTTTCGAACTGGTCCTCTTCCCTTGATGCTGCACTAATCGCGAAACGTGGAGATAGAGAAAGAGAAACACGGTGGATAGGAGCATAGCCAGCACCCCAGCAATCACAGGGATGGAGACTGCCATTTTCTTGTCGATATTTTCGGTGTTGATGAAGTAGAAGAAGTACTCTTAGTTGATGCTGATACTCGTCTTACTTGAAAGGTTATTTTACGAAACTGAAATAACTTGTGCTTGATGTTATCGTTATTCTGCGGTAGATCTAGTTGTGGTTGTGGTACGTTTCGCAGGAGGTGTTGTTGATGTTGATTAGTAAAGATGTCCACATATGAGGACAAGGCAAAATGAGTCATTGTTTCAGAATCCACCATGCCGTGACGAGTGAAGAAATCGCAAAAGAAGTAGAAGAGGTGTCATCCATAGTATAGAAGAGGTGTCATCCATAGTATACCAGCAACGGCTGCTTCACGATATCATCTAGATCCCCAAGAAATATTCACGCCCCCTTCTAACTGATTCTGAAAAAAAAACTTATAATGACAGAGCAGTTATTCCAGACTACGTACTGCTCATCAGCAATCGTGTTTGATTCAATGACGGAAGAAAAATCTGTGTGGTGCATGATCTTCCATGTATTGTTCAAAAAACCACAGATGAGCAAATAAAAACCGACAGACTGACAAATCATGATACATCAAGAGGACTTCTCGTTTCACCCAGCATAGCCTGTCTGTTTTGCTTCTCATGTTTTCCATAGTTTTTGTCTTGTTATAGTTTGAGGGAACACACAACGCAGCCATTGACGAACGCACATGAACGTCAAAACGAAAACTTGGGGTTTGACTCACTCTAAAGAGGGTAAAAAATGCTAGAAGGATATTTGGTTCTTTCCACGGACGGTGTTAATGAGGCAGAGAAGGAGAGAATTAAAAAGATCCTAGTTTAAGACGATATTGGTGCGGCTGGTCGTGGTCTTTCATTTCTCCATTTTCCATTTGATCTTGTATCTTTCCATGAGGAAAAAATTGTCGATAGCGTCTAACCGTTTGATGACTTCAGTGTACAACTTGTCCCGGCGAATCTCCGATGAAAGTACAGGCTCCGCTTTCGGCTTGGCTTTGGCGGCTCTCCCCATTTTCGCTTTGGTTTGGTTATTAGAAGAAGAAAACAAGGTTGGAGGTTTGCTTGAGGGGGCGTACAACTTACTTATACATAAGAACTAGGGGATTACATAGGAACTAGGGGATTATAGAGGAACTAGGGGATTTCCACAAATAACAGCCGGTGCTATCTGAAATATCTGAGTCTCTTTAGAGCAGAAGCACACGTGTCCGAGTTTGATGTTCTTCGTTGTTGTAAGTAAGCTTGTGAACCTTAGAGAGTCAAAAGTCTAATCTTGCAATAGATGAAAAAAAATCCTTATCACAGGACAGAGAGACGGGCTGCAGCTGGATGACAGACATTGTAAATAGGAATATGTTGTTGTTTCAAAAGTGCAAAGTCATCCCAATCATAATCTTAGCAGCTGCCTCCTCTTTTTCGCTTTCCTCGTGGTCTCCAACGCCGTCCTCCAGCTTTTTATCGTGCAAGTCGTTCACCGCCTCCACAATACATGCTACTCTATCTTGAATAATCAAAGCAAACGACTGCAAATTATTCGCATTGATCTTGAAAACTTTCGCCAATTTCGATTTGCTTTTCCCGATCTCGGCACGAGTTTCTGTGTACCGGGTGTAGGTAGCCTCGTCAAACTCCTTGGTTCTCGCGGCTTCCCTTCCCAGACGATCTGTCATCCGCGTCGCTGGTATCAACTTGGCTCGGTCCTCTGTGAGTTGGATTTTCTTAGAGGGAGGGAGAGAACAAGGCGATTATATCGGGAAAGGAATCATTATGGGCTTGGTGGACATGGGAGGAGAAGGGACATAAATTCGTAGACCACATCGCCCGCACAGATGACATTACATGTTAAAGATATTCATAATCCATGAAGTGCTAAATACTGGTAAGCGTGAGAGAAGAGCCGCTATAAATTTACTTGAAGAGAGACCCTTAACTTCCCTTTCCGCTTTCGACGAAGGCGCTTCGCCAGATGGCGCCGCGACCACAAATGCTGCAGATGGAGCAACAATCTCCTCTACCCGCATCTCCCCTAGCTGTCGTTCCCTAGCTATTGCATCGTTCAAAAACTTCTGCTGGTCTATGTCTATATTCGCCCCCTCACCCTGCGGCGCTAACTGATAGTCATCTTGGACACTGGAGAAGATTTGTTTCTGCACTTTCAGTTTGCGCATGACTTCTGGAAACAGTTGGTCCCAAAATTTCTCCTGTAACTCAGTAGAAAAGCTCAGGGATTGCTTCATCTGGGTTGAAGCAGGTTTCGACAGCAACAGCCTAGAAAAACTCACGACATGATCGAGAACAGCATTTACGGTGACGGTTCGTCTGGGAGCACTCGTCGGAATCTCAAACTGGAATTCGTCGTCGCCCTTCACGTAGAGGGAAATTCTGACATATTCTCGCAACTCTTGAATGGCTGTTTCGTCGGGACGTGCTGCGGCAACAAGCACGGGTTCGTCATCTTTCTTGTCCTTGCTACCGACAGCCTCGTCAAGGCCACCAGCACCGTCAGCACCAGCTGACGTGCCATCTTTGTTCCCATCTTCAAGCCCTTTGTTTAGAGGTCAGCAGTCATTGGTCACTGACTCTGAACGGGAAAGGCCCCACACCTCTCCACTTATTTCCCCTTGTTCCTTTTCCCCTGTTCTCTACTAAAGGGGTCGCCCCCTCTTCGATCGCAGTGACCCCAATCAATCTACTTAAATGGTGAACAATGAAAGTTGAGCCTTAAAAATTTGTTGTTCTTCGATGTCCCAGATGATTTTCTAGGTGCACCTCTCGCGGCTCCTCGAGCAGCAGCTGCACGTCTATCCCGCAAAGCTGCATCGAGCAATGGCCCTCGGCTTCGTTCGACCACAGCGTCTAAGTCAACTCCAAATAGGAATTCTGGTCCGTGGTCTACTGTAATACCACTCGAAATTGCGACACGAACTGCCGATCTCTGTGGACCTTTGCCTTTTGGTATTGAAGTCCTCACTTTCGTCGAACCGGAAGAACCAGGCTTTTTCTTGCCACTCGTTGTACCGCCAGGCGTTGATGCTGTTGGGCTTGCCGAAGCTGAACCCTTGTCATCAGAACCACTTGCTGCTCGTTTGAGGCTTGAAGGAGGCGCTCGCCAGACCGGTACTAAAGTGTCATGCGCTATTGTGGGATTTTGTGGTAAATAGCTACCGGCAAAAGGCAAGCTCCTAGGCGAACATTGCGTGACGCCAGAGGCATCCTTTACTCTTGGACCTGGACCTGAATTGCTAGATTGTTCCAGAGCTGCGACACACTCTCGCGTGTACTGGATGGTTAGAAGAAAATAGAGTGATGACAACTCACTGAAATGTCGCATTCACTACTCCTGATTCTATAATGGTTGTCCTTTTTCATTATTTCATACTCAACATTCTACCAGTATGGGAAGAGCGTCTTCAAGAACAACTTCGACAGCAAAAAATCTAAACGACCAAAGTCAACCAAGTGAGTCCCATAAGAAAAACAACGCATGCGTCTCCGGTGGAAGCGTGCTCGCTAGTCGCGGCCACTCACTTTGCGGGACTGACAGAAAGACCGACCGCAATTCCCCTATAGGCTTCAATTGCTTGTTCGCCTCTGGGAACTCCGAATCCGCTAGCTCAGCGCTCATTATGGATTTCAGATTCAACTTCTCCGTTGTGGTCTTTGACTTGTTTGAGCTAGAAGATGAAGACGCTGCCTGCTGTCCTCGACCTTTAGTAGTTGTACTTGTAGAAGAAGTTATGGTTTTACTTTTAGTCGTCGAAGCAGTTGTTGTACTTGTTTTTCCGATTCCAGCTGCCTGTTTCTTATTCTTAAGCGAGTTCTTAGACACTACAGGTGCCTTCGTCGACGGTGATCCACCAAGCTTTTTGACAGGCGACTTTGATGGAGAGGAAGATGAAGGCTTGGCCTTCGCATTGGCATTAGCTCCGGTCTTGCTAGAAGAACTACTAGCATTTGAAGACGCAGCTGCCTTTGTTTTCAGAGCAGCAGGGGCTTGTTTCTTTGGCAAAGGTTTTTCTACCTTGGCTGGCTTCCCACTCGCCTTCTTGGGTGCCGCCGCTTTTGCCCTGGCTACACTCTTGCCCCGTGCTACACTTTCTTGGCCCCGCGCTGGCGCTACACTTGCCCCTCGCGCGACACTTTTTCCCCGTGCTGCAGTCTTCGCCTTCGCCGAAGACGAGGACTTTTTCACGCCGTCCTTTGGCTGAGGTTTAGTCTTCATCTTGTATAATTTGCTGGCCTCATCTACCACAACATTTACTGCGAGGTTACAGGCAGACGGAATCTTCGAGAACGTCTACATTCTTACAAGATTAAGCAACGTCCTGAGCCTCACACACCGCGAAAAGTACATATTAAACCACACGTGGTAGAGCACTACTCCTATTAGATGGCCCCCTTTGTTGAAAGGCAAAGGCATCAAGGGGAATACCAACTATCTTTGGTTAAGAACCATCACTCCCTGTTGCTGCCGCTTTATTTTCATGTCACACAACGATTCTTTTTTTTTCTTGTCGCACAGACACGCACACGCTTTTCATGTTTTTTCAAAATTCACAGGTTTAATCCCTCACAGATGCAGGAGATCATGCTACACTAGAAAGATCCAGGCGTAGATCCACGCTTCGCCAAACTACAGAGCAGTATTATATCATGATCGATCTTTATTCAGTTTCTCTTCGTTTAGTTCGTCGTATTTGATTTCGTCTGAAGAGCGATCGATGCCTAGAAATAAACAGAGTCTTCCACGTCATCCTGTGCATAAAGAGCATAAGCATTGCGATAGTCATAGAGGATGCGCGTTCAGTCGTAAAAACGAGCGTTGTAGGCTCTTCATGATCTTATGTCATGCCATTCGTCATAGTCAGTGCGAAACAATCGACATAGCTTTCGGTTAATGTGTCATCTCTTAGTAGCTGGGTAAGAAGTCATCGTGTTCGATTTTTTCAGGATCAGTTTTCATTTTCAGCACCCTGCTCCTCGACTTGCTCCTTTATGGGATGACGATATAACACACGTCTTTTCTCGTCTTGCAGGCAAAGGCATTTGACCACGTCATTCCATGGCGTTCTTTGCTTCTCACCTGTTTTTCTGTAGAAGTCGGCACTAGCTTTGCGTAGAATCTTCGAAAATTTTGCGCCAATTCTTCGGCATGCTGCTTCCTCTGCGGTGCGTAGCCAGAGTTCGATTTTGACTACACTGCGTTCTCTAGGCGCGATTAGGAGACCGAGGACGTCGTCTGAATGAGAAAACTGTTCACCGACCATATTCGCGACAGCGTCTACCCACATTGCGTCCACTTCGAGAGGCAGGGTCTGGTGTGGTGTTGAATTCGTATAAACTAATATGTACTTCTAGTGTAATTCCAAGTGCTCCATCAAGGAGAAATCTTTATATTTGATTCAACAATACACACTTTCACGACTAGCAATAACGAAGCTTTCTTCATCAAGCAGATCAACATACTCTTCCACTCACAACTATACCTGTTTCGCCTTCAGTCTCGCATCCCATCGTGCTCTGCACTGCTCTGACGTAACCACTGGAAAGCAGCCTTCCTTAAAGTAGGCTACCGCATCTACGTATTTTCCGCCTACCCTTGAGGATCCATCCATAATATCCTCGTTTGCGCCACCTCCTCCGAGTAGATTGTCGTTCAGAGTCTGAAACACACCCGCCACGAAAGCCGATGGCGGGTTCACGTGTTGTAGGATCGCCTGAAACTTTTCCACGGTATCGAATTTCGCGACTTTTTGCCATTGAGTATCCTCGAAGTTTTTACTGTCGAACGCGCCAGCCTGGAGACGAGTCCACAGGGCCCATCGGTTCTGCAGGGGAAGAACCTGTTCCAGGAGAGCGTCGTTGTCGGAGAGATCTGACAACTCCTCTTCCGCTTCACGGAGAGGAGAAGAAGGATGTTCGACGTCCATTTTGTTCTTGTAGTTGCTTGAGTATGATATTGAAAATTTTTATGCCGGATATATAATGATATAATGCTAATAAGAACGCTGATAAGAACTTAGCGGGTGGGCGTGCCTTGGGGGAAGAGGATCAACGAATGTAAGTACTCAACGATCGTTCTTGAGTGTGAAATCGAACTACTCACAAATATAAGTGGTCGCAGCTTAGTCTGATTGAAACTGAGCCCTCTAAGAAAGCTACGCAGCTCTTAGCTCTCCTGTCTCTGCGCTGATTGCAAGAAAATGATATCGGACATGAGTGAATTAGCCGCGATCAGAATTTTGGAGTCACTTTCTTCAGCAATCAATGCGCGACGGGGTAAGAACTCAGATCATTCGTCTGCCCAAGGCCGGATCACAACTCGTACTGTCTTCGTGCGAGTTATCTTTTCCTCAAGACAGAGATCATCTGCTGTGGAGAACCTTATGTATCGATCCTAACGGTCTCGGTATTCGATTGATCCTTCTGGGGTGTTGGTACAGATCCTTTTCTATGGCAGTGTTGGCGTTATTGATCCTTCTAGGGTGTTTTTTCAGATCCGTTTCATTTCTCCTGATCCAGAATTAAATCTAAAAGATCTTCAACAGTAGTTGTCTTGTTCCCCTCCATGATCGGGTACTTTTCAGCTATCAGATGCAGTAACAAGACCATATCTGCCATATCCAATCGTGCAGGAAGTTTGCTTTTCCCACTCGCCTGATGCACGCTGTCTAAATATTGCCCCACTTTCCTCAGCTGCAGCAGCATTGTATCGCTTTCCTTGTCGCCGTTGTAGGGGACTAGATCAGTCGTGTTGCTGGCGTTGTTGCTCCTCCGAAATACTGCCCCAACGAGTGGCTGTAAGAGTCGTCGCACGTGAAAGTAGGTCCATCGCGACTTGTCTGGCCCACTTAGGTCTGTCAAGAATTCTGCTGCTCGGTCCTTGATATCCCTAGCTGTGCCACCAGTCTGCCTAGTGGAGGCGCGCAAGCGTGTGGCTTTAGCAGCTGGTTGCGACGATCGCATTGATAGCAGTCTTGTCGAATAAACGAGCTCTAGTTTGCGAAGTAGACCACGTAACGAGGAAGCAAGTTCTACAGGTAAGAACCAAGTAGTGTCAAGAAACGACTGGTCGTCATCGTCAGCATGTTTTGTGTCTTCTTCTCCTCGCCCATCTCGCTGGTCTTCTACGTCTACTTCCTCACGTTCATCTTTGTCTCCATCGCGACCAGGTAGGTGCTGTAATTCAGTGAAAGGGCCCGCTTGTTTGTTAAACAAATCGGATTCAGAAGGCTCTCTGCGTTGTCCATTCGCAGTAGAAGTTGAAGCACATCCCGTGTGAGATGATTTCCGTTTCGAACCCCTTCGCCCTCCAATGATGTTATAATTCGGTCTCCCCGTAATGGAACTCAACGCTGCAACCACACCCCTCATCACAGTGCTCTTCACCTTCACGTCTACTGGCCCCTCCTGGTGGCAGTGCGGTAAATGATGCTCCATGCACCGGCAGATCTTATGGCCCAAATACGTTGTCGGTGCAGGTGGTGCTGAGGGAGAGGAACTGCGAACAGGGCCAAATCCCTGCCCTCCAATACAAAATCCGCCTGATTCTGCTGAAAATCGTCCTTGGGCTGTTGAGCTTCCGAAAGCGAGTTGTGAACTACGGCCTCTAGTTGTTGTAGTGCTAGTTGTACCAGTGTCTATATCATTTGTTGACGTTGATGTACTCGTGGATGTTTTCCTCGTTCTACTTGCAGATGACATAGAAGATCTCCCCACAACATTCGTTCTCAAAAAAGCCGCTACAACTTCAGGTGGAAGAGGTACTACTTCATCAATACTCAGACTCGGAGAGTTGTTCACCTCCAACAAGTGCGGTCGCATTTCCGTATCCAGAAGCACATCGAATCCTAATACTTGAAAACAAGGACAAGAGTGAAGCGTAGGTGGTGAAACAACAGTAGAATTAGTGTCGGTCTCTTGGTCAGGAGAAAGACTCCTCGCCAACACATCAAAGGGTCGATACGACGCGATTAGCACAGGCTCGATTGCGGTAACCCACTGAGACACCATCTCCTGCAATTGCGTCCAAAATTCATCCTCGTGGAAATTTGTGCCGGATTCTTCACCAAGTTGTTCTAATGCCACTGTGAGTGACCTTTTGGAGGCATCCCGTTCTGTCACATTATTGGGTCCTGGAGCGGCGGTTGACGAATCTTGATCTTCGGAAGCTTCAGGTAGAACAGGAATTCCAGAAGCTGCTGGTGGAGATTCTATATCAGCTTCAGCTGTTTGCACCTGTTCTACTTGCGGCATCGCCGGTTGTGCATCTTCTTCCAACTGCTTGTCCAGTAGCTGCATAGCAACTTCATCTCCTCCTACTTGCGTCAGCGCATCTCCTCCTACATCTTTTACCTCCCCCTCGCGTACATACCCTTCTTGACGCTTTTGAATGCTGTAATTGGTCAGGTGTTTCTGCGCATTCGCAAGGTTCTTCGAGTCCGGTGCCTCATACTTCGAAGTGCAAAACCGACCAAGACCTTGTTCTTTGCACAGGAACACTCGCATTGTTGAGCTGTCTTCTTCGGCGTCGTCGTCTCCACCGAGGACATTAGAGAGATCAAGTCGAGGGCACCAAGAGAGATCTTGCTCAGTAGTTGTTGCATCTCATCAACACAGAGATCTTAATGGATTACGCAAGAACAAGCCGTAAGTCCAACGACAATCGCATACACTCGAAAATCGAATTTCAGACCACCCAAAAGCAACGACCGCCACAAAACGTATTTTTGCACGACCGCATTCTTGCAATGACTCGCCTTGATTTCCAGATTGCGAAAGCGGTCTACGAGAAAAATTCCATCCCCTTGTGACCCATCTTCCGGTTTTACAATCCAAACGCTTCTCTTCGCTTTGGTCTAGTTCTTCTGGCCAGATGAAGGTACGAGGGATAAACGACGATAACAAGCGCGAAGACTCGTCGGGTGCTACAGTTTCTACTCGTCGAAGCCACCGGACCATGTTCGCCTTCTCGCTGGCGATGAAGGAGGAGAACGTCGAGAAGCTTGTGCCTCAGCACCAACATCTTTAGCAGGAGCACTAGTATGATCTGTTCATCTTCATGTGTATTCCTATTTACACGAAAAAGCATCTACCTACTACATACAGAGGACTCTTCGCTTCTCATAAAAACATCTCCCATCCCAGGATATCTCGACAAAAAACAACGCATTTTCTCCAGGATACGCGGAAACTGTTCTAGCCATTCGTGACTCCGCATGACCATGCAAAGGCAATCGTTCTTCACCTTGTCATGGACTGCCATTTTGTCTTCGTCTGCGACGCGTCGGGTAATTAGAGGTCAACAGGAGGATATTCAAATCAAAAACTTTCATCTGTAGCTGTACTCTCATCTATTTTAAACCAGGACTTTCTCATAATATCAGATCTTGCCAATGCCCACGACCGCTGACAGGTAAGCAGAAAGACCATCTTTTGACACCGCGCTTGGTTTTTTTAGCGGTATTGATCGCTAGTTTCTTTATCGACTGTTCTTCGACGTCAGCGCCACTCCCAGACGGTTGTTCAGAATCTTCAACAACATTATTCGCTTCCACCTTGTCTCGGTCAGACTCGGAAGCCTGCGCATCTAATTGGGCTTGGAGGTCCATTGCTTCGCTCTTGCGTGCCAGACAGAGATTTTTACAGAAACGTTATAGGCTAAACCATATTTATTATACACAGTTTTTCGTCGTCTCGAGCAGAAGTTAATACACTATATTTTACTTCGCAACACAATGCGGAATAAAAGCCACTTCTGTAGTATGAGCAAAGGAAAACAAGCACATCAACCAAAAGAGTCAAAACAAAAAAAAGAAGACTGGAACTGCTCCCTGTATCCAGGGGTGGGAGAGTTTACCAACATTGCTTGTGAACCGGGGAGAACAAGCAAATTTCTACGTACGTAAAATTTCTAACCATATCCCAGGTACACCTAAACATACCCGGTTGCGCCATCAAATTTGCCAGTCAATTGCAATGTGTTGAGTATCACTGCGAGACCGACAACAGACAGACACGACAGGCTTGTTGCTCCTCGTATGTTACAACTCTTCCATGGTGCAGCTAGCCCGACAGGCACATGCGGAACAGATTCGCCCTAGTCCAGACACATGCTCGCCTATAACCCTCAAACAACCGAGTTGTGCAGGCCGCATCAACGAATTCAGTGATGCTTGCAAAGGTTCATCACAATGAAACGGAGCGCTTCGCCTGACTTTTCTCACAGTTCTGGTGCGTCGACTGCGGCAGTCTCCACCGCCGGTGTGATAGTGGTACATCCTTTTTCACAAAAATTTCCCCTGATCCTATCAAGTGTCGTGAATCACGATTGAGTCGTAGTCAACGAACAGGAGTGTATTTGATTCCACACGCATTCTATTATACAGGGATCTGAAGAACTGCGAGAGGTCTCCAGCAAGGAAGACCATATCCTTATTTTATCTCCACTTTCCCGCCAGCAAATGTTTTGCCCTTCACCAGATCCTCCAACCCCTCGCCAGCATAACTCACCAACGGTGATACTTCGACTACAGTGTCGGCTTCTACAACGCCTCCAGCAGCCTTGACCCATGACGCGTGTAATTCGCTGATCATTTTCAAAGCCGAGTCTGGGGAGTCTGTGCCACTAGCGTTTTTGATCGGTGCGAACTCTTCTTCGCGTTTACATTCGAACACGGCCATGCGTTCGGTGAGCGGAAAAACGTCGAAGATGAAGGTCTCCAGTTTGATGCCGTTGTTGCTACTTGGTTTAATCGACGCATTAGGTGCCTCTGGATCCGCATAAGGAATCTTCTTCTCTGCTACGTGGTAAGAATTCTCCAAGTTGGGGAGAACGGTCTCCTTCAGAAAATCTAGTCGAAAAACGTGGTTTACAATATTGCCAGCACCAAAGGAAAGTTTGCCATCACTCGTTCGTGCGTTTTTCTCCTTCTCCCCAATCTCGCTGTACTCGACCACACAGTACTTTCCACCACGCATCGCGACGACACCGACCTAGAAAAGAAATTTCATAATGGTTCAAAGATGCAACATGAAAAAAAAAGAATGTAAGTAGTTCTGCATACAACAGGGGTAAAGTGAGATTCATTTCTTTCTGCAGTGGTCTAGAACTAGATGTAGAAAAAAACTACTTATTCACGCAAGAAATCATCCAGCTACTGCAGTATAGAACTAGATCTAGAAAAAAACTACTTGAATTCCCACAAGAAATCATCCAGCTACCTTTTCCTCCGGATCGCACTTCCACACGCTTTTATTTCCAACCTCCGCATCCTTGGCCACACAGTACCCCAAAAACCGCGGATCCGCTGGCCTCACCAGGATGTTGTCCACCCCAAAGACGTGGAAATATTTTTTAAAGCTAGGCAAGCCATCTTGCGGAGCAGCCTTGTGCCCGTTTTTCCATAGGAAACGGGCCCAAGATGCTGGCTAAGTACTTAGATGGATTAATTTGTTGAAAGCCGTAAATTTTACTCCCATCTCCTCGCACTTCTTCAGCAGTCCTGATTTTTCCAAAGCTGGATAAACGCCTCCATTGCCATCTGGACTGAGAGCTACAGAAGCTTTGGTTTCGAGAATAATGCGGCCTTCATAGTCATATGCTGGCAAGGTTCCCTGAGGGAAGAAATGGCAGTCCGCTTCGTCTAGACCGAAAAAAGCGTTTTTGCGAAAGAACTCGACTGTGGTGTCGTGATTCAGCGGGCTCGTCATAATTTGGGATTAGAGGAGAGCAGATTAATGATCAATACCCCCCCTTCTAGTACAGAAAGATGGACGTAAACACCCTGTATAATCTTCTAGTACAGAAAGATGGACGTAAACATTCTGAATCAATTATTTGTTAGCAAGAAAGAAGTCTGCTCGTCAAAGTTCTTCAGCCAGCCATAAAAGAACGGCAACCGCTTAGCTTGAAAGCGTTTTTTCAAGCATAGGAGTCGCTCAGCGAAAAGCTGAAACAAGCTCTTGCCACTAGGAAGTCCTGGAGGCGAGAACAGACCCTTTGGGCCATCCAATCCAAGTCGCGTGCCTGCTCCACCGCCTAAGCACAATGCGGCGACTTCACCACGCGCTATGCATTCACCACCTTTTGTCTCGAACAGTGCTATTGAGTCCGCATCCAGACTGTCTAGAGTCTGGACAGCAGAAGGTGGCTCCAAGGTTGTTGTATCAGAACTGGACTCCGTCGTAGTTGTAGTTACCTCAGGTGCATCCTTTGCCGCACCATCCCCACCACCGCGCACTGCTAGCGCCTTTCCGAAATGCTTTTTCGTTGCGATTTGGAACAACGAGTTCAATCGTGAAAAATCCATGTCCTCCAACTGACCTTCGAGAGAGGTCAGACTCCTTGGAGACAGTTGCTCAGCGTAATCGAGCAAATGCTGTTGTTCAGCGACGTTGAGTCGCGAACTCAACTGCTCCGAAACCTTGGAAGAAGTACCGGCCGTCATCTTTTGTAAAAAGAAAGTCGATTGATGTACAAGATGATGCTAGGATCGCTAAGTAAGTAGCTTGTACTTCTAGTTGTATCTCCTCTAGTTGTCGTGAAATGGATCGCTACTATAGGCCTCTTTTTGATGCTGAATGTTATTTGTCGTTGAGCAGCCACGCTAATTCACCGATGCTAGACAGACATACAGACATGACAACAAGCAAGAACCCGATACGCATACTGCGAACACCAAATCTTCTCGTGAGAATCCTCGCTTTCCTCGCGACCCGCTGAAATACGATTGCTCTAGCTTTCATCTCTTTCGAGTTATTGGATGCAAAAGCAAAGCCAAAGAAAGTTGTAGGCGCCATTGCGACAGCAGATTTTCTTGATGAAGCACTATCGGATTTCGAGGATGCATAGTTAGTTCCTTGCATGTGATCGCTCTCCCTAGCCCCCGCATCACAAGGTACCCACGGATCCGAGGCCTCTGTCCACGACGCAAACTGACAAGCTGGGTCCAGGTACAAGGCTTTGTCGATGAAGTCCTTCACAGCTACGGCATCGGGTAAATGCACACAAATTTCTTCGAAACAGTCGTTCTCGTCATGGAAGTGTTGGTCGTGCGGATTTGAAGGTGTTCCGCTTTCTACGTCGAACATGTTTGATGTAGTTGCAAGCGCTGTTGGAGCTGTTGTGGCGCGTCTGAAAGATGTACCATCATGACCATCATCTACTTCATCCATCATCGCCTTCTGCCATTCATCATCGCCTGCACTCGGCTGTGCCTGCATTTCGATCCCAGTGGTGGGCGGCTCAACCCCTGCAATCGCTCCTTCCTTACGCTCCAGTGCGTTCTGCCAGTCCTTCCGCTCCTTCGTCTGCAACCGTTCTAACTGGCTAACGTTCACCAAGAGGACCAAGTAAGGGTACTCTTGCTTGGTGTCACTACAAATGTTCTTGGTCCTCCAGAACATAGATTTGCAACGCCAAATGCCACGCTCGACAACATGGTAAACGAGTCCGCAGCCAGGAAGTAGTCTCGCATCCTGACATGCATCCCACACGGCGGAAGAAATTCTGACGACAAAGTCAGTAAAGGCTTGCGTCTTACCACAGCAGGTGAAGAATGGAAGAAGTAAACCTGCAATCAACGCCCTGAAAGATCCGGAGTAGAGCCAACACCTGTAGAAACAACTGCCCTTGTGTTGATACTTCTTTCGACTTCTACAACTCTCTCCACTGCTACCAAACTCGTCAGAAGTGGGTTCTCCTCCTCCTCCTCGTGCTTGGTAGGTCTTCGACACAGACACAGTCCTAATCGCACTCCACGGAATCCGCGTGAGCATGAAACACACGGGTAGAGGCCCTAGATACAACACTAGTCTGTCCTGCAAGATCAGCGTGTTACGCGACGCAGTCCCCAAAAGCCCTAAGACGCAAAGCAGCATCAAATGTTGCCGAGCTCCTAAAAACATGGTGTTGTGTGGCGTAGACAAGAAGAACATTTGTTCACCTGCGGCTGCTGCGTTGTCGGTTGCAGTACTACTAGGAGAAGATGATGCTGATAGTATGCCATCAGCAAGTGTTGGCTTTGTTGTACTTGCAGTGCTGGAAGAATGATCCGTTGTACTACTATTGGCTTTGGAAGTTCTTTCTCCTTCTGTAAGTTCATCTGGTGTGCCACCTCCTCCACCCCATATGGCATAATACAACGCCACCAGCAGTACAGCAACCCAAGCCGAAATCGTGCGCCACTGCCAGACTCGATGAGGTCGTACGTCTATGAGAGAGAGACGCTTTTCGTTGTCTGAAGATGCTCTGGTTGTACAACCTGCATTACTGATGCTGGAAGAGCAAATTGATGACCGCATCGTCGCCGCCTCTGGCGCAACCATGAAGGTGCTATGACCTGAGACACAGCTTGCACTGGACGCGTCTGCCAGGCCAGGCCCATTGTCAGCAGAGTATTCGTAACGGATCATGTTTGTCGATATATTTTGTTATCTCAATTATACAGCGTCTCTTTTATCATTTATTGGTCGAAGGTAGCTAGAGGTGTCTTCGTTCGACCTATCGGTCTTGCCAAAGCAAAGATGTCAGCATTTTTGATCAATCATTTCGCCCACTATTTTTTAGCAGTCACGTTTTCAGTATCTTATAGCAGCTGCTCTTACAGTCGAGAAGTGACCACTAAGAGATTTTTTGGGCAGAACGCTGCAAAAGTTTTGCTGCGACGAAATCCTCAGAACAAGGCTGGCACAATCGTCGCGATGCTGCAGCATGTGCGAAGATGCCTACAGCATTTGATGTAAGAACTCATCACGATGTGGTTCTCATGTAGTGGGCTACGGAGTTTATCACAAGATCGTTTGGTGAATCAAAAAAGATGTTCATGTTCCGTTGCCATATCTATGTGTTTAGGTAACTTTCACTTGTCACTGTAATTCCTCTTTTTCTCCGCTGCACACCCCTTATTTCTTCAAAGGATTTGGCAAGGAGTGTCCGTACAGGTGATGTCCCACTTTCCAAGTTTGGCCGTAGGTCTCCTGAAAGTGCCAGAGATATGACGGCTGAAAAAAGCCGTAGTAGATGCCCATCCTCAGCGCAGTAACTCCGACAAGACCAGCAAGCAATAGCGGTCCGTGCTCTGACTCGCCCATTGACTGCACTAGGCCGTCGATCTTACCTAAATGGATGGATTGCGGCGTTGGTTAGGATCTTTCATGATCACCCACACTGACTCTACTTGGATGAACTGATATTAAATGCACAACTCACTTGTATCCATGCATACGAAAAATTGAAAATGGTTCTTGTAGGCATACTGAAGGTCGCTCAACCCCTAGTGGTGCTCAACTGCATCGGATAAACATCATCAGTACCAGCTATCGCGAATGGAAGTTCAGCTGGATAAAATGGCTTATCCAGCTCCGTAAAGAAGATCGGTGAACCTGTGGAATATAATTGGTGAACATATTAGATGACAGATGACCATGCGAACAATAGAAAATTCAACAAAAGGTACACCATTTTTATAGCGCAGATAACATGCAGATGCACCTCCCAATTATCACTTCTATTTAAAACTCCTCTCACCTGCAAGAGCAACACCGGCGGACGATCCTGAGCTTGAGGCTGCTGCATCTGGTGAGAGTGGCCTACTCAAAGTTGGTGTCGCAGCTGGTAGTGCCGTTCTCGCTAGTGCACTTCGCGACACACGAGCGCCGCTTCGAGCCAGCATTTTCTTTAACTTTTCAGAATTTTTAGTAAGTAAGCACACAACAACTGTAGTTTATGTTTATCAAGTACTCTCGTTTTCTTGGTCGTGAATAGCAATCAGTAGTACGATGAATTGGGTAATTCTTCATGTTATTTCTATTCTACTTGAGAAGCCTTCCAACTTTCGGTTATTCTCCGCTTCAAACCCCTCTCACAGAAAGCCGTGAAGAAAGCCAAAACATCACTCTCATTCTCTCTTACTACGAGTGATGAAAGCGAACAGCGACCCAGGAGAGGCAGCCTTTGGTTGGCCATGCAGTTGCGGGTGCTGTGATCACACAGCGTCAATCGCGTTGGACATTTTTCTTTTTGTACATGCCACATCACGACAATCACTACTTTTCCATTAGATTATAGCAGCGTCGTGTATACCTCCCCAAGCATAGTTCTTGCAATGACAATCAGGAGTCAAGTGGGTTCTTCTTCATTGATATCATATGGTATGGTTCATTCATCTTCAACAGAACCACATAAGAAAGTTCCACAGTCATCCTTTACTAGTTCCTCATCAAATCGTAGTCATCTTCCTCTCCTCTAAAAGCTGCTACGTGTCGCTTGATCTTAGACCCTTCTGCCCAGGTGATGTGATCTTCCATGTCTCTGGTGACGTGGAGTGCTGTATTAGTGCACAGATCCGGTCCTACTCTGACGTGCCCATGCTGGATGAACTCAGTCGCTTTGGAAACGTACTCTGCCATTTTCATGCTAGTCATCACTACGGGGAGTCGTCGGCGACAGAAATTACTCACAGCGATTTTTTCCGTGAGCTCCAAGGATTGACGGGAATTTGTCTGTTGTTGCAATGGGGGGAATAGGCATGTCTTTTGATCGAAAAGAGTAGAAAGAAAGTCAATGCTCAAAAGAATTTGTTGATTACTCACGAGCTCGAGCACAGAGAATTAGATTACTCTCTGCACGACATAATCATCAACATAAAGTCAGGGTAAAAAAAGATATACCACTCCCATCGCGAACAGCTTTTCCAATAGCAACTCTGTCATTCGTATCCTATCTGCGTCATCTGCCGGAAGCTTTCTCAACTGCGCAGTCAGTCTCGTGATCATGCCTATGAGTTTATTGTACTTCGCGTAGTCGTCTCGGTCTTCTACCTGGTACTTCCGGATGATCGCACCCTCTCGAATCGTCTGCTTATCATCCTTCCAGTCATAGAAATTGGTCTTCTTCAACAGCTTCTGTTCGTGGTACTTTAATTGCCTCATCTTGTGTTAAATGTTTGTTTCTACCTATGAAGATGAGAAGAAGAACTTTTTTTACTTGATGTTGATACTAAGACTAACTCCTCGTAGTTCTAAATCTCCGCCTGTCGCTGTTTGTTAGAATCAGTGCGAACGAGATCATGCATGGAAAAGGCAGTCCAAAAACTTTGTTTGAGTGATCATCAAGATCATCGATCCTTAGATCCCGTCCGCCAGTCAGTGCAAGACACGTACATCGGACCTTTCTGAATCAAAGAGACCTTCTAAATCTGATCGTGAGGCCAGTTGTTGACATAGATCCGAGCTTTATGTTGATCCTTCTCCAAGTTGTAGTACCTACCATCAGGATCATGGATAATGTTGCCTGTTTCAAATCAAAATCATCAAAGATCTCTATGGCAGTTTTTCTCTTAGAACACAGATCCTTCGAAGCAGAAAGTGTCACTTATCAAGGTTCTTTGAATGCTCTGGTCAGCGCCGATCTCGGCCGGTCATGCTTCACCATTCCATCATCTCAGATTCAGTCTAATAGACTAGTATATTCTCAAGTAAGCAAAATCAAAACTGTAAAGATTGAAGATGTTCACCTAGTAGTATCGTTTTTTCCATGCAGAAGCTAGACGAAATGCAGAACCCCACATAGGAAGAGGTTGTACATTGATGGATCAAAAATCAAGATCTGTCCAAGAAAATACAAAATTATTGAGTGAGATCATATTACATATATAATCGCTAAATGTGGCTGAGTAAAAAAGAGGATGAAAAATTTGGGAGTGTATATCAAGGGTATTCATTAAGTGTACTGAAACTTATGTTCATTTTCGGTTTTCATACAGTGCGGGGACGAGGCCACTGACAAGAAGGCTTCTCGGTTGGATATTAGAGCATTCACTACTTCTACAGCACGTGAGAAACTCTAAGAAACAAAAAACATCTCTCATTAGTGTAAACAGTCATTTATAATATGGCATTTTTCAAATGTGATGATGAATTTCATGATGTGGTAGATGTAGTTTCTATTTTCTCTAATTCATGTCGATGTGTCCTATGTTTTCTCAGGGTAAGCGCATAATCTGAACCCTGAAAGAAAAAGTAGTCTGTTGATTATTCATGTCCTGAGTTCCTTTAAACATCTTTAACATTATTCCACAACCGGACCAGTCCGCCGAAATATCGAGTTCGGTTGCTCATATGCGCCCAGTGGAGAATAGCGGTGCGGCCCACTTGGATGCTGCCCTGCTATCAATTGGTGAGTTAGAGAGTCTAATGTCGTGGTTCTTCGAAAAACGTGCGTCTACTTTTACAAGTTTATTATGGAGTTCACAGTACCAACTCCAACAAGCCAAACCATAACTGTGAGGCAAGTTCAATTTCTTTGTCCCCGCGGGTTGCGAACGGCAGATAATCTCCCAGAAAATCAAGAAAAAGCCTTGATGATGGAACAGATGCTGCCGATAATCTCGTTGCTCCTGCACCTGCTTGTTGTTCAGATGTATTCACTATCTGCTTATTCGTCAACATATCCTCGTTGCTATTTCCCAATCGCGTTAATTCGACAGAAGTTTCTTGACTTTGACTTTCTTGTGTCATTACAACTCCATCTCGTCCCGCATCTCCTTTCTCCTCGGCCGAATCCGAAGACCCTGCTGGCGCTAAAGCGAGGCAAGACAGTCCACACAGATTTAGCAAAATTCCTATCGTGGTTCCCATTGCACTCGAGACCGTAAAGGCTTTGTACTCCTCGAAAACCACACAGCCGTAGACAAACTGGCACACGAGACCCAAGGCTGTTGACAGCGTCACGGTGGTTAAACTCGAGAACCTCAGCATCGACGCGTTCAGAAGCGAAATGCTCAGAAACGCCATGCAAAGAATGCCGAACAGGACAAGGACTAAACAAACTCTCCCTGCTTGTGAGAAGACTAACCAGGACAGTGGACTGAGGAGGGTTGCGGCTATGTTGGTAAAGAAGTCGACAGTCGAAGACGAAGGGTTCTCTTGTTCAGAGGAGGTGGTCGCATATCGTTCCTGTTCACCTGTTGTAAGAAAGATCGAAGTTAAGATGGAGTAAAGATCATGTAGTAATGGTATCAGTACTTACCATAACATTATTGAAAATAGAGCAAAACGAACTACCTCCCGTTCCTCCCGCCTCCAATCCAACGATGTATTCTTCTGCGACGAGCGAGCTGACGAACTTCGTACTCGTCACGCTCACAGCGCCAAAAATAGACGATAACAGCATCAGCATGAAGGGTGACGATTGCTCCTTTAGTGCTGCAGCTGTAGGAACGTTAGCTCCGGTTGCATTATTACAACCATGTTCTTGTCCAGGAGTAGACGCGTCATCCTCAACACTGTCGTCATCCAGAGAAACAGCTTTTTGAACTCGGGAAGACGTGGCGCGCAGAAGCCTCTCTCCGTCGGTTAGGTCCCGGTAGGAAGAGCTGGAGGACGATGCGTTCACGATCATTTAGAACCAGTTGTACTAGCGTATCCCCGTCGCGCATTTGTTCTTTACTTCCCCTGTATCTATGCATGTTGTAGTGAAATAAATGTAGGTTTCACTATTAGCCCTGTGCTTGAAGTGGGTGTACATGTTGTAGTGAAAAAAAATCAAGATCAACTTGAACACCTCTAGCCGCTGCTTTTTTTAAGCCATAATCTCCATCCTTGCTCTCACCTCCACCTACAGCTCCGTCCTCCGCTTCATCTGTCGCCCTCGAAGATCGGTGTCTTCTCGCGCAAAATATCTGCACCAACGCCTTCCGTGCGAAAAAAACGAATACAAAGGTACTCAACAAAAGAGCATGTGCCAGTGGTTGCGATACCAGAAAATAGAACCTTTCTAAGTCAACCTTCGCATCTGTGTCGTTGGGATGCAGACCGTATCGGACACTACAAATACACCCGGCAAAAATGAAGATTATAGACAAAAAGTGGCCGGACTGGAGTTGTTCACCTGGTGGGTGCAGATGAGGAGGGACATTGAGAGTTGAAGTTGACACGAAAGGAGAAGTTATGATATGAGGTTGAAGAGAACGAAAGGATCATAAGAAAAGACGCAAGCAAACGCTTTTATTTGGAGGCACTATTAATCAACAGCAAAGACGATGTTCAGAATGAAAGAACCCCGTTACCGCTTTTGTAACACCCAGCAGGCTGCCCTGCTGTCAAAAAAAAATACCTAACAGGCACGGCGTCAACACGCTGTTCGCCAGGAGGCCACTTGGAGCCAGACACGACAGGACTGACTGCGGCGCCAAAGCTAACGCTGCTGGCATCAAAAGCTGGCCACCAAGGAAACAGGAAAAACCTAGAACCCACAAAGGCTGCCGCCACAAGGCTCGGTCTTTGTTTGGATTAGAGGAGGTAGAAGTAGAGCTGTCAGATCAAGGTTTTTGCCATGACTCGTGGAATAGCGCCTAATTTCGGCGCAAAAACTTCAGTCATATCAACCGAAGAGTTTTTACCTTCAAACGTCAGAAACTAGAACCGCCCAGCCGAAACCAGACCAACAAGGTCCGAAGGGGCATGGCAGCGACTCCATGGACGGCACTGCACACCCTAACAAGACGAAACGTTCTAGCAACACAAGTCACGGTTTTTGTTTGGATTACTGAGGGAGTAGAAGTAGAGCTGTCAGATCGAGGTTTCTTGATTACTGAGGGAAGAACTTTCCACCAATTTCATAATCTTCACTTGTGACGCAGACAGCTTCTGCAAGACGAGACCCAACGTGCAAACAAACGCGGACCCCTGCTGCAACAGCACCCCGTAAAGCCACAAGGTGCTCTGGTGTGCACGAGGGTGGTGCAAGTGGGGAGCATTGGCGTCATCAGCCTTCTGAGGATCCAACAGCTCCTCTACAAGCAGGTCCTCGACTGCAGAGGTAGAAGGCATCGACGTGGTGGCTGCCATAGCACTGCGTTGCTTTGTTGACGACCTTGAGGACGTGTCCTTCGAGGCAGTGGCTGACTCTAATGAAAACTCCTCGAATTTGATTTATTTTGCTAGATCATGTCTATTTCAAAAGTCAATAAGGATTTTATGAGGCAGGACCAGGAGTGAATCATTTCCTTTTTCATGTTTAATAAATCTGGTCCTCTTCGGCTATGTCGCGTGCATTATTACCATCACCACGACTTCATCCTGTCCCTGTATCACTCGTAGCTGACTTCTATCATCTTATGGCTGAGTAAAGATCCTCTTCTTGTTGCTAGTTGTCCTGCAACACACATATTTATTACGCGATCCAGAGGAAACGGCGCTGCAAGAAAACACTTGTCACAAGGAGAAGTAGAAAAGAGAGACGAAAGCTATAACTCCTAGAAGAAGATTGCTCTTGTAGAATTTTTTCTCGACGTGAACGTAGAGTTTCAAGCATCTCTTCAAAACGGTCAGACGTGCTCGCCAAGACAGTTTTTGGAGGTTTGTCTTTGGAAGAATCCGTCTCCACAGTTTTCTTAGAAGTCCTGTCATAAACATGTTGATGTTGCTCAGTATATTGGACAAGCTGCTTCTTTGCACCATCACCACCTGAACGTAGCATCTCCTTTCCTATTCTTTCACCCCGTCCACCTCGCTCTTCCACCTCCTCATCGTCGTATTCGTCCCAGCCTTCGATACCTTCTCCCATAAGTAGTAGAGATTCTACGTCATCTAGCTTTCCCAGAATATCATTGTCAAAAAGCCGCTTTTTCTCAATGTCCTCACGCCTCGGACTGTTGCGAAGCATCCAAGATTCGGCGAGTTCGGCTGCTGTTCTAGCCGCAGGCGATGAAGGACTCAGTGCTGGCGAAATGAAAGGCGAAAGCACGCGTTGCCGCAATAAAGCACTATCCTCACAGGATTCCCATAATTTTCCTGTCGTTGTGACAGGTGCCTTGTAGTCGGTGTTGCTGTCAGAAATAGGTAGACATCGTCTGCTTGGTGAATCGGAATCTTGTTCACGCCCATCTTCTTTCCTCTGGCCAACATCGTGACTCATCTGGTGTTGATGTTCATCAACGTTGCTACTCGTACAGCCCTGTTGCTCTACTTGTTCATCCTCCAGTAGGTCCATCATGTGCGCATCTGAAGATTGCTTTGATTTTGACATCTCGTGCTGGTCGGTTTTCGTCCTCAAGGGCTTCATCCCCTGTCTTCCGCAGTTCACTTTCACTCCCCTCTTTAGCACCAACCAAGCATGCAAAAAGAGTCTCCTATAGGATGCGTAAATGGACTCCGCCACTACACGAACCACGCGCTCAGTCGCAGCACCTTTGCGGAAGGTGCGTTGGAGTAACGCACGCATCGCTATCGCCTCCTTGCCTTTTTCGATTTCGGCTTGTTCCCTCTCTGCCTGCAACGCGAACTCTGCGCGCTCTTCCTCGACGTTGCGAAAGCTGGTTGTAGACAGGACACATCAGTACTTATAGAAAAAAAATAAATGCTAGCTTCAGTTTTAACCCTGTGCTTGAAGTGGGAGTACACGTTGGATTAGGACTTGTAGAGGAGCTATTACAAGAACAAGTACCCAACTTCGCCACCCGCCTCCATTCGATCGGCCGGATCTACAGGTCTGTGCTGGCCAGGCAATAGCGGTTTCGTTCTTTTTTTGACTAGTGATGCAGCAGAAGCTGCATTAGCCTCCTCGACAGTTCCGGTCGTGGTCTGCTTCCCCACCCCAGTATGCATTTCCGACTCTTGTGCCGTCTCCTTTGAGTTTACTTTCACGTCGTTGCCAGTTGTTGTACCCTCATCAGTTGAGGGTATCTTCGCCTCGTCCTCATCTGCAACCAATAACTCTGCAGGCACTGGCGAAATGTAAAATTCTTGACGATCGTGATCTGATCCTTAGAGCTGTGCCATTGTTTCTTCGATTTCAAAAAACGTACGAATGAACAGTATCACGTCGAACAAGGAAACAAAAACAACGATGAAGTTTGAGTTTCTTTCCTCATCGAGTAGGAAAGATAGAAAATTTATGTTTACGCACGAATACGCACGAAGCATATGAGTAGATCAGCCATAAGACAAATTTCCCCACCCAATCAAATTTCCACCAGCTATATTTCCTCTTCTGCCACGTATTTCGAAGATTCGGACTGTGGCGCCCGGGTGAATGTGTCCAATGCTTACGCCTGTAGCGAATCGGTTACTACGAACCCTGATTGAGCGCGTCGCAGTGAAAAGCTTTGTAGTATACACAGATGGAACTGCAACTGCCGGAGCCGACACGTTTGCTGTCCCCGCAACGCCGACTGTAGAAGTGGAAGAAGGGTCTTGTCTTGTTCTTGTAACAACTGCAGCGTCAGTAGAAGTTGAAGCACCTACGCCACTAGACGCAATTGCTCCTTTCGTCTCTGCTTGTCGTGATGCTTCATCTAGCTTGGTGACGTCATGGGCAGAGGCCTCCAAATTTTTCGCTGTACTAGTACTAGAGCCTTTCGATGCAGAATGAGACGGATGTCCGCGACGTTCTGAGTGAACGTGAGAGTGACCACTCTGCGGAAGACGAGGACCTCCATGTTTCACATTCACGTGGTGCGTCTTTGTATGGTGAGGCCCAGCTTTGTGGTGATGAAGGACGTGGTGCTTGGATGGGACAGCCTGAAGATGATGGTGCTCTGCTTGATGAGACGCATTTTTATGTGCTGTGTGAGAAACACTATGGTGATGATGTACATGTACTGCTTTCGATGTGCTTATACTGGTAAGCGCTCCGATCTTGTTTGCGGATTCGGCCGTACCACTTGAGATTGCATTCGCCTTGTCAGTCCGCTCGTGGTGGTGACCAGCATTGCTTTGTGGCGTTTGCCGATGTACCGTTCCAGTCTTGTGCAGATGATGTGTTGCATGTGGTGTTGTACTCGCAAGTTCGACCGTACTGCTTGATGGCGTCTTGCGCGTTGCATGAGTATGTTGAGAAGTAGTACCGACTGCGTTGGAAGGAACCTCTTTTTGCGCTGGACCTCTATGGGCATGTCCTCCAAGATGACTACGGCTGCTGGGCGTCCTTCGACCACTTGGCTTTGGCGGAACACCCAGGTGTTTGACGCCAGGACTAGACCTGGGCGGTCTGGCTGGGCGAATAGGCGTATGATCGGAAGACTGATGATCATCTCGTCGGTTTCGGTTTTCAGCCATGGCATGATGAGAGTGACCTCGCGGAGGGTCGTCTCGTCGGTTTCGGTTTTCAGCCATGGCATGATGAGAGTAACCTCCCGGAGGGTCGTCTCGTCGGTTTCGGTTTTCAGCCCTGGCATGATGAGAGTAACCTCCCGGAGGGTCGTCTCGTCGGTTTCGGTTTTCAGCCCTGGCATGATGAGAGTGACCTCCTGACGGGGCCAACTCCTTTGACGCGTCTACATTGCTATGAGGGGCGCGGGACGGTTTTCTCAGTGACTCCCATAATTGACTCGGTGCGTCCGGCGCTTTCTCCTCCAAACCGAAGGCCCAAGAAAACATCCTTAGGTCATGCGTAGCTGGTCTTGTTCTTGTTCTTCTGAAATCTAAATCGCCGCTTAGAACAGGAAGGACCATGAGAGACCACTCAGACTCTCATCTCTCTCTGCTTCCTCGAAGGGACGGTCATCTTCACACACCCTTCCTTTTTTCCTAGTCGGTACTTGCTTTTGACTCCACTATCCTCTCATGAGCACTACTACAAGTGGAATCAAGTCTGTCACAAAAATGATCACAGCGTCGTGGTTTACAACACTACCTCCCTGGGAGCAGGGCAAAGCAACCACCAAGCATCAATCAGCATCGATGCTCGCGGTCTCCTTACAAGTTCGTTCCTTTCTTGCCAATCATGTTATTGAACGGTTTTATGAATGGTCCGTATGGCTGGTTCAACTCTGTATGATTGCAGCTCTGGAAGAGCTGCTAGTGTACGACAACCCAAAAGAAGATCACTTTTCCCCTATCCCAACTACAACCATGAGACTAACACCTGTTCTTTGCTCTCACCTCTCGTCTCAAATCATTTAGAGGAGCAAGACGTAGTTTGTAGAAGAAATAGAAGAAAAAACATCATCGAAATTTAGAATCACAACTAGGAGGAAAATAAACTCTTTCACTTTCCCCCCTCGCTCAGTGAAAAAGTAAATCTGTCATCTCCATAGAAAAAGTGCAGATGTTTTGATCCTCTAGATGGGTGCCTCAAACTAAAACAAGCTTTATAGCCCTTGACCAAAAACTGGTGCATCAACATGATGGTATTAACAACATATGAAGCGATGACGCTGAAGATAGATCGTAGTACTATTGCTCGTGTTGATCATATACAACAACATCTTGTTCTTTACATTGTCACACCACGCAACTACATTCGATACTTCATATATCATGAATAATGATTTATCTAGCCCGAGTACAACTTCTAAATTCGTCTCGAAAAATTTCACACATCTCATGTAAGCGATAGTACTTCTGTTAAGCATTGTTCTAGTTGTAAAGTAAAATCATCTAAATCTATCTTCATGATATCTTCACATTTCGTAGTCACTCATCCTACTCGAATCTTCTCAACAGTCACTGAAAAAATGGACATCATCTTTGTCTCCATTGCCGCCGCATTATTTCCAGGATACGGGTGCTGCAGTGCCAGTAGTAGATGTCCGATGTGGCTCAACATCTTGGTGCGCTTCTCCTGCTCCCGTGCGACTCATCTTGATTGTGCTGCAGAAGTCCATTTCCAGTGTTGTTGCAACTACAGTTTTGAAGAATCATGATTGAGTAGCACAGCTTTAAAACATCAAAGATGTTTCAGTATTTACTTGGCCATCATCATCTTGACGAACTCCTCGTAGTTGATCTGACCATCACCATCAACATCCGCCTCGCGAATCATCTCATCGACCTCCTCGTCAGTGAGCTTCTCACCCAAGTTGGTCATCACGTGTCGCAACTCGGCCGCGGAAATGAAACCGTTTCCATCGCGATCAAAGACCTACAGTATAATTTAGATTTCGTGAAGACCATCACGATCCGAGGATCAGATTTTAGATTTTAGTTCTTCGTGTCTATTATTTACTACTCCTACCTGCACGTGCATCGAAAACTAACCTCTACATGCTCGTACTAACAAAGTATCAACAACAACATCAATGTAGTATTTAAATTTGTCTGATGCAAACTGAAGTACCTTGAAGGCCTCGATGAGCTCCTCCTCGGTGTCCGTATCCTTCATCTTACGAGCCATGAGCGACAAAAACTCTGGAAAATCAATGGTTCCGTTGCCATCGGCATCGACCTCATTGATCATATCCTGCAATTCTGCCTCAGTCGGGTTTTGACCTGATTTTGGTAGAATGGGGAGTAAGTACAAAGTGATGCTGTTCACCCGAAATTATATCGAAAAACAGAAATCTAAATTTTCTAAATTTTCACAAGATCATCCCTCCTTCCGTGTTATTGGAAATAATACACCCCTAACATTAAACTACAAGTGGGATAATATGATAGACTTTACCGAGCGATCGCATGACGGTTCCGAGTTCCTTCGTGGTGATAGTTCCATCGCCATCCTTATCGAACAGGGAGAAGGCTGAAGTGTTTGAGAGTGATTTTTGTGTGGAAACACGCACATGAAATAAGCTTCCAACTTTTGGTTTACATTCAAGAAAAATCTTTGGCGAGAAAGTCAGGTGCCCTGTTCATAATGATCCCCCATTTTTCCCGTACAAGAAGACCAACAACTCATAGCGGTCATGCATGGATTTATCAACTGACTTTCATTAGGAAGCAGTACCCTCCTTGAACTCGGCGATCTGCTCTTCGGTAAGCTGGTCAGCCATTTTGTTTTCTGTTGTCGCAAAAGCGAGACACAACTACTCGAACGGTCGTTCTGACAATACTAAGCTTTAGACTATCCGAATCGAAACGCGATGAATAGAAGATAATATAGATTTTTTTTTTGGATTAAATTTGATATAATACGTACTAAAATAAAAAATATTTTCGGAGTATCTATAACAAATGCGAGAGAAAACGATTTTCCTGAAGAAGCCAATTTTGTTTGCCCGATATACTACTCAAATACATCCTGGTTACACGATAAAGCGTTTTTTGATGTCTCGCGAATTTTCGAGCGAACTCGACATTTTCTCATCTCTCCCTCGTCTTCTTCTGTCTGTCCGTACCAAGTAGCAGCGATCATGAAGGCTTCTCCATACGGCTTTGTCGGCCTCTAAAAGGGTCATCTCTCACGGCACTCCCTCGTTCATGATTTTCCTCTCATCACACAGATTTGTTTTTATGCTCCTCACAGAAGTATTGCATTCAACGAATAGGCTCTGCATCCTTTTGTCGCTAGTCAGCGAACTCAAAAGCAAGAGAGTCTTAGCATTCTCACTCTGCGACAGATCAAAACGAATCTACGTATAATCCCAATCTTAAGATCCAACTCTCTCAAACTTCACAAGAATAATTGACCCCGTGCAAGACTGGTACCTGATCAGAATGACTTTTTCAGAAGCGCATATTTATTTACTCGAAACAAATGTCTTGTTCATATCCAATGTGAACACGACTGCTGCCAATATTCGTCGAAAAGAGGTCCTGGATGACTCTTGCTTTGGTGGAACTACCAATTTATACAAGTATTCCAGTCAACATATATACAGTGGGGCGTGTCTGGGTCATTTTGGTTGTCATTGGGTTGCTTCTCTGCAGTAGTTGTCCATGTGGGTTCTTTACAAGTATAAGCTTAAGTATGTCAGTCTTGCAACTAATTCACAAGGGAGTCGCTTAAACAGACGTGTCGGGGGTTCTTTGAACTCTGCAACAATGAATACTCTGTCCATGATGTGTCAGATTGAGTACAGAAGGAAGTTGCTGGAAGTTGTAAACTTGGGTCTTCGCCTTTCATTCAGCATCTTCTTCGTTGCAATTTGTCAAACATGTCAGAAATTCATGTCAGAAATTCATGTTGTATGCGCCGTTCTCTTTGAAGAATAGACGAAGTATGATTACGGTTCACTTTGTTCGCAGAATGGTTGCGGCATGTATAAGATAAATTTATGTCAATCTACTTTGTCGCACTTGGAACGTAGGAGTCGAGTATTTTCTCATGCCATTTCTATTTGTTCAATTAGGTCGGATGTTGGTCTTGTTTTAATCCTTCGGATCTTAAATCTTGTGTATTTTGATCCTATATGGCTCATGCTAGTAAGATGGAATTAAGACTGTACAAAAATAGATGAAATCGGAAGAAGTGTGGGAACGAATTAATATTGTCATGCATTACACGTGGAGAAAAAAAGTGTGGAAATGTTAGGAAGTCGCAGTATGAAGATGAACGAGAAGATCTGTGAACCATGAACATAAACAACTGATACATGATGAGAAAGCTAGATTGCGAGGACATAGTTGTAGACAGAGATATATGTTGAAGCTCAGGTAAATGGAATAGATGGAACTGGAAGATCTCAGACTGAAGCACTGATGAACAACTCACAATTGAATCTATGTATACGTACGTGATCAAACCTTGAATGCGTGATCAAACCTTGAATGCTTTGATGGTCGGTAAATAAAAATCGCTCATGTCGAATGAGTAGGAACGCATGACTTCGTGAGTGTGAATGCATGACAGACTTCGTGAATTCTTCAGTTGCAGAAAATTGGGTCTGGTCAGTACCTGTATCCTGTCCAAATTTGAATCTTCGTGGACGGAGGATCTTGTGCTGGTTGATGATTATGACGATGCTCTGTACAGTTTCACTTGCGTAGTAGGTTGCGTATGCTATGATGAAACTCAAGAGTATTAGCATAATGTTAGACATAATGACATACAACAATGAGTGGATACTATTGGGATGGACGTGGACAAAAAGAAAATTTGAGGAGAAAGTTTGATTTTAATTTGAATAATGCTGATGAAAGGAAAGAAATTAAGTGGAAGTGATTGCTGCCAAGATGTTCCCGGTATCCTTGCATGGATGTTGGAGCTTCGTCATATCGAGGACCCACAAGCAAAAGACAACATCAGACAGGTAATGATGATCCATCTTTTATCTCACCTATTCCAGACGGAGGGATGACGAAGGACTATAGTGACACGATCCAGGACAGTACTCGTTACGGTATATCATACACATATGCATGTGCGGCCTTGGAACGGTTCGCCATTTGGCCTCAAGATCTCCAAGACTAGGTTTCAGCATGCCATCCCCAATTCAACAAACGATTTCCTAAGATCCCTACCAAAATCAACCTGAAGTAGGAGATCATCTACAGAATTTTACACAGCATTGACCTGATTGTATACCTGATGCATATTACTCGTGTCGAAACTTGCTTCTGGAAGATATTATACGACCTTAAAATGATTTTGAATCGTCATTAGTTGACTATCAATCAGTGGACGATGCAGAAATGTGGAAAGGGAAACGAGAAGCAAAATCAGATATGTTGCTCGTACCAATTTTGATCATACAAGAGGAAATGCCACTAAACCTCAAAATCTGATAATTGCAGGACAACGTCAAGTCTGCCTAATCATAGGCCTAAAACTAACTCTACCCAAACATAGACCTAAGTCTAAAATTAAGCAGTACAGCTACTCAATATCCCAGTTGGAATAAATTTAGCATTTTAACTCTCCGTCTCCGCCTGCATCGCATCCGTCTCCATGTGCATCGCAGGTGGAGCAGACTCCCCGCGACGGAACTCCACCTTCTGCACCTTAGACGGACCATCACGCTTCAGATGGTTCCACTACGCAGTTTGAGCAGATTATGTGCGGCGCAAACCCGGCTCACTCAATTTGAATCGTCTCTGGTGCGTGTAGAGAAACATCGGCAACTCCATCTCGAAAAACAAGAGATTCATGACGACACGATCAAACAAATTCGGCTGTGAACCGTTACCGTCTCGTGCTTGCAGAATCGCGTACGCCGCATCGGAAAGGCGTTCGCATAGAGCGCCAAAATCTGCGCGAAACATCCTCTTCTTGCTTTCATTGGAATCCACTGCCGATGGATACTTGTGCCTCTTCGGATGAAGTTCATCGCGGATCTCTAGCGCGATGTATTTTCGCCAGTTTGCCGCCCTCCAGTACAGAGAGGCTGCTGCTTTTGCGAGACGAAACTCCCCCGGCGTCTGCAACGGGGTGACGCTTCTTGTCCCGAAAAACGTGTTTTAGAGGTTTCTAGTAGGGTGCACTGGTTTAGTCCCTCTCCCATAGAGAGAGAGAGAGAGAGAGAGAGGAAGAGGTCGCCGCGCGATTGTGAGCAGCTTCCTCAGTTTAGTTACGGAGTAGTTATGATTATCCAACAGGAGTCTTAAGTATTCAGCATCTTCTCCGGAGTCACAACGCCATCCTCAGTGGACCAGAAGTCAGGTACAGGCGACACTTTAGCAGTTTGGGAAAGATGATCCTTTCCCGTGTCGCCGGCTTCATACAGTTCCCCATCCTTTTTATCGCCGTACAATAGCCAAATCGAATGCGCGCAACCAAATAACGCTTGCGAGTCACTATGAAAGAGAGGGGGTGATCTGGGTCTTCAATAATTTGCATAGGGAAGGGTTTACACTGCAACACCGTTTAAAAGTGCCATAGCTATAATATATCTTTTGCTACCATATTTGTCACAGACGCCTCTATTTCTATTCCTAAGACAAACTGACGATTTGAATTTATTCGGCCCACTGTGGAAGATTTCCCTAACGAATATGACTCGCTAAGGAAAGATACTTGCTGGATCGAGATTGGATTAATCCGTTTCCGAACGAGTGAAATCGGTGCCTCAGCTAGTTCTAAGGGACCCAGAAAAGATATTTCCTTGGAAATGAAAGAAAATTATGACGCACGAAAAACTGGATGCACGTACAGCCCCCGTCATGTGCCTCTTTTCTGCATAAATATGAGAATATTTTCAATATGAAGATTTAAACTACAAGCGACGACCTGGTGAGCCGCATTCAAATCCTAGCGACAATATCAACTCATGATACTAACTTGCTTGCGAATGAACAGTGTGCTAGCTCAGCTGCGCTCAGTTGCTCCTGAGCCGTATTTATTATCTCGTTATGCCGCCTTGGAATTCTATGAGTACAACTACAAAAGCATATACCTTATAATTTAAAATTACTGCAGTCCTTGCAGTCTGAAAAATGGAATTAGTCATCGCTTAAATTTCGGTGCCCAGTGGAAGCTTCGTTTTCGTGTCTGCAGAGTTGTCTCTCCATCCAAGACTCAACGCCGAGCCCGATTCCCCGCCGCCAAGCAACAACATGTTGTCTAGACTGGCATCGGAGTGTGCCTCCAGTGCAACGTAATCCGGCACCAGCAGCCTGCGAGTGCGACTGCGAAAGCGAACTTCCCCCTCGTCATAATTGTAGATATTCGTCACGATATCCAATCCCCGCTTCAAGTCCGCCAGCACCAGATCAACGGCACTGCCACGTGCGTCCTCCGTCACCGCTGTTCCAGCAGTAGGCGGGTATTGCGTCAGCAGCTTTTTTGCTTCTTCTTTCATGTCCACGACCTCGTTGATCCGAACCACCATCTTCGGATAGGACCAGCTCTCTGGATTATTCTCGTCAGAGGATGTCACCTTCTCTGCCGCTCCCATCCGAAGCTTCTCCGCTTGCACCAAACTTTTTACAACCAGGTTCAGCACCTCCCGCTTGTCCTCTTTCTTTACGTTGCTGTCGGCAAGTGTTGCAACTACTGATCTCTGCTCGCCGTTTCTTAGATTTTGTTGTCAATGACAGAAACTCAATTTCTTGACCAGACCACGGTAACTAATAGCATCTGAATCCCTAACCCTCATCTCGAGTCGAAAGACAATTTTCAGTTGAATGATACCGAAGTAAATTCGTAAACTCTTAGGGCTCCACGTTGTTTCGGATACTTCATCATGCTCACTAATTTTCTCACGTCGCAGTAATTAATACTACGCCTCGTCATAACGCGAAATCGAGCGCGGCAAACACGCGAGCTTGACCTGCGAACTGTCCGTGGTCTTGCCTGTCATCCCGCAAGTAATCGACAGAAAGCAGGTTGGTCTTGGACTCGGTGTCCGGCTCCGGGTTCAGATAGATTCTTAGAAGAAGGCTGAGATGCAATGGAAGATGCGTTCTCAATTAAATCTCTAGTTTATCTTAATCTTTTTCAAAAACTCCACAAACGTTGCACCCTACGCACATGGTTGACCTTCTCTTGACTTGCGATCACGGTTCTTGCATAAACTGCTCTCGAAAGTCTTACTGATCTCTTTCCCGAAAATTAATAGCACTAGGTGCCCTACGTACGAACGACTTTCCTTCAAAAATTCCATACTTTTTTCTCTATGTTTTCACATCTAACTGTCACTGCTCGTGTCTCAGCAATGAAAATTACATGATTGGGATTAAAGCAAGCAAAACCATGGTATTGATTCGTATTCATCCACAAAAGATCTGTGCAGATGGTCATGGTTGCCGAAGTGGCCAAATTGTAGAAAAATGATCTAGTGTAGCATTATTCTGCTGTATTTAATATTTGGTCGGACGGCTGCCTACATTAGTGGCCCATCATCAACATAACTTCTCATCTCCGTCGACACACTCCTTACCTCGATACAGAGAGACAGGCCACGCTGTCTCGATCTTTCGCACGGTTTCCACCTTCTCCATCACTTCCGCGGGCTGCTCCTTCTGCGACTGGACTGCCCCTTGCCACACGCCGTAGAAAACTTGCGCTGCGGCTGTGTCCTTTTCCGTGCACCACTCTTTGACCGCGCCCCGCGCTGTCACTCTCATCTTACCACGGAAGCGGATGAGCTCACATTCTTCGGAGAGAGAATTCGCAGGGCACTCCATGCTTTTCATTTCCTGGATGTAGTTCTCCATTTCGTTCCTGTCGTCAGCATTGTCCGCCGCCAAATTCAGCTCCTTCAAAGCGAGGGCTCTTGTGGTACCAAAAAAGTGTGCCATTTTCCAGGGTACATCCGCCAGCACCAGCGCATCATCCTGTTGCCCATCTTTGCTACCGGTACCACGCTGCCACCCCGCCACCGCTGACCCGCTCCCACCTCCTAACGCCCTCACCGTGTACATCTCCAGCGGCATTGACATTGGTGTGCGCCTTTCATCGTCAGCACATTTATCTGCTTCCAGTTTCCTGTTGAGCGCGTAGAACGTACGAATGCACACTCCTTGTCCGTCTGGCAAAGCGTAGCCAGGATAGGTGCTCCAGAACTTCTCGGCAGCGCCTCCACCAGCCGCAAAGAGTTGCGTCGAATAGGTTTTGAGAAAAATCGGCAACTCCGCATTGAAAAACAGCAGGTTTACGATCACGCGGCCAAACAAATTTGGCTGTGAGCCTTCTTTGCCTGGCTTGTTCGCTTGGATGATGGCGTACGCGGAGTCAGAGAGGCGCTGACATAGGGCACCAAAATCTGCGCGAAACATAGTGTTGCCCGTCGTGCCAGCCGCTACCGTCGCGTCGGGCACCGCCTCGTCTGTGCGGAAGCGTTCAATAATTTTCGTCGCGATCGTCTGTCGCCATTTTTGCGTCTCAGGGTAAAGCCCTTTCGCTTTCCCCGCGAGGCGGAACACTTTCGGCGTTTCCAATTGTTTCAAGAGCGGCATGACACCAAAAAATGTAATTTAGATGAAGGCTCCAAAGTGGATTGGATCCTGTCGTCAGACTACATAGTACATGAAGGAGTCTGCGAAAACTTTTTTGTTTCCTATTCCATCCCCCCCTGCGTTAGAAAAAAAAGCCCACAAAACTTGAATTAGAAAAGAATGAAAATCCGAAATATTTCACCAGCAGCCTTAGTTGTTCAGGATCGGCTCGTCTCCCTCCTGCAGACTTATGACCTCCTCCACGTCCTCTTCATTGTCGGAGTTCTCGTACAAAACCTCACTCAGCTTATTACCAAACAATAGCAAGATCGAATGCGCACACCCAAACAGCGTCTTCAAATCAACATGAAAGGGGAAAGACGTGATAGATAGAAGAATGAGAAAGTGTACATCTTGTCCCTATATATAAAATGAGTACTGCAGCTAACTATTGCCGCATAAAAATACTCAAATTCGCACGAAAGTCCCCTTTGCAACGTAGATAGTGAATTAACGGAAATCTCCGTGACCTTACTTGGGGAAGGGGTAGGCATTTTGATTCTATAACAATTCCTGAACGTGAACTTGTAGTTGTAGGGTTAGGAATTTTGCTACTATGTAGTACTGTACTTGATAGGTATGACTTCAAACATATGATCCCCTATATTTCGGTGCCGAGTGGAAGCATCGTTTCCTCGTCTGCAGAGTTGTCATTCCAGCCGATTCGCAAATTCTCGCTCGCGTCTTTATACAACAACATGTTACCTAGGTTAGCATCAGTGTGGGCCTCCAGTGCAACGTAATCAGGCAAAAGTCGATCGCGGTCAGTGGCGTAAATACTGCTGACAATCTGCCATGCCAGCTGCAAATCCGACAGCACCATATCAACGCTCGTCTTGCGTGCCGTCTTCGCCGCCTCATCATCTGAGGCAACCGCCGGATATTGCATCAGCTGATTTTCTACTTCCTCTTTGTTCGTCTGCAAGATCCTGAGCCGGTCCTCCATCTTTGCATAAAACCACCTATCCTTATCCTTCTCGCTGAAGCCTTTTACCTTCTGTGCTGCTGCCATCCGATGCTTCTCCGCCTCAACCAAACTGTTTGCCACCAGCTGTAATATCTTGTCGGCATCCCCGCCACCGATTGCGCCTGGCTCTTGCGTCCCCAAGGCGATGTTCGCGAGATTTTCCATCACGGACCCTCCCTTGATAATTAGAATGTGAAAGAAAGGGAGAAAATGAAATTGAGTTTCAGTCTGCCACAACTCTTCTGTTCAATCTTGTGCCGTGAGTCTTGTGGTCGTAATAAGTGGGTGGAATTTGCTAACACTCGTGTAGATCAGAGGTGGTTTGCCTACCTACGAGTAATCAATCAGATAGAAAGATAAGCTACTCGTGACCTTATCCTTCATGGCATTGATTTCGTAGCGATGTCAATGTTTTTTTTACGTTCGCATAAATAGAATCACTCTTACTGATATTTACCGAAGCTTCGGAAGGAAACGAACATGCATCTCGAAAATCAAAAAGTTTTACGCACGTATATATTTTTCCAATTACTTCGTCTAATACCTAGCAACACGGAGTTTGTGAATCACGACACAGCGAACAAACACATGCTCAGCCAAAACCTTTACTGCATCTTTAAATTGTCCCAAGTAATTGCAACGCACGTGTATCCTTTACCACCTGGGTGGGCCTCTCTACTTAAAACTACATAAGAAGGGCTATGGAGTAACAACGTGCCAAAAGCGGAGCTAAATGGTCAAATCTTCTTTGTGCAAAAGGTTAGATTTTTTCTCATTTTTGTACAAAAATTTGATCGGTTAGCACCTTGCTTTTGGCACTGTGTGGCCCCGTAAAAGAGACTGCGGTCATGGATACGAATTTACACCATTCACCAGATTGATAGAAAAGTTCAATTCAATGGTCATAACGCGAAATCGAGCGCGACAAACACGCGGACAATTCCGGTCTGGTCCGCATCACGACTCGCTTGGCTTCGCAAATCTGTGACGGAAAGCTGCTTGGCCATTTCGTTTCTTAGACGAGTGCGCCCCCAAATCAGCTTTGAAGCGGAGAGAACAGTGCAAAAGATCGTACAGCTAAGGAACATCTAGAGGTAGATTACCTTCTTTGATAATAACATTAATTATTAATGTCTCTTCTCTCTTGTAGTATATTCTCGGAGCTAGATAATCTACTTTGTTCTAGTTGCTTCGAACAAGAAACGACTCAGCCTTGCGCCATCCGATCTGAAATTTATGACATCAGATACCTATGTTACCCGTCGGCCCGAATATTACACTACGGCCTTCTCAATTTCAAATTCTGGATCCGACAGTTTCTAACTTATCACAATTTCAGTACCAGATGGTGTCACCCAGCTATTGAGCCGCTCGAGCAGCATAACGAGTGGTAAATGCGGAACTTATATCGCCTTGCAAATGTACTCGAGGTTTATAAGAAACGATCATAAGTACTTACGCATACTTCTATTTTGCACGATCAGGTGAAGTAAGTGATGTAACGGTACTAGTATTAGCGAATTTTTTTGCTACAACAGTTCATATGCGTCATAACAGGATCTTTCCCTTGACACTTTGCCCTTTCTGATGCACTTCGAGAGGCCATTCCCGTGGAATTGTACTCGTGTCTGCGACAGTGCCGCTCGGCTTGTTTTCCTGCTCATTCTTCGCCCCATCCCAATCGCTGTAGAATTTCTTGGCAGCTTTGACTGCCGCGTCTTTCGCAGCGCCTTTTGGGGCACTGCACACCTCGATGAGCGCGCCCCGGGCTTGAGCGCTTTGATCACCGCGCCACGCGATGAGCGCACATTTTGGATTCGTTTTTACATCTGGGCACGGTTCTTGATTCTTCATCTTTTCGATGTAGTTCGCCATCTCATTTTGGTCATCGGCATCCTCTTTAAGCATGTCGAGCTCCTTCAACACGAGAGGCTCATCGGCAGGGAGCTTAGCTTTTGCGAAAAGCTCCATGATGTTAGCCTCGGCAGCATCTCCCTCTGCGACGGTCGTGCCCACGCCACCACCACCACCACCATCCGCAGCCGATGCTTGCGGCGGTGGTTTTAGGTTCAGCAATGCCACCAGTGCCCCACTTCCACCTCCTGTCAGTGGCTTCACGTTCACTTCGATCGGATAATTAGGGTCCTCTACTGTCAGCTGGTTCTTGAGCGTATAGAACGTACGAGTGCACGTCCTGTACATTTCGTCCAACATAAACTCGGAGCCATGGGCGTAGTCCGTTTTGAAAGCCGTGATAGCAGTAACAGTACGTGGTCGTGGTGCAAAATCTAAACCCTGCTTGGCCGTGGCCGTACTGCTTTCGCGACCCTGAAGTTCTTGAAGAAATCCACTAGTAGCCGTTGATGTGAGTGATGTGTTGTTGTAAAAGATGCTCGTAGAAGACGATCCTCCTGCCAGACCGAAATCTTGTTGATCTGTGAATGCGTTCCAGTGCTCCCGTTTGCTTGCATTTGCATCTTCTCGAATCCGCGAACCACGAAAGTTTCCACCTCGTTTGCTTTGCTTTTGAGACGACGATGCGTGAATTAGCGAGAGGATAGATGTAGTAATAGATGATCATCAGGATCAGTCCTCATTCAAATCCATTCTGCCATGATTAAGTCCGGCGAAAAAGAAACATCAACAACATGTCAACATTCTAAGCTCAAGATGAGGATCAGGGGACGACGGGAAATCTTTTTACTGAGTAAGTTTATTAAACTGTTCTTCTTGGCCATAAGGATTGAAACGTTGAAAACCAGCTCCCAGCGATCCATGGTTGCGCACTGGGCCAGCAGCTGACGTAGGGTTATTAGAACTAGTTGTTGTTCTCCTTTATCATTCTCACTTTGATTCATCATTCTGACTGACTTCTAGTGTTACTCCTTTGTTGGAGTTTCCCTTTCCCTTAGGTCAGTCCATTAACGAAGCTGCCAGTTCCAGACCTCTACTAAGGAGATTCTTTCCACTTGAGCCCAGTGACTTCAGCACGTGAACGAAAACTACTGAGGAAAAAATTCCACTCATCAGAACAATACAACCATATATTCAAATGGAATGATAAAATTATAAATAAGCACTTAGCGCCATAAACACAGCACACCATCGTGAAGAGAGCGATCGCGACCAAGCCCCACAGCACTGCCGCAAAGCGCGATCGTACCAGAGTCATGTACAACGATGATAACCGGCCCATCATCGCACTTAGGAAGCGCATTACGGTATCGTAAATGTTGAAAATCTGCCAGTCTTTCATCGCACAAGCATATTAGACATCAAACATAGAATGCATGGTGAAGGTGATGGTCGTAGGTAATAAAGTAGAATCACATTCGACGTCCGTTCCATGTGATAGTGATCATCTTTCATCTTCATTTTAGATAGAACAAAACGTACACAGAAGTAGACAGATTTCTAGATACAACACTGACTTACTTAAACATACATCTTCCCATAAAACATTCCTCCACGTACCCCTGCTGGCCTGGCGCAAGGCAGATTGCTCCCGTCATTAGCTCCCAAGAGCGGCTCGCTCTCTTCCGCTGGATGCTGCTTCTCCGGCATGAACGAAGATTAGTGCGAGAGAGGTGAAATCTTAAAGATTCGTCTCTATTTTTGTTTATCCATCCTCCCCCAGGTTTTCTTTACGGCTACAATGACACAGCATTATCTTTGCTACAGCTACTTCATCGTTCCTCTTCCTTCAAATGCATATCAATTACTAGTCCAACAAAATTCCTATGATACGATAGTGTCATAGTCACTAACACTATTTTTCTCATCTCTAGTAGTAGTTCTAAAAATATATAATATGAGGATTCTTTTCCCTATTTATACATAAATTTTGGCGATCTCGTCCGATTCGTGCTTTGCTGGTGGCGAGAGCAACTGCTCTTTTCGCTTTTGACGCTTGTTTTTCTGTGGCTTTTTGTGTGACAATGGGTGTAATCCCACTTTTGGATCGTGCGGGTAGTTGACGTTGTTCCTGTGGAGGTAGTGTGTTGTTGTCCCAGGTGAGATTGTGAGGTGAGCATAAGACCAGGGTGATAATTTGATGGAGGATCAACAACATCGCAGGGAAAACAAAAATGGAGGATCAACATAGGTAGACGAACAAGGATTCCAAGTAGAGACTGTAGACAGGAACAGGATTTTCTTTCATCAATATTCAACGGTTTATGGTGCTTCTAGCCTCCATAGACAAAGAAATGTGAATCAAATGTACCTGCTTTTCGCCGTTCGAAAACCGCGTAAATAATTTCCTCTTTGCTTGGCCGCAATTTAAGGAAACTGCTCTGATTTGGACAACTTGGAAAAGTCGGAGTTTACCTGGAAGGGACCTTGGAAGCTTTGTTGTCTGGTCTGCCTACTAGTGTTTCCACGTCGCAACTGATACCCACGAAAGCAAAGCTGACTGCATAGATGACCTGATATTCGCCAAAATCAAATGACAAGAATGACGAAGATGGGGATCACCATTATCTTCATACCAAAACTAACTCTTGAAAGAACATAACTACTCACAACATCAACTAGCTCCTTTGTAGGTATTGATACATTTATACTTAGGTACCGCCTCTGATGCTGATCTCCTCCAAGTCACGATGATGTCCTACTTGTTGAGATGTTGCCTTGGTTGCTGCAGTGAGACTTGTGTGAATCGAACTGTGGTTGTTGAATTGAAGGAAAGAGTTGTCGAATAGCAGACAAAGTCTGATGATAGGAAACCCGATTCCTCTTTTTTGTAAAATGGCTATTTTGGATGTTTTTATTGTATGTTGGGCAGAATGAATGGCTGTGATTGTTCCTTTCGGTGTAGTTGAATCTGCGAGTGCTCTATTTAAGTTTCTCTATCCACTTCTACCTTGACGACACTTTGTAAAATCTATCATTTTGAGCTGTGGTCAATTATCTTACTTAACAAGGCTCTAATCTAGAGCAGGTGGGGCTAGAGATTGGAGGTGGGGAGAGAGATTGGAGGCAGTGGTAGAACGTTATCAAGAATACGAAACAGTATTAACAGACTCACATAAAAGAACAGATGTGTTTTCACTCAGCAACAGCTTTGCAGTCAGCAAGCACTACAAGCGTCCTTTCTACAATATTTTTCAATTTCAACCGAGTTCATCATGAGTGTTCTTGTATTTCATCATCTACTTGGAAATCATAACACCGATTTTTACCGAATCTCAACATGGGATCTCTTGAACGCAAGAGTGCTTGAACTTCTTGAACACAAGAATCAGTATGGAAGCCCTCGTACTCGTCACTCAGAAGACCACATGCATCATTCAGTTATCGTAGCTTCTCATTGAGCTAATATTCTTATTTTTGAATAATTCATTGTACAACTTCGCTCGTTTTGGTAGTATACAACAAGGAATCATTGAAAAAGGTGGATTTTCACGGTGGACGGAACTCAGAATCAACATTGCTTTATCAATTTTTGAACCCAGTAGAAGTAGTACATCTGTCTAATATAACAAACATCGATAGCTCCCAGACTAGTCTTCATCCCGCCGCAGCCGCGTCGGCGCCAGGTCGCGTCCGTCTTCTGGCCCCACTGGACCTGCTTGGCGCGCCCTCACTTCGCCGACCCGGTCCATATGGCGAAGCCCTACGTCGCGCCATAAAACGACTCTCACGAGGTGGCACTTGCCGAACGACACTCAACGGAATTAGAAGAATGAAGACAATTATGAGCAGATACATCTTGAATGAAGAGTGTCCTCACATTCCCATAAGAGTATCCTCACATTCCCGTCCATCGTCAGCGTCTTTAGGCAACTCCTATTTCGCGGATTCTCTCCTTCGCAGTCGGTGCCTGCAATATACTGCGGTGACAGCAATGTTGGGGCAGCGCCACAGTACTTGTTGGTAGATTTTAGAGCTCACTAGGCTGTACGGTGACGTCCATATGAATCCGTTGATGTGTCACGCAAGAACTACGTGTGTCTGCGTAGTATTTGAGGTTAAGCTAGAAGTACCTTCTAACAAAAGAAGTTTTTGTTCGGTTCCCTTCAAATACTTATGAACGGGATCATGTAGATGAGTTCCATCATGCTAATGCCACTGATGTGAAGAACGTAAGGGTATATAAAGATCAAACAAGGTCTTAACAGCTGCTCGCGAATCGTGCCACAGGGCGCCCACATTCGCGCACTCACGTCGTACTCGCCCGCCTCGTTCGGGATGTCCACATAGCTGTAGCCGAAAGCATGAAGGGAAAGACTTGACGAGCACTCAAGAAACTCGTTTTTCAAGAATCAATAGATCATCATGTGAACCCTTTTCGGGAGCGAAAAAAATGTAGGGACTTTACTATTTTTACTGGATTGTCGAGGAAGATTTTTTGAAGAATTATAGTACTGGTACTTGCAGGTGTTCGCCGGACGAAGGGAAGACTACCGGGCTGCAGATTACAACTAGAAAAAATTTTTACGAACTACTCTCGATTACACGCTAGAGAAAAGCATCCCTTGCCATAAAGAAAGATGTGTCTTTCCCAGAAGTCTTTTTTGTAGACCTGCAACAACAATCGCGGAGGTACTGGCGTCTGCGGCTTATTCGGATCATGATGCTGTCGTCCAAAATGACATTCGAGACCTAGTTGGGATGGAAATTTTGGGAGAATAGGATTCATTTCTAAGGACGTCGACGTCCAAGGCTAAGTACGAAAACTACCGATAACACTACTAGAATCGAGATTTCGAGATGAGTAGCTGTGGCTGTGCTAAAAGAAGTAAACATTACCATGATTAAATATCGCCGCTGTTTCCGTCGACCCAACAGAGCTCCACAAGGTACAAGCTCGTTTTCCAGCGTGCTCTCCGTGGCCCAAAGCTTCTTCCGAACGGTACTTGAACTTAAACAAATTCGACTCCTGAAATTCGTACCTGGACGGAGAAAGGAGGAAGATATCAGTGGCTGTGAGGCATTGATTGTTGTGTAGAGAGAAGATTGCCTGTCGTAGGAGAGAAGAGGTAGGAGTTGAAGATGACAAATTCTTCAATGTCCTCGTCATAGGGCTAATCTGCACTACTAGCCTACTAGTTCTATTGCAGGTATAATTTTGAATCCGAGCATACATCAGAAAGTACATGACATAGTAGCTCTCCATCGATCTGGAAAATGCGCCTGTTGATCCCTTTTGGCAGCGGTTTTTAGAGGTATTCCACGCGTCATTCTGTAACTATTTCCACGTTCTCGCTAGTCTGGGGTTCTTTGCCAAAAATCCAAGGCAAAGACGAACGAAGAAGTCTACATTCACAGCCTTAATTTTCAAGAGACATCTCTCTTCCCACAGGTCCACATCTGGAGGCACAGAGGCTGCGTTTACTTCTCGTATGACATAATCTTCATTCGGATGCGCCTTTTTCGGTTCATAGGACAGTATTTCAGCGAATACCGAGAAAACTTCAGACTCATTATCCTCGATTTTGAACCCGTCGAAGCCGTGCCCAGCGAGGTTGCGGCGAAGGGATACTGCCTGTGGTGAATGAGGGAGGAAGTGAATCAAAGGGTATATTACTGTCCCAACTTCGTAACAGAACAAAACCGTCATGTAAGACAGATCAAATTGATGCTCCCGTACCGGGACTCTATGATGACCACGACGTGTAGTTATGAATCCATTCATTTTTCATGCAGGAAGAAACTGGAAAGTCATTCTGAAAAAGACTACTTTCAGATCCAACTCTCGTATTCTCGCTAGAGCTTTCTTCTTATCCTCGCTTGTCACGGGCTTTCCCGCTAATGAAAGCGTGAATTCGTACTTGGCTCCGCCTGGCAGACTGAACAGGATGGACCCATCCGGTGATGCTGGCTGTACTCCCGACTCTGGTTGTGGTTTCTTCCCCTTTTCCGAGCTAGATGCTCCTTCGCTGTCTGGAGGTAAAGATTGGATGAGGATTCGTTTTCTTGGGTAAGGAAAAGGCATTGTCTGCATTACCATTAAGAGAAGAGTCGCCAATTTGCAAGGAAGACAACAAACAAAATGCAATTCCAGCTAGAGTAGTACTTACATCAAAGGTATACCAATACCATGAATTCCAGGTTCCTGCTGCAGAAGTAATGATAACAGTCTGATTCACCATCATCAACAAAGGTTAGGTTAGGTGTTGGTCCACTAGATAAACCAGCAGACTTCAGTGGCTACTGAGGAGCCAAAAAGAATAACAAGCAGACGACCAAACAAGAATAGACTGAGGCAATTTAGACTTATAGAACGATACACAGTCTTGGCGTTATCTCCAATGCTCCACTTTCAAGGGCTGAGACACAGGCCAGCTCTACTTCGTATTTTTTCTCTCCCTCCTCCAGTGCTGCCATGATATGCATGCTTATAGGCTGCTGGTAACCCAATGCTGAACCAAGAATTTTCGGAAGCGAATCTTAGATGCAGATGACAGCAGGTCTTTCAAGAGTACTATAATCAAAATGAAGTAGGCTGTTCAGTCACAACAACTTCTCTTCAGTGATGTACTGCGAACGGAACGAAATGCCCGAGCTAATATTTCGCAATGAGTAGCACAGCAACGGTTACATACCACATCTTGAAAACCAACTACCACTAGATAGTACCCATAATTCTTGTTTTCTGGCATATTGCGGCTGTGTATTAGAGCTGCCACATTCGCATCCATAGAATCGTCCTAGTTGTGACGCCCTAGGTACGTAGTTTCTCAAGAGTAGACAAATTGATACTGGGAGTGTGCTGATTGATTCAGCCAATAAAGATGAAGTTTGTGAATGTTGGAATCTTTGAGAGTTTGAGTCTTCTAAATCTAAAGTTTGAATCTTCTGGGGTTTGAATCTTCTGGGGTTTGAATCTTCTAGAGTTTGAATCTTCTAGAGTTTGAATCTTCTAGAGTTTCAATCTTCTAGAGTTTGAATCTTCTAGACTTTGAATCTTCTAGAGTTTGAATCTTCTAGATTTTGAATCTTCTAGACTTTGAATCTTCTAGACTTTGAATCTTCTAGACTTTGAATCTTCTAGAGTTTAAATCTCCTAGAGTTTGAATCTCGTAAGATTTAAATCTTCTAGAGTTTGAATCTATGCTACCCCAAACTCTAAAGTTTCACAAATTTGTTTCAAATCTCAAAATTCAAGAACGATCAAACTTGAATCTAAGAAATTTCAGTTATATCAACTTTTATCCGAATTCATTTCCTGGCGACAACTGTTTACCCACAAAATCTGAAGTTTAAAACCCCTTCTTGGATCCAAGAAGTTTCAGTTTTATCAACTTTTATCAAATTCATTTCCTGACGACAACTGTTCCCCCACATAATTTCGAAAGTTTGAAGTTTCAAGATCCTTCGTAAATCCAAAAAAATTCAGTTTTATCAACTTTTATCCAAATTCATTTCCTGGCGAGAGCTTTTCCATCACAACTGAGTCAACTCGCGTTATGTATACGGAGCACCTGCTCACGCCCTACTATTTCATGAAAAACGAACAGGATACCGCATTCATTCCATGTAAACAGTCGTGATGAAAGGGCTTCCTCTTGAGGTGAACTATGACTTTTCATGTTTATTCTCAAGAAAGTAGTGTTCTGGTAGTAGTGCTATTCTTTCTGGTAGTGGTACAGTTATTCTGGTACTGTTAGTAGTATTCTGGTACTGCATAATCTATCGTCCCATTCATCTCAGCTCTTAATTTGAACAGCAAATCCAACAGTTTGTGCTCCTCCAAGATCTGGGTCCGGACGTTAGGAAAACCGTCAGCAGAGACCTTAGTGAATAGCTGAGGCCCAGTCTGCAGTTGTCCACTGGCGATTCCATCTTCTATTTTTCTCAAATTGTCAGCGGAAAGACACAAATTCTTTCGGTGATGGCTCACGTGATTCGCTGGGTAGTTTTCTCTCACTGCCTGCACCTCATGAGCACCAAAAACCTTCTCCTGCCAATTGAATTCGCGGTTCGTTAGAGATGGACATGGAGGACATTGGGGAGGCCTTAAGAACCTCGGACAAAAACGTGTTGGACCATGGTCTCCAATATTTCTATGTATTTGTAACACAGGGTAGAAGTTGGCTGTTGGTAAATACGAGTGCTTGACATCGCCGCTCAGCCTTAATTCCAACGAGACAGCACCGGCATTGATGTTCGGCGCCTCAGCTCCGAACAATGGCTGCAATGTCGTGCTCCCATCCAAGCTGTTTGTACCTCCAACCCTTAGAGCTGGTGTGCGTCAAGCCGACGAACAATGTTTATTGGTGGTATCTCTTTGCTGTACAACCTCCCTTAGTTGTACACAGAAGCAGAACTGCAGTGAAATCTATCATTATCCCAACTGTGTCTGAGCATTCTAAAAAAGCAAATATTTCATCCCTTCGTAATCCACCTCCAGCTTCGAGCTTCTTCAGGCGCGCCTATATTAGAGCGAGGAGAAATTCATCCTGTGCTGGAGCATCCTTGTGCCCGTTTTCCCTTAAGAAACAGCCCCAAGATACTGGCAAAGATGGATTTCTTGGAGCCGTAACTTCAGCTTCAGATTCTTCAGCCTGTCGTCTGTGTAGTGGACGCATGTTTCGGAGCCGCGTAGTGCAGTCAGAGTCTCCGCAAAGGGAGGGCTTTCTTCGAACAACGCCTGTTCGAGACGGGAAAAAGTCTGACCCATGATAATTTTCGGTTTTTGTTGTCCTCGGAGTAGTAGTACTAGTAATTGCCTAGTACACTAGGTATAGTTCCTTTAGTTGCTTCCTGAGGAAATAAACGTTTGTCTCTCTATCTCGTCGTTCGCCCGAATTGCCTCGCTGCTCGTCCTGAGCAGACGTTTCACGTCACTGGAATTTCTAGTCTAAGCCCAAAACGTCGTCGCCTCCTCACCAAGAGCACCCCTGACAAAGGTAAGCATCTGGTGCATCATCGTTGGCCATCACGTTTACACTGCACTGCAGCAGAAACGAAAGGCAGAAAGCCTTCGTTACGGCCATGCATGAAAGGTGCGCTTCTGTTACTGGATCATGTTGACAACTGTTTTCAATTTACATAAGCCCTCTCAAGAATACCACCGTGTCATAAGCAGTGTAAGTGTTATGGAAATACAGAAAGCTAATTTAGGTCCCTCTCTACACTCGCCCGCGTAATTCTGTCTCTCTCTCTCTCGTCACACAACGCGTATCTCTCGACCTCTCGCAGCTCTACTCTACTCTGAGTAGAGGGTATTCACAACGCCTTTACAATCGACCTGCGATCCTCTTGTGACAAGAGGATTCGACGATAAGACTGGGAGCTCCTTCACCGCCAAGAACGTCTCTCCGCATTTCAGCCTGCACAGAAGGGGGAAGAGGAGAGCACTCGATCAGCCGATCGAATATCGATCTCTCGACGGAATGAGCCTCCTCGCCCTTCGCGCGAAGCTGCTTAACTTTGGGTCGCGAAAGCATCCCACGTTGATCCCGGTACTAAAAAGCACTCTTCTATATGCCGTGGAGATCGGACTTCTACTAACCTTTTACTCTCGTAGCTTGATACTTCTTGCTCGATCGATTTCTATCCTCGCTGAGCTACAAAGATGTCACTTCGGAGTGAGGAAAAAGCAGCTCAGCAAATTGTAGATGTGAGCAGTCGGGTTTTTCTTCACATGGATCTCTACGGAAACACGTTCACCCTCAAAAAAGTTTGCACGTGCCTAGTTCGTCCCGCCTCAAGAGTCAACCTTTCAACCGGCTGATATATAAGTTTTCTTTATACAACGAAAATAGACTGACCCCTCAACAACCCCATATTTTCCTTGCCTTCCTTTAGGCCAGCCTAAAAGTAATTTCAATTTCTGATGAAGTAAAATCATGTTAGAATCAAACGGCTCCACGTTCCAACAAGACTAGCTTTTAAGGTTTTCTCGACTTAGTACCCAAAGAAATGCTTCTTTCACTTTGTACGAATAAAGGGAAGATTTACGCGTCACCACCTTCTTGACAGCCACCCTACTTAGTTCATCTGGTACAACATCAACTATCTTTATAGCTTCAAAAAACAAGTAGCAACTTCATGTGACTTCTCGGTGTCTCTTTCCACTCCCTTTCAGATTCACCAGTATGCCCTTGAGTTGTGCGCCTCGCCCTCTACTTAATTATGCGCTAACTTGTCACTTTTAGCCTAAAAAGAGGTTACTCTTCCAAGACCAGTGCAAGTATCAGGAGAAAGCAGAATATCGACTGTGTGCCAACGCGCTAGAAGGTTGATGCCTCTAGCAAGCGCTCAGTCTCCACTTCTGTGCGACACTCTTCACCAACAAGAGTAAACCGATGATTTAAGCTACGCTTAATAATTTTTTCTGAGGCTACTCTACGACATAATCATATGCATTGTAGTGCTAAAAGTGATCAGAAGATAGGGACAAGGTTCTTCATAATCGCTAAGCTTTTGACTCACGTTCTCTTAACTCTTCTACATTTCCAACCTTGTTTACGCCCCTTAAAATACGAGGGTAATATGCAACTACCTTTCCACATGATACCGCTACTATGTATTCACGGCGACGTCGGTGCATCCACGTACCTCAAGTACTCTTTCCCACTGGGCAAACTTTTGACTTCGAAATTCTTGAATTTCGCCTGTGCATCTTCGCTTGACAGTGCTGGCGTGACCACTAGTCTGTCCCCAGCTCGCCAATTGACAGGCGTTGCAAGTTTATGCTTTGCCGTCAGTTGCAAACTGTCAATGACGCGCAAGATCTCATCGAAGTTTCGACCAGTCGTTGCGGGATATGGGTATGAAAGTGGTAAGTAGAGGACATAGATTTGGATCAAGTATCTAATATCGACGGATTTGAATTTCATCATCATTATCAGTGTATTTTCCGATGACAATAAACTTCTGAGCAGAACATCATGATCATGATTATAATCGACCTCAACATAACAAGATTGACAGCTTCATGCGTTTATCTGGTCCGATAACGTAGAGGCAACGAGCTGGCAAAGGAAGACCTTCTGCGCTCTGCTCAGCTGGGTCCAACATGCCTAGTTTCGTCACAATAGCTCTATCCAAATCAGCGATAATAGGAAACGGCAAGGTTGAGCACGATGGTGACTGTTAGAGGGAGGTGTCAGTCTCGTTGAGAGATCAGTAAAACTAGAAGTAAGTGCCTAGGTGCTTTTTCGAGAAAAGTTGCAGTACTCATTGCAGTTGTAGTGCTGCATGCCATTGGATTTTTTCAGAACCTCCATAGTTTTAGCTACGACGCACCACACGCACGACAGTCACAGATTGATTCTAATATGATGGCTTCTCATAAAATTTCGTCCCCTCGTCCATCTTCAAGATGTCCTCTGTCCATTTCCCATGACTCTCTACTGTGTTGCAAGACAGTCCAATCATCTTTACTCCTCGTTTGTTAAATTCGTGCTCCAACCCTGCCGCACAAGACAGTTCAGTAGTGCAGACAGGTGTGAAATCATTGGGGTGCGTGAAGAGCACTGTCCAAGGCCGTTTTTCGTCACTGGTAAGGAACTCATGGAAGGTAAAATTACCTGTCGTGGTTTCACATGCAAAGTCAGGAAAGACTTCGCCCAACAGTACGGGACGTGGTGCAGGAGCAGACGAAGCCATTTTTGTTTACTCGAGTGATGTAAGAATGTACTTATGATCTAAAAATCACAGGCGCAGAGGGAGGAATGCTTCCTGATCTGATGCTTAAAAAGCTTGGCAGAGAGATCACAGTGAGTCGGGGTACGAGGTCAACAACGTATAAATAAATCCAGGTGCGGCAGCAAAGAAAGGGGGAGCGGAAAATTCTAAAATATCAGGTTGTTTCAATGTCTGAGTCTGTGTATTTGTGTTCATCTGCTCTTGCGCGGAGATCATTACTGTTCGAGCTACAGCCATGTGATCGTATTAATCCAGCTACACGTCAGCTTTCTATCTGGTCCTACAAGTTGGCTACTCGCTCTATCGCTCTGCGAACAAACAGAACACTATTCAGCTGGCGTGAGAGTCAACGTGCAAGAAAATGCTGCGATACATAGCGAACTGGAGCCATATCTTCTTACTGCTTTACAACATGAATAAAGAAAGCACATATTCATTCTTAACGTGTTCGTGTTGCGCAAACTTCAAAGGCAATCCTACAAGGGGAAAGCCTCTGCCTGTCCATTTCGCAGGAACAAAAAAAAATGACGTAATCTCCGTTGAGCTCCCACAATGATAGCCTGACATCAGAAAGAGGCAGGAGGCTTACATTTATTTATTAGAGTGTTGTATGTTGTGACTAAGATATCACTTCACTTTATGGAAGGAAAAAGTGCACTCACACTCAAGAAAGTAGCTCCTTTCCTACTTGAATCTTAGTCAATCTGTTGAGTGTGAGTGCACTTTTTCCTTTCATACACTTTCAGATAACGACGGACGAGCGTCTGTGAGCTACAACATCATATGGACGAGCTACAACATCATATGGACTCAATCATAGTACACCCTATCTATTGTATAGTTTCTCCTGTGCAATGGTCTAATGCTATTGACACAGACACACACCACTCAAAATGAACGAAAAGAACAACTACAACAACACCACACAAGTGTATCAATATTAACCAAGATGCTGGCGTATGGTAATGATGACATCTTCTGTACACTAGTTTTTTTGGTTTTTTTACGAACGCGTGAAAGAACAGAAAACTCCAACGACACTATGTCCAGATTCATGAATAGGTATCTAGACCTTTCCCTTTGTTGAGGTGGAGCTCAAATTTCTAGTAGAGAATGCTAAAGTTCTTGCATAGCCCAGCTCTGCTGGTTTCGTGTAGTAGGCCTATTAGATTTAGAGCGTAGAACTAAAATTAAAAGCTAGTTGCACTTTCAAACCATACTGTAGTACTCACAAGAGATCACAACAAAGTGATCGACTCCCACTAGTAGCTACTATGATTCGACATTCTCATCAACAAGGCGAATATTTGCATTGGGTCCATACAACAATCTACGGTTCATCGATCTTGAGGTCTTCAAAGCACTGTTTGATTTTGGGCAAAGCCCACGCGAGCCACTCCTCGTCGAGCAAAACAAGCTGGTGCGCTCGGAAGTGTGGTGGGTCGGACGGGAAGACTTGCTTGAACGTCGCACTGTTGATGGCATTCACAGGATAATTGCCGTACCGGATGTTAGAAGCAAGAGGGGAAGAGAAAGGTCAAGTTGTACTAGAAGTGGATGCGGAATGATCATGATTCGTACTCATGATCCTCATGTAGTTTGTACTCTTTGTACTACCTTGGAACTCGAATTTCGTTGGCGGACACGAGACACAGCTTCAACAAATTACAATCTCGTCGTTGTTGATAAAATGATACTCAGCACATCCATAAATTTGAATCCATCTGCAACGCCACCTGCGTTGAGCATTTCCCAACCTCGCATTGGTCGCTTCGCACAACATCCAGCGGGCCCATTGCGTCCGATCTCAAAGTCTGCCACTGGCGTGTTGCCGTAAGAGACCGGAGTGAAGATGCAACACAGCAAATTCGGAGCCGTGTTGTGGATGTAGACCTGTGCTGTTATTTTGACGTAGTTGGTGGTGAATTTTTTTTGCTGGTAGTACACCTTATCTGCCCTCTGAAAAAGAGGCTGGTGGACCAACATGACATCCAAGTTCATCTACCTACATTGCAGGAAGTGCTGATTGTAACCGTAGTTCAACTTAAACGACTTCTATGATAAACTTGTTGTAAGCCTAAAAATTGGTACGTTAGCCGATCGTTCCCACTTGGTAGTGATCATGTTTCGTTGATCTTCATCCATCCCATCTTCCTTCAGCTTTTCATCCAATCGCAGTCTTACCGCTTCGACTTTTTGATCCCAGGTTTTTGCTTCCCTGTGCTCCTTCATGGTTTGCTGTACTGGTGCCTTGTCCTTGATCACTACGGTATCCTCAAAGCCCATCCGGAAAAAGTCGTAAGCGCCTTCCAGCAGAGGCCCGTTCTGCATGAAACCAGGCATCATGTAGCCACTGATCTTATTGTTATACGATGGCGGCATCTTTTCCATCACGCCTGGTCGGTCGTGATTTCGCCCGTTGAAGATGCATTTCATACAGGGCCAGACTGCTGCCATGTTCGCGAGGACGCAGAGTTCTTGGTGGGTTAGAAGATGGGAAGGCGGGTGAGGTAGTTTCACTGGTCACGATATTTGTCGATAGAAGTACCCCATTTCGTTTTTACATCAGTACTTATTCAAGTGTTCCTAGTACTAGTTGTAGTATAATTCCAGTCAACATAACAACCCAAAGCACTGCCAGCAGCAGCCACAAACTTGGGGAAAGTAGCAGGGTTGAGAGGGACACATCAATGGACAATGCGGTAGTGGTTTATGGATGAAGTCGAGGCCCAGAACGAGGGCTGGACGATAACCAGCCATTCGCAGTTGGTGATACGTCTCGTTGAGGTAGAGACCTGCGCAAGGAGGTTTGTAACGTTTGTAGATGTCTTCCGAATTCTGTGTCATGTCGCGATAGATGCTACTAGCTGATACAACTAGCTGTAGTTTCACTCACAAGCTGTAGTTCTGTACTATTCAGGTTCACTCAACTTACTTTGATCTTACATTTCAGAAGAAGAACAGGAAGAACGTAAGGGAGCAGCAGAAATAAAAGTACCTCCAGCCGAATAACTGCAGAGCACCCACTTGCGGTCCTTTTTGTCGAGGCCCAGCTTCTCAATAATAGCTTTTGAATAGAGCGACCCAAGTTCGCCGACTGTCATCGTACGGGGATCATAGTCGATGTTTGTCATAAACGGATGCTCCACGGCCCATAGGTCACGTTCGAGGCCTGTCGTGGTTCATTTTTTCATCACAACACGGACTCCTCTAGACACTCGTCTCTTCACAGAAGGAAATACAGACAAAACTAAAATACCTAACCCTTTCCACAGCTTATGAAACGGGCGAGTGGCGCCGCCTGCTGGATGGATAAAGACCATAGGTGCTTGGACGTCGCCTTTAGTTCCTTTCTGGACCTGGAACATCACTCCTTCTGATTCTAGAGGTTTCCGCACGATCGGAAGCGTCTTCCCTGTAGCATCTGTGGGCACCACAGCGTGTGGAAACTTGCTCACAATCGCTCCCTGCTGGTTTTTCGACATTTTATTTATTTGATTTTAAGAGAGTGAAGATAGAGATGGAATTATTAGTAATCTAAATCGCGTTTGATTGCAATGTTAATACTGTACCTTTTGTTCTAGAGTTCTTTGAGTGCATTGTGACCCATGATGGAAATTCTAAGACGCTATGATATTGTGATGATTTATACTCGTTCTATATCTAGTACTTTAGTCGTGGCATAAAGCGACCTAGTGAACAATTTTTGCCTATCCACGAACGACACGACAAGAAGTAACATTGAGATTAACTGCTGCAGCAGCAGCTGCTACTGTCCATTTTTGTATCAAGTTGAATCTACGAAACGAGACGTCGACTACGAAACAAACTTATCGATGTTCGAAAAGAAACAATAATCACGAAGATACTTCTAGTAAGGAACAATTTAGCCGAAAACTAACGAACCTGAAATTCCTCTTCTCCTTCCTCTTCACGACTGTCGCGGATTGTCGTCGCAATCAGCTCTGCCCAGTCTTGCACCTGAGGGTTGCGCTGGTATTTGTCTACTTTAGACACCAGGTCGATCTTGTGCCCAATTCTCTTTTTCACCGTCCTCGCTACTTCGCCCAAACATCGCACAGCCAAGAGCGAATCCATACCCAGTGTGGTCAATGACCTGGTGCCGCCTCCAGGAGCTCGCAAAATGGTGCCAACAGGATCTTCGCCAAGAATCGTTGCGACTGCGTCAATGATGGCTGTGGTGAGGAGATCTGAGTCGATCTCACGAGATGCACTTTCGCCACGGGTACCGGCAGATCCGGCAGACGTGCCACGACTGCTCTCCCTGACTTCCTCATCTACTCTCCGCTGAATCACACTTGCTATGTCAACAGCAGCAAATGACCTTGCACGACCTGCAGCTCCTCCTGTTGATGAAGATGCGCCACCAGGTCCACCAGAGCCTTCTTGCCTCTTCGAACCACCGTCGTTGACGGAAGCGCCGTACGTGTTTACGTTTTCTGGATCGAAGACGGCGACTTTTTTCACCTGCTCATCCGTGAATGTGCCTTCCCACGAAGCCGAGTCTTGATCATCCTTAGAAATGGCGAGTAACTACTAAAAATAGGCGAGATACTGAACAAGGAGGAGTAGCCCTGTCAAAGCTACCTCCCTTATTTCAGTCAGTAACTCGGTTATTTTCAGTTTTCGAGGAAGTGTATCCTGAAAAAGGGATAGAGCACTCTATTGATGTTACGTGGATATGCAGGACCACTTCTAGTATGTATTTCTGTAGAAGTAAAATGTTATGAGTCAATTATCAAGCTAGTGATTTTTCAGTAACAAGTCGTAACTTCCTCTACCGGCATGAGCTCAACGCCTTGTAAAAACTTCCTTGCTGGCATGTTTTTACCTGAATCCCGGTACTCGATCTTTATGGTGCCACCCGAACCTGCTAATTCGCCTAGGTGCTGGAGCATCGCGTGCTCTACTCCGCGACCCAACACGCGACAGCTCATCACAAAATTGTCAACAACCAAAACCTTGTTCTTAGAATGCGCTGACGCTGAGGTTGTGTTGTAGAACATGATTCCTACTAAGCCGTAGTCTCCAAATCGGTCGGACACGCGCACCACACTGCAATCTAGGTCACTAGGCATTGTGAGATGCCGCTTGGTTGTGAAGTTAAACTGATTGCTCTTCTGCGTCAGTTGCAGAACGCGCGGCTCGTCTGCGGGTTGGCACTTGGAGACTGAGATTTTTAGCTCCAAAGAGCGAATAAAATCGGTAAAAGAGGTCGCAGCAACCTGAGTAGACTGACGCGCAAACTCCGTGCGATACTGCTCGGTCTTGCTCTCTGAGGCAGCAACATCGCGAAAACAGTCAAGGGGCCACAAATTCGCTGCGAAGGCTGCTGCCGTTTGGTTTTTGAATTAGAAGTTGGATTTGGAGGTGATGTTGTCCTCATCTATGGGTTTTTAGCTAAGAAAGATGCTGATTAAACTCTATGACCAAAATTACGGCTCAATAGAGTTCATCGCTATGGCTATCTAGTAAAAATTACCAATGTGACATAACTCTTCACCTTCCCCTCTCCCACCACCTCCGCTCTAAAAGCTGGTACATTTATGGCCAACACGCTAGGCGCATTTGCCTGTACTTCAGCGATTTCGACCGGATTGTCGTCTAAAAAAACCCAACTATAGTCCAACGTCAAGTTAAGTTCCGTTGCTGCTGCTTGCATATTTCCGCTCTTCGGTTCCCAATTGACCTTGTGCAACACGAAATCGGAAAAGGATGATTAGAACTTGCGCGCGCCCTAATCCATCTTGAAGATTCATCCTGGAGACCTCCTTCCCCCTTGAAAATCCTCTCCAGAACGATGCGTTGAACCAAAGAAGACCAAGATCTTTAATATATCTCTCTAAACAAAAAAACAGATCTTTAGAGCCAACGCACTAGTCTTTCTGCTAGTGCGCTGCCCTGTAGGTGACAGTATGAATGTTTGACGAGAAGATGTTGTACGAAGATTACAAGAAGTGTTCTTAAGATAATGGCCATTCCGGATGCGCATCGAAGGCTGCTTTTACATCCACTTCTGTGTTCTTAGACGCTGTTATCAACAGCAGATCCCCGTCTTCTTTGCGCCTCTTCAACCGGCCCATCAGAGCGAGATTGCCTTCGACTTCTTTGGGCGCTGATTCTGAGTCTCCGACTTGTCCTGCCCAGAGAGTGTTGTCGCAATCGCACACAACGACTTTCGTTGGAGGACGTGCGACGTACGATAAGGCTCGTGCGGTGACATAGGCGAGGAGGTCGTACCTTGTGAAGGAGAATGAAGAACTATTTAAGTCATCGCTTTCTTCACCTTGGTTGATCGGTGCAGAAAAATTCAAATCAGTTTGTGGAAAAAATCTCATTAGCAGGTACTCGCATACAAGTATATCCAGTTTCTCACAGCTAGAAAAGCTACTTACCCTTTCTTCGTATATGGCATCGCTCCCAATTTTTCGCTCACCGGATCGAAATAATCATCAGCATTTCCACCCGACAACATTGGTGATGACTCTGTTTCGATCAATAAAGACACCAGTATGATTTTACTGCAACCGCGTATCCCCTCGCGCAACGCAGTTGCCCACTCTCCGGTTTTCGCAGCTGCATCTGAACTAGGCTCTTCAGGACACAGGAGCAATGTCAATGGGGCTTTGGCAGTTGATGCGGCATGGTAGGTCTGGCACGCAGCTGCCAATTCACTACCAGGATTACTCCCACCTACTTGTTTTTCTGCCACTGCCTTCAAATCCCCTAACCGCACCAAAGCGACATTCAAGGCCCCAGGCGCAGTGTTGTAAAAGAGAGATGACGCATCTAACAAACTTTGATAGACTTGGCTGAATTGAGCCAAACCCGCGTCGAGCTCAACATTCCCCCATTTTTCCCCAACCAACTTGGGAATCTCATCAATGGTGAACGTGCTCGCAAAATTGACCACCGCCATCTTCACGTTGTTATACTTTGAAGAACTTTACGAGTAATGAAAATGATTGCGGTGAAAATAGTAAAATGATTGTGGTAGTGTGCTTTCATAAATGGATTTACAAAAATTAGAAGAGTAAGGGAAAACGAGAACCTCTCACCGTCAGCCGAACAGGCCACAAGAAGCCAAAAGCGTTATTATCGAGGCATTGTATTGTTCATAGACAGAGCAGAAACTTCGATCATTGGCGGAGAAGGCTCTACTTATGTCGATCATGTACTAGTGCTTACTGATTTATCTTCATCGTGGTTAGATACTTATTGACCTCTCTTTAGACATGAAAGCATGGTCTTTTTCATGGACTGAAACAATGAGAAAACATAACTAGCCGCAAACGTCGTGCAGCTACAATCTAGTGCATGACGAGGATAATCATGCAACAAATCATGTCAATTGATGAAACTAAGGAGCATTGAAAATAACTATGTCTAAGTGGACAAATAGTACAAATTAAGCGGGAAAATGACTTGGGTAGGACAAGGGGTCACTCTTCCATGTGCAGCTATAAAGAATGCACCGAAAAGTATATATAATTATAAGGTTGTAACCCAGATGTAGATGATTGATAAAGAATGCACCGAAAAGGCTGAAGTTTGAGATGGGGGTGGAAGCAATACGTACGCGTAGACTGATAAGGATGTGCTCGTCCTAGTAGTTAGTCTTGCTGTCTATGCGGATGTACCGATGGCTATGGAGAACAGAATCTCTATCTCTCAGTGATGCGGGAACACGCAGTTGTGCTTGACTTGGCTAGCAACACGCTGGTACTGTGAAATACCGTACGTAGTACCAACTTAGCTGCTTGCGGAACGAAGTGAAAAAGAATGGGGTCTGGTTGTAGAAAATTCCTTGTCTTGGTCTTGGAGGTCGCCTGCGCTGTCGTCAAGGGAACAAGAATAGCAGCGGGAACCCACTCTGATGTTGTCAAATAAGAAGGTATAGAGATAAGAAGGTATTTAAGAAAGAATGCGATCATGAAACTCAGGGATATGGCTTTCAACAAGAGTGAGAAGCAAGAAAAGGAATTGTGCCAACATCTGAATAATCCACGATAATCTCGAGAGCCTGCGCATTCAAGAAACGATCTTTCTAACAAAAAACAAAAGATGTTTTGTATCTTGTGAGAACCCAACGCTCTGTTTCTTCTGCTGCAGCACTGCGTGAGGACATTTTTATGTGTGTGTTCATTCCCTTGAGCCAAAATGAAAACATTTTCAGTCTTCGTCATCGCTGTCACGTCCCGCCATAGTGCCTCCTCCACCTGGCACCACCCATAATCCACCATCGACACAGCGTTTTAAGTGTCGTTGAGCTTCGTCGGAAGGCAGAGAGAGAAAAGCTTTTTCCAGCTTTTCCATATCCTTAGCCAGAAAAGCGTCCTGTAAGCACGTTGGCAGCGTATCAAAAACCTCCTGTGCATCTAACCCTCCAGGTCCGATCTGCTTGCCTACTCCTGAGGATGTGCCTGTTGCTGTAGCAGTATTGGTCGGTTGTTCGTCGTCGCTCTCATCAGGGCCTATGGCGCGATCTAGTTGTCGAGGTTTTTGTTGTTCAGAGGTGGTAGTACTAGAAGTTGCGTTCTTTTCTTTGGTGGCTTCATCATCCTCTCGTCCCTCTTCATCGTCTAACTCCTCAAGTTTCTCCAAGGCTCTTTTTTGTATTTTCTCCACAAACACATCTACTTGCTGCTCAAAAGACTCTAGCAACTCAGTGTGGTCCTTGCCGTCAGGGTGGTCGTGGGTCATAGTCAGACGGTCGAACATATCGGTGATGGCTTTTTTGTTCGCGACTAAGTCCTCCACTTTCTGAGCATTCGGATCGCCAGTGCGCAACATCTTGCTCAACGTCAACGCCTGCTGAATTAGCTGGGTCTGTCGTGCCATTTTCACTACACTGTCGGACAGTTCTTGGATTTCTTTTGAGGACGATGATGCTGGAGTTGATGATGATGCTGGAGTTGTAGTTTGGTCGCCTGGAGTTGTTGTACTAGTAGTAGAGGTTGTTTCCACCTTGTCCTTCCTCACTAGTTTTATCCTGTCCATCTCTAATTCCAGACATCGAAACATGCAGAACGTTTCAGCATTGGATGTCAGCAAAACTTCAGGTTTCTCCAATAGCAAAGCCGTTGAGCGTTTGATTGCGTCCTTCTTGGCTAATTTAGTCGCGCCGATCTCGCAGTACTGCATGAGGATGTCGCTGTTTTCGGTAGCATATTTTGTGAAAACTTCCGTATCCACATTGTCGTCCACGACAGGACCAGTGTTGGTGCCGGATGCAGAGACAAAGGATTTGGAATAGACCTGGGCGATTGTGGGATTGTGGGATAAAGACGTGAAATATAATTCTAGTTCCCTTTAGGTAAATATTCTTGATGATGAAAGGGTTTCCTCTACATAAGTACTTATAACTCGAACTGCCATATACATATTCTCTGCCATTATATTCTCCTAGCCGTAGTCGGACTTAATAAATACCTCAGAGCTAATCTTGTCTGCATTCAGCCGCCGACTCGCCGTTTTTTCCAGTTTTGCCAATTTCGCTTTGTCTTCTTCTAGCTGCCTTTGCAATTGTTGACCTTTGAGATGCGTTCTGCCTACTGCACCGAGCTGTCGGAGCTCGGTCTCTGCACGGTCGACTTTTTTTCGTAGCTCCTTGATCTGATCTTCCTCTTCGATGTCTCGTTGCGCACGCTTCGACTTCGTGTACTTTTTCTGTATGGAAGTTACGGGTCTCGGAAGATGATGAAGGTCTCGGAAGAAAAAGAAAAACTAGAGAGAAAATCATTCATCATAGTCCGTCATCATAGATCTTTATGTGCTTGAAGTCCTTATCTTCACCGTTCACAAACACAAAAATGATGAAATCAATACCATCGAGTCCTTATCGATCATCGGCGGGAGGTCTTCGCAGTCGTCGTCGGAGCACTCGATGTGGTCCCATTTTGAATATTCCGTAAGCCGTGACATTTTGTAGGAGTAAGTAGGTCTTGGACAAGTAATAATGGAAGTAAGTAAGTAGATTGACTGGTTTCTGTACTAGCATTAAGATGGATCAAAAATGAGTGTGATTATGAATACTTCCACAGAGAAAATTAGTAACTGGGCATTGGTACTGCTAATTTTACACCTTGCTTTGTTTTCCCCAAGATACACCAGCTTTTTGCTACTGCCAAAAAAAATCTCAACAGTCTATCAATTCTCACCGCTGCCACCTCAAGTACGCTTCCCTCCTGATTTCAGAAATGAATATAATGTCATCTTCAAAAAACAATGTTCATACTTTTCCTGATTCAGTGAACAAGACAAACAAATTTGCAGATCTTGCAACTTTTCACCTTGCTACTCAATTTAGAAGCATCTCCTATCCCAACGGTAAAGCATTATTTTTGCGGATAAGTTGATGATCTTTGTTGTTTGTTCTTATTTCTACTTTATTCTTTCAACAAGGCAGTCATGTTCATGCGTTGTGCAAGCAGAAACAGAAAGCGTAAGGAATGCGGGGACAAACAATGAGTTTGGACAATTCGGAGAGTTACGTAAACAGCATTTCCATTTTTGTGAAGGTATAAGGGTCAAATCGGTTGTCGCTTCTAAATTGTTGTTCCTTTCAGTCTTCCTCATCTTCTTGGTCATCCTCTGTCAAGCGAATCAAGTCGTACACTGCTTCCTGCACTGCAGCTGTCGTTTTGCTTCTTTCAGATGCACCAGCAGACCGATCTTCTTCTAGATTCTCCACAAAGAGCGTTTCGATTTCTCTCTTCAACGCCCTGATCAGGACCACCGTTTCCACATCGCTACATCCAAACTCGCACCGGCCATCAGCGAGGAAGACTTTGTTGCCGAGTTTGGAGGAGCCGATGGATTCCTTTTCATTTTTAGAGATGAAAGCTGTAATTATAGGCTCGTAGTACTACTACATGTTCGGTGAAGAACTAACGACCAAGGATTGATCTCCCTAGTTTAGGTACGGGCTGACGCTGACGCGTTTATTCAATACAACTAGACCATGTAATTACGTCATAAAATGTAAATGATCATGTTCATGTAGTGAGCAGTATTATTTCCCATAATATTTTTCTTCTGCACTCCAGACATTCGCTGCTCCGTCTGCACTCCAGTAGCTAAGCGGAAGGCGCTCTCTGGCGCGAACAAGAGCAACACCAAAGAATTCACCGCCGTCGTGTCAAACAAGTAGAGTGCGCTAGTGTGCATCATCTTGTAGTACAACAGCCAGCTGTGATTTGCTTGCATCTCCTTCAGAATCTTGTAGTTGAAAGAACTTGGATGCACCCAGCAACTGCCGGCATAGAGGTTTATCGAGTCTTTTCCCTTGCCTTTTCCGGTATCCTTGGTACTATCACAAGACTTTCCCTTACTCCCAGCACTCATGTTGGGCTGTTGGTTAAATGGCACCATATCTCCAGTCAAATCCAACGGCACAATGTTGACCTTCGCTTGTTTGCCCTTTCCCTTTCCCTTTTTCCACGTGTCTCTTTGAATCTGTGCTACTTGCGGAAAGAACGCTGCTGTCAATGCACAGAGGGTCATGGTGTTTTTGAATTTGTGATTGTCAGCAACGCAGGGGGAGCTTGAGAGTCCTCGAAAGCATTTTTTCAGATGATTTCTGAGCTGCTCACGTAAGCTCTGAATTTGCTCCATTGTGCTGTTGGCGAGGAGGTATTCAGAACAAAACTGCCTTTGTTAAAGCTACATCAACGCTCCCATCCCCGAGAGCATTCCTGGCTTCTTTTTCAAGTAGAAAAAGCGCCAGGAGTGATGCGGAGGATGCTTAAGCGGTAGCCGTAACTTTGAGCTGGATTGTATTTGTACGGCTGATAATAACTTGTTCCACCCTGTTCCCAATATTCACCGGTTTCCCCAAGTGCAGCCCATGCATCGTAACACGCACACAAAGCTAGATGATCACTATGTTCTCCAGTGGCCGCTTCCCCAAAGTGCTCGGCTCTCGCGGCCTTTATCGCATTGCCCTGTTGTTCGCCACCGGCCAAAGTAGGTTTCAGGAACGGCGACTTCCCTAGACTGAGCGCAGCGCCGATTGTAAGGCAGGACTCTGTTGCGCCTAGGACATGGCCTGTGAGCAGTAGTTTTCCGAGTTGCGGCTCAAGGGGTAATCGACCCAGGGCAAAGCCAAGTGGCGTCAGGAAAATATACGAAACACTGGAAGCATTCGTGGATGCGTTTTTTGGTGTCGATGCCTTACCACTGGTGGAAGTTGCAGCTGTAGTAGACAAAACCTGTTCCTGGCTTCGATGTACAATGAGTGCTCCTAGCTCAATCAATTGTTGCTGTGCGGCATAAATCGCTGCTAGATCGGGCGGCTGGGGCGCACATCGCAAAAAGTCTGGTATATCGGCAATTTTCAGCAGTTCGAAGGACTCTGAAAGTGAAGCAGCTCCTTTACGATTCTTCATACTACCAGAATTGCCAGAAGATGACGAAGAAGAGGGCAACTGCAGGGCCAGAAACAACACCAACTCCTCCAACGCGGTTCTCTGCATTTCTGGCGTGCTGTGAGAGGGCAGTTGTTCCTCATAGAATGAGCGGTCGTAGAGGCGCCAGCAACGACCTGCACAAACACGGCCAGCGCGTCCTTGGCGTTGCTTCGCCATAGCGTGGGAAACAAAAACAGTGGTGAGAGAACGCATTTTGCGTTCAAAACAGTACCGGGATTCATTCAATAGACCAGAATCGATCACGTCGGTGATGTCAGGAACGGTAATGCTCGTTTCCGCGATGTTGGTAGCCACGATTACGCGGATCTTTGGAGCATGGAGCTGCATATGATCGGTGATGTCTCCAACTCCGCCAGACCTCCACTTCTGCTTTTCGAAAATCCGCCTCTGCGCTGTTGATGGCAGTTGTCCATGTAAGGGGAAGACGTCTAGACCGAGGTGCCCAAACCTGCTTTGTTCCGACAGGTATTCGATCACACAATCAATTTCCTTTGCCCCGGGAAGAAAAATCAAGATGCCTGGATGCTTGTTTTCGTGACTGCTACCAAGAACGGTTGCTTCTTTACTAGTACCACTCTTCTTCTTTTTTCCGGCACTATTTCGCAGATAAGACATGACGATGCAATTGACGATCTTGCCTATTTGCTCAACGCCATTCCCCTTCGACCAGTCAGTTTCCATCACTGGAGACATGACCGCTGATGTGGATTTCTTTCTGGCACTGCTGGCAGAGGAACTACTAGATGATGTGCCAGCTGTCGTTGTAGTTGTCAAGGTACTAGGACTACGGTTCGCTGGAGCAAATTCCGGTGCTGTACTAGACAACCTTGACTTCAGAGTCGTAGAGGAATCTTCTAAAAGATGTCTCGCAAGCTTACGATCTCCCGACCTAGTCTTTGTGTTTTTGTCCTCACCTTCTACTATAAGAATCTTAGAATCTTCGCCTTCGATCAAATCTAAGTCGGCTTCTCTCAGAGCGACCTTGACTTGGTCAGGCCACAATGTCTGGACTGGGAAAGTCCGACCTTCTATAGAGACGACTGGCACGTCAACGTTCTTTTCTTGTTCCCCTTGCGCATCTTCTCTACTTCTAGAAGAACTACTATTTCTGCTAGGAACAAAAATGTTGTCCTTTATTTTTGAAGAAGTTCTTGACGCACTAGTTGTACCTGTTCTATAACCCGAGATAGAAGACTTAAAGTAGTTGACAAACAACTGGCTATCTACTGTCGCGCTCATGAGCACCACCTTCAACCTCGGATACTGCGTGAGCACTCGATTCTTCAATAGAGTTAGCAAGAAGTCGATGTGGAGGCTTCTTTCGTGCACTTCATCTAGAAGAAGATGAGTGACTCTACTGAGGCCAGCTGGTGGACCACCTCCTGCTTCGCCCTGCGTACTACTGTCTGCGTTTGAAGATGTTCCTTGTCCTTGTTCATGCAAGAACATATTGAGCAAAACGCCTGTAGTGCAGAATAGAATGCGTGTCTTCTTCCGATTCCACTTGACGTCGCCACGGACTGCGTAACCGACATATTCCCCACAATGTTCGCCTCGTTCTGACGCAACCCGCTCAGCCACGCCAATGGCAGCAATGCGACGTGGCTGGCAGCATACTATGAAAGTTTCACCCGCTTTTCTATAACAGGCTTCTTGATGAACATGGTGAAGAGCTTCATCTTGCTGAGTGACACTGACAGTACTACAGGCATCTTCGAGTATAAACTGCGGCGTTTGTGTCGTTTTTCCGGACCCTGTGGCGCCAACGACCAAAGATACTTGATTCCCCCTGACTGCGTCGAGAATCTCCTTTCGTTTGGCATGAGCAGGCAAGACTTCCACGCGGGCTGGCTGCAGAGGGGTTGAGTATCCTTGTAATTCTTGGCTTGAAGGATCTTGATCTTCTTCTGGGATCACTAAACTAGAAGAACCGCGACGCCACGCATCTAACTGCCTCTGTCGTTTGAATAAGGCTCTGCCAAGACGCTCTGACGCAGCAGTAGTGGTAGATGACTCAGACCTGTATGAATAAGCATCATTTTCGTCTGGGTCATCTTGACCTACAACTTCTGACACCACGCCAGCAGCTTCTCCTTGCTCCCCATTCTGCGCCAAGGAGAATTCTTTTCCTCGTAATTGCCGATCGCGCTTTATCAAAAACTCTAGCTCTGTGAAAAGTGCAGCATCTTCCTCATCAGATGATGAATTATCATCGTCGTCAGCAGCCTTCGTGGTGTCGCTTCTAGGTGCTGTTCCAATTGCTCCGTCTTTTTTACTTGAGGAAGTAGAGGATGTCTCTTTCTCTTTCGGCAGCTTCTTACCAGAAGTGCCACAGCTGCTCTTTTGGTCAGCATCTGCTTCGTCAGCATCTGCTCTTTTGATCGGCTTACCGCTTTTGCTTTTATCATTCGCCTGCTCCTTACTGTCAGACTTGAAAAATTCGATTGAGGTATCATCCGGCACCGTCAGCAACTCGTCATCGGTGAGTAAAGCTGAGGCTCCACCAGGCAAAAGTGCGCGACCCAACTTCAACCCCTTTGCAGACAACTTTGCTCGTGCCAACTCCAACAAAGCAGTCGCTCCGTCGGCTCGCTGGTAAACGATGGATTTTGAACTCGCACTTGATTTCTCCCCATTAACTAATTTGAGCCTGACAGTAGGCTTGACGTTCAGAGTCGCGAACAATTAGAGGTTACGCAATTACATTCCTGAGAACATCCCTGACTCATTTCCTACCGGAAAAAGAGTCAGGGATGTTAGTGAAGGATGTAATGTGGGAACCCTTAGAACAAAGTATTTTTTTCAAGTCGCTTTGGTTCCGCAGAAACGTCTGGCTCACGACTTCGGGGACCACCTCCACCATATAGAATATCAGCAGATGAAGACGACGCTCCACCCCCACTAGGTTTTATTAGACCACTAGCACTATCCTCGACCACAGCAACAGCCTCAACAGTCCGTTTCTTCGCCACGTCCATAGCCCATCTTTCTGCTTCCATATGTAACAACCTCAACAACCGTCGTGCCCTTCTTTCAGAATCTTTTGCTCGTGCCTTTTTCTCCTTCTTTGTCAACTTTCCTTTTCCTTCGTCGTCTCGATCTCGTTCTCCATCATCTTCTTTAGGAGTTGGAACTCTTTTTTCACCTTTTTTCTCACCAGTCGGCACATATTCTCCGCGAGCGCTTCTGCGAGCAGCAACAAGGTATAAAACCCGGTCTTGCGCTGCACGATCTAAGCGCACACGAGATTTGCGGATCTTCATCTTATGCTTTTATGTAGAATGGCAATGGATAAGGATATGGAGTAATCATTTAATCCAGCACCAAAAGCAGCAATCAGCCAAAAACCTTCACGAAACCAGAAGATATTGCGCGGTCATAAAAAAGTCTTATAAGGTGGAAGGGAATTGTGTTGTACTGCTAAAAAGGCGAAACATATTTTTACGTCAAACACAAACAAGGGCTACCGGTACAAAAGATCTCATCTTAATCCATCATCGATCCTGCTACGCAATAGATACCAACACACATCGTGCTTCTTATATATATTGAATTCAAAAAAGAACCGATCAACGGCCATCTCTATATCAGGATCATTCGGGGAGGGAAATTTTCTGGGACACAGGAGTGAACTGAAGACCGAAGTTGCAGACCGTATCCGTACTTTAAGGACTCATGCTACCATTTCTTTGCTAAGCTGTGATCGCTCTACAAGCATTTCTATCTTGCTACACTGAAGATCGGCACTACCTTAGATGGGAGCGATCTATCATCATGCTCATATTGGAAGGAACACATTCCATACCTCCGCTCGAACCTTGTCGACTTCATCTTGTAAAAGCCTGAAGGTGTAATCTCAAACGGATTATCGATCCGCCACAAGCAAAGCGAGCAGAAAGAAGGAGAACCAACTTCTACTTTCCTCTTCTTGGGATATTGAAAAACTACCTTTCAGAAGAACTGCTTGATTCGTGTGAGAAGGAAAATTTGGGTCTGTGATTGTCGTTAGATTTGTTTGTCTCTTCCGAGTCTAGAGTCTTAGACCTGAGGCTATCGATGTTTACTCCGAAAACTTGCGGATGTTGAGGAGGAAGACCCCCCAGCCTGTGTCCCAGCCATCGCCATCGCCTTCAACTCCCGCATCGTATCCCTCTGCTTTTTCACTTTACTTCTCGTTTCTTGATCGAGATCGGCTAGTAGCAGATGAAACATCAGAATCCCTAGCAGCGTGGAAACCAATGCTAAAGCCGTGATACCGAATAAGAAGCTGTAGACCCAAAACCTTGGATTTTGGTGGGAAGTAAGAGGATGAAGCTAACTAGGGGAATCAAAGCAGAACTTGGTCGGCCATTCTCATGCTTGGGAGCCCTTGGGTAGCCAATTATTGCACGGTTTGCTAAAATTTATACACCCGAAAGAGCCCACAAGCCTGCGAAAAGAGCTAAGAAGCAAGCGCAGTCGCTGAGTGAATGGTGTGTCCGCGGGGTTTGCCTGGACGGATTTCGCTGCACCCATCCATCGATCCACGACGGCAGACCAGGTGGGTGGCAGGTCACCCGCCACCCCTTCAAGCTCGGCAGCGCGCTACCTACACCTCGACGAATGAAGCAAAAGAGAGAAAACGAAGCAAGGCGTGCGAAAAGCGCCAGGGCGGGCCCAACGTTTGGCGCAGAGAATCTCTGAAAGCGCCCCGGATCGCGTTCGCGACGCGTGTGCTGTGGTGTCCTGCCCCCTGGCGTTTGGGGCCATATGGATAGAACCCCTAGAGCTAGAAACCCTTTTTGTCGCAAGATTGATAAAACCCCTCTGATGTCCTTGACGCGCGGAGAATCCCAGAGCCGGCAACCCGCGGGTCCCCACGAATAGCAGACAAAGGAGAATACAAAACAACCACGACAAGAAGCGCCGCACCCTTTCCATATCTATGGGCTTGGGGCCTCTGTGTCTGTTCACACGCGGCGCAGAAATCGAGCGCCTCCTGGGTGGGCGAAATGCCACGAATAGCGCACCGCAGAGCATATGCCCATCGGCAAGGGCTTCGCTTTTCCGCGTTGCTTTGCCCTTTCCCTTCACGGCTTCCCTGGATGCTTTCGCGCAAAGTCTCAGACTGTCGACCATGAACGACATACGCACACTCGGCGCGCTGTTAGCTAAGCGCGCCAAACTAGACTACCCCCAAAAGCATGACAGTCGCCAGGCTAGCGGGCGCCTCTCCGCGAAAGCGCCACCGCTCCACAGTAGATAATCACCTCAGAAACAAGCCGCAAGGCTGGCAGTGAGCTCGAGGCGGCTGATGTCTGGCAAGTCGCTAGCATCGTCCAAGAGGTTGGCGAAGCGGTCGAAATCAATGACGACACTGCGCAAGGGCTGAGAGGATGCGGCGCCAAGAAGGCCGAACACCGTATCGCCGGGTTTGCGCGAGCGGGTCCCCTCGTTTTACGCCCAAAAGCTCCACCCCACGATACGCGCCAAGATACTCCGAGCACCCCAGAGCCCACGCCCAGCCGGTAAAATTTGCCCACGACGCGCCCGAGCCGGCGCGAGAATCGGGCCCAAATCGTTCCCCAACTCCACAGCCCGCACACGTCCACGCTGGTGCAGCGTTCACCCTCATCATCATACTGGTTCTCGTGTTTTGTTTGCAGGGTGGTACCCTTGAGCTTGAGGCGTTCGCCTTCATCTTGGTACTTCAGAAACTTGGAGAGTACATAGACAAAGAAACGTGGAACAACACGCCACAAATTCCCAGCGGGGTCTTCTGCTTTTCGTTATCTTCTTTCGCACTTGCTTCATAAATATTATTCGAATGCCGCAGGTTCATAATACACGACCTCTCTCTTTCTGGGTCTTCGGTTCGCACTGGCAGCCCGACTTCTCAGCCGGTTCAAAATCGACTTTCTTCCGCAGCAAACCAAGCCCCCCGAGGCTCTTACTCTGGCGCGAAAGAGACTTAGGGAGAACCAGGCGAAAGCGGTCTTCGTTGGTTGCTTTTCTTTGGACGAGTAAAGTAATGCTTCGCGGCGCGACTTCTTTTATTGACGTCGTCAGTCTAGATATCCCCAAAATCCAGACCGTCCTGATCTTCCGCAGGAGTGCTTTCTTCTTCTGCTGCTTCTTCTTCCTCCTCCTCTTGCTGTTGCTGCTGCGCGGCTGGTGGGTGTGCGGCTGGCGCTGGCGGCTGTGGCGGTCGTGGCCCTTTTCCTTTGCCCACCGGTTTCCCGTCCTTTCCTTTGCCTGCCGTGCCTGGCACTTTCTTTCGGCTTTGTAGTTCACCCCTCAGGGTATCAAAAGTGCCCCAAGCCGATACTGTGCCAGCCTTTCAAATAAGCCAGCCCCCAGAAAAACCCGAAGCACAGCCGGCGCATGCGTTCCAATTCAGCGAATCTTCTCTGGCGTCTTAGCGGCTTTATTACCGGAGCCCGGCGTTTGTTTCGTCAAAAGCGCGCGAGTGTGTTCCACGACCTCCAAGAGCGCAGCATTCTGCTTGGTGGCTCAACTTCCTGCCGGTCCGAGCCCTCTACCGAGCGAATCCAGAACCGTGGCGGACGAAGCTCAAGCCCCTCCCGCGCTGTCCGACCGCCTTAGCCCTCTAGCCCCCGGCCCCTCCGGCGATGCCAAAGCTACAGGCGTCAAAACGGTGCGCCACAGTTGCCCTCGGCAGCCTTCTTCCTGCACGCGCCCAATTACGAGCGACGCCGCAGCCACCTGCCACGCAAGACCGTCGCCACCCTGTCCAGTGCGTGCGCTTTCCCACTCCCAGCCCAATCGCTGCGCAGATTGATATGCCGCGCAGGTGCTAAGCCGCGGGCACCCGTGTGGCGCCGAAATGCGACACCACCACAACGCAGCGCCGGCCTGCCGACCCGACAAACTTCACAGCCCAACCCAGCGCATGCGCGTGCCAATTCTTGAAAGCAAAGAGACCCGCACTCAGACAGACCGCCTTAGCCCCGTAGACGTTACAGCCCCCAGGCCCGTCAAGCTAGGGGCGCACCAATCCCAGAGAAAAAAAAAGCGGGAAGAGCACGCTAACCCCTTCCCCAAGAGCTCGATCGAACCCAATAGGCGCCTCTTGCCACAGCTCGCCGAGCTCGGCACGGAGTCGACCCGCATCAGACTCCCCGGCCCGCTTTCTCGTTCTTTCAGAAACGGCAAGCACCTCGGCGACCTGCTTGCGCTCCAGCTTCAGCAGAAAAGCCGATGGCACCCAGCCCGCCCACCAGCTCCACGGACGACGCTGTAGCAGCAGCAACGCGCAAGACCTGGCGACCTAGCACGCGGCAACCCGAAGGGAACAGGCCCGACGGTCCCACATTCGAACTACACAAAAGACCGCCCGGCCATCTATTGCGGCCCCGGTTCTCTATATCCTTCAGTAGTGGACCGCTAGCGCCTAGGCCATTCATCAGCGAGCGCGCCGTCCGTTCTGGTACCACTCTGGCACCTGCCCCGACAGCTTCAAAAGCAGCCGCAGGCAGAAGGTTCATGGCTTTGCTCGATAAAATCCATCGCGCCACGCACATGAGAAAACAGCACTGCGTTCCTGCTGGATTCCAGTTGCAAAAGAGGGCCAGCAGCCTTCTAGAGTCATAAATGCCAACCATCTACCATAAAAAAATGTCAACAGTCTATCTTCATCAAGAGAAATCGTCTAGCATAAATACCAATAACCCTGCACCAGCCACGTAAGAACTGCTGTGACTCCGCCAAGTATGCCCAAATATTTGGGCGGCCAGCCTTGCAGCAACGGCCCAAACACATCCATTCCTACTGCAAATACGTAAAATAAATCGGTGAGCAGTTCCGAAAGAAGCATCACGAAAAGATACCTGATATGATTTCTTTGTAATTCGGGGATTATTATGCTTTCATGACAGGTATGATGTGCGAAGAAGAAGGTCGCTCTACACCAAGGAAGTACGAACAAAGCGAAGTTGACGATCTTTGCTTGTCAGAGGTTATTTCGAGACTAGAGTAAGTACGCGAGAAGTAGCATTCCGTAGAGAGCCGTGGCTTTGTATGCGATGTGCTCCTCCACATTCGGTGTACTCGTTTTTTTAGAGGAGGAGAAGACCAAAAAAATATGATTGCTAAAGATCAAAGTAGGGAAGAACAGGTTGCTGGAACAGGTTGCTAAAAATCAAGATAGTAATAGTTGCTAAAAGTAATCTCTTTTTCACAAAATAGTGGAGAATAGGTAGAAGACCCAACGAACTCTATCCTACATGCGTTGCCTCTGTACCTGGATTTGATTAGTTCATGCATTATCCAAGTACTTTGCCGTGACAGATTAGTTTTCCTTTTCATCAAGCCATAACATCTGGCATCTTCAGAAGCTGCTTGGTTCCTCCAAGTCTGTATATGCAGAAGCCTATCCCCCCAAGCGTCACCACGAAGAAGAGCCAATACAACAGGCTCCACGTAGCAGCGTAACTAAAAAGGCCGACACCAGTGGCTTTTATTAATAACGTGGAGATTAGATGAGCACCAGGATGAAGGTATGCAGAATCAAGTGACTAGAGTAAACGAATAGTCTAGTACTAGATGCGAGATAAATCTGTTAGCCTCATTATATGTTCCTGGTGCGGATACAATTTGATAGACTACGAACCTAATGATGCTCATGTTTTTAGTGTTAATTATAGTTCAAAGTCAAATTCAAATTAAAGTTCATCATCATCTTTCAGTCATAATATAAATGGCTGCAGCACTACTGTCGATGCTAATCCCCACATTCTATCTTCGATTTTGTCTGGCCCCAGGTCGACCCCGAGTTGGTCGTAGAGCCTACGCCTCTCCGCTGATCCTAATATGTCGTAGGACTCCTTTAACTGCTGAAACAAAGCTTGGTCACCTCCAACCTTATCCGGATGATGCTTTAGACTTTGCCTGTCGTGGAGGGGAGTAGGAAGATAAGAGTGAGTGCGATAGTGGTCCGTCGGTCGTGAAGACACTTTGTTTTAGAGACGTCTAGTTCGAGAGCCCTCGTGTCTTCATATGTTGTATGGAAAAATAGAGAGTGAGTCTACCAACAAGAACCAAGTTGTTCAAATTTAGCCAAATTATGCAATTACTTTGTTCGTCTTCACAAAGTATAGAAGTAGAAGTTAGTACTTCCTGTATGCTTTCTTGATGTCCTCCTCTGTCGCCTCAAGTGATACGTCCAATGCGTCATACGCATCCACCCAAGGCAGCGTGGTGTGTGTAAGAAGTGGCGTCATCTTGTCGGATATTGCTAGCGGTGTCACCTGTGCGCAGACTACAAGTCGAGCACGGTAGCAGTTAGTACTCGTCAGTCGTCGTTGTACTAGTTGTCGTCGTTGGTGCACTCTACTTGTCGTCGAGCTTGGTGTTGTTGTCGTCGGTGTTAGTCTTAATTCTATTCGAAGAAAGGGTAATCGCGGTACTCGGATCTAAGCCTCGTGGGAGTTGTCCTCGTAGACAGTCAGAAGTCGACAGTAGGAAAGTCTGGCACCAGTAGGCCAGCAGATTTCACTTCCTTTCGGTAAAAACAGAGACACCAAGATCAAGTGCTTTCAAGGGTATCTGCGTCAAGACAGTCGTTACCGTTTCAAAACCAAGCAAAGAACTCGGTCGATTAGAAGCAAAGAACTCGGTCGATTAGTATCCTCATGTTTGAAAATCAAGAGCGCAAAAAACCATGAATACCAGAATCTAGTTGTATATCTTCATACGAATGTTATCTAACGCCACTTATTCACAAAAGGTCAAATACTTCCTCCTCTTCCTGCTAAATGTTCTTACTCACGCTTAGTAAGTTAGAGCTCCATCACAACAGCTGATACAACATCAAATGACTCGGCTGCGCCGATGTGAGAAGAGACTGTTTCTCATCGAGAAGATCCTAGATTGAGCAGTGGATCGGCTCTTTGTAAAAGATCGCTAGAACAAGATCAGTTCTTCTTACATAGGGTAATGTCATGCCCCACAGTAACACATGAGAGGGTAAGAGAACACGCGAGCGGCAAGCACTGCTAAATTGTAGGTGCATTTTGTGCAACCAGGTTGCTCGACATCATTCGGTCCACAACATCCACAAAGTCTTAGTCTTTATCTGTCTCATTCTGACAAAACAATATCTTCGCTAGATATCACTGGGAAACAGATCATCAATTTTGCTCAGGCACGGACGGATAAAATCTTCACGCAGTCTCTCCGCTGTTATGCGGTCCACAACAGTGGCTGTTGCTTTTCCTGTCCCCTCACCGCCATGAAGGTAGCGCCTCTTCTCCTCCTCGCCTAATGCTTCCCATAATTGCTGCACCTTATCCCAGTAGAAGACGAAAACTGTGTGCAATCTTGTTGTGCCCCTGGTACCCTTAGAAGATGTTTCTGTTTCCTTATTGGAGCTCAAAACAATTCTCATTTCTTGCGCGCACTTCTTCAGAATCCCTATAGGGAATCAGCAAGAAACGAAGTGTTAGAAGTAGTAATGAACTGTATTGAGCCGTAAGTTTAGATGTTTCTGTTTTGAGTACTCTAGCTTCACGGAGAGTCTTGTTTTCTAGGCTTTCCATCTGGACAATGCGGCACCGCTCCCCATCCATTTCGCGAAAAGACCCAACGATGCAGGGTGTGTCGTCAACCCAGAAAGGATCGGGAGGATGAGTTTTAGATGAGGAGGAGAGGAGCACAATTGTGAAGGAAGACTACTAACTACCCTCTAAGTAATTAATTCTTGAAGCAGATCGTCATTTTTATGAGGAGCAATCAACACGACCGATTTAGGGTACGAAGATCATATGGTACCTATTCTTGGTAAAAAACCGCAGGTTCATAAAAACATTGCTTCGATTAGTGGCTAATATAAAGATCATGTCAAGACTCTGACACCAACCATACCTCCAACACTGGCTGTGTCTTTGCTCGTTCCACCGATATCGTCCTCATTCGCGTGACTGGCTGAAGCCGAAAGTCTCAACCTACGATTCGCTTTCATGCTTTGCTTCTTGTTTGAACAAGATGCAGTATTAAGTGTAGTAAGGGGTTCTTCTTCTTTCTTCGTTGTAATTGGAGCTCACCCTTCTCCATCCTGAGACGCATCCTGAATCCATTTTCCCCTTAAAAACGTCTCCAAGATGCTTCCGGCGATGGAATAGGAGAAGCCTTAATGTAATCTGTGCTATCTCGCCTTCTGCGTGGAATCGTATCTCTTGATAGCACGTTCCCCATTGACGAGACCAAAAAAGCATATCCTGTCTGGAGCTGGCTCTCTGCTCGGAATCATTGTCATAGGCAGGAGAATCCCAAAATCGAGATCTACAGACTATGTTGTTGTTTTTCTCGCCTTGTCCTTGTTCTCGAATAAGGAAAATTGCACACGCAGTGACGCCGCATTTTCGTAAGAGTTTTTGTATAAACGGCCCAGAGGAAAAACTACTAATGGTTTCTGGAGGTTTATTACAAGCTCCAGCTAGCAGTTTTCCTAATTCCACTCGGACGGCATGAACTAGCGGTACGCATTTCGGAGTAGTAGCCTTTTTTTCTAGTGCCTTGACTTCTGCAGCATCTAGCAATATAGAAATGACAAAACTCCTGTCCGACTGCATCCTGTCTTGACTTGGTAATTTAGAGCTCTCGCTAATTCATCCCTGTGGCAATCCCTCAACAATATGCCACAGCATTCCCCTTGTATAGGGGTGCATATTGTTGAGGGATTCCTATAGAGATGGATTAGGGGTAGCCTTAAGTAATCCCCTAGAAGAGTCAGGATTCTCCATACCTTGACGACCATCATGACCATCGACGTCCTGTTCAACATCCATCCTTTTTGCGAGAGTAAAGTTCTCTTTCTCCTCTGCAACTCTTTCCTCCTCTGCAGCCACGTATTGCCTGTACGAAGCTAAAGTGTTGTACTTGTGCCTCCAGTCGAGAAGCTTCATGTGATCGTCGGCATAGAGGTTTTGCGCTCCGTGATCGGTAGTTTGCTGCTCATCGCCATTCCTATTTGGGTAAGTACGAGTACTACCAGCAGTAGGATCATAGACCCGTATATTTACCAAACGAAAGCACCCTTTGTTCTTTCCCAAACGAATTTCCACGTCTTGGTGTGCTTGGGGAGAGACGCCCCCTTTTTCTCGAGCACGTTCAGCTAAGGCCAGGATTAAGGGAAGATTGATGTTTTGGTCTTCTTCTTGATCTTCTTCTTGATCTTGTCCTCCAGTTGTAAGGACGTCGCGAAAAGCATCACTCATCCAAATCGGCTGCCCCGCATGCGAGATGCAAAAGCTTTCCGATTCCGTCCCACTCTTTTCTTGTAGTAAAGCGATCACTTTGCCCAACAGCGACGTACCTAACGATTCTTGTGCATCACTTACTGGTAAAGGGCTCACCATGACGGGATATTCAGGGTTGCGTCCTCTGCCGGCAACTTTTATAGCAGTCTTTTTCTTTTCATCGTCGGCATCCTCAACAAGAGTCTGCTCGCTGCCGCGTCCTTGCAAAGGCCAACCTAGTAGCCAACCCGCATCTACAAAGTGTCCAGTGTTGAGAATCCGGTCTGTCAGTGTTGGTAGAAACACGTCCAGTCTGGCACGCGCGTCTCCGAGTCGTGCTCCTTCTCCACCCGCACCCGCACCCGCTAGCAACGTAATCGCACATCGCAACGCATGTCGAACCTGCCTTGCTCCATGGCGTGTGCAACCCATTTGCTTTTGCAACAGAAGCGAGCGCGGAAGGGACAAGACAAGCAGGAAGGAGGAGTTGAGGTCTTTGTACTCGTCGAAGAGAAGAATGCCGTCATCTGTCTCAAGCTCTTCTGGTCGAGATTGTCCAGACGACGGCAGCTGTTTTGAACCGGTGGCGGCGTCCTGCTCAGGGGTGATATTAGAAATAGAAGTGGCTCACAATCATGGTAGGACAGACCACAATGCGACCTTTTGTAAGGAAGAATGAGTATCTTGAACAAGAAGCCTATGCCATAGATACCCGAACAACTGGAACCACTTTTGATATTTTTACAACAACAGCTTCAATCAACGTGGCCTACTCCTCATAACATGATTGCTGTTGCTTTTCGCTGCAATGGCATAAAAGGCACGGCAAATAGAGGTTAGCGCAAATGGCCGTGACGGCGCCCCCACACTCCGACTGAAGACAACGCGGCCGACGTCGTCCGTATAATCTAGCAAGTCCAACTGGTACATCTTTTATTGTAGAATCTTGTGAAGTGACTCGATGTAAGGTGACTCGATGTAAGTAGGTGACTCGATCTAAGTAAGTAGGTGACTCGACACCTAGACCTAGCACTCGGGGGATTCAGTTTCGTAACGGCCAAAAAGTTTTCTTACCGACGAAGAGAGACAGGATTGTGGAAGTGGTGGGCCTACAATACCGGAAGAACAACCACCGTGCTAGGTGGGACGCTTCAATTTGAACAGCACCATTCGATGCACACAAGGATTTCTCAAGAAATTATAAATAGACCCTTTTTTCCTTTTCATCTTGCGTCTGTTATCTGTCGGCTAATTCTGCGAAGGAAGGAAAGTGCGTTTGCGCTCAAAATGAACTCAACATTTCGCTAAGAACCTCGTGGCTTCATCCTCATGGATATGTGAGTCGTTGCAGCTACAACCGCAATCGCTCAGTAAGTCGCTTCAGCAAGGATGCGGCAGAGCAACGGCTCTTCGGCTCAAACCGCAAGCACTCTTCCACCGGCTTATGAAGGATAGGGTTCAACTGTTGAAGATCATGCGTGTAGTGCTGTCGTAGAGAGGAAAGGACGAAGATAGAAAATAATATTAGATGTATCGAGCAAACCTTGAGGGATTTTTAAATTGAAAAGAGGAAAAAGTTCTGCTCACAGTCACAATTGATACAAACTTCACCATAAACATCCTCCAAGGCCAATGGCCGCAATCGCGCAAGACCATCTCGCGTACAAAACGGAGACTTCTTTTGAACTAGCAGTTTTGCCATCACTTGCTGAAGGTTTGTGCATTCTTCGTGAGGTGCGCGTCGTAGGAACACTTCAGCGGCTAAACAACCCACTGCCCAAATGTCTATCTTCTCCGTCAGCTTCACTGCAGCATCGAACAGCTCGGGTGCCATGTATCGCGGAGATCCGCCTTCTTGTTCCTTTCTTAACGCTAGACGCTCGCTATCTGTGGTTGAGTGCATTGCATTCTTTCCATCCATCATACTGCATCCCAAACGACCATACTTAGCCATCTTGATTTCTCTAAGAAGTCAAAGGATGAGAGGTCATACCTCACACCAGATAGTGAGTGTCTAGAAGCCTTAACTTCCGTGTTACGTGAGTCTTCTCCATGCTCTGGGTCAAACCAAAATCACACAGCTTCGCGTTCAGTTCGTGATCGAGTACCACGTTCATGCTCTTCAAATCGCGGTGTAGGAATGGAAACGTGAGGCCATGATGCAAAAAGTTGATCCCCTCCGCGATGTGCATTACGACCTTGCCGCGTTCTCGCATGTACAGAGCAGCTAGGTTCGCGGTGGAGGGTGTGAGGCCACATTTTTGCAGATCTCTCCCTTCGTATTCCGGTCTGAACGCACGTAGCTCTACATGCAGAAGATTGTGCAAGTTTCCACGGGGCATGTACTCCAAGAGCATGCACAGTCCATGGTCCCTCGAGACACAGGCTCCCTTGATCGCTACTAGTCGAACATGCCTTAGCTTCTGCAACACTTCCACCTCCTTCTCAAACTCAGCAACGAGAGCAGCGAACAGCTTCTCATCACTGGCACTAGCGGCAAATAGTTTCTTAATTGCCACTTGTTCGCCTTTGTACACACCTCGATGCACCGAGCCGAAGCCACCGGAGCCTAGCAACTCGCGAAACTCTAGTTCTCGAGTGTCAATGCGCATGCTTGGTGCGGCACTAGAGGCGGAATCGTTCTCGCTTGTGGTAGTTGTACTAGAAGTAGTACTATTAAAGCTCAGCATTCAATGGTCACTGACTCTGAAAGAAATGGGCCCCATGCCTCTCCCTTTGCTTTTCCTTCATTTTCCCCTGTTCTCTCAAGAGGGATCTCAGTGACCAACCCCAATGACCATTGAAAGCTGAGCCTTAATACTAGTTCCTGCAGGAACAAGTTCTTTCCCCTTGTTTATTGGTGACACTACTCCACCGGGACCACCGGGAGCAACGCTAGTCGCAACTCCTACACCCACCACCGAACCTCCTCCACCAACGAGTCCTCCAGCACTAGGGCTAACAGTTGTAGTTTTCGGCCTTCCCACAGCTTGCGCATCAACAGTAGGTTGTGGCAAAGCCCACGTCCGCCTCACTGGTTTCGGCATAATCGGTTGCGGCTCAACCGCAGACAACTTAGGGAAAGACAAGCCAGGGGGCTTCTCAAGACCAATGCTTGATGGGGGAGCCACCGCAGCGACACTGCGAATATCCGGTCGGAACTGGTATGGTGTCGCGGACGTTGCTGTAGGAGCAGGTGTGGGTTTTTGTTTCTCTTGAGATGATTCTTGTTGCACACCCGAAGATGAATCTGTTGGATATGCTGTTGTTGACGGCACTGGTGGTCCTACCGGAGCAGCAGGAACCTCTAGTACAACTGCTGCACGACTACTTACTTGCTCACCTACACCAACAACACCAGTTTCGACAACTCGTCCTTGCGTCGCCGGTCGCCTGATCTTCGCGTTGCTGATGGCGAGGTTCTTTCCATCACCACTGCCGTCTAGGTACCGCACACCGATGTAAGGTCCAAACACCATCCCGGGGGCTGTGGGTTCCACTACCTCTGCAGAGATCCAGGTCCGCCGACCTTGACTGTATACCTCGACTATGTCGCCAACCTGCAAGCTACGTCGCCAGGCCTCGTCGTCGGCCGATGAAGATGGTCCAGATGCCGCTGGATTACCCACTCCAGGAGCTACTGGAGCTTGTTCTGCGCCGATCATGATAGGTGCAACAGAGCTTGAAGATGAAGTAGGTTGTCCTTCTCCACCTTGTCCTAGTTGTACTAGCACTTCTCTACTGCTAGCCATAGACGGGTTCTGAAGATGTTGCCCTTGTAGTTGTGCTTGGCATTGACTGGTTCCGTAGTCCGGACATACACTAGCCTCCGAAAACGGTTCCTCTGACGCCGTTGTAAGAGCGACATCCACCGTCGCCGAACCTAGACGAGGCGCAAGCGATTGCGAATTTCCGTCATTTTCGCTAGTACTTAAAGTTTTTGGTACAACAGAGGCGGATGCTGTTGCTCCCACAACAGGCGCTATGCTGGAATTGATCACCTGCATCGTGGAGGTTGACGATCCCTCTGGTATACGTGTCGCCTGCATCGTGGAGGTTGACGATCCGCCTGGTATACGCGTGGCTTGCATTTGATTCTCTTGCAATGCCAGAGGCACGGCTTCTTGTCCGCGTCTCACCTGAAGCGTGCTGCTTGGAAGCAAAGCATTCGCACTAGAAGCAGTACTGACGTCTTTCGTCACCGGTCTAGACAGCATCGCGTTGTTGGCGATGGCTGTGGCTTGGATTCCGTCTTGTAGAACTACTTGTGGTCCTACTTGATTATTCCTCGAGGAAAGTGCTGCCTCAGTAGTACTTGAGGGTGCTTCCACTAAGACTGTGCCACCAGTAACTAAGACTGTACTGCTGACGTCACCAGACGTCCCGAAAGTAGCCGTTGCTGCATTAGTGCTGATCACGGATGAAGGGGTAGCTGGTGTTCCACCCTTCAAAATATTAGTTGTATCTTCATCCCCCACTTCAGTGTCTCCTATTTTCCTAGTTTCTGCTGTCTTTCGCATCATCTGGGAAAGAGGCCCGTCCCTTAATCTATGCTCGGGGGGTTGTTTCCGACTAGAAGTGCTAGATGATGAGGAGCGACTTGATAATGAGGAAGTAGATGTAGATGTAGTTGTGCCACTAGAAGTAGTACAACTCTCTTGATTCTGCAGATTGGCAGAGAGTAGTACTGCAGTTGCTGGAGTGAGAATGGTCTTATCATCCTGACTAGCATCGTACGTGGTCGTTGTAGGAAGGACTACTGCAGTAGATTGTAGTTTGTCTATGGACTCAAGCACTTCTGCCGCAGTCCGTGTTCGAACGCGGCGTCCCGCACTAGACGTTGTTGTCGTTGTAGGTATTACTTCATGTTCTTTGTCTATGTTCAGCGAAGCAAGCACATCATTGTTCTTGTTAGAGGTATACGGAATTCATCTCAGGAATCGTCTGGCTCTCTTTTTGTTCTTGTTTTCTTCTTCCACACGACTTGGGAGATGAATTCCCTACACCCATAATCTTGCGAATCGTATTGTCACTGACAGTACTACTTTCTGCTCCGGCAGCAAGTGCCGGTCCTGAGGACGACCCAACTACACCTTGTTGCACACGTTCCCTAAGAAACGTAGCAAACTGCTGTCGCCATTCGGGCAATAGAAAAGCCGTTCCTCCACCTTTATCAACAGAAGTCCCTTCAATGAAGTCTCGCAACACGTGCTGATCGCGTGCTAGTCGATAGGTAAGACTGTCTGTCTCCACAGCTCGTCTCAGATGCCGTTCTGCGCGTGTCTCGTCACCCTGTATCAACCGCGCGAGGCTCACCCAACGATGGAGCCTACCCTCTAATCGTCGCAAGGCTGATCGGGAAGCCTGACTCGTACTCGTGCTCGTACTAGAGGACGTGGACGCACGCTGCGCAGCTTGATTTTGATAGAGGATGAGCAAAAAGTGGTGGACTCTTGTGACATGCTAATATGCTCGCGCTGACAATGACATTCATATTGTTCAATAGATAGATTCAAATAATCTAGGACCCAAAAACAAGGGGGACTTGCTAAATCAAAGAACCATACAGTGAAGGGATCGGTATTGTATCTCTATCTTTTTCAACATAACTTCCATAACTGCCATCCAGTCTCGCCAGCAAATGGAGTCCTTCTGACAGCGTCAAATTGATGTGGTCGAAGAGTGACTGCTTTTCACCTACAGAACCAGCGGATAGTTCACCTATTCGCATGAGCTGCTCTTTGACTCGGTCGACGCGCTGCCCAATCTCCGCTTCTAGATCCTCAACTTCTGCCGATAATATGTTGTGGTCTTGACTATTTTGTGATGTGGCGGTAGACGGCGTACAAGTTGTAGAGGAGTCGACAACTACTGGTGCTATGTTGGGTAGAGCACGTGCTTGTAGTGCGTGTGCTGTTGTTGAGGTTGCTCCTGGTGCTGTTCTTGCAGGGTTAGGTGGAAGTGGAGGTGCGGACGTCGACGCTACTAGAGGCCGGTTAGCGGAAGATCCTTGTTCCGCTTCGAATTTGGCAGCTACAACGAGATCGGCGCGACGTAAGCGTTCAACGGCCTCAGCAAATCGCGACTGACCCCTGAGCGCTCTGCAGAGACTCAGGCATGCGCGTTTGTTCTCCGGTTCACGCGTGGTAACTTCCCACAAGAGGGAGGTCGCTCGAGCGATGTCGGCATTATTAGAACTACAAGGGCCATAGCTTCAAAAAGATGCATTTCGTAACACCAGCAGGCCCTAACAACTACCACCTATGAATGTTGTTGAGTACTACTACTTATAATCAGTTGCCACCACTGGAAACCCCAGAAACCATAACACTCCCCATGTCCCCAACATCTCTGCCTTCTTCCTCCACTTTCCGAAGAAGATGAGTTGCGTAAAACGTCTGCAAATCCGTACCGAATTCAGAACGATTCTCCGGTTGCCTCTGCAGAGCTGCTTCGAGAAGTACGTAGACTTCGTTCGCCGGCCGGTCAAGGCGGTGCAATGCCCGAGCACGCAAGAACAATAGTGGCACGGGGAGGAGGAACGATGAGCGCCTGAAGATGTGAAATTCAAAAAAATACCTTACTAGAACAAGCCACGGGGAAGTGCCAAAATCAAAGTATTTCAACGTGCCAAAAACAAAAGGGCAGTACACCTTTCCGTCTCCTCCCGTGACAAGCCTCTACTTGTAGTCGTGGATGCGTGTGCTCCTCTTAAAGCTCAGCACTCAATGGTCACTGACTCTGAACGGAAGAGGCCCCCTTCAAAGCTCTTCCCTTTCCCTTCGTTTCTTTCCCCTGTTGGTTCTCTCAAGAAGGGGTCGCCTCTTCGATCTCAGTGACTCCAATCTAAATGGTGACCAAGACCATTGAAAGTTGAGCCTTAATCCTCCAACTCCATATCCTCCGGACCCAAAAGATGTCTGCTGCCAACGGTCTATCAGCGCGATTGCTCGTGGCCAATCGCCATTGGCTTGTGCATTTTCCACCTCTACCCGGATCTCTGCCAGGGAAGAGGCTGACCGATATCGGCTACCTGCTTGCTCGACAGGAGCCAAATCTTGGGGAGGAGGTCCTTCGGTCGTTGATGCATACATGTCTTGAGGATTGGCTTTTTGATTTTGTAATTTTTCGTAGTTTGTTGTACTCTCCCAAAATCGACACCTTCTGCTTCTGTGGTTCTAGCTTAGATTTTATTGGGGTATATCCCATCTACTTGTGGTAAAATTTACAAGGGCGGTAAGGGGTCCAATTTTTCTAATTCCCGGATTGTTGGCTTCGTTTCTCCGACTTTACTTAGTTCCATTTTTCGGTCTATGTGAGATACACGCCAGTCCCTGGGGTCCACTCTTCCCGATACCTTTTCAGAAAATAAAACCGAAAATAAGTCGCTCACTTGAAGTGGCAAAGCGCCTACTTTGTTGGCGACGTCTAGAGAGGTAACAGAAACCGCGAGTGAAGCTCTAGGAGTCTATCAACAGAGTGCAACTCGACCGATATCTGTTGGAATCGCACGGACGAGACAGCCTGCAAAGGGCCGACTCTATCCAGCCCTCCGGCTTTGCCTACAAATGGCCCTAACAGGGGTAAGACCTTTCCCTGGCATCGACACCTACTCATTTACACAAACCGAGTTCCTGTGTCTTTTGGAAAAGAGGGAGGCCTCCGCCCTACGTCGAGTTACATGATAGCTTCAACAGAATGCAATTCAACGCCCCATCCCACTGTTCGCTCTCGCAACCCAGGATAGAGCTTTCCTGCCCGAGGATAACACACTTCATGACAGTGTTGCAAGATAACAAGACAGTGAATGTTAGGTTAGGTGTGGGTCCACTAGATAAACCAGCAGACTTCAGTGGCTACTGAAGAGCCAAAACAAAAGAAAACAAAAACACCAAATTAAACAGAAAGCCGGCACCCGTAGTGTCGGCACCCGTAGTGTCGTTGATCTTCAGAAACTCTTCTCATTTTGTCTCCACGTCTCCTCAGAAGGAGATCATAGATGGAGAAGGAAATGTGAATCATAGATGAAGAAGAAGAAATGAATCATGTAAGAAGTATGTAAGTAAGTTGGTAATCGTAATGGTATGTAAGCAACTACGTTGGAACTGGAAAGCGAGATGAATGGATTTTCCTTCATTCGCGCCTCAAGTAATCCCCCTAGATTACCGACAAGACGAAACAGATCCAACAGTCATTACAATTCTAACTTATTTTGACTGCATGCATTACGAGCGAGTAGTACTACCTACTGCCTACTAGCTCTAGCGTTAGAACACCCTACCATCTTAATTTCTCTTGTAGCTCTACGACCAAACACAACAAGCAAGGAGGCTTAGCTTGAATATGTTTACATGTTCTGGGAACTAGTTGTATAACTTAGGACAACTAGAACGAGAAGAAATATGGTATATTAAAGTATACCTTTACCTTCGACGGCGAGAATATAGGCTTGTCCATACAAATAACGAGATGAAACCATCTCATCTAAAAATGTTGATGTCGAGGAGTTACGAGAAACCATCTCATCTTTATAAATATATGATGTCGAGGAGTTCTTAGGACGCTGCAGCTGCGGGGATACGGCCAGTGGGTGGCGGCGCGCCTTCCAGCGGGTTGTTCCAGTGCAACGCGCCAGCTTTGTACGCCATCTCCATGGGTGCGTGTTCGTCTTTTTGCGTGTGTGAAATGAAGGCGTCTAGGAGTCTCTTTGTATGTGCCACTTCCTCCTGGATCTGCAGGAGGGAGACCGCCACTGATTCCATCTGACCCTCATCGAACAGGGTCTGGAAAACGTCGTTCATCGCTAAGACTGATACCATGCCCTCCACTTCTCGGTGCTGGGGTGGTGAAGTTTTTTTCTAGGTATCTTGATCAAATTTATTTGTTCAAGAATTTCAAAACCGAAACCGTGTGGATTCACAATAAAATCGAATTTTTTGATTCATTCAAATTTTGATTCATTTCTTCGCACACCAAAGCATCAAATATGACGATAGAGTCTATCATATGCTATGGGGAAGACAACAAGTAGTCGTGTTTACTTACTCCAAAATCTACAAGTTGGATTATACCACTTCCCCATAGTGTCTTTTTTCTTCGTCCGCTAGGTCAAGAAATCGATTTCTCTGTTTCGCTTTCTCCATTTCCTTCGATTTTCTTGCTATAAAGGCTTTCCGCACCATGTATTTTTCTACTTGTCCCAAGTAGTTCAAGTACGCTTGTCTCGGCATGCGCAAAACCTGGGTTCTGAGTGTATGCCCAGGTGTGTACTTCTTGCTCTTTTCGTCGTACTCAATCCGTAAAAGTGATATGGGCAGCAAAAGCAAATCGTATAAGGCTTTGGTGGATTGTATTAAGTCCTCTTCTGTGACGATGTCGTTAGCATCGGTCTTCAGGGTGCCACGCATAGACTCGAAAAATTCGTTGATTTGCTCTGTTGGTGTGAGATTTTCCTTCCCAGGTTCCACGGTGATGGAACTGCTGTCCATCCAGAGTAAACCGTTTGTGACCAACATGTTTTTTAGGAAACGCTCCATGCCTACTGTTGCTCTTCGCCTTCTTTCTTCCGTGACGACCTCGAACATGATCTTGGTGACTCGGCCACTCACAATGTTCATCAGCACTACACCAGCGATCAACAGGCCGAACAAGAACCAGATACTCATCCACCAGTCCTGATTTCCCAATATGTCGATGAAGGGCATACTATTGTCCTGCAACCACAGTCGCATCACTACCAGCACGGACCGGAACCAGGTGTTCGTGATGCCAAGTAAGACTTCTCGATACTGCGCATTCTGCTCGTCGGTGTAGTTGTCCATGGTTTCTCCCCTATACTTCACATACTGCCGCAGGGTCACCGAAAGACAGAGGAGCGTCATGGAGACGATCAACAAATCGGGTCCAATCTCCACTAACACGCGCTGTGTCGTTCTAAAGACCACGACGACCTCCTCATATTTCCTTAGCCTAGAGAGACGCAATAATCGTAACAGCTTGAACATGACCGCAACGCCTATTTCCGTGTCGCCAGAGACCGTTATCAATTCTACGAACTGCGTCGCCAAGCAGAAACTATCGACCCAGTTAAAAACAGCTTCGTCCCATAGATGATGAGGAGGGAAGAAAAACCGCCGAAAATACGTCTTGCACCGTAATATCCGAAACAGCAAGTCGCCCAAATACACCTGCAGGCGTGTTAGTAAGGCAAAGTTCCGTCGTGAAGAAGTTGTCAAGCAAACAATAACAAACTAGTACAAACAGCTCTCACAAACTACTTTACCTCCTTGCCTACGTTTACAAAAAAAAAACAGAGAGAAGGACATCAGAGAGGAGAATACTGCAGTGTTGTAAATAGAACTAGAAGTATAGGAAGGTGGTACCAGAAAGAAGAATAGCTCGCTCCACCACCATACGTACTCGTATCTTGGCTCCTTCGCGTCCTCTGGATTATGTATGTCTGACTCCAGAGAAAACACGATCAGATTCAGCACAACACAAAACATGATGCCTGATTCGAAGTACGTGTGGCAGTAGATGTCGTCTATCATACTCGGATAGACGACGCCGTCTCTCCGCTTTCTCCACTCCCTCTCTACTTCCAACTGCTGCACAACTTTTTGTCGCCAAAGCGTCTGTTCCTCGGTCTCTATCTTATTCTGTGTCGTCATTTGCGACACCAATTGCGTCAAATCTGCTCGCTTCTTCAGGGTTCCTTTCTCCTCAAGTTTTCCCCTCGCTTTGTTCCAAGCAGCCGACTTTCCTTTCAACTTACCGCCTAGCACGTTGCCTATCTTCTTCGCCGCTGCTGCCTCTTCGGCTGCTGTGGGTGGGGGTTTGGGTTTCGCGGCGAACAAAGCTGCAGCCTTTGAACCTGCTGCACCAGCTGATGCACCCTCTCCCGCTGATGCTGACATACTACTAGAAGCTGCAGTGGACGTTGCTCCAGCTGGGGTGGACGAGAATGCGGCTAGTGCACCTCCAGCTGCATTGGCATTCCTATGAGGTGGACCAGCTTCACCCGTTGTAGCAGTTGTGGTCCCAGCTGGTGCAAGTAATGGATTTATGGAAGCTCCTCCTGAGCCTCCTAAAAGCTTTAAAGCTGCATTATTTGATGCTGGACCTCCGCTAGCACCTCCGATTTGGTCCTGGGTAGCACCACCAGCCGCTGCTGCTGCCCCACCGCCCCCAAAAGCATTTATTGCACTATTTGTGGCACTAGTACTGCCAGCACCTGTGGAGGTCTTATTTGTATTAGCAAAGACGGCTAGACCTGTTGCTAAGGGACCTCCTGTTGTTGGTTCTCCCGACCCCGATGCCCCACCCGGCATCGGTATTGACACAGCAGGTGCGCCTCCTTGTTCTGCGTCATCGTTTACTGAGCCTGGTAGCACACTCATCAATGCGCGCCCAGCCTGATGAAGTTGTGTTTTTAGTTTGTTCATCTATAATTTGATGTAGTGGACATTTTGATGTCATTGGAAGTTTTTGTCATGTTTCACTGGTGTGTCCCTGTCGTGTTCCTCGATCATTTAATTCGACCAAATCCTCTAAGAATTAATAGAGACTTGAACGCAACCAAGGGCAGCACAACACTTCTAAATATAAACTTGAATGCAAGGGCACCACACTACTAGTCCCTAGTCCTGAAGTAACTGCAGTTCAATAGAAACTTGAGTCAGATTTCAGTACTGATTACTCGTAATAAACGACCTGTAAAAACACAAGTTCTCATACCTCTCCAAAAGGAATAAAGTGAGTCTGAGTGACCGTTATAGATACCTCTCCAACTACAGGAATTCCTGCGCTCTTGGCATGCTGCTGCGGTACGTCCCCTCCTGGCATCTTCTACGTCGCAGGCGTTGCAATTATCTTCATACGGACGAATGACGTTGGGCGTTGATCATGGCAGAAAGCAATGCTGAAGGCGTTGGAAAGTACCCACGCAGATACTAGCAGTGCGTGACTGTGTTGCGAGTGCGACAGACCACGAAGCCAAAAAAAAGTAAAAGATAAATTGTTGAACAGAGCACTGCGAGAAGTTAAGAAGTAGGTACAAGCTACGACTACGTAGAATAAGATTTGAAGCGGAGAGCGCGTACAAGAATAAGAATAAGAATTACAAGCAGCTAAAAAGTGGAGTAGGAGATACTAGTGTCCAAGAATCCAGTAAGCAGTCATCGACAAGTTACATTTTTCTGTTCGATAACAGAAACAGCAATGGGCTAGGATGGGAAGTGCCAAATATCGCGAAGCGAGTATCAATAAGTTTTAGCTTTCCATATTCCGGCTGGTCGGTGTAGGCGTAACTAGATTGATGAAGGATTCAATATGTAGCTAATTTCGGGGGAGGGGGAATCATGTGAATGTGGATTAAGAAGCCTGAAGATGGATTAAATCCAAAGAGTTTTTACAACTACAAGAACAAGCACATTATGAACCATTGGACAATCACAACTGGTTCAGTGACAACTAATCCTCAATGTCTCACGACCGAGTCTGACCTCGTCACAACTTGGCGCAGGTCCGCTCAAGTCTCACGTGACAGACTGCAGATGTACCTTCGCCTCGACGCTCAAACGTGATATGATAGGACACCAGAATTACAGAAAAGATCAAGACTGATATACTTACACCTTGATCATAAGACCACTAGACACGCTCACTGCAGCACACGACAGACTGGGGAAATCTTCTCTCTCTCTCTCACGGTTTAAACACAGTACACGGCTGCTCCTTTCTTTTTTCAAACACAGGACATAACTACTCCCTCTCTCTCCTCGTGGTAACAGGTGATGAATACTGCCTTTTGCATAACTGGACAGCACACAGAGTCCTCCGTCTCCTCTCATCATCAACAGAGAAAGAATACCGTCTTAGCAAGCAAGGACAACTCGTGGTAACAGATGAATGCTCTTTTCATCGATTCATAGTCTCAGTATCTGTCTTCGCTCTCTCCCTCGGCAGCAGCCACTAGTTGATCTTGATACATCAACTCCGGGAACACAACACTCATTGGAGAACGGTGGTCGCCCACGATCTTAATGATGCGACACAATCTGCCATCTTGACTTCAGCCTCAACGCGTTCTTTTTCGACCTCAATACTTGCGGCCGCACCAAAACTCGGAAATCCGTAGGCAATTTGCACAAGGTCACGTGATCCTCATCCACGATCCTCGTGGTAATGATCGTGCGATACCACGTCCAATCGGAGAAACGGTGGTCGCCCACGATCTTAATGATGCGAAGTCCAACGCCCTACGCTAGAGCCGCCAGCAAACGGCCAGAGTTGCAGAGCAGTGAATTCAATTCAGTAACCACCAGTTTCAGGTGATTAACTTGAAGATGATCGATGGTTGCTTGCCAAAACAAAAATCCTAATTCTAATTCGTGCTTCTAGCTTTGTATAGTGATGGAAACATGAAACGATCACAAGCACAACACAGATCTTTAGGACAATATTTCTACTTGATTTAAGCAACACTTTTATAGCTGGAGAGCATTTACTTGGTAGAATCCTATTTGGTTACCTACATACTACCTACTACTTGGGTAGCATTTACTTGGTTGCTTGCATACTATGTACCACATTTTAAACATCATTATGATCAACATATGTACACCAAAGGGAGGATCCATACCCCTCCCACGCTTCAAGCGCCGGATGTAGATAGAAGGATACGACTCACCAATAACTGCGAGAGCGTGCAAAGATGAGACTAAACAAGATGCAAGTAATTACTAATGATGATTTTGATCGAAGGCCTTCGAGGTATGGTCTTCTTTGTCGTCCTTCCGAAACACGCGCGAATCCTCGCTAGTATCCGTAGGGAGGGTCGTTGGTGTGCGGGTGGTGGAACGCCATCCCAAAAAAGTTCCAGAAGTCGCAGGATGATGCTAGTCGATTCGGATTGGGCCTACGGCTTCCCTGAGTCTCCTCTGTGTTCTCCGAATTTCTCTGATGTTGAAGCTGCGACGATGTTGCTCCGCTGTTGTCTCTACAGCGGCGCTACTCGTTGTAGGAAGGCAGTTCTCAACAGTCACATATTTAAACATATCTCTGTAAGCTGGTTAACCAATTCCGCTCTTGGACCTCTCAAGCCGATTACTCTCAGAAGCTTATTGACAAGATGGTCGCTCAAACACGCACGAAAGTATCTCCAATACAGAACTGTTCTTTAGGCTCGCTCTACTGATGACCATAAGTAGAAATTCAGTAGAGCGAGCCTAAAGAACAGTTCTGTATTGGAGACACTTTCGTGCCTCTCTTCAACCTCAAGTAAACATTCACATCGCTAGAACGGCGAAGCCTCGTAGTACACCTCCAGAAATCACAATTTTCTTTTTTTTGGAGGTGTACTACGAGGCTTCTGCGTTGATTTCTGGATCCCTCAATGATAACCGACACAAGAAGGGCAAGGGCGCTCGCAACAGACCCGTTCCCTTCGAATTATAAGCTTTGAAGTGGAGACAGCAGCCAGATTCTCCGAATAAAAAGTTAAGATCGCTTTTGAGGAATACAGATCGGGCAACCGCAGGACGGGAAGACAGGCATAACAAGCGGGATAAACGAACACCAAAAGCCTACCTCTAATGGTACGACTTCGCGAACTCTTCACTTCCCATGCTTCCCGAGTTGACTGGAGGACCTTTGCTGAGAAACACACACAAGCAAAGTTACTTTTGAGGAATACAGGTCGTGCTGGTGCAACCGCAGGACGAGTTACAGACAGGTTATTCCACTTACCAAGAACCTCGTATTTTCTAAGTTCTTTGGTCTGTCAGAATCTCTTGAATCAGCAACTCTTCATGGGTCCTTCATTCATTCATTCAGTCGCGCTACCCTCCTACTACAAGTTGGAAGGCAACCGATTTTCAACATTGTACTCCGCCACAAATTTCAATAACTTCAACAAGACTCGTGATCTTGCATCCTCATCATTCACCTTCACCAAGCGGACAGAGCAAAATCCGTGTCATCTTCTGTCGTATCCTTCCTGCAGCTCTTGTGCTTTTCGGAAAGCGCCAACACGCGCTCTTGCTTCCTCCTTGGCTACGCGGTTGTTGTGCAGATGATGCTTCTTCCAATTCCGGTGTACGCGATCGATCTCAACCCAGTAAGGGTGATGTCTCCGTCTCGTACGATGCTTCATGTAGAGGATGTCGGAAACGAAAGTTAGAAGATAGAAGGGCAGAAGTTGGGTTCTTTAGGAAGGAGTTTTGGAAGTTGGAGTTGGAGTTGAAGCAGGGCAGAAGTTGCCTTTTTTAGGGTTCACTGTCACCTACGCTGTACGGAATTTTAAAAAATGCGAGGGTAAGCGTTCATTCGAAACCATCGAGGGTAAGCGTCACCCGGAACTACGAAATGACAACATAATGATAAATACAATTGCTGCAGAGTAGTAAATAATTGTGCAAATGGCATAATTCGTGTGATTTTCTTTGTTAACAACATCGTTCAGGTTCTAAGTACAGCCTAGTATTCGTTCCTCAACATTTTTCAACTTGTAGCCTTAATGACAAAGTATTCATTGCTACCGCGTTTTCGTCTATGAATGGTAGAACGTTATCTCCCTTCTGCGGGTCCAGAGCCAAACAGGTGCTCCTCTGGTCAATCCAATACAGCTCCGCACGTGCGATCTTAGAGGTCAGGAATCTCCCATCACTTGATGGAGGTCATGATCTTGAGCTCAAAACAATTCATTTCTATGATCTACTTGGACGATCTTGGACGACCCGTTTGAACCTTACACGGGGCGCCCAAGATGCTCTTCAGAATGGAAGATTTCCGGAAGTCGTAACAATCAGACGTTGAAGTTTATGCACCAGAAACGTCGTCGTCGGCGGACCACTAGGGTGATGAAGAGAAAGGAAAGAGTGGGATTGGTTGTGGAGGTCATGTGGTCCGTTCTGTAAATATCCACTTTCACCCCAGTCTAGGTAGAAGGACGAAATGGGAAATCTCTTGCGCGAAAATGAGAAGTGCCAAGAAAAGTAATAAACTACTCTGTATCATCGTCCTGTTTATCGTAAGCAATGATGGACGGACTAAGTAGATCGAGCTCTTCAAAACGTTGAGTGATTCACTCATAAATATCGACAGTTCCTTCGCCAAGTCCCTGCTGCCAGCCAGGTGTGTTCATGCCCTGCTGCAAGCAAGGGCTGTCCCCCAGCTGCATGCCTGGCGGCAGCGGCACTGCTCCACCAACATCCTCGGACGACTTAGATTGCTAATGCCACTTCTACCTTATGTAAATAATGAAAGTAGAGAACCGCTCAACGGACATCGTGCATAAAAAACTGCGGACTACGAAACGGTACGAGGAATGTCTATTTCCGTAGACCCCTAGTTGTTATCTGCTCTAGAGCGGCAACGGATCTTCCCCAAGATGGGAATTATCAACCAACATGGACGCTGTAAGGTCCAATCTTAACTACTATCGAAGGATCGCCCACACTTTGCGTGGCTGATAAGCTCTCATTCCTCACAGCTGCGACAGTGGTTCGCATCAGCTCTGCCATCGGGTGTTCGTTGTAGCTTTCTGGGCCTGGTCTTACCAGGCAAGAACGCGCCGTCCCTCTATCAAGTTTGGCGCCTTCAAGGGCACGCAGCATGTACTCCGCACGATTTCGAGTATGAAAAGGGATACGCAAGAGAAGCGGTATGTAAGAGAAACCTGTTCAAACACAGATTGGGAAAGATAGACGACCTGTGACGAAAATATAGCACTATGGCATATCTCTCACATAAGACGACCCACTGTTTTCCACGCTGCAGCTACCTTCCTCAGCGCCGGGCAGTGCCTCTATTAGAGGTATCGGGATTACATCTCTGGGATCTTCTGGGTCCCTTTTTCCTCTTGGTTCTCTTTCATCCAGATGACTTTGGAGAAAAATTCCCTACGCGCTTAACTTTAGGGGCTCGAGATATTTCATCACATTCGCTGTATACTGCTTCGCCGCAGGCAGTGCGCCTCGCATCTGCAGTGACCAGAGTGACCCAACAGGTGCGTTTTTGATATCGTAGAATTAGAGCCCATATCCGAACCCATAATCGAGAACCGTCCCGAGAAGCTTTCCCGCTGGAAAGCGTTGCTCAGGAAGAAGCAAAGCATCTCACGATGGCCTTAACGAGGAAGGGCAGCATTATTTCCCGAAGATACGGACTGCTTGTACCAAAAGGTCCAGCGTGGTGTGTAGTAGTCGTCCCACTGCTTGAACTTTTTACATGAGCCACCAGCACCGGTCCTGATGGAGTACCACTGTCCTCGGTGTCCTCCGCGGGGCATTTTAGATCAGACTTTTAGTTACAAAAAACACATTTTTGTGGGCTTTTAGTTACAAAGAACAACATTGAGGAGAAGAGGAAGAGAAACAATGATCATGCAGCATGTTGAGGTCGGATCACCGCTTCGATCTCGGAGTTTGGATAGATCCTTCTGACTTATTGCCGACATACAGATCGTTGCATTCTAGGTACTTACTCGATCGCCTTCATTAGAAACCGGAGTTTTGCGACCCCGTCTTGGACGTGCTTCCTAGGTTGTGCTATCTCACCGATGATTCCCACAGATTAGGTGGCCGATAATCGGTGGCTGAAATGCATGCATCATCTGTCAAACCCAAGCGATAAAGTCGCATAGCGGAATCCTACTTACATGTCTACTTGCCATGGTGTACAGCACCCCAGCTACTTACGACATGAAACTTGCATGAAAACTTTTTCTTTGCAATTTATAATCTTCGATATTACCTTGTTCTCGAGCTCTGTACTTTCTTGTAACAAGCATGCTCGAGTCGCAATTTGACATAAATTTTGTGGTACTGGAGAGAGCTAAACTAGCCTCTCACGTGCGGAAAAGTAAGAAAATAGGAAAAAATCTAAATGCTGACATGTCACGAAGACAACGAAAAAACGATACAACACATCATGCGGTTTATTCATGCGTATGACAAGGATAGGAAAAGACTAAATGTAAATCACAAATCTGCTTTTGGAATCTAAATGAAAAAACTGAAAACCGCCTACTGAAGTCGTAATATCTTGACACTACTAGAGTATCCATCCAACTTGTTATGACGATGAGCCAGCCAGGAAAAGTGATCTCGTCTTACTGGTGCAAAAACAATGAAAGAAACTGACACTCCTTTGACAACCCTTCATTTTCTAAAAACTACTCTGTGACTTTATCTAAATTAACCCCCTCCATTCCCCCCCTGTCTGTCTCTGCACGATGACCACCACGGATGATTTCTGATGATTTCTCCTTCTCAAGTACAACTAGACCAGCACAGCACAGACCGCGTTTGCCTCCAAAAAAGACGCGACTAGTCAGTACGACCCATCATCTCCACTCCAGCTTGCTGACGATTGTACTACTCCCCACCCCCAGCTCACCGTGGCGTCCAGCCGTCAGATGACTAACTAATTCTACTAACTTCTACGAGATGACAGACCCTGTCCGATCACCAAGTCCAACAGGACCTACTTGAGCTGGTAGACACTGTTGCGCCACGCGCCACCGCACTTCTTGCCTGCCTCTCGCTCCTCTGGATACTCACAGGGCTTCGAGCAGTCGCCATCCGGTTTCTTGCCATATTTCTCGTGCTGGGTGGCGCGGCCGCAGAAGCACTGATGACCGTCCTGCATAGCCATATTCTCGGTGCCTCGCTTCCCGCATGCCTTCGCGCACTTCTTGATGGAGAACCTGGTGAAGTTGTTGAATCGAGGTATTGGGTTCTTGTCATGAAAATTCTGTACGAGTTGTAGGAGATCTGGAGATTCCTATTCTCAAAGTGCACGGAGCATCTTTTTCTTCTTGTCAGGACAAATTCTACTGATGTTACTCTCTTATCTAGATGATCTGTACCATCCTCGCACGCGCATCATTGCTCGCTGCGGCTTGTCAGCGAAGCAACCAAGATAGTCCGTTTCCGGTGTTCCACGGGCCTCTTCATACTTAGCCTTGGCCTGCGCAATTTGCCAATCAAACTCGCGCCTCTGCAACATGCACTTGCGATGCTTATCCTTGGCCTGAAGAAGGAGCAAGGAACAGAGGGTCGTGGGTGGGATAATAAGCGGGTAAACCTTAGATAGTCAAAAAAGTTCCACATGAGACGAAACAGCCCCGAATATAATAAAGTTGTGGCAGAGCAGATCCATCTTCACGTAGTTCAAGAAGAAACTACAATGCATGGTGTGAAATTAGCCTCGTAATCTACTAGTAATTTTGATGTTCTTTCAACACTTAGATTTATCTATAAATTTAAGAGTCATGTCATGGGAGTGCCTCTCTTTGAATGAACAGTATATTAAGGTACCCCTTTCCAAGAACGTTTCTTGGGACCCATCTCGTGCTCGATCTGGCGCAATCGACGATGGTACTGGACCAAACTTTTCGCGTACACAAAGATTTTCTTCCACCATGGTGCTCTGTTCACCCTCCCACGGAGAAATTAGCGGAACAAGAGCCGTACTTCTCTGCATCTAATATACTTTCTTCATCAATTCACTTTGAAGACCAGGACCGATTTAGGAGATTTAGAAAATCTTCAGATGCAAATCTTTCCGTAAAAGTTGTTTGCCGCGTTCTGGCGCTCACGATGAAACCACTGTTGATCTCCCTGCCACTTATTTCTGGCCCCCGTCAAATCGGAGTCGCATTTTGCTAACTCCTTGTTCTTGAACGCCTGCAGATCCGAAACCTTCGTCTGCAGGTTGTCCAACAGAGCGAAGTATGAGGGAGGACTACTTATCAGTGTATCCAGTATTCACGTTTACGTGAAAACACTTACGAAAGTACAAGACCTAGGACTGCGTTGGTTCGAACTACGCTTGATCAGCTCTATTTGAACCAAGATTGTTTAGATATTGCCTGCAGGGATAAACCTAGATGATTTAGATTTCCCTTCCCGAAAGTTAGCTTCAATCTGACAACTCCTGTCATAACTTTAGGGCAGCCTTCCTGGTCTCCTCAGCTTTCTTCTTCACTGCTTTGGCATCCTCCTCAGCCTTCTTGGCCTTTCCTTTCTCTTCTTCTGCCTTTTTCTTCAATTCCTCGTTGAAGGCATCGTTGTCTGATGCCTGGGTGGTAAAAGGTAAAGGAGGGTGAAATAGATTTAAACATGGGGAGGGAATTGAAGAACATCGTGTTTTCGTATCAAATAAGTTCTTGGGTAGACAGCATCATCATTATAACTGTAGAGAGTAGGTCTAAGTGAATCATACAGCAATATTAAAGTAAATAAAACCTTCTTGCTCGCCTCAGCCTCGTACTCCTTGTTGATGGCAAAGCCATCCGCATTCATGGCTTCAGCATTGGCCTCTTCTGTCGCCAAAGTCTCGGCGTTTTCTGGATTACTCTTAGCAGCATCGTCCTTTGGCCCAGCTGGGTGCGGCCACCAATCGCGCACAAAGAACGGATTTGCGTGCTCATTTTCGGTTGGGTCCAGTTTCTGTTTTTGGGTGATTCACATGGTTCATGCTGCTCAAACACGTGTTGCATACGAAGTTGATGTAGCTAGTTGATGAAAAAGTGACTCACATAATCTAATCTTCTGTAGGATGATATAATTGTCAGGAAGCTACATCATACCTTTTGCACTGTGCCCTAGAAGCGTTTCATGGCAGAAGTATCTGTTGGGTGGTAGGAGTTCTTTCCATCCTCAATGGACCATCTCACTGCGAATCCATAAAAGCCAAATCGCAAGAATCAGTACCACACTCTTCTTGTCTGCTGCATGGACCTTGTTGTTGGCTTCTCGGCTCATCCGCTTCCGCGCCAGACGTTTGGCATGGTGATCGAGCCTCAGGCTCTCAGCAGTGCCGGCAAACGCCAGCGCAACGGACAGCCGCATGTTCCTGCGACTGTCCTGCTCCTACGACAAGAATGTTCTTCTACTGTATTGAATGAGAGAAGCAGTGTATGCAAAAGAAGCCCTTATCTTCCGGCAGAGTAGAGGTCAAATCGTGTGAAACGGACCAGTCAGCCGACCTACGTTTCGTTTAGAATTGCTTTTCCTCTTTAGAAAATTTAGATTCCTGAAAATTATGATCGCGTGAATACTCTCAGTGCCTTTGGGTGGAAATACACTCATGATTGCGCTCGTATATCAATCATGGGCTCTCGGTGGAAATACACTCGCCTCTCGACAAGAATGAGACGGATGGACCACGCCTTCGCCGGATCGCCACTTGAATGGTCTGTCGCCTTTCTGCCTGGTGCCTTGTGCGCTTTCCCACACGAACACAGCGCGGTCTCATAATGAGGTTTCTCATGGTAGTTATGTCATTCTGCCTGAACATCGTAATGGAACAGATGCCTGAAAACACTTTGTCTATGCCTGAATATGAGGAACAAAAACTTCAACACTTTGTCAACAGTCTCGTTGTATTGCCTGAATATAAGGAACAAAATCTTCAACACGCTTCCATAACTTTAGGAACTGACGCCTGCTGCCGTAACAGTAATAGAATAGAATAGACCTGATGCCATGCAGATGAAATATATTATGCAAAAATCATGGGAAAGTTGAAAAACATTATTTGAAATTGGAACTGATTTCTTTGGAATCGAAACTGTTCATTATTTTCACTAAGTATTCATTGTAAGTTCATTGAAATTTCTGAACTTCATACGACCTATGCATGATCTGTAATGACGAGGAAACCATACAGACATATCTCTAATGACCCCCTGCCACACCACGCAATCAAAATCACGCTCCTCGACCACCCAAATCCCTTGTTTCTTCTTTACGCCTCATGGTTCTCCAGGATCTGCAAGGCATCCTTGAGCGCCGTGTTTTCTTAGAGCCTTGCAAAAGAACGTTTACTCATGTCCTATAGATTCATTTTTTATTCAAGAAATAACTGGTAAGCAGGAGATAAGAGCCAAGAATTACAGGCAGTAATAGGTTACCAATTACTTAAAGTATGATCACGTTGTACTACGAATAAGTTACTGACTGTCCTCCTGTCCTTAAATTTCATCCTCTAGGTTCGCCATCTCCTCCTCCTTCGATAATTGCTTATCGGCACAGGCCTCGGACTCGTATTTGAGGAAGATGAGTTGCTCTGTCTGACCACTGTAATCCTGGATCGTCTCGTACATGTCCTTTCCGTTCCCTTGAAAGGAAGCAATTGCCGGAGAAAGAGTTTCACTGGAGTGAAAAGGGAGTGGGAGCCATTGGATGTTTCTACATAGAATGAATCCGACATAGAATGAATCCGACGTTTAAGTATTTATTTACTTCTATATAATGGGGTGGGTACCTCTCCAAGTCCAATACTTCGACTTGAATGTTTCCAAATCAAAAGACTAGCAAAGATGCTACTAGAGATAACGAAAAAATCAATACCTGACAACACCCTCCTCTTCCGTTCGCTTGTCTGATATCGTCAAACTCGTGTCCTTCTGCAGATCCGCTTTCTCGGTCTCCAAGCGGAGGATTTCGCTGTGGGCGGTGTCGTAGGTCGTCTCATAATCGTTCATGAGGCCTTCCATCATGCCCAGTATGCCCGCCATACCACCTGTGTTGCCAGTGTAGCCAGATGACACATCAGCCTGAGCGGAATCACCGTAGAAATCGCTCTGCAGCATGGTGATAACGTCCTTCAGCGACTCCTTGCCATGCTCAGCAACGGTCTTGGCATTGGTGTGGAGGGTGATGTCGTGGGCAGGAATTAGAAGGTTGAAGGGAATGTGAATCTAGTACTGCAATTGATGATAACCACAACAGAATGTCGGCTACTGGGTTTCTGCGAATCTAAACGAATGAAAGAAACCCCTCAGCACGTCTCCTGTGTGAAGGTTTTATAGAACCACAAACTTCCCTGCTGTTTCTCTTACTTCCTTACACCATCTCCTCGTCTCATAACAGCTGACTGTTCTGTTCTGTGCAAGACTGTTTGGTGTCGCGAATTTGCTGCTCCAGCTCCTCTATTTTCGCATAGGAGTCCGCCATCGTGGCTTGGGCATCCTCAAGTCCGGTCTCAAATTTCGCAATATCCTTCTTGTTTTTGGTGCGCGTGTCCTGCAACTTGGTCTCCTCGGTGGTGCAGTACGTTCCACGCTTCAATTCATTGGCGGCTTCGGTTTTCAGACGCTCGATCAAATTGGCGATCATCACGCGGACCTGCCGGATTTACGTGAGTGCGTGGGTGGGTGGATTAATGAAACAAGATGGACAGATGGATTGAAGAAAGAAGGAATGATGAAATTCAATTATCTTCCTGAATTAGTTTGCGTTACGAAAAAGAAGTACCCTTGAAAAAACTTACTGTGAGCGATCTAAAGATAAGAGAGTAACCTACTACCTTCTTCAGTGGGTCCTTGCGCACGCTGGCCATGACGCTAGTGAGGACTGTGCTCTTCAGTTGCTTGGCCTTCTGCGAAATCAAGCTCATGATGTGCGATCGGTCGCTAGCCTCCTGTTCCAGAGCACCGGGGTTCCTGTACGCGCGTGCTCCACGCTGCAACAAGGAGCCACCTTGCTTTGCAGAGCCAAGAGCCTCTCCGACACGCGGGATAGACACCAGTCGGTCCTCCGGGTCATACTTGCAGGCGACGACAGCCGGCTTACCTTCCTCGGTCTTGGCTGGAGGCTTGGGAACCGGAGCTGCACCGAATTTCTCGTTGAAGGCTTTAGTCGTGGTGGCAACGACTTGCAGCTCCTTCAGGCGCTGTGAGGAGTATATGTAGTTGTAGGTAGAAGGATACACAAACTAGAAGTGGAGATTCCGGTCCACTCAACATCTATTTTCCATCACAGTGTCCCCTCAAATCGAGAACCCTTCAGCAGATCATTGATACCGTAGCCTCATCAGCGTCGTACTCGGCCTTTGCCTGCGTTGCCCTCTCCGTCTCTTGCTTCAAGGACGCAGTGTCCGTTTCGATTTGGACCTTGAGCGCATGCATTTCCTGGTCCAACTTCAAAACCGACGCTCGCTTGTCCTCCATCTCCTCAGTATCATCCTCAATTTTTTTCTTCAATTCCGCAATTTTGTTCTCCAAGGTTTGAATTTCCTTGGTAAGCTCGTTCTCACGCGTAGTCCACTCGGATCGGGTCTGGAGGGTTTGTGAGGTACTTTTTGTGACGATTAGTGACAAAATGAGAATGGAGTTGCCCGAGGTCGACCCACCTTCCTCAAATGGTTTCCTTAATAAGAATCCGGGTAACTTTGAAAACATGTGTCATTTGCAATAGCAAACCCAAAAACACCTACCTGTGAGAAATGATCGCTGATATCGCTCTTGAGATCGTCAAGCATTTCAATGAGAGCATCATGGCCCGTCTTGTGCTTCGACGGCTGCTCAACATCCTCTAAGAGGGCCTCGACTGCGGCGGAGGCTCGGTGGTTCAGGTGCTGCTTGAGGCTGGCGAGTCCGGACAGCTCCGAATTAGAAGAGGAGTATAGAGACGGATCGTCTTCAGGGTTGCGAAAAGGGGACAGGTGAACTACAGCTAATCTAAATAATCGCATTGGCCTTAGAAATCAAGAAGCTAATCTAAATAATCTAAAAATACAAGAGCGTCCTCCTGTTCCTTCGAAGCAGGTGACAAACTGTTATTAGCTAACAACTATTGGTCTTTCAAACACTTTCCACCCTCCAGCCCATAATGCTCTTCACTTGCAAAAGCGACTGCAAACCGTCGACTTTTTCGGTGGCTGCCTGTAGGGAATCCTTGGCCTTCTGGATTAGCTCCATGGCCTCTTCGGCTTCAGCCATAGTGCGCATGGCCTCAGCCTCTTCTTTCTTCTTCGTTTCCAAAGTGTCCTTCAAAATCTGCTCTGCGATTGCCTTATCTGAGCGGGGGGAGGTTCAAAATGTTTTATACTTCTACAGTACACGATCAATTATATCATTGCTATCACCAGATTGACGTCGAGGAGTAGGACATAAGAACACATTATAACACTTAGTTCATCGTAATCGTGGTTGCTACAGTTCACATTCCACCATCCGCAACAAATCTCCACAAACTAACAGGGGAAAATTCAAGTTGCTAGTACTAGCTTTCGTATGCTTGATCGAGCCATCGGATTTTGCGTCGGCCGTGAGGAACTCCCACCTCGCTTGGTCGACTTGCCTGACTCCCTCTCTCGCCTCATATTCCCCTTGATTTGTCTCAATCGAGGCCGTTGTCTTGTCGTACAGCTCTTTAACTGAAGAGGAATTTTTCAAATAAAATATATCATGCGAAAGTAAGTGGGTATCACCAGTGTTGGTAGAGATTTAGATTTTTTAGAACGTCGCATTTTTGCGGAAAGAGAGGTTTGATGTGCGTGTCAAGGTCCAAGATTTCTGGCGCCTCCCGCCACTGCGCCACTCCAATGGCCAAGCCGTGCTATTTCGCAGCAGCCCACCACAACTGACGTAAAGAGCCACGGTGTTTTTTTAGTCACTTCCTTTGCGTTCGCTGACGTCGTAACATTTGATTGTATCACACAATCATAATTTTCGTCCTCCAGCAGCAATAGGCTTCCAAACATCGAGGTCTCAGCGCGCCATCATAAGACCTCTTCCGACAGAAAGAAGGGTACCACGTTGCTGTTGACTGATATCATCTTTTCTTGTGCTTCTTCCAGTACTAATCCCGCCATCAGCGCAGCGTCGGGGTGCAGAAGGTACTTCTATTATTTCGTCGGAGTCGGACCGCCGTCCAGATGGTATAATTACTTCTACTACTATTTCGTCGACCGGCGAAACAAGGACGTAAAATAACCATCCATCAAAAAAAAAGTTACTACTTGTTCTCAAGGAGAAAAAGCAAGAACAATTAATAGATCCTTGTGTGAAGTACAGGTGCAACTTTTTTCCTCTTGCAGCGCCGCAGCCTCCTTTCCTTCGCTAATAGCTGTTTCCTGGAACGTCTCGAGGAGTTCGCGGACCTTGGTGATGCCCACCGGCTCCCGCGCAGCAGAAGCCGCGCCGGCGACGGCAGCTGCACCAACAAAGTGCCTCATATTTCCGTAGCTCTCGCAACCCTCACCAAAAATAAATGAGTTCTAGTGTAAACAAATTAAATTGATGTGCAATAATTTGTGTGGATTATAGAAATTCCTTTTCTCACTCATCTAATTATGGGAATTCAATACCTTGCGGATCTGGTACTTACCATATGATCGCCACGAATTAATTAATTTGAACACCCTTGATACGCACGTTAAAAACAGAAATAGGAAAACTTCGTTTCCAACATCACGGCTTAATGTTGATCGTTTCTTGTATCTCTGTCGTGATCAAGACTCTTCTCTCTGATCTCATCCTTCCATCAATTCCTGTAGGGCCACATGTCCTACCAGAACTAACACCAGGATCGATGAGTATTGATCTGTGCCTTCACAGTGAATGTTGGTCTTAGTCATGGACCTAACTGCTAGTTCCAGCTCCTTCGTAATCCCGTCATTTGCCCGCCGAACAAAATTGAGTCAATTGCGCTTGCCCTGGTTGTAAAAAGCGACGGGCTCTCCCCAAAAAAGACGAGCATTGGTGGGTTTGGAGTGGCCTCTGGTAGGGGGACACAAACACAATGTAGTTGGGATCATTGCTGGGAAAGAGAAAATGGGGATGAGTTGTTTTCCTCAAAGTCAAAAGCGCTGGATAGCGTTGCTCATCTTCAAAAAATAGCAGTCATATCGTGCTGATCTCCCTATACGCGCTGTTAAAATTATAAATGCTGCGATAAATCTGTGGAAGTCCCCACTAATGCTCCGAAAGTTGTTCAATCCGGGAATACTAGCCACCCGACCGCGCTCCCGACATAACAAGTGGCTGCTCTCCAGGTCGCATGAGGTCGCACACGCAGGAGTACTACTAACTCCTCAAGTACCATTAGTACAACTCAGACGTCAGCGAGCACAGGTATTCTTACTAACTGTTCACAACGAGGATGGACACGGACATCAACATCTTCATGTTGCAGTACTATAACTTACAACATGTCAATATCGTCTGTATCGCTGTCCGCTAAGATTTCGTCGAGCTCACGTGCTTCTTTTGTGGGGTCCACGTCTTCTTGTTGGTTGTCTTTTTTGCTAGGATACTCCATTCCTCGTACGCAGTCGTTGTACAGTTGGAGGCAAAAGGCGATTCTCTTGTGTAACTGCGCCTGAGGCTCCGCAGTGGAATAAACGTCGTGCAGACCCTTGGATACTAGTGCGTTCTGCTCGAAATCTATAGATGCACTTATCACGCCGTCGGCGATGGCCTATGGGATTATTTCATGTTGTGGGGAGGGGTTGGTGGTGGTGGTAGGACACTTCGGTGAGGAATAACAAAAAAATTTCGACTTCGGTTGAGGAACACGTCGAAAGCAATGATAGATACCTTGCCACAAATTCCCGTCGCATCCTCCACTGATTCTAGTCCGAGCTTTTTGCAGATATCCTCTAGGCTAATACGAGAGTAGCTAACATTGATCTTTCTCAGTCCCGTCTTGATCACGTTGTAGCGCAACCTGGGGAAGAACGATAGCAGTAGTAGTAGTAAACCCAATCCAGGGGTATGTCTTACAAGTGATTTGGGAAGGGGTTATTTGTTACCAACCAAGAAACCACAGCAATTATTAAGTTGTAGAAGAGGTACTCGTAGAGTTATGTAAGGAAGGACATAGTTACCAAGAAAACAAAAGTATGGGGCACCAAACAATCGTTTCGTACAAATGCTAGTAGAGGTTGTCATTGATCGCATTAAAAAAACGCATCGCATCGATGTGTACTAATAGTTTACTCTCCTACTACTTGGGATGGAGTAGTTACAGCTGTTAATCGAACCACTTGAAACAATACCGCATAATCAACGTGAGCGTTCCATCTTCCTTGAAGAGCGCTTGATGTCGGCTAACTACTTGTTCAAACTGCGGAACACTTCCGCCACGCACCGCTTTCGTAACTTCTTCGTAGGGCTGTAGGTACTCCTTAAATTCCGGTTGTAAAAAGTGCTTTCTCGCTGGAATTTCTCCCATCAACAATTCCACTGTCAAGGCAAACTTCCAAGCTAAGACCTTAAAAGCCAACGCCTTCTCCGCGTTCTGTGGCGCCTTGCGGATAGCCTGGAGGGTGAAGAGATATCAATTCAGTCTATGTTGGCCATGCGTACTATCCTAAGACTTCTGTCATCTCCAGCAATGACAAGATCAGAGAGTAGACCGAACGGCTCTGATAATTTCATTAATCGGGATCGCCTTGCTAGTTCATGTTATCCCCCGCACAACCGATCCTTACTTTCATCCAGTATCAGAACACCACAAGAGAAGTCAAAAAACTGCTACGAAACGCGCTACGTGCTTCCAGTGTCACTCTTTAAACTACGCCTGCCTGCACAGCTGTCAACCTACGCAACATAATGTCCATAACTAATACCTGCATCAACTTCGAATGCGCTTCCGAGTATTGTAATTGGATGCTCTTCATTCTCCCGATGTAGAAGAGGTATCTAGCGAATTCTGCGTTCGTCCTATTTTCTGGAAATGTTGTCTTCGAAACGAATTGAGCCGCTTGCTCAAACAGGTTGTGCTCCACATAATTCCGCAGGATTAAATTCAGAACGGTTGCCTGGTAGTTGATGGTAGACATTAACATGTTTTTGTGTTTTCCTCTACGGAAGGACCACGGTGCAAGTGGTTGCTCGATTTGTCTTGCGACGAGAGCCGGTCCGACTGAAATAAAGAATCGCTGTTTCACGATCAGGTGATAGAACATCTGCATCAAACTCGAATGATAGCCACGTAAAAATTTGATTCATGAATCAAAACATCATAATTATACCTGCGTCGCCGCATCTCTACGCAAACTCGCTGTTCGGTAGATCGCTAAAAGGTCGTTTCTAATCAAATCGCTATCCTTGAAAGCCCTCGCATAGTAACCGTAAATTCTTGACGCGAAAAAGTCCATGGTTCTTCGGTTCATCTTGCCTAATTGGGCACTTAATTGCGCACAGAACGTCTCCGGGTTGAGCCCATTTTTAAACAGATAGTCCAAAACCAGAATTGCGAAAAAGTAAGTGATTTCTGGGACATTGAACGCCTTCCCAGCTGCTTCCTTCAAGGCTGTCTCCGCCTCCGCTGGTAATGCCTGTTGTGTTTGGTGGGCAGTAAACATCACGCGTCTCAGACTATCAACAAACGATTTGATTTTTCTAATTAGATAAGCTACGTAAATCTGGATAAGCCACAATAGAAAATCAATATACCTCTTTCTCCGCCTTCAATAGCGTCAACATGCCCTCTTTTATGGGGTCGGTGTCAACCACAAATGTTTCGATACATCTTCTCAAGAGGGACCCCGTAATCCGGCGCTTAATCAAAGCTAACTGTGTCTTCGATAAGGTGCGCAGATCGACGCTCAACGTCGCCGTCTGTATGCTCTGTAGCTGCGCCACTAGGGGCATGAAAGAGGGAGCGCGGGAGAGGCAGAAAACAGAAAAAGCACTTTGATAAAGGAGCTGAGCCGTTGCAGCGCTGAAATACCAGCCAATCAATAAAATATAAGCCCCTGGTGCTTCACATTCACCATAATCTAGTCGGAAACGCTGGATGCAGAAAATAATATTCTTGTCACTTATTTACAGCGAGCACTGTAAAAAAACAGGAAGATCTTCATGGAAACTCAACATAACCTTCTGTATCAAAGACGCAACCTCGCTTTCACCGGCATTTTCCAGCTTCACGTCACCCATTTCTACGTCCGCACTCTTAGCAGGAGCAGCCGGCATCTCGAGTCCTTTTTCTACTATCGTAGTAGTCGACTTCTGCTCTGTTATTGGGATCTGCTCTGGAGCTCTCCTCCTTCTACTACTGAATACTCCAACAATAGAAGTACGTAGTACAAAACAGTACCACTTCGTTCTTCTTGTCACAAGTGTACTGGGAATACTCGGCTTGGAATATGTCGCTACTTCTTCTGATCTGACAAAAGCTGCGTCAGCGTCGGAGAAGTGCTGGAGACCATGTGATTTTTTTTCTACATTCAACTGCTTCGGTTTTTTGTCGTTACTAATCTCTACAACCAGCACCTGTCTTTTTGATATCGCTGTGAAAATAGATAACTGTAAAAATTGCGACCGGCGACCGACGTAGTTGTAACTTTTATAACAATGCAGGAAGAATCGTTTATATTCCCACTCTGTCTTAACGCACATGTCGCTATTCCATCCAATGACTTAACAGCAGGTGCCACAATGACGTTCTTCGAATTTTTTCATTCGCACGCTTCTCCTGTTGATTGATCTTCTGCCATCTGACTGAACTTTTATCTTACTAGCTTTGATGATGATGAGATACCCAGTAGTTTACTGAGACGAGCACGATGAGATACCCAGTTCCCGAAGTTCTCAGTTTGGGTTGAATCTATCTTACTAGATTTGGGTTGTAAGTATGATTCTCCGCAGGATGAAGAACAGCACGTATGACTTCAATCCCCACAAGAACTTTGGAGTGGATCGAAATCGATTTCATTTGTTGTTTTTGGAGAAGATACAACAAATTTCCATGATAGATTGCAAGTTTTCAAGAATTTGACATCGATAGTATCGTCTTGAAGATGCGCGCGCGTGTCCTCTTTGATTTTGATAGAATAATTGTGGTGTGGCTTGTCGTTTTTCCCCTTTGTTTCGTAGAATAAAATCTTCGTTATGTCTGTTCTCCCCACAAAAGGAGAGCCATTTCTTCTGTCTTTAAGAACCGTGCTTCATTATGTTCTACATCAAGACACACAGATGCATAGAAGTACAACTAGCTCACCTCCACCTACACAACAATACTAGTATGCTGTTGTTGATATTACCTTTACCTCCTAGCATCTTGTTCTGTGGAGGTAAAAATACTAGTACGCTAATCTTGTTCCGTTGTAGGGGTACTATTACTAGTACTCTGCTAAGCATCTTGATACCTCCCACCTTCTGTTGAGGTATTTTTACTGGTACTCTTCTAAGCTACCTCTCATATCATACCACACCACTGCCACCTCATTCCAATGTCATCCTCAGCGTCTTGAAAGGATTTGTTTCAGTTTGTTGTTGACTTGTTGTATAATATACTTATTTGACTCTTCTAAAAGTAGCTACAAATTATATGATGTTACGGTTATTGTTATACATGTTGTTGAATGAGAAGAAAAAAGTATTCATATCGCCCTTCTTGACCTCCTTAGATCTTGCTTGAAAAATCCACCTCTACGTATCAAGACAAGGATGAATTAATAATCTAACCCTAAATCCATAAAAAAAATCGTCGCGATACTATAGTTCGCCCACCGCACCGCGTCCTTCCCTTGCTCTGATGAGGTATTCTTCCCTTCCTCCTGCGTGTTGCTTTCCTCATCGTCTCCAGAGTCGTTGATATAGGTTGTTGCTCCTTTTCTCCTCTAGAAGGGCTCCTTCCTTCTTCTTCTACAAGATTCTTCTTCTACAAGATCCTTCTTCTTTTCCTCTTATGCGCCGAAACCGTAAAGATCGCGGCCCTTGCGCTTGAGCGCGTAGACGATATCGAGAGGCTTCACAGTCTTGCGCTTGGCGTGCTCGCAGTAGGTAGTGGCATCCTTCAACGTGGATTCGAGGAAGATACGAAGTTCGGATCGGATTTCATCATAGATCGGCTTGGAAATGCGCTTCACGCCACCTTTGATGTTAAATTTTTGGGGAAAAGGTAGGACATAATTGAAATCGATCTTCATGTTGTTTACCGGATGCTCTTGTAGGACATAATTGAAATCGATCTTCATGTTCTTGTTTACGAGAAACTGTAGTTTACCAGATGCATTTTTGGAACTTGTTCTCCATGTTGAATCTGTATAAAAAATACCTCGTCGCGCCAAACGGCGGATTGCTGGCTTGGTGATTCCGGTCAATGTGGAATCCTTGATCTGGCAGATACGCGCTTTTCCCAAGTTTTTCTTCTCCATGAGGTGTCCACCAGACTTTTTCGCCTTATTCATCACGGAATATTTGTCTCCACCTTTCTTCTCCTCAATCCCGAACATTTGGGTGAAAAGTCCCGGCTGAACCATAGCACCACCATAGGCGGCATTGGCTGTTTGTTTCGAGGTGGGGAGTGGTGGAGGTGGTGGCAGGGGTTTCTTTCGTTGATTGGTGGTCGGAAGAGGTTGGTTGTAAAAGTAAAGGAAGATAAAGAATCTATTTTTGTAATTGATACACATAAAACTACAAAAAAAAAAGTCTAGAAGTACATCCGAATTTGTATCCGGTGAAGGCGACTTTTTGTGCCTTCTTCTTGTCGAGATAGTTGCCATCTTTATCGTTCAGTTTGGCCTTCAACTGGTGGTATTTGTCATACTTGGCATCGGCTTGGTCCTCCTTGCCAAACTCAGCTCCCATTTGAGGATCCATTTTTGCGAAATAGGTGGTATTACTTAGGGTGGAAATGAAAAAACAAGTGTTGTGATGGAGGAACTAGAAATTGAATATTCTAGTGAGTCGTCGTTTTCTACTTAGTGCAAACAAGCAATAAGTTGAAGATGAAGCTTGAACTTCTTGGATAACACCTCTTACTTATTTACGAACTACTGAATGTAGCGCGACTCTCTTTTTCCTGTATTTTTTTGCATTTAAAAAACAAATCTTAGATGGAGAAAGGCTACGGAAAAAATGTGTATGATCTCTTAGATTCTTGGCACGCTTGTGCAGTGAAAAGCGACTTTCCAACTATTGCTTCTTATATTAAGTTGAAAAAAACAGATCTTGTCCTTGTTCTGTCTCGTTGGATGATCTTTGTTTGAGTTTCTTTTCCTTCAGCACAATCGCAGATTTCAGATCTTTGCGGTGGTATGATGGACTCATTCTCGGAGATGCAGTCGGTATTTTATGTTGCCTTATTTTCATTTCTTGGGATCTGTCTTTTTTGTGTGGCCATTCTATCAATTCAATCCTCATTCACATTGCTTTCCTTCTGCACTGTGAGAACACTCAGACTTAACATCCGAGGAAGGAACATCAAGCTAGGAAGCTTTCACTCCCCTTGAACTCTCTCAAGGGATTATTATCAAGCAGCATTTAAACTGGGCAGGCAAGTACATTCGATTGATCTTGTGTTTCGGTGGAACAAATTGCTCTGTAATTTGTTTCAAGACTGGCTCCTTCCCCAGTCAAAGCAGTTTTGATGAATGTAGTACAAGCACTGTTCTGCTGTTCCTCTGATCTTCTTGTTCCGAATGAAAATCCTCCGACAACTCCTTCTATTCATCTTGTTCTGAACGAAAAAGCTTTATTGCTCCCCTCCTCTACTAGTCACCTCCTAAAAGAAGATGACACTTCTAATCACATCTCCGCTCCTAATGAGTGAAGATGTTTTCCCCAGACCGCTTCTAGGGCTCCGCCTCCTCCGCGAGGAAAGCGGTCTTGGGCGAGTTCGCTCGTCGCAGCTTGGATGGGCGGTCTTGGAGCTGCAAGGTGGAAGCTTGCTGCTCGTCAACCTCGTGCTCGTGGGTACTGCGCACCTGATCCCGGAGCTGCAAGGTGGAACGTTCTAGTGCCTTCAGCTCCAGCTCTGCTTGAACTCTTTCTAGGAATTCAATGCTCAATTTCTTGCGCTCCGTCATCGTTCCAAGAGGATAGCCGTTCTTGTCTTCGGTTTGCTGGTGGTATTTCCCACCAAGAAAGTCCGCTACTACCATGTTGCTGTACGGCGGCACTGCGAGGTTCGCTCGCACACTGTCGAAGAGATAGGGATTTCCGCGCTCGCTTTCATCGTCGAAGTAGTACACGACGTAGGGCTTCGAAAAATCAATATATTTATTTATTCTTGATTTTTCGTTTTTAACCCTGTCTGCAAACGTGTTTGTCGCCGCATCAACGACACTCGTCGTGTCGTCCGCCGTATCCACGACACGCGTCGAAGACACGACACCTATGCGATGCCGCTGTCGTGTCGGATCGACGGAGAGAAAAAGAGCCACCGGCCTTGTCCGCGTCGGCCTGATGTCGAGGCCCCAAGCCCAAGATTGATGGGTGACAAGCTTTACTTCTTCCGCTAAAGGCCTTTGTCCAAGGATGTGGTCCATACGTGCGTTCAGCACCCGCGTTTCCACAGGAGAGAAGATTTCGCAGATTTGAACGGCGTTCGCAGCGTCGATGATGCCATCGCGAACCAGAAACGGAATGAGACCCGTTCCCGGATACGTCGTTGGGCGGGAATGCATGAGGCCCCTCGGTAGTGCCTCACGCGTTTTCGGCGAACCAAATGGAGGTCTCGAGGACATACCATCGCCCCATAGCCCACCAAAGACATCAGCGATCACAAGTTCCAGTGGTGCACTCTGTATGTGACCGAAGGCCACTACATCTCTCTCTGTCTCTCTGTGCGCGGGAACGAAGACATGCTTTTCGTACGGCTTATTGGGATCCGTGGTCGAGTACACAATAAGGATCTGCCAGGCTCCCTTTGCGATCTGGAGAGAAAAAGCTAGGGGCCGCATGGAATCGGAGTCGAATCCTCTTGTACTCGGAATAGAGTCTGGATCTGGAAGTCCTAGAAGTCGGTTCACGTACTCGTTCAACTGAGCGTTCGGCACCCCTCTGAAAAATCCGATCTCGCAGATTTGAACGGTTTCTGCATTGTCGATATGGCCAGTACGAACAAGGTACGGAATGAGGCCCGTTCCTGGCCGCTTCCTTCGTACCGGCTTACCTCCGAGCGCAGCGACGTGCGTCTGGGCCGGACAAAGCGAACCGGGATTCGTCCCAAGCTTACCAAAACCAACAGCAATGACTAACTCCTTCGGCGCATTCCGGATCTGCTTGATGAGGTAGTCACCTGTTCCGTCTCGAACTCCGAAGTGGTACGTACGCAAACTACTCCAAAAATCCTCCACCGAAACGTCCGAGTATACCACAGCCAGCTGCCGGTTCTGCCGTTCAAGGTTCTCAAGATAAAAAGCTGTTGGCCTCATTCTTGTCTTGAAATCAGATGTCCACTCTTGACCTGCAACGTGACCAAGTCCGCCGGCAACTGATGGCTCTCCATTGCTAAAATTTGGCAGTCCAAGTTGTTTACTAACGTGGTCATTCAGATGAGAGTTCGGCAGCCCCCTGAACAATCCGATTGCGCAAATCTGGCCAGTGGTCTTAAGAGGAATATACGACTTCTTCCAAGAATGAGTTGTTTCTTCGCCTACTACTGTTGTTTTGAGGTAGGGTGTAGTGAGACTCGTAATCAGATCGTCTCCCGTGACAAATCGAGGATCGAAGCCCCGCTGATCGTAGTGGAGCGCAGTACTAGCACCACAGGCCACGTGGATGGATGAAATCCAGATCCACATGACCAGGCCCAGCATGGTGCATTTGCCCATTGTATTGATCGTGTAGTCGGAAGAAGAAGTGTTTCGTGACAGTCACTATGCTAGGCGAACAAGATAGTATGCTGTACACCTCTGAAGAGTTCTAACCTGACGAAAGACGACCTCTACGGCTCTTCCAAATCTTCATCTGACTGTACTCAAATTGTATAAGGAAAATCAAAATCAGTGGTAAATCACGGAGGAAAGGTACTGCTAGAGACGAGGAAATCGAGGAATACGAATACCTAGGAGTGAACGATAGTAGCAGGATACTCAACCCGAATGACCCATAGAACGACGCCTAACACGAGTGAGCGACCGACGCTGCTGTGTGTGTCCGACCGATCATAGTGGGAAAAGATTCTCTTCCTTTGCGGTTTCGTTCTTCAAACCGATCTTTTACACATCAGTAGAATATATTTCACCGACTTATGAGAGTAGTTTCAGGCCTCCGATTACAAGAGGTCCAGTGTGCGAGTTCTAAGGAGGCTTCTTCCTTGTGTCTTGCAAATTTGTTGAACCGACTACGACTCAATGTGGTGATCCGCGACAAAATCTTCGACTGCGAGATTAGTGATATCGGTCCACAAGGCTTTAGCCGATGGGCGTACGGCAATTGCTATGCGTCATAAAGTCAATCTTCAAGTCCCCTTCTGTACATCGCTGACGTCTGGAAGGAGATAGAGATACAAGTATTGCAGTCAAATTCAGAGTCCGAAAATGCCCGTTCATTCTGAAAGCCAATGTTGAATTTAGTGACGTCAATGGTTAAAAAAAAAATGACAATTTTACCCAGTGGTAGTGCCAATGCATGGTACATTTTTGTGTTTTTTTTTCCGAATCGAATGCTTAAAATGTCATGCCGAGCTCTTAATAATATGTGCCATTTGTCCCCAAATTATATCAAAGAGTAACGATTCACATCTCCCGGTATCTAAAGTGGCCTCACATATTTTACAGTTACAATTTTTTACTTGATTAAATACAAAGAAATCAGTTTAGCATATCTTACAACGGTCCTCACTCCTCAGACACATCTAGCTCAAAACAAATTTTTCAAATGGATCCATCACGTGCATTATGTACGTCCTGCAATGAACATTGTTTTACTTGCTCATCGTAATGATTTTCACACACCTTCCCTTGTCGAGTTATTTTCAACTCTAGTACAATGAGCTTGTTCATTTCATCTAGGCTCTTCTATTTTCAATACAGACAAACCTTCCCCGTAGGTATCGAGGCTTTCTAGCCGCCATAGTATCTAGGCTATCATCTAGCCTTCCGCGTAATCATCAAGCCGCCATAGTACCTAAGCTTTCTAGTCTGCTTGCTCCCGTGCCCTTCAGGAAAAACCCCAACTCAACCTGCAACTCCTCAATTGAATACTTTCCGCTCGATTCCGCCTGACTCAAGTAGCAGATCCATTCTGCGTAGGAAATCCTCTTGTCTCCCGATGCATCAGCGCGTTCTAGCATTTCCTCTACGAGGAATTTCTTGGTTAGAGGAGGTTATTCTCTTCGAGAAACAAAAATCCAGGGATGGTTTAGTACTGGAATATGTAATACTATAGATTAAAGTTGTAACGACCCCAGAGCAGATGTATTTGATCTTATGAAATTTGGTGGAAAGCCTTAACTTGGTACGATCTGCGACTTTGGGTTTGTACATTTTTTCGAGTTCGTCGCGGGATACGAAGCCGGAACCGTCCTTGTCCATCTCGTCGAATACGGCATCGATCTTCGCTTTCCATGCCTAAAAGTGAGGAAAGAGAGACACAAAAGTAGTTTTTTAGGCTAGTTACAGTGACGGATATTAGGCTAGCTATGATGAAGAAGATGAAGAATCTAGACTGTGAAGAATGAGTTGCTGTAGTAGGACGACACTCAATGTTATGAAATTGATTGGAGATGAGTAATTCGAGATCTTCACACAGATTCTAAAATCTAGTAGTACTTTTTGATAGAGTTCTTTCCCAGTGATTTCATCCGACTTCTTGGCCATCTCCTCCGCTAGGACTTTTATCGATTGCATGCTATCTGGCGCCAACAGTTGATCGTGAGAGCTAAGCGCCGCGCTCACTGCTTCGGTGTTCAGCCTTCGTACTTCATGTGCAAGTTGTGCAAAGAGACCGATCAGTCTCGGACTCACTTCTACACCTTGACAGCCGTCGACATTATGGTTTCGACTGTCGCTGACCTCTATTGCAATCCTCTGCAGGCATTTGAGGACATGCGAGAACTGAATTCCCTGTTGGGCACCTCTTTTTAAGAGTCGTGGATATTAGAAGTGGGAGAAGAGGCGGGGAAGTTTTGTTGGGAATGGAAAAAGGAAGGGTCAATCACATTTTAGCTTTAGGCGCTTTTTGTGAGCTCGAAGAGACCGAGCTCTAAATTCATCTTAAGGAACCTCTCATTATTTCGAGTCAATATTACAATGATCTGACCGTCTGCTGCAAAAATCTAAACCTCATCCTTCCAAATGAGCATGAAGATGAAGTAAGCAACTTCTAATGTATGAAATTTTGCATCCATAAGTGCACGTTATCTTCAAAATCAGCGACACAATCCGTGCGTCCGTGTTGTTGTTCTTCTTGCCCAGTAAGCGCATGCACTCTGCCATCTTTCTGATTTTATGGACCTGTGACGACGTCACGCCAATGGAGACTTCCGGTTGGAGAGAGTCTTTGTTCAGTGCCCCAGCCAATTTCGCTACGGTAGGTTCCAGGGATCGAGGCATGCCAGACAGCGTGAGTCCTTCGCCCAAATAGAAGTCGGCTAGTTGTTTGAGACAACCAAAAATTTCTGGGTCCTTGCGAATCAAAGCAGCGTCCTCCTCCCACCAATTCAGAGATTGGGCGGTTTGGTTGTTGTTAGAAGTGCTTCTGCTTGTTTTAAGTGTGATACAGAGCAGATGTTGTAATTGATAGATACAGAGATGACTGATTGATTGATTGATTGCTGCATGGTGAAACAGACGACCTTGTTGACTAAAAAAAATCTGTCAGAAAAGATAATGATAAAGAATCACCACTGACTGAATGACTAACAGACAGTATAGCACTGTCCTTCTCCCAGTAGACAATGTAAGTAACCTACTTCCTGTTTTCTAACTCGTTCGAGAAGTAAAACAACAATCTCAGCCTTCTAGGTCTATCCATCCATAACTGTAATATCCATTCCCAATAGGTGTTCTCGTCGTTTTCGTGCAACCACGTCCGCAGCATGTTCACGCCCATAGCCAAAAAAGCGTTTTGCAATTTCGCCGTTGGACATCAAATCTTCCGGAGCCTGCTGAGTTCTTGTATTGACTGGAGACGAACCTCCATCATTAGAACTAAGACGAGTGAAACCCATCTTGGTGGGCATCTTGGTGCTCGTTTCGCGTTGTGACAAACGGAATCAAGATGCTTGGGAATGGGAAGATGCATTTCGTGTAGAAGTCTTAACAGTAGCACAACTATTAGGAAACGTTGGACTCGTAGGTGCGCTCTTGTCGGCTTGTAGCTTATGAATATTTGGTGAAGAAACTCCGCCTCCACCAGTTCCCCGGTCCCTTGCTGCAGGAGACAACGACCCGGCGTTACTTCTTGAGGGGCTCTTGGAGTGCGAAGGACTACCGGAAATTCCCAGAACGCCTAAACCTGCTGCCTTCGCCAATAGACTCGCGCTGTGTGCTCTAGCCGCACCGCGAAGCACGTGAACCCCGCTGGCCATACCTTTCTCCACGGGTCTTTTCATTGCAGGCACTGCAATCTTGCTTCCCCGCATCTTCATCATGACATCAGCTGCTTCCAGTTCACTAGCTCCTGCCGAAGCACGAAAGTGAGTTGGGCTAACACTGCGCTGGGGGCTTCCACCTCCGATGACGAGTCGACCTGCGTTACCCAGATCTGAGAGCAAATGGGCACGAAAGTTTGCGCGGAAACTTTCTTGTGGAGCCGATGTGCCTCTGGCGGCCATCGTTTCTGTGACGCCTCTCATTCGCGCTTCGTGCTCAGCGATGGCAGCCCACTTTCGTTCCGTCACCTCATCTGCCGACAGTTGATGGTACATGGTCACTCCAAACCCTTTCTGGCCCGACGGCTTGATTCCTACGCCTCTCGGGATCAAATCCGGACCGAACTGAGGCAAATAGACGGCGTTGTTCCTAGGGATAGAGGGGTCTGGCCGCCCAACTTGGTGGATCGGCATTACGGCTTGAGTCACGATAGGCGGAACAGGACCACTGACGTCATGACCAATGCCGATGCGATCACGCTCGGCCATCTGTGAGGAAAATGAGTGGGGTGGATGCTTGAGAAGTGTGTATTTCCAAAATTCTGTTGAGTATGGGTGCACACCGTCGCTGAGCTGCATACAACGTCAAAGTAAGTGAGGTCAACGGCAATCAATAAGCTCAATCGATAATATAGGTTCAAACGAGAAGTACCTTCGCACTTTCGACACTGAGTTTGTGTAGATGCGATTTCATGTGGTCTAGATCGCGCATGGAGTCGGTGACGTTTCTTTTCATTGGCGCTCCCGTATCTTCGGAGCCATCGATGCAGAATCGTGTAGACATGATAGACCTCTTGGAACTTGGAGGACTTCGCAACTTTTGGGGAGGTGTCGTTTTCTCATTATCACTTAAAACATCCACTGGTGGTGGGTTCGCGTTCACCTGCTCGTCCACTGACCAATGCAGGGGAGGTACCATTTCTGTTGTGGTGGTGTTTTATGTGAGGAGAGATATTAGGGAGTGATGAAAAGAATGTAGTTTGATGAGACTTGAATTGCACTAGTGTATGCTCGTTCTTGGCTACCAGGTATTCAAGAACGAGCATACACATAGAAGTTGAACTCCACTTCTGCCTCCAGCTCAAAAATTATGTCGATTCCAGTAGTTTATCGCGTACTTATGACTTCGCCCAACGAAAACGTCAAAACAAACACACCTGCTTGAGTTCCCCTAATCAGGCCATATCTCCAAGCCGAAATAGCCTGAAAGACTCTAGTACCTTGACTTCCCCCACCAAAAAGGTAAAAACAAACATACCTGCTTGAATCCCGCTAGCTGGCTGCATCCCTCCTGTGAAGGCAGTCTCGTTGATGTCCGGGTAGTATTCCTTGGACTGCAGGCCAGGATTTTGCATGTTTTTATGCATCCTCCGCATTTCCACCTCTATAGCGTCCTTGGTCAGGCAAGTGACGCCCTTCATTCCACGAGAGAGAGGCAACGACATCTCGTTCGTTGGACTTGTTTAAGAAGAAGCCAGAGGATAGAAAATATGGATAGAAGATAGAGAGAAATTGATGTCTCAAGGAAAACCAGGATTGACTCCGGTCGAAGAAAGTAGGAAAGGAAAAAACCCTCTGCGCCTCGACGAAGGACTAAAAGGATAAATCAGCAAAATGAGGCAGGGTAATAAAAGGGTTGGGAGGGGGTCAAATAATCTGGAGGCCTGAGAATACATGAACAAGAAAACATATTTCATTTATTGTTTTCATAACAACGAACGCCGTCTCCACTGCAAAAGACTCCGCATCGGACAAAGCAAGAAAAACAGAGACTCCTTTTTGCACGGATCATGATGCCTGTTTCCTCAAGACAGACAAAAAAGATCTAAAACAGAGGAGTTTCCACGTCTTTCATACGGATATTACATGAAAAGCACCCTCTGCTCTTCTTCACACAGAGACTCATCTCATACAGAGTGACAGTAGGACTTTTCGCTTCACAGATCATACGGCAGTGTTCACAACCAAGACTGTCGACGACATAACAGACGCTCTTCTCTTTTGCCACAGACGTACACTTCTTGTGAGGAACTTCTGAACAATTTCGAATGGAGAGAGCAGGAGGTATCGTCAGGGAGCATGAAACTGTCTGGTGCTCGTGGACAAATTCAAAGCACTTTAGTTTCTTAGATGAAAAAGTTATCTACCAGAGCTGTCTGACTACCACTACATCATTCTCCTCTGTTCAGAATATTCTTACCCTTTTGTTATCAGAGTCCATGTGTATCTCTAGTGGTACAAATTAGCGTACTCATCCTTCTTCCCACACAAAGACAATGTGCATGTCTTTTCTCTACGAAAACCCAAACGCGTGTAATAAAGCCCTCTACCACACTGATTCGTAGGCGAATTTCCACATCGTCACATGCCGCATCAGCGTGTCTACTATCAAGTAGCAGAAATTCGTCGTATGTTCTCGCTTGAAGAGGCCGTTGGGTTAGAAGCGGTAATTAAAACTATAGCTAGTATATTGTGACGTAAAAGAGGTACGAGCTCTATTTGTGAAAGGGAAGAAAAAGGAAGTACTCTGTGACCACGGACGATGTACGTAATTATCAATCTCATCGCTCCGGTAATCTAGTACTTGGTTCTTCCATCTCTGTGTCCTTCGTTCATAACCACTACTCGATTTCCTCGCGCTTCCGTCGTGCAGGCCTGTGACCTCGAAAACCATACTGGTTACCTCAGGTTCACCGTCATCGCGCTTTTTTACACTGACCAGATCTCTGACAAGTTAGAAGAAAAGAAGAAAAAAGTAAATGTAAAGACTACATTGAAGCTCGAACAAAGGACTAGTTTTGAAGCCCGAAGCCCTCGGGTGGAAGTGGACTTTCTGGGAAGCACAAACGTGATGGAAAGGACGAACTCGTCACAAGTGAAGTAGTCGGTAGTTGCGAATTACTAGAAGTATTCGGTAGTGAATCCTTTGAAAGCTGCTAGACCTAGAATCTTCATTCATTCTAGTCGTAAAGAAAAGCTTTCGTCGCTTTCAAGTATTCGGAAATGTCATCCTCGTACTGGTTTGTCGCTCCCCCCATCACCAAATGCTGGAAAATCCGAAAGATAAATTCCTTACGCTCTTTTGCGTGAGATTAGAAGACGCAAGAATAAGTACGTACAAGATTCAATTCATCGTTGTTTGTATCATGGGCACGTAAGGTAAGTGTAGCTGCATTAATGTGACCTACCTTTTAAAATAACTACACTGGAAAATAGTACCACATCAATCCCTTCTACGTCCTACTCATCATATGAGAATTGGTTTCTACTTCACTTAGAAAATTTCATCGTCCTGGAATGTGTCTTCTATTCTGCTAAGTATTGTAGATGTAACTCCAATCTGATAATCTCCTGTCATGTTCATCGTAACTGTAAGTATCGTATAGATCGGACTCCTCCATGTAGAAGACTTCGCGAATGAGATTATTCACCACTACGTCTCCAACGTACTCATCCAATCGACCCTTGATATGACCAGAGCGACCGACTGCGCCACACTCTTCAAGCTTCTCGAACATAGCCATGCTAGTTTCAGTAGTGCTTATATCCACAAGGTCTACCTGGGTTTGCGAACTGTTGGGCCTAGAAGAAAGAAGGTTGACAATTCTTGGACTATAATTGATTCAGGACACGTTTAACTCGATGAGGGCGCTGTTGGCGAAGACTACCAATCATGTAACAAACAATTATTTTTTGAAAGCGATTTCGAACTTACTTTGTATTCACAAGTCGAGAGCAACAAAGTAGTCGTCGGTTACAACATCATTGCACCTATAAAAGACCAAACGTCTAAGCAAATATCATACCTCCAACCCGCTCGGCTTTAACACTGAGATGCCTAATGCTTGGAGTGCGGGTCGATTTTTTTCGCTCCTGAAGAAACTCCGCACTAAATTACGTGCTGCATCTCGTGTAGATTAGAGCTACCGCGTCGCGTCTTCCTACTTTGAGAGCCATATCCTTCGACACTTCTTCTTTCCCTTGAAATAGAGACCAAGGATAATGCTGATGAGACTCCTTTGGGAGAACAAGAATCATGATCTAAAGGATGCGTTTTTCCTGTCAACTTGTTTGTTAGTAAGAAAGTCAAGCCCCCACGGAAAGGGAAGCTATATCAAGGCTACCAATAGCAGTACCAGGTTATATCTCTTGTCCTTCTCAGCCAATAACTAGTACTAGTTGTCTGTAAGGTTGCCTTAAGTAGGGCACCGTTCTTCAAATCGCCATTTGCCGACACACATTGATTCGCCAAGACCCCATTTGGTCAACAACATTTGGAATCCTCGATCCGTCCACATGCGAAACTTAGCCTCTGGTAAGGAGTCTTAGACCATAGTGTAAGTAGTAAGTAGGCCAAAACCGAGTAACGTGCCACCTTGCATAGTGGAAGTAGTAAGTACTTACACCAAAACCGAGTAACGTGCCACCTTGCAACATAGTGTAAGTACTAAGTAGGCCAAAACAGGGTAATATAACGCGTACCACCTTGCATAGTGTAAGTACTAAGTAGGCCAAAACAGAGTTTGTAACTAAGCTACGACTAAAATAAATGGCAATGACTATACCGTCCTAGGTTACTAGGTAGTGAGGTCCTAGTATACACACACGATTCTATACTGGTCAACTTCACGCGATTCTATACAGGTCGCCTCTGATTTGAAACACTGTCTTCCACACAGACACACAGACAAACACAAAGCCATAATAGTGGAACGTGTAGTCGCCTCTACTCTCGTCGTCCTCTTCCGCAGTAACGTCATCCGAACGACCGTCCAGAGACCGGTAGGGGTCATGTGCAGCGAGAAGACTGGAAAGGGACGAAGCCTGAGCGTTCGAATATTAGCGGGATTCATCCGGCACGAGTTTTAAAATTGGCCAGCCTTCCCTCGATTTTGAAAATTCGCCAGCCTTTCGCCCTCTTATTGGGGTCACTATTTTGATAATGAGCGACATCACACATTTGTGATCGGAAATGACGCACCTGAGGTCAGCGGGGTGCCTCGATGGTCGAGAGCATCGACTAAACATACACTGAGTGCTACAGAAAGCTCAAAGGCAAGAAAAGCGTCATGGCAGTACCTCTGCTGCAACACCTTGCAAGTTGCGTAAGTAGCGATGTCTTCACATAGAAGAAGCTGTCTTCACGTAGAAGTGGCGATGTTTTCACATAGATACTTCTTACATTTTTCATGAATTTTGAATTTGAAAACAACTAACGATACTAGCGATAGATATAGAGTTCTACTTTCGGCCTTACTTTCTCACAGAGGCAGATCCCGAGTCGCCTTCGAGTCCGCCTGCGAGGGCTGACGACAACAGCTCGATTCCGTTAGATTCCGGCATTCTTTTCCACTATTGCGAAGTAATGTGAGGCTACCAAGAGGTACCAGGCTACAACTAAGCTAATCCGAGATGGGATCGATATACTTTACCAATCTTCTTTTCGCTTATAATCCACCCCGTACAAACGATTTTTACCTGCTTGAGGGCTTGTATAAGTAGTTTTCTCTGCTCAGTCAGAGGACCATTTTTGCCAATGTAATCGTTTTTCAATGTAATGAAGGTTCGAGCTACTTTTTGGAAGCCTACAACAGAGGCCAGGCAAATCATCATTTCTCAGCCGTTGCCTCTGATCTACTGCCTAGCAGTACGCGAAATGCATTCGACGCTTCGGAGAAGCATTCAATTCAATGCTTCACAGACGCATCGCCGACACTGTGTTCATGCTGGAATCACTGTGATAATCATAATCCTCAAAAGGTAGGTAACCTAGGGTAGGTTGGTTGGAATAAAATTGAAAGCGTATCTACGTACCACGACACATACACGATAAAATCACATTAAACACACAAGGCTAGTATCCATTCCTCATTTATTTTCTGTTGCTTTCTTCAGTTTCGAAAAAAAAACCTGGGCATCATCCAGAAAAATAACAACTGAGCATGAATGCATAAGGACACAAAAAAACAGTACAAAATAGGTCTACACATCGATCTTAGTGTAATGATGTTCGGCGCCGTACCAACATGACGAGTAACTATATGCTTAGTTAGCATGGGATTCTTAGATAGAGAGTATCTGAGGTACATCTTCAAAGGTCATCTCCAAAGAGTTACTTCTTCCCTTTTGGTGACGCATTTTTGGCGGCTTCGGCAGCTTCCTCCTCCATCTGCAGCTTCATTTGCACCTCGAAGCTCTTATATCGCGCTTGTCTGTCCTGAACTTTTGTTGCTGAAGTTAGACAAAAATGCTGGCGTGTACTAGTGTACCGCGTAAAAATACATCGAAAGAGTGTCCTCTCATGAGGCAAGTATGGCAGGAAATTTGGGATCCTTGGCCGTGAGCACAAAAAATGCTACACATCTCCTCAACAAGAAATTGACGGTGATTCTACTACAATGTGGATTCTACTACAATGTCTTTAGTTGTAGATTCTTCTCCAACACCATGACACATAACTCTATCTCTGCCTCAGAAACAACGCCGCCCTCTGCTGCGCTCTCTGCCTGAAGCCTCTGATCTTCCTGCTTTTGGAGCTCCTCTGCCAGCTCTGCGAGACTGCTTTTTCGACCTGTGGGGGATTAGAAGTTGAATAGTATCGCTTGTTGTGGCTTGTTGTGGTTGTGGTACGTACCATTGCTCAAGCTCGTTATTTTTACCCAGTTAGTATCAATTCGTGACGCTAGTTGTTGTGGTAGAAGTAAGTACTACCATTGCTCATCCTAACTACACATCACTGTTCTTGGCTAACAGAGAGTTAGAGTTGTACTACTAAACTTGTTCTTGGCTACTTAAGATCAACAGCATTCTCAGTAGATTCGGCACTAAGGCTACGTGCGCATCAACATCATCTTCGTCATCTCCTTTGTTCTGTGTAAGTAAAAGTCTAAGGAGCTTTGTTCTGTATAAGTAAAAGTCTGAGGACATCATCTTCGTCACCTCCTTTGTTCTCTAAGTAAAAGTCTAAGGAGCTTTGTTCTGTATAAGTAAAAGTGTTCTGTAAGTAAAAGTCTCCCAGTTTTATCAAAGCAAGGCTGTGTCTCTCCTCATAAAAGTAAGTCGTCGCTGTTTCTTCTCGGTCGAGGAAGCTTCGCATCAGCTCTTTCTCCTTGGCACCAGGTCGTATGAGGTTCTTGGGCAGTTGCATCACATGCAAGTGGCCGTCTGCATCGCCAATAGCTAGCATATTCTTAACCGAATCCTCCGGGTGAAAGCACATACTGCTAATCGCGCTCGAAGATGGTGTGCCGATTAGAAAAGAGGGCGGGAGGGTAAGTGGATAGAGAGAAACAGAGAGACCGAGAGGGTAAGTGCATAGATAGAAAAAGCGACCTTGACGGTGAGAACATAAGAACAAAGCAATGATTGGAAGATATAGTGGTGACTGGGCTGATAACCATGAGAACATAAGAACAAAGCAATGATTGGAAGATATAGTGGTGACTGGGCTGATAACCATGATTTTTACCTCATGAACACGACACTCATTTGATAGATAATCATGAATTTGTGATACTGAGGGTAAGTATCCACTAATTCAGCATGATAGTACGAAAAAGACACACATGCTAGCCATAAGAAGTGTAGAGAAGGCTTGTGGCTCTGGTCGGAGAAGTCCCACACTTCGACGCCGCCATCCATCCTGCCCAAGTAGATGACGCACGGTCGCGTAGGTGACCAGCAACCGCACGTGAAGTAAAGACATTAGTGAATGCTGGTGAGGTTTGAGAAAGGTTGGTAAGACGGATTGACATCTTGTCATCTACATTGTAAGACAGTGGTGGTGAGACAATACACAGGGAATTTTGGTACTCCGTGGTCGTTATTTCATCTCCTGTAGCACTATACAGAAGGAGGAAGATACTAATTCTAGTTCACTACAACTATTCATTTGTAAGTCAAAGACAACTTGTTCAGAGGATCCGCGGAGCTACTAGCTCGCTTTTCTTCTACAACTGCATTTTACAAACGATCGCGCCATATCTAGAAGGTGCTGGCGATGCGAAAATTGTAAGGGTTTCCTTCCAGATGTAGAATCCCCAATCGTTCACGCCCAATAGCATTTCCGGAAAAATCGGCGACCGCTCAAGGCTCAGCATTGGCCGGAAAGTCTTGCCCACTGTGGTCTTAGAAGAAGCGCACGTGGGTGTGGACAATTTGTTGGATATTTCAACGTAAGTAGGTTTGTTATTGTTTGTCTTCATGATCTCACACTATGAATTACTGGTATCGCAGTAGCACATCATCTCAGAAGCCGTAAAAACAAGTTTCTTGACGAATTCGGGTTTTACGCCTTCATCCCCTCTCGCCGTCCAGTCCCCGTACACTAACTCGCCTTCCTCTGTGCTGGCATAGAAATTTCCCAAGTTGGGGTCGCCGACCGGTCGCTCGCAGTACAGCACCTCGCAGCAACCCATCTCTGTTCCGCTATCTTGTCTGGACAGCTGGACTCGATGGACTGGAGAGGGCAGAGATTGAAGGCACAAGTATGTATCTATAGTGACGATTCATCTATAGCATGCTACTCATAATCATACTTAGTAAGGAATAAATGTGTACTTTTCAAAAATAACAAAACACACACCACAACAGACGTGTACCGATGGTAGGCAGAAGTATACTTCTAGTAAGATTCATCTATTCTATAGCATGCTACTCATAATCTTTAGTAGTAACATTCATCTATAGCTGCATGCCACTCTCTATATTGCGATCCCAAAAGTGCGACAAAAACTGTCACCTCCTACTCTTTGAGAATCTATAGTAAGCACTCATCATTAGTAAGTAAGTACTCTTAGTAAGTACTCTTAGCAAGAAGTCGGACTTCTTGCTAAGTGAGGACTTAGTCCTCCTCATCTAAAAATCTCTAGTACTCGGTTTCCACAAGAAGTCACTCTCTCCCGTTTCTAGTGCTTCCTTCGCAGCTGCGAAGTCCCATATGAGAAATTGCCCGTCCCCAGCTATGGAGCAAAGATATCGAACTTCCCCATTTTCTGGTCCTTTGTCGCCAGTTTTTGCTGAAAGATGGTTAGTAGTTTTGGAGTCTCTCTGTTCTGCCAACAAGAAGACTGGGGTTCATCGTCAGAGTCAGGGAGTAAGATGCGAAAAGACTAACAAATTCGGGATGTTGATGTTCCTCTACATGGCTCCAGGTAGAAGAACACCAAACAAACATCACCATTTAAAAAGTACCTTTCTTTCCCTCTATCGTAATCCGCGATGGAAGCCAGCAGAAACTATTGACTGCTTTTTTATGTGATTCATCGATTATGCTCACCATTTTATGCGTAATCTGTGGTACGGTTTGTCCTGCACTATCGTCATCCGATTTTGAGGACACGTTCTTCGTCGCGCTGATGTTGGGAGAAGAAAGGGAATCAAGACTCGAAGAATCTTTTCGAATCCCAACGAATCTGAGCACAGTCTCTAGAGCTGCAGCAATCTACATATCACAGAAGACTATTCAATCGTAGTCGATTATCCGTCAAAAGGCTTCAATCAAGACCCATTCTCCTGTGCGTAGCTGCGATTACAAGAGCAAGATATCTCTTTTTTGTACTAGCAAACTTCATCTACATATCACAGGAAGAGGAAACTATATCGTGTGTAAAATGGAGTTGTACCCAAGATCAAGCGGCGAGAACCTCCATATGATCAGCTGACCGTTCGCAAGGCCACCTACTAGATAATGTCGGTCCTGAGGATAAAACCGCAATGTCGAGACGTCGTAAGGCGCAAGGTGAATTAGATGCCGTTTGTAATTAGCAGGTGAGAGCTGGCTGAATGAGTGGAACAATACAAGCTTGAGGGTGGCTACTGGTGAAAACAAGATTCAACATGTTGTAGCAAGGTAGGACAACTTACTAACTAGAGTCAACTAAAACCAACGCTATCTATCAGAAACAGAGTCAATCTTCCCATAACAAACTCGCATGTGGTGCTAAGGCGTCAGCGAAAGACCACAGGAGGACATAGGACGTCGCTGCTTTAACGGCGGCTAGTGTCCTATCACCGGTTGCGTCAACGCATGATACAGCAAGCAGCTCGCTGGATCTGAAGGGATACGTAGTTTGAAAAAGGGTTAGGCTTCTAGTAGAACATGAGTAAAGTTGGCTAGCAGATGAAGCAATGACACAAGAAAAAAAAGCTTTCTTGGCTCCTCTCTTTAGTACAAACGGTCACGTATTTTACAGACAAAATGAACACCAGGAGCCACATCCTTCGATACTCCGAAGCAGACATATTATTGGTTGAAGTAGTCTAACGAACAACAACTACATCAGCATGTTAATCGAGCCACATCCTACCCAGGCACCCACTGCGTTGCTTGTATCCTCTTGTCTTTTGTGAATGCGACGTCGTGGAAATTTCGAAGTTCCTTGATTTAGCGGTCGTAGGCTTTTGATGTTCGGTATTTTCCCCGTTCGTTATGCCTAACCCTAAACCCTTAGAAGAGGCAAAACGAACGTTTTAACAGGTTGAACACCTTTAACCTACCCTTAATTGATGTTGCTGGTCGCCTTGGACCCGAATCCCATGTCCTCGTCTCCAAGACTGTCAAATTCAGCCTTGAATATATCAAAAGTCTCACTCTGTTGCAACGCTTCGTCCACTTGCTGAAATACACGCTGCAAAAACGACCCAACTGCTCCCGTTTCCTCGACGAAAGCCTGAGCGTTGGCAGAAGATGTCATGTGCGGTCGTGCTGTTCGTTGGATAACTATAATCATGACCATGAGGCTAAGATCTTGCTCGAAGTAATACGGGATCGATTTTCATCATCCATTTACTCATGTTTCAATCCTGACGAGTGATTGCGACTAAAAAATACGTACACTTCCCTAAGAACAATCCCGGCAAAGTAGTACTTATCAAATACCGGAATAGTAACCCTAATAGTACCGAACCCTTCACGCTAAAATCTTCCTCTGAATATTGACAGTTAGCGTTTTTCGGCATGCCTCCTATCGTTTGGCAGAAATTGTCCTCCACCACAGGAACCGCTTGCACCGCTTTATCTAGTTCTCTTCGCAACAGGTTAAAATTCGGGTCTTTTTGTGGCTTATGTTAGAGGATAGGATTGTGTGCTACTGCTATGAAGATTGATGTAGATTTAAATGGCTCCACTGACTTACACAGTTTGCTGTACTCTTTAACTCGTTAATAACTCCATGAACTAGCTAGCTACTTAGTAAATGAATTTCCCAGGCTGTCCCCGCTAGACTACAACTACTACTTAACTTCTCAACTATAACATGAAAGTAGAAGGCCATAATTGTGTTGTGCACTGCTTTCTGCACTGTCATTATATTTCTTGGCTTCACCGAAGAAACTCCTGGCCCTCTGAATCATCACTTTGAAAAGCGGTCGGGAGTTCTCTACCTTATAAAGATGACTAGAGGATTTTATGGAGATCAAGTAATCTTGTTGGAATTGTGATTGACTCAGCAGTGTTCCTGTTGTCTTTATGAGGTGATCCTGCTGAAGAGACTGATTGAATTATTGACGTAGACGCGCTTCTACTAAAAAAATCGACATTATCATGCACAATTCTTATACAACTTACTGTAGAAGGAGGAGCTAAATAAACTACGATAGTTGGATGTAGTACCGTCATATTACTGACTTCCTCCAAGGTTGTCTCCATTGTCTCCGACTCATAGGCTCTTGGCGTCACTGGCTCGTCCTTCACGAATACTGTCTCGTCTTCCTTCCATTAGTGTGGTATGTTCATCAGGAGGTTCAAGATCTTTCGAGTCGAATTCCTCATCTGATGCTGTCGACTCTGTTTCTGTACCTCGAAGGACAGTCTTGCAATCTAGTACTAACAAGCTTCTTTCTTGTCTAGAAGTTGAAGTACCATCAAATTCTACTTAATATAGCAGTCATCTGAAAACGAATCAAATTAGACATAGACTTACGGAGTTACTTCTTGTCAACATAATTGAAAACGAATCCTGGCCCTCCCTCTTCGCCAGCCCCACCGTCACCCGCTGCATCTCCGGCACCTCCTGCTAGACTCTCTAGATATTCCTCTTGAATCTGCTGCTTCAGTTCCTAAGGAGTGGGGTATGAGAGAGACACAATCCCGCCACAATGACATGAGCTGAGGAGTCAGTCATTATCTACGTGCAAAAAAACGCAACCATGTGGTTGTAAAAAATTCCAAACTGGTGCGTTATCCTCTTTCAATTTGATTGACGTCAAGGGGCGCTCTTGTCCGCACCGTAGAAGCAATTGTGTAACTAAAACTAGAACTAAATTTTCATAGCGAGGAGGGACATGATCAAAAAAAAACAAAAGGATCTACGAAACGTACCTCAATCGTCGCACACATAGCTTCGTACGCTTTTGGCGTCTGACACCAGACGAAGTTGTCCCCCAATGAGCGCTTGCTGTCACGTACTAGCAGCATAAATTCCAAAGGATATTTCCTCACGTCCTTCTGGTTAGAGAAGGAGGAAAAGGGATGAAAATTCTATTCCAAAATCAAGTCCAAGCTATACCTATCTCCACTGCTAGTAAGTCTAAATTCAGATAAGTACTTACTTTTCTCTATGCCTATCTCCACTGCTAGTATTAAGTCTCTCCACTTAGTAAATTCAGATACGTAATTCAGATAAGTACTTACATATCTCCACTCTACATATCTCCACTTAGTAAATTCAGATACTTAATTCGCCATAATCTCATGTGCATGAAAGTCCGAGTAGAAACCGACCTTCATGATGTCGTCCAACTGTTCTTGTTTGTTGATGAAGACATACGGCATCGCATTCTTGCCGGAGAAAAAGATATCCGGATCTTTCGCCTGGCTCAGGACCACCTTGTATTTTAAGTAGTTTTCTGTGTTCGGGATTAGAGCTCAAGTGCGGTAGAGCGGAGGATCCTTTTGATGCATCCTTCAAAAGACGAAGTATTTCTTTTGATGCTTCAAAAGAAGAGGTGTCCAACATACATTATAGTAGAGTCGTGCGAAGATAGTTTACAAGGCTGTTCTTGCTTGACGCAGAAAATTTTGCGTCTTACTCTGTAAACCCTCAACGTCACTCATTGGGTTCAATAAAGAGTCAAACTGGAGCAAAATAAGAGGAAAAGTCTAATGCTCTTCTAAAGATCAAGATGTCATGTGATGCTTGCTCGGTGTTAGTTATAGTCTCACCTATCTATATCTAACAACAACACGACTCATAACATGAAAAATGGTTTGAGACCAGGCATGTCTTCGTCTAAAGGGATTTGCCCCATCCTTTCCATCAACTCGATCTCCGACAGACCGGGGGGACCGGCTTCGGCCTCACCCCCATCGCCTGGTGACTCACCTTCTGGAGGTGGGTCTGCCATCTTTTTTTATACCGAAGCAGTACTTCTACAACTTACTGAAAATTTCTAGTAGAAGAACGAAGTGATATTTTCAAAGTACTTCTAGTGTACTGGTCCTCTAGGTGACCCCTTATCGGTTATTAGGTCGAGTTCTTTCCGGGGGACCGATAAATGAAGACACTGCAATATCTCTTCTCTAATTTGGCAAGTTTTTTCACGGCCGTTATTCTCCGTCTTCCGCTGTCTCTCTCTGCCTTTTTTTCATCCCTCGGTCTTCTCTCAAAACTCTTACACTCGCTGTTCTTGTTAAGTACTCTATAATATGTAATCTGTTCAAAGCGAGACAGTCGTTGTCTTTCGGCAGTCGCGATTACTCGATGCCAGTCAGCAACTCCACCTTACTACCTAAGGAGCAGAAAACTACTTCTACTTCCACCTTCGCAGTTTATTCCCTTTTTTATACAACTTTCTGTTTTTCGTATGTTTGCGTACACGCAGAAATCAGCCATCCATTGAGCGGTTTTTGTAAGCAACATCTCCATCCTAAAGACCCAATGAGTGGTTCTGCTACATGATCCGGTAGAATCCTCATCTTATGCGTCTTTTGTCGGAAGAGTCTGCTTAAGGATAGGTCAACCATGAACTAAGGTGCGGTAATTTCATTGCATAATAGCAATTAAAGCGGAATAGAAGAAATACTAAGAACTCATAATATTGAACAACTACCATGTCAGAATCCTAAAATAAACTTGCTTCTTTCGACTTCCCGATCCCGTCACCAGAGCTAGTCTAACTCATCTAACTCATTATCCTGTGCAGGCTTCGCTGCGCGACCCCGTGGGTTGAAACTGAAGGCGGGCTTCTCCTCTTTCCGGTCCTCCGGTTCGGCCATGCTCTCGGAGTCGGTGCCGCCGTGCGTTAGAGGAGGAGGAATCATTTACTGAGAGTGATTGTTCTCCATGAAAGATAAAAAGGATGAAAGCTACCTTTTCTAGTTCTCAGAAAGCAAAATTGAAATTCTATGTCCCATCTACGGTATTTCTGTGGTATCTTCACCAAATCTAAGTCGCTATGTCTAGATAAATCCCGCCGTAATGATCCTGCTGCAGTGCTCTCTGTTTCCTCTTCAATGGCTATCCTCGTTGCGCCACGCGTGATAGACGCTGTTCTACCAGAGTTTCCGGCAGGAGGTTTAGAGGCAGAAGTAAAACTAAATCTATCGAAAGTAGATATTGAAATAGTACTATGAGTTGACACTCCGTCAGTCTACTCGATGAAGACAGCTGCGTCTCTTTCGAAGACCCTGAGATGCTCGCCAGTAGGAACAAATCTCAGCGTCCCGTTCGTGGTTCTCTGGTATCCCTAAGTATTCCATTGTTCCTCTGTACATCACCATCATCTAGAAAAATTTCAATCCATTTGCCATAGTACTCCCACGAGAGCCTCCGTTTGAGACGCCACCTGGATCGCCTGCCATGTTCTGGAGGATTTCGCTGACTGCCTTCTTTTCCTCCTCTGACAGTGTCATCTTCGGATCTTTGTCCGCGCCGTTAGGGTCATCGAAAACAATCGCTTCGTCGTCCCACACGTCACCGTAGCCAGGACGCTTATTGCTGCCAGGCTTCTTGTTAGCCTTCTTAGCATGCTCTTGGCTCCAACCTGAGGACAAAGTTTAAAATCGAGGGAGAGGATCATGCTAGAAATATTTCTTATCTATCACTACCAGAAATGGGAAATTCAAACTCCTGTTTCCAAAGCAATACCCTACACCCTCATCCTACAGTTAAGCAAAAATCCAGAACAAGAATCAATCTAAACAGAAAAATTACGACTCGGTATCATTGCTGCTTCTTCTTCGACCGTCCTTCCACTTGTTGCTTTACTGACGTCTGCATTTGCGTAGGCCTTCTGGAGTTCAGGGTCATACATGCCTACACCTTGCTCTTTCTCCGTTTTCAGGACTTTCAATGCGCTTTCCTTTGCGTCGTCTGGCGTTAGAAGGAGGATGTTGTAACTGTACGTAGTACAAACCATTGCATACTGCGGGAACAGTAAGTAATGCTCTTGGAGAGTGCCATGCTACAATTTTTCAACAGCGGTGACCACTCGTTGTGATATTGAACAGTCCTGCTCTTTATTAGACTTAGAAAGAGAGAAGAAACTTGTGTTCGATCCATTAAACTATCATTCAACATCAACTTCAAGAGTCCTTCTCAACGTTGTATCCATTAAACTATCAATATCATCCTCAGTCTTCATCTCAACCCTAACTTCAAGAGTTCCTTGTTCTCCTCTTCCCATCCCATGATGGCGCGCTTGCACCGCCTCTCCCATGTATCAACTGGATCCGTATCCTCGGTGTATTTGTGTGGTATGAAGAAAGGCAAAGTCATGCGAAGAAAACGATTTCCCTCTAGTAGTAGGGTGTCGACGAATCAATCTGGACATCTATCATATCGTTGGAGCTACCCGGGAAAAAATCTACAGAAAGGTACTGAACTTACTGCACGTTCAGTTCGTAACATTAGCCATCATGGCCCTTCGTTCCCGACCCGCGCGTTTGGCCTCATCACACATGCGTTTGAATCCCTCCATCTGCCTTTTGTGTGCGTCTCGCTCTTCCTCCTTATGCTTCTTCCTCTCCTTAGAGGTTGCGCTACTACTCAGAACTCCTCAGAAGTAGACCATCCCTGGAGGCCTAGGATCATCTTAACTTCACCACTTGGGCCCTCGTCCACTTACAACAAAACAAACTTCAGTCACACCAACCACGTAGGCCAAATATGCCCAGGAGCCTCAAGGACAGCACTAGTGGAGGACGTAATTTGGCCTTAATTTCTTCTCTTTCAGCCTCCAGCCCACCTCGCACAAAGGCCTCGCTGAAACGGCGCTCATCCTTGAAGACCGGTCGATCGTCGAGGTAAGTCAACACCGGGAGAGCTGTTATTACCTGTGAAGCGTTTCAACTTGTGAGGTGTTTGTGTTTCAATCTCATGAGAGAGCTGTTATTACCTGTGAAGCGTTTCAGCTTGTGAGGTGTTTGTGTTTCAATCTCATGAGAGAGCTGTTATTACCTGTGAAGCGTTTCAACTTGTGAGTGAGTGAATGAATGAATGAATGTGCCTAGCGTGAGGTGGTGCAGTGAGTTTTTTATGTCGCTCGCCGACAAATTGTTGCGTGTTTCAATCTCATGAGAGAGCTGTCATCAGCAACAGTGGGGTAGGTGGAAAATAAGATGTTGTAGTTAATAGGCGGAAAAATAGACTAGTCTCTGGTCTGCTGGGCAATCATCAAAACCGCCAATGAAGACGATAAGAACTAGAACTGCAATCTGTACTACTACTGGTACAGCACTTAAGAACCAATGTCAAGTCACATTGATTGACCTAGGACAAAGAAGATATTGATTCTAGGTAGGGAATAATCGTGTCAGGTCCATTACCCGTTTCCTGTAGGACTTAATTGCCGACACCATCTGGTTTCCTTTCAAGTAGAGCACTTTCAACTCTGGCATCTTCGCGATAACGTCCTCGATCAACGCGGCTTCAGTTGTTAGAAGAGAAGGGGTGGTGGTGGGAGGTGCTTATGCGGATTCAATTATCAGAAGAGAAGGGTGGTGATGGAAGGTTCTTTTCACTCAGCATGGTGGTCGTGTGTGCATCTCTGATCATGTATCACCCGTGGTGGTTTAGACTTCTTCTCAACACAATATTTTCTGCTCGTTGATCATAACTGTATCTTGTTCCCCTGCAAATCTAGGACATGGATTTTGCTCTCCGCTAATTCGCGCACGTCGTCGAGGCCTGGCAGTTGTGGCGATGCGAGTGGAGGAAAGTTAGAAGTAGATAAATAAGCAAGAATTTCTCAAACAAATCTTATAATACAGTAGTACCGGCGGAATGTCCGAGCTGATTGTTTGCATCATACGAGTGGAGGAAAAGAAGTAAGATTTCTAGTGATCTAACTTCATTGATACAACAAGTGCTCTACACCAACTTTGGTCTTGACTCTTCTTGTGTTTCTTATCTACGTCAAAAAATCTTCACATTTGTACTAGCTTAGACAGCTTACAAGTAGATAGGCGACCGGAATTTCTCAAACAAATCTTATACTACAGTAGTACCGGAATGTCCGAGCTGATTGTTTGCTATCTGCAAGGTTTCAAGTCCTTCTGGCAGTCCTTCGATCTTGTATATGAAATTGTTGCACACATTCAGTGTTTTCAGCTCCTTGAGGTGGTCGATGCCGCTCAACTTTTTGATACCTGATTTGTGCTCCTGTTTTATCAACTACTTACAAGGGGGGTTGTGCTGTTTAATCAACGTTATTGTACTTATCAGTACAGTTCTCCTGCAGAAACAGCGATCGCAATTGCGTACATTTCTCGAGGCCATCGATTTTTTCTATTGCATTGGACTCCAAGTACAAGGTCCTTAGATTGACAAAAGGTTCCAAATTCTCGATCCTCGAGTAGCCTCCGAAGTGGAGGTACAGCTTCTCATTTAACTCCGCTGTGACGTAGTATCTGGTTTTGGAGGTGAATGCATTTTGATGGGAAGTGCTGACGCCAGTTTCCTGACGATGTAAGAGTAAGGAGATGCTGTACTAGTGGAGATGCAATAGATATTTGTCAAGCTATAAAAGAACAATCACAGTCATTTTCGACATGAAACAACAGCTACATCACAACTACAACTACCTAGATAATGAGAATAGCAAACGAACGCCTTTTCTTTCAATAACATCGTTATCATTGTATACTATAGTACAATCGTCTATCACTCCTCAAGATCTTCTTGATTTTTTCCTTCGTCAATTGCGCGCCGCCGAGTGACTCTCTGTCCTCGTACCACTTAGCTCGTTTCTTCGCGTCCTCTTCGGCCATGCGCTCTTCGATAGGAGCTCTCCTCTCCATGACGCTGCGGTGCAGCGCCATATCTAATTCAGAGACCGCCATTTTCTTTTTGTGTGGTGTCTTGTAAGAGTGTAAGAGTAAGGGTTTCTTATCCCTAGTAGATGCAAATGAGAGGATGTCTTCTCGACTATAGAAGAAGCGTTCAGGGTTACTAGTGCTGCTTATTCCATGACAGGAGAAGTGCTTGTTGTGTGGCTTGTCGACTTCCACAAGATGCGTCAACTACTAGGCTCTGCAAGTGAATCTTTATTGCCTAGGTACGCAGACGGAGGAGCAAATATATTTCGCGATGGTTTCGAGTTCATGGTCTACGGTGCTTGGGTGGGCCTAGTTTCACAACGGTTTCCGACATGCAACTTGGTTTTTCTCGAAGGTTGTATTGCCATGAGCTCTCCGACCGACGCATCCAAGTCAGAGAACCCCCGACTCGAAACACTTTTTTTTTGTGTCCCTCTTCTCTCCTCCATTAGATACAAGGCGATTTTCACATACTTTTAGACGTTTCGCTATCGACTCACCTCTCACCAGTCAGACTCGCCGACAACCGACCACCAACATCAGGCATCACATGATTGTTTGTTCTATGTCTCCTTCTCTATTCCGGTAGCCATGTTCCACTGGCACAACAATCTCCACAAGTACTTACACCAATTTCAGCTGGCATAAATCGACGTCGCACCGAGAGTAGGTCGATCGAACGAATGGCTTTGTTTTGAGAAGTGATTTTTCCACAATATCGATCTAAAGTTCGCGTCTTCAGTCCTGGCTTGTTGGAAGAGAAGCCGACTAGGCCATCTTTGTAGACAGTCTGAGGATATGGTTCAGAAGGCGAAAACGCCACAAAATAGAACGGACTGTCTTCCAGTAGTGCGGCTACCTTTTACATCGCAATAAATTAACCTCTTGCCAAACTCCACCTATGCTTTACTCTTTTTTTTCCCACATCCTAAAATTTCATATTATATCGACTAAGTAATATAATCACAAGTAAACGTTGTTGTAAAGCCCTCAGTACCATAGTTTTTCGCTAATTCATAACGTACCTATTTATCTGAAGTTGATTCGTGATAGAAGTTGAGTACTCTTATCGTTTGTTTGTTAATATTGACAGAGACAAAAATTATGGTGTTATTGACGTGATTTTCCCAGTGCGTGCGGCGAGCAACAACGGGCAGAAAGAGCAGAATCGACGACGAGAAAAAACAACCGCTGTGAAGTATCAAACACGTAAGCCCAGACACGAGTTCCCCGACTAGAAGTACTTCGTAGTTGTTGAGACGAGACGTAGACGCGCCTGTTTGCAGCTTCTAGCACGACAAAGTATCCCTCCCCCAACACAGGCGTACTTTCCTACTGACCGCTGCTTGTATCTTCGAGTACTAGTATCGTGTGGATCTACTACTCGATGTTGAGATGGTATGACGCGTATCATCTTCTGGTGCCTGGTTCTGACTACTCGCCTCAGTAGTGTGCCCATTCGTGGGGTATTGTTGTCTTCCTCTACCTCTTCTTCTGTCCTCTACTCCACCTACTTGTCCCACTCCCACAATTTCTCGATGAAAATGGCTCTTGTAACATCAAATTTACTTGGCCATCATCATCTTGACGAACTCCTCGTAGTTGATCTGGCCATCACCATCGACATCGGCCTCGCGGATCATCTCATCGACTTCCTCGTCAGTCAACTTCTCACCCAAGTTGGTCATCACGTGACGCAATTCGGCAGCAGAGATGAAACCGTTGCCGTCGCGATCGAACACCTGTTGGCGGAAAGTCGTGTGTGTGTGATTACAGTTATCATGTTTGCTGTCCAAAATTTTGTTGCTTTGTTCTTGACAAACGAATAAAGAGTTCAGATTCATAGTACAACTTCAAGATCTGGTGCTGCCTAGTCGTACCCAGTGCTGAGAAATGACTATCTAGCCATTTTGTAATTATGCTCCCAAGAACCGAACAAGTAATGTAGAAATAGAAACTATATATAATGTGCAGGAAAAATGTCATTGAAACTTTCTATTAGGCCCCTAATCAGTAAACGGAAACTTACCTTGAAGGCCTCAATGAGTTCCTCTTCGGTGTCGGTATCTTTCATCTTGCGTGCCATGAGCGACAAAAACTCCGGAAAGTCAATAGTTCCATTGCCATCTGCATCGACTTCGTTAATCATATCCTGCAATTCGGCCTCAGTGGGGTTCTGACCTGGAAAAAAGAGTGCACATTCATTGTCAGCACAGACAAGAACGACTAGAACGAGAATGAACAGTTTCAAATGACGAGAGAAAACAAGGAAAACAGGAGGAAATCATTTAAATTTATATTAAGGTACTTATGTATAATTGTTCTAAAGCATCTCCAACACAGAGATATAGGTGAGATACCGAGAGATCGCATAACGGTTCCCAGCTCCTTCGTGGTGATAGTTCCATCGCCATCCTTATCGAACAGGGAGAAGGCTGGAGTTGTTGAGGTTGGTAGAAAAGGTTGATCTTAAATCTATTTTCAGCAGTGTCTTCTTGTTAAATCAGGTTCATGAGAGTGAAAACCGGAAGCGAATCGTGGACATACAGAATGATGCAAGAACGGGAAGTGAAGGTCACTGATCATCTGATAAGAATATGACAAAACTAAAATCTATGATTATACCCTCCTTGAACTCGGCGATCTGCTCTTCGGTCAGTTGGTCAGCCATTTTGTCTAGTTTGTGCTAGCACTCCGCGACTACTCTAAGTTCTCTACAACTCAACACCTATGTGAATGGTGAATGTGAATGGTGAGAGATTAATTACGTTCATGCAATATCAGGGAACGAGGATTCATCATCATCATAAGGATTTACACTTCGAGGAAGCTACTACAGACTTGCACAAAATGAAGCAGGGGCTAGCTACGCTTCAAAACGACCGAGGTGGATTTTGGGTAATTCCAACATCTTTAAAAATGAACAATTAATTGAAAATCAGGAATTACCGCTTCCCTCGTACTCGTCCATCCCTTGGTCGTAACTACTAATAAATAACCCTTTACCCAATAAAAGCATAAGAATCAAATTGATCTGAAGATTCCCGCATGTTTTCTCGTTCTTTTATCCACGACCCAGTCTTTTTTTCTCGTTGTAGAGCGAGGTGAATAAAAACGATCGAAGCATCATCAAAGGGAGCTAGGCTGGTATGTCTAACCATTAGAAATGGGTAGTTCTCCTTCTACTGAAGTCTTCTTTTCGTAACTTCTTTCTCCCATGTCTGCCGAGTGCTGAGCATGTGAACACTTCAAAAGCTCTTCTGTGGTGTAGAAAACGTTCTGTGGTCGCTGTTGAACGACCAAATGTTGGCGATGTCCAGCGGAATTTGTGTAATGTTGTTTCTACACCTGCCAACAAGACAGAATCGATTAATTCAACCACTGATTCGAACTTAGATGTTGGAGAAGGAATGGCAGAACTTGGGACTGCTGCTTCTGTTGTACCTGTGGCAAGACCATCTTTCCTACTTTCATCAACAAGCGTATCAGGTTTGGCCTTCTCTTCAGCCCTGATCCAACATGTATCCATGCCAAAATTGACGCCGCCTACAATGTCCTTCCCAAAGTTTAGCAGTGTGGGGTAGCAGTTTTTCATCATCTTGCTAACTACGGTTTCAGTGAGTGACTCCCTGAGCAATTCCCTTGACTCCCCTAGTGTCCCCAGATGATGACAAGATACGACGATAGTCACAGGGGTAGTTCACCAAGGGAATACACTCAGGAGGACAACGATCCGCCAGACAGACCAGAAAAGACCAGATGATGAAATGCTACCACACCCTGAATGCTATCACACCCTGCATAAGAAATCATCGCCTACCATCAGCACTTCGCGAGGAGACAAAGGATGACAATCAGAATCCTTGAGAAATTTCTTAGCCTTTTCTATCGCAAGACCAAATGGACGCTGATCGGGTTTCAGCGCACCAGCCTCTATACCGCTAACACTGAAATCGAAGATACTTTGATTAGAGCAGACTTTTTTGTGCTCAAGGTACAGCTTTTATCCTACTGGAGCAGAATTTTTTCATGAAGATACAGTAAAATTAACTTGCTGCAGCATCATTAGACTTCATCAGTATACTACAATATCAAGTATGAATTAGATTTCCTAATTGTCTGGTGCATGTCCTGGGAGAGAACTAACGGTGGAATAAAAATGAAAAGTGTCCTAGATATAATATTTGTACAAGCCTTAACTTGAAGTTCGTCGACTTGAAAGACGTCTCCGTTCCCGTCTGTAACGGCGCCGATCACCAAGGACCTGGTTGTATAAAGAACATAAAAAGAGGTAATAGAAAAGAGATTCTCAGAAGTAACAAACATAAACACTAATTAAGTACTAAATTTCTCATAAAAAAAAGCAACAATAACACGGTAAGAAGTACTTTCTCATCTCCCTCAGTTTTCTCAAGGCTGAAACGACGCCAGGAAAGAAAAAAGGAGGGCTTTAGAGCTCACCCTAATCCATCTCGAGGCCCATCCTGAGACTGCTTGTCCCTCGAAAACGTCTTTAAGATGCTTCCGAACAGATGGAGTAGGGTAAGCCTTAAGTGTTGCGCCACTTATGCCAGAATCTGAACTGCTCATCGACAGCATCTTTACCGCCATCACCTATCCTTCCGTCATTCACCGCGTCACGGTTAGCACGCTCCAAGTAGGTCTTGCGGAAATTAGAAAGACAAGGAGTTTTTTTCAACAAGTAACAAACTGCTGGAGATGAGTGGCAATTCATTGCACACGACAGTCTGTGAAAATAAGAAAGTAAAAATTTATTTGCTATCAACCTAAATGCGCAACAGCCATGATAAGTAATGTACTTCCTGCTAAACAGCTACATCATGGCCCGTGAGTAAAAACGTGTAGTACCTTCATTTATCACAAGAGCCTTATCACGAGAGGCATAAGTAAAAACGTGTAGTCGAATGCTTTGTCAGGAAATTCTGCGACCAGTGGCTTTATCCCCGTCTCAAAGTTGGTGAGATGTGGATACCTCGCAGTGGTTTTTTCAGCCGCCTGCTTGATCGTCCGTAAGCACTCCCACAACGTCTCATCCAAATCGAAGAGAACGACACGATAAGTCATGGTGTCACAAAACGGCCATCACTAAAAACAAGGTGGTAATTCGTTGTTGCTGTCAATGTTTAGGCGAAATCCCGATCGCAGTATCAGTGGTCAATGTTTGTAGTACGACTAATATAAAAAAGAAGGCTGATCCGGGTCTCGTTCGATTACAGTGGATCTGTGACTGATCACCAGTTGTTGATCTTCCAGAGAGCAGCATTTTTAACGATAGATCAACAACTGGCAATCAGTCACAGATTTGTTCAGAATGTCACCGTTTCGAGTGGTGGCGGAAGTCTTTCGGTTGAAGTTGATCTGTACACTTTTTCAGTTGAGTTCTGTGTTGAATTCTACTGGGCATCCTACAAAAGACTGGGCCTTCACATATTGCCCTGAAAACGCAGCAGAACCCATATAGAACACAAGAAAGGAGCGCTTCCTAGAATCCAGAGAAAAGGTTTTCCGTTCCCTCCACTGGCGTGGACGCCTTCTCCCGTCAGCAGCGTTTTTCATTTTATGATGTGTCATCAACGGCAATAGTACTATAAACATGTTTTCCAGTGTGTCATCAACAGAAATAATACCATGACCATGTTTTCAGAATTGAGGTGTCATCTACAGCAAAAATATCTCAGGATTGATTGTTTTACTACTCTAGCAACAGTTTGGGAATTTTGTGCATTACGCTGCTGTGATAGTACTTCTTGGAGGTCATGGAAGGGGGCGATCATTATTATTCTCGCGCGCGACCCTATCGCCGAGAGGGTTCGCTTTATGACTTCTCGATAGCGACCCCCTCCCGATTCCCCTTCCCCTCATGAAGATAGCCTTAATTATTCATCGCCCACAGGGAAAACCTGTATTCTCGAGCAGTGCTTGTGAGTTCGCTTTTTAAGTCGTGGTCGGCTCATGAAGTCGACGAATCACGAGAGTCCGAGTCCTTTCCAACTAAGTGCGTGCTCTCCAATATCCAGCGAACTCCTCTACTGGGTAGCGTTAGCATTCACGACATGTCATGTTATCGAACCTCTCTCATAACGATAGCCATTCATATCTACAACATATCTAGTCGTGTCTGTGAGATCACTAGCGAACCCCCCTCATCTGGTTCTAGCACTAAACTTCGAGGAAAATCGCTACCCTGCTCACGAGGTAATAGTTAGAATTCGAGTCAGAAGTTCTCTGGCTTGCTACTTTTTTCTGTAGTCCGGGGCTACTGAAAGAGCGGCCTTGGCTTTATCATTCTATTCTCTACGAACCCGCCGACTTTAAATGTTCGACCCGCCGACTTTAAAGGATCGGCCCGACGAGGTTAAGAGAGTGACGGCGCCACGTCTCTAGCCCGACGCCCGCGCGTGCGTCGCCACTTAGTGAAGATGTTTCTCAAGTGGTCACTTGTGCCTCTACAACGTGACCACTACATAGCAAGCGATGTTGCATAGGCTAGGGCGCCATACCAGATAGAAAACAAAGTGGCAAGCAGGATGCCCACACTGCGACTAGAGCGACAGGCGCCACTGCTAACCAACAGCGAAGCACTGAAATCGACAAACTGTTGCGGTTTTAGATGACACGATGGCAGTTCGCGCACCTCGTCAAAAGCTAAATTTGGTTCTCAACTTAGTGAGTAGATCTATAGACGGCCTTCCTTTGTAATTGTAGTACATTTGCGAAGCTAATGCTATGCTAATCATGTTGGTAAAAAAATGGTCGAAGTGATAATCTGGTGAACGAACAACGAATGAGCATTGATTTGCTGATAATATTGCTAGACACTTCTTGCACGTATCGATAAACCTCTTTTACGTCAGACAAACTAATTGCGGGATACAAATTAATACTCATGGCAAAAATCTTGCGGTAAACTAGGTAAGTTAGTTTGATAGGATAGGAGTGGATAGGCTAGGATAAGAGAGGATCCACCTAAAAACAAACGGCTGATTGAGAAAATCTAGGCAAGTACAAACACTGCAATAGCTAGGTGGGCAGTTTTCTCCTATGCTTCTACTTAAATTGTTCCCCACGACCTTCTACGTTGGATGCAGTAGATTTAGATCTAGATCTCCCCCCACGACCTTCTCCCTCGAATGCAGTGGAGTAAGACTGTCCACTACGACTCCCCCCCTTGAATGCAGAGGAGTTAGACCTAGCCCGTCCAGTAGCTACGATTCTCCCCCCCTTGAATGCAGTACAATTAAATCTAGACTGTCCACTAAAGCCCCCCCTTGACAGCAGAAAAGTTGGATCTTATCCTACGATCTTCTCCTTTGAGCAATGCAGCAGATTTAGATCTAGACCTTCCCCCTTGACTGCAGTGTAGTTAGACCGTCCCCCCCGACCTTCTCCTTGAATGCAGTGGAATTAGATGCGTCGACAGGCATTCCTCCTCTCATCTTCTGGCTGCGTTTTTTTCTTACTATGCTAAGCAATGTGAGGAGCATTGCTTCTACTGTGATTCAGATTCAGGCACCGAGTCTCGCATGTGTCCCCATACTGATGGCGTAGCAAGTCAGTTAAATCTGTTTCATCGTCACACGTCTCTGGTGGTCATCTTCTACCACTGGCGAGACAAGATAGTAACTGACATTACACAACTTCTACTGCGTGTAAAGAAGTCCCGAAAGCGCAAGCAGGCCCGTCGCTGCGGAGTTTTCACCGACATGCAACGCTATTCCATTCACATTCTAATACCTAACTAATTCCATCACTTTTCTATCCTAACAAGTACCTAACTCCACGAAATACTTTTACATCCTAGTGAGCGCCCTTTTCTGGGCAAATCCATTACACGAGCATGGCTTTTTGTCACATCCTTAAATCCCTGTATTCGTGGCCTCAGTCTCATCTTACTGACACAGATGCAGACTGCAGACCATTCCCTGACGCTGTTTTTGTCTCGCCTCCAGCGCCCCAGCGTTTGACAAATCGCGAAGACCGTCAGCCAGGACGCTGTAGCCTTCACATCCTAGTAGCTATCGAATTCAACTACTTTCACATCCTAGTAGCCATCTTCGAGCTCCACTACTTTATCGACATACTTATCTACATCATAGTATCCACAGAATTCAACTGCTGCTTTCACATTTTAGTAGCTATCGAATTCAACTACTTTCACGTCCTAGTAGCCAACTTCGAACTCCACTACTTTATCGACATACTTATCTACATCATAGTATCCATAATGCAACTAGTTTTACGTCCTAGTAGCTATCGAGTTCAACTTTACTACTTTCACACTTTTGTAGCCATTGAATGCAAGTTGCTACTTTTACAGCCTAGTAAGGGCCCTTTTCTAGGTACTTGACTGAATTGCATGAATATAGCTCGCTTTACATCCTAATCCCTATGAATGAATGCGCCCTCAGCCTCATCTTACTGACACAAATGCAGACTGCAGACCATTCCCTGACGCTGCTTTTGTCTCGCCTCCAACGCCCCAGCGTTTGACAAATCGCGAAGACCGTCAGCCAGGACGCTGTAACTTTAGACTCATTAGATATTGGAGAAGCATACGCAGTTCACGTCAACTTATCGAATTCATCTTATTCAGACAAAATATAAGAGCTTGCGCTAATATCCATACGAACTTATTTCTGAGTGAAGTGCTCTTACAATATATCATGGCAGGCCTTCCACCACAAGGGACGGACTCTTGTCGCCGGGGCCGCTATCTATGCTTTTCTCATAGTTAGCAGCGAGACATTGGATAAATGCTACAAAATAAACACCCACTCATACAACATTAACATTATTTCCCGAGACCACAAAACCCCCCGTGGATGCCCATCACGACCCACATAGGCACAGAAAGAAGGTTCCAATCAGTCCCAAAAATAAGGGACGACTCAGGGGCCGCCACGACGCCTCAAGCGTTTCTGACTGTTTTCAGTCAGACACACAAGAAGCATCCCTCTGTTTTGCACCTGCTGGAACCTCTGTATTCCACCACCTGGAAAATTTAGCAGTCACCCCCTGCTGTCCATCAAAAAAAGATAGACTGCCAACTTCTCCCCTGTTCGTTGTCTATCAAAAAACTAAGGAGGAAAGGACTCACACGTCTGAAACATAGGAAGGACCACGCCCGGTCTAGGAGTACTCCACGAAATTGGACTCCCGTGAACGAGCGGATCCTCCCTACAGCTTTCCATCTACTTCTAACTAGCATCTCACACCATCGCCTTCTCATCAATCTGCAACATGCGTGCAACCTGCAGCGCCTCTGCTTACGACAATTTTGAAAACGGTGATTGCCCACGCTGCTCCAGGTCACACACACAGGACGACGCGTAACGCCGTCGAGATTGTCCGCAGGAAGTTGCAGAAGGTACTGCTTAAACCAAGGCTATCCGCCACCGCCTTTCTAGTTGCTCGTGGTAGAAACAAGTAAGCTGAGCTAGTGCCGACGTTTTCTTCAGTAGTAGTAGAAGTCGTGCCCTGGCAGTTTCGTCGAATAGGCTGATGTGAAAAACTAGTGTGTGAGTGCAAAAGAAGAAGAAGAAGTGAAAAGTCAACACGTGCTCGCCAGCCTCCTGAACTTCACCAACGAGGTGTGCCTCCTAAGAGGAGCCCGTCCCTTCAGCCAGCGGGACCTTCATCTTCTCAAGCTCTTCGACCAGATGCTTGAGCACTTCCTTGTCAATGAACAGATTCGTAATGGATTCCTTTGACAAATCCACTTTGGCCTCGTCAGGAAACGATCCAGCGAAGCGACTGTTTAGAACACCTTTCGCTGTGCGAAGCTCCCGCTGCAGGTCCAGGATTTGCCACAATACTGACATGTTTCGGTGCAAGAATTGGCTCCGCTGGTCATCGGCGCAGTATCTTTGGATGAAGCCAAAGGGGTCGTTAGTGTTCCTACCCATGAGCGTCACGGGGTTTATAATTCTGAAATCCCGAAGCTGGTTACGGAACTCACCCCAAAAAACCTGAACGAAACCAAATCATTTATCATGCTCGAAAATTACACAGGTGCGGCCTTTTTACAGATTTGAATGCGCTGACAAGCCCTCTCTAGTAGTAGACTACTCTATGGCCACCATTCTGTCATCCTTTCTACTATAGTAGCTATACCTTATCCTCGAGGCGCTTGGAGGCCACGCACTGCGCAATTGTTCCGCCGCCGCTCATGTCATTGGCCACCATGATGGTCAACTTTTTCAGCAATTCCTCGCCGCGCTCGAGTGGTCTGGAAATAGAAAGTGGTGGGGAAAAAAGTAAGGCAAACCTAAACCGAGTTGCAACACTTTATGCCAACATTAAGGATACATGACTTTGAGTGGTAAGACGAATAAAAAAACGAATAAAAAACGAGCCAGATAGTACCGACTGACACCGGCTGAAACATCGCCAGAGCGAGCCCTGCTTTCAAGGTTCGTGTACTGTTCGAGCCTAGCTTTTTCGATACATTCCCCGAAGGCCGAGAGCTTCACGGAGCCGTCAGTGTTGGTCTCTTTCGAAAAAGACCGAGTGCCGTCCGGTTCTTGTTTCCAATCGCCAGCGTAGAGCACCCGTGCCAGCCAGTTGTCCAGCACATTCGATTTTCTGTTTATTGGGCATGCGTCATTGTTGACGGAAGCGGCATCATCTTCAAGGTATGCAGTAAGCAGCATCTGTAACGAGATCGCCTTGTCACGTGTCCCCTCATCGTTCAGTTCCACCTTGGGCGCTTCGGAGGCAGGCATGGGCCCCATCGTGTCGCGCCTAGCCGCATTCCCCGTGAGACCATTGATGTGCGTGACCTCAAGGTTCTGATCCGTGTTCGACTGAACGGTATTGGCAGCCCCATCCACCTTTGCAGCCGATTGTAGAGAGCACGTTGCACAGACTGTGGCCGCCGGGGTCGACGCCTCCGCCGACAATTCGAGGAAGCCTGCATCCATGATGGTACCTCCACCAGTAGGTGCAGCCTTTCCACCTTGTACAAGCGCGTGATCCTTCGTCACCCAGTGGAACTCCTTCGCACCCCTCAAGTTGCGATTCTCTTTCGGCTTCACGGCCAGGAAAAAGGCCTCAGCAACCTCTTCCGCCGAAACTCCCGTCGCCACGCACAAAAGTTAGAGTCTACTAGATTGCATCTCGGCCCCCTCATCTTGACCCCTTTTACCTTGTATTTTACGAGAATACAGGGGAAAAGGGGACCAAGATACCGAGAATGATGGAAAAAAGCTGACCATAAAAAAAGGTCAGGGCTGCAGCAATGGTAACTACCATGGCCTTCTTTTTCATCCAGATGATTAGCGTTAGGGCGTTGGCATCTCTAACCCATGTCGTCCTTGGCCTTTTTTTTCTAGTAAAAATGCTTCTCCATCTCGGAAAAGCTTCTCTTCTTTGATAGAGGCTTCTACTTTTTCTATGATTAGAACATCACTCCCAATTTTCTAGTAGAAGTCCCTTTTCTATTCTAAGTAGCAAAGAACGAACCAAGGATGACGCAGGAGACGGATGCGTTTTAGGCGGCCATAAAATGAGCGCCAGAGAGGACATTTTGCTGATCGTTCTTTGGTTCTTCAACTTGCGTACCAAAGAAACTCAATCGACAATTTTTGAAGTCGAAGTATTTGTTCTTGCTTAGACAAAAAAACGCTTCTTCTTTTTATCTGTGAACGATACAACGGATATGCGAGTGAGTCTGATAGATGATGAGCCCTATACCAAATAGAGCCTATATTTGTGGCAGCTAATGAAAGTCAAGTCAGTTTTTCTTCGGTGGGAAACGGGAAAAATGTTCGATGCATTCACTGTGGAGGTTTTGGTTTGGGACAAGGACGGTTTTCAGTTCTGGGAGTACGAGTAGGCCATGGACGAGTAGCATCGATTTAAGGAAGAATACGAATCAAGATCAACGAGAGGCTTACGCGTATTCAACAATATACCCATCACATTAACGTCAAAAGAATGGTCGAATCAGCTGTCAAGAACACTATGACGTTATGATATGGAGACTAACGTCAGAGTCATAGTCGCAACAGCTTGGGAAGGAAGAAACACTCTTCTCGTCATGCGATAGTTATCATCAGATTGATCAACTCGTCGCTCTCTACTCGTCATACCTCATTTATCATCAACGAGTCAGTTGTGTATCTCATCATCAACTCTGAACACCGTGTTACAACCAAGGCCAAAGTAGGAGTCATGAGCAAGCATCAGGGTCGATAAAAAGTGCCAAAAGTTAGTTCATTAGTAGCGGTCTCTTTGTTGTTTCTATACTCGTCATTAGAACTCACAACTCGTTGCCTCATGGATAGAGTCCACATTCACATCATTTTAGATACAATCTCCCACAAGAGATGAGAGATACGTCACAGCTAGAAGTGCTTCTCTCAATATGCCATCAGGCTGCGTGACGCTCTCTGGAGGATTCGGATGATTGAAGCCGGTGGCTCTGTACTGTAGCTTAAACCGTCGTATTATCGAGCCCTACTACAATATTAATCAACATCATGGCCCAGTCTATGTCCGAACTTAAACTCCTGCATCGCAAAAAGAGTGATGATGTTCATCACACAATGACAACCAACAAGGTTCAAGTTCGAGTTCAGAAAAAACAATAACAAGGATCAAAGCTTTTGCTCGCAAAAAACCGAAACTGTAGCTTCTGTACCGAAACTGTAATTTCTGTGATCTACTAGATCACCCTTCTAGACAAAATAGTACAGAAAATGCAATATTAGGCTAGTGAAAATCCCGTTGTAACTACTACAGTGGCCTATTAGTAATTGTTGCAGTGAAAAATTGTAGTTGATGCTACACTATACAGTATCGAGTTTGCAATATGAGTTATTTGATTTACAACTCACCACCGACAATTCCTGCCGAGCCTATGAGCCATCGTCATCTCTATTTTCTCGATCTACTAGATCATTGACAAAAGCACAAACTAGTCATGGCGGATTCCCGCTCTATTGCAAAAATACTGCGTCGGATGTCTCATCACAAACCTGATTTGAAAGATGCTAGCCAAGATATTAGCGGGATTTTGAATACAACTTGGGGTAGACGACCGAGCGTGAGTAGAAAAATTATGGATGAAAATGAACCAACAAGTACCTATTCGTTACTACTAGCTAGGCGCCAATCTGTTCGACAACAACTTCCTTCGGACTAGGCTCTCCAAGAGTATCCCCAAAGCCAAATGCCGACCGCCGCGAAAACCGTGAGCCGTGATTAGAAACATCTTGTTTTGATCGGAAAATCAGAGTATTTTCTGTTTACCGGAGTACAGTACATTGGAATTGTAGTTCAATCCAAAACAGAGTATCTTTTGTTTACCGGAGTATAGTGCAGTACATTGGAATTGTAGTTCAATCCAAAACAGAGACAGAGTATTTTTTGTTTACCGGAGTATAGTACATTGGAGTAAGTGACAGCCCAAATCGAAAAGGTAAGTAAAGGTATCCTCCAGGCGAGCCGTAAATCGAAACTCGCTATCTCATTTTTAAGGTAAATGTATCCTCCAGACGAGCCTTAAGTCGAAACTCGCGAGAACTTCGATGCACAGAGGCCACAGACGACGTTGCACTGGTAGTCCACTTGTGCTGGAAGGATCGGCGCGAGACCGCTATCGTCCCCCAAACCTGCTGGGGGGGCAGTCGTAGACAACACAGGCTGAACGAAGGATGTGGTTGGCTATGAATTGTCTGTAACCTTGAGGAAAGTGCCAGAGCTTCGAGGAATGACATGGCATCAAAAATTGGGGATATAAGAAGAACCTGCTGGTGGAGCCGTTGTGGATGAAACGGGCTGAACATGAATTGCTTTAGTACTCCCTTAGTCGTCTCCGAGTTACGTCGGGGTTGAAATTAATACGAAATGCTGAAAAATTGGAGGTGAGACAAAACTCGAGATGGATGACGATAGGATCTGTCTTGGCATATTGACTAAAGTCTGTAAATACGTCAAATTCAAACTCCTGAATCTGGACTTCCACGGTTTTTGCGTTCAGCTCTTCACACGTGTCGAGAAATGCCGTGAGGCATTCCGGATTCTCGTCTTCTTACTTTAGAGCGTGAAGCAAGGGCACTAACTCTGTAGATTGGGTTAAGTAGATAAAACCTGGAAACTTGAATATTCGAGAATCGGTAAGAGTAAGGAATAAATGAGAAATATGCATTGGCTTAGTAGACGTAGCACAACCAACACACATTGTTGGTAGTACCCTTGCTTGGTTGTTAGTACCTTAACCTAATCTACAGAGTTGGGCGTGAAGCAAGGGCACTAACTCTGTAGATTAGGTTAAGGTAGGTTGGGTTAGGGATCCTGCACATCAATGCACTTCTAACGAGTACCTACTAAGTCCTCTTGAAGGGATCCAGAATGCGACTATGAAGTATCATAACAGGAATAAGACGAGCGAAGAAGATCTACTAGAATTAACTATTTAATAATAAAACCTTTGTTCCCACATCATTCACAGTACAACAATCCACAAAACTTCCACAATCCATTCTTAACTTCGCACAATCCACCACACACTGATGTCGATCGCACTCGTCTGCAAAAGGCTGTTTGCAGTCGTCGATGCACTTCTCCAAAGCGTTGACATCACATTGCTGTCGGAATTCACGGACGCAACGTCGAAGCGAGGATTAGAACTATAGGGGTTAGGTTAGGTTAGGTTGTGAATCCTGCACATCGAGCCCTCTTGTTGGCCTTAGAATCTTAGAAACATACTTTCTATCAGCTACAAATTAGAACTTATGATGTTCAGTTCTGGCCCTAGTAGAGACACCTGCAGAAACTACTAAGGTGTAGTGGTCTCATGCCCTGTTAGGATAGGATATGAGTTACTTCACCTTCCACAGGGTAAGCCTCCACCACCGTTCTATCGACAGTGAGGAGGACTTCCTATCATTGATGAATGGCGGTGGGACCTACGAGGAAAACAAAAGACTTGAAATGAGCGAGTATTACGGCAGTGTAGAGCTCACGTAGAACGGTAACGTACGTAGTGCCTTAGGACCATCGTACACGAAGATGACAATTGTCACATCACCTGGCATAACACAAGTCCGGTTCGTATCCATCCGGGCATCGTTGGCAGTCACGTGGAAAAACCTAGGGTTACAAAATCGAAACAGTCTCGGTGGAGGACCAATCTAGTCTCGTGTATCATTGAATAAAAGGGAGATTAATGCTGTAAGCGATCCTAAAAAAGTAGTCTGAATACTGCGTAAAAGAAAATTCAAAATCTGATCCATCTCAAGGGACTTTTCTACGAGGATGTATTCAACTACTAAAAAGAGTCATTATTACAGCCTCTGGATCCGATATCCGTGGCACGCGATACTGTACCCCACCTGGCCCACGCCTCACTTCTTGCTCGCAAGGCTGGAAGAAATCACCCCTGAGATCAAAAGGAAAAAAATTACCCAGCCTTCCTCGCAAGGCTGGAAGAAATCACACCTCCTGATGGAATGTTGTAAAAGAAACTATCATGATCGGGTTTTATTATAAGGGTCCATCAGATTAAGGGTACCCACGACGTAGAGCTAGACAGTGGAAAATGTCCGTTTAGATTGAAATCTAAGAAGTCTTCTGTTTCTAGTAGGTCTGAAGGTACAGCTTCAATAGAAAATGTACTTTTGGACTGAAGCCTTCTACTTCTGTTGTGTCTGTCTGAAGAAAAAATCGAAGTAGAAAAGATAATACCCGCTGCAGTAATCGCCACGACGGCAAGGCAGGCACTCCATGACACCACGATAGCTAAGTCGCAACTCATCCTTGAAACTTTCTCGAACGCAAGTACTACACGCGCATGAATAGCAGCACTTCCACCACCTGGAAAAGGTAAAGGTAGTACAATTCTAATTCTTGTGAATACCTTTGGCTTCGAAACTACATTATTCATTCATTATGAACATCATGAAGCAGAATCAGGTGAATCCTATTTAATTACTATTAAATCTTACCCTGCAAGTTTCGGACATCATGAAACGGGATCGTATAACACTAAAAAATCTTACCCTTGCGGACAAACCGGCTCGTAGAAGAGTGTGCTGCTGCATTCCTCTTTAAGGTTTCCAGTTTCACAGCAACAGGTATATCCTGTCGGACACTCAGCGACACTACATGTACAGTCATCTTCTTCAAGCGCTTCTATTTGCGCCTGCACCGACTGGACTTGGGCTAGCGAATCTTGTAGGAAAAACGCTTTGGGTTAGAGATGCTGTAGCGCTAGCGAATCTGGTGGGAGGAGTGCCTTGCAAGGTTAGAGATGACGTAACTATAGATCGGGGTATCATGATACAACATCATACTACATCTACTACAACTTCTAGGTCGAGAACATTAGCATCACCAGTAGCAAGTAAGTAAAATGCTGATAAAAAACCCCCCAAAAAAAAA